TCTTCTTCTTCTTCTTCTTCTTCTTCTTCTTCTTCTTCTTCTTCTTCTTCTTCTTCTTCTTCTTCTTCTTCTTCTTCTTCTTCTTCTTCTTCTTCAACAAACGGTCATTAGCAGTCAAGACCGTCTCGCTCGGCCTACAATGAAGTTGACCGCGTCACTACTTCTTATGTCTCCTTCTGGCTGACGTGCAGAGGTGTATCGAGAGTTTTTGATTGAAGTGCAGGATCATTCTCAACACCGGAAAAGTCGATATTGCCAAAGGGACTGCCCACGTCTCGCGAGAAAGAGTTGTCGGAGCCGGCTACCCCCACCGTCCTGGTGGTGGTATGTGGCGAATTTCGGTCGCTTGCCGTTCATGCGATGTGTCGTAAACCGATCTTTTAGCCGGCGGGCGGGTCTTGGGTCGGCTAAGGCTTGCTTGTAGAGGAGCAGTGTGAGGTGCAGAAGAGTGGTTTGCAGCAACGGGAGGTCGGGTTTTGTACACAGTCGAAGCGGCGCTGCACTGAACGTAAGATGAGGGTTTGCGGTCATCCAGCAGCACTGAAAGGTGAGAGATTTGCTGCCATCCGGAAGCATTGAAAAGTGGGAAACACCTATCTTACGAGCCTTTTTCGTTGTCACGAGGACTTGATGACAAGCCAGGGCCATTGTTCACAATGGTCGACAACTGACTAGGAACTCGTAAAGCAGATTCTACTGTGGACAGCCGCGCTGACTTGTTATACGTAAAAAGTAGACTGAATGAATACAGGATGAGGTACGCGTCTGTAGTCTATTTTCTGTGTCGGCCATTGGTTCATCAAGTCAATTCATTGTGTACACGAGTTTCAGTGTGGCCAGAAGAAATGCTCAGTGCACAATCCCTACCCGACAACCTCTATAACAGAGACGCCAACACCTTCAACGGCAACGTTCAGCTGGCAGTATGATTTCAAATATCATTCTCTAATCCTGCCCGCTCAATGCGTGCACAATGGTATCAGTTGCACGAAATACCTCGATACGCCCTGTCTTCGGCCTGTGCAATGTAATGCAAACACCAGACTCCAATCCATACTAGTACACAAACACACCGCGCTCAAGCTACTCCCTGAGGAACATCCTAATGCGCCTTTGGAATGCTCTGGCGTGCCAACCACAACGCCACGCTCTCCCTCGCGGTCTCGGTCCCCCAAACGCTCTCTGCACCCCCACGCTTCCATTCCTCGCCTGAGGCATCCTCGCCGCCTCCGCGCGCAGCATCGCCCATGATGACTTCGAGGTCCCGCTTCTGCGATGAGAACCAACGTTTGACAAATGCGACAGGATCCGTAGCCATGCTGGTCCAGAATGCGTGCTTGGCCTTCGATCTGCTGAGAGCGCTCATGAGGAGCACGATCTGGTCGTCGATGTTGTGGATCTGCTGGAGCGTCTCGGTGCTCTGCTTGGAACGGAGAATGCTGTGGAGGAGTGGCTGGAGGGGATCGTCCAGGGCGACCTGCACGTCGTAAATCGTGGGCTCGGAGGGCTGCTTGCCGGAGTCAGCAGACGGTGCGAGGTACTCCTTGTCTACACGAATGGTGTACTGCAGTTGCACGGGAGGGAGGGTGGTGAGGTGGGGCTTGATGAGCTGCGGAAGGCTAGGGAAGTAGAATGAGTCTGCGCCGTTGAAGAGGGCCTTGAGCTTGGAGTCACAGGCAAACTTGCGCTCGTCGTCATCTTGCTGGAGGTTCTGCGAGCGCGCATATTCCCAGACGCCCATCAGGACGCCGGCGCGATCCTCCTCGTCGGTGTCCAAGAGCTCGGCCATCGGCTTGCTCAGGCGGAAAATCTCGGGGTTTTGGTGGCGCTGCAGATTGATAGTGATGTTGATGTTTTCGTCGCCCTTGCGCTCAAACTCGATCTGGCTGAAGGGATTGTCCTGCGGCTGGGCGCCCTCTGGCCGCTTCCACTCGATCTGCGTGAAGTTGTCGGGCTGCAGGCTCCTGGCGCGGTCGAAGTCGATGGTCACGGATGTAAAGAACTGCGAGAAGGGCTTGGGTTTGTCCGCCGAGTCTGCCTGTTTCTCGCCCTCTGCGCCGTCGTCGTCCATCGCATCCGGATCCTTCTCGTCGTCGTCCTCCTCCAGGCCCTCGTCGCTGCTCTCGTCAAGCAGGCGGCCCTGGATCTTGACGCGATACGTCGCATTCGTGTCGCTCTCGAAGTCAAAGGCGTCGGCGTCCATGCTGCTGTTCTGCCAGGGCTGGTTTTCGGCGGTGTTGGAGATCCAGATGCGCATGGTGCCGGTGCGTCCGCTGCGCGAGTGGTAAACGGAGTCGGAGGCCTCGAGCTTTTTGCGCATCATGGTCGCGTCGAGGGTGCGCTCGACGTCGCGCAGCTCCTTGTAGCGGGCGACGCCGTCGCCAATGCATATGTCCTCGACACCCTCGGGCACGTTCTTGTTGGTGGGCGTCTTGGCCATGCGACGCAGGCGGTCGCGCTTCGCCTGCTCGGCGCTCTGCTGCTGGATCATCTGGGCATTGTTGTGGTGCGGCGGCGGCTGCGGCGGGTACTGTGCTGGGTGCGCGATGGGGGCTGGTTTGCGGAACATGTGCTCCAGGTCAGCCTTTCTGATCATGGTGGGCGCAGAGCGGGCGCGGGCGTGCGTGTGCTGGCGCAGGAAGGTACGTACCGGGCCCTCGCCGTGCGGGCGGAGCGTGGTGTGCCGCTTGGGCAGCAGCGAGCGGGTAGTTCCGCCCGTACTGCGGTTGCATGGCTGCGCGTGCGATGGCAGGTGCGATGGAATGGCCACGAAGATCAGTTCGCGATGCGCTCGCCGGTGAGAGACGATGGAGGCCCAGCGCAGGGACGTGCTTTTTTGGAGACGCGTCTGTCGCAGCGCTGCAGGGCTGAACTGGGCGAATCACGCCCCTTTTCCCAGCCCCGCCGTCGGCCGGCCTACCCCGCGACCACCTGCGACACCTCGTCCCTGGCAAGATGGCGTCCAAGCCGAGCAGCGACGCGCAGCAGCAGGCGCGGGCGCGTGCCGGGCCGACCGACCAGAGCGCACTGCGCGAGCAATTCACCGCTTCGCTCATTCCGATGATCCTTGGCCGTACGCGACCACCTCCATGTCCAGTGCATCAGCCACTATCCCAACACCATCTAGCGTCATTGTTGGATCAGTGTCCGTCCCATCGTCTCTTACTTCTGTCGTCCCGCACGCAGGTTCCTGCCAGCCCATCTTCTGCATTGCACGATAGAGCCGAGAAAGGGACAGAGCCGCGCCTGCGTACTCGAGACGCACCGTCAATCGCACAATCCGAGAATACTTGGGACCATAGGCATCATGTCGGCAGACGGTGAATCGGCACGCGACGTGCAAAGTGCGCTGTCAGTGCTGCCCCCTCCACGGGCATGCCTTTCGGAACACTTGGATAGCATCACCGGCGTGCGTCTACCGGGAAAACCTTCATCGTCGCTGTGGGATGTATCCATCCACGACGGCAGAATATCTTCCGTTGACCAGCATGATGCCAGTAACACACGGGTCCAGAATGAGGGCACCGAGGTCGTCCACGACAACATCTTCGATGGATCCAACCGTTTGCTCGCACCGTCGCTCTGCCATGCCCACGTCCATCTGGACAAGTGCTTTCTCCTGCAAGACCCCAAGTACAGCGACTTACAAATTGAGAGCGGCGATTTCCAGGAAGCAATGGAGTTGACTGGGAAGGCCAAAGCACGGTTTGACCAAGACGACCTCGTTCGGCGAGGTCGCACGCTCATCGAAGAGAGCATATCCCATGGTGTGACATCCATGCGAGCGTTTGTGGAAGTAGATGGAGGCGTGCAGTTCAAGTGCATTCTTGCTGGCCTAAAGTTGAAGGCCGAGTTTAGAGATCTTTGCGAGATTCAGCTGTGTGCCTTCGCGCAGCTGCCGCTTTTCTCCGGAGAGGACCGAGGTGAAGAGACTCGAAAGCTTATGAAGATAGCTGCCACAATGGAAGACATTGACGTACTAGGCAGCACGCCGTACGTTGAAGAAGACCCGACAAAGCAAGAGGCGAATGTTCACTGGATTAGCTCGTTGGCGCTCGCCAATGGGAAACACCTCGATCTGCATCTTGACTATTTTCTAGAAGAGCACAAGCAGCCATTGGTTGGGACGGCACTGGAAATCATCAAAGGATATAAGTGGATTGAAAACCAAGGCAAGCAGATCACACTAGGCCACTGCACTCGGCTTACAAGATTCAACGTTGAGGAATGGAGGACATTAAGACAGAGCATTGGTAATCTCCCAGTGTCCTTCATCGGGCTTCCGACGTCCGATCTTTTCATGATGAGAACTCATGAAAACCTGCGTGGCACGTTGCCGATTGTTGAGATGATCCAGCGTCATGGTTTAGAGGCAGCGATCGCCATCAACAATGTCGGGTACGATGCCCATGTTCAAAATACAGATAGGCACGACAGTCAGCTAATGCTCCCAGCAACGCGTTTACACCCCACGGGAACTGTGATCCACTTAGTATCGCGAGCCTCGGAGTGGGAATCTACCAAGCCGGCACAAAGCAGCATACAGAGATATTATACGTAAGTCTCCGTTCTCCCTCACATGTAGACAAACGTCCGATTGTGTCATAAACCGCTCATAGTGGCTGACATGGAAACGTGGACCTTTCTGAGCGCACCTGATCCTGCCGTAATTCACTCTGCGTCTACAAGATTCTAATTTAGTAATTTGGCGTGAGCATTGACAGGAGAGGTCTGCGAGAGGAGGTCCGATTTTTTCTGTTGGCCACTGTAGCTCCAAACGCCTGTGATCCGAATCGTCGTATACTCGTCACCTGAGATGCGACTGCCCGGCGTTTGTCCCGGCAAAGTGGGAGTTGTGACTGACTGCAATGTAGGAAGCCGTCTCAAGCAGGGCGAAGGCAGCCATTGGCTGCGAGTCTACATCGCTCGGTCTACGTATCGGAGACCCTGCAGATTTCGTACTCTTCAACAGGCCAAGTGACGGGCGGTGTAGAAAGAGCATATCAGAAGTGGTGTACGATGCAGGCTCTACCAGGGCGACAATTCGACGTGGCAGGTGGACTGGGAAAGCCTAGGCAGTTCAAACTGATAGTGTCATATGGCTATGAAGAGCAATGTGACGAGAAGACAAGAAGATGAGAAGTTTGAGCAGCAGGCACAGCTACGCCGCGCTCTTGCCGTTTTTGTGCAGCCATCCTAGTACCTCCCATGCAGTGCAACAAACACGCGGCGACGAGTCTTCGCATGCCTCCTCAATGCCCAGCTCTCTTATACGAGCAGGTATTGCCGACTTCGGGTTCTACCCGCCTTTCGGGATTCCATTGGAGGGTCCAGGCAATACTCACGCGCTTCTCCCTTCACCTAACGACTGCCAAGACCCGCTATAAATCACACTCACACCTCAATCACCACGCATTCTGAGCTCGCGATTACGATCTGGAACCTCGGCCTACCGTACGGATTGCAACGGATCCGCCGCGGCTGCACAGTCCGCCATGGATTCCCCCAGAGCCGGTGCTCCCGGGTAAGCATAATGATTGTTTGCTTTTGCAATGCCAAATACGGACGCCTGATCCAACTTAGCCCGCCCCAAACGCCTCCCAGTATGAATGTTCCTGTCCCTGTCTCGCCGGAATCGACTGCACCACCCGGGCACTCGCCACTCCCACAGGACTATGCCAACGAGAATGAGACCGGCGCGCGTGGCCGCTCAAGCGAGAGCCTTAGTACACTCTCTTTCGATTTCTTAGTCAAGGTCCAGGTATGTTGATGCCCCCTGTTGAGCTTTAACCTTGTCGTTCATGAAACGTAGCAAGTCTTCGGCCAGCATTCGGATGAGTGGAAGGTGATCAACCGTGCTCTACTTCAATTCAAACACAGGGCTATGAGCAAGAAGGAAGCTCATCACATCATGACGCAAGTATTAAACGACAACGACATGCTCGGTTATGACCTGTTCGATATCATGAACCACCCTGACGCCGATTGGGCGCCGGAGGACTGGTCTCGGCACATCATTCCTCCTGGGTCTCTACTGACACTCAATCCCACTTCGCCTGATTTCCTTGAGCCATCACACGAGCCCAACATCCCTCGACTGCCATCCATGTTCCAGGCCTTGGGTGGTAACTCAAACGCATCTTTGCCACATTCATCCGTCAATCCCGCCATTCTTCAGTCACCGTCGATGCCTTACGTCGCGCGCCCGTACCACGGCGGTCAAGAGCAGTTAGATTCGTTTGGTTCGGCCTTCGGAGGCTACCCTGGACATGGTGCCCTTCAAGAGCAGTCCACACCACACTCTCAAGGCTTGCGCATTAGCTGGACCCCTGACTCCTTCGTGCCTAATAGTCCGTCGTCTCGCGTTCTTCTGATGACAGACTCAATCCCTCTCTCGCAACATCATTTATCACCATCGTGGTATCATGATTCGACTTTGGCACCACCGAGGGATGCCCGCCGCGAGATGGGCATGCTTCCACATGCACAGACGTACAACCGAAACGAGCTGCACTCCTCAGCCGCACACACTGCTGGGCTCTATCAGCAATACTCACAACGCCATCAACGGCAGAACGGTCATTATATGGGCGATTGGGCGAACGACAATCTTTGGCAACATGAGCATGAGCCCAACCAGGCATCACACATGTCCCCTAGTTTTCACAGTCAAGCTTCTCCACAACGAGCTTTGGGACAGCTAAGCTCGAACGCATCGCCCTCCATGATCGCAACACCTGCAATGAGTGTGGCGAACATTCCTAGGCCATTTCGGAACGAGCTGCATAGAAGTGAAACTGAGTATGTAGGGGATAAGCAGAACATCAACACGCACGAGTCATACGACGATGCAACTGCGAACAACGATGGATCACGTGCCAGGCCATCCGGAGAAAACGAAGCAAAGCGATCCGTGGACCAGCCACCAGAAGGCGGTTTCATTCACGCAATCTGTGGAAGGGGCTTTTATTCCAGAAGCGCAGTCAAGAAGCATCACTGGGGCCCTAGGGCCGGAGACTTGACGACGACTCGAGGCTGTTGGGCTAAGAATAAGAAACCGAATGTTGCTTGGTAAGGAAGTAGAACGTTGATCGCGACACGCTCATCACTAACAGCCGATAGGGACGCGCATCCCAGCTGCAAAACAGGATCTACTCGTTCGAGCAAGAACATTCGCCAGTCAATTGTCACCGGTAACGACAATTCTGTAACACTAAGCCCCGAGTTGAACGCAGCGGAAACACCGAGCACGGTGTTTGGGCGTTCGACAGCCCAGCGATTCAATGACAACCCTGCTCATGGTTTGAATACTCTGGTATCTGCTGCCTCCTTCGCTGAGAGGATTGACGCACCGAAGCCACAAGACGGTCGAAACGATTCCGTCGTCGCTCAACTCGACGCGCAAGCTGCTATAGCCGAACGCAATCGTAGGATGTTGCCGCCTTGGTCTACTCCGACCGGGTCTGGGACCGCAATCACAGGAAGGAGCCCGTACATACAGATGCAGGCGGCTACCGCTCACTTGGGCACCACCTTTAGTCCGTCGAATGGGATCCCCACAGCTATGATGTCGCCATCTCAGCATTCCGAGGGGTTGACTTCCTTTGAAGGCCAGACTAGCCACGCTCAGACTGTCCAGGAAGACGATGTCGAACCCAAAATGGACATCAACGTGAGCAAGAAGCGGCAGCGCGCTACCAGCAAGAAGGTGCGCGTGTCCACGCGCGTGAAAAAGCCGCCAGAGTCACAGTCTTCAAGCCTGGATTGGAAGAAGGTGCAGGTACAAAAGTAGAAATCCAAGTACGCCAGCATACTCCAGTATGAAACAACCAGCGGCCAGAACGACCCAAGTGTCGTCTTTTGCTCATATGAGGTTGTCCGACAGCATCGACTGTTGTCTCAAGTTGTCTTTGCACCTATGATGTTCAAGGTCATGTATCAATGCATGTACATGTCTGGTGGACAGGAAGAATTGGCTAGGGCGACCCTGTTTGTTCCAGTTCTCTCCGTTGCCCAGGTTCCCCGGTGCTTATTTAGGTCACGTGTCTACTTTGGCGTTCAAAACAGATATATACCCAAGGTCGTCTGTACGGATACTCATCTCCGAGGCGAATTACATGGGACATGGGAGTATGAACACACGACTACGATCAGCAACGATGAAAGTATCGAATGGACCTTATCGATGCTAGGAAAGCACTCTTCACGGTTTCTATAGATAAAAACTGTTGTATACCACCAAAGTCAATGTCCGTGTATCTGCAAGAAGGTATGTCTTCTTCCCTGTACATCAGCCACCAATGCAAGCTTTCCCCCGCCCGGATCCTCCGCGAAAAACAAGCTCCACAGCAAAGGCGGGTCGGCGCACAAGCCGCAGTCAGCTCCAATGGCGCGCATCTCCACATTTGCAATCAACCGACCCTGTCGACGACTGTCATCACGCTGCAGGCATGTAAAAGTCCTCCAATCGGAAGACGGGCTGTTGCTGTGCCCGATGCGTTTGCGCGACTTGCATGCTGCGGCAGGGGAGAGCTTGGAGCTCGAGCTTCTGGAAGTTGGCTTCGGGCGCGACAGCGCTCCACGCGATGTGGTAGGCAGTTCGAGCGCGTGACTCATGTTTGAGAGCAGAGCGTACCACGAACGAAGCAGAGGAGAATTGGCTCTTTACGGCAATGCGCCCGCCTCCGCGTTGCGTCATAGTTCGGGGTGCCTGAACGCGATTCATCCTACCCCATGCGGGGGAATGAGAGCTAACACTCACCTCGGTAGCTTGGTGCGTCCTGCAGCGAAGCTTGACCCGGTAAAAGACGCGGCAGGGTCAAATCTGCAACTGCGTTACCAGCCGGTGGTTGAGGACGCATCGCTAGGGACGATGGGTGGGAACAAGTACCAGGCCGTGGGAGAGGTGATCGGCCTGTGTATAAAGCCGCGGCGCGCCTCTTTCTCTACGTACCACCGCTCCTGCCTCTGCGCCCGTCAATTGAGTGAACCTGCTCTCCCTCAGGTCAATTGAGACTATCCAGTATGATGTGGACTTCTGCTGTGCTCCCGCTCTTTGCGGCGTCTGCCCTCGCGCAGTACACCACGGCCCCGCCGTCGCAAAATGAGACAACCGGCCCTGACGCAGACGGCAAATACGAGATCTCAGCGGAGGGTATTCGTGCGCAATTCATTCCGTACGGCGCGTCCATCTCGAACCTGTTCATCAATGACACAAACGGCATTGAGCGCGACATTGTACTCGGCTTCGATAACGCGAGCCACTACTCGGTCGACCGCTTCCACCCTCATCTGGGAGGTGTGCCTGGTGCGTTTGCTCTGAAGACACTCGCAATTGGGTGGGAGCTAATGGAGACCAGGGCGCTATGCCAACCGCATCAAGAACTCGACCTTCACGATCGATGGCGTGGACTACCACGTTGATGCCAATGAGAACGGCGGTGCTGATACCCTGCACGGTGGATCAGATGGCTGGGACTACGTGAGTCGACCCTGGGCGAACATGCTGAGCAAAACTGACCCGCATGCAGCGCAACTTCACGGTTGTCGCGCACACTGCTGACTCTATCACCTTCTCTATCGTCGATCCTGATGGCAAGGAGGGTTTTCCTGGAGAGGTCGTGAGCTACATCACCTACACGGTGACGGCCTTCACATGGCACATCAAGATGGTAGCTCTTGCGACTACCAAGAAGACTCCCATCATGCTGAGCTCCCACGTAAGTGCATTGCTCACTTGATTTGAACGATCTGAAGCTGATTATGTAGACCTACTGGAATTTGGATGGCTTCGCGAATCCCGACACTGCTACAACCGACAACCACACGCTGCACTTGCCCTACTCTGGCCAGCGCATTGGTGTCGACAACATCCTAATCCCCGATGGCACCATCCTCCCGAACGAGAAGTACTCGGTGAACGACTTCTGGTCATCACCCAAGCAGCTCGGCGCGAACTACTCTTCTCCTGAGATCAAAAACAACTGCGGCTTCGGTTGTGTCGGTTACGACAACGCCTGGCTTGTCAACCGCGACCAGAACGGCCCATACGACTGGCGCACTTCTGGTCCGGTTGCCACCATCTCTAGCAACTTCACGGGTATCCAAATCGACATCTTCACCGACCAGGATGCGTTCCAGGTGTACAGCTGCCCTGGCCAGAACGGTATGTTATAAATCGGTTGTCCCATGAGAAGCCATTACTGACAACACCACAAGGCTCTCTCCCCATCAAGTCGACTCAAGGTTACGAGGGTCGCCCGCGTGTGGTCGAGAAGTACGGCTGCCTCGTCATGGAGGTTGAAGACTGGATCGATGCCATCAACCACCCCGAGTGGCAGCGCGAGAAAAAGCAGATCTTCGGCCCCGGCGATGACCCATATGTCCTCGAGGCGAAGTACGTCTTCTCGGTGAACTAAGCAAAGGCATCCAAGACGGGCCCCAGGTAGAGGATTGGATAGCTGGGAGCGATTATGAATAATTCTAATGTATGACTTCAAATGCCTCGCCCTTTGCTGTGCATTCGCCTCTAGGTCTCTGCTCTCAGACTTAGTTGTCGGCAACTTGTTGAATGCGGACATATGGATATCCTTTCTTCCCGAGTAGAATATCTCTCTCGTCCTGGTCCCCCTTTCTTGTCACTCAACCAGCATTCGAGTGCTTCCAAAGGTTCCAGGGTTCTACGACATGCATTCAAAGCAGTGTGAGGCGTGGTGCAACGGATACGTACTGGCCACCGCATCTGACCAATCAAAGTCTGTAGGAAACGTCTCGGACTACCCATTTACACGCACAAAGCAGAGTACCCTGGAATAGGATACAAAGACGAAAGAAGACCAGAATCTTGCGTCCTCCGTATCTGTGGCTGATCCGGCCAATCCCGGTTGCATTACAAGGATTACAAGTCGTGAAATAAAGCCTGTGGCTGCTCCATCAGGGAATGTGAGTGGCACCGAGGAAGTACGCCTGTTGGATTAGCTCACTTGCACCCGAGCGATATCCATCCTCCCAATAAATGATAATACCAAAGACTCCGCAGGGCGTCCTGAAAGCTCCCTTTCCGACAGCTTGCCTCCAACGCGCGTGAACACAAGGACCAACAATGGCTGCGCCCAAGTAGGCACGACCTCCGACCCCAGATTCCTGCCCGTACGCGAGCTTGGCAAGCGTGTGATCGCTTTCCCTTTCCAGCCGGCGCACCGAGGCCAACACGCAGTCGCGCATCAGTCACATGAAGTGCGGGACATCGCGTTGATAGCGATAACAAGCGTCTCGATCCCCGTCTCTCCTCTCCAACGTCCATGCGACAGAGACGCTGCGCGAGTCGTGAATCAGAATGGACGACACTGCGCACAGGAACAGCGACGGAAGCAAAGATGGGATGTCGTACCGCGAGCGGATCGCGGAGATGGAGCCGGCGCGCAACGGGGAATCGAGCTCAACGCAAAGAGGGGGAGATGTAGGAGACGAGAGCGAGCCAGCGACACATGCGGGCGGTAGGAGGTGGTGGAAGCGTGGCCAGAGAGGGACCTACAGCCATACGCATTTCAAAGTGTACAAGAGAAGGTGGTTTGGGCTGGCGCAGCTGGTGCTGTTAAATATTGTGGTTTCTTGGGATGTAAGTCGCTGTGGCTGGCTGGTGGGCCATGCACTATGATGCGCGATACGAGACTCCATATGCGAGGCTGAGAGCTAATGGTTTCCAGTGGTTAACCTTTGCGCCGGTGTCCACCAAGGCTGCAGAATATTTCAGAGTCAACGAAAGTTCTATCAATTGGTTGAGCACGGCGTTCCTCTTCAGTTTCGTGGCTATCAGCCCGTACGTTGTACACCACGCCATAATCTGGTTCCGACTGACGATCGAACAGGTGTACGATATGGACACTCAATCGCAGCCCGAAGCAAAGCATTATTGTCGCGAGCGTCCTTCTGCTGGCAGGGAACTGGATCCGCTATGCAGGTACCAAGGCTGACCGTGGCATCTTTGGGCTCGTTATGTTTGGCCAGATTTTGACTGGACTGGCGCAACCGTTCGTGCTTGCGGCGCCTACCCGCTACTCCGACCTATGGTTCACCGAGTCTGGACGTGTTAGCGCTACAGCCGTAGCCTCGTTGGCGAACCCCTTTGGCGGTGCTGTAAGTGCTGTTCCTCAAGGACTACAAGTATGTGTGACTAATGGCCTACAGCTCGCCCAACTGATCAATCCATCTCTTGGCTCCATACCTAACATCGTCCTTTACGTGTCCATCATCGCGACGGTAGCCGCCATACCCTCGCTGTTCATCCCAGCCAAGCCTCCCACCCCGCCCTCGGCCTCGTCAGAAGTGCCAAAAGTAGCCCTCATCCCGTCGCTGAAGGCATGCTTGCGCTCCCCGCCCTTCTACGTCGTCTTCGTCACCTTCTCAGTCTACGTTGGGTCCTTCAACTCCTTCTCCTCGCTCCTCAACCAGATCCTCTACCCCTACGCCTACTCAGAAGATGAGGCTGGCATCTGCGGCGCCATCCTGATCGTCGTGGGACTCGTAACTGCAGCCATCACATCGCCCATCTTCGACCGTACGCATGCGTACTTGACGGGTATTAAAATCTTGAGTACCTTGATCGCGATTGGATATCTGGCTCTGATTTGGGCACCTCAGACAAGAGGGCTAGCTGCGCCATACGTCCTTGCTGCGATCGAAGGTGCGGCCTCTTTCTCCCTCCTACCTATTGCTCTCGAATATCTCGTCGAGATTACATTCCCTGCTTCGCCTGAAGTCAGCTCTACCATCTGCTGGGCGGGTGGACAACTATTTGGAGGCATCTTCATTGTCATCATGAATGCGTTGAAGGATCAGCGACCTGTAGATCTCGCGGAGGTCAGGGAGATGGGCAGAGGCGCCGGGGGCGATACGAGGCCGCCGGGCAATATGTTCAGGGCGCTTGTCTTCCAAGGAGCCCTTGCTTTGGCGGTGCTGCCGTTGCCATTGATGCTGGGCGTCAAACGGCTGGGGTTGGCGCATGGAGAGGGGAGACTGAGGGTAGATGAGCACAGGAATCCGAGTGTAGTGCAAGGGGAAGAGGGGGCTTGAGTATTGGCGCACGGTCAGACGCTTGGGCATGAACTGGAACAGGACTCGGGCTAGCGGTAGGTGTTATTGTTACTACACGACCAATCTGATTATCCATGGATCTCCTTTCATCACGTTACTCGTGTCGGCTTCAGGTTCGCATTGATGATGGATTGCCGGGTTGTGACTTGGAGGAAATAGTACAGTGATATTCTAAACAAGTCTTGGTGGTATATACAGTTGTCTCATTGCGGTCGGATAAGGCTCTCGATGATTCATCCGTGCTTCCCACCCACTGTAACCACTCGGTCGGTCGGCATCGATCGTGGATGAGGAGGCTTGGCATACGTGCACATGTTTACTTGAGCTGAGCAAAGAGCTTGGGTGCGGCGCACTGGGTTGCGCAGTGGGCGAGGTGGAAGACTGTAGCAGTGTTAGCAAGTCCAGGTGACGTGACGCTCGATAGCTTACATTCTTCAACGCAGTCCTCGCTTGCCTTGCCGTCATTCTCGATCTGGCCTGTGACGCGCTCGACGCACTCATCGTAGTGGTGCTTCGGTCCGTGGCATGCCTTTGACTCTGCGCACTCTGTAGGTACTGATTAGCATCGTGCTCACTCAGCCAGGTCTTGCCACGGAGCTTCCTTCTGGACCTCGATATGCGATTGGGCATCCAGATGCATCCAAAATGCCCAATTTCGCATCCGATGAGCTCCAGAGATGCCCGTGCCGCCCAAAGACAGCTGTCCGATGCAACTTACCCTTCTCAAGAATGTCCTTGGGGTCCTGGGGCTCCTCCTCCTCCTCCTCTTCTTCGTCGTCGCCGCCGCTGGGCATGTGTCCCTGCTCGCCCTCACCCTCCTCCTTGGCGTCTTCCTTGTTGGCCTCCTTCTCGGCGTCAGACTCCTCGTCGGTGCCGGAGGCTGGCGACTCGGTCGAGGAACCGCCCTGGGGCGGCGCTTCAGCGTCGGGCGACGGGTAGGAGAAGGTCTCCCAGACGTCGGAGAAGAAGTCAGTGATACCCATTGTTGCTGATGGGAGGTAATTGGCTGGCGGGGAGGCGTGGGCGTGCGTCGATGGGGGTCTGAAGCTGGTAGGGTCAATCCGGGATGGCAGCGAGGGAATTGCGTCCACGGCAGCCGAGCGCTTGGCGGCCGGGTCACGTGGATCATGTTGAATCATCAAGATAGAGCGCGACCCTGAGTGGGCTGCGCGCCAATGCGTCTGCGATTACAATCATTGCTATGGATTTGAGCTGCAAAGTCTTCTCTAACATTTCCTCAGTGCTGTTCATGCATTTCTGTGCTCCTCAAAGGCTTCGTCGACCCGCCTGCCATTTTTCACATCGCTGATTACCTTGTCGTCGGCTCCCACAAGCTTCGGGAGCAGCTGCAACACCTCGTCTACCTTGCCCTGTGGCACTGCGACCACTCCGTTCTCGAACGGGTCTATCATCACTATGTCTCCAGGCTCGATTACCGTCTTGCCCACCCGCACTGGCACTTCGTACGCATGAAGCCTGGTCTCCGCACCTGCTCCAATGATCGAAGAGCCTTTCGACCAGATGGGAAGACCAGTCTCTGCCAGTGCGACCAGATCTCGTACGCGACCATCAACAACGACGCCCTGGGCGCCTAGAACCTTCATACGCTCCGCCATTATACCGCCCATGACCGCGCAAGACTGGCCCGGTGGTTGGCTGACAATAACCACGGTTCCAGGTTGTGTGAGGTCTGCGTACGGGCCAGTCGCCGACGAGTTGGATTTAGGGAAATCTTTGGACAACGTCACAGGGTTGGGAAATGATGGCGTCGCTTTTGGTGCCATAAGGAACGTGGAAGCTGGCGCGATGATCTTCTTGAGCTCAGGCTTGCGTAGTCCTGATGTGTGCGGCATCGGTGCTACAAAGTCAATACTCTAGGCTATATGATGAACCTGCATAGAGGCAGACATACTGATGTCGGGCAGGAAGCCAGCGCCGGGCACACCCAGCTTCAAGAGAGCGTCCGCTATCTGTTGAGCTTAGCTTAGCTTCAGATGACACAGGTGCGGGATTGACAGACGTCGCATGCTGAGTAGCGGGACAGCTCTTTCCATTTCGAGGAAGCCATAGTACCTTGACCTGCGTGATTTACTGACAGTATATGATGGGAGCTGCAAGGCACCGAGGGGGGCAGCTCTGGTGGGGTTCTCTAGCCCCGCCATCCGAGGGACTGGGAACCATTTCGTGGGACTAAAGTGACTGCTGAAACCCTGACATCTAGATTGTTTACAGTCGTGAGGTTTCTATTTTACCGTCCGTCCTTGTTATGCCTTCTGCGCACTTGAGTGAAACGGCCGGCCCAAAGACTTATGTCGTCGTATCCATAACATCCGCCGTCTCTCACTGACAATGCGCATTTACTCAGCGACACAATAGGGTCAACCTGGAGTTTCAATATCACAAATTCACTCCGATCAAATCAACACGTCATGACACAGCCCGAGCTCCCTCCCGATCCAAATCAGTGAATGTTGCCATCCACGTGATTCAGGCGCCAAGCGCGCAATCGGCGGACGAGTGACAAGTCCGCCGCGTCGATGTTCGACTGAACGCCATCTGGTTCTAGCGACATCATCGCCATCGCGCTCGATCACCTCAACTGATGCGCCCTCATTCTTCCGACATCTGAGGCTTCCTATTAATCAAAGCGGCTTGCGCCGCAAATCCACCCGTCATCATGGCTTTACACACGCCGCTTGCCATGCAGGTCAGTTCTTGCCACACCTTTCCTGCTGCGCTCGAAACCACCATACTGACTTGCGCACAGAATGTCTTCCGTCAAACACTGTCTTCGCACACGATGCCGGCAACAGCCACCGTCGCCGGCACGCTGTTCGCAGGTAACGTCAACGTACCTGTATCATGAGTCCCGGTGCACTGACAGCGCGTAGTCTCCCAAAATGGTCTCCGTCTCGGCACTACGCTCACGCGCAGTATGTCCCTCAACTCGTTCATGGTCAGGCAATACTCTACCGCCACGCGCAACGGTCCGCTTGCGAGCCTTCGCCCGATACCGCGAACAGGAAACGTAGGATTAGCTTTGGCACAACAACGCTCGCTATTCGGTGGACCAACTCACAGCCAACTCGCCCGTTATGAACAGAGTGCTAATAACAACCCTTCGAGCGCATCAGCGCAGGCGACTTTCTATCAGGCATTGCTCAGAGCCAACATGCCCAAGATCATCATCGAACGCTACAGGACCGGACAATATGCTACCAATGTGGCCGTGGAGCAATCTTATCAGAGGGCCTTGGAACAACTTGGTCAATCGGGTGAATCTACCGGCGGTATGGGACCGGAACAATTGCAGGCTGTTGGACAGGCTGTTGCTGCGCATGTCGGCAAAGGCCAAGTGGGCAAGACCAAGTCTGGATCCGGCGACCGAAAAGACCCTCTTTACGTTGTCGTTGAAGAGTCTATGGCAAGCATCATCTTCAAATGGGTTCGCTGGGTTGCTGGATTTGCTCTTTGTGCTTACGTCGCCCTGGTTCTCATCACCCTGTTTGTCGAAACGAGCGGCGTTCTCAAGAAGGTCGGCGGTACCAACAACGCCGAAGTTCGTCCCGAGAGCCAGAGCACGCGTTTCCACGATGTCCAAGGCTGCGATGAGGCCAAGGAAGAGCTTACCGATATTGTCGACTTCCTGAAGAACCCGGAACGTTACAACAAGCTTGGTGGCCGCCTCCCCAAAGGTGTCCTACTTATTGGCCCTCCTGGTACCGGGAAAACCCTGCTTGCTCGCGCTGTTGCTGGTGAAGCTGGTGTCCCCTTCTTCTACATGTCTGGTTCCGAGTTCGACGAGGTTTATGTCGGTGTCGGTGCCAAGCGCGTACGTGAGCTGTTCACCGCCGCTCGATCCAAGGCCCCTGCTATTGTATTCATTGATGAGCTGGATGCCGTTGGTGGAAAGCGAAACTCCCGCGACGCCGGCTACCACCGTCAGACCCTTAATCAGCTTCTGAACGACCTGGATGGTTTCGATCAATCAACCGGTGTCATATTCATCGCAGCCACCAACCACCCTGAACTATTGGACAAAGCTTTGCTTCGACCCGGTCGTTTCGACAGGCACGTTCAGGTCGAACTGCCAGACGTTCAGGGACGACTAGCCATTTTGAAGCACCATACTAAGAAGATCCGCCTCTCCCCTGACGCCGATCTGTTCAAGATTGCTCGCGGTACGCCTGGCTTCTCTGGTGCCGAATTAGAGAACTTGGCAAACACTGCAGCGATCGAAGCCTCAAAGCAGCAGGCCAAGTTCGTATCGTTGCTAAATCTCGAATGGGCCAAGGACAAGATTATGATGGGCTCAGAGCGCAAGACCAGAACGGTTCCCCTCGTCGACAAGCTACAGACCGCTTATCATGAGGGTGGACATACTCTCGTTGGTTTGTATGAAGTCGGCTTCCAGGAGCTTCACAAGGCCACCATTCTGCCCCGCGGTCAAGCTGCCGGTATCACCTTCTTCCTACCTCAAGATCACAAACATCACCGCTCTAAGATAGAATATGAGCGCCATCTTGCTATGTGCATGGGTGGCACTGTCGCCGAAGAGATCGTTTATGGTCCTACAGAAATTGGCGACGGCGCATCCAGCGATATTTCCAGCGCCACCAGCACAGCACACTCGATGGTCACACGCTATGGCTTCTCGCCAAAGCTGGGCAGCATCGACTACGGTTCCAACTACGACCAAGTTTCACCCGAGACCAAGCGTGTCATCGACAACGAGGTGCGGAGATTGGTTGAAGAAGCGAAGGACAGGGCAAGAAAGCTGTTGATCGAGAAGCGCGTGGAGCTAGATCGGTTAGCGACAGCTCTCGTGCAGTACGAGACGCTGGACAAGGAAGAGATTGTCAAAGTGATCAAGGGGGAGGATCTGCCAGGTCGCTTAAAGGCGATGCCGGATACGCCGATCAAACTTCCCGAGCTGACACTTCCGTCTGCTCTCCATCCGCCGGCGCAAGGCAACGACGGTGATGGAGGTGTGCCTGCATAAATTGGGTAATTGGAAAATGCGCTTATTGCATGCATGCGAGGCGAATCGGCGTTTATCAGAGCAAAGCCCTCCTCTCGTTGCGATTGTGGGCCCTAGACGTTCATAGCTGTCGACGGGCTTTTACTTTTCTTTGTAAGACTATAGGTATTGGTACAGCTAGCATATAGCGAAGTGGAACACGCTCACGATCCAGCGATGTTTTCGGGGATACTATGTAAAGAAAAAAACAGTAAATTGCACGAAACTTGACCTCCCGTTGATGTTAAGGCGCTGTACACGGCCTGCAACCGGATCATGATCGCGGGCCTACCACTAATTGATCGCGGGCCTACCAATAAGACGGACCGGGCGTAGACTATCTGCAGCCAAGGCGCCATTTGAAAAAACCGTATTAACACGTATTTTACGCGGTAACAAAGGTTTTTTGAAATGGCTGACTTGCGTTTCGTACTAACGTGTTCCACCACTCATTGGCGCACCCCACTAGAACGCGCGATACCTCAGCACTGATATCTCGACAATAATAGGGTATTTTTGTATAGAATTTTGTACAGAGATAGTTTATTGCTGTCTATACTGATTTTGCTTATGTCCTTGCTTATGGTACTTACTGCACGTGGGTGGTGCGCGCTGGCGCGCCGGAGTAGGTCTACCCTTAGCACCCTTAGCAAGAGCTAGATGAGCTATAGTAGCTAGAGCACGCCCTTGCTCAGCCTGTAGAGCACCTCCTGTAGTAATATACTGTCGTCGCCTATTCTGCCTTTGTTTCTTGCAGTGATTAGCTGCCTATAGCTTCCTATTCTCCTCTGCTAAGATCGTTGCTGAGTTCATAGCTAGCTGACAGCTCTTGACAATCTGGGTGATAGCTAGACTTGTAGGGCTCTGAGACTGTCTCTGCAGGCGATCCTGTACGAGTCGTGCCTGCTGCGCAAGCTGGGCAGTAGTATGAGGCGTCTCTGCTGTCCATGCTGCCTCAGCGCCTGCTGCTGTCCCTAGCGGAGACGGGGTCCTGACTACTGTTAGGTATGAGAGGACCCGCTCTGGGCAGGGAGGGATAAGACTAGTCGCTCGAAAGCCACTCTAGATACTCTGCTCTATAAATATAGAGCTCCGTACGCGTAGGTAGAGGGAGAGAAACTCCTGCTTGTTAATATGGAAGATACCCTGGTGGGCAAGCTTAGCTACCTTATGCCCATACGCTGCCTTAAGCGGGGAGAAGCAGCTCACATTAAGAGGCTGGAGGAGATGGCTCGTATGCGCAGGCATATAGAGGGTGACTATCCCATGTTCTATATAGTAGGTATTAAACTCTGGGGTAGTGTGGCTGCTGTGGCCATCTAGGATGAGTAGACACCAGGTGCCTACTGTATGAGCCTCTATATGCCGGTTGAAGTGCTCTAGCTAGGTAAGCCCTAGCAGATCTGTGGTCTAGCCATTGTCGCTAACTGTGAGTAACCAGCCGGTAGGTAGGCCATTATACTAGCTGGCTTGGTGGAGCTTGCCAGACAGGATAATGAGGGGTGGTGCAGACTAGCCAGACGCGTAGATGCATTCAATTGTTATGACCTAGTCTCTATTGCCTGGCTGTACGCGTACAGCTCTGCCCATAGTGTCTGAGCTTGTGACCACCTTAGATGATGAGGATCCAACACCCATCATGAAGCCAGTCTCATTAAAGTTATAGGTATCTCCATCCTATATGCCATACGCCTGGCGCGTCTCCTCCACAAGCTTGTACTAGGCAGAGATCCTGATAGGATCCTCACATAGGGCACGCTGACTGTGGAACTTCCTATCCCACTTTGTCTGGAGCTCTGGCTGGGTCTTAATAAAGCGTGATACCCAGTTCTTGCCTATAGGAGCTGGAGGAGGGATCTGGCCACGCGTAGTGAGTAGATTGTCTGCCATCCATCGTACGTCAATGATCTGGGGTGGAAATCCTCGTCGGTCCAGGTCTAGGATCCACTCTACTAGAGCTTGCTCCTCTGTAGGGTGTAGCTTTCGTTTTAGGGCGTTGGTAACAGCTTATAGGTGAGCACCTGCTATTCAATTCTGGATAGAGGTTTCGGGGATCCCGTATAGGTATGCGGCGTAACGGCGACTTTTAATCTATTTATTCTAAATCGCGTGAATTGAAAGAGCTAGTCTGCCTTCCTTCTAGAATTGCTAAGTGCTTTGGGTGGGTGGTATGGCGCGTTATATAGAAGACGCGTCGCGATTTTGGTAGGGTGCGCCGATGACTAGTGTGCGCCAATAAGTGGTGGAACACGTTATAGCACGTCTACTAGTTATACTATTAATGATAGTAAAAAGTTAATCTCTAGGCGTCAAGATGCCAGCTAGTTAAAACACTATGAAAACGCGTTGCGTCGCGATCGATATCTATACTATTAACGATAAAACGCGGCCTGGCTGGCGAGATTTGTCCCCAACATTTTGAGATTTGTCCCCAAGATGAGATTTGTCCCCAACGCTAGTGTTAGCGAAAGTTACCGCCTTAACTTAGTTTAGCGCATAATTTATGGACGCGACACCATCGCGACAATATCGCGACACCACGCGTCTCTACTTTAGCTAGATAGCTTCTGAGGAGGGAGGTGGTAACTCATTCTCCTATTCACAGACAACATGGAAGGTATAACCCCACCTCCAGACCTGCTCTACGGCTCCTATGAAGAAGCATATGACGCGCTTAAGACGCATGGTATACAGCATGGTTACGGCTTCGTACTCAAGCGGAGCTGGCCTCACAATTCAATTGCTAAGACGCGTTACTACTACCACTGCGACCGTTTTAGGAGTAACTTCCAGTCAACTGCAAAGGTTCTAAGCACAAGTACACGGTCAACAGGATGTCCCTTTAAGCTTGTTGTCTTCAAGATGAAGGTTAGCGGCCAATGGAAACTAGAGGTCCAAGATAGACGTCACAATCATCCTCGATCCGTTAATCCTAGCGCGCACAATGTCTACCGCAAGCGTACATCAGCACAAAAGGAGGCAATTGAGTTAATGACCCATGCTGGGGTGCGGCCGATGCAGATACTGGCTGCAATTCAAAAAGAAGACCAAGATACACTAGTCTCTGCGACCGACATCCGAAGCGAGAGGAAAGCAATTCGAGAGAAACACTTGAACGGGAGGAGTTCTATTGAGACGCTACTGGATGATCTATCTACTGGGGACTGGATCTTCGCCGTGAAGAAAGACGATCATAATCGCGTACAGAATCTCTTCTTCGCCCATCAAAAGCAAGTGGAGCTACTTCTTGCCAATTCCGACGTGCTACTAATGGACTGTACATACCGGACGAATAGATATAAACTTCCGTTATTGCACATCCTTGGCTGCACCAACCTACAGACCTTTTTCTCTGCAGGTTCCTGCTTCCTTAGCAGTGAGACGCAGGCAGACTACTACTGGGCCATTGCGAACTTTCTTCTCAAGACAGAAGTACAACTACCACGGGTATTCATCAGCGATCAGGAAGAGGCTTTAAAGATAGCAGCTCGCTCGCTACTCCCAGGAGTCCCTCAACTACTATGTGTATGGCACATCAATAAGAACGTCCAGACGAAGGCCCAGCAGACCTGGCGGGACGCCGATGGCGGGACAAAAGAGGAGAAGCAAAAGATTGCTGAACACCGGGCTGCGTTCATGAAGCGATGGACTCAGGTACGTCCGACACGTTCAGAAGGCTATCATATTAAGCTGCATATTCTAACTATAGCAGCTTGTCTATGCGAAGAGGCCGCTAGAGTTCCAGTTGAAGTGGAATGACCTGATCAAAGACTATATCCACCAGCAGGAACTTTGTAGATACTTGCAAGAAAACCAATACCTCACCCGTACTGAGTGGGCAGCTGCCTGGACCTCAAACCACCGCCACTATAACACGATCACAAGCTCGCCCGTGGAAGGGATGCATAAGGTGCTAAAAGACTACCTTATGACCTCTAGAGGTGACTTGTTACGTGTAGTCGAACGAATTGAACAGATGGTGAAGAGTCAGTACAACAAGTACAGGAAGGACCTTGCTTCGTCCAAGCATAGCGTCAAGTTTGAGCACAGGCTAGCGGCGATGCCGTTCCTGCCTCCTGGCATTCACGATATTCTAACACCACCAGCGATCGAGCGCATCAGGCAACAGGATCTGTTACGCCAACAGGAGCAGAGACAACGACGCGGCGGTCACCCTTGTTCGGGCCTCTTCGAGAAGATAAACGGTCTCCCATGCCGCCATACGCTGCAAGAAGTAGTGACGGCCAGATCGACGTTAAGGTTAAATCACCTTTACGATGACCATTGGCGCTATCAACGCGAGCAAGGGCCATCAGTTCGTTTATCCCCAAGACCATACCATTCTATTCTAGAGCCGCTACCTGCTCAAACGCGAGGTGGCCCGAGGAGGAATGAGGCATCAACTCGCCGAGATCCATCAGCATTCGAACGACGTGTACCGCCTTCCTCTTCTCAGTTTCAACCTTCTTATGAACCTCAGAATCTGACACTCGCTGAAGTTCTGCGACAAGTGAGTACATCTGTCACTGTATCGGCTCCCACTTCTGTAGTAAGCGCGGGCCCTGTGACTACATGTATATCTCTATCGATTCCTGCACCTTCCCCTACGCCTAGTGTTGTATACCCTCGCTCGTCTCCGCCTATGGCTGTTGCAGTGTCTGTCACGGTAGCATCGCCTCCAGCCTGGCGGGCTCCGTCATTACAGGAATTTCTTGCTGATATCGAGAATCGACGGTCTCAAGCTGTTATGTATCAGTACAACGACATGTTCGCAGCGAGCAACTTCTTGGTAGAAACGGGACAGGAAGACGATCCGGTAGAGTTGGTTGAAGCACGGAACATGGCTCTCGCTACAGAGGGGCTTTTCGCTTCCTGTACTCCGACCATGGCATGGAACTATCATTTCGGAGATATGGAGGCGTTCTACGCTGAGAGGTTTGCGCAGGTTGATGCTCAAAATGCGCTCCTTGAGCCTCAGCGTGCACTCCCTGAGCCCAGGGATGAGCCTGTGCAGCGACCCAAGCGGGCTGCAGCAATAGCAGCTCCAGATACATGGAAAACTCTTAGCCCGCGCAAGAGACATCGACGTCAGTAGGAGATAGTCTCATCATATGTACATTTATCGCCAGGCATTACCTAGTTGTTCAGTCCGCACTGCTGTGCATTTTGATTATTGTAATTTATCTGGCACTAGTCGACGTGCGGTTAGCGTTGGGGACAAATCTCATCTTGGGGACAAATCTCAAAATGTTGGGGACAAATCTCGCCAGCCACGCGGCCTAGCCATTTTAAAAAAACCCTGTTACCGCGTAAAATACGTGTCAATACGGTTTTTTCAAATGGCGCCTTGGCTGCAGATACTCTACGCCCGATCCGTCTTATTGGTAGGCCCGCGATCAATTAGTGGTAGGCCCGCGATCATGATCCGCCGATGAGCGTAGATCTCTGCCTTTGGCAACAGCAATGTGAGTCAGCGTGGTCGTATTTGCACATCAACAAATGATCAGATTGATGTTCCCTTCCTTCCCGAACAATTTCAAAATCCTTTAAAGCGCAACCCTCGCTACGATGCGGTCCGAATCCAGCCTCAGCAAGCGGGGCAGAGATCTCACCTCCGACCGCCTCGGACCAAACGCTCGAGAGGCAACTGAGAAGATTGGCCTCTACAACGGGCCATGGGATCCGGAGACGAACCCAGATGGTTTGATAAACTTGGGCACGGCGGAGAATGTATGAAGCTTCTTGCATTAACATCATCCGGTTGCTGATCTTGCCGGCAGTCGCTTATGCTGGATGACGTTGCGAAGTTCGTTAATGAGCAGAATGTATGACCTGATGAAAATTTTGGCGCAGGCACGGGCTTCTGGAAGGTTTGGTTGCTAAAGAAGGTCTAGATCAATTTTGAAGGCGAGGCGTTCGACTACAGCGAAGCGTGGGGTTCACTACGTCTGAGAAAGGCTGTTTCTGGGTTCATCAATACGTGAGTCAATACCCTTGCATCTATCTCTGAGGCAAACGTTGACGTTTCCTTGTCTACAGTCATTTTCATCCTCACTCACCGACCACAGCCGCGAACCTGACGATTTCGAATGGATGCTCCGCCCTGTTCAACGCTCTGGGGAACGTTCTGGCGGATCCAGGCGACGGTATTCTTCTCACTAGGCCGTGCTACATCGCTTTCGGCTCAGGCTTTGGGCTGCTGGGCGGGTAAGTAGATGTCATATTCCCGTACTGGATCCATGTCAAGCTTCCATCATCTCGTGGCCCCAGCGATACAGATGCTCACGATGTGCCAGGATGACGCCCGTCTTCATATCCTCCAACAAGATCGACCAGTTCACGCCGGATATATTGCCTCAGTACGAAGCAGCCCTCAAGTCCGCCGAAGATCGCGGTATCAAAGTCAAAGTCCTCGTTCTCTGCAACCCACATAACCCGCTCGGCCGCTGTTACCCTCCCTCAACACTCACTGCCATCTTATCATTCTGCAACATGTACAAGATCCACCTCGTTGCAGACGAAGTCTACGCCATGTCTGTGTATTCTGAGAGTGACGCACCCTTCACCTCTGTACTGAGCCTCGACTGGCAAAAGTACATCGATCCTACGTACTTCCACCATGTCTATGGCATGAGCAAGGACTTTGCGTCTGGAGGGCTGCGGATTGGAAGTCTGTGGACGCTGAGTGCGGAGCTGCAGAGGGCCGTCACCGCGCTCGCGAACTTCCATCATTCTGGGACGGTGAACGCCCTGCTTGCGTGCAATATTCTTGAGGATAAGGCTTTCACGGCTTCTTTTCTAGCTAAGTCGAGACAGCGTATTGCAGAGGCCAGCTCGTTGGCACGAGACCTGCTAGATGATGCTGGTATACACTATACACCTGCGAATGCAGGGTTCTTCCTGTGGATCGATCTGGCGCCCTGGTTGAGGGAGGAAGATGGTGAAGATGAGTGGATAAGGGAAAGGAAGTTGATAGAGACACTGATCGGGGAGAAAGTTTTCATTGCAGGTGGGCAGATGCACAATGCCGAAGAGCCAGGACGGTTTCGCTTTGTGTTCACAAGAGAGCAGAAACTGGTCAGAGAGGGAGTGAACAGGTTGAAGAAGGTATGTGGAATTGTCGGACGACCCAAGGTCGCGCATAAGTAGGTGATGGTGATATTGGATTATGACTTGAATTTAGTCAAGCCTTGTTGATGCGAAGTGCCTTGGTGAGACACCCCTATCGAAAAGCGCATCAATCTCCTCGAACGACCTACCTTTTGTCTCGGGGTAGTTGAAAAAGGCGAAGACGTCTCCGCACAGCAGGATCGTGAAGAAGATGAAAGCAACCTTGCCTCCCATATTCGCCCGGTCGGGGTTGATCATGTACGGCAGCGAGAGCGACCAAACCGCGTTCGATGCACCGTTGACCATCGTTGCCATGGACTGCACCGCGCCACGAAGATGTGAGGTGGGTACCTCAGAGACCAGACTGTAGCCGGCAGAGCCGATGGAGGCTTGATACATGAAAGCCCAGAGTGCCATAAACCCGACTTGTGTGAGAACAACTTGGCGACCGGAGTTGACGAAAAGGGCTAGAATGGCGATGATGAGAAGCGAGATGGTACAGAACGCGAGTCCTAAAAAGAAGAGTAAGTGCTGACGAAACTTCGTTGAGTTCACACAGAATCAAGCGTACCTCCGAGGATTGTCCATCGTCGTCCAATACGCTCGACAGCCCACCACGAAGCCATGGTACCAAATGCCATGGCGCCTGCAATGCCAACGGTCGCGTCAAAGACCGAGGTACCTTCCATACCGGACAGCTGGAGGAAATATCCCATGTAGGCAACCACCCAAGAGACTCCTGAACTGGCCTGGAGGAAGAATACCGACAAGGAAATGGTCGTGCGGAGCCTGTTCTTCGTGTTGAAGCACTCTTTCACCGTAGCCAAGCCACTGGTCTCGCTAGGAGCTGCCGCCGTATTGTGCGCGAGCACATTTCTGATTTCTTCCATTTTCTCTTCAACATCCGTGTCGACGGGTTCTAGTCTCCGGATAGCCGATCGAGCCTCGTCTTCCTTGCCGCGCATGATGAGTCGCATCGGCGATTCGGAAACAAGCGGAAGTAGGAGTATTCCAACGCCTGCAAAACCCCACTGGACTGCATACATTATTCGGTAGGACATGGGGCTATCGATGGCTTGTGTCTCTCTCATAACGCCATACCCCAGGAGCTGTCCGATGACGATAGCGAAGTTGACAGCAGAAATCATGGCGCCACGGAGTGCTGGAGGCGCGACTTCAGAGCAGTAGATAGGTGCAACAGTGAGAAAGACACCGAGCGGGAGACCGGTGAGCAGCTTGCCGGCGAAGAACAGTGGGAGGTCTCCAGGAGAGAACCATTGCGCGAAGACACCAGCGATAGTCAACACTGGATATGAGTTAGTAGCAGACCATCAAGGTACAGAACAAGAGAAGCCTGAGTCCGGTTTGTTAACCCAGGAAGGGCAATGCAGGATCAAATGATACTCAGACTTGCTCTTATTACTGTGTAACAACTGGCTGAGCTCTTACCATATGCGCCCAAAATGCAGGCCCTCTGGCCTATTCGAGGAGCAGCCAATCCTGTGACAAAACCACCGAAGATAATGCCAAAGAGTGAGGCAGAAGTGAAGCCCATTTGCCATTCAGCGGATACAACGTAGTCACCTGCGTAGATGTATCCATAATCTTGACGGAACCGAGGAATAGAAAGTACAATCTAAGAGTCTCAGTCAGAGTCGCTGGAAAACGTTGCTAGTACTCACACTACCAGCCATACCATCGTAGCCCCACATGATGCAGATGAAAAGCATGTAACAACAACAAGCGATGGCCTTGGGAAACCTGCTGATGCTTTCGAGCGCCGACATCTTCTCGTCGACCTTTACATGTTGTCCCTTCGTGACATCAGCCTCCACATCGTCTACATGGAGGGTTCCGTGCTTGAGGTCACTCTTTTCCTCATCCATTTTGTTGTCGGCGTCGAGAGGTAGGAGTAAACCAAAAAAATGTAGACGCGACGAGTCGTGCGGTAAGATTTTGGCCGGGCCTCGCGTTGATGGGGGCTAAACGCACACAGGTATGAACATACGCGGGGAGCCCACCAATTTATACCGGGGATGCCACAAGGCCGTCTACCACCCTTGCGGTAGAGGACTGATCACGTACGGGGGAACTTAGCCGCTGGCTGGCGAATTGGTGGCGCCAGGAATCGCGTCCAGACGATGAAAGCCGCGACGAGCGTGCATGGTTGCTTGGATCAATAGTTGATCTGTCGGTTCATGCTTCGACCCCATGGGCAGAGAGCGGAGAAAACCCGTGATAGGCGCATGGACAGCGCGCCGAAGTCTCAGAGTCCACTTTGGGGCGCAGTGCCAATGTTTGGCAATTACTTACCTAGTCCCTGCACGCATGTACAGGGCGGCGCGGCCGAGGTAATGCCTCACCGCAACGACCTCGAGCCTGATGGGAAAGGAGCGTTCGCTTAAGACGGAAACTGCAGTACTTCACCAAGATTTTAGTACAACATGTTACCTCAGGAAAACAACACAGTAGCCGCGCTCTCAGTCTAGAGGGCCGCGTCACTCCCACGAGGATGGTTGACCCAAGTCAGAAATGCAAGAACAAGGAGAGTTACTGACGCAGTATCGGTCCGATACATAGATCCTGTCAACCCCAGATTCTGTGACTTTGTTTTGGCATGAGATATGCTGATCAATCCACGTGCGCGCAAAATCGCCTGGGCGCCTGCGGGGCTCCGGCCGGAGACCATACAGATGCTCGATGCAAGCGCGAGCAACAACCTGCTGTAGAGCACATTTCCTTCGCACGGCAGACGGCAATCCGTGTGCTAAGACGCGTACGGTGGAGCTATCGGGTGTGGTCGGCCCATCGAGACATCTAGATCATAACTTTGGTGTAAGAAACCCCGAGAATTAGCCACCATGTGGCCCTAGACGCTGTATTGAAGCTCTCGCGATGTTTACAGTTCGACTCGATGCCGGTGTTTGTGCCGTGGCAGTTGAGGAAATCGCCTCAAGAGTCTTTGGGTCTTCCCAACTAGCATGACTCGCTCTTCCTCTCCGCCAACCCAAGGCGCTAGCCACCCCTTCAACCAAGGCCGAATGTCAAGGATCTCGGAGTATCTTGAAAAAGATACTCCAGAACGTGAAGATTCTCCATTTTCTCCGCAAGCATGACCAATTCGTCGCTACATTGGCTCAACACGTGGATACCTCTCCACGGTAGCACACACGATGCCCATATCCGATGCCACCGTTGCCGACCCCGACGATTGAGTACTGTGCTACGACAACATTCATAAACGCCGCTCTCAGTGTTGCGCTCAAACATACCACTTCATATTCTCCATAGTGATTTCAGTTTGTGTCGTCTTCGTGTTATCGAAGCCGTTTCTTCCGCTATGGGTTCCGCACCGTTAGATACTCCAGACTTGGAACACCTGGTGCAGCAGATGACCGTTGCAGAGAAGGCTCTTCTGCTGGCTGGTTCGAGCTTTTGGGAAACAAATTCTATCGACAGGTTAGGGATACCGCGAATGAAAGTGTCTGACGGGCCCAATGGCGCAAGAGGCGAGAACTTTGAAAACGGTGTGACCAGCGCATGTTTCCCGGCATCTGTGTGTCTTGCAGCTACTTTCGATGAAGAACTCGCAGAGCAAGTCGGGAAAGCTCTCGGTCAGGAGACGAAGACGAAAGGAGCGAGAGTGCTGTGAGTGAAGTCAGCCTCCAGGTTCCTGGTTCTGATGCTAATCTACGTATTCAAGACTGGGTCCTACTGTTTGCCCACATCGTCACCCAACTGGCGGGCGTAACTTTGAATCGTTCTCAGAAGACCCTCTACTGGCTGGCCGTTTGGCGACACATTATATCAAAGGGCTTCAAAGTCAAGGTATTGGCGCTACCATCAAACACTATGCAGTCAACGAGCAAGAGAGCAACAGGTTTGGCATCGATGCCCGTGTGAGCGAGCGGGCGCTTCGAGAGATCTACCTCAAGCCGTTTGAGATTGCTATAAAGGTCAGCCTCATCCTCTTCGAAGCAACCGCATACATGCTTGTGCTTACTTTCTTGTCTAGAATGCCAATCCTTGGTCGGTTATGACAAGCTATAATCTCGTCAATGGAACACACGCGGATGCCAACCATTTCTTATTGACAGAAGTATTGCGGACCCAGTGGGGCTACAACGGCCATGTTATGAGCGATTGGGGAGGTACCAACTCGGTGGCTGACTCACTCAATGCCGGCCACGACCTAGAGATGCCTGGTCCCGCAGTGCACCGTACGGTGGACAACATCCAGAAAGCGCTTGACAGCGGAGCCCTCTCCGCCGACACCCTTGATCAGCGGGTCCTGGCCAACCTCAAGCTCCTTGAGCAATGCAACGTGTTCAACGACCCCACCATCCCGCCGGAAAAGGCTGTTGATCTTCCTGAACACAGAGCCTTGATTCGGAAAGTCGGAGCTGAGGGCGCGGTGCTGTTGAAGAACGATAACTCCATTCTGCCTCTAAATAAGGACACGACCCGCTCCATCGCCATGGTTGGACTGGCAAAAGATTTCCTCGGACACGGCGGTGGTTCTGCTGCAGTGAACGCTCATCGCAAGATCACAGCATATGAAGCCTTTGAAGACGCGGTCGGAGAACACGTAGAGCTAAGGTACGCCGAAGGTGCTCGAATCTGGAGAAATTTGCCTTCTATATCCGAAAGCGTAGTAAATCTTGATGGGAAGCCTGGGTTCTCTGTCAAATGCTGGGACGCCGACGACAAACCCCAACAAATGCGACAAGTTCCGTCATCTAGCTTTCGTTCCTTCGAGTCTGGTGGCCCATCTCGTGTGGTCATGTCCGGCACCTACACGCCCACAGTTAGTGGCAAGCACTATATCAGCTTCTCAACTATCGGAAACACCACGGCCTACATCAACGATGATGAAGTGTTCAAGTACGAGGGCAAGTCTGCCGACGTAATGGCCGTCCTCATGGGCGTTGCGAAGGAAGACCAGAAACGGTACAACTTTGTGGCTGGCAAGGAGTACATCATCCGCATCGAAGCCAGGACCGTAGGGGATGCCGAGAGTCCTCTATCATTCTTGTCCAGCAATATCATTGGGTTCAATTTTGGCCTTGTACACCAGGACCTTTTCGAGGCAGATCTGGTCTCAAAAGCAGTAGAAGCTGCTAAATCGTCCGATGTTGCGATGGTCTTTGTTGGCAACACACCAGCTTGGGAGACCGAGGGCTGCGACCGCGACGATATGAACTTGCCAAAGGACGGATCAATCGATAAGTTGATCTTCTCTGTGGCGGAAGCCAACCCCAAGACGATAGTCGTAAACTCCACAGGATCTCCCATCAGCATGCCATGGATACTCGATGTTGCCGCGGTCCTTCAAGCCTGGTTCCCTGGCCAAGAAGCGGGTCATGCCATCGCCGACGTTGTCTTTGGCGACGCTTGCCCTGGCGGTAAGCTTCCTGTCACATTTCCCATCCAGTTGTCCGATGCGCCTGCATACGGCAACTTCCCGGGTGATCTCAAAGCCAACCACGTCGAATACAAAGAAGGCATCTACATTGGCTACCGCCACTACGACAAGAGGCCGGAGACTATTCTCTTCCCCTTCGGCTTCGGACTATCGTATACCACGTTTCACGTGTCCAACGCATCGCTCTCGTCCAAGACGTTCTCACAAGGAGAGAATATCCACGTCACAGTCGATATCAAGAACACCGGCGACCGTGAGGGTAGAGAGACCATACAGGTATACGTTGGGGCGAATCAGAACGCGTCCATGGACCGACCCATGAAGGAACTCAAGGGCTACGCGAAGGCGCATCTTGCACCAGGACAAAAGAAGACAGTCAGCGTATTGCTGGACCAGGAAAGCTTCACATACTTTGATGAGGTCAGTAAGAAGTGGGTAGTGGAGGCGGGAAAGTACATGGTGTCGGTCGGTACATCGAGCAGAGATATTCAGGCGATGTTAGAGATCGAAGTGGAGTCGAGATTTGAATTCAAGCCTTGAGGTCTACATGGGTTTTTATTCGGGAGAAGCGCACTGTGTATTTTAATTTTGTAGAGTGATGCCACAACGGTGGCCGCAGAGACGGGCAGAAAACCGGTAGCATTGAGCGGCCTCATCGTATTTTAAGCTAAATTCAAGCAAGATCCGAAACTCCTGATTGGAGGTGTCAATTTCAGTATTGCGAGCGGCTGCATCCGGCTCTTCTCGCAGGCCAGCTGCTTCTTTGACTTCTAAACAAACGCTTGCTTCCTTTCTAATCAGTTCCCCCGGCAACTTGGCACTAAGTACTCACATCGCATTCAGGCCACTCTGAAGTTTATTGGGACGGTGTACCCCTCCATCGATCATGGTCTCCTGCTCTTGGAGATTCGATCACAATTGGAACTGTTTCGTTCACGGGAGGGAGGCACGCGTGCAAAGAGAGGGAAGGCGGGCATGCAACGTCACTTTCAGAACGTGAAAGGTTGCTGTTTCCCAGTAGTTTGATACTGTGACTGCCATCACGCACGAGCTTATGATTTGTTAATCTCCTTTATCCTCCCCTCTATCCGCGGCGCAATAGCCCTCGTCCAGTCGACCCTCAACTCCTCCTTGCCCACCTCATCCGCACACTTCGGCGGGCTTTTCAGTCCTGCTAGTCTCCACCACTTCCGCATAGCTCTCCTCAGCAACGCCAATTCATGCTCGTTGAACCGAATCAATTCACTGTCGTCGTACTCGTAGTCTTCGTCGTCAGTATCGGGATCCTCCTGTGCGCCGTCGTGATGCTTTTGTGATGGTGGTATGGCGATGTTAGAACGCGTTGTGGGACTTGTAGGTGAGGCGGCCGGGTCATGGAACGTATGTTTGCGTTGAAGGGAAAGCTGGACCTTGGAGAATTTATCGGTCATGTCGGGCGCCCAGTTCTTCCATTTCCCGAGGACCTTTAGTGACATGAAGTATTGTCGGAGGATGGTGGAGATGAGCACGCCGTTTTCTTCGCTTACTATTTCCTTCGCCGTGCCGCCTTCTTCTTCAATGAGAAGCGAGGTGTAGCCATCTAGAAGGTCCATAAGTGAAAAATCTCAATGTATAGATGGACTCCTTACCTTTTCCACGGCCCATGTAGCCTCGGGTGACAAGCTTGTATTCTTTCTCCTCGTCCAACGGATCCTCCCCAATCTGGACACTGGATACCCGCTTCATCGGTGGCTGAGAGTAATCCACCTCGAAGAAGATGTTTGACACTTGTGGGAAGCGTCCTTCAAGCGCAGGATAATTGGACACGCCGTTTTCTAATGCTTCACGTATTTGTTTTCCGGTGACCAGCATCACAACTACGGGATCTTCGAACGGGAAGCAGTTGACTATGTCGCGGACCCTCAGAACGCCCGGTGGGTAAATTTGATCGCCGCGAATAGTGCCAGCGGCCATAATACAGCAGTCTCCCTCGTAATAGAATCGCATGAGATCGCAAACAAAGTTGCCGAGGTTTGACTCCTTTGTGCGGACGGTGGTGAAGCGGGCGTCCAGAGGGGCGGCAGTGTAGCCTATCGGCTTGTCCAGCTTCTCGTTCAACTTCTTCGTCAGACCCTCCACTAGTTTCATGGCTTCTTGATCCTGCGGTATACTGCTGACAACGTCTCTTCTTGTAATCTTGAAGTCCCAACCCTGGCCGCTTGACTTCTTCCATGCCTCGATGTGGGAGAGCTGTTTGAAATCTGTGCCGGACCGCAAGACGTGCGTCCCGTTGATAACGCTGTGAGCGTAGTAGTGGTCATGTCCACCGAGGATGATGTCAATCAAGCCCCCTCCAGTCTTTTCGGCAAGCTTGTTGTCGTTCGGCTCTCTCTGGTGGGACACTGCCACGATTATCTGCGCGCCCTGCTGCTTCAGGTTTGGGATCAGCTCCTTTGCCGTCGCACTTGCGCTCTTGTATATTATGTTCGGCGGTAGCGAGTTGATGGTATCTAGCCATTCCCGCTCTGCCAGACCGATGACGCCAATTTTGATGCCGTTCGAGGATGTGAGCATAACCGTCTTCTTCGCGTTACCAAGAGGCACATCGTTTCCGAGGGCAGGGTCGATAACATTCGCGAGTAGCCAGGGAAATTTGCATTGTTCGGAAAGGTGCATGTACTGTTTCACGCCGAAGTCGAGATCGTGGTTCTGCTCCTGTTAGCTTCTATCATCACGATCTGCAAGCATGCTCCATACCCCGACACAGGCCACATCCGTTCCGATTCCATTTAGTACAGGTACCATGTGGCTTCCTGATCGCACAAGTTAGTCGCGGACTCAGTATAAACCCTCGACTTCGGACACACCCTTCGTCACACTGCTCTCCAAACTCGGGTTGAAGGCATCTCCAGAGAAAAAGGTAACCAGCTTCGGCTGGTCTTTGAACTTCTCATCCTCCCGGTAATAATTGACCAGCGCTTGGAATCTTCCTACGCCTCCAACAGGCTCAGCGGATCCAGCTTCGACGTGGTAAACATCGTTGTAGTGTAGGAAACGTAGATCTGGCGGGGCGGGCGACGCGGGACTTGGGGCGAACACAGTCTGCTCGTCAGCGGGGATGTTCTTCGGTGCCATCGGCTCAATTGCAGCAGGAGGAACGCTTGGGATCGCGGGAAGCTGTGGAAAGGAGAATAAAACGGGAAACGACTGGATCACTGCGCGTATATTGTCTAGGTCGCGTGTGCAGAGCGGGCGGTGAATCTCACGTGCAGCAGCTTGGCGGGGAGCTGAATCCAGGGTCCAGCTGCAGCTCCGAAACGCAGCCAATGGTAAGCACTGATCAGCAGAGGGCACGAAAGAGGATACACCTTGGTGTGCTGACCGCCTTCATTCCATCCTCCATGTTCATACAGCACAACGCCTCGCATGGTTGAGTAGTGAGCACTGGATTCGACGCTATGCATCATCTATGCGACATAGTCGGAAGGCGTCGTTCCATCGCCAACATCCTATCTTTCCAAAGCCATCCCCTAATATCACACCAATGTTCATCAATCGCAACGCCGTCCGGCCCCTCAACGACAAGGCCGAACGCCGCCATCCCAAGACACCCAACCCAGAGACCCAAAGCAGACCCAAATCAATCAGGAAGAGCATGCCAGCCATCCCATAATCCCAACTTAGCCTTGCCCTTACCCTTTGGACCCGACCTAGACCCATGTGCTGGACCCGACTCTGAACGCCTTGAACTCCGTCCTAATTCCTATTGTCGACTGCTTCCTGGACGCCCACCCTTGCCAGTCTTCGCCTTTGCGTGTGCCTCTTTGCACTCATCGCTACAGAACCACTTGGTCCTACCCGACGGGGCTCTATCAAGGTTCACGCATGGCAAATGGAACCACTCGCGTGGACAAGAATCGTTGTCACACGCGATCATGTTTCCGAAGGATACTTGGTTGCAGTAGCAGTAACGCGGCTCATCGCCATCTTCGTCTGATTCTGCTTCCTGGGACTGTTCCTCAGGGACAATGGAACTCGCCCTGGATGACTGCGGATTCGATTTTGGATCCGGTACTGCTTCCAGTCCAGGGGAGTGCATCGTCGCGCTATTAGTCGCCGTGGTCTTCTTGTACCCGCGTTTAGACACAATTCCCGTTGTCGTGCTGTTGTTCTCTGACGAGGTATTCGAGTTGCCGTTTCCATTGTTGGCTTTGCGCGTGCTTCTGCTGCGAGCCATAGGAATCTCAGGAAAAGTTCCAACGATGGGAGTTGCTGTCTTAGATGCGCGACCCGCACGGACATTCACGGGTGCTGGTGCTGGTATGTCGATTTCCATGCTTTCGGGCTCCTGCGGCTCCAGATCTTCGTGCTTCAGGGCCGTGGCAGTAGCTATAGTCTCAAAGGGAGGGAGTTCTGTGGTATCCTTGGGTGTCGATGCTCGTTTGGTGGGAGCGTTATCGCGATTGATATTGGCCGTTTGTTCGAGTTCGGTGATGGCGTTGCTATTTGTGGACTGCTGCACAGAGTGAGACGATGAAGGCCGACGAGCAACGGGCGGCTCAGGGGCCGCAGATGCGACTGAGTTCGCGATAGAGTTCTTGCGCGCCCGTGCGGCTGTTGGGCGTTCTGGATTTGCAGCGTTTCCTCTTGGTAACGAGAAGTTGCCAACAAGTGGCGAGGAGGCAGGCTGAGGTGAATATGTGGGTAGCGCGTGTTTGCGCTGCGCCGGCGCTGGGGGTGCCCGAGGCTTCCGCTTGCTTGTCCCGCCCTCGACGCTTGGTGTTGCTCGCGGGCTCGTCCCGCTCCGCCCGCCGGCTCCCGCGGCAGCCTTGAGCGCGCCACTCAGCGATCGTTCCATGGGCGGAGCTGCTGCCACTGCTGCCGCCAGCGCTTTCTCGGTCTTTTTCCTCTTGCCCTGCGACGGGGCGCCGTTGCTTGTGATTCCAAGGCCCACAGCGCGACTGTCGTTCCCAGCCGCCTCTGCAACCATGGCTTTGCGCTTGTGCGGTTTCTTTGTGGGCCGGTCGTCGAAGTCGGAGTCGACATGCTGGTGTCGGCTGCGCTTGTTCGCAAGCATGGCTTCACGTCGAGCTTCGCTTTTGGCTGCTATGGAGTCAACATCGTGCATGTGCTGAGCAGCGGCGGCCAGATTGTTGGCCGATGCCACTTCTCTTCGCTGCCGCTCATGCGCATTGCCTTTCTTCTTTTCCTCCTTGTCCGCGTATGCCCAGTGTGAAAGACTGCCGTAGCGCGCCTCCTCGCTTACCTCCTCATCGAGGTGTGCGTATGAATTGTTCATACGCGCGAGGCCCTTGTCCTTTGTTGCTTTGGCGCCACCGAGGACCACCAACTTCTCATCGAGCGCAGGTAGGATGTTTACGATATGCATGCGAAGTCGGCAGAAAGCCTGGCGCTTCTTGAGGTTGGCCTGCTCTCTCGGCGAAAGCGTATCGGGGTCGATCGCGGCGAGCTGCTGCCAGAGGATGGCCGGGTCTTGCATCGTACCGCCATTGGCGCCAGTGCCAGAGCCGTTCTCGACCACTACGGAGTTGTGGGAGCTTTCGAGGCGCTCTGCCCTGGTGGGCACAGGCATCTGGTCGATTTCGTCAAACATGAGCCCCAGACTGCGTTCCGGGTCATGGATTTTCGCTTCGACTTCTTTGAACATGGAAAAGTGACGTATAAGTTCTTTCGGGAAGGCGTCTACTGCCTGCGAGAAGTGTGTGAGTGCGGGACAGAAGCCGCCGGCGTTGTTGGCCGCTTCGGGCGTCTGCTCCATGCCGCCGGAGCGCCCTCCAAAGTTGCGCGCATAGTAGTTGGTCGGCCGGACGGTGGTGCGTCCCTGTCGCGTCGGGCGGCGATCGGAAGCTGTAGAAGGGCCAGCAGCACGGGATCCTGCGGCCGGAGGCATCGTGGGAGCAGTGAGCCGCGCGCGCAGCGGGAAAGGTGGTGCGGAAACGGTCCTGCGAGGCGAATTTACAGATAGCGGGCGCAGTTAGAGTATGACAGCTGTAGAAATGATGTGGAATCACATTTCAAGCGACGAGCAGGCGGTTGCATGCGCACACGACGAGTTTGTGTGGTGAAGCGTGGGCGACGAGCTGGCCGTCTCCTCTCCAGGGTTTCGGCTCGGCCCTGGCGGTGACGGGTGGCAGAATCTAACCCGCCGCAGCAAGCGCGTCATCGGCTCGCTGAGGATGGCCCGAAACCTCCACCCCAAGCCAGCTGGACTTGCTATCAATTATGATCACTCAGCACGCAAAGCTCACTCCCCTGATGTTCCATTCTAGCCCTTTCATACAAGCAGTCCCTCCTTCGAACATCTCTGAACCTGCTCGTCACTTCTTCGCTTTTGCGTGGGCCGGTCTCGATAGTCGACCCTTGGCTTACTTGAGGAACCACAGGTATATATTTCTGAACGTGACACTGTAATCGACGGATTTCATGTTCCCGCGAGAGCCGAGTATACTCAGACCAGGTTGACCCGCTGTTCGATAACAATGCGTCTTGGACGAACCTTACACGCGTCTCAGCCATGCGGGGACGGTGACTTGTTCACTCGGTGGGATCGGGCTCATTTTATCATTGCAATATCGATATCACGGTAGAGGTGGTCTAGACATTCCGTCTACCAGAGATTCACGCATTGATTTCGGCCACTTCTGTGCAACATATGTTCACTCTTCAATGGTGTCCATGCTCCAAAATATCAAGTCTGTGGCTTCGACTTATTTTGGAGAGGACATCTGTGCAAGGAAGCATGGAATCAAGTCTCATGCGCGAGATGTTAAAATTTGCAAGTAGATTCGTATTAATCTATTGTTTTTCGCATTGTCTTGCGCATTGCCTTGGACTACTGGTGACCATAGTTTGGTATACTGCAGATTCATAGAGCGACGAAAAGCCTCATTTAAGTTGGCTTGTGCTAGTTGAATACGTTGAACGAGCAAAGAGAAAGAAGGAACAAAACGCCATTTGTATTTAAGCTCCAATGGACAATACCGTGAAATATGAAAGGTCCACAGCCGATAAATTCGGTAGCAATGTCAAATGAGCTTGAAGTACAATGTCAGTAAGATCTTCTAGCGAAGAGAGACGGATTGAACTTACCATAGCTCGCAGAAGGGACTCGTGGCTCCCTAATCTGCGTCTGGCCATGCCCATTGCACGCCATCAGCCATTTCGGTGTCTTCAATTTTCATGAAGAGATCTTCACTCTTGGGCTTGGACGGGATGACGACTTGGGGATGAATAAATTTTCGAGTGGACGTCTTGATGCGAACCAGAGCTTCATCTTTCGAGCTGGTAAGCCGCTCCATCAGAACCTGTTTCTCGTCATCCTCCTTGGCCACCGGTTTGGCCAGGACCATAGCAGGAACGACATCTAGGCGTTGGTCCAAGTGTTTGCCTTCACCATCAACCCATTTGGCCAGACCAGGAGAAGCGATAAGAGCTACCCTGCCTTTCTCAACTTCGATGCTCTCCGCGATGCTATCAAGATGGGGCTGTTCTTTGTCGTACGTGTCTCCGATATCAGGGTAGACGACCTGTATGCGGCAACGCTGGAGGAATATATGAAGAGCCAGCGAGAACGCCTTGTCCACGATGGCGTCGACACGCGAAAAGTTTGTGCCCGGCGATACGCGGATGAGGTATCCTTCGATGATGTCCTTGACCTTGGAGCGGACGCGTCGGATGTTCGCTTCCAGCTGCAAACACTTCCCCTGAATCTTACCCGTAGCGATTGCTTCTTCTCCCACACGCTGCACGAGTTGCTCCATGCTAATCACTCGCCATTTCTCAGAAGATGTAGTGGGTGAAGGCCACCGGTGTTGATGATCTTCACCGAACAAAACAGAAAAGCCGTTTACCAGGTCAATAGGTCCGAACATGTAGACTGGACAAGATCTTGTTAGCCAAAGCATAGATGGTTGACGAAAGTTGGTGACAGTCCTTATAGGGATTGCAAAAAAGCCGACTATACAAGATGGACCAAACAAATGCTTCGATAATAGGCCTTATGCAGACGGCGGAGTTTAGATCTTCTCGCTTCACTCGGCCGACCAGAAGACTCTGCGTAACAGCATCAATGCGGATCAAGGATTCGGGGTCTTTCAACTGAATTTGTCGACTTAAAGCTTTGATAGCCTTTGCAAGCTGACGGAATTCGGTTGCGAACATGGCATCGGGCACTGCGTCGATTTTGTCGACATTGCAAAGCAATTTTTGCTGAAGAGATAGCACTTTTGCATCAAGCGCTTCGACAAGAGACCTGTTAGATGTAGAGGTTGCGGCATCGTTCATAAGAGGTTGAAGCGTTGCGTCGATCGTTTCACGGTCGTGATCATCGTACCTCGTGTTGTTGCTGGAAGCATAGGGTCTGAGCAGATGCTCGACAATATGGCTATAACGGTCGCTGGCATACTGGTGGTCTTCATTCATTTCTTTGTGCCAGCGTTTTAGCTGTTCATACTTGGCTGTCAAGGTATCCGTCTCCTTCTTAAGTTGCTTGTTCTCTTCTTGAAGCTCGCAGTTCCCAGCTTCCAGTTTCACGGTCATCGTTTTGTCCTCCTCAGCATTGTCAAGTGCAGTTTGGCGACTCCGTCTCGTGTTGTCTAGCTCTATGGCGAGGGTTTTTCGACTTTTCGACATGTCTTCTTGCCAAGTGGACTGGCACGATGCTTGACTGACATTGCGTGGATTATTTCGAGCGTGTGAACCACGAAGGACAGTTAAAGCACCATTTCGCGTAGTGTGCCGTAGGTTCGGGGTCGCGGCTCCAGTAGCGGCAGGATGCGTATCAGCATTGCTTCTAGTACTAGACCGCAGCTCCATGTTCACGGAACTAGCAAGTGCATCCGAGGGACCAGGGTCGCTGACTCTGTTGATAATCGATCCGAACTGACAAGTCGCCAGTGTGATTCATATTAGGTATCTTCGAGTTTCGGAACTTACTGTCTGGAACATTGACTTCTGGTGCTCAGCTGTCTGATTGTGAGCAAGGTTGCGAATTATTAAGAGATGCTGCAGTTCAGAAAAGTGGTGAAGAGTTAAGGAAGCTTGTGGGGCAAGAAATACCGGTCACTGGCGTGAGACAGAGAGCTTGCTGCATTCACTAGTCCAGCCGTTAGCGAGGAAGCTCAAAGTGAGAGTGAGAAAAGCATTCCCACCTTCACTAAATCTACAACGAAAACAAAGCGAGGTAACTCCTTCACAAGTAACTAGCGCAAGCTACGCAAGTGTATCTATAAGTAGGGCGATACCTCGCTCATCTTTTCACCACCAATACTCCTTTAACTTCCACACCACACTTCTTTTTACCTGCATCCGAGTCACCGAGAAGCTAAGTATTTAGCAGCCATGGCAGAACATGGATTGGTCATTGGTCGGTATTGTCTATGTTTGTGCTTCTTAAACCTCGTCTGACTGTTGTAGGTGTCGACCTGGGGACCACATACACCAGTGTCAGCTACTACGACACGTCCAGAACGGGCAATATCGAGGATCGCATCCAGATCGTCTCAAATTGGCCAGCGGTCCATACCATGATTGGGACTAAAGAAGACACTCACGGAGATCACTTATCTTGGAGGCGGCTTAAAATGGGGAGGCGCAATCCCTCCCAACATTCAGCGTCACATGTGGACCAAGCTGGAGCTTGATGCTCCCAGGACTGGTGAAGCTGCGAAGATCTGCCAGGAACTGCTTGGATCCGGATATGGAAGCGTTGCAGGCGTGAAGCGTCCTGTCGACATCATCGCCGATTTCCTTGCTCAGGTTCTGGAACACTTGATCAAAAATCTCAATGTGCACTACACAGAGACGCTGTGGCAGTCATTCCCACTTACTCTGGTTGTCACATATCCAGCCGTATGGAGCGATTTGGCAAAAGCCCTAACCCTGCAAGCTTTCTCTCAGGCTGGCTTCAACGAAAAGAATCTAAGGATGCCAAGGAAGACGATCACTGCAACTGAGCCTGAGGCTGCAGCACTCTACACAATCATGTGTATACGCGGGACGGCCCAAGACAAGCAGCTTGCAGTAGACGATGGATTCGTCGTGTGTGACATGGGTGGAGGCACAGTAGACCTCATTTCCTACAAGGTAGCCGGAGTTGATCCCACCGTTCTCGAAGAGGCAACAATTGGAACTGGAGACCAATGTGGTGGCAGCTTTGTAGAGAGATCTTTCCTCAGGTGGCTCGAGGAAAAGCTGGGCGAGAAGGACTTCCGAGAAGTTGCCGGAGGTCCTGCAGCAGACATCTCCCGCACCTCGCTCCCAGCCAGATTGAGCAAGATGATGCAGGAATTCACGGGTTGTGCGAAATCTGGATTCCATGGCAGCGATACCGAAGACTATGAGCTGAGGCTGCCGGCACCACTGAACGCCATCGTGTGTGACACGAGCCACAGCATTGAAAATGGCGAGATCTTGATCACATCGTAAGTTTGCTTGCAGCAGAGACTCATTACATTAGATTGGATGTTTCTCACTGATGTGAAACAGAGAGGACCTCAAAGAGATGTTCAGCTACTCACTCCAGAAAATAGGAGAGCTTCTTCTCGCGCAAATCAAAGCTGCAGGCCAGAAGGGACAGGTTAAGGTCAGAGTAAGTACGGATGCGAGCTTTTTTTTGCAACTGCTAATGTTGGCATAGTTTGCCTTCCTTGTCGGTGGGTTTGCCGAATCGCAATACATACAGATGGAGCTACAGAAGCTTGTGATTAATCATGGCGTTCATATCATCAAGCCACTCCATGCGTACGCTGTTCCTCATTGTCTGATGGATATCGCTAACTTATGGATAGATGGTCGGCTATTGCGAGAGGTGCAGCTGCGAAAGGCCTCGAACAAGGTGGCGCGACTCCAATCAAAGATCGAAAATGCCGCCGTCACTATGGAACCTCATGCTATATGCCCTTCCAAGCCAGGAAAACATCGCGAGCAAGAGTCCTACATCTGCTAGTACACAGGAAAATAGAAGGCCAAAGCCCAGATGAGCTGGTTGATCAGCGAAGGGCAAGACCTTCCTACTGCAGCAAAGGTGCACGGCAAGGTTTCTATGCATAGTAACTTCTGGCCTGGTGAGAAAAGGCATGCTTCTCCGCTACTGCTGGCCGCGGACATAGACAAGGCTCCCCGCCGCTCGCATGTGATTGTGAGTTCGCTGTCTGAATCAAATCGACACTCACTGATATCCAGCAGGCGGTCTATGAGGTTGCTCGGCTCCGGGTCAATCTGGAGCAAGTTCCTCAGCGGGCGTTCCGAAAGCAGAACAACTCCAAGAAACCTTACTATGAGTTACATTACGAAATCCATATCAGCGTTCAATCGGGCCTCGAATTTTCCTTATGGGTTGATGGCAAACGATACGGCGCGGTTGCGGCGGAGTATGCTTGAATGCACTCGATGCATACGCAGTATAATCGGCAAGTACTGCTCAGCTCCATTGAGCTGGTCAACCAGTCAAGACGCGTCCCATTTCATTCTACAGAAATTATTGGCATTTGCACCCCGAATGCGGACTTTGGTGAGCCGTTCTACTTTAAGGCACTTTTGAGGCTCTCTGGTATCCAGCCAGTGTGAGATACTCCTTTCTACATGTACACCCACTTCGGACATGTGGAAGGGACTCTGGCCTAAATCATCAATTAGGACTTTGACAAATAGAAAATCTCCAACACGTCCCTTCTCATAGTAATTTATTTGTCAACTTGAAGTCCTCCGTTGATAAACTCCAGCGCGCGAGTTAGCCACGAGGAACACGATCGCTACAAACCCTCGGAGCCTGGGGGATCCCGTCTCACTCCTCCAACCCAGGAGCCAATCACAACCGCTCTACATCACATGATCGAAACTTCATGCACGTCATCCGCACCGCTAACCCCATCCTCACGGTGGCGCGCGCCCCGCCCAAAACTCTATCCGCAGCGCAGCACGCCCATCTCACGCGTATGCAGGCCTGCATCGGACTCCCCCATTGTTTCCCATCCGATCCGCGGCTCAACCACGGGAGGCAAGGCGCACGCGCGCCCCGAGCCCGCACCGGTTTACTCACAGCCCCTCTTGTCCGAAGCGCTTGCGCTGCCGCGCGTCCGTCGTCGGTCGGCGAATTTACCGCACGGACCTTCACATGCATGATCGGACGACAGGGTTTGGCGGCCCTGGGCGAGGCTCCGGCGGCGGGGAGGTTGAGCCAAGAGGGCTGGCCATGGGCTGAGATGGGCGCGGCTGTCAGGTCAGGTCAGCCCGCGCGATGTTTGGTGGCGGCTCGGTCGTCAGCGGCACGCCAATGCACGGCAAGGCAAAACGAGGCGCTATGCGCTGCTGAATGATCGCCATGTAGACTCACGGTGCAAGAAGTGCATGTACAATAATCAATTGATAGAGACATAGAACTGGACTAAACTATGGTACAAAGTTGGGCGCCGGGTCCAATGCAAGCCTCTATACAACTGCAAGATAGACGTTTGAAGCTCTGCGTTGCTGCCGAAATAGCAAGTGCAGGCATACGTTGTACTCCGGACTCCTTTTAGCAAACCCGACCCGTTGTCGAGTGGTTTTCCACCTTGTACTCCGAACTGACAACGCCCACCGGGAGAAGAACTGGGCCAACCGGCAAAAAATAACAGTGAAATCCGCATCCGTGGCCTAGACAGCATGTCTGTTGAATGACCCTGGAACTAAAGCGCCGAACATCTGACAAAGACCGTACAAGGAAACAAGTTGGTCTGAAGCAGCATGCTGCGGATTCGTGAATGTGTAGAGGCCACATCAAGGGCCGGAAGTAGGTTGGCTCGGCAAACCTGTGTATGGATCCCAGTGCTCCTCTGCGCGCATTTCCGGGTACTGCGACAGGTTTGGCTGAGGCATTGATTGCGGGATTGCCTGCGGGATGTTTCCGAAATTAAGATGGCTCGAATACTGCGCCATACTGTACGGCCTAGGCTCAGTCGAAGGACGGATCTGGTTATATGGCGAATTTGAGAGGTAATGTGCGGTATAGTTCGTTTGGGGAGGTGCCGCGTAGGATGTCGCATAGCTTGTCTGGGGTAGTGATGAGTACGTAGGAGCGTAGCTCGCCTGGGAAAGTGCTGGCGCAAAGCTGCTTGACGGAAAGCTCGGCTGTGGAGTTGGAGTGTAGGACGAGGTGAAGGCCGGCTGTGGGGCAGGAGCAGGAGCATGGTCAACGTAGGACTCCTTGCGATCTTCTGTGTCTGCGCGATAACGCTTGGCCGGCGGAGCTTCGTCTTCGTAGAACGAACTGCTAGATCTTCCCGGAACATTAGATTGGGATGGGGGCATGCCGTCAGCGAAGTATGAGCGCTTCTGTCCTGCAAATGCCCTTGGCTCTTTGCGGAGGCGCAGCCGGACGCCCTGATCTGAGAAGGCTCTGGAGAGGTAGGTTGATTCCTCCAAGCCTTGGAAGTCCTTGGGAGCCATGACCTTGAACGGTTGAGTCGCGATGCTGCCGAGAAAGACTGCTGCATGTTCGGATGTCTGAAGGTCGTACAAGCTAAAGTGAAGTCGGAAGGTGCCAGTCAGTTTGACCGAGATATCCCCAAAGATGAAGAAGGCGCCATCCTTGTTATCGACGTCCTTGAGGCGGTGCAGCGAGCTGCAAAGTCCGCCATAGAGGTTGCTGGCACCATGGTCTCCACAGCGCTCGTCTCGGTCAGCTTTCCAAAGGTCCGCAACCATAAACAGGTAGGGACTTTGTAGGAAGTGCTGACTGGCCTCTACGTCACTGTTAACTTTGAGCTGCACGATGGGCGGAGGATCCACGGGTTTGCGGCCTTTCTCTTTGCCTGAGCTCAAGACGAGGGCCTCCTTAGGTTCTTGTCGAATTACCAATGTGATGTCTGGGTTGCGGAAGACTCCCTTCGAGTCTGTCATGATGTTATCAGACAGCTTGCCTCTGATACCACGGGAAGGAGCGCCGTGGAAATGGATGCCGCTATGTTGTGTCGAGCTGTACATAGCAGAGTATTGGCTTGGGTGCAGGTACAATTCCATGGCTTGGTACTGAATGTGGAGGAAGGGGATGTGGTTATTAAGGGGGATTGTGCGGTGGAACCAGACGAGTCCTGCCGCGAAGTGGCGACTGCTGCAGCGTTCTGAGCAACGATGGGAACAAAAGTGGGCGCGTTGAGAGGAAGGAGCCCCCTAAACATCCACCCCAACAAGATCAAGAACTGTTTGAACGAATACCAGCGTTACCATTACTCCAGATTGTGAAACAGACCGGAACGCCCCCACAGTTGTGCTGCAAGTGCTGCGAGCTGTTCTGGAACAGCTATCGGAAGTTGAGGCTAGGACCAGCAAGTCGCGACGCCGTGCCCGTTGCGCTCTCGATATTGCTATTCAGCAAGCCGTAAGAGGCCCGCGGGCGGCGCCAATCCCTGGTGAGGTTCACGGGCTGTGACTCTTCTGCGCCTGGTCACGTCCCCGCGCGTGTGGCCTGCACCCTCAAGGCGAGCAACCGCACAGTCCGAGGCTCTTTGAACGAAAAAAGGATTTCTTTCTTGGGCTCGCTCGTCAGCGCGTCGGCATAGTCAACTGGGTCGCTTCCTCAGTGGCCGTAGGAACCGCGGTAGGAGTGGGATGAACAAAGACAGCCGTGGGCCAGTACCGATGTTTGCTTCGACTTCTTCGTGGTCAGACGCGACGGTGCACTGCAGGTCGCGGGCGCGAGGGAGGCAGCCGTCCGGGGTGGGTGAAGATGATAGCGGGCTTGACCACAACGGTGGAGGTCGAAGATGCGGCTTAGTGGGCTTCTCGGAGGGTGTCTGCGAACGCTCCTGCACCGGTGTCTCCGCAATCGTTCTGTGGCCTAGCCGCAGATCTGGTTCGCCGTTGACTGTCCCGCTAGGAGGCGTCGCTGCCAGATGGGCACTAGATGGCGGAGCCGCGCGACGGGCTGCTGTGAAGTGCTCTCTAGCGTAGCCAGTAGGGTTCCGGAGCTTGGTATATCTCGCCCAAGCCGACGCTGGTCACGCAAGTCGGTCGACGTCCCGGCTCGCACTCTTTTTCTCACGATGCCGCAGCCGCTCTGGGGTTGGTGTTGAGGCTGAGGCGTGCCTTCTCTTTTCTGGTCAGAACTGTCAGGCAGGGACAGGGCAGGAACGACAGTCTGATGCTGCATCAGCACAACGAGCGACGGCAAGACCGAGTCTCGACTCCGGACGGTACACTGTAAGCTTCACGGCGCCAGAAGAGAGGCAGCGGCACGGATCAGTCTGCCTCTGCTGGGCGAAGGCGACGGGCTTCACGCAGCACTCACGGCCTCCCCAGCCTGAAGAGGAGCAAGGCAACGGGCCGCTGTCACATTTTCCCTCCGCGAGGTCACCCCTGCAGCCCTTTCGCAGCGGCCGGTGCTGCACAGCAATCGGCGGCGGCAGCATGGGGGTCCAAGGGCCGTTCAGTCGTGCGTCAATGCCATGGCATTCCCAGGTCGAGGGGTGGTATGGGCGCCGCGCAGGGTTTGGGGTACCCGGGACGCCTGCACTACAGCCAAACAGCACGCCGACTTTAGCCATTGCAACTACTCTACGTGAGAGGCCGTATATAACTGCCGCCGGCGCCCAATATCTCAGCTCCTCCTCCGCCCACGCGCTCGCTGCCGGTTCCTCTGACCCGTGGCCTCGAGCCACAAGAGACCCGGCGACGAGAGGCTGCTCCAACGCATCTGCGGCCACCAGTCACCGCCGTCCCAGGTGTTACGGGACATGGCCACGCACATGGCGCCTGGCACGCAGGCCGCCGCTGCGAGTGCCTCGACACTCGACGCAGCGAGCATTGACAGCCGCCGGCGAGCCAATGGCGCTGGCTGCATCGCCAGTGCATACCTACGTCGCACTGCAGGACACGGCTCGCCAGCTGATGGGGCGCGCCCGGTAACAGTGCTCTGGTGGCCCTTGAGCACCGAGCCTTCGTGGGCGCTATGCCTGGCGGTGCCCGGGAGAGGCCCGCGTCGTGGTGAGGGCGCCAGCGGACGGTGCTGGCGGCAAAATGCACACAATGCTGCGATGGATCACGCCGTGGGATGTGCGGTGAGGTGCGATGTGGGAGGAGATCGCTGTCCAGATTGCCTGCCAGGTTGGAACGGGGCGCGCTACGCTCCACGCACCTTGGGAATTCTACGATGTTGCACAACAACCGGCCGCCCCATTCGCTGCCCGTTTAGCCAACAGATCGAAATCCTGCGACGCCGCTCGCGGGCTCCATAAGTCTGATAGCGACAGCGCAATATAGCCGGCATCGCCTTAGCACTCCTACGCCCCAGCTCTCCCACTCAGCCTCCAGCGCGCAGCGCTTGGGTCACGACACCGCCGTCTAACCGACTGCGACAACCCCTTCAGTCCCGTGCCTCGTCGGTACGTCCAGCAGAGGACAGCTCGCTTCCAGCCTCCCACTTATATTCCTCCGCTCTCAGCTTGAGAGCTGGCCCGCTCGCCGTACCTGCAGATATGACTGCATATGCCACTGTTGGCATCCCCACTCGCACGGCCCAAATGGCAAGCCTCCATATGGACTTAATCAACACTGGGCGCATGTCAAGGACACCGCCACCCTTCCGCTGTGCCTCGACCTGAGACAGCGCACTTTGTCCGCCGCGGGTTTCCACAGCGCGACCTGGCCGATCTGGAATTGCTTCCGCTTATGCCTGAACGGTCCTCACTCTCCAGGAAGAATGTACCATTTGTTCCTTGATATCAGGTCGCCTCAGGATATCGCAGCTTCCTTGATTGTCTCGGCCAGAAAACTACGAGCGTTGTCGTCTGCAACGCCACTATAGATCCCGAGCATCGTAGGGCGATTGTTCGTGACAATGACATCGCTGAACATCTCCAATAAAAACGGGATCAGTGCGGTAGAACCTTAATGTTCCGGCACTTTCCCACCTTCTGCATGCTTACGGGCATCATTACTCGTCTCCAATACTGGTCTACCACTACTAAAGGTGATCTCACGGGTGTGCTCACTGGACATTAAAGTTATGCTCAAAGCGTCAAATAAGCGTATCCTGGTTTACGATGCATCAAGGCTTCAGCCAATACTCTCGTGCGGGCGAGTATATTGCAAGTTCTCGGTCGGCGCAAAGTGCGGGCCGTTCTCTTAAGCACCGGATGACGAGGTAATGTTGCGGTGTTTCTGCACGTTGGGTTGCAACCATGTGCATCGCCGTTCACGGTGCCTGGCTACGCTCATGTGGTCTGGCGTGGCGATGCGTTTCGGAGAATTCGCAAACCTGGCACTTGGTCCTCGCGAAGCCAGGTCGTCTTGGAGCTTTCGCTATGTCAACCGCCACCACCCCGTGCTTTTTCGTCACTGCCGAAGCTGATGAGGGTTTGCATCTGCCCATATAGTACTAACGAGGTCTCTGAGCAATATGTGCCTCTCGAAGCACTGGCCAATCCTATCAGTTTGGCATTTCGTCAACCCCTCACGCAAACAGTATGCATGAAGGCAAGATGTATTAGTTGTCCGGCCGCTTGTTGGGCAATCTGACCCAAGGTAACCGTAGCCGAACACGCGGATGCTGCTATCAGGTCTCCACAATTCGATACTTCACGTGGAGCAGACTGCAGCGCGACGACAGTGGGGCCGAATACTCATATACTCGCTTCTACAGTACGAGACGCTTAGCGGTGTGTGTGATGTACAGACACCCCACATTCCACAAAACACGTTGTCGCCCTAGCTACAGGGAAGGACTCGAGTCCTTGCAGCCCACAGTGGACAGCCTGCATCAACAACCAAGAACGTCGGTCACAGCATGTAACTCACTGTCGTGCTGCGCGTATGGGGCGCATTTAGATGAGTGGGACCACAGGCGTTATGCGCATGCGTGCTATGGCGATGAGGTAACGCGAACTGGACTACCAATACAGCCTCGCGTCAATGCTGCATGCCTTCATATTTCCACTAGGGTCTAGCAGAGGTCAAGCGGTCTACCGTCGGCCTGCCTCATTGTCACTTCTGCTTTCCTCGAAGCGTGAAGTAGTGGGGCAACAGTCTGAACATCAACCGCTTTCACATTGGCATTCTCATCATTTTCTGGATCAACCAATCACTGCTTTCACGCGGGCGTAATGTCTCGCACTAGCTAACGCCGTCTTCGGAATTCCAGAGCTTTCGTATCGGGTAGTGGCTATTGCAGTCCTCAAGGCCCGCTTCTGCCGCTACCAAGTACCTACAACCATGGTACCGAGCATGATAAGGTTGGCTGATGCACAAACGTCCATGAGGCATGTCACCCGACCTTGGGCGTTCTCGAAGCGTTACCCCTCTCCCCATATTTTACCCAAAGCGAACCCGTCTGATGCAGCTTGTGGAGCCGGCATTAGGAGGCCGCCGCATCTAGCTGTGAGGGGTCGAGAAGGGCTTCCCGGCTCTTCACATGCGCAAGATCACGAGTCTAGCCTCTGCAGCTTGATGAGGAGCTCGCTGTTTTTCGGCGGCGCGGTATATGCATCTGACTGCTCAATGCCGGTATCGTCGACAATAGCCGTTGTGTAGTTGGAGTACAGGGTTGCGACGATGTATTTCATCTCTGTCATGATGTCAGCGTGTCACTGGGGCATTGGGCTCAGCCAAGCTAGGGAGCTCGAGGTGTTGCACACGCTTCAGCACGCAACTTTTGCAAGCATCCCAAGACCCGGATCCTATTAGAAGCCATCCGTGCAACAAATAAGGTTTTGATTTGTAGGAAAGACTTACGATACACAGCTAAGTGGCTGCCGACGCACATCCGCCCGCCACTGATTCAGGTAAGCAAATGTCTCAGCTTTCTCGCGATGTATACTGACCTTCCAAACGCCCAGAACCATCGGTTCTCCATATCCCGTCTCTTCTCTTCATCCAGCTGCTCAAGTTCGAGCCATCGCTCCGGCCTCCACTTATGCGCTTGTGGATAAACGTCCTCGTGCAAGTGCAGTAGGCCGGCACTCGCGCTCACTCTTACACCGCCCGGGATATAGTATGTGTTGCCATCAGAGCCGAGGCGGCATCCTTGTGGAGGCGAGACACGCGGCTGCGGACCAGGAATCGCTGGATGCAGACGTAGTGTCTCCCATATCACGGCGTGGAGATATGGCAGCGCGTCAACTGCCTTACCATCGGGGAGAGAAGGCGAAGACGAGGGTAAAATGGGCGAGGACAAAGTTCGGAGCTCTTGCCGAAGGCGCGTTTGTACTTGCGTATTACGACTCAGTTCGTGAATGACATAAGTTAGGGTGATGCCTGATGTATCAAAGCCGGCGGCGATTTGATCTAAGACTTCGCTCGCAGCCAGGATCTTGCAGTCCTTCTTATCTTTCCCAGCTTTCTTCGCTTCCTTCGCCAACGCTCCAGAGAGCTGTTCGTATACGACCGGTGTGTCTGCGACATGTGCTGCCCCTTCCGACATGACTTTGGCTGCTCTCTCGCACATGCTGTCAGTCCAGTCTTCGATATCCTTGTTTGCCTTATCAACCCACTGCGGAACCAATCTATACCCGAACCATTTCTTGACGAACGATGTCAAGGCGGGGAGCTCTTGCGGCCAAAAATTGAAGGACCGGCGAGAGTTGTACAGATCGAGGAACCAGGATAGCTGTTTGGGATCATCGATCAAGTTGGAGCTCGACTTAAGCCCGAAAATATAAGCAGACACAATATCCATCGTAGTAGCGTTGAGCAACGGGTTGATATCCAAAACGCCTGGGTTTTCGTTGGAGAAGGCGCATGCGAGGCGTGGCAAAAGTCTATCATAGACGATAGCGCTGACCTGAGCGAGCAGAGCCGGCGACGCGGTGATTACGGATTTGCTGTAGATGTTGCTGAGCATGCGTTTTCGCGTTGAATGCGCTTTATTCCTCCCTGTAGAAAACATGTTCGACTCGCTAAAGCATTGTCAACCCGAACGTCCAATACCCCTAGATTCGACAACTCACCCGAAATTTGTAAAGAACGCATACCAATTAAACGTCTCGTTCAAGTTGGCCTTCTCAAATCCACCTGCATAGATTTCCCTGATGCCTCCTTTCACACAGTTCACACTAACTTCGTTTGGCCCTAGACACACTATTGGCCCCAGGTCCTTGTGTGCGCGCTTGAGTGTTGCGTTCTCGACGGATCGCCACCGCACATAATTGATCCACAGCGACGTAATGTGTGCAAGTGGATGTGCGGCAGGGATCTTGCGCAATGGGTTCGTCCAATACTGGTATACGAATTGGGCGACAACAGGCGCTATCAGCAGCACCGCGATAGTAGCGAGCTGCATGTTTGGGAGTTGCAGGGTAAACTGCGTTGCGTGACGTAGGGCTACGCGCAACCGAATCGTCAGAGGAAGGTGGAATTTGGTGCACAGAGAGTGGCAGTCTGGCAACGAAACAGCGACTTGTCATCTCTATGCGCACTATCAGTCCCCGCTACAGCGCGTCTCCGGCGCCACAATCGTGTGGAGACCCCCGCTCGCGCGGCAGCCCAGCGATCGCTTTATCTACACGTGATCGGTTCGGGACCATGAACAGGTACACTCGTCCTGTCCAGCGTAGAATACTCTCCACACCACGTTGCTGTGCAAAGTTCTGATGTGCTCCCAAGACTTTCTTCGAGCCAGATCCCTCTTGTCATGATCAAGCCCAGCTCAACGTAGCACACCCCTCCTCCCCTCGGAGGGATCTGCAACACCTGCAGCCACAACCACGCCGTGCAACCCCTCTCCATCCTAAACATTTCCATGAATAAATCGCGTCGCACCGGCTTCCGTTTTCGCACCCGCCCGCAGAACGCAGCCAAGCAGCGGACAATGGACAGTGGGCTCTCTTGTGCAACGTAACCCTGCGGCGTCGACTCGAGGTTGCGATGCTGAAGGGGGAATAGAGAAAGGCGAGGATCGGGAGGATGGGGTGTGTGTCACTTTGAGCCCGGGAGAAGGGAGTGGCTGCCCGTGTTGCGCGAGGAGGAGTACATAGACAGGGTGCGTATTGATTTGATTTGATCTGACGCGGCTGGAACGGACAACGGCGCAGTGCAGCGCAGCTACCTAGCGATGGAGTCGCTACCCGTCTCGTGCGATGTTGGAACGGAGAGGGCTGGGGAGTCTACCGGGTACGGCAAGCACACTTTACGGCCCTCCTCCTTACGAGTGTATCGCGGAACTCGAGTTACTCCTGATCTGCCCCTCACCTTGATACGTCCAGTTGCTCACATAAGCTGTCTCTGTTCCGTTGCCCCCGTTGCTTGTCGCATATACGCCGACGAGCGTCCCCGTGAAGCCCCAACTTACAATCTCCCCCGGTGCATGCGCCAAAACGGTGAGTTCCTCACCGTCAGCGCGACCAGCTGCGAAAGAGAAGTGTGATTCGTTCACTGCCTTTATCTCCATCGTCAAACGCGTATTTTGGAGCGAGGCTGGAACGGGTACACTGAATGGCGGGGCAGCCGACGAATACGGCTCGGTCGTGAAGCGGAAATGAGGTGTGAGGTTCGTAGACGTGTTTGAAGCCGCAAGAAGAGTCAGGCCGAGGCGGACGTGGTGGTTCTGCGTCAAGAATAGCGCAACGCCTGCTTCTTCTTGTGCCTCTTTGGGTGTGTAATCAACAACAACGCGGTACATGAAGAGGGTGTCGACTTGTCTTCTGCCGACGAAGGTTTGGCCGCCTGGTGCTGAGTTTCCGTCGACGCCGGTGAGGTTGAGCTTGGAGGGCTTGAGACCGAGATAGTTACTGTGGTCTGGCGGTGAGACGATATAATTCTCCTTGATAGGCAGGCGCCAGTGGAGGAAGTGCGGCGGTAGTGGGCAGCCATGGGGGAATCTTAGATTATCGTCGCCCTGGTCAACGAGTGGACTGATTCTAGTTAGTGTCGTTCTAAGAACTGTAGGTAAGGAGAGTTACCCATCACCAGGAAGATTCTGGCCCGATTCAGGCAATGGCCATCCGGTCATCACGCCCCTGACGGGGTTGTGTATTACAGGCCAAGCTCCTTTATCCCAAGTTGCGTTTGTGAGGACTGTCTCTCGTCCCATTGGGTAGACTTTGAAAGCTGGACCGCCTCTTGTCGACAGCGCGACGGACCACCACTTGCCACGGGCGTCTTGGAAGAGGTCCGCATGGCCGATGGTTTGGACTGTGAAAGAATATTAGAGATGTATCAGTTCAGTGGTCAAAATTTGTCTTACAGTACTCCGTAGTATTTGCATTCGTCAGGATTGGATTCGCGGGATTGGGCTTGTAGGGACCGTATAAATTCCTTGACCTGGCAATGGTTTCCATGTGGCCAAGACCAGTTCCGCCTGCAAGTTTAGCGAATGGACCTTCGAGGTACGATAAACGATTGCTCACCTTCTGCAATCATCAAGTAGTAATACCCATCCTTTCGATAAAGATGCGGTCCTTCAGGTGCCTGAGTGCAGTCAGCAGGCGAGGCTGTGATGAGACGTAATGCTTACAAGACCTCCAGTACCAGCCCACAGATTAGTCCAGTTACTCTGAAGCTCGCCAGTTGTCAGGTTGACTTTGGCAAGGTGATTGCCTGGCCTGTCCGAATCAACGCTGGCACACAAAGTCGATGTCTAGAACATACTCTACTTTGTACGCATGACTTCCGACCATGTACGAAGTTCCGTCATCGTCCCAGAAAGGACTTGTGTCGTAACCCTCGAAGTCGAAGTGTACAGCGTCACTCCAGCTACTTTCGTTCCAGATGTCTTGTGTAGTGAATATGATCTATAGTTGACATCAGCAGCATATCGCACCTATGATGGTTGTGGAAACACACATTCCGCCAACGTGTAGGGTCATCCGCTGCCTTCTTGTCATGCACCATCGTAGTCACGAGATACCACGTGCCATCTCGCAACCTCAGCGTGGGCGCCCAGATCCCGCTTGTCCCACCGACGGACACCGCAAGCTCAGGCAGTTGGCTTTCGCGGTTGAGGACATTCCCTGCAATAACAAGCGTAAGCTATTGATCTCGACTGTCACAAAATCCGGGTTCTGTCTCCGCATCCGAACAAGGATAGCTGCACAAAACAACCTGGAAGCGAAAGATACGAGACCGGGATGTTTTTGGAATTCACCCATGCCGATCCGTCACGCAAGCACCACGATCCGAGGTGAAAAACTGGTGGCCGGTACGGCACGTAGCGAGGGTGGGAGGATCTGAAACAGGGCGCACATTGGTCGGGCCATACTGCCAATACATGGAGTCTATCGGAGAGGGGGCTCAGATTGCGGTTGATGGGCCTCTGTGTCGGTAGTTGCACGTGGCAGGCAGCAATTAATCGGGAGATAGATTGAACGCGGAAGGTACGCACCGACGAGACGCCATGTCGTCAGATCTTTGCTTGCATGGATGGGGATGCCGGGGAAGGCATTGAAGCTGGACGACGCGCAGTAGAATGTCTCCTCCTCTGAGATGAATGTGCAGCTGGGATCAGGATGGAAACCAGGGAGAATGGGGTTGGAGAACTGGGACGATTTTCGCGCGCTTGCAAGGCCTGGTAACGATGAAACGAGAAGCAAGGAACCCAACGTCAGGGTTTGTGTCAGCATGGTGGACTGCCGACGTGAAGTTCCGCCGGGAGGTCAGATGTTAAACTGTTGCGCACTTGCGAGAGTTGATCCGTTCATGCTTATAGATTGGGTCTTTTTCATGACCGGAGCATCTCCCCTCGATTAGCGTCATCCTCGCAGATAATCGCAGATGACGTTCAGAGTATCCGGGTAAAAGCTGAGGCTAGCGCATGGAAGCTGTACATTAGCCTTGTGGATGTCGCCAAGCTTTCTAGAAATTGATCAATAGGAAAGTGATATATACGCTGAACTAGACATCGAGTTTGCGCTAGCGGAAGGTATCCGGTGTGGGGAAGGCACATGGTCTGAGCTGCTGCGGGTCTTCCGCCGGCAGATTGGTGGTGGAGTTTGGCGGAGGGTGGAGAGGAAGGAGTGATCGACATCGCATTCGGAACATCTCACGCCGATGAACCCTGAAATTAAGGAGAGCACGTGATAGACTGGCTGCAGATGTTAATCACAGTGGCTGATTAAGAAAGATCTTCCGATTCTTGTACCATAAAACCTTCAGTATACACTATGGAATTACGGTTTTACAGCTGTACTGTAGAGTGAGCTCCTAAGGATGAGAAGTGCTAAAGTCCTGTTTCCTGCCTCAGCCCCTGTGAATGTACACTGCCACTCATCAAGATGGATGCAGCCGTAACGACGCGAACGTAAAATGGTATGTAGTCATATTCAATCAACTCCTCCCGAGGTATCTTCCCTAATGCAAAAGCCGAACGAACATGCGCCAATCGAATGAAGAGCCTTGCAGCCCGTGTTCCAAGCATCATGTTTGAAGAAGCCCATGTCAAATCCTGCAAACTCCTGCCAGCCAATACTTATGTTAATACGCAAGTGCAGCAAAGACCACAATCTTATTCTCATGCGTCGGGCATGAGCTCATCGTCGTCTTCACCTTCTGCATCAATATCCATCTCTCCTTCAGCGTCAGCGTCATCGTCCTCGCCCTCGGCGTCTTCATCATCGTCTTCTCCTTCAGCATCTTCATCATCATCCTCACCTTCAGCATCTTCGTCTTCGTCATCGTCTTCTTCTTCTTCGTCTTCTTCCTCGTCTTCTTCATCGTCTAGTAGCGCCTTTCCCTTTCCTTTGGCAGTTTTAACCGTGTGCGGGCTTTTGGTTGAGCTACGCGTTGTACGCCGACCGGGCGCTTTTACCTCTCCACCCTCTTCAAGCTCATCATCCTCAATACCATTCACCACGCTCTCGCCCAACCTGCTTCTGGTCCGTCTAAGGCTTATGCTGGGGGTATGCATACCGTTCATGCTTGGCGAGCCTTTGCCGCTCCCGTTCGGAGAGAATTGAATACGAGAAACAGGCGCAGTGGCTATGCTTAGGTTGAGGGAACGATTCCGTTGGGGTGTACTTGTCCGACGCCGAGCACCGAACGGCCGCCCAGGCCGTCTCTTGGGAGGTTGCTGGCCAGGAACGTGGGGAAATACTTCGTATCTTGTAGCCGGAACCGAAGGTGCGTTCATTATATGAGACCCTGCAACGGCAACAGTACTACCATTCGCAAGAGGTGTACCAGGCAAAGGTGAGCCGCCGTTGACAGACTCCTCGGCCGCAACAAAAGGCGTTGCTGCGTCTTCGCCTTCTTCGCCAGTGGCTGAATCGTTTTGCGACGTGCCGTTCGTCTTTGCAGTCTTGGTAGCTTTTGCAGCCTCATCCAATTGAACGCCTTCTTCGGGCTCGGGCTTCTCTTCTTCTTCCTCTTCGTCGCGCTGCTGTACGGTGTGTAGAGCCGGTCCATCTTCATACTGGCCAAAGCGTCCCATCACATAGGGCGTCCATTGGAGTTTTGTTGGGTTTATTGTCGGATTGCCAGCGCTGTAGCACTTCTCGATGTATTGCTTGAAATATGCGTAGTCAAGCCGAAGTGCGTACTGTTTCGTGACAGGATCGCGTACCAAGGCGCGGAGACCTTCAAGCGCAGACACGATATCATCTGCGGTCATTCCGGTACGCTCAGATATCGTGGAGATGCTGATCGGTCCCTTCTGGTTAAGAAGCTCTTCGCACAGAACAAGCCGCCAGTACTTCCGATAACTGACCAAACCCATGTCGCTGAGAGGCTTCTCAGGACTGCCGGTCTTCCTCTCCACGCGCGTGAGGAGATAGGAGAACTCGATGAGATACTGTCCGTAGCCTTTGCGCATGTGTATGGGGAGAACAAGGATACAGGACACATTGTTGAGGGAGCTGGGTCGCTTCTCTTTGGAGAAATATCCCACAAAGTGATAGCCATACTGATCACACTCGGTCATGACGTAGAAAAGGAATGGCTCCACATCGTAGTATAGAGTCTTGGAGCCGAGGAACAGCTTCGCAAGAAGACAAAGGTTCTGACAGTAGACGGGGTTCTTGCGGCCATCGACTTCGAAGAATGAGAACTTGCCGTCGCGGTAAATTTCGTCTCCTGGAGGGTGCTTTGCAGGACATTTGAGCTGAACGGGTTAGTACGGTGCACGGTAGTGGTGAATCAGGCTTACCTTGTGCCGCCATGCTACATAGTCAGAGTTCATGTATTTAAGGCAGAACTCGCAGATGTAAAGTACCCTGTTCTTACTGTACTCTTCGGGATAAGGCGCAGCGTGCCATGTGTCAATCTCCCAGCCTCCAAAGTTGATACACTTTATCTTGCTGGGCGGGCCTGCATGTTTTGAGGATTTATGGGGCTCTTGGCCTGCGTATAGCTCTTCTTGCTTCTGCTTCCAGTCATCTTCCGCTTTCTGACGCGCGTCTTCGAAGCGTTTCCTGTCTGCTGCGGTCGGATATGTTTTGGAAGTGTCAGCGTCCGCTTCTGAAAGTATACCACCATATGGCTTGCTCTTGTTCTCGTCGGGCTCCTTGTCCGCGAACCCATAGAACGGTGCGGCGTACTGGCTGTGGGCTGCAGGGTAGTGTGTCTCCTCAACGGATTCTCGGGCCTCTCGTTCAGCGCGGCGATTACGTTCGCGGCGTTCGCGGTCCTTCTCGCGCCGCCGTTCTCGCCGCTCCTCGTCCCTGGTCATGGGTCTGACCTCAGACTTTTTAGGTTTCGAGGTCACAATCTTCTGGACTTTCTCATTATTCAGGTGGAACACAATGACCAGGCTTTTGGAGCCGAGAGGTTCATCGATCCAAGCCAGTGGTCGTTTGTCGGTCCTCTTAGGTTTCGTTCTTCGAGCACGGGCAGAACGCAGTCGATTCGACTCGTGCTCCGAGCCGGTGTGGGGATCAGCGTCGGTCTCGTTGCCGTCTGTCACGACACTTCCGGCCAGCGCACGAGGCGGTGAGGCAGCAGATGATTTTGCCAGGTCCGGTTTTGAAATCTCAGACGACCTACGCCTCTTTCTCGTCTGCCTGACAGGCAGCTGCACCTCTTCTTCGTGCGAGGCCTTGCGTTTTCTAAGCGAACGGGCCCCGTCTGCTGTGTCGTCGGGAAGAATGAGTTCATTGAAGATAGAGTGTCCTTTTGGGACATGGCCACGGTGTGAAGGCAGCAGATCTCGAGCCAGCTTTGGCACTGATGAAAGCCTCCGGCGAGTGAGTGATTCCGAGGTCTCATCCCGATCGCTCTCATGGAGTCCGTTGTTGATGCAAGCTGTACAGGTCCATTTCTTCGCATCTGCAAAAATAGCTTGTCAGTGCAACTGCCCTACCAAGGCTGGCCGGATATGGACTTACCATCATGTAGGCTAAGGGTCTTAGCGTCGCGCGCGCATTGCCGATGTGCTGCGGGAACAAGATCATGTCAGCTACCTCTACAAAGACAAATTTGAACATTGCTAAAAGCAACACTTACCCATGTCTCCACACTCGACACACGATAGAATCTCCTCAAACTCTTCGTTTGGGTCATTATCCTCGTCTTCATTGCAATATCTGTAAATTGTCAACGTAGGGTCCGTGAGTCTGCAATCATTCACACTTACACGCAAACGTTCGGGTCTGGTTTCTCAGCATCAGCCTCGCCGTCCTCGCTTTCGGCCTGCCAGCCATTTTCTGCCTCGGAAAGTTCGGAGCTGCCGGACTCGTCCTCGCTGGCGCTGCTCTTGGCATCCGAGGAGGACTCGACTGCGGCGTCTGCGTCTCGCTCGTCTCCCTCATCCTCAGAAAACGCATCTTCGGGCGCAGCAATCTTAACGGCGCCCACAGGCTCGCTGTCGTCGTCCTCGTCTACCTCTTCGCCCTCGGCATCGACATCGGAGCCCTCGGCGTCGGTGGTGTGCCCCTCATCCTGGGTCTGCTCGCGGGTGACTTGCTCGTAGCCTATATCATCCTCCTCGTACTCGCCGTCGGCATCAACATCGTCGGGGTCGCCGTTGGTCGCGGCCTGGCCGATGAGCCGAGCGGGCTCCGCCATCGCGTAAGACACAACAGTCGCCAGTTTGGATACCAGATACGCCAGATTCGCTGTGTATGTTTGCTGTGCCTTCTACTGCATCGGTCGTGCGGGCGGACACCTCGGCGGTGCGGGCATGGAGAGCGGGCGCGGGCGCGTCGTGCAGGCGTCGTAGCGCGTTGTTGTGCCGCGTGAGTTGCGTGATGTGCCTATACCGTGTTTTTGAGTTGCCGAGTGGTCGCGCGGGGCCCCCGAGGCGTGGGAGTCGATGCGGGACGGTCGTGGGCGCGTTGCTCGTTGCCGTGCAGCGGTGGCGGGCGCGGCGGGCGATATTTGCGGGTGGTCTGGGGGCAAAGGCGCGGGTTTTCGCGATCCAGGCCAATCTGCAGCACCGAGCGACACCGAGAATAATTGTCTGCGAGCTGGAGAGGGCGTGGAGGGTGAGCTTCCGCCGTCTGAAGAGCTGCCTCCTGAGTTGGGAGAGGTCGCAGCCGCCAAGCTTCTCCATCCACGTCCCAACCTCTGGCTAACACCCGAACCTACCCCCAGCTGCACTTTGACGACCCCCACACCACACCACACCGCACACCACCCTCCACGAGCGCCGCAACCATGGGTGTGCCCTTCGAAGCCCTCCTCCCGTACGGGATCATGCTCGGCGTACGTCAATGGCCCGCGCCGCCCGCTGCCGGCCCGTACTGATGTCTGCAGATGTTCGCGTTCAGCGCCGTGTCCGTCGGCAAGCTCAAGGAGATGCAGAACGGAGGCAAGAAGACCAGGCGCGGAATGGACGCATGGGACAGGGTAAGCAGACACTCGCTTTGGCCGCCGGGGACCCTCGCTGACGCAGCTCCAGCAAAGTACGACACTCCACGATGACCTCATGCCACGATCGCATGCCACCTACTAATCCGCCGCAGTGCTCGAGCGCGACCGCAGATTGACGGGCTTTGCTCGCGGACAGACCGACAAGGCCGAGGCGCCGCCGGGCTTCGAGCTCAACAACCCATGGAGGGTACGTACGGCCGGCGCGACCGACTGGGCAGTACTGACCGCGGCCAGATGGAGCAACGATACATTTAAGCGATGTACACAAGCACGCAAACTGTTCGATAGTCAATGTACACTTCCGACCTCTCATTCGTCAAGCCAGCGACATCTGCCATGTGAAGTCACGGCCCATGCTCCAAGATCCAGACTCTACACGCATCTATGCACATTCTGGAGTCCGCTGATACGGCACGCAAACCACTTGAACCATGCATCGATCTTGATGGGAATTCCTACTCGTCATCTAACTGATCTGCGAAACTAGGCCCAGGATGCTGTCCCTCTCCACGACACTCAGTTTGATCCCGAAGTGCTCTTCGATTGCCTTCACTCGATCCTCTTCGCTCTCAAACTTAATTTCTCTTTCCTTCTTTCCATAGATCCTCCATTTCACGTCGGTGCCTAGAATAATGTTGCCTATTATGCTTCCATCTTCGCCAAGCACCTTCTTCTCCATGAAGACAATCTTGGTAAAGAAGGTCGTTGGACTAGTGCTCGTGCTGAGATTCATAACGCGATAGTCACCCGGTAGGAACTCAAGCTCGGTAAAGCAGTACATGGGTTCCCAATCGTGCTCCTCGTCGATTTTGTGCTCGTAAACCCACAGCCTTTGGTCAGGGTCTGCGTTCTGCGGTATGTTTCTCCACTGAAGGCGCGCCGAGGCTGGCGCGATGTGTGGGCGGATTGCGCCGGAGTGATCAAGTGGCATGGGTTCAATGGGTCCGTTGGCGCCGAAGCCGACGTCTACATAATACTTTTGGCCCCCGATTTTGACAAAGACGATCATGTGACCCCTGTTGGATGTTACGATGGGATCTGTCTGAAAGTGGTCCTCGTTACTTGCCATCCGTTGAGGCGCTCTTCATCAAAGACACGAGCACCTGCCGAGTAGGTGTTGAAGCCTAAAGAATGCAGCAGGGTTCCAAACAAGCCTGAATTCTCCATGCAATATCCTCCCCGCCCATTGTCATCTGCAATGATCTTTCTGAACAATTGCTCTGGGTGGATGGAGACGTGACGATGTGGAGAATAATGCAGGGACAAGTTCTCGAAAGGTATCTGAGCGAGATGATGTTTCTGGAGCGATGCTAGATACGTCAGCGCATCTCCAGGGCACAGGCCTGCAACATGGTACTGGCGCTGTTCCTCTGGCAACTTGAGACGGTCAAAGTACTTTTGAATCTGAGCCTTCGTGTAGACGGGGCGCTGTGTAACCGACATGCCGGGAACCGGTGTTCAGGGATGCTGTGAGGACTGTGTGATACGGGCAAGAATGGTGGCCGTCGCAATGTTAAGGTTTCGCGATGGACAAACGAGCGGAGCCGCCGGCGAGCGCTTGGCCGGACTGACTAGCATGTTGACGCGATCTTTATATACACCATGAGCGGCAGGGTCCAGTTAGTTCGTTATCCGACTACAGAACATAGCCGCGAGTCGCGAGCGCGAGAGCGAGGTTGAGCACTCGGCGACGAGGGGAGCACCTGGGACAGCCCGTGGGGTACATGGATGCGGCTGATGATGGCGTCCAGATGCGGGATGGATGGACAAGACCCACCCGCGCGGCAGAGGCAAGTTACCCCTGGCGTACCTTTGGCAGTGGCTTTGATATGCGCGGCCATCCTCGCGCCTGCTAGCCGCAATGCAATCTCCACTCGCGCATTCTCCTGACCAGTCCGCCATGCAGCGCAGGTAGTCCGTGAAAAGCTGGCCTCCGCCTGCAGACTCTTGCCAGCCTGCTTCCTCGTCCTGCGCGCCCTTCCCGCACACCCCCCGACCGCGCGCCCCCCCAGCCTCGCCCTCGCCAGTGTACAACGCCGTGTCTCGGGCGCCGGCGCAGACACCATGGCCAACCTGAACGATGGGCTGCGCACCCAGTACCCGTACGGCGGCCTCAGCCCACGCCCCATGTACGACTTCCCGTCGCCGACGTCCAACTACCCCTCTGGCATCCCCGCGACCTCGCCGAGCTTCTTCCCCATGGCCTACAGCATCAGCCCGCGCTTTGGCGGTAGTGCCTTCATCCCGCCCGCCGATGTCTTTGGGGATCCCCGCAACGGTTCCACCAGCGACAGTGGGCCCTACACCCCGCGCGCCTTCAAGAATCGTGGCTCCGGCGCCCTCGGCAGCGACCCCGTCGCAATGCACCTGCTGGTCGAGACGGCCATGATCGACAGCCAGAACTTCGACCTCCTCTCGGTCGAGGAGGTGGACGCGCTGAAGCAGGAACAAAAGGGCCTGGACGCGCGACTGAACACCGTCAGGAAGCGCCTGGAGTCGGAGACCAAGATTCGAGACGCCGCGCGGTCACTGACGCGCCTCAACTCGCGCGAGGAGAAAGGCCACCGGAGAGGCCTTAGCAGCAGGAGCAGTCCCCCGACCAAGGACACGTCGTCCAGAGGGCTGGAAGAGCTCGATGCGAGCAACAAGAAGGTGGACGATCTCACCCGCGAGCTGCTGGAGGTTGAGTCGCGGATGCGCCTCATTGACATGCAGCTGCTGATGCATACGGCCGCCGTGTTGCAGCTGACACACAATGGGCCGAGAAAGCGGAAACAGAACGCCGACATGGCCAATGGCGGAGATCGGCGACCAGACAGCCCTGCGAGCATATATACGTATGAGAACGAGAGGGCATTCGGGGGAAGAGAAGACGGATTCGACGAACGGAGCCTCTACCGGTCACCCGAGAACCTGGACAGCTTGATGAACGCTCTACAGAACGGTACCCATCACCACTCGCATTCCGCAGACCTGCAAAACCGGTCGCTAAGCACCGTGAGCAAGCGTCTTGAAGAGCTCAATGACCGGGTAAGAGAGCTCATCATAGAGGCAAACCCGGAACGGAGCGAGAGGTATTCTCGCCCTCCGCAATCTGGAACCACGCCAGACGCCTCAGCACTCGAGCGCCAGCTTGACTTCCTGGACCAAGGCCTTCGGGATCTCAGCGCTGAGCAGACGGCACTGAAAAGCTCCACTGGTTCTGATCAAGCGGCGGAGGAGCGGCTGCAAGGGATCAACATCCAAATGTACGCCATGCTCAACACTTCGGATTCCAATGTACCACCACCTGCTGCAGTTAGCGGTAACGGTCTCCAGCAGCAGCTAGAGTACCTAGAAGACTCTTTTTACAGCATCGAACGGATGCAGTATGCTTTGAATGACCAACTCGACGACTTGCGCGCGGATGCGGCCACTAAGGAAGGTGTCGAACAGTACGAGTCTACATTGACTAGGCTTTGGCAGATGATCCAGAAGGGCGAGGAGGAAGCACGTGAACGCAAACGCGAACGACGCAGACTACTTGCGGAAGATCCGGACAACACGGAAGAGCTATCTCCTGACGAGAGCGACACGGGTGCAGAGACGTTCTCCTTGATAGCGTTCGATTCAAAGATACAAACAATCTTCCGCCGCGCCATGTCACTCAAGGACAAGCAGTCGATATTGGTTAGACAGATCAAGCAACAGCGCGAACTTAACAGCAAGTCAGATGCACAGAGGGAAGAGCAGGTTAACAGGCTGAACGAACAAGTGCTTAGTGCGCGCTCGGAGAAGAACACTATGGAGGCAGAGCTCGAGCGAGCAATAAGCCAACTCTCGTCTTTCGATGAAGCGAAGGTCCAAAACGACAGTCGAGCGCTCCGTGAGGCGGAAGATCGGAATAATGCGCTCGAGACCCAGATTCGAGAGATTCGAGAGCGAAGCACTGCGTTTCAAGATCAAGTTCGCGATGCGGAAGAGCGGAGCACAGCATACGAATCTCAGGTCCGAGAAATTCAAGAGCGGAGCACGGCATTCGAAGCTCAGGCTCGCGACGCAGAACAGCGCAGCACAGCATACGAGGCTCAGCTCCGGGATGCTCAGGAGCGCAGCATGAGCTACGAAGCACAAATCCGTGAAGCGCAAGAACGTACACTCGTTCTCGAAGAACAGCTCAGGCAAGCCCAGGAGCATTCCCGCGCCGAAGCCGCGACGATACAAGCTGAACTTGCTCAATCCACTTCCAAGATCGACGAAGCATCCACCGCCCTTCTCGCGGCCACTGCGCAAAAGGAAGCAGCAGAGACCCGCGCCCAAGAAGCCGCCGCCGCGCTCTCCGCCAAGGAAAAAGAGTTGCGCGACCTCGAAGGCGAAGTCGTCCGCCTCACGACAGAACTCACGTTCGCCAAAGCCGAGCTCGACGGCGCGTACGGCACCCGCGCAGAACGCGCCGCTGAATCTGGCAGCAGCGTCAAGAAAGAAATTGACGACCTCGCTGCCAAAAACGCTGCTCTCCTCGCCGAGCTCACTGCCCTTCAAAAGCTCTCGGAAGCAGCGTCGCAGTCGGAACAGGAAGCCCGCGACAACGAGCGCAACGTCAAGGCCGAGCTTGCCGCCATGGCGACCGAGTACGAGGACCTCACGCGCGATGCAATTCAGAACGAGAAGGATCGCGATACTCTCGAGGCCATCATCGACAAGCTCAGGGACGAGAAAGAGGCGCTTGAGCTCGAGCTGAGCGATGAAAGGGTCAAGTGGCTGGGCATCCGGAGCCCGAGCGTGGCGGCGGGCGCGACTATGGCGCCAGATCAGGGCGCAACGAGCATCAGGATGCTGAGGGAGGACTTCAGAAAGATGATGAGAGACCGCACGGCCGAGGCGCTGAGGGCTTTGAGAGTAAGTTTTGCCATCACAATATCACGCGTCAGAACAGAGAAGTTAACACACGACAGTCCGAGCAAGAAGAACGGCGCAAACTCGAGGCCACGGTCCGCCAGCTACGCAAAGAGTCTTCGCTGCCGAAATCGAATCTGTCGAAGTCACTCACCCCAGCTTCGGCCTCAGGATAGACAGAAAGCAACCAGAACACGATGATAACGACAACGACTTTTGCATTTTGCGCGGCGTCTTCATGATGCTTGTACCGGTACACACGTATCGGTTGTACTATATAATACCCCGCTGGTGGCAGCGTCCTGTAGTAATGTTTGGCTCTGTGCATGCATGGACAGAAATGTAGATAGATGTAGTGACTTAGCCGGTATGGCGACGTTAAGAAGCAAAAATAAATGAGTGCGGACGCACATATAGATACGAGTTTTGCATACGTGTTTGATCCGGCCGCAGTAGCCAGTGTCAACCCAGTGCAGGATGAACGCACAGTTCTATTTATCTATTTACCAAACAGCATGTTCTCCTTACTCGCACTTTCCAATTTCGGCGTCTGGTTGTCCAGCTTCACACCCCCAGGCAGAGCAACGACCTGGCTGTCCAGCGCTGTCCCGCACTTCTTCACACCGACGCCCCCGCGATTGCCCTCGGTCAGGCAGAGTCCCTTCGCCTTACTCACCAGATTCCCGCTGATACCGTAGCTCCACGTCTGACCTTTCGCCTTGGCATTGCACCGCTCCAGGCTCACATCGCTTCCATCAACGGCGAGACAAACCTTGCTGTACGCCAACGAACTCACCAGACCTTCGGAAGAGACCTGCCAGACCTGCTTGTCGTCCCCCTCGCAAGCAGAAAACATGACGTCCAAGTCTTCAGTAGAACCATGGTGAGCGGTAAGACAGTTCAGCGAAAAAGTGTTGAAGATCTGCCCCGTGGGCGTGACCTTGAGCGCCTTCCTGGAAGCCGCGGCAGAGAGACGGTAGATAGCCGTTTGATGCTTTGCCAGCTTCACGCGCACCTCCTCGCGTACGGTGGTCGTCTTGCCCGTCCAGAGATCCTTCGCGCGGTACGACTGCTCCGGGTCGATGCCCAGACGGTCGAGCGATACGGTGGCCGTGTGCGTCTTGTTATCGTGGTTCAGAATCGTAAGCAGGCGATCCCCGTTCGCGAGGTTCTTGGCCAGGACGTCGATGGCGCCGTCTTCGTTCTGCGAGACGAGGGTGGCTTGTTCGCAGAGGGCGTCCTGGTCTACGGCGATGATATCCTTGTTGGTCAAGTAGGCAACTTCTTCCTTTGTTAGATCCGGGATCCACGCGGAGAGGATGAGCGGCGCGGAGAAGGAGCTCCACAGCGCGAAGTGCGTCTTCTTCTCGTCGAGGCTGAGGTCCGGCCAATCGACGATGAGGAAGTCCGGGTCGTTAAAGAAGCCGCAGGACTGGTACCGCGAGAGGCGCACCTCCATGATGTAGTTGTTCATCATGGACTCCCAGTGGCCGCCAGGCTCGAACGTATTGGTTGGGTTGTTGCCGTAGACTTTGATATCGTCGGAGTGCCGGGCGAGCTCGCCGGTTGAGCGGATGTAGTCCATCGTGCGGTACCAGTCGGTATTGTTCTGGTCGAGGTGGAAGTTGGGGCTGAAGTACGCAGGCGCGGACTGGCTGAAAACGAGTGGTTTCTTGAGCTTAGTCGTCAGGACTTCGTGCCAAAGCTTGTAGCGGTACTCGAACTCCTCGTAGTATGTTCGGTTGTGCTGTAGATCCATGTGGCACCCATCTACTTTGACGTAGTCTACGCCCCAGCGCTCGAATGTCTTTGCGTCGATTTCCTCGTGGTCTTGGGATCCAGGGTACCAACCACATGTCATATTTCCAGCATTGGTGTAAATACCAAAATTAAATCCGCGATGGTGAAGATAGTCTCCGAGCCAGGGCATGCCGTGGGGAAAGAGGGTGGAGTTCCATTCAAGTTCTTGTTTAGCGTTGCGGCCAGTTTGGACGTGCCAGCAGTCGTCGAGGTTGATGTGGTTGTATCCGGCGGCGAGAAGACCCTTATCGGCCATTGCGTCAGCAGTTCTGGTGAACAGCGTCTCGTTCAGATTGCACTGGAAGCGTGCCCAGTTGTTGAAGCCCATCGGTGGTCGAGGTGAGATCTCGGGGTCTTGAAAAGAGGCGGATGTTGTTGATGCCATTGCGGCGAAGAAAAGGTAAAGTAGTGAAGACATGGCGGAGATGTTAGCAGAGCAGATCATCTCTCCCGTGTGGTTGTGTGTGCCAATGCGACTGGAGTGGAACTCAGCGCTTCCTAGACAAGGCGACTGAGGGCGCAAGAAGTATCTCCTATCAAAGAGAACGGCACACGACAACAGCATGAACAGGGCCACCCCAGATCTAAATACCCCACGCCCTCTCATCGTCACCATACTTCTCCTCTGCAGCGATCTCCCCGCACCATCCATCCACACTGGATGCTGACTTTAGCCGACGCTAAGCAGTTCCCCAGGTAGGACGCTACTCCGAGTGTGATGAATTTCTGAGTGTATACTCAAATTCCATTGCAACTTCGCGTTCAGTGATGCACGTCGACTGTAACCGCAATATGGAGAATCGCACCTGCTGTGCGCGTACAGATGCATCTGCAGGGTTCAGAACCGGGTAGATTTGATATTAGTGGCCGTTTGCGTACGTACTCGGCTCGCGTCCCTGCGGAGTGTGCGTAGCCGATCGTACACAATAAATGCAGTTTCGGTGAGCACTCATGGTAGCATTGAAATGTCTTGAGTCCTACTGCGAGTATTGAACCCAAGAGAATGTTGAGGCGGGCGCTTGTTTACTCTTTGTCGAGGCGTATGGAGCAATAAAGCGGTGCCTGCTGATAGTCTGCTCGATGGATGATGCATCACATGACTTAACATACAAGATATCACAGGGCAGGGCGTGAAGGGTGAAGGGCAAGGGCCACAGAAGGTTGGTCGATTTGGGGCCGTGCGGGCCGTGTGACGTGAAGTGGTGGCGCCCCGCCGGTTGGACCTGCAGATCAACACTTGACCCCACCCACCTTTGCGTCGAGTCACAAAGATCTTCAACCGCAAAGCGACCACGACGACTTTTGTTCGCTATTCCTACGAGACATCCGATTATCACCCGTACGTCACAGAATACCATGGCCCCGAAAAAGAGCGGAGGAGAAGGTTCGAAGAAGGCCCAAGGCCAGGCACGAAAGGCAGACGCGGCGGCGAGCAAGCAAGCCCAAAAAGATGCAGAGGCAGCGGCAGCAGAGGCCAAGAAGTGGGATACGGGCTCCAAGTCCAATTCCAAAGCGTGAGTAGCTATGCATCATCTTCCTTTTCGCTGCTTACTTGTAGCAGTGAAGCCGCTGCGGCGAAGAAGGAAGAAGCCGCTCGCAAGAAGGCCGAGAAAGATGCGCTGCTGAAGGAGGAAGAAGCATCACTACCCGCAAAGCCCAAGGGAGCTGGTGCAAAGAAGGCGGAGAAAAAGACGCGCGGTATCGACTCCGCTCTGGGCTCGCTCAGCGCCACAGGTATCGACAACGCCCTGGATGCGCTCAGTCTCACTGCACAAGACGGCGACAAGATCGACCGACACCCCGAGAGGAGGTACAAGGCTGCGTATGCGGCATACGAAGAGCGGAGGCTGGAGGAGATGAAGGACGAGAAGGGCCTGAGGCGGAACCAAAAGGTCGACCAGATCAGGAAAGAGTTCGACAAGCACCCCGACAACCCGAAGAATCAGGCACAGCTTGCTTTCAACGCGACAAAGGAAGAGATCGCGGAATTCAAGGAGGCAGAGCGGATCAAGAAGGAGCAGCGATTGGGAGGTGCGTCCTGAAGGGCGTCGTGACTTGGTTTCTGGGCTTTAGCGACATGCTTGGTGTTTGGATAGACTCGGAATAGATGCGTGGCGCGTATAGGCTATTAGGGCGGCGGTTGTGAAACCGACTGCATGGTATCTTGAAATGGAATGAACACTTTTGGTATCCAAACATTGTCCGGTGGTCGCACGAAAGCGGCAGTGCACGTGTTCCGTAAGGCTGCATCCCAAAGGGTCCAGATACGAGCGACCCCGACGCTGTCTCACAGCGCACGACAGCCAATCGCCAAGGCAGTGTGAGATAGCAGAGCAAATGTCGACTTCATTGCGAACTGCGTGCGAAGTCTCTGGACGAACTGCGATCGTACCAAGGTCTACATTGACATGGACGGCTCCACTTTTAGGTCCAGACAATTTCCAAAGCTCCCTCGCACACGTCGCCTCCGCGCTCCTCTCCTATGCAGTGGCTGTGCTCGTGGGGCAATCTCACATCCCCCAACCTGCTCTCCAAGGTCCGAATTATGTCAGGCCGCCTCCGCTCATCATCTTCAGTCCGGTGCCGGGGCCTGGGCAGGTCCAAGTCCAGAATCAACAAACGGAACGTTGCATACGTAGGTCAACGAAGCAGGCGGCTCCACAGACGCGCGCAGATCATGTTTCGCGAAACGAAAGACGCAGTCTAACGCTGTCCTTGGTTGTGATTTGCAGATGGAGGCGCTACGAGGCGGCGGGCGCGCTCCCGTACTCTGCCGCACAAGATTTTGGGAACGCTGCCATCGAAGTGAAGGACTCCGGCGGACAATTGGCGAGGCTTATGTGCAGGGCCGCTGCCTGAAACGGCGTGGCACTTGCCTGATTGGCGGAGAACTAATCTATTCTTCTCCTTTGAAACGCGCTTGCCCTGTTCGAGAGCTGTCCCCAGGGGAAGGCGCGTTCTAGCGCCACGCCGGCCCAGTGAATGCTCGAGCCCATGCTCGCGGGCATCGCTTGCCTACTTTAATTGATTGCACCCTCCACCTTCTACGGCGGCCGCCTGTCTCTTCATCGACTTGTTCTTTTGCTTCCACGAAGCTCCACATTCTTTACTTTGCTTGTCTGCTTTCTTTCCTTTCCCAGCATCAATATGCGATCCTTTTCTACCATCGGAGCTGCGCTCCTTCCCTTAGCTGCTGCTGTGGGCGCCGTTGAGCTCAAGGTGGACGACGAGGCCTCGCTCAAGGCCGCCATTTCACAGTATGCCAATGGCTTGATGTCATACTACTCGGCAAATGCCTCGGGCCTTCCTGCAGAAGAGGTTGGCTACATTCCCAAGCCTCACTACTGGTGGGAGTCTGGTGCTATGTGGGGAGCTATGGTCGAGTACACAAACATTGTCGGCGACGAGTCGTACGTCAAGACAATTCAACAGGGTCTGACTGCCAACTACGGTCCGGAGAAGAACTTCATCCTGGACTACAAGCGTGACCAAACGGTATGAACGGCACTCGGCTCTTTCGAAGTGTATGTCTAATATATCACAGGGCAACGATGACCAGGCCTTTTGGTGTCTTGCGACCATGTCGGCAGCAGAATATGGATTCCCCGAGCCTGAGGATGCGCCGGCGACCTACCTCGAAGTCAGCAAGAACTGCTTTAACAACATCGTATCTCGCTGGGACGAATCGTCGTGTGGTGGAGGTTTGAAGTGGCAGATCTACCCGGAGAACGACTACGGCTACAACTACAAGAACTCCATCAGCAACGGTGCCACCTTTGCTCTCGGTGCCCGCCTCGCACGCTTTACTGGCAACCAGACCTACGCAGACTGGGCCGAGAAGATCTACGACTGGGAGAAGAAGGTTGGCTTGATTGGCGACAACTTCGAGGTCTTCGATGGAACCGATGACAAGACGGGTTGCAAGGAGGTCGCCGACAAGACGGAGTGGACCTACAACAACGCCATGATGATCCACGGCTCTGCCTTCATGGCTTCCTACACCAAGGACGACAAGTGGACGCAGCGCACCGAAGGCTTCCTAAGCCGCGCCGCCGTCTTCTTCAACAACCCCAAGCAGGTCAAGGACGTCATGTTCGAGGTCTGCGAACACAGCGCTGGCGGCAAGAACTGCAACCTTGACCAGCAGTCGTTCAAGGCCTACCTCGGACGCTGGATGGCCAAGACCGCGCTTCTTGTGCCTTCGACCAAGGACCAGATCACCGAGTATCTCACCACGTCTGCGTCTGCCGCGGCCAAGTCCTGCACTGGCGATAACGGCGCCTGTGGTTCTCGGTGGTACCAGGAGTTCGACGGAGAGACCGGTGTTGGCCAGCAGATGTCCGCAATGGAAGTTACGCAGGCCTGCCTCATGATCAAGCAGGGCACGCTTCCCAACACTGGCGCAGAGTCCTCTGAGCCTGAGCCCAAGCCCTCATCGTCTGCAGCCCCTAAATCTAGTGATGCGCCCAAGTCTACCAAGGCTCCCAAGTCTAGCGATGCACCCAAGTCCGAGGAGGCTCCCAAGTCGAGCGACGCCGCCCCGCCGGCCAGCGAGGCTTCAGCTGGATATCCCACTGGTGCCCCGGCCGCCAACGCAACCTCCAGCCAGTCCGACAATGGTAGCGTCCCCACCGACATCCCTCAGCTGTCCTACTCCGGCGGTGTCTACGCTCCCATCGAGACCCCTGCCCCTACGAGCACTCCCACAAGCAAGCCGGGCGGTCAATTCGGTGAGGTCCACAACTCCACGGCAAAGGCCTGCACCTGCACTGGGAAGAAGACGACCACCGTCTACGTCAACCCGCCCACTGAGGCCACGCCGCCACCTGCAGCCCCTCCGGCAACGAACTCGACTCCTACCGTGGTCCCAACCGGTGCTCTTCCTCCTTCACCACCACCGCCTGCCAACAGCAGTGGCGTCGAAGCCTTCCCCGGCGCTGCGTCCAACGTCAAGATGGGCGCAAGCACTATGTTTGCTGCGGCTGGCCTTGCGGTCTTTGCTGCGCTCTTGTAAATGGCTGAAACGTACATATACCTGGGTCAATTTTTGGAGTGGGCCCCTCCCTTCTCTCCATCCATGACGGATCTTGTTTCTTTGTTAGATATCCCTTTCCATTCATTGCATAGCATGTAATACTCCAATCCAGCATAGGACTGCATAGGAGGCGTTTTCGATTTGAGGCTTGGCCCCACGGTACATTATAGAGAAAAGGGTCCAGCCCCAGAGGGTCTGGCACCATAATTTATTCGGTGAAATCACATGCTGCTCCCTAAATGCGCTCGTGTCGGTGATGGGTGCAGCTCAGCTGCTGGTACGCGATTCCGGGTGCTGGACGTGGGAGCGCAGGTGGAGGGTTCGGGATGCGATGCACAAGCTGTCTGCGCGGAAGGCGGTGCATGATTGGCTAGCGGGCTCCTCCGACGCGAGAGATTGCCCCGCGCCGGCATGTGGATGCACAACCCTGGCGTCTAGTGTCGTAATTGCGCACCGCGAGCTCCTGGTTGCCTTGCTCCACACGCCCGAAGCTCAACAGCAGCAGTAGCGCCTCACCACACGCGTATTACTTCCCCAGCAAAGCATTCGCCGCCTCCAACCCCGCTCTCACCTCGCGACCACACAACCTGAGCATACCAGGGCGGCGGAACTGTACCGGTTATCATGGCCTGAGTGTTGCAGTGGGTAGCCTAGAGTATAACGCAATCGTTGGCGACAGTTGATAAAGCGGAACCCCCGCATTTCCTCTGAGGCCTGAGGTGTGCAAAATCTGAAAGTGAAGACGGAACTGCAATGGCTAACGTGGCCCAGTTGGCACTCAGTGCCCAGATCTTTCGCGCGCCTTCCAATCCCGACAAAGTCCGCGGTCCTCGCGCGCTTTCATTCCGTGAACAGATATTCTTTCCCTCCTCGAGTGCGAATCTGCCCGGGGCAGCGAGCATAATGGCGCCCAAGAAGAAGGAGATTGGGTACATGAATAAATATGTTTACGACGCATTCCTATGGACCTTCTCGGTGCTGGTGGAGCTCTTCTTCCGCGAGGTGCATCCACGAGGGAGCTGGAAAGTGCCCAAGGAGGGGCCTGTCTTGTTTGTGTGCGCACCGCACGCGAATCAGGTGAGCTACAAGACGTGGCTGTGTTCTCGAGGCTGTACTGACTGCAGCAGTTCGTCGATCCCCTGATCTTGATGCGCGTGGTCAAGAAAGAAACGGAACGCCGCATCCACGTCCTCACCGCCGAGAAGTCGATGAAGCGCAAGTTCGTGGGCACAATGGCAGCGGCTTCGGGCGCCGTACCCGTCGGCAGAGCAATGGACAAGACCAAACCGGCGCCAGGACACATCTACCTCCCAGACGCCGTCAACGACCCCCTTCTCGTACGTGGCGTGGGCACAAACTTCGAGGCGAGTGACTTCCAGGTCGGAGGATCGCTGGTGTTGCCCAAGGTCAACAACGTGGCTGCCTCTGCTGAAATACTCGAGATCAAGGGGCCGGAAGAGATCAGGCTCAAGCGGCCCTTTAAAGGCGGAGTCGCTATGCAGCAGTTGACTGGCCGAAATGACATGACCGAGGATGGCGTCTTCGTCAACGGTGCATCGTCTGCAATCGGTCCTGCACCCGGCTATGAAGGCACCGTTTTCCAGATTGCACCTAAGCTCAACCAGACCGAAGTATACGACGCCGTGCATACCGTGCTCCACCGCGGAGGCACTATTGCCATCTTCCCGGAAGGCGGTAGCCATGATCGAACGGAGCTTCTACCCCTCAAAGGTGAGTCGGAAGATGTCGATGCATTGATGCACCTGATTAATAGTTTCTAGCTGGTGTCGCCATCATGTCTTTGGGCACGGTAGCTTCCAAGCCGGATTGTAACTTGAAGATTATTCCTGTTGGCATGAACTACTTTCACGCTCACAAGTTCCGCTCGAGGGCTGTGATTGAATTTGGCAATGCTATCGAAGTGCCCGTTGAACTTGCGCAGAAGTTCCAAGCCGGCGAGCGACGAGAGACCATTGGCCAAATGCTAGAGACTATTCGAGAAGGGCTCATCTCCGTCACAGTAACAGCGCCTGACTACGACACGCTCATGGTACGCAGCCTTGCCTTCTCATCAATACATTGCTAACACATCGGCCAGTTGATCCAAGCTGTACGTCGTCTATATAATCCCAAAGGCACGAAACTTCCGCTACCCCGCGTTGTCGAGCTCAACCGCCGCCTTATACAGGGCTACAATAAGTACAAGGATGACCCGCGTATTGTCGATCTCAAGAAGGAGGTTCTGAGCTACAACAAGCAGATTCTGGCCCTAGGTGTCAGAGATCACCAGGTACAGTATGCCAGAGTCAGCGGTGTCACGTGCTTTTTCCTTTTCTGGTATCGTCTCCTGAAGCTCTGTGTGCTGTCCATCTTCGTGGTTCCTGGGACGCTCCTGTTCGGCCTCGTTTTCCTCATTTGTAAACTCTACTCGAAGCGTAAGGCGAGGCAAGCACTTGCAGAGTCGAACGTCAAAGTGCAGGCCAGAGATGTGTTAGCCACCTGGAAGCTCCTGGTCGCCATGGCTGTCGCCCCGCTGGTTTATACCTACTACGTCGTCCTTGTCACCTGGCTTTACTCTTATAACCGGGTGTTCGGTTTCCTGCCGGATGGGCTGAGGAAAAGGTACCTAATTACTGCGCAAGTAATGATCTATCCCACGGTTACCTACGCCGCACTGCGCTTCGGAGAAGTTGCCATGGACATCTTGAAGTCGCTCGGCCCACTCGTCAAGATGGTAAATCCGTGGACCGGTAACGAACTTGCGAAGGCCCAGGCCCGCCGCGAAAAGCTTGCCGAACGCATCACTGACATTATTAATACTCTCGGTCCCGAAATGTTCGACGACTTCCATTCTAAGCGCATCATCTCGGACCCCTTCACGCAGTCACCACCTGCAACCCCACCCAAACAGAAGTCCGAAGCAGATGGCGAGCGAGAAGCACCCGAACCTGTCGAATCCTACGATTTCCCTGCCTCTCCAACGTCACCCACCTCGGACCGCAATGGTCTCCACAAGAATGAGTCTTTCACCGATCTTGCGAACCAGGACATCTTCAGTACGCGACCAAGTACGCCTAAGAGACATCACAGTCGTATGCCGAGTAACGGGTTTGGTCAGGGCTTCCAGCTCAAGCCCTTTAGCACGATCGACGGCAATTTGGATGAGGTCAGTAAGAGGATCAAGAGCGGAATGCGGAGTAGAGGCCACAGACGAAGCAGTGTGGAGAATTGGCACCAAGAAGAGGAGGAGAGTGGTGCTACCACGCCGAGGAGCGAGGCTTCGCACGATGGGCTAACCATGTCGAGAAAGGAGCGATGAGGGTCTGGTGTGAAAAGTTCGTGATTGGCATTTTTTATTTCGTTGGTGCATTGTTGTGTAGCGCGCGATTTGTGTAGTGGGCGATTGAGTGGTTCAGCATGGCGTTCAGAGCGTGCTTTGTGATACCAAATCTTTAATCGTCGATATCTGCTTGATAATTGACTTCACCAATGAGCTGCAAATGGCAAGTGCGGCCTTTGGTCGAGGCTTGGCATCATCAGTTGCGCCACATAACGTCTACAACAGCTGTGGCTTCATGTCTCTTGTACACTGCAGTCACTTCCTGCATATTGGCTTCTCTTTGCTGCATCAACATTAAAAGGCTTCTAACAAGGCTTAAGGGAACTTCTCTATAAATGACTTATTTATCTTACCAATTAATCAATATAACGAATAGCTACCTTTCAATGGACAATCTTTGAATACACTTGCAGCATCTTGAAGTCTTCAAGACGCAGCTGAGCAGCTATCTAGTGTCTTTGTATCTATTACACTCACTGCTAAAGTGGAATTCATGGAATCATTTCTTGCTCTCTACAGCACATACTCTAGTTTTTTCTTCTTCACGAAATTGAGTTTGAGACGAAAGTCGGTGGTTTAGATGACGGTGGTGATACTAAGGAAACATGTCGCGACACTCAAAGTGAACTTCGCGCGATGGATGCGGATCTCGCGTGCCAGATCCAAGGTCTGTTCTCCACGCTTAACACTGACATGCAGATCCAAACGCCTGTGCACCTACGACAAGGGAATGTATTTAGAGTTTCGAACCCCCACGCGGAAGCTGTTTGGGTATTAATGTTATCCCCGCAAATCTTGCAGCTGGCGTGTGCATCTCCTGTCACCGTCTACTTTCCCAGACATTCCGATCGTGCAAAGTCTTGGAGTATCAGAGCCACTGGGTGAGCTGGACGAGCCCACAGAAGAAGGCCTATATCCGTAAAGCCTCAATGTCACCATCGAATATCCAAATCTGGAATACTTGAGGTGTTTGGTCGGTGGCAACGAACGGGTGGGCAGCCTTTCCTCCCAGGCTATGAAGGAGAGCTGTCAGGGCTGTCCAGGTTCTCGCCGGGATTCACCCCCACGACTTTGGTAAAGCTTTACAAAAATGCGCAGTCCCATCTCCACCGCGATTACACGAGGTAACGCTTGACTTCTCTGATCAATTTCCTGGGCCGAAGATCAGTACCAACGTCTCATCGTACCAGATCTCATTAAGCCAGCACTGCTCGACCCGTTTAGCAAGAGGCTGCGCCTAAACTCGTACCACCTACGTATAATGAACGTCCAAGGGGTCTCTAAACATCCCCTCCGGAGACAACAGCGAGGCGGTGCCGCTGTGGCCAAACATGGAAAGTATGAATATCCCACTCCATATTTCACATCCGTCGGGTTCCTGGTACTTCCAGCTGCCGTTACCGAATACATAGATACCTAGGCGAGAATTCTAAGCCACGGCTGAGCATTATCCCCCATATGCACCCACCGAGCGAGACATTGCGAACGGCGACAGGCGCGATATCAGCGACGACGTCTGGTGTGAAGACACCAATTTCACTTCCTCCCATATCCGTTCGATTCCAAACGAAGATATACTGGTCGCTTTTCTTTCTTCTTTAGCCGGGGCAGCTGTGCGCATGCCTGCTCTACAGCACTTCGCAATTTGGACCTGCCTTCGATTTGATCCTTTCCCCGACCGACTCTCTGAATATCGAGACTTCGATTACAATACAATATCCCGGATTGTGGGCGAGGAAAGCAGCCACCTGCTTGCTTGGGGTATCACATACGCGGCGCCGGGTGAAGGAGACTTCACGGCAGACCCATTATACTGCAAAGGCGATTACTTGGCTCATCGCCGGATACGGTGGAGGGTTGGGACGTGGCGGCCAAATGCAGAGCTTCACAGGCTATGTGCAGACATTGGGGGCAAATAGCATGGCGATAGCCTATAGAGTTCTAGAACGACGATGGCATTTCGAGTCCAAGATTACATAGCACATGCGATAGCGGTCTAGATCTTTCGGAATGGTTCGCAGACTGAATAGAAAGGAGGTGGCCACCAGGTCAATCCTGACTCTTGACTCACTTGCTTTCAGGCACCTGGCTCAACATAGATACGGCTTACAACCGACGTATCTCGATTCTAGTACCGCAAGACCCCATCCTCCTTCTCTTTCTGCCCCTTCCCAGCCGCACTGCTCCTGACAAATGGTTCCAGTGGGAAAACCTGCCTCTCAGGCCGCACATCCTGATAGACCTTATCAAACCTCGGTCCAAGCTGCTCCGGAATTTCCCACCTCAGCTCGTCGTCTCTCAACCACAGCCTCACCAAATGCCTCTGCTTCTCAGCGCTATTCGTGAACCCATCTCTCGCATGGAAGATGGACAGGTTATTGGCGAACTGGATATCTCCCTTCTGGAAATCCAGTGTGACCGCAAACCGCTCGGCAAGAAAGTGCAGCGCGTCGAGAGCTTCCGCCTGCGCCTCAGTGATAGGCGGGATGTGTTTAGAGCGCGGCAGAGCCTGGAAGCCCGTGAACGTGCGGCGCGCATACTGGATAATCATGCGCTCTGGGCTTGTCCCGGTAGGCCTTTGGTAGAACAGCAGCGGCCGTTCGGACCACCCTTTTCCCTGGCCGTCGAACGTCTCGCTCACCCACGGCTCCGCAAGTGTGCGGATGAGATCCGGTCGCGTGGCCGCGAGCTCGTTGTACACCCTCCAGCTGCTGCTGAGCTTGCTCTGGCCGCCGGCCGCAGCTTCTTCGAGACAGAAGAGAGCTATCACGTCGCCGCTGTCGGTGTGGAAGACTTGCTTGTCAGTCGTATACGCGGGGGCTCCGATCTTGTTCGCGTCGACCTTGGCGCTGAGATCGTAGATGTGGTTGAGAACGACGTCGGCGGGCTGGCCTTCCCATTGGTGATCTTGTCGTCCGCGCGTATCGGCTACGTGTGCGCTGAGGCCGGTATAGATGGCAAGGATGTCTTCCCTAGAATACTTCTCCACTGGAACGCCCCGCACGACTTTGAAGCCGAAGCTCGTGTGCACGTCTCGAGATACTTGTCTCAAGCTCTCGTGTAGGTCTTTGAGTGGGAATGTGTTCTGGTCAATGTATCCTGGCGGCTTTCCCAAGCTTTTGAAATGCTGCAGCGCAGAGTCGAGTTCTGCGAGATCGCTGGAGGAAAGTACATAAGTCCAATCGTAGCGAGACGCTATGTCTGTGTTGTCCCAGACGAGGTTCGATTCAAGCTTCTCAGGAAACCCGGGTGGGAGCGTAGTAGGGAGCTTCTCTGTGGCTAGACGGTGCTCAGTCCGCGCTTTATATTTGGCATGATCGGGGGCGTAGCTGATGTCTGGCTGACCTGGAGGTCCGGTTGGGATGTCGATTGCCATTGTGGATGTTTGTGCGATTGGTAAAAAGATCAGCACCTTCAGTAATATTTTGCACAGACATTCATGGTTTATAAGTTGTTCCTTGATGATTGACGATGTCGCGATACGCTAGAGTGATGATGCTATAGAGGGGCAGCATTCCTACTATGTAGAGTCAGGTGGGGTAGCTCCGCAGCTGTGGCGAAATATTCCTGTGAAAGGTGATGCATTCTCATTGGACGTCTTTCTACAAAAAATCCCTGCTAATAACCTGCCACCACAGTAACAGCGACTATATCGGCGCAGACCCATTCCACACCCACCCCTCGACCATCGCCAATCGCGGATCCGCGGGCCTAACCTTTGCCCCCTCTGGCCTCTCGAAACTCAACTCCCTAAACTCCGGCGCAACCTCCCTCTCCCTCTGCCACTCCAGCAAGTCCCTGTGATTCTGGCACTTTCTGTTGATCTCAAAGTTGGGATAGGGGTCCGGCTGTCCTTCCATCCAGTAGTACGTAAAAACATTCAGACTAGGCTGGCACGTCAAGTGCTCCAGCAGAACTGCGACGCAGTGATCTTTATGTGCGGACGCAAGCGGTGGTGCTTGAGACTGCGGCGTGTACTTTGGGAAGTAGTAGTCGAAGTGGGACCACTGGCGCAGGAGGTTGACGCAGTGTATCAGGTGCTGCCCGTCGAGGACGCCGAAGTAGCGGTCGGCGCCGTAGCCTGATATCGCGGTGTTAGCAAATGGGAGGATCGATTCCGCTGGGGTAAAGATACGGACCCCATTCTTCGGGCAGCTTTGCGGCGGCTTCTGGGTCCTTGCCTAGCTTGATGATTTCTTCACGTGAGAAATGCATCTGCGCTGGGTACTCGATTGCTTCCCAGGCGGCGTCGACTTCGGGCGATGGAGGGCCGCGGTAAATTGAATAGGGCGAGTTGAAGAAGGGGGCTTCGTAGGTGTGTTCATGCATGCTGAGATTGAAGGACTCGAACACGGGGCCTGATATTGTGTGAGTGTTTGTTCCTCGGTTAGAAACGCATGCTGCAGATGTTCGCCCGACTCACTATATGTGTTCACTCGTTTGAGGAGCCAGTTGGCATCGTCAGATCGTTGGAGGATACATATGGCGGCAATGAGTAAAATGAGATTGATAATTGATATGCAGATGTTGGCATATGTGTGGTTGCTGAATCTTCGTCTAGACGAGGAAGTGTCTCTGGGGGACTGAGTGTCTGACTTGTCTTTGTTAATTGCGACAGTGTTCCATCAAATTGGTATTGCTATCTCACGTAAGTAGTGCTGCCGTTCTCGCATTCTTCGAGTTTGGCGTATTGGCACTTGGGCGAGTGTAACGACCTCTGAAGGAAACTGGACGCTTTCATGTTAGGGACATGAGAAGCAGGTTGCAGCACTCAATTACTGGGACTTTGAAAAGCTCAGCGGGGTATTTCCGCGCCTGGTGATGTGATAGGATAGTAGATGTCGATTCGAGTGTCTTTCCGACCCCATCACTAGTCAAGATACGGGCGTAAGCAGCCCTTTCCATCCTCCAGGATCGCAACTATATTTTCGTACTATACTTCAGCAACTACGCTCCGGGTGACTTGATGCGGAAGGTGAAACGTAGGATAATAGACTTAGAACTTGAAGTAACCCCGAGTACGACTATCACCAGGCCAAGTGATACAGAAGCTTGTGAAGCTTCTTGTTGTAGACAAGCTTCGGGCCGTAGTGTACCTCGTTTGCACCATGTAGCCCGTAGACGAGGTGACTAGTGGCAAAGGCACCCAATAAGTAGTAAGCTTGACCGTATCGTTGAGATGTCCGCCGCTCCGTCTGCCTGAATTTGTCATCTGAGTAGCCCGGATCCTCTAGGATAATGGAATCGGTGAGCTACTGTTTTTCGAGCCAATGGTCTCCGGTTTGAAGGCTGAAAGGTGTTCGGAATGAGAGCCAAAGTGGCAGGTCAGACTATCTTACCCACAATGGAAAGTGAGCGATGTGTATTTTCCCATCCATCGTGACCACTGCTACGGCGCAGAGTCGAGTTAGTCTATCGCCTCAAAGTACACATCCCCATTTCTTATATTTACTTCCCTGTCGGAATTTCAAGTTCAGACCAGCACCCCGTTCAGATTAACGCGAAGTGTATTTTACTATAGCCAACATGAAGCTCTCACTCATATCTCTGACTACTCTCGTGGCTACTGCGGTCGCTGTCCCCGTTGGTAAGACAACGCGCCCTCTTATATACTACTACGACGCGCACATGCTTACCCACTGACGAAGTCGGCCCACTTTACCAGGCCAAGGGCGTGATCAAGACGGCGGACGAGAAACGCGAGCCGCAATACCACGGTAAAAACGTTATCAAGATCGCCGATGAGAAGCGCGAGCCAGTCCAGCCACTCTACCAGGCCAAGGGCGTGATTAAGACAGCCGAAGAAAAGCGCGAGCCTCAATAGTGAGTAAAGCCCCAGTCCTTACCCACTCAAACACGATTGCCTCATACCTTTCTCCACTGCTGTGACTCGCACTGACTTTGCACCTGCGAATATAGCCATGGCAAGAACGTGATCAAGATTGCAGAGGAGAAGCGCGAACCGCAGTATCACGGTAAAAACGTGATCAAGATTACTGACGAGAAGCGCGAGCCCCAGTACCATGGCAAGAATGTCATAAAGGTTGAGGACGAGTAAAGGGGCTGGAAAGTCATCTCTGAATGATAGTCAGGGCGGCCGACGTAAGGATGTTTACATAGAGCAATGCGAGATGGATCGTGACAAATCGGGAACTGTGATTTTCATTGTGAGGTGTTCCTGCTTTTGTGGCTGCCCAGTCGTCCGCGTCCAGATGGCCGTTCATCACTGGTGCGTGCTAGAAGTGTATTCAGGGCGGTTTGAACAAGCGCCTTCATTCGGAGTGAGCGATAACTCTCTCTCTACCTCACAGACTTCCACATCGTCATAGAGAGATTTTTGTCAGTCCAAATTTCATGGAGCGCACTACTACAATAATAGTAAAGGTAGCAATGTGCGAAGTGTGTTGAACATGCATAGTCGGGATAGCCCATGCCAATATGATATAACAACAGTGTAGAATTAACCACCAGTGGTATACGCAATAGTGACGGTCCAGATGACATCAAAATTTGGTGGTATTAGGATCAAGCCAAGCCCCAGGCGTGGTCTTGTACCGTTTCTCAAATGCGCATCGAGCGGCACGAGCGGGTGTTGTAAACTCGTTCCGGGGCTGACGAGCTTCCAGAATCAGGAGCGAGGCCCCCTTCGGCAGTCCGATTAGACATACCCTTCCCGTCTCGTTGACTGGGCATGAAAGAAGAACCAGAGACCCGACCGGACATCTGATGTTGTCTCCTGAAGTAACTGATCTAGTTTCTTGGTTAGCTCTGCTCACGAAAGTATACGAGCTCATCATGCCTCGTCGAGCTCGACTAGTAGTCGGCCTTCCTCCGCAACAACCCTCTTCACGCTCTCGTTGACGTTGCCCTCAAGAATGACCTTACACCCTTTGGGCAGCCATCTTAGAATGCGAAACGCGTTTGCGTAGATGCCACCGTGGTGGCCTGCAGGCAGAGTGTCGAAATCGGGAAGCATGACATCCAGTCTAATCGTGAATGTCCTGAGACCCCAGCAGTAGCGCAGTCCCAAGCGCACCATATCAGCAAAGCTATCCAAGATGTCGTGATGTGAAGGAATAGCAAGAGTGACAGATCGAATGAGCGAGCGCGAGCGCTGGTGTAGTTGTGCCAGTGTGGCGACGCTTGATTCGATGGAGAGAGTGAAGCAGTTCTCAGAGTAGAAGATTTGACGTGCTTCCTTGTAGACAAGGGAACATGTTCGAAGAAGCTCTACGTTGACGCCTGCGTTGTTCCTTGCTTTCTTTGGCTTTGGTGTCTCAGCATCGCCGTCTTTCTCGTCTTTGGATGCCAAGTCCAGCAGCAAGGGTTCGTCTCTGCACAGAGCACACCGGTAGATGTCCATCCGGAGTTCGGCAGGCAGCTTCAGGAACGGAAACACATCTTTGCTTAGTTGCTCTTGTTCGGCCAAAGAACTGGCTTCGGGCGTGGGGAGGCCAATGTCATGCAGCGCAGCAAGCTGGGAAGCGTTGGCAGGATCCCTCATAGCGCGCGCTGAGCCCGAGGTGTCCGTCGGCGGTTTTGCGAGCGAGTCCCAAAGAATGTCTGAGCGAATCCTCCGCTTCTTGGTCGGTGGTTGGAGTCCTACGTGCGCAGCTGATGTTGCCTCACGTTCCCTAATGCAGGATTCGGATGCCTCCTCAACGAGCTCTTCCGTGGGCGCAAGTCGTTTTGAGCGCGCCATCGTGCGTGAATTGATATTTCTTCCGAATGGGAGGCCGAGACGTCCAACACTTGTTATATGGTCGTGAGCATGGTGAGTCCAGCACAGGTATCGCCCGAGTCCGGTTGTCGTCGCGCGACTCGACTCGACTCGTGGTGGTATGGAGAAGGAAGACAGACAGGCTCCGGAGCACCTGTTACCGTTCGGTGGTGTACAACACAAAATGTGAGCTGGTAATCAATACCCGAAAGCGATGCACCAGGTGGGCATATGAAATATAGCAAGCAGCACACGGGAGCGTGCAAGAACGAAAAGCGCAAACGGCCGCCGGATTGACGTTGGGGATGCATGCTGGCCCGCTTGGCGCGCTAGTTGGATGCGGGGTCGATCTCCAGTCGCATGCTCGAGAAGTGGGCTTAGGGGCTTGCTCGCATTCAACCCATGAGACATTGCAAAGGGAGAAGCAGTATTTTTTTTCTTTCTTTGGCTTTATTGCTCTGCACGCATGCATCTGAGACTCTCGCTATCCCCCGCGAAATCAATGAAATGCATATAATTCCCCCAAGCCTGCGGTCGCAACGCTCCTCCCACGAAAAGTTACATTCAAAGATATCTTTACGCGAACCAGAAAATGCTACACCCGATCCCCCATATGTTGGGATGAAGCCGGACCAACTCGCGGCTTCGCATGCGTGAAGCTTTTCGACTCCTACCCCAATGAACGTTCGAAATAGATGAAGCACCATCAGACTGTCTGCTCCGCAGCGCTGGAATATCAGACAAAAGAAACGAACCAATCCTCTTGCACAAGCCATCGTACCCTATAAGTCTATTAAAGGACCAGCACCCGCGCCACCTTGCTGCCTATTGCCCTGGCCAAAGGGGTTGGAGCTGCCGTAGGGGTTGGCCCCAAAGCCTCCCGCAGGCCCTGTCTGTGCCGGCATCATGCGATTTTGTTGCGGCATGCCTGTAAACTGCGAGTTGAGGAAGGGATTGTTGCCGGTAGCGTTGGCGTTGATCTGGTTCAGACCGGAACCTGCCGAATTGACAAACGTTCCCGGGGCCGTATGCTGTGCCGGAAGTCGGAGGTTTCCTACGTTTCCAAATGTATCCTGTCCCTCTCCTGTTGCAAGCAGAGCGTTGAGTCTTGCTGCATTCGGGTCCATTTCCTTTTGAGGTTGCTGGGCCGGAGGCGAGAACGATACCGGCGGGTTGAAGTTCGTGTTGTTGAACTGTGACTGAGTCTTTTGTTCGTACAGCGTGTTAAGCGTCGGCTGCCTCTGCGTCGGCTGCGGTTGGGCAGTCTGTGGTCGATTGAACGATTGTGCGAACGGATTGTTCGATCCTGTAGGTTGCGGAACGAGTGATTCCTGAGGCTTGTTGGTTGCCCAAGGGTTGTGGTTGCCTGGCTGCAGGGTACTCTGGTCTTGCTGCTGTTGCTGCTGACCGAAGCCGTTGTTCATCTGGCCATATGGGTTGTTCTGGCCAAAGGCAGTTTGTTGAGGTTGCAGGTACTGCTGCTGTTGCTGTTGCTGGTTGAAGGCATCATAGTTTGGCTGCTGCTGCTGAGGCATACCATTGTAACCCCCATAGCCAGTTTGGAAGGCCGTCTGCTGGGGCTGTAAACCCGTAGGCTGTGCGTATGCGTTATTGAGATAGCCGGTGCTCTGGGGCTGTTGCTGCGGGTTGTTGTCCATCAAATTTCCAAACCAGTCTACTGCGCCTTGCTGCTGGTAACCTTGGTTGTTGCCCGTGGGCTGGTAGGCAGTGGGTTGGGACGGAGTCTCGCCAAAAAGGAGGTCGGCATTGCTCGATTCAAGTTCCTTTCGCCGCAATTCCTCCTCCTCCTTGCTAAGTTTGATGGCCTTTTGAAGATCGTCATCGTCATCAACGGTAACGTTGTTACGTTCGCGGCGCTTACGCTCTTCTTCGGCCTCATTCTTGCTTGCTTCCAGCGCCAACCTCAACTCCAGGTCTTCTTCATTCTCGCGACGTTGACGACCTTCGCGACGACGGCCTTCTGGAGCTGGACCACCATGCTGCTGATTGCCCCCACCATACTCCTCGATACCAGTGACGCGAGACTTCCAAGACTTTCGGTCTTGCCGCTCTGCACGTAGACGTTCTTCATCCATGACCAGCGAAGTAAGCTCTTTCGCGGCAATACGAACTGTCCAGCGTTAGCGATTTTCCCTTCCATTGCGCAAATGCACGCACTGTTCTGGCCCACATCCCGGCCATCCTCATCGATGTATTGGAACTCGCGCAGTGTTTTGATGATGTAGATGTTTTTCCGCGCCCAGGTGACGACCAGCTCGGACCCCTCATGCAAGCAATAGTCCAGGACCTTGAGGGACTTCAGCACGTGGCGCCAGTTCTTTCCCTTGTCGTTGAGCCGCTTGTCGAGCATATCCATAACTTGATAGAAGTCGGTCGAGCTATTATTCGCGATTAGCGCATTGTTACGAGCTTCGGGACGGCGTCCCTACTTGTTGAAGGTAATCTGAGCAATCTCGGCCATGTCGGAGCCCACCGGACCCCACGGGTCGTTGCTCGTCGCTGTGATTGTCAGTTTAGAGATAGCGATCCCAATTTGAATTGCCGTACCATTTCGGACTTTCACCTCAACCGCAGAATAGCCCTTGGTGACATTCTTGACACTCCTCACTACCTTCGACATGGTCGAAGATGGAGCTCAGTGCAGCGGGACGGTGCGCGCTGCTGTGTGCTGGGATAGCTGAGTCGGACGCGAAGACGGCCGCACAAAGGGTCGGTGGATCGGTTGGGGTCGCGTTGGGCGGCGCAGTGGTGCGGTCGACGATGATGCAAGCCGTTGGACCGCAGCGGCTGTCTTGGCGCGGTAGGACGAGTGAGCGAGGAAGAGTGCCGGCTCGTTGTAGCGGCGATGCGCAAATTCTCTGCAGGAAAGACTTAGTAAGAGTCGTCGTGGTGCACGGGGCTGTGAAGTGGCGGCTCTGCAGCGTGCGGGTGAGCAGGACTGGCTCGGTGGTTCAGGGAGCTGGTGCTGGCTTCGTCACCGGGCTGGGCTGGGCTGGCCAAAGCGTACCCTCGACCCGCTTGCCGCTCAACAAGGCTAAAGACGCACGAGCTCACAATGCGGAACATCTAGGGCAGCTCTACAGGCCGTTGCTTGTCTGCAGATACATATTCCAGTGGCATGGCCTTGATGGTGGCTGCACAGCGCGTGTCACGACCAACTTGCATATCCGAAATGGGTCAGGGATCGCATGCAGGAATTACAGAAGCGCGTCGGCGCGATTTGAATGTCTAAAGCGGATTTACATCCTTCATTAATTACCAGTCTAGAGATTGCCAGTGCAAAGGAAATACCCGAGTAACCTGCGAGCCGCAGACGCCCTTGCCAGTCTTAGAAGGGACACCCAACTCCATCAGTTCCCTTGAACCGTAAGAAAACGCCCACCAGCTTCACAGTAGAGCTTGGTGAGTAGGGAATGCAACAAACGAGATAGTGAGTCGGTCACCAACCCAAACGCAACCAAATCAGAAAAGACTGCAGAGGCAAAGAGGCAGTTAATGATACCCTGCAGATTCATGTACCGCCATGCAGAATGTCCCCGAGATCGAGCAAACACGCCGGAAGAAGCAACGAAATTTTTGTGTAGTTGAAAACAGGGGTATAAGTCCTGCCGAGAACACCGATGTAATGAATTGGAACCTTCAACTTGAGATCTTTGCGGTAGTTGTACAGAGAGTGAGCGACACTTTTATTGCACCGCGGGCGCCCACATTTGCTGGCCCTGATTGGTGCTGTAGTGGTCCGGCTCAGTGCTGTTGGGGCGGCGGATGGTGTTGTTTTGGTAGTACATATTGTGGGGCGGGTTGGCGTACTGCGGCTCTGGGTAGACATAGCTGTTCTCACCAGCTCCCGGAGAGGGCAGAGCCTGGTGAGAAGGCGATTGCCAGCCCACCGCAGTCATGTGGGGGCTTCCACTTGCGCTGTTGCTCCCCGACTGGTTGTGGTTGGCGGATGCCGGCGGCTCCAGAATCGGAGGTGGGCCATAACCGCTAGGGTGCGATGTGATGGCTGGACGCGAGCCGCTCGCAGTCGACGTGTACGACTGCGACGTTAGAGCGGGAGACGCACGCGGGCTGGGCTGGGGCATCTCATTCCTAAGATGAGGCGGCACATTCATGCTACCCATGTACGCGTACTCGGGCTGCTGGCGGTGCATACCGGGAACAACACCCGCAGGCATGCCGCCGGCAGGTGACATGGACGTGAGACGATCATTGGGCGACGGCGTGTTTAACGGAGACGCGGTCTCAGAATACTCCTCAGCATCAGAGCGAGCGGATCGGCTCGGGGCAGATGCCCGGGAAGCGAGAGCTGCGGCAGTGGCTGCAGCAGCTTCCTCGACAGTGCCTGTGTGGTGGTTTTGGTGGCGCGTTAGGGTTGTGCGACGCGTAAACGTCTTCTGGCAGTCCGCGTAGGGGCACTTGTAAGGGCGCTTGCCAGAGTGAATGCGACGATGGCGCGCAAGCGAGCTGGAGTCGCTGAAGGGCTAGGCGAGATTAGAAAACATATTGCAACACGCAACCGAAAGCATACCTTGCCGCAACGCTCACACATGTGGGGCTTCTCGCCGGTGTGGACACGTTGATGGACAGTCAGAGCGGAGCGCTGGATAAACTGCTTGCCGCAGTTGGGGTATTCGCACACATGGGGACGGATGCCGCTGTGGATGCGCTCTGTATACTGTTAGTGCTGGCACTGTTTTGGTGTTGAGGTCCAAGCTCCTTACCGTGACGTGCGAGGTCACTGCGTCGCGCGAAACCCTTGCCACATGTGGAGCACGCGAATGCCTTTGGCGGGCCGTTCTCGTTGGCAGGGCGGCCGCCAGCATGTTGTGTCTGCTGATCCGGCATCTGCTGCTGAGCATACGGGTTTTCTTGTGGATTGGGGATGTAGCTGTTATTGTTGAGCATCTGCATGGGTGCCTGTTGTTGCATGGGCGTGGGCGACGGATAGCGCATGCCGTTCATGTGCTGGGCGGGGATGGGAGGGTACGAGGGGAGTTGCTGTTGGGGCTGCTGCGAGGAATAGCGAGACGAGTCGGACGGGTGTGGCGAGACGCCGCGCTCGGAGCCGTTCTCAGACTTGATGTGGCCGTTCATATAGGCCGGCTGAGCGGCGAAGTGCTGTGGTTGGTGCTGCATGGCGTGCTGCATGCCGAAGGGTGAGCCTGTTCCTGCGTGGGCGGTCAATCTCGCGTTCAAAATGGTGCCCAGCTCCATCGCCAGGGGAAGAGGTCGCGTGGCAGAACAGCGGGCCGAGGGCCCAGCGTGAAAGGACGGTGGGTGCGCACCAGGTAGCTAGGCGGTGAGCCTGCGGCGGCGAGGTGAAAGCGAGGGTGCCGGCGCGGTGGTGGTGATGGCGGCCAGCAGGAGGCGTCGAGGGCGATGTCGAGGTGGCCCGAGTTGGTGTCTGTAGAGATGGGCGGACCGCGTGCAGGCCAATGCTGAGGTTGCACTAGAGCGAGCGTCAGCCAGAGTAAACGGCCACAGGGGCAGCGCTGCCTGTGACGAGCGCAAAGTCGAAGGCGCGCCCGTCGTCGCCGGCATGGCGACACGCAGACGCCCTCGCCGTCCCGAGGACAGAAAGGGGCAGCGGCGCCAGCGCGGCAGGCGGCGGGCGCAGCGGCTTGCGCTCGCGGCGGCGGACGGTGCGAACATACCTACGAGTGAGGCCTGCGGGAGGGCAGGGCAGAGGATGGCTGTTGATGGGGTGTGGAGTTGAAAGGTACAAAGTCCTCTGCTGCTTCTTTGCGCGTGTTGTGATTTCTGAGCTAGCGCCCGAAACAGTTTACGGCTAGTTGCGAGTCGAAAACCCCAGCAAGTGGCAGAGACGATGTGCAGCCGTGGACGCTCAGGCCAGCAGACCAAGGGCAAGGGACGCTGCACTTGTCGAGGCCCCGGCGGACTCTGCTGTCTCTTTCCGGCCGCCTGAAACCCGCAAATCTCACGCAGCTCCTTTCGAGCAACGCAGCCCACGATGACTAACGCGCCGCTGACTACTGTCGCCTGCTCGCCTTCAGCGCTGCGGACCCCGAGCAGAAGACTGGCGAGCGCGCTGGCTGCACTGCGGTGGACGGCTGGCTCGGCCCGGATGCGATCCGTCCTGTGACGTCTCGCGCCGTGTCGTCTGGCTGCGAGTCTGGCAGTGTACCAAACTGTCTCGATTCCCACGCGATCCTGGTCGGATCCGCCCCAGTGGCCGTTGGAGGATCAGATGTGCCTCCCCGGGGTGGCAGAAGCAACGTTGCTACAGCTGCACGCCCGTCAGTCTACCGCCAGTCTATCGCCCGTCTCGGGGAGGAAAGCGCTCGCTGCGCTGACTGTGTCCGCCCAGGGAATAGGAAGCGGTGGGATGCTCACCTGCTCAGCTTGGAAGCGCCCCTATTGTGTGAATCCTTCTGTCGCTGCGGCTAGGTAATGGAAATGCACACGCGAGGTAATGCCCGATTGCAATGCGTGCGTGGGAGGCTCTCGGTCGGTGCGATGTTGAGTGGCGGTCGTTGGAAATGGATGTCTTCAGGCGCGGGCAATGGTGCTTTGCGTCACGGTGCTTTGCTCAGTCACAGGCGTGCGCGTAGCAAGATAATATGGTACCGTCACTTAATCCGCAGTGGGCGCAGGGGCAGCCTAATATTCGCAGATCACGCTTGTTTATACGGGCATCAGGATGGCATTTCATACCACGCTATCCTTGCGCCCACCAGAAGGGCACGCCAGGGCCCTCACCATCCCCACGACCATCTGCCAGACCCACCGCAAGAGTCAAGGCTCAGAGGCACTGCGCCTGTCTGAGCCGTTCTGTGGCGCTGGCGAACAGACAGGCAGCCAGGGAGCGGCCAATCCAACAGCCGCCTGCATAAACCTGCCGCTGGATGCGGCCACGAGAGCGGCGCGCGCGGGGAGCAGAGTCAGGCGCGGTTTCGAAGCAGCTCAGGTTCGCAGCGCTGCGACTTGAGGCGTAGAGCTGTCGCAGGAGCTGGGGGCATCGAAGCCTTCCACCTTCTAGCGGCCTTCTACGGTCCATGCGCTCTCAAACCACGGAACTCACAAACAGCAGAATCCCTGCGGATACCCCAAATTTAGCATGTTGCGAAACATCATGAGCGTCTGCCGCCAGCCGTCGAGTTCCAAGGTGCAAATCGCCTCTCGCGGCCAGCCTGCGAGCCTAGCAGCGCGTGGGAGTGACATTGCGAGCTCTCGGCGTCGCGGCTGTCCGACCCACCCCTGAAGCCATCACGAACCACAGCTTGGGCGCCATGAGCGCCCGTCGTGGGACAGAGGACACACGTCCCCAACTGCGCCGCTGCTTCCCACGAGGCGCGAGGCGCATGTCATCATGGCAGCAGCTCTTGTTCACGGCACATACATAGCACCTGCAGTGCCACCTCCCCTTACTGTGAAGAGTGATGCCCTCCGACAGACCACGTATAACTGCAACATGCTCGAGAACCACCGTCACACGACCCGTTCTGCATCAACATCCGTTACGTTTGAGCGCATCGGGATCGGCGCAGCCTCGTCGTACGGTAGCCAACTCGATCGTCCACATTTCGACCCACGTCAGAAAACCCTATTCCATAGAAGGCATTCTGCTGTACAACTTGGTCGTTCACGCGTACCACAACATGTCAGTACAATGGGCAGATTGCAGGCCGTGGGCGACGAGAGCAGCCGCGAGTCATCGCAGGCAGGACGCCGACCAGAATCGCTTCCGCGATGCCACAATAGCAGTCTGTGCTCGTTACCAAGATGCGGTTGATGCACGGGGTCACCCTAGCCGGCTCCACCTTGAGCCTCAATGCACTGTCTCCGGGCGATCGTCTCACCCTTCTCATGCTTTACCCTCGCAGAGCAGCTCGGAACACCCGCTCCTCGCACCCTCGAGCAGGGCGTCATCTCGGGATACGACCGGGCAGATGCACCAACCTTCTCTCTACTCAGAGACGGGCCAGCGACTGCAGTGTGGCTTTGGCGCCGACCTGTCACATTTGACCGGTAAAACTGCGACAGGGCACCAACGTTTCACAAGTACACATCCTCGAGTTCGACATGCATTTCTTCGCTGTCGGCTGGGGATGCTCGCGCACTATTCTTGTGCCAACGCCACGTCGTGCGTCAGAACCTTGAACGTCTGCCTCACGGACGCATGCCACTGGCCAGCCGGCTGCAGCCCCAGCTTCCGCGTGCATCATCTCCGACGGCGCGTTTTCCAACCAACACCGCTCGGGCACCAGAGCATGGAGCGCCTGGCAGCCCAACCCCCATAGGGCTCCAACTGCATCCAAGCGCTTTCTAGAAGCCTCCCGCTTTCGTGTTAGGGGCACGCTGACCGCTGCCTCGCAATTTGAAAGAATGTCCGCCCACAACAGTCCGCGTCACAGAGTGCGTCGTGCGCAGCCCCCTTGTTTCCAGAAGACTACCCCTTTTACCCTAATTTTCCGCGGCTGGTGCCTGCCCGGCCCTGTTTTCGCCGGTCGGGACCGCTGCGTCATCCCGCGCTCACGTTGTGCAACGCGGTCAGTTCGGCGCGGCACGTTGCGGAGGTCTCAGCTTTGCGTTGCATTGGCGGCGTTGGGACGCACCTGGGTAACTGGCCGCATCGCAAGTACAAATGCTTCTTCTTGCGCGATCTTCGAAGGAACCCCAATTGACAATGTAGGTGTTCTCGGAAGCTGTAGGCCGAAAGGCGATCGAGATCCGTACCTGCGCTTGCCCCTTTTACCGAATGCAATATACGTACAGGCACCATGGGCATGCTGCATCATAGTGCGTCCTGGGCGAATGTTAGTTCTTCCCACTTTGGAAGGTTCCTATTGCCATGAGGCCATTGATGTAATCGCCTCGAACATGTCTCAGCTGGTCAATGCTGATTGTTGTCGTGAACCATTGTAGGGACTACAGATCACTTCAGCACGGGTTCAGACATACTTGTCGAGTCTAATGATCCTCTGATGTGACACTAGTACATGCACAGATGCTTCAAGACGTTGGCGGTTAATTTGTACACTTCTCATGCTCTGCGTGTCGTTCATATCATGTCTAAGACGACTAAATGTCCTAGACTAATCACCGCCGTCAATGGAGGCAAGCAGACATGCGGGGAAAGCCATGTATGGGATACTGACCCATGGAGCCATGGGCCAGGCTCCTTCGTCGATGATTTGCGAGCTATCCAGTAACATTTCTGGACAAACCTGGCCTATCAATAAGCTGGATTCCTCGCAATCAGCAAGCCATCACACAATCAATGATCTTTTGAAACTATTCGTCAGTTAAGACATGTAAATGTAATGCTCTCACACCTGCTATGAAATTATGCTCCAGAACCAACAAGGAATGGGGAGTGTATCTAGCAAGAAAAATTCCAAATGCCAGAACGACCAACGCTCGAATAACCAAACGCGAACAATTGAAAACAGCCTCTAAGTCTACGTCGATTCCCGGGCAGAATGTCTAAACCCTTGGGACGCCTCCAGTGCCAAACAGCTCCATATGTACCCTGTTGTCGTCGACGCCAAAACTCTTCAGCTTTGCTTCTACTTCCAACATGAACTGCGTGGGTCCGCAGACGAAGTATTGCGCCTTCTTATTCTCCGTGAAGAGATGCTCCTGCTCGATCTTGTCTAGGTTGACGCGGCCTTCGACGTCGTAATGCTGTCCCTTGACTTCGCCTGCGACAGGTGAGGAAGAGAAGTACAGCTTGCGAATACTCCTCTCGCGGGCTGCCAGCTCGTCGACGTGCGCCTTGAACGCTCGCACCCTGGAATGCCGCGATCCATGAATCCAAGTAATCGGTCGCGAGCCGCCATCTTCGACCAATGCGTTCAGAATGCTCATCAAGCACGTCAGGCCGACACCCGCCGAGATCAGCACAACGGGTGAGTCCTTCTCTCCGTCGTTGTCTTCGAAGAAAAAGTCGCCAAATGGATGCGACAGCTTGACCACGTCCCCCACCTCCTTCGTATCGTGCAGGATATTCGACAAGTACCCCGCATGTGCCATATGCTTTGGCTCTCCAATCTCAATCTCGGGCTCCCTCTTGACGCTGATCCGCAGATACGGCTTCCCCGGCGCATCGCTCAAACTGTACTGCCGCGCCTGCCACACGCCGCCGTCGAGCTCCTCGATAAACATATTCACAGAGACGTACTGCCCCGGCTTGAACAGCGGGAGCTTGAGGTTCGCGTCCACAGGCTCGAAATAAAACGACGTGATCTCCTCGGACTCCTTTTCTTTGCGTGTGATCTTGAAGTCTTGCCAGCCCTGCCAGTAGCTCGTCGCCGCGTACATTTGCGCCTCTTTATCAATCATGATGTTGGCGAGCTGCCAGTAGGCGGCGCCCCAGGCGTCGAGGAGCTCCTCGGTCGCGGCGTCGCCGAGCACAGCCTTCATCGTCTTGAGCAGGAACTCGCCCACGATGCCGTAGTGCTCGGCCTGAACGTTCAGGCTGACGTGCTTGTGGCAGATGAGCTCGACGGCGGGACTAAGCTTGCCCAGATCATCGAGGTTGGCGGCGTAGGCGTAGAGCGCGCCGGCGAGGGCGCGCGCTTGGTGGCCTGTTGCTTGGTGCGTGTGGTTGAAGATGTTTTTGAGGGACGGGTTCGCGGAGATCATGTCGTGGTAGAATTTTGCGGTGATAGTCTCGCCATGTTGAGCGAGGACCGGAACTGTGGACTTGACGATGGCGGTTTGTGCTGGTGTCAAGGCCGCCGCCATGGTGTCTGCGTGTCAGGATTGGTAGGATGACTTGGGTATATTGAGCTGTTGTTCTGATAATGAAGGTCCAACTTAGAAGATTCAAGTACTTGTGAACTTGAAACTGAATGCAGATGTTTCAATGATCTTTGAATTATCGTCGTAGGCGGTAGGATATGGTTGTGAAATACTATTCTGATGACAAGGAAAAATAAAGAAACATCGCACACCGCGTCTTATATACACGCACTACATCAAAGGGTCCTCCATCTCTTCTCTCGAGTTGAGTATTTCCGCGGAAACTGCCATGCTTCAACAGCGTCCATGGTGTCGAAGAAAACAGGCCATGCCAGGCCTAAACCCGGGACCAGACCCTCGCGCCAAAAACATCAGCTCACTGCCCCTCGCCGCGCGCCGTCAGGAAAGAATTCATTTGCGCTTACGGAAAACATTGTGTGAGTAAGCGGTCGCACAAGTGCAGCTGTTACGTAGTAGCGCGAGAATCTGCAGGGTCGGAGTCGCATTCGCGTGGGTTGCACGCGGTCTGTTCCGCAGAGCCGCTGTTTTCTCCGCCACTCCCGACGTGGTAGGGTTGACAGGTACGACTAGACTTAGCTTTTACGAAGGGTGACGTGATTATTGGGTGTTCTCATGTGCTGTGGCTTTTGTATACTTTACTTCCCAGTGCGAAGAGTTGGTTGCGACCGTCGAGAGAATGTGCACTTGGCGAAAGATAATGCCTCAATGATGACCCGTTACTATACTTGTACCTGCACCTGGATGCACGAAAGCCGACAATGTATCATCAGCACTACGCTGGCCTTGGCACCAACCTATGTAGGCTCGGCCAGCATGAAGTCTTCAACCGCTTCTCCACGTAGGTCACTGTGGCACTCCATGTCGGAGACCAAACCCTATTCAACACGGCATAGAACAAACTCAGCCTAATCGCCAGCCTCTACTGCCATGAAAAATCTCATATGCCGCGCTTGATCCCTTGTGTTGCCGTAGACCATGTGACAAAACATCACCCCACCACGTGAGCTGGCGCGCCGAAACATTCCGACTCCGCCATGCAAAGGGTGTAATCGGAATCCGGGCCGCTGTTATTGGACAAGAATTGGTAATTTGGTTTTTCGGTCACTCGGTGATGGAAAGTTTTTATTACCCTGCTGGTGAGCATTTCTCCGCGGCAAACAAAGGTGGGCCGCTTTCCGGATTCGGATAGGTATGACTGCCTATACGAGTTACCGTGTCAGGTAGATTGTTTTTACAATGCGACCGACCCTGAATATATGGATCAGAGCTCTGGCACCGTAAAGGGTCAATGTGTTGATGGTTCTACGTTTTGTGTCCGTTGCGGCAATGTTTGTGTCATAGCTGACAATACTGTAGCGTTGAGCTGGCGATTTGTGCCGCTCTTGGACGGCGGAGTGGAGTGGAGAATTACATGATTCGTATGAATCTCTAATTGCATTTCCGCTGTCCTTTGTTGCCCACGCGAAGTTAAAGCTGACTAGGTCTATAGAATACAACTATCACGCACACGGGAAAGCTCTGCTCCCCTTGAAAAGGGGCAGTAGCCGTATCAGTGTCGTGAACGGTGGCATTGAACACGGATGTCGGTTCTGAGCGAACGATACCTCAACGCCTCGATGACCATGGACCAGCGAATCAATATTTGGATTGCACTTCCCTTCTCAGGTAAGCTACTGAAAGACTATCAACATTAAAGTTTGTGGTATCCTTTAACACAGCTTTGAACAATACCAAAGTATACGCAAGTCGTTCAAGGAGATTCGTTATGGTATCAATGATCGCTGTGTCGATGCTGTCCAGCCAAGAGGGCTGCAATTCTTTTTTACAAGTGCCGTTGGGTATCAATTGGAAAGAAGGCGTCCGTGGGTCTGCACTCTGCTAGCTGGACGCCGTATATGTTCAATAACGCCGCGCCATGGGTAAAAATCATTTGCTGAGTCGGGTGCAACAGAAGGGCTACTCCATTCCGATGGAGCTTGAACCGGCTTGTCGAGAGTATCCAGGAAATGAAATGCAAGCGCAAGGCAGAAACTCAATGTCTGCAGTCTAATGCCGTGCCACCACGGGGTATCGTCGTGAATCCTACTCCAGGAGCACCACAGCCTTGGACACCAGTGAAAGATGAATTTTCGAGTCGCCCATGTCCGTCCTAAGGAACTTCCTGTTGACCGTCAAGGCATCCGCAACATCCCTGGCCTTATTCAGAGGCTGGTCGCAGTACTGCCAAATCGCTGGAAAGAGGCACAATTTGACCATCTTGCCTATGCATCGCGATGTTGGTATGGTGTTTCCAAAAGGGTCTTCTACCCTCATAGAAGGCTCATCGAATGTTGTTCCTTGCTGAAAAAAGTGGATACAATATTCCAACGGACTCACCAACAGCTTTGAGTAGAGTTTGATCGCACGCGAGCAAAGTCCCCCGAGGTCCCTTGAGATTGTGTCATGTGGATCTGACGATGATGCGAGCCCGAGCATTTGGCTTATCCACGAAGATCTTTGCTCTGCTTTCTGGTGCGTCAAGGCGTTTTGCACTCGGTCCTCTTTGAGTAGCATCTCAGTTGCAAGTAAGTCCAAGCGCTTTACTTCAGACATATCCCCTGTGTCAATTAGCAAAAGCGAAAGTTCGATCAGTATTGCGTCCACCCCGGCCCACCTCAGCGAACCCAGGTATCCAAGGGCGTCCCCGGAAAATTTGAGAAACGGCATACCTGCTGCACCAATCATAGTGTACAAATGTCTGAGTAAATCTGAATGCTGGCTTTCGAGTAAAGGTGTCGGATATTCGAAGACAAATATGAAAAGAAGGCGTGCCAAAGAACCGTGAAGCTTGAGGAGCACATTGTTTTCGTGCGCACCGAGATATTGGGCGCTCTGCTGAACGATGGCTTTGTAATGCGGATCGTTTGAAAAGGTTACGTCGATCGATTCGTACAGTCGCTGAAAGTCTGGCTCCGTGAATTTTCGGTCAGCCAGAATAGTCCCAGTCAATAGTCTACACTGGTGACACAACAATGTCCATTCACCATCGACCGCTTTCGTAAAGGGAGCCTGCGGCGCATGCACGGTCTCAGGCTCGATAGCGCTAACGCTGCCGACCAGACTCTTTATAATACGTTCGTACTTGGTTGTTTTTCTCTCTTCCCCTGTTAATTGATCCAGAAGGGATTCAAAAACATCATCGCGATCGCTGACCACCTCTTTACGCACGCTTTCCAATGTGTCCAGTTCATCATCTGACCCAGTCCAGCCATCTCTGTGACGCTGCAGCAGCCATAATACCATATTAGACAGTGTTTCAATTTTTGCGTCTTTGGCGTCTGGTGGTTCGTTTGCGCCATGCTGTTCAATGGAAGGTTGCCAATTCATTTGAGAGAGATCTGTCTGATCCGTTTGATCGGTCTCTTCATGTTCCTTGCTGGCCACAGTAGAATCTGTTTCACTAGAATCGTGACTCCCGGTCGCGTTTTCGCCAACTTCCTTAGACTCTGCTTGGATTGGCACTGAGATGGGCGGCGTGATGGTCCTTATAATAGTGGTTTTCATGAATTTTGCATTGCTAGTAACATTAGAAGGCGGTTTCCGTGAAAGAGGCGAGGGCTGGTGTTGGAAAGGGGAAGGTCGGGTAGATGAGGGCGGTTGGAGTTCCAGTCTCGATGTTGACTCTGGCTCTGGTCCTTGTTCCGGTTCTGTCGATGTCGATGTCGATGTCGATGTCGAATCTGATTCTGAAGCCCGAAAGAGTTTGTTGCGCTCTGTTTCTGCTTCGTCGGCCTGTTGCACGGGATTAGACCTTGCCGAATTTAAGATACGTGTGCACCCGTAATACAACTTACAATGATGAGAGGGAGCCCAAGCTCATGTCGCATATCATTATATTCAAGCACTGGAAATTATACCAATTAGCAGGTCAAACTTCGGATGCTTGTAACGATAAGAATCTGTGAGGGTTTCCAAAGTAATGCAGTCACGTACCCAGCTCCTCAGGCGCGCGATGCCACTCAATGCATCGACTGCCTTTCGACACCACCTCCCGTTTGCTGACGTACTTGGACCCTATTTTGCCTGCTAACTCTTGCAAATATACGACGACTTTGCCTTCGGCGGTTTTCGCGTTCACTACGCGTCCGAACCTCTTCTGGAACTCCTTGACCAATGTTTCCTGGAATCGATCATCATCGCCTTGCTCTATGCACCAGTCGAGCCAGTTAACCAAGAACACGAGCTCGGTTCCTTTGATGCGTGGTTTGGGCCCTGTCCGCGGCGTGTGGGTCGTTCCACGCGCAGCAGCCGCTGCATTAGTGCTGTCGTCGGGAGGTTCGGATGGAGCGAAGCGGTACGGGCCATTGAAGCGACCGCGACGACTCCCAATCGTTTTAGGCATTATAGCTGCCTAGCAGCTGGTGATGGTCGCGACAGGACGCGGCAGTGAGGATGTGGAGGTGGAGAGGAATCGGCTAGAAACCTTTTGAGATGCGAATCATATGACTGGCCGGCCTAGACCGGTAACAGAATGGCGTCTGTTTTAATCATGATTAGCTTGCACGGCACAGGTGGGTACAGTCGACACAGCCCCAATTCGCTTTAGACTCGTATAGATGATCGGGGTAGCGCCTGTACGTGGATGTCATTGGTGCGGGACAAGGATGCGGCTGTATCGAGGCGCTCCAACCGAGCGATTCCATACGTTACAGTTGACCGATCGTGTTAGTGTTAGCGGTGAACATGCCAGCAGGTGGCCTTGAGCACATCGACTTGATTAATGCGCCGCGACTCCCCGAAGTACGAGGTGCAGAAACAGCGAGTCGATGTTGACCTCACCCATCGTCCGCAATAATTACTTTTCGTGGCCAATGTCTTGGCCCAGCCGCGTGCAACCCCAACGCATCTCACCACACTCGTCCAGGAACACAAACTAAGCGCAGCAGCTCGGCGTTATAATGCATCGCGTGCATCCATACACCATAAGCCTCTGCAGCCCCACCCAGAGGCCGTCGCGCTTTCCATGTACGCGCGGATACCCTGTGATGGGGAAGCCCATCACTTCGAGTTGCGGCTTCAAATCGAGTCTCAGAGCTCCACATACCAGACGTGTTGGCTTCCGTTTGAGCACTCGAAACATGGACCAAAAGTGCATCCCGAACCAGCGTGTCAAGGCTAAAACAATTTCCAGATGCTCACCATCGGCTCGAATATCGATTTACGATACTTTGAGATCAATGCACATAATGTTCGGAAACAACCAGATACGCCGTGCATTGATTATCTGACGATGGTCCCTTGACCCATAGAAACGGCCAGAAGCTCCCGGGAACACAACTAGGTTGGCCGTGGAAATATGATTCACTTTGCCAGGATAGAGGGAAAGACGCAACAGTAAATGTTCACACATGTCGTAGTTCAAGTGATATGAGGGGTTATCAGCATACCCGATGCAAAGGTTTAAGTTAACGGATCTGCACAAGGGCGAAACACATGCTTAACTTATCATCGGATCAAAAGCACTAGCTCATTCTCCACGCATGTCTATCTACCGCTAAATTGCAGATCATTGGGCACTGTGTCACAGCAACCTCGTGCCGCTCGAAAACGTGAACTCCATCTGAGATGAAAGTCCTCCGATATGTGCCCAATCACAGCCCTACGGCGTTCCTTGATTACTTCAACATTCCTTCGGCTTCTTGGGCGTGATCTATGCTAGAATTTCGTCCTGATAATACTCCATTCGGCAAGTCATCTCCGATTCGTGTTCACGTATTCTGGCCCCCATTCTTCCGCGGAGGATTATAGTGGCTTTCTCGATTGGACGGCTATAATGTGGCTTCGTATCCACATACCAAGCTATGGCGATCAAACGTGTACTGCAAAAAGGGGTAATCTAGTGAGAGGTAGACCGCGGCTGGGGCTCACATTGTTGGTACATGTGACTCGGCGCGCGCTGGTGGAGCAATTCGGGAATCTATGTGCAGTACATTGTTATTGAGCGTTTTCCTGGTGGGTTTAATTGTGCTATTACGCCGGGCCCGTGTATCTCATGTAGGGAAATGGAGATGACGCAGCCGAGGAAGGCAAACACACATTCGAGATTCCCATGGTCTGCTGGCTATCGAATCTCCTGCAGTGTCCGTATGACCCAAGGACAAACAAATCCGGGTCGGGTGTGCGAGGTTGTTGAGGGGGCGTCGGAAGCTGCTCGAAGGTGTTGTGCGTCTGTTGTGGTGGCGTATACAAGTCCTCTGCTCCAGAAGATACCGACGGTGTATACTCCACGTTGGGCATCCAAATCGGAACGTTCCAAGTTGACATGTTGACGTTAGAAGTATGTCCATACATCGTATTGTTCCAGGTGCCTTCGCAAGCGGTGTAATTTTGGGATGGACGACCGAACTGACGATCATAAGATGTTGTTGCAGCCGAAAAGATAGAGTCCATAGAGTTGCCACTTGTTACTACTGTTGGTGGGAAAAGGGCGCTGGATGGGAGTGGGAAGGCTGGTGCTGCTTGCGTCTGAACCTGGTACTCTGGTGTGACCATGCGTTCCTGGTGTGCTTCTTCAACAGCTTGCGCAGCATCTTCTGGCGATTCCCCGTCTCTCAGAAGCTGTTGCAGATATTGCAATTTCCTCTTGCGCTTCTCCCCTGAACGCTTGTCAGACACAGTTTCATTGATAATCTGGCGAATCACCCACTGTAGTTTCTGGAGGCGATTCGGTTCTGCTGTTTCCTAATCTCGCTGTTGACTTTCTTGGGTTTCGTTCCCGGCTCCTGCCTCTCAAAGTCTTCGTTTGCCCTCCTGCTAGACGGCCTTGGTGTAGTATGAGACTGGTTCGACAGCATGGCGCCAGCAGATGGTACCATCGAATGCAGTGTATTAGCGTGCGAAAACAAGGCAAGAACCCGCGCTCGATGGCTCTTTTAGTTCGATGGAGCGGACCGCCAAGGAGAGCCGTTGTATATGAAGGTCCGGATTCTGGAACACCGTAGATGGCCGGCTAGCCGAACAAGGTGGTATTTCCAGCTAACACCTTTTCTTGGAAAGCTGAATAACAACGACAAGAATAGCAGCGTATGTGTATTCCACAAGTAAACTCCGCAGTGGGTCCTCCCGCCACGAACTTGACCTTGATACCGCCTTGCTATGTAGGCATGGATCAGGAAAGTGGCGTTCGTCGTGAGCGCGCCTTTCGCACATCGACATGTGCTTCCTGGAGATGCATGAAGATCGGTGCTATTGGCCATCGGTAACTCGGTGCACAGGGCTCGTGGAGGTTTAGTTAACAATGACCACTTTCGGCATCTCAGCCGCTCGAATGCGAAGTCTGATACTCGATGAATCATCCGATCAACTGCGAGTTTGGTCCGTGAGCGCTCTCACACACACAAAAGACATGTGAGCGGTGGACACAAACCACAGGCTCCACGACGAATCAGCATAACATCGAAACATAAGCGGACGCGCCGCTGCCTGGCGAAAGGTCAAACTGCAGGGAAAGTCGCGAAGCATCGTTGAAGGATGCCGCATCGATTTCCCGGGACCGTGTTCATGCACGCTTCAGCTGTACTAGATCTAACAGGGATTAGCTTTATGCTTAAATTAATCTTGCGCCAATGAACTGTGATGAGAGGTGATGCGTAAGCATAGGTCCGAACGGCTTGACCGCCAGACGGCGACCTCAGGGTGTGCACCGGACTTATTTGTCGATTAGAGGTTCTACCAGGGGCGGACAGACTACTTGTTGGAGTAACTATTTGAATAAGCGATTACTCGCCACGCGGACAGCGGTGCATGGTTCGGCCCTATGAAGCCACTCCAATAGAATGACTGCATGTTGCACCGACTGCTTGCTACCACAAGTACATCGGTCTGCTGTCTTGATCTGCATTGACGCCTACATCTGGCCAAGTGACCTCACTAGGAGGCATACATACTGTGGGTGAAGATCTGGCGCAGGATTGAAAGTGAGGAATTGATCCGTGGTGAGATCGAAACCGGAAGTCCGGGTGCTACACTGTTGCTCTACGTTACCCGATGTTCCGGAGCTGGCGGGCAGACAATATCGATCACTCGTTGTGAAGTCACCGCTTTGCGAGAATGGAGTGAACCAAGTCATTATTCAGTGTCCTACCAGTATATCCCCTAGACTGCAGAATTTGTCACCATCGAAGGGGGTGTCTTCTTGCGGATGTATACTGATCATGCAGCTCAGCCGAGCCTTTGCTGCTTCAAGCTCAACACTTGGCTCATTGGACCGCGCACGCTTACGAGTTTACTATCCGGGGAAAGCACGGTGGCAACCTTGCTGCAGTTTGGAATATGCACGGTGGACGTGGGGAAAGAATTTCAGCTGAGCCGAACAAGTTAAGTTCCACTAGAAGTCGGAGTCAAAACGGGATCCTTTCATTGTCATACTCAAAGGGTGGATTGGGAAAGCGAACGCACCTCCACACATAAACGCGGTTGACTACGATAGCTGCTCTATGCAAGTGTAACATCATACAGTACAGATTTCCTTTCAAAAAAGTTAGCGGAAAGATTCAGCGTAGTTAATGGCGAACCACTCAGCAAACTAGCAGTGGATAAGCTACTATCCATAATACACCATCTCCGATATGCACTAGGTGCACGGATCCTCTTACTTCATGCGTCACACGCAAACATCTTAGACTATCCTTGCCCCTTCGGACTGTCGGAGACTCTGTACGACACTGACTACCTGAACTAGATTCTTCCATCCAAATTTAGGTATGCTTGCTAACACATATGCTCCGGTCTCGCTTGATGTGCAAGAGCTCTGGAACCCTAAAGATCAATACGTCAATGCAAGTTTTCAGCTACAAGTCTCCGTCTCATCGTCCACTGCTGACTATTGGTAGAATTCGACAACCATATCTTATACACCCCTTCAGTGCTGACAGATATGTCTCATGGGCTACTTGTTCGTCCAGTCGCTTGACACAGAGCAGTTAACAAAGAAAACCTTCGACACATAGACGGTCGGTTGCATGACATGCAAATCGGGCCTACCTTCAGACGCTCGATCGCCCCAAAGATCAGTTCACAATCGTCCCTCCCCTACGTTCCATGATCCGACCCACGATCTACTCCTCCCCTTTACCCGTACAATCCTCTGCCAATTCCAAATCAACACAAACACTACCCTGTCACGCATACCAAGACTTTCCCAGCCCCCAAATCCCCACCCTAGTAGCCCTAAGCTTCGTGGCTTGAGCCCACATCAAGCCTAGTATGACACACAGCTGACCTTGGCCGCGGTGGCTGCAGCAGATCATTATAATATATCTCACGTTTCCGGTGCATGGTACCGCAGCTGAGGACTGATGGGAGCAAAGGATTGGTCGGAGGTGAAACGCGGCATTCACGCACGCGTAGGTGATGTCGCTGTTCGTTCATGAGCGTGTGCATTGATGGTGTGAGCATCTCATTACGCATCATCTTATCCAAAGGACAGGACAAGGAGCAAAAAGACCCACTGCACTTCACTTGCAACGCACAATGAGTACAAAGCGAAGGTTTCTTCATTGCCAAGGGTACCCGATGGTACCATCAAAAACCAAAACAGCTCAAGCCCACTGTACGTGAGTCTCCCATGCCATCTAAACGCCAAGCTTCATGATAGTACAGCATGCACACTCGCTATGCTTAAGACAGACCCGGTGAACGCCACTTCGATACCAAACCCGATGAAGGTCAAGCGAAACCAGACCTAATAAACATCAATCCAAGACCAGACCCGATGAACGCCAACCCAAAACAAAATTCAATGAACGACAACGCCATTTCGAAAACCAGAATGCCTCTATGCACATCGTAGGCCATAGGCTCTTTGTTTCCAACACGCCGTAATAAAAAAGGCCTTGAGACAAGAGAATGGAATAAACGGGCCTTGGCGCTAGATTGCATCAACGCCGATAACCAAGTCGTCCATACTACGGTCCATAGTTGGGCCGGGCAGTTGGTCGTGGATTGTAAATTCGGATTCCCTCGCGGTACTCCCTCTGAATTACCTCACGTTCTTGCCGCATCCTTTCTGCGTCCAGAGCTTTCTGCCTCTCCTGCCTCTCCGCCTCCTGGACTCGTACTCTCTCCCTCTCTTTCGCCTCCTGTACCCTTCGCTTTCTTTCCGCTTCTTGGGCTTTTCGCGCCTCCCGCACCTCCCGGATCGCCTCTTCTTCAGCACCATGCTACGGGCCACGGTTGGGCTGGGGTGTCGGTCGCGGGCTTGGATTGTAAGTCCAAGCACCCTCACGGAAGAGCCTCTCCTTCGCCTCCCGGTCTTTTCGCCTCTCTTCTTCAGTGACCTGGTCGTTGGCCCAGTAGGCACTGCTTGTGCGCTCCCGGAAACGCTTATGCCTCTCCTTGTTCGGAAAAACTTGCTCCATGTTAAGAGGCGCAATCGGACCGAACACCTGTTCCGGGTCGACCAGTTGTTGCTGCGTCAACAACTCTCGTAGATTTGGCGTATTCACCCAGCTGGGCTGCTCGAAGTCGTTGTCCGAGTCCTCGTCTTCAGAGTCGGTCAAGATGTCTGGCAGCTTGATGTCATCGCCATTGGGATATTGTGGCTGTGGAGTCTTCGCTGACTGAGAGGGCTCGGCAAATGGAATCTTGCCCTTTGCGAACTGCGAGTTCGGATGCGCGGGCGTGATAGGGTTCAGCTTTGCCTGAGTCGAAGGACGCTTAGGGGGCCGCTGGAGCGTAGACTCGTCTTGCTCGAATGGTCGCTTCGCAGGCTTAGCTGGATTAACCGGGGGAACGGGGACTTGAATGCGGTTGGCGTCCTGAATTGTTTGCATGCGCGCAACCGGGCGGGCAGATGCGAGGTCTGCACGCGTCGTAGCCGGAACTGCCTTTGGCTTCTCAATGGGTTTCTCTGCCGGCTTTTGTACAGGTGGCCTCGCGACGCGAGGCGCTGGTTTGGGAGCTGTCTTGTAAGATGCTCCAGACTTAGTCGACAGAGATGATGCTGGTCGGGGCGGTGCGGCATGAGTAGGCTTTGTGGCAGGCGGACCCATCCTCTGTGTAGAAGGAGCTGACTTCGCTGCAACCGGAGCGGTAGTTGACGGAGCAGGGACTGAAGCGGCGTGCTTGGATGCAGTAGGCGGAGCCTGGCCGTAACGACTGTTGTGCAGAGAAACCATAATCTTCTGGGGCTTAGCCTTGGGAAGCGTCTCCTTGCTGTTGGGCTTGACAAGCTTCTTTGGTTCAGGCTTGCGCGGCTCTCTGAGCTTTGTTCCAGTCGTTGGAAGAAAGCTCTTCGGAGGCGGCGGCGGCGGCATCTCATCTGCCGAGTCGGTCTCGTTAGAAGAAGCAGTGTTTGCCCGAGCTGGCTGAGGACGAGATTGCAAAGCCTGGGCAATTGCGACTGGCGTCTTTGTGGTAGCCGCAGGGACCTGTCTTAGGCTTTGTTGCGAGGTCATTGCTGATGGCGTCTTCGTGGTCGTAGCCTTGGTCTTCTGGTGATGCGCAGCAGCTTTGAGTTGTTCTTTCGAACGCATTTCTTTAAGTCTATCGTCAAGACGCTGCTTCTCCCGGATGTCTTTTTCCTTCTGCTTCTCTCGTTCAGTAGAGCTGCGAGTTCGTCGGCCATCCTCCTTCGCAGGGCTGCTAGACGTCGCGGAGGCTGCCTTCGACTTGCTAGATTTCAGAGACTCTTTAGAGGGGGACCGTAAGTGTGAGAAAATGGATGTGCCAGCTTTCTCAGTGCGCTGTGGGCTGCGGAAAACATCATCACTGGACTGCTGATCCTTGATTGTGGGGCGCACAGGGCTTTGAGCAAGTGCATCGAGTTTGACCTGCGCACTGGTGGCGCTTGAACCAATGATCTTTTCTTTGGCGGCACGGAGAGCTGAATAGAACTTAGCCTTGGACGCGCTGAGAGGGCCATCCATGTATTTCTTACCAGTCGGGGAGCCTGTCGGGGTGGTTGACTCCACGACTGCCGGAAGATCAGGGTTAGAGACGCAGATTGGCTTGGGCTTGGTCTTAGAAGGAGATGGCCGGGCTTGCTCGGAGTGGCTCTTGCTGAAAGGAGGGCGCTTAGGGCTCTGTGCCGGGGCAGCAGTCCGGATAGGCGAGATCCAGTCATCATCGTCTTCACTGTGCTCTAGATCTGCAGGAGGAAGGCTAGGATACGCTGGCTGTGATAGGGGTACTGGCTGCGCCGACTGCGGGGGTTGCGACTGTTGCGACGATTCCTTCAATTGTGATGTAGAGAAGCTCGTTGCTTGACTCATCTGTGACGCCAGGATATTCTGGCTGATTCGCTTCGGTGCCTCATTTTGCTGCTTGAGCATGTTGATGCGCTCAAGAAGGCGCTGAGATGACGTTTTGTTGTGAAGCTTGGTCGCTTCCAGTTCCTCACGTGGCAGCTCTGCTCGCTCCTCGTCCACATCCATTGCATCTTGCTGAGGTTCTGGAGCCGGTAATTGAGAGCCACCAAGGCTTTTGCCGCCGGTGAATCGACCCAAGTTGCTGCTCCGTGCCTTGTTCAGGTCAACATGGCTGGTTCGAGATGTTCGATTGCCCATGCTTTTCTTTGCAAGCAATGGCTCGCGTGCTGGCAAGGATGCAAACGTGAGACTGCTCTTGCGGACGAGTGGCTTCACGGGACTGGACGAGTCGGAAGGCGATCGAACATCGTCATCAATTTCCATGTTATCTTCGACCTCGTGGTGGACAACCGTATCATCGTGCTGTACTTCCTCGATTTCGGCGCGTTCTGAAGTAGTGAAAATCTCGGCCGGTGGCATGAGTGTTCTCGGTTCCGGCACGTCTATGTGCTGATTCGCAGTAGGAAGCGCGGCGTGTGTGTCAGCGGAAATGCTATATGACTCTGAGACACGTCTTGGTGGCTCTGGGAACGCAGGTATGTCGTCGATTGCCATATCATCGGCATCTGAACTCTGATCGTGGCGAAAAACAGCACCCCGAGCGTCGGACTCTGGCTCATCCAGCCTGGTCTCGTCGACCTCCATCGCGTCGTGCCCCTCGTACCTCGCGCGCAAGTCTTCGTTAGAAGCGCTCTTGCTGTTGCTGTTGCTGCCAAAGGCTTCCTTGGCTGATACGAACGAGTCGCCGGTATCACGTCGTTCTTCCTCACAAGCCTGTGTCGACGGTGCGAAAGACTGTCCAAAGGACTGTGTCGCTTGCGTGGGCTGTGTAGACTGTGTTTGTGGTGGAGAAAACACATCATCGTCTTGAGAAGGGGCGGTGCCCTGTGTCGATGCTACTTGGCTATACTGCGATGTGGCGGTAGAATGCGCCGTCGCGGGTCGCCGCTCGGGGGATGTGTGCTGGCTGCGATATCCATAACTGCCTCGGTTCTCCTTGTCTTTGTTGATTAGGGTCGCAAATAGTGAAACAGCGGGCGACTTCGCTGGCGATCGTGCCGGTATGACGTTCTCAGCATCTTCTGCGATGTTGAAGCGCGATTTGATTGGGCCTTTGTTGAGGTGGCCCTTGAGGCTCTGTTCGGCCGCACTGGCGCGGCGCTGTGCATTGCCACTAACAATGTTTCCTAGAGGCTGCGGACAAGTCAGGAGGTGGTCGGGGATCAGATTGGAGCAAGCGTGTACCTGGCGCGTCTCTACAGCCTGCTTGCGCGCGGTTCGCGGTGTCTTTCCGCGTAGTTTTCCGGGTGTCTTGAAGACGTCCAGTTTGTTCCTGAGGGCTGGTCAGCAACTGCGCCAACAGAGTGGGCAGGCGCGACGTACTGTCCATTTTGTGCAAATATCTCGGCCATGTGCTCATTGAGCCATTCAAGCTCATTGCGCACCGAGAAGCCAAAGTCCTCGACCTCCTGTGCGACCAAGTCATCGGCCTGCTTCCTCTCATCGAGGACCCAGCGTGCAGACCCTATGGCAGGGACTCTGCTTCGAGCGGCGGCCATCGCGTCGTTTCCTGCGGGCGTGTGAAATCCAGGAAAGACGCGTTTTGCAACGTATCAGGCGGGATAGGAACAGTTATTGTGGTCCAGTATACTAGCTGAGCATGGCGCACTAAAGCTTGGGGGTTGTTGTGCGTGATTGTCGCGGTGTGGTTGCGGTGTGTGGAGGACCGGGAAGGTGCGAGCACTGACGAGCCATTTGTTGTGAGCGAGTGGGCCCAAAACATTGCGCGCACGGACAGTCGCGGCCGCTAACACTTGAAAGGTACTAACGGCCTCGAGACATCTGAGATGATCGGAATCGCCATCGTGTATCAAGTCCAATACCTAACGTCGTTCCGGCATTTTTCTCATCATCAAATCTGGCTGCGCATTTGAAGGCGTTCATGCATGTCTAGTGGGAGATCTTACGCGGCCGCTACTCCGCGACGCCCGAGGGTACCAAGGCAATGCTAGCTGGCAACACGATAGCTTCAGATCATCCAACCCCGCAGACCGTGCCATAGTGTCACGGACCTCACACGCACACTTCCATCCTGAACTCCGGAATGCCCATCGGGGACTGTTTTGACTCACCAGCAGGCAGCCGTTTTACGATTCCCTCTTATTTAGCGGAGGAGCTGACATAAAATTGTACTCCGCTGTAGCATTTTTGTGAGTGCGAACAATAGGGTAAACTGCGGCATTGTAGTTTTACAGGCGTCTTGCAGAGCGATTCATGACGGGACTGGGTGCGCTACGACCGCAATTTTGGGCATCATCCACTGCGCAGCGTTGTCGATTAATAGAATGGACTTGCTTCTTACAAACGCAGGGAAACGGACTAGTGGCCGAGATGTCTATCTGTACCAAAGTTTGTCGTCTGCACGTACCTGCATTTAAGACCAGCAAAGTGAGGAATCGACATCTCCGAAACCAGTGCAAATCACCGTTCCGCCCTACTCATAATCGAGTGCACCGCTGCATCTTTAGGCTGGAGCACCGCTAGGCAAAGTTCATCAAATTTGGAAAGAGTTGAGAGACGAGGTCCTTAAGCTAAACATAGGGAACATGAGCTGGACCGCTTTGATTGCAGCCGCCAGGGAGAACCTATGACAGCGTGTCAGTAGGTCATGGTCACGATATATTGTATCCAAGAGCTTGGACGGTACCACGTTATTGGACGTGGCACACCTGCTATCATCCCAACAACCATGTCTTCATGATGGGTTCAAACGACCTCATCATTGGCCGTCACTAATGACTGTACTCTCAAAAACTTATAACAACATATGCTTCTTCGCTTTTTGCACCAGAGCGCAAACCCAGTCCGAATTTACAGTGGCAAACCGCCACCATCGAAAAGTTCCCGTACCTGCTGGGTGCTCTAGCTCCTCGCCGATGAGCGTCAATGATATGAACCTGCCAGGAGCGTGGCCGCCTGAGCCTGCAGACTCAACAGTCTCTGCATCTATATCACCATCCCCCGCCCACTCGGCGACAAGACCGGTGGCTCTGATACACAGGAGACGTCCAGGCGCCAGTGTCGTAGATAATCCCATTACAGTGCATAGCCGATCGAGGCACGCGCATAATTCCGGTCCTATTCGAACACATCAATCGGATTTCAGCACTATAGAGGCGAATCCAGTGAGATCTAGATCGAACGATCGATCGGGCCCCAGCGTCTATCCTTACTTAACGCCAAACCAACATACAATGAAGAACGAGCGAGTGAAGACACAGGAAGCGGTACAAAAAACGACAAGCCACATACCCCGAGCATTGCTGGAAGCGCATGCACCACCTAAGAAGGATTGGGAGGCCAGAAAAGGACATTGGACCCAGAAAGATATGAAGCGATTCCAACAGAAACTGGAGGACCTTTACAAAAACGAGCACGAAGGAGAGAAGCAGGTTACTGACTATGCACGGGTGGACGACGGGCACCGCTCTACATCCATCTCTTCCGGCATGGAGGCGTCTAGAGCACTCAGGGATCCCCAAGGAAATGTTTCAAAAGCATTTGCTTCTTCGTCAGCGCCTACGCTGACACGATATATCAAACCGAGAGATCAGCAGCACTCCCATGATGGGAGCTCAGTTCGGACCGACTACTATCATCACACTGAAGTGACGCCTGTTCCACGGTCTTCTGATCCAAGTGCAACTAACGTCAACAATATAGCTAATAGCTCTGCTTTAACGCTAGGACTGATGGCAGATGCGACGACGTGCACCCAGACTCAGGCCCACAAGGAGGTAGATCAGCGAGCTCATGATCTGAAAGCGCGACAACGGAGGAATCATGAACATAGGCGTCTGCTTGCTCGAATGGAAGCTGCGAACAGAGCACATGCGAACAGAAAAGCCACCGCTGAGCTCCAGCAGATCACAAAAGGTATGCAGAATATGAGGATCTCGCATGTCGGTGGAGGAGTTTCAGCGCCGCCTGTCCGACTTGAGATCAGACCGTCTCCCTCCGCCAATTCCAACCAACAGGCAGAACGAGTCAACACCGTATTTATGCCCCCCGACCCTACGAATAACGGTGTTCTCTTTGCTACGAAACAGTCGCTATTCGTTTCTGGCATTGAAACGAACGATGGTAATCGCTCCGAAGGCACTCTGTCTCACAAGCACACCCAGAAACTCAACTATGGCCAGCCCATTCAAGACACCAGCACAACTAGAGATGCTACAGCCATCCGTACGATCGAAGAAGTAGACCGGGCCCGCAAGATGCAAGAACTCCACGAACAATTTCTCAATGGTAGAATGTTGGCCACTGACGCGCTGGCCTCTGTCAAATCCCATGCCCAAGATGATCAGAACAACAAGGCATACCTTCCCTTCTTCAAAGACACGGGAGCCGAGTCCACTCATACCATGTTGAACAAAGACCATTTCCTCTCTCACCCAAACGATGACCAGCCCAGGAGGCCGAAAAGCGACCATCACCCCTGCAAAAGGGCACACTTCCACCCCACGGACATGATGGCAGTGCCGAAGCCGCTGTGTCTCGATCCCGCACCGACTGCAGCGGCAGCTGACGATGCCAACCTGGATCTCTACGGTCCCCCTTCTCCACGAGTTACGTTCCCACCTGCTAGAGGTTTCACGGATATCCCGCTCTCTTCTCCTCCACATCAGGGTAGCCTGGAGAATGACTTCGTTGAGGTGGATGTCGAAGAGCTCGACGGCTTGGAGTGGGAGGTAATAAACGCGTAGGCGGCTGAAAACACGAGGAAGACAGCAAAGGTGAGTGGTTGGTGGAGTGGGATGAGTATCGTTATAGGGTGGAAGAGGTACGGCGCGACGAAGTGTTGGGGAGACTGGAATGCGTAGAATCGCGATGCGTGCGCGGCCTGTTTTGTGGCAAGATGCAACAGATACAGATAACAACCTTGGAAAAGCGATTCTTTAGTCTACTTTTTCACACTGACGTGTTGCCAAAGACTGAACACGCTCGTAATGACGAAACTATTGATTTCTCATCATACTACTAAGATACGTGTATCTGCTGATATTCCATCCTTCCATCCATCGGGGTATATTCCAAGAACGAGTGCACGCCAGCCCATATGCGTGGCTTCCTAATCGCAATGCAATGCAAAAAGCCCCCCAAAAAAATCATAAACAAGAAAAGACCAATCAAACCTTCAACCGTGCTTTTAGCCAGCCCCAACATCTGTAGCGACAGTACTGTTACGAAGGCGCCTCATGCACCATCCTCCCCTCCGCCTCCACGGCCCCATACATCCCTTGCTCCCCGCAGCTCGTCACCCTGTCCTGCGGCACCTTCTTGTCTCTGCTGACTCCGTTCCACGCCTTCCAGTTTTTAGGCGGGTCTTCGGTCGTGCTGACGCGCGGTTCTTCGCCGTAGACGTTGCAGCCGATGAAGCCATCGGCGTTGTATTGTACTTCTGACATTCCGGGTGTGGGCGGTGGAGCGGCCCAGTCTTGGTGTTGTTGTGGTTGTTGGGCGAGCTGCGCTTCGCGCTTGCGGCGGCGATCACGCAGGACGAGAAAGACGATGGCAAAAACAAGGGCGCCAACGATGATGAGGCCGCCCAGCACGCCGCCAATGATGGCCGGAGTGTTGTTTGGCTTGCCATCGCCCTTGGCCACCTGTTGCGGTGTTTCGGTTGGTGTGGGAGAGGTTGTAGGCGATGTTGACAACGAGGATGATGTGGAAGAGTCGCCGCTACCAGGAACACTGTAACCGCTCCATGTGAGTGGTATTTCCCCTGTAGTCGCTGAGTCTGTGCATCCCCATTCTTTCATAGTCGTGGTACGTCCGGCGGTAGTATACACGAAGTGGAATTCATAGCACTCAGGGTTCGCAGTGAGACTGCATTTTGCGATGTAGTCATTGGATGAACAGTCGCGATCGCAGCTTTTCGACAAGAGGGTTTTGGGCAAGCATGTCGTGTAGAGCGTACATGATGAGGCAGGCTGGTAGGGGTCACAGCATCCATGGTTGCCGTACAATGTGTTGGTCGCGCATTGGTATTTAGATTGACGGCAGGTGAAAGCTGATGCTGTTGCACTATTAGCATTTACATCTCAACTTTGATAGAAAAAATGCGCACTCTGAATGCCGTCAAAGAACCCACAAGTTCCGGCCCGTGCAAAGGTTTGCCACGGCTCATCGTCGCGCCTCAAGAGTTCGATCACACCGAAACGTGGAGCCTTTGTGGGGGCCGGATTCCACCCATCAACTGCCGGCGAGACCAAGGTGGGTTTCGGCACAGTAAAGATGGCAGCTTTCACCACTGCTCCCGGGGCCAAGATGGCGCACAGTAAGGCGTGTTTCCACATCTGTTTCAAATTCCATCCGAGAACGTAGGTGTCGTAAACATCCAAAGTCAGGCTGTCATGGTGTGCACGGTGCGGAAGGTGGGGATGGCCGGCGCGTAGTCGCGGCTGTGGGAAATAAGGCGAGAGCGAAAACCGACACGAAGGAAAGGCGGGCACAGCAGTTTTAAGCACAGGAAGGCTGAGCGGCTCACCGTGCGCGAGCCCACGATATTTGACGTCGCCTGCACGCCATGGCGCACTGCGCTGCCCTGTCGATCGAATGAGCACCGTTGTGGCATGGTGGTGAGTGCTAGGGTCATGCGGGTAAGCTTAAGCTACGTGTTGCTACGTCAGGTAAAGCGTGTTGGTTTGCGGTCAGCGAGGGACGAATGGGACGGAGCATCACGTTGCCTTGCTCCCTCATCCGCCGGCTCAGGCTAGAGAATTGCCGTGAGCTGCGTGGGTGCAGGGTTGAAGGTGGGCGAAGGAATGATGTGTTTGGAGGGGAGGCTGCGGCTGAGTGCATTTGGCTTAGCATCGCTGACCAGTCATGGGCAGGAGAGGTCTTGGGGGTGCACAAATATAGCTCTGGTGTCGCTACTTTAACGAGTGGTTGGGATCCCTTCGTAGGTGCATCGGAAGTCTTGCCTCGCGATATCATCCCTTCGATCGATCCAGAGGAGCATCTGGACTGACATGACGGCATTCTTGTTTCTCTTCTTGTGCAAAAAGTCCTGCGTAGCATCCGTGGCAGAAGGATATAATGGACATGGGCATTGGGTCCGCGAGACTGGGCCTCGACAGATCGCACTACAATGCGACAGAGGTCACGCCTAACCCCAAGCGAGGGGAGATATACGAGGCCACTCGGCCCATTTCACATTTGTAGCCGGAAAAATCGGTTCTAGGAAAAAGCACCGAATCGATGCGGAATTCTCTCGGATGCACGTCTTGACCTCGCATGATTCAGTGCCATCTTTCTGGGTGCCGTCGTAATTGATTTTGTTACAACAACGCCGCGACAATACATTTTGCAATATCGGTGAAGGGGCCGCCAACCTGCCGGGTCAGTGTTCATGCGTCTTGTGAGTGCTGGGGCCAAAAGATGATAAGTTATGCATGGATAAAAATACAGGGCGTCTGCAAACAGCCAACTCTTTACACAGTGCATCCTACAAAGGTATTTCCACCAGAACGCCGTGTTGATCCAAAGTATAGTAGACTCCTCCCATGCGTGCACGCTAATTGTGCGATAGTTCCACGTCGCACCATGTGACGCGATGTACATATGATATACAAGTCTTTGAGACGTAGCGGATGTGTGGCGAGTGCGTCTCACTTCCGCTTGTGAGGACCGACGATGTTTGGGTACATGCGCGAGAGATGGTAGTTGATGTTGTTCTTCTTTGGGTTGGTGTCGCGCTGCGGTTGTTAGCCCTCTTCCATCTCGTAAACATGAACGCGCAAGACTTACTGGCGCATCCATACACTGCCGTAACTTTTGCTCCAGCTGTGCGCAGCCTTGAGCAGCAGCCGCTTGACCTGACGATGCCCAACATCCTGTTCTCCAGTCAGCACACTGTCCCTGGATCCTCTCTTGTCCTGTTTCCCGCGTCCAGCGCATCCTTCGCTACCATTGTCCGCCAGCACAACATACGGGGCCGGGTGCTACGTACCCAGGACTGAAGACATGATGCCTAGGCAGGGGTTTGTCTCGGGCTTGTTCGGTCGTCTAACGCGGAGCTTAGGGAGCGGCGGCAGCGGACGGTGCGTAGCCGACTGGATCGTGACATTTTGCGGTTTCGGGACCATGTTGGATCGCGATGGAGGATCGGCAGGCACGCTATCGCAGTGGAACGGGCAGCACCGGGCGTGGGAAATCTCGAGATGCTGGAGTCTGGTGTTGCAGCCGAAAACCTTGGGAATCAATCCCCGCGGCGGCTTAGTGCAGGAGCTAGCAGGGGCCGCTTCAGCACTAATCCGCTTTGGTGTGTTTGTTATGGCTTCGAGCTCTCGTTGCCTGCCAGCGCACACACGACGCCGTCACCGCCGCGATTTGCGGATTGTTCTTTCTCATGCGCGCATCTTCTGCACCATTAGTTTGCATTGCTATATCTTCCTCGCAACAACCATCAAGCATGGCCTCGATGGCCACTTCATCGCATAAGAACGCGCCGGCCTTTGCGCAAACATGGGACGAATCCGACGCTGCTTTCCTCGACCCGAAGTCGCTACCCATACAGAGGCTACCGCGAGCCTGGGATCGTAAACAGGAGGTTAAGACAGCCGGGAACGGGAAGAAGAAGGAAATCTGGCGCAAGTACGGCACGCGATCGCGCACATCCGACGCAACTTCGAGATACGATCCGGAAGACGATACACGGGCAAGAGCTGTCAAGCGACAGCAGCGCATGAGCCCTAAGGCTATAGAAAAGTCGGCGGCTTCGCGCTTCGGTCAATCACGCGCTTTTAAGGCAACCCGCTGGGACCGTCGGAAAAGCGTGCTACCAAGTAGGTACCCTGTCCGAGAAGTCGGGGCTGCACTAACCAAGCATGAAGGGAAAAAGGTTGTAGGAGCGGAAACCTCACCGGAAGTTGAAGACGACAACGACGACGAGCAAGACACGACAACCACGGACCTTGGCAATGACAGCTTCTCAGAAATGACCGTTGATAGTGTGAGGGCAGAAGCACAAGAGATGGTGTTACTGCCTGAGGGTGAAGGCCGCAGAGCTACATTTACATTCCTCCTCGATGATGACGAAAAGGTCTCGTACGCAGAGGCTATGGACGACACTTCTGCTTCGATTGTGGACGATGCCCATACCGAACATCTCGAACAAGACGTCACTCTCACGCGGCTCTTCCAGGCTTCCCACGATGTGTCTTTCGAAGACGCAACTCCGTTAGAAACTCTGAGTTATCCCGATGTACCCACTGTGTCCGCTTCTGAAGATGGTGCCGCTGTTCCTATTGAGGAAGACAAATTATGTGAGGAAGTCGTCGACCGAGAAACCGATGAACACCCTGTCTCGGTCCAGCCTGCAGAAGATGCAATGGACGAAGACACGGCTACAGAGGCAGAGCCCGTCGCTCGGGACGTTACGGGAGGAGACAGCGAGGTTGCTGCTGGAGGGGTTGCGTATCCGGCACTTCCCCAAGAGCCTGATGCCGAAGAGCCAGCTGATCGCATAGACGATTCCCTAGAGATCGACACGACTGCCCCTTGGTCTCCTCAAACTTCTGAAGCTGACTCTGCGGATTTTGACTTTGATGGCCAAGATGAAGACCTGGACGAGAATTTTACGGAGGCATCCTTGCAGATGAACATACAGCGAGACATGCAATTAGAGCAGCCATCTCGTTTAGACAGCTGCGCGCTTGGAGATACTGAAGATGTTGCAAATCAGGAAGACTCACACAGGCCGTCTCTAACGGTAGATAATGGTGTGGACGATATCGCGTCAGGCCTTCAGTTTGGACCCGTAGATTCGTCTAGGGAACCGACACCACGGAAACTGCGATCACCTTCGCCGCCACCACGAACAGCAAGCGGACCAGAAGATACTACCATGACGTTCGCTTTCGACGATGATACTGCCCTACTGAAGGACTTCCTTTCTCGAGCAGCAGCCAGCAAAGCGAACAAGGCTGAGACCATTGCTCGACGCGAATCTCTGCAGAACCGCCGCGATTCAGATGTCATACGCCACGCCCTCGCATCTCCTCGCAAGGCACTCGAAGACAAAGATCCAAACTCCCCTTCAAAGTTCGATAATGACACGACGCTGAACCTATCTCAAACACTCACCTTGGACCTGGAGTCTACTGTCCCCTTATCCCCAGGCAAAGGCTCAACCCCGGCGGAGACAAAGGCGGAAGACGCCGATAACTCCAAAGCGGGAGGTATATCGAGACGCTCATCGCGAGCGCGTACATCGCGTCTTCCAGCGCCCTCATCGATTCCATCCGGTCCGCCAAAGATATCCGTGAAGCGTGACGGCGGCGACCCGGTCGTCCTCAAGAAAACCGACGCACAAGAGCTGAGTTTGCTCACTCGATCCAACACACGCAAGAACAAGCAAGGCGGCGTGGCCGTCAACGTCCGCCTCTTGAAGCTTTTGAGTGAGGCTCGCATTACTGAAGCCAAAGGCACCGCAGAATCGACCGAGGCCATAGTTCGGGTGCCTGGAAAGAAATACGTCCGCTGGGACTCCCAGCTGGCTTACTTCCAAGAGAACCCACAGGCTATCGCTGACGCCCTCGCTGACGCAGAGTCTCTTGCTACGCCCGACGAGCTGAGCACAGCTGCCCCAGTCGCAAAGCCTACCAGAGTGAAGGTGCCTAAGTTTGACAAGGACGCGACACCCAAGGTGCGCAAGGTCAGGAATTTAGGCCCCAGGAACGGTACGCCTGGCAAGGGGCTGCTCACGCCTGCATCATTGCTTCCAGACGCCATGATGGCCGACAAAGAAGAGCTGGAAGAGAAGCAGCGGATGTCCAAGCCGAAGACCAGCAGGATTAGGAAGATGGCCGTGGCAAGCACAGACACCACATCCACACCTGCACCTGTAGAGTCGAAGCTCCCCATGCTAGATATCGCTCCCGTCGGCATCGACCCCACGAAAGTGTCGTCGATGAAGGAGCGTAAGAGCAGACTGGCAACGCCCAGGAAAGTAAAGCTGCCTCAGCTCTCTTCTTCGGCTTTAGGAGAAGGGAAGGAGAATCAAGGCAAGAGTATCGCGGCGCCTGCGCCCAGGAAAAGCATCCCGATGCCATCTGTGGTCATACCCGCAAAGATGGAGATGCCTGTGACAACGACGGGATTGCCACGGCGGAGAGGGAGGAAGACATAGGGTTCGCTTGTGTGGCGCGTCTCACGGTTCTTACGATGGAGTTGCATACCTTTCCTTTCTGCATTGTAGCACTTGAGCGGCGGTATCTGGATTGCATAGGCGTTTTCTGACTGCATGCATGGATTCCAGGTGTTTGGCATGGTGGAGTTTGATACTATTGCTATCGGCTAATACATACCCGCAAGGGACTTTGCATTTCGAGAGCACGCGGCTTGATGATCAAATTGCAGTGATATTTCGCTTACACTATGCTACATTACGTCGGGCACTTACTTGAGGCGCTTCTCGGCGGCCTTCCAGTTGATGACGTCCCAGATGGCCTTGAAGTACTCGGCCTTGCGGTTCTGGTACTGCAGGTAGTACGCGTGCTCCCAGGCATCCACGCCCAGGATGGGACGGAACTGTCCCACGACCGGGTCCTGGTTCGCATACGTCTTGATGCCGACCTTGCCCGTCTGTGTGTCCTGGACGAGCCAGGCCCACCCGCTACCCTGGATGCCCGCGAGCGCCGCGTTGAACTTCTCCTTGAAGGCGTCGAGGCTGCCGTAGCTGTCGTTGATGGCGCCGGCGAGGGCGCCAGTCGGGGGCTCGCCGCCGCCCTGGGAAGTCGGCGCGAGGTTCTCCCAGAAGAGGGTGTGGTTGATGTGGCCGCCGCCGTGGAAGTTGATGAGGGGCTGCAGGGCGATCTGCGCGGCGATGTCGTTCTTCTGCTTGGCCTCGGCGATCTGCTCGCTGAAGTTGTTGAACGAGGTCACGTAGGTGTTGTGGTGGTTCTTGTGGTGGAGCTCCATGATCTTGCCGCTGATGGCGGGCTCGAGCGCGCCGTAGTCGTCTGGTATCGCGGGTCAGTGAGGGTGCGCATGGCGTGTGGGTGGGACGGCTGTACAGGCAAGATCGGGCAGCGTAGCCTTTCCGCGTACGAAGGTGGTGCCGGCGATGCCAGCGCGGGCAGCAGACGAGGGCGCGGCGGCGCGCAGGGCCGAGCGGACGGCGGTGGTGCGAAGGAGTGTCGAGTTCATGCTGAATAGTCAATTGGTCGGTGCGAGGGTGTCAATTGGGGCGATGGAGGAGCGGAGCGTGCTGGAGACGTTGGAGAGGAGCTTGGGTGGAGCTCTGGCCTCATCCGCTAAGACAATCATAACCACTCTTTCGTCATCCCAAGACCTCCGAGCTCCGAGCTTCCGGAAGCTTTGCGCCGGGTCCGCCAGCCAATCGCGCAGCCATTGCCACGTGAGAGGTAGAACACATCCGAAGGCCTATCAGAGGGAGGCTGTTGTCACTGCAGGAGACGTTGGGGCAACAAAAGAGTCTGCCGCGCGTGGCTTTGATGCTTGCTGGTAGTTGCTGCTGTGGCGCCCCGCAGTCCTGTAAGCGGGCGCGGACCCTCGACTACACCACGTCAGGCGTCAGTTTGTCTGTCTCGTGCCTTGTTGGCTTTGCTTCACGATCTGTTGTGCATCCCGGTCGCTCGTGCTCACGCCATGTAACCTGATCCCTACATCGCTCAGGTACATGTCGACAAACACGGACACACCGTTTACGTGCTACCAATAAGGCTGTCGACCATTCTGTCTTCTTCCTTTGATCAGTATACCCCGCAATGGCGTCCAGGAATTCTTGGAACTCTGCCCCCGCCGCAAGTGTCCACCTTCCCAACGGCCAGACCCTCAGCATAACGCCCGTGTTCGGTGGGCTGTTCTTCAAGAGCAATGATCTAACAAACCACCATTCCCCGTTCCCAGCTGGCTGGACCGTAGTCCTGAACTCGGAGGATGGGGACTTGGACGAGGAAGACAACCACGATGACAGCTCCAACGACGATGCGCGCGTGCCTCCAAAACGAACGCATCGGTACAGGAAACCCACGTTACACGGCGACCACCTCTACATCTCGTCGATATCGAATCCCTCGAGCAGCGACTTCAAGCCCGCCACCTCCCCGACGCGCCAGATCGCCATGATGCTGTGGGCAACCTTGTACTGGTACTTCCACCAGCCAGAACCGAGCCTACATATTACGACCAAGGATTCGATAAATACCCCCGAGCCTGGAAGGCCAGAAGGCGAGTGGCGCATCAACGTCAACAGGGAGGGCATCTTCAAGGGCAAAGTCGTACTGCCCAAACTCGAGCGCATGGGCCTCATAACCAGCGAAGACAGCAGCGTGGGCACTGCGCAAGAGGAGGGCAGCCCCGAGGGATGGACGCGCATGTTCGTCAGCCGCAGGTCTTTCTGGCAGCTAGACCCCCGCATATACCTCTTCACGCTCTCGCCCATGGCACAATCGCCCTTTCCCGCCGGCTCGCCCTACCCGTCGCGGCCTGGTAGTCCCGTCTCCGGCGCAGACTCCGAACCGCGAAAAGAAGTCCAGCTCGATGCCGTCTCGCAAGGTCTCTGGTCGCCGGCCGGCCCAGGCCCCTTCCACTCGACTTCCCACCTGCCAACGTACTATCCGCCTCCCCCACCGCAGTTCGTCTTCACAAACAACGTGCGGCATCCACTGAGACCGAAACCCCCTAGGCAGGGCGAGATCTTCTACACAAGATACGTACCCAGCTTGTCGCAATATCTCTCCTTCCGCGTCGCCTCCGTATCGAACAAAGCACTCAGACATCGCGGACCAGTGGCAAGCCACACACCTACACCGCACCGCAACACGCCCCTCCCGGCCTCCGACTCCCACGTCCCCACCGTCTCCTCCCTGAACCTCAACTTGTCCGACCCAGAGTATCTCCACAAGTGGATGAACGAGCCGCGCGTGTCCTACTTCTGGGGCGAATCCGGGCCCGAAGAGCACCAGCTCAAGTTCCTCCAAGCCGGCCTCAAGTCCAAACATTCTTTCCCCGTGATCGGATGCTGGGACGGCCGGCCGTTTGGCTACTTTGAGATCTACTGGGTCAAAGAGGACAAGTTGGGGCGCTACATGGAGAACGTGGGGAACTACGACCGGGGGATCCATTGTTTGGTTGGCGAGCAGGAGTTTCGGGGGCCGCATCGCGTCAAGGTGTGGCTGAGTGCGTTGGTGCATTATTGCTTTTTGGCCGATTTGCGGACGGAGAGCGTGGTGCTGGAGCCGAGGGTGGATAATGAGAAGTGAGCAGCATTGACAGCGTGTGTGAAGTGTATACTGACGAGAACAGGCTGGCGCAATACCTCATGGACGTGGGGTTCTACAAGGAGAGGGAGATCAGCTTTCCGCACAAGCAGAGCAATCTGATGAAGATCAAGAGGGATGCGTGGGATGGGCCGTATCTCTAGGGGCGCTGCGGAGCCCGAGGTTACGTCTGGCATATGGAAAACGGCGGCTTGAGTTTGAGATTTCCACAGCTCGCAGCGACCTGCAGCAATGCACGAGCGATCATGATTGAACGTAGTCACATCATCAACCATTTTACCGTCAAAGAAGGATCGAGGAGCACAAAGTGGTCATGACTTGTTTGATTAATGCGTCGACGCCGGGCGCAAGGAATCCATGCGCCCCTCTTCTCCATCCACCCCCTGCTAGCGAAAGCAACCCGCTGTACAGTCCGGACCCAGCTAAATACAAAGCACAAATGGTATAAAGGTCGTAATCGTCGTCATCCCAGCCCATCCCATCGTGCCAACAAAGCCTAATGGTAATATGTAATATACGTCAAGAATCGAATCACGACCTCACCCCTCGCTACCACGCATCTCCAAAGATATCCTTGGGACTCTGCACCAAGTCGCCCCTATCCGGCTGCTTCCGCCCATCCCACTTCTTCGCCGCCTTGCGCTCCTTCTTCGTCACCAGATGCGGCGTGACGGGCGTGACGGGCGTGAATGGCATGTACGGGCTGTACGGCGTGTAGGGCACACCCGTCTTGGGCGTATTCATGCTGAGGTGGTCGGTGCGCCGGTTCAGCACCGTGGTCCGGAGGTCTGGCGACTTGAGGGGCTCGGCGTAGCCGCGGAGGGGGAGCGAGTTCTGCGAGGATGTTGCGGAGCGGGTGAAGGAGACGGTGGGATTGGTGCGCGGCGCCGGCGCGGTGGTGGGGGAGGGCGCGTTTGACGAGTTTTGGCGCTGAGGGGCCGGATGTGGGAGAGGCTGGACGGTGTCGAGGTGCTCGTAGGCTTCCTCAAGATCCGCCGGTGTGGTGGGTGAATTTGCTTGTGTGGGTGGTGATGGCGGCGCACCAGGGTTGTGGTAGTAGCGCGGGGAGAGGGGGGTGCGTTCGTCGTCAGCGAATTCGCCGGGGTATTTTTGGATGGGGCCTGAGATGCGGAGGTTTTTGAGGTTGAAACCGCGTTTGCTGGAGGAGGTGGATTTCTTGGAGAGGATGCTGCGGGGGGATGAGGGGCGCTCGCGTGGCAAAGGAGCGGTGGTTGGACCGTTGGAGAAGCCTGGTGGGTAGATGGCCTTTACCGGGGAGGAGGGGTTGGAGTGTGATGGCATGGTGGTATTGATGGCCGATGGACGGCGGGAGTGTGGCTGTGGCTCGCTGGATTCGAGGCTTGCTTGCGAGGTGATGGACTTCTTCCTGTCGTGGTCCATGACAGCGGCGTAGAGACGCTCCATCTCGGCCTGGGCGCGTGCCTTGTTCTCCTCAATCACTCTCTGGTCGAACGAGCCAGGGCTATGGATCACTGGACTGATCGCAACAGGACTCTCAGGCGCGTCCCCGTTCTCAATGTCCTTCTCTTTCTTGAAGATCTTCCTCCAGCTGGAAACACTCCTAGCAGAGCCTATAGGCGAGGTAGGACTCCGCAGTGAGGCGTCCCGACGCTTCGTGACGAGCTCGAGCTCGAGCGTCTTGGGTGAGTTTTCTGTTCTCCTCCTCATTTTTCTTCCGACTGTGACAAGCAATAGGCCCCAGATGAGAACAGTGACGGCGTAGGCACCGACAATGGCACAGATTTGCGCGGGCAGGAGATTCTTATCTCGCGAGGCTTTCGCCGAAGCTGGGGGGCCGTCCTCTGGCGAGGGCGTGGGGTCGCGGTAGTTGTCAAGAAAGTTGTAAGGAGCGGCGTGTACAAAATCAACAAGCAAAAGCAGGAGTGCGGGTGGGAGGAGAGCCCGTCGCATCGTCGTTTTAACTCCAGTCCCGGCCCTGAGAGTCGACCCTTAAGGCGGGTGAGGGCAGATCAATGTGCGCCGCAAATGTGCTAATCTGCGACACACAGGAGGGGCCGGGTGAAATGCAAAGTGTAACAGCGTTCGACATGGTGCCTGTAAAGATGTGCGGGCGGCTGTATGTATATCTGGGCTGTGGATGGACGGGTCGCTGCGAGGGGAGGGGTGTGATGGCTGGGGATGCGAGGTACCGGCGCTGATTGGCCCAGTGTTTCGTTGCGCGACCATTCACTGCACCCCTGTAAGCGCCGGGCGGGGGCAGCTCATGCGCGTCCAACCCACAGAGGAACAAGGTCTGAATTGGCGAGCCGCCTGGCCACGCAGTCGGTGCCCAGCTCCAATTTAATGGCTTCCGAGATGCAGAATATTGACGTGGAGTGCAGCAGCAGCGCTGTCGAGAGCGCAGAAACAATGTTTCCTCGCCCCGCGAAACGCTCTCCCGCAAGAAACAGCACCCCAACACGAAGGCCCGTCTGCGACGCACGATTCGCCTCACGCGGATCTACGCGAGCTAGCCGAGACAGCACAGAGCGGAACTTGCCCTTCCCTTCCTTTCTTATGCGAAGAGAACCCTGCAGCCGTCTCTCCACGATCCTACTCGCTGGTGCCATGTTTCCTCTGGCGCCGTGGTTGCCAATCAACCCACACCCTCCAAGCCACCAGCCCTGGCATGGCACCTGAGAGGACGCTCCGAGGTGATTATGCTGACTCGGGTTCCAGACCGCCTGGGTGCTCGGTCGTCCGGTCGCGACATCGGGCGAGGCTCGTCACACCTGGGGAGTCACGTTATACTTCAGAAAGCGTGCTGCGGGTTCATGCACCGTGTGGGGGCGCACTAATGCATGAGCACTGTGTCGCCACTGGTAAGATAAGTATAGTTCTTGTGTAGCTTCGGCGGAGGGCGCTGACTGCGAACCCATATTGGTCGACCGAGGAAATGGATCGGTGTGCCTGATCTTTTAGGTTGTGAAGTCGGAGCGAATGATGTATATGAGATGCTGTGAAGACGGACATGTTCTGCGAAACTGACTCGGTCGCATCGCAGGTGATGATAGCGGACTTTGCTTGCTTGATGCCCAGGTGGACTACATGCGGAAATAGCAGGGTTGGGAGCTTGGACTATTGGACTTGAACGGCCAATGCATTGAGATACTCCCCATTGTCCTGATACTAACGATCACGCTCGGTTCACATTCTCCTGTTGGTCGTCCTTGCGCATTATCTGATCATTGAGAGAGAGGAAGTATTGGCATGCCCAATTTACCACAACGGCTCCCAAGACCAGACGCGGAACCAAAGCATCGAATTGGACACGGACCGCTCATGCTATTTATACTGACATCCTTGGGAGGTTCATTTTGGTTGATTGGCATCAGTACCAAGAGCGCCACAAATACAACATATGTCACAATGAGGAGTTCAATAGCCCACGAGGCAGCAGAGTGCCTTTGGTGACATTATTACATTATTACAAGCTATACGCTGCAATCCAAAATGCCTTAACATTACCGATGCCTTTTCCCATGACGATATTACCATCCGAACCGTGTGTATACTCTGTAGAAGCGCCATGCGATGCTATGCTAGTGCCAAAAATCAGAACGCTAAATGCAACGACCATAAAATACTCCTAAGAAAGAAGACGAAGTGAATGCTCAATGCATGACGGAAGACCTCCACCGATCAATGGCATCCCTCTGTCGTGGATCCATTGGTGGCTCCACCATCATGGGGCCCATGTTCTGCTGCATGCCCATACCGGGCCGCATCATCCCCATGTTCATGTTCATACCGCTCATTGGCATCGTCGGCAGGTTGATCATGGACGACTGCCTCATGCCAGCCATACCCATTGGGCCCATCTGTGGATATCCCATTCCTTGCATGCCGCCCATAGGCATACCCGCCATGTTCATTTGCATGCCCATCATCTGTTGCGGCATCATGCCGTAACCGCCCATCCCCATCATCGGCTGCTGCGATTGCGCCTGCGGGAAGTACGAGTTGCGCTGCCCTCCGAGCAGATTGACGGAGGACATGGAAGCGTTCGTCATGGGATTACCAGACAACGCGGGCGCAGTCATCGGCGTAGCAAGGTTCACGCCCGCCATCCTATCCTTGTAGGCTTGAATGTTTGCACCAATGGGCTGGTCTTGTGTTGCCCTGCCGACACCTTCACCCAGGAGTGGCTGCTCGAGGTTATATGTAGAGCTGCGCTGATTTAGGTCCATTCGTGATACGCGACGACGCTCTTGCTTGATTGCATTTTTGGCAAGCAGGCTGCCCTGTGGGAGGGAGGAGAGGAGTTGTTCGTCTGAAACCTTGCGTGCCGAGTTGTTCGGGTCAATTGGGTGCGCCCCAAGCACATCAGCCATCGACATGGAGGCTCGGAGAGGAGGTCGGCTGCCATGAGGATTGGCATCACCTCTGGCGAGGGCTTCCGCTTGCAGACGCGCTCGTCTTTGACCCAGGGTTTCTTCCTCGCCGTCGTTCGCAGGGGATGCTGCTGGGTTAGGCTTCTCTTCTTCGTTGATGCCGAACTGGCTCATCATTTCAGTCGCGAAATCATGGCTTACGGTACTCTTTCGTACGTCAACAACGGCTTCATCAAGAGCCTGCTGGTCTTTTAGGCGACGAATGCGCTGTGCAAGAGTTTCGCCTTCGTCCTCTTCCGATTCAGGCTGAGGCGTCGTGGACGTTGGGACGTCGAGATGCTGGCTGGAACGATTGAGCTCTGTAAACTGCGTGTTGCGTCTTGTTGGATCCATGAGCTTTGTGTCTCGGTTGTTGCCATATAGTCGAGATTTTCGCTGGCTGAGAGGCTCATTCTGCTCTATCTCACGCTGTGCTATCAAGCCTATCGGTCGATCCCAGTCATCCTTTGTAGCTGCGCCCTTTCGTTGGTTGGCTAGGCCATCACGTCCAGGATACAACATTCCGAGGGGAACATCTTCATCCGAATCTGCGTCTTCTTCTGGAGGAGCTTGCGCCTCCCAAGCAAGATTGACCTTCTTTTTCAGTCGCTTCTTTTTCTCAATCTCCGCGACAGCGTCAAGCTCCAACAAGGTAGCATGCATGCCGTTCGGGAAAGCTGTTGCTGCCGTGAGATTGCGTGTCTTCTGTTGAGCTTTGCGCATCTGAAGCTCAGCAAGCAGCGTCGTCGGGGCACCAAAGTACTGCTCCTCCGGTTCTTCCTCTTCTTCCTCTTCCTCGTCATCTTCAGAATGTTCACGGTCGCCGTCAACGGAGTGTACCGCATGCTCGTCGTTCGGATCAGGGCCTCTAGCATCAGGATCGTGGTCTTCGAGCTCATCGCCCAAGCTCATTCGGCTTTCCGTAGCGCGCACGGTCAACAGGTTGAGATCCGCCGAGCTATTGCGTTTCTTCAGCTTGTTCAGCGGGTCACCATGTGAATTTCGCCGCGTGTCCAACAGATTCAAAGAGCTTCGACTCTTGCGTGACTCAATCTTATCGAGCTCGTTCGCCTTCGAGCCCGTCCGTTGATGCTTCTTCTTTTCTTGTCCATAGACCTCGTTACCAACATGCCCAGCATACGGATGATCCGTGAAAGCGGACACGGGAGCGTGTGCAGACGCTTCAAGGATGTTGTTCAGCGTATCTTGGGCAGATTCACCCTTCACTTCAAATTCCTGGGCAGGTGCAGGAGCATCGAAGTATGCACTTGCCCGTAGCTGAGGAGGAAGATTGGCCAAGTTTCTGCTTTTCCTGTTCGCCTTTGGAGATGTCGGTGATGGGCCATTCTCAGACAGCCACGGTGCAGATTTCCGATTCTCGTTTTGCATTGACTCCAGGAGCTGGGTGCGTCGCCTTGCTTGCACGTTTGTGTTTGGGACTTTAGACAGTCGCTGGGGCAGGTTGAGCATCCGCGGCACAGGCGCTGGGTAGTAGACCATGCCGTCGTCCGGGGGAGGTGCTCCTTGAGGCAGAGGCCCCGGCGCTGGCTTCAGCAGGGAAGAGTCTCGGCTCCCGTTGCCCCCAAAGTTCATAGGCTCGTCCTCCGGCACCGCATCTGGACAATGTGTACCATCAAAATCCTGCCACAGTGTACGCAGTTTGTGGGTGGTGTCGGTCGAGGCGGCCGTGGGAGGACGATCGGGCAGGTCCCGGTCTTCGTAAGCATTCTGCTGTTGGTGCTCGTAGGAGTCGGCGAGGATGACACTGTGACGGAGCTCTTGCTGGAGCTGCTGCGCCATTTCGTCGTACTGTCGCGTGAAGGACGAGACAGAACGAGGCCGTGTGAGGGGCGGCGATTGTTGACGCTGCGAGTCGCTGTCCCGGCGAGGCGGCGGCGAGCCTGGATGCTCCTCGATCCGCTCCATTGTCTCCTCCTCTTCGTCGACGCGCATGATCTGGTCCAGGCGGGATGCTTTCGAGTTGGACCGCTGGCGCTGCAGGGCGGGTTGCGAGGAGCTGGACCGGAGTGAGCCCGTGGGTGAGGCCAGGTAGCCGCCGGGCGAGTATCCTCCCCAGCGCGCAGCACCGTTGACGTCGACGATCGAGTTGGTGAAAGAGCTGACGGACGCGCCGCGGCTCCTCGTATCAATGCGTCGGATGGGCTCCTCAGCCACAAAAGCGGATAGGAGGGATGATCGGCGGCTGTCGGACAATTTCTGCTCTTGATGCAATTTCCGTATCTCTTCTCCCAGATCAGAGCCCTTCTCGCTCATGCGCTCTGCGTGCTCCTCCAGGCGTTCGATGTTGCCGACGTAGGCCCCCTGGAGTGACTGGAGGTCGGGCGTTGGGTGCTGGAGGTCGGGCGACGCAGCGCGGACGGGGTGCGCCAGCGCAGTCGTGGTGGGTGGCGAGGTGGCCATGGCTTTTCAATAGGCGGAAACCCGCCCAATGTGTGCAGTATTGCAGGATAGGGGAATGTTGATGCTCAATAGCACCATTGCTATGCTCCAAGAATAGAGAAGCAACTGGCTTGCTGGGGTCCCCCGGCCGTCCTCCCGAAACTTGGCATCGTTTTCGCTAGCGTCCTGGGCCGTCCATTCGCGACTGATGCCTCGCACATCGTGACTGCATCGTGACTTTGAACGTGACGCCACCCCGCCGCCTGCCTGCTGCGCGGATCCGACCGCGCCCTACTTTCCTGTACCGGCGCGCAATCGACTGCGCTGTGACCCGCTCTCAACCACACGTCCGATACTACACGGGACCGCGCGCCCTCGCTGCGACCCCGAACACTGGGCCTGCCTTGACGAACGCGCACTCTCATCTCCACCACTGAGAACCACAAACGTCTCTACGCAGCCCACAGCGCCAGAGCACGATGGAGGACGAGGAGCAACAGCCGAATAAGCGGTCTTTCAGGCAGAGCTTCCGCCAGACGAAGAAGCCCGCCAGCAATGGCGCCGAAGGCCACTTCTCCGGCCTGGGAGCCAAGCTCATGGGGAAAATGGGCTGGAAGAAAGGCGAGGGCTTGGGCGCGTCGGGGGACGGCATCGCTGCGCCCATCGAGGTGAAGCTGCGTAATACCAAGGGAGGAGTCGGCGCTGTCAGCGAGCTGAGCGAGCAACAGAAGAAAGAGGCGAGGCGGAGGGCCAAGAAAGATGCCGAGGAGAGGGGCGAAGTTTACGTGGACTCGAGCGAGGAGGAGCGGCAGCGGCGCAAGAGGCGCAAGGTTGGAGGCGGCATGGGCACAGGCACGTCGACCCCGAGCTCTACGCCGCGGCCGAAGAAGACCATCTACGATTTGAAGGCTGCTGGCTTCGAAGTGCCGCGCCAGCTACAGAGCATCGTCGATGCGACAGGAACACAAGTCAAGACATCGTCCCTCAGTCTGCGCGGCGAGCAGCCCGTGTTCCAAACGAGCCTTGCTGGAAAAGTACAACGAGAACTCGCCGCATTTGCGGATGCGGCCGAAGCGGTTGACTCGGATGCTCAGAACATCCAACTGGAGACTGAACGCCTGGAAGCCGAGCTCAAAGCACTGGAGCGCGACGTCGCAGAGCTGGAGGATATCCGTTCACGGATAGCAGAGCTGCCTTCGAAGAAATGGCCGGAGTTGATTGAAGGACTCAAGAACCTGCGCAAGGCTTACCCCTCGCGCAGTTTTGAGAAGGAAGCCATTGCGGTGATAAGACCCACCTTTGAGAAGCGCATTGTAGGCTGGGATCCAGCCACGGACACGCTGGAGGATCTTGCAAGGAGCCTGGAGGACTTGAGTGTGGGAGAGCCATCCTCAGGGAACTCTACAATTCCTTCACGCGACGTTGGCCGTGTCGTTCTGGCGCCCGTCTATCCTCGGAACGAGCAACTCAGTCGGCGATCTACAACGCCCTACGAGACCCTGATGTTATCATGGTTCTCACACCTTCAGACCGCCATGGTCCACAGCTTCCAGCCCGATTCACCTTCCGCATCATCTTTCCTACGGACTATCGACACGTGGTTCCCAGTCCTGCCCGCATTCATCAAAACGAGGATCAGCAAGCAGATTAAGCTCCGATGCTCAGCTGCCATAGACTCGTGGAACGTGCGCAAAGCCATCAAACACAGAGAGACGCCTCTTCCCCAGTGGATATTCGATTTCTTGCCACACTACCCGGACATCTTCACGACATGCAAAGGCAAGCTGCGCACCGTGCTGGAGATCTGGCCGATGCACAGGGGCGTGATACCAGGCATACAACTCTGGAAGAAAGCCTTCCCCGGCCCCGTAGACCACATGCTTGTCAAGCATCTTCTTCCCAGGCTAGCAGAGCACCTGCGCAGTCTCGAGATCGACCCCGCCGACCAGAAACTCGACGTCGTGTCCGCCGTCATGGCGTGGAAGCCCCTCTTCTCGTCCAAAGTCATCGCAGAGCTGCTGCACTCGGCGTTCTTCCCCAACTTCTTCAGCGTGCTGCACTCGTGGTCTAGCTATGCGGAAGCGCAGTACGCCGAGATCGGCACATGGGTGCAGTGGTGGAAAGACGAGACGCTGGGCGAGTACATTGCGGATCTGGAGAGTGACTGGATCCAGGCGTACAATCTCATCAACGCCGCGCTTGACCTGCTCGATCTCAACGGCGACAAGGACACCATCATGGAGGACCTCCCACTCCCCAACGTCGAACTCGAGCGCGTCGCCCCTGCACCCGTGACGCCGCAGCCCGCGCGGTCCAAGAAACCCGAGCCTGTCCCCCAAGAAGCCGAAGATGTCTCGTTCAAGGACTACGTCGACTCCTGGTGCGCAGAGCAGGACCTGCTGCTCATGCCGCTGCGGAAGAAGGACGAAACAACGGGCATGGCGCTCTTCCGCATCGCAGCAAGTGCCGTCGGCGCAGGCGGCATCGTGGTGCACTTCCAGGGCGACAACGTCTTCGCCCAGAACAAGAAGGACAAGAGCACTTGGGACCCGGTGGGCTTGGATGAGGAGTTGGTGAAGCGGGCCGAGGGGAGGTGAGCGGGCGGCAGATAGTCGTGTACAACAGCGACGGCGAGAGGCAGAGGGGACGCATTGAGGGGGCAGCATCGGCATAGGGTAAGCTCCCACTGCTCTTCTTTCCCAGAGCACATACGTCCTACTGGCTCCTTGCTAATTCGAGACTATGTCCATCATTGCGGGCTTAGGTAGATAGCTAAACAGTAAATACCCTGCACGGATACATCTGGTTTTGCGTCCGAGTTGAATAGCAACGTGTACATGGGTAGAATGGATACTGTCAGTACCTCGTCGGAAGACTTCGTCACGCATTTGAAGTGCCAGGGTGCGGCAATGCCTCTTTCGTAGCAGACTCAAAGAGTGAAAATCGCATTAAACATGTAACGTGATTTATTATTAGTATTGCCGTTCAAAGCAATAAGCTCAAACGCCGAAGCAGACAATCCCTGGTGTATCATATCCGAGCCATCGCGCTGGTCTCGCAGCCGAAGATGCCCATCCGAATTCCAATTCCATTCCATCCGATACCGTAGTCATCACATCAGTACATAGCTATATGACACAAATACGCAATACCTTCGTTGCCATCAAGACAAGCCATTACGCCCCCGGCGCACTGCAAGGGTCCCCTATCTTAGTCTCTGGCCGAGTATTCCAGCTCTTTTCCCAGCTTTGGATGCTGCCGCACCACCAAGGCTCCTAGACCTGGCTCATGGCGGGCCCGCGGCGGATGCCGCCGCGGAGGTTCGCGCCAGAGGAGCGGCCGTTCATGATGCTGAAGGCCAGAGTTGCGACCCACGCGGCCCAGCCGAACCAGAAGAAGGCGGTCGAGGCTTGGGCTTCGCGGCAGCGCTTCTCGGTGTTGGGGCTGCCGTTGGTGATGTGGTTGGTGGTGGTGTAAGCCTGTGGTTGGTTAGCGTTGGGTCTCGCAACACAGGTTCATGTTGGATGACGGTGGTGGAGCTGACGAGTAGTGAATGAAATGGGTGTTGACTGAACGTACCCTGTTGCTGCAGCTGTGCACATGAAGATATGCGGCAGTGGCGACGGCGGCGCAGAACCAGAAGATGACGTTGAGCGCGTCAAGCCCCATGTTGACGAGAGGCATGCTGTAGCTGTCCAGGAACGATGTCGGCAGCAGATACAGCAGCGACAGCAATCCGAACACTGCTACAAACATGTCGTAGTTGACCATTGCCGAGTTGCCGCTGTAGGCTGTGGCGATCATGTTACCGATGAGGGCCATAATGATGACCGAGCAGAGCAACTGTTTGCTGTAAGTCAATGCGCATGCACGGAAACAGGCGAAGACGAACCTGCCAGGACCGCAGTCCGATGTTCAGAGCTTTGGAAACCATAGTTGTAGATGTGAAGTTTCGATGAAGAATTCGCCGCTAAAGTATGCTCGTCGAATACGGATGGAGCGCGAACAAATAAACTGGCTAGCAGGCTTGTCAGAAGGCGAACAAGGCAGGTGTGGAGGCCGGGGCAGGAAGATGAGCTTTGTGCGAAGAATTGACGTGGTGGAGAGTGCCTGCGGAATATAATAAGGGTCAGCGGATGCAGTGCGTCAATGTCAGACGTCGCGGCTCGTTGCGGTTCATCGTCATCGCCTTGTGATGTCACCACCGCCGCGCACATAGTGCGAAGGGTCCAACGAATCGCCCGCCCACAGACACCGGTCTTGCCGGATCGGGACTTACCAGGCGCTAGACCCACTGCTTTGACTTCTTCACGGGATGGCAGCTGGTGGTGCGAGATGCAGAGAGTCACGATTTCCAGGTGCGAGTGCAGGTCAATCCAGTGCAGCGACGCTCTGGCGTCTTATGAGATGAGCATGCTGCGATGGGCAGTGTTGACATGCTCGTGCGCGTGGTGATTGGCTCCAGTGGCGTTTCTATGGCAGCTGTGGCAGTGACGGCCGGTTGATTCGGCAACAGGACGGTAGTGCAACAGCCGGGCAGGGATCAGCTGTTCAGGAAGAACCGTCAGCACCAACAGAATTGACCAGCGGCCAAATCTTCCGAGGAGGCCGAACGACGTAACGCGCATCCGTCTTCGGGACGTCTAGACTGCCGTTCTGACTGGCTGACATGACGACAAGTGCTGTGGTCGAGCCTTCGTTCCTCTCACCAGAGCGAACACCGACCCCCCGGATCTGCGGATCGCCGCGATGTGAGCAGGGGTGGCGTGGTATTCACTTGATCGCTGTGTTTTGTACCTCTCTTTGCCCTCTTAACGAGCATCGTGCTGTAGCCTCTGCGTGTTGACTTCGCTGATGTGCTTTTCAACTGCTCCACCGCTGCAACAAGACGCGTCGTGCAGCTTGACAGGCCGATCGCCACGTTCCAACTTCAGCGTTCTGTATTTACGGCGCTACATCGACTTGATACTCCTGGCGGCATTTCTACTCTCCTAGGTCAGCATCAAAGCCTACAAGACGCAGGATGATCTCCGTCATATTGTTGCGTTGGTTGAACATCGACGACAACGCAGAGTCGCGGTCGCAGAGCATGGCAGACGTAATCACAATGTACAATCAGCACTCTCATTGTTACTATGGAATATCCCAACCGTATCTGTATTGCAAAGACAAGAGTCTCGGTCTGAGCGACTTTTAAAGCTGGGATGCCGCAGGCCCATCCTACCGCAATAGGAGGATCCACGGCACATTCATCTTCGACATTGTACCATGTGTGGACATTGACCACCCTCCCAAGCTATTGATGAGCCTTCGAGAGGGTGTCGTGCAGTCGGTAGGCTTCGGGAAGAAGTGTGTCTCGGTGGGTGACGCCGGTCGATCAACTGGCTCCCCTCTCATCTTCTTCGCCACGTGGGAAGACATAGCTGCTTATCACGAGCACCAGTGAAGGCATTGGTAAGCATAGGAAGCGAGCGGTGAGCAGTGCTGCTACCCGCTCCGACTTCTTTGCTCTCCAGTGTCGGCCGCTTCTCTTGGTCGTGTTCCGAAGGTCGGGTAATAGTCAATGCAATGTGGCATGCGACGCCAAATTACACCCGCATGGTTGCGAATACCAAGAGTGAGCTCTTAGAACCTTGTAGTAGAACGGCTGGTGACATGTTTGAGCGCAGAGCGAGGCCTTACAAAACGAATACATGTATGGAGCGGCTATGTGATGAGCGGGGACTGGGCGATGCGTTCCGTACATCAGCATCGAGTTTGATGAATTAGACAACTCGCGAGGATTTGTGAGCGTACAATGCTTCGAAGTCGCTGCAGTCGGTTGTGTGCGATCGTCCTCCCGAAAGGCTGTGCCTCGCGTTGCTGCTGAAAGTAGAATCATCATGCAGTCCTATTATCAGCGCGTTAGTAATAGTCATTCCTTACCGTGATGGCTCCTGGTATATGCTCCTTTAGACCCTGACTGCAAAGGCCCTCGTGCCATTCTGTACCTGTATGGCCACCATGCTTGCGCTTCGCTCGAATGTAAGCTATGACCCAGGCAGGACATAGCCTGACACCTGGATAAGCGCTGCGGTGCCTCAATTCCTAGCTATCCCCGCAGCGCTGAGAGATTGCTACAGGTGTCCCGAGTGGTTTTATGGATTGAAGCGCCATAATGGGGCCGATATCGGGACTCGGCGAAGGTCTGTGGGTGTCAAAGACGCGATGCTCGCGCACAAAGCTCACGGGGGTTCCGCCGTCTCTTCGGTAGCTTTGGGAGTTACTGAAAGGCTTGTAAGGCTGTGGCCTTCGTTCGTAGCGGTCGGAGAGCTAGCAATAGGGGAGGGATCGCGGAGGGAGGTGCCGAGGCTTGCGAGGGTGTTAACATCGCTGCTTCACGCCTGCATACAGAGACGGAGGAGCCAGCGGTGCGCGTGGTAGCAAGAAGTGGTGCTGGTGGGAGGAACGGCGCGAGGTGGCCACGAAAGTTGCGGCGATTGACGAGGAGCCGGTAGGGTTTTTGGCGGGGTGAGCAGAGTTGCCAGCCGCGGCGCTCTGGTGTGAACAAAGGAGACGATGCAGGGCCCTGTGCGTCGATACAAAGCTCTCTGACCAAGCTGGCGTTTAGGTGGAGTAGTCGAGTATGCTGAGCAAGTGGCGGAGCCAAAAATCAATGCCCTGCTCGTCATGGGGTGGTCCCGGACACCTTGACAGTGCCAAACGGACTAGCAGAGAATGGCCAGCACCCTAAAGATGAATAGGGCTGCTAGGAAGGAAAGGACTGCGATTGATTATCACCCTGCAAGCACAGGTGATGGAAAAGCGTAGCATAAAGGCTCGTCCTTGAGAGTGAAGGAAAATGGCGGGCTGCTACCCTGGGACGCGGTAATAACGTTGCTTTGAAAGTCCTCCCTCTAGTCCCAAAGTGAGTCACAAGGAAACCAGACATGTGCATTACCCCTGAGCACATTCTAATCAAGATTCTCCTTCTTAGGGTAAGAGGAAATGCACTCAGGGGTTGTGTTGGTGTGGCCAGATGTTGAAATGTCCTCGTCCGTGTTGGCAATCGCGTGGACCTGCTGCCTCGCCTCTATCACCACCCACCCGACTGCCTCAACCTCCACCGCACCTGCACAGCAAGTCCCTCGCGATCATGCAGGCACGACGCCGCCGCCGGATGCCATAGCCCTGAGCTCCACTTCGCACACGGGCAAGACAACACAGCGCCCGAGCTCACAGCGCATTAAATGGCAGGAGCTTCAACTTTAGGCGCGAACGATTGAACCGTGAGCCTCGACCGTGCGCTCGTTGTCAATGCATCCAAGCTCTTTTGCTGCCTCACGGCTCGAAACCTCTCTGGTCTAAAGCGCGCTTCCGGGTCGGAGTTCCTCCTACGAAAAAGCTGACCCGCTTGAACAAGATACAGGGAACTGCGCTGATACCGAAGCGACCAGCACCAGGGCAGCGACGGGTCCAGCATCCGCCGAAAGAGATGTCCAAAAGGTACCGAAGAAGCGCAGCAAGAGGCCGATGTGCAGCCAAGACTGGGAAGCGGCACAGAACATCGGCCTCCGTAAACCTAACCGAACAACCCGTGTCTCGATCCAAGACGCGCTGTAAACAGGACGAGGCACAGCACCGAGCCGTGGTCGCTAAACCTAGAAAGAGAAGGATCCAGAACGGCTGCTTGAATACATAGTCGGGGTATCAAGGTAGCCGCGACGTCCTCGAAAGCTCCAGACGGTTTCTTCACAATCACCTTGCTCTTACAGCTCGGCCGGGCCCGTATGCGGACCTTTCACATCCGCTGCAAGGAGGCACGGAAACTATAGTGCATCCAGGGTTCGCCTGGTGCCACCTCTAGTGGCATGGCTGGTGTTCCCCGAGGGGCTTGGACGGGGAGCTCAAGCTTTGCATGAAAATGCGGGGTCAAGCAGCACCATTCCTAGCTAGAATGATCAACATGGGAAGCAGTCCTCTTGTGCATGACAGCGAAACGCAGCGCTGGGTCTCTCGGGAGCAAACCTGCGAACAGCTGCCTACGTCGTCGCGTGCAGCAGCGTTCGGTTTAGCTTCAGGTACAGCTGTCGACATCGTTGCTCCAAATGTTGGACGCGACTGCCACGACACGGAGAGTCACAAGAAGCACAGAGACCGAAGCTTCAGTCCCTCTTCAATGGCCTTCGATGAGGCACCAGGGTTCTAGGGAGTTCGTGCGAGCGTATCAATGGGCGCGTGATCTCCGTTGTCCACTGCGAGCTGGGTCTCCTGATGGCGTGCCCCATCTTGATGACAGAGGCCGGGCGGGGTGCGATGGCGCTTGAAGCGAAGGAGGATGGCGTGCATAAAGCTTTCGATGTTCAAAGAGGAATGCAATGGGGCACGGTCGCCGCCGGGCCCAACCGAGTCCAGACGAAAAAAGAGGGGCCTGCCTCGAAACCCTAGGGTGTGAGGGCACAGCGCATCCCACATCCCGGCACGCCGCTAGGGCACGAGTCTCACGGCGGCGGCATTTTGATGAGGTGGAGAAGGCGAAGAGGAAGGATGTCACGATGCGCATGAGGGGGCCGATGATTTGCTGCCATCCTTCCTGGTTCGTCTCGCTACCCCCGAACGGCAGCAGGCAATTTGCAGCAGTTCGTCCCCAATTATACAAGGGCTAGCCTGCAGTTGGGTTGGTCGTCTCCGCATTTTGCGCATCTGCCACCCAAAGCCCCTGATCCTTGGCCCGGCCGCCTGCCTGCAGGAAGCCTCAAAGGCGTTGGGGGTGCGCGTTCTGGTCTTCCCACCTCTGTGATGCGCGCGCTGTCTCGAGGCCTTTGACTTGTGCAGCTGAGAGTCCTTCGTCTGCCCCTCCTCCTTCGTAAGCTAGCTGCTGTCGACGCCTATCCTACCTGACCAAGAGGAATCTCACGTGTCTTCGCCGACGGCACTCGTGTGATCTTCGCGTTTGAACAGTGTCGAACCACCGTCCCTGAAAGGAAACTGGAAACCCCTCAGGTGTTTGTGTCGCATCACTGCCGCCAGCATTGCGGCCTCCTCCATCAGTCGCTCGGAGACCAGAGCGACGATGCGCTTGAGACAGTAGGCGCGCGTACTATAGCTCGACGACTGGCTTGCACACTACGAGGCCGAGCTCAGCAGGTGGAACCGTGGCATCCCCACACTTCTTCTTGTCTGAGGCTTCCTCCTGGACGAACGGCCTGTATACTTCCATGCGACGACTGATGCCATAGTATAAACCGTCCATTTTTTGCACGATTCTTTTGCGCGATCTTCAAGAGTAGGGATAGACTGGATCAAGAGCTTGGTGTTTCTGGTTTACATTCTGAGGTACGCTCAACGCCCCGAGCAAGCGGCTCTTCCTGAATGGATGGCAATTGAGGCTCACTATTCGCGTCAGTTATTTTCCGGATACAAAATTATTTTCAAGAAGTATATTTGTCACCGAGATAGACTGTCGGGTATGTCCAGCCTTCTATCCGCCCCGCATGGCAGATCACAGCCTTTGTGCGAGAAGCCCCGTCGGTCACCCCGCCGACCCGTGGAGATGCAGGCCGAGTTCGTAGGAGTGGATGTTGACAGAGCCGCAGGATTAAAAGCCGGTGACCCAATAGAAAGGTTCCATTGTCACGACTTCGCTGCCGCCACGGTAATTTCTGTTCCTGTACACAAGGTATGCTCCCACCTTCTTTTCATCTCCGCGACCCTTCCGCACTCCCTCGATTCCCGTCTTGTCTGTGCCCTCCTCCCTCTCCTTCCCCTAAGCAATGGAGGCTCGGGGTTCGTGGGATGCTGTCGCAACTCGGGCGAGTACGGTCGAGGCCGAGGATCGGGTCCACGCAGCAGCGTTACGGCCGGCTGGGGTTGGCGAACATGCTGCGAGGCGTTTGCGATGCAAATTGGCATACATGCATTTGTGCAACATGAGTATGCGTTACAGCATCCTGATTCGGCATGAGCAAGTTGCGGTGTGCGGCGTTGTTGGGTGAGAAGGGGTAGGTCTGTTGACGGAGCCCTGCAAGCTCACGATGCAACCCCTTCGACAGCCAACACGTCTCGCCAGTCTCCTTTCCCACAAACACTCGGCAAGAGCTTTCCTGTTTCCAACTCGAGGTCAGATCTCCGATGCACACCTGGCTAAGCCGTAGTAAACAACAGTAATTCCTAAAGCCTACCGCAGACCGCTGCATCTGCCTCCAGACCATCACGAGCACGCACGGCCGGAGCCTCCAAGTGAGAGTCAAACACACTGGCGTTCTGCGCGCTACCGCTGCCTACGTGTATAAAGCCCCGCCTTGGAAGCTTCCTCTCTCCCTTCTCCTCCCCCTCCACCCACCACAGCTCTTTCTCATCTACACCCACTATTACACCTTCTTCTTCGATACAACCTCCCACTCCTACTGGTTCTACTGCTCTCCGCCTGGCAGCGCCGCTTCGACAATTGCTCTTGCAGCTCTCGTGGCTCGTCGGCAACGTCCAGCACGGCCTGCTTTGCAGCTCACAGCAGCTGAGCTTTGGGTGACGCTCTCCCTCTCGCTTTGACACACCTCTTGCAACATAGGAAGCTCACCACTGTTGGCGCGTCCTCTACTCGCAAGCTCTCGTCTACCAAAGCGACCGCCTTGCCGCCGCCTGGCTTTGCGAACAGCTCCAAGCCCCAACAAGCTCAGGTAAGTGCACCAACGTCTCTACCCCAAACAGCGGCTGTACCAGCACGCAATTGTTTACACTCATCCTACTATTCGGACCCCTCAACAGGCTTTGAGCTACTGCAACTTTCGCCGCTCGAGCACGTCGCCGGCGCCGACCGCTCCTTCCCCCATCCACCTACCCCGCTCCTTTTCCGACAACTTGCTTACATTGACTTCAGGAAAAGAGAAGAGCAGAGTGCAAATCTCTCGCAAAGCGTCAGAAACGTCAGGCGAAAGCCGCCTCGACCTACACCAGCTCCTTGGCAGAGCCTCTTTACCATCTCTGCCATTTTCCGGCAATCTGTACAACATCAGCTCTGTCCAAAACTGACTTCGAGACCGCACGAGTACACTGCCTAAGCTGCAAGACCCTGTAAGTATCTCCTCTAAATAGCGTCTTGCCATGCCACTTCGAGATTGCGACGCTGCGGTCCCTCGGCTCGCGCCGAGCAACCGCAAACAATTGCAGACGTGCGCATAGTCTATCAAGCGTCCGTCGCAGTACCCTTACTTGCCACGTCACAAATTTTCAGCATGATTCGGCCGCTGCACCTTCGATTTCTATGTTCGTAGGCTAACATTTCCTCTTCATAGGTGAACATTACTTGGCGACATAGACCCAAGTAGCCTTTACCTCTTACCAACATCCACCTATCATTCCTTCGAACGAACACAGCGTGCGGCCTATACCTCCTACAGTGAACAAGTCGTGGACGTGAATAGACAATATTCCTAGGAATCGTAAGACGGCTAAGGTATGCGTTTTCCGCCTTCAGTCCGAGTCTTTGTCACACTCTAACTAGGCCAGATAACTCGACAAGATGGCTTCAACCCCATTTAAGAACAGTCTTACTGTCGGTGGCTCGCCTTTCGACAAGGCTAAATTGCAAATGCGACGGCCTACACCGGACAGTGACGTCCTCGCCTCGAGCGATGACGACCACGAGGTCGTCGCCCCTCCGCCCACTCGACCAACTGGTGCTCCATTCCCAACGGCGCGCCGTCCCTCGTGGATGGCCCAGGACCTCCCGAACCGAAAGAACTCGCTACCTTCCGTGTCACTGGGCTCGCAGCCGGGGACACCATCCCTGTCATTAGACAGTCCGTCGAGGGCTCCGACCTTTTGGAATACAAACAGCTTCACCGCTGCTTCCTCGGCCAATCGCCTAAAGGAAGTGCTCCCCTCGCCCACCTCCGCCCAAGGTCCTGTGGACAAGCCGTTCGGTGCGCCGCCTCAATCGGAGACGGATGACACGGTCGGCTTCCTCTTGAACCAGCACACTGTTCGGAAGGCAGTTCGCTCTCAATCATACAGTGTCGGTCAAGGAGAGATTGGGAACCCGGCCTCTCACCTGCGATCAGCTCTGCGACACCGGCCGTCCAAGCCGAGCCTGCTGGCAACAAACGAAACAGCTGTCGGCCTGGGTCAACTCCGCGAAGACGAGAACGACGAGCTTGATTCATCGAACGGCTCACAACACGGTGTTCCACTGCACCCCGACTTCTACCAGCAAGAGACCCGCCCATCAAAGGCAATGGTGACGAAGCAAGTCACGATCATTGCGCCGCCTGCCCGACGGCTCTCTCACAGCATGCGAAGCATGACCCAGAACGACGCAGACGACGTCGCTGAGTCCGCTTACGATACCCGCGTCATGCCACTCACCCGGCGATACAGCGAGCACGTAGGCACACTAGCACAGGCAGATGACTTCGCACAGAGCCATGAACCCCATGGCTGGGGCGGCTCTGTGCCTCGATTCAACACAGACGCTTTGAGCCGTCGGCACTCGATTGCACACTATGGCAGCAATCTTGCTTCGACATTCTCTCAGACAACGCTCGGAAATACACAGGAGGAAGAGGAAGAGGCATCCCCTCTTGAGACCGTGCTCCCAGTCCTTCCCCCAGCACAGAACGATCCGAAGTGGAGCACCTTGGATTACTTCAGCGGCTTTGGTCCTGCGGCTCGAACGATCAACTCTTCCGCTATATCTGCGGCACACCCTGCTCCCACTGTCAACCACCCTCCACCTCCTCCGAACGCGTACGCCAACCCAAGCGGCTATGGCCGACCCGGTCGACGGATCTACGTGGTCCAGTTCAAGTGTTCGCGCTCGGACATCTATTACCTCTACGAGAATACGGGCCTGGAGATTCGTGTTGGTGATCTGGTGATCGTCGAAGGTGACCGTGGCCACGACCTTGGTCAAGTCACTCACGCCGACGTGACCATGGACGATGCCAAGCGACTGAAGAACGAGGCGAACGAGGACCACTTCCGCTGGTTGGTCATGTTCTCGCAGTACTCTGTCGCCGGCGCCTCCGCAAAGAATGCTATGCTCGGTGCTCTGTTCCGCGCACACGAGGTTCCGAAGACTGGCAACCGTCCGCAGCTCACCGGCATGGGCGTTCAACAAGATCCAGAGAACAAGCCGCGCATGATTCGCCGTTTGGCCCAGACACATGAGATCCTCCAACTTCGCGACAAGGAAGGAGAAGAGGCTCGAGCCAAACGAATGGCTACCGACAAAGCCTTAGACCATAACCTGCCGATGGAGATCCTAGACGCAGAATTCCAGTGGGATCACCACAAGATCTCATTCTTCTACTACGCCGAGTCCTACGTGGACTTCAAGATCTTGGTGACGGACCTGTTCAAGCACTATAAGATCCGGATATGGATGTCCGCTGTGAACCCAGCGTCTGTTGTCAACCCGGCCGGTATGCAAATCAAGCCGCCCTCCGCGATTGGTCCTGGCGCTATCGTGCCAAATAACGCCCCGAACGCCTCTCTGTCGGTTGGCCCTCTGTTCGGGAACAACTCTTACCGCCCCAACGAGCAGTATGGTGAGTGCATTCCTTGATACCAATCCCTTTCCATTGTAGTAACACAGTTCTAGGAAACCGCGATCGGTCTACCAACCCGCAGGGGTCCTTCGGCGCGAACAACTTCGGTCCCTTCTCTCACCAGCTGTCTGGATTCCCCGTGCAGAACCCCTACCAGATGCAGCAATGGGGCCAGCAGTTCTTAAACGCCGGCATGTACAGCCGGTACGACCCCAACGCTACCGCAGATCGGAGCCCGATGAACATGGGCGGATGGTTTCCGCCTGCGACGTACTCTGCATCCCCGGCGTTCAACCAGGCTTCCAGCAATGCCTCTTTCCGAGGAGGATACCCGGCTTCCTCGGCCAACAATCCGTATGCTGCGTCGACTGCGGTAGCTGCAAGTGCCTACAGCACTGCATTCAATGCACAGGCCGGCTTCCCGCCTTCCTCAGCAACTGGAGCTGCTCCATTTGTCGGTTTTGATCCCGACATGATGGCTGCTATGGCAAGCTTGAACCTTGGTGGAGCCGGAAGCCCTGCTAGAAACACTGACAACAACAACGGTGGCAACAACGGTGCGAACAGCGGTTCTGGCACCAATTAGCTGGACCTTGGCTTTCTTCATGGTATGGTGCTTATGTTTGTTTTCTCTTCTCTTTCTTTTCGTTTTGAAGTGCTGCCTCATGGTTTGAGGCATACAATATGGGCTGATGAAGCTTTGATTTGACGGTGGTTTCATATCTGAAGGCGATTTCCTCTTGCCTGCCATTCTGGCATATGGAGGACTTATGAAGGCTTTAGGTCTGACTTGCATTTGCTTTTCCTTGTTCATCTTTCTCATCTCTAGGGTATGTAGCGTGGAAGACAAGAAATTCTCTTCTTCATGCATGCTGGGATGGGAAAGCAAAATGTTTCTTTTTTTTTCCTAGAAAAGAAATTGACCTTTGGTCACCATTCGATGTTTCCTGATTCGTGCTGTGTGAATGTGTCTTGATTGACTTTGTTAGGTGTGTGATAGGATGTCATGGTATGACTCGATTGATGCTTGATAGGATGTCTTGATGTGAATTGGTAGGTGTATGAGAGGTGGTCCTGGCATGCCTTGACTGGTGTTTGAAAGGCGTTCTAATACAACCTGACTGGTGTATGATGAGGGATACTTGTATGACTTGGTAGGGATATCCATGTGGAGCATGACAGCCTGGGCTGAGATCTGTTAGGTGCGGCAGAAGGTAGCCTGGTTCAACTTGAGGGGAGTTCATGTCTTGGGGATAGTGGGATGCTGCTATGGATGCAGGGTGTTGTATATACTATCCTTGGGTAACACAGATCCCATTGCATCTGGCAATTTGAGTGGAGTTGTGAAGACGTTAAGTGCTGACAGGATGATTATCTTCCTTCAGTATGCATGTGTTTGTGGTACAGGGCCTCCTTAGGTAACTTGCCAGGAGTTCAGGGAAGGTGGTAGAGCTTGAGTAGGTTCTCGGGATGTATGCCTCTGTCGATGTCGATGTGGTGTTGATATGTTGAGAGGTTGGACGATGTATTCTGGATCTTAGGGTAATTTGTAGTGAGTTGAGACTACGGGGTTGGTGGAAGGCTCAAAACAACTAGGCATGTAGTAACGCGGGTTTGCATTTGCGAATGTATGAGGATGGACATTGCATCGTGAATCCTGAGACAATTCGCAGTGAGGTGGGACTTAGAGCGTGCGGAGATGTTCCGAACGCATATGAGTGTGTCGATGGGTATCAGTGCTTATAACTCTCTGAAATCGGGCAGTGTACTATGAAGCCTGGGACACCGTGCAGTGGCTTGGAACTGCGAACACCTAAGGAGACGTTTCGTGCCTTCGCAGGGAAACAGTGTATCTAGATTGAGGGGCAGAATCAAATGCAATCACGTGTCAATGTGAGTTCAACATGTGTGCTGTGGAGCTTGAGTTATCTTGCAGTAAGTTCGGTCTTCGGGAATTTCGAGGAGATGCTTGATCGCATCGCGGGGAAATGGTTACTAGGTTTCCATGCATGCACGTGTGGCTGTGTCTTGAGCTTGGGCATCGTAGATCTTGGGATAATACGCAAAGACCTGGGGATAAATTCCTCCAACTCTGTAGAAGACATGCTGGAGTAGCGTAGCCACGCTTACTTGGTATCACCAATCATTATATTTTGCATCCTGGGCCAATACAAGGGACCGACGGATCTGGTGTTAATTTCCGGCGGTACTGAATTTACATCGTCGGTGCCATCATGAAGCGGAACATCAAAAGTGATATGCGGTACGTTCCGTCGTGCCTTCCATCTTTGTCTGGCACTGAATGGGACTTGCCGTACCTGCGCCCGCCCGCGACACCCAAAACAGCCTTGATGATCTGAACAAGTGGACACCACTCAACAGTGTACCTAGGTTGGTGACCGGCATGCAGCGTGTACGCAAGACAAAGCGCGCGACAGACCAAGAGCAACCGACTACGGGAAGCCAGTATGTGAAGTGGCAACGCTCTAGCAAGAAGTACCATTAACAGCAACGGCAGAGAAGTCCAAGCAGTGATGTCTCTACTGGCAAAACCAAAGGGGGACGAGAAAGAGGTACACCAGGTTCGGAAGAAGGTTGCAGAGGACAGGCGCGCCCTGAACACGCTGCTTCAGCGGCGACTTGAGCAAGCGTGAGTGAAAAGTTTCGGAAAGAGCTTCATGATTCATGTCGGGGTTAACGATTGCAATGGGTGCAGTGAGAGACGCGATGTCCACCGCCAGAGCGAGATGTCTGCCGTGATCGCCAAAGCGCTCACAAAGCCCAACAAAACGACTTCACGCGAGCCGATGACCTTCGAAACCACCAGGATCGCCTGCAACAGCATCTACCATTCGGCACTCAGGGTGGATGCGGCACGCCGGAGCATGTTATTCGAATACGCCGGTCTTGAGGCGACGATTGCAAAAATGGGCGGGGACCACATGAACACAGTTACGGAGAAGTGGGTGCAAGACATCGGGAGGGAGGATAGGCTGCTCAGACTGGGTCACAAGACGGCGGTGAAGCGTGTCAAGAAGGTCTTGGGTGCTAAGGCCCCAGGTCAAGAGACACTAGTTGAGGAGACGGAGGGAGAAGAGAAGGGAATTGGTGTGCAGGACGAGTTGAACATGGAGCTCTTGCAAGGACTGAAATACGCAGAGAGAGGAATCAAGCGCATGGTCAAAGGCGTCCCCAAGGACTGTTATTGAAAACGACGGTACATTTACGATGCACAGAGGAGGGAGTGGGAAAGATGGTAGCAGGTGTTCTGCATAGCGAGACGAGCGATGTCTTTTCATACGATCTAGCGAGAACATGGTAAGGGGAAGCGTAGTACGGGCTCGCACACACTGTTTCCTGCAAACTCAAATGAATTCAAATAAAATACCGCCACATGTTTGTCGGATTCCTCGTGTTCTTTCATGCTGCGTCGCTTGTCGCTAGCTCCACTATCGCGGCGGCTGGCATATCCCTGTCGCGCCAAGCTTAGTCAGCTCCCACACAACGATTTTGCGCTTCGCTTCGCTCGACGAACTTCAATCGACACACCCACCCCGCCGACCTACTAACACAACAGTACAATCAGCCAAGATGGGTGCCCTCAAGTATGTCGAGGAGCTTCAAAAGAAGAAGCAGTCGGACATGATGCGCTTCTTGATGCGCGTTCGCGTACGTATCGATTCGTGGTGGTTTTCGAAGAATTTCGCTAACTTTTGACAGTGCTGGGAGGTATGAACTGCTTTTTAATGAGACCCCCTGGTCTCAATTGATGTTGCTCGTTGAACATAGCTGAGAGTGCATCAATAGCTTCGCCAACTCAAGGTCATCCACCGTGCCAGCCGCCCGTCGCGCCCCGACAAGGCCCGCCGTCTCGGTTACAAGGCCAAGCAGGGCTACGTTATCTACCGTGTCCGTGTCCGCCGTGGAGGTCGCAAGAGGCCCGCTCCCAAGTACGTACAACTAGAGGCCGAACATGACTTGGACAATTGCTAACAAATGTTCCAGGGGTGCCACCTATGGTATGTGAACCGTCAACTGAAGTCGAAGAGGCTCTCCTAACTCAATAACAGGCAAGCCCACCAACCAGGGTATCAACCAGCTCAAGTACCAGCGTTCTCTCAAGTCGACCGCCGAGGAGCGTGTCGGCCGCCGCTGTGCCAACTTGCGCGTCCTGAACTCCTACTGGATCAACCAGGACTCTACGTACAAGTACTACGAAGTCATCCTCGTTGACCCCTCCCACAAGGCCATCCGCCGCGATGCCCGCATCAACTGGATCGTCAACCCCGTTCACAAGCACCGCGAGAGCCGTGGCCTCACCGCTACCGGCAAGAAGAGCCGTGGTCTTGGCAAGGGACACGGATACAATAAGACCACCGCCGGCAGGAGGAAGACCTGGAAGAGGCACAACACCCTCTCCCTCTGGCGTTACCGGTAAATGCATTGAGGCTCTTGCGTGCATGGTGGGAAACATGGTCAATCTTTTCGAGCGAATGGGCTGGCGTGCATGGAAAAGCTATTCAAGGCTCTATAGCTGCCCTGTTCTGACCTGATTGCGGGCAGACAGGATGTCAAAATGAATTCAAACGAGTTCACGATTTTCGATACCCTACAATGAAGTATCATTGTGCTTTCTTGTGAACGTTTCCTTCAAATGCGATATATCTTAATGTAATCAGCCTCAGCCTTGCAGATCGCCGGCGCAACATCGCTCACCGGTTATGGCTGCATGGGTGCGGAGCAAGGTTAAATCGCGACGTCAGTGCATTTTGTTTTGCTGGCCCTTCCACGCAAGGCAGCGCCCTCGACGACTTCTGCAAAGCGTAGCCAGGCACATCTGCAACAAAAGCCTTGCGAATCTGTTTGCGTTTAGTGCCCGCTACTGGATTGCTGGGATACGCCTGAAGCCTCGCTCCCTCGCCGACGGTTCCCTGCGCGGCCCCGCCAAAAACACAGCAGCTCGACTTCAGGCCAACGAGCGTGTGACCGGCGACCAGGCCTACAACATCTACCTTGTGCACTTTCACCCCACCCGACATGCGCTGCTCGTGATTTGCACCGCTGCCTAAATCTCGAGCCTGGTTTATCTACACACGATGCGCGAGCACGCGCAGGGGTCGTCATCTGAGTGACTTCGCCTCGCAACGCCCAAACAAAACCGTAAACGAGCAAGCCCGGCCCAAGCTGAGCCATCACGTCTGTCTGTCACAGGCGCATACCAGCAAACGCCCTCTTAGAGCCGCTATTCCTCCTCAATTCGCCTGGTCACTGTCCAGCCAGCATGGCCAAGATCGATGCGGCGCGCAACTACTATGCGGACCTGAGCATCCCCGCCACCGCCAGCGACAACGATATCCGCAAATCGTTCCGCAAGCTCGCACTCGAGTGCCATCCCGATCGGCATCCCGGCCACGAGCAGGAATGGGTCGCGAAGTTCCAGCAGATTCAGGCTGCGCATGAGGTGCTGAGCGATCCCCAACAACGTGCCAAGTACGATGCAGAAAGGAAGAAGTTCAGGAATCTAAACATACCGCCATATAACCCTCCGAACACGCCACGAAGCCGTCCCCCGCCACCTCCTCGCAACACCTACACAAGTACACCTCACGGCGGGCAGTACTATCGCGCTCCTCCACCTCAGCCTCAGCCTCAGCCTCGGCCTGGCCCACAGCGACCTGCGCCTCAGCACCACAACACCTACACAAATGGCGCAGATCGCTTTACGAGCAAGAACTTCAGGACCCCGCCGACCGCGCAAAAGCCACCTCCTGCGGCTGGGAAGGCGAACGTCTTCACGGCATGGCAGAAGATGAAGCAGCCGCAGGCGGAGCCGCCGAGACCCCCGCCGAATCCGAACAATCCGAACGGTGTACCCTTTGGTCGCAGCCAGAGTACGAGAGTGCCATCCTCTAGCAAGAAAGGCTTTGACCCCAACTCTCTCGGTGCCGATGAAGGGCAGGCGCGCTCAGCATATCGCTCCAACTATGAGCGACCAAAAGCGTCTCCCATGGGTGAAGACATCCCAGAGGATGTGCCATTCTCGGAGGGAAATCGCGTGCGAACACCATACTTCTCGACCAAGTCAGGAGAGCGGACGTCAATGTTTGGAGACGGCGTTAGCAGATCCGCCAGCGTTCGCAATTCGCCTACCCATCGACCAGCCTCTTCTACCGATCCTGGTTCGTTTTCAGATTCGGGACATCGACAGCGGGCTTCTTACAGCGGCCCTCCAAAGGATAACCCGTTTCCCCATATGTATGTCTCAAGCGGTGACGAGGAAGACGAAGCCTCCGTATTCAGCAAAGGCAGGAAGCACCGTGGCCCATCTCCACCTAAAGACTCTCCACAACAGCGAACCAGCTCCAATGTTTTTGGAACTCCACAGCATGATGCACAGCAAGGCAATGGCACTTCGCCAAACCCTTTCAAGAGCAAGAGCGAAGAAAGCATCAACATGAAGTTTTCGCCCGGGCAATGGACCGGTAAGTTCGAAGGGGCAGGTTACTTCGTTCCGACTCCGCAGAAAAGTGGCACGAGCAAGGGTCGCGTATCACCCTCTCGCGGCAGGTCCAGTCAACGCTCGGCCACCGACAAGAAACCCTTCACAGGTCAGCCGCAACCGCCGCCGCCTGTGTCTCCATTCTCCCAGTTCTCTCAAATGCCACCTCCTCCACCAGGACCTCCGCCACCTTTGAAGACGCAAACTGCATTCCCTAGCGGAAGTGATTCTGCACCTCACACTGCCAAGTTCGCGCCAGATGTTTGGACCGAGACTTTCAAAGAGCCAAGCTGGGCGTACCCGACGCAAACTCAGACCAAGGAAACCTCACCCCGGCGTGGTTCTGTAGCTCCCAAGCGATCCAACCCTGTTCGCAAGGGATCGATTGCTCCTGAAAGTAGCTCCAGTGCTGAAGGGCAGGCGGAAAGAAAACCGAAATATCAAGCCTTTGCTGAAGATGTCGGTGCTGGTGACGCTATGGACGTCGATGAGGATAGCCCTCCGATAGGGAAGACAATGTCCACCCCAGCTTCTGCCGCCGCATTGAACTTAGGTCAAGCGAAGACTGGCGGGCCAGATACGGTGCCGAACGGTACCGCTGCTGCTTCCTCTACTGTCTCCGCCGACAGGCCTGCTGATACAGGCCCTAATCCACTTGCCGATTTGGGCAACGTGGAGCCATTTCTCCCCGCCACGAGCCGTGGGCTGGGCCTTGATGAACTGAAAGATACCTTACCGTTCAAATCTGGCACTTCTCAAAACCATCCAACCAAGCCCAACACGGCCCAGAAGCTGAAGTATCCTGACGTTCCCTTGGCGCCCTCCGTCCCAGCGAAATTAGACCCTGCCTCCACGAATGACTACTTCAACCGCATGGAGAATTACGTGCGACAGTACAGGAAATGGAACCAGAACATGATGAGTCACTTTGCTGCGCGCGAAGAAGAGCTCAATGATTTGGAGGATCGCTTCATACATCAACGTGGCGAGACCACAAATCGGATCGGCTTTCCGGGTTATTTGGCTCGGATGAAGGAGGACGAAAGCGTCATGGCGACCTGGCAACTTGGTCAGGAGTGGCACATCGCCGCGATGTTGAAGTGTCAAGAGGTCCGCAACAAAACCATGAAACAGTATATACCATCTGGCTAAGTGGCTACACCAAGACTCGTGTGACGAGTCGACGTGTGCTAAACCTGTGAAGAAATATTCAAGAGAAGGACCGCGAGGCATTCAAGGGTAGCTGGATGCCATCTAGAGTATGCCACTTCGGGAAGGCCATCCGACACTCACCTGCGGAGTGTGGCTCCTCTGGTACTGGTATTGCTCCGAAGGCGAAGGTTGGGGCTGAGAGAAGGGCACCGCATGTTATGCCGAAAGCAGAAGCAGTGGGTGTTGCAGCCAGCAGTGAAGCGGTTGTACCCAAGCCGGCCCCTCTCGTACCTTCACCATTCAGGAAGAGGTAGAAGAAGCACTGCTTGAGATAGTTTTGCATTTGTGATTTTGCATTGAAGCGTGCACTTGCAAGATACCCCTTGGGATGAGCATTCAGCGATAGAACAGGATTGTTGGAGCATTGCGAATCGCGTATATATTGCAGTAGGAAATGACACCAGAAGATGGCGACGCCAGTTTAGGTCGATTGCTGAGACGTGTGTCAACATTCGACGTTGATTACAGTATTGCAAAGTCACATGTCCCATCCAGCGTCCAGCCAAGCGGTTAGTGAAACACCCGTACCCCATATCCAGAAATGCACAGTCGATCAGATCATGTAGTGCTCGAGCATTATTGCGATGCCATTGTCAGAGATGATCCTAGAAGTCGGAAGACAAACAGTGCTATCTTCGTTTCAAACAGCTGCCACGCGTCGTCAAATTAAGCCGCGAAAGCAAGGTGGAGCGGGTGGCGCTACCCTCGGGCTCCCTTCGGTCACGGCTCTAGACCGAGGACGCCGTCGACCGCCAGGCTGGAGAGCGAACACCCTCATCTTTATCACGTTCACGATGTCTTGCATCAAAGACACCCAACTACCTTCTCAAACAGGTTCAAAGACATCGATAGCGCTGTTTTAGAACGTAAGCAAGACATGGGGAAAATGGCGCATGGACGCGAGACGCATGCAGGACCACCTCACAGCAGATCAGATCGTAAAAAGCTTGTGAGGCGTCCTCGACAGGGGTATCCGATGCGGTGTCCACGTACCGCAAGAACGGGTGCCTGTGCTGGGCCCTCTTGTGGACCGTCCATTCAAAGGGCTGACGCACCATGATGGAGGAATGCAACGGGCTTGAGGTCGAGATCTCAACGCGCGGGATAGCGCGTTTTTCGCATGTTTATCTCCCTCTCGTCTTTACCTCGCGCTGTATGGCAGACACAACGAGGACTCGATATACGTTTTGAGAGTAAGGGCCGCTAGTTGAGAGTGGACGTACCCGGAATCGAGAAACAAGGTTGCACGCGAAGAGTTGAGGCGCTACCTCGGAGCGCGAACGGTGTACGTGGAACAGAACATCTGGTGAATAGTTGCTCGAAGTCAACCAAGACGTGGGATTGGCTTGGAGAACCCGCTCTTTCACTTCGTGGGTTCAACTCGCTCCTTCATTTTCGCCGGCATTCTCGACAACTTGTCATATTCAACCTCGCCAGAGCGGCGCAAACGATAGATGGCACGTTTGCATTTGGACGCGCCGTGGTCTCCGCTGTCTTCACGCCGTGAGCAGCTAAGACCTGGCAATGCGGCATTACAGTGGGCTTGTGGGCGGAGAGGGAGAGTTACGATTGTGACGGTGGTGCTGTTCATCGTGATGCTCGTATTGTCAGGTGCGAGGCGATCAGGGGTAAGTATCTTTCCTCCAGATTCACAGATAGTCAAGTGCTAATGAGGCTGCAAGACTCTGACCTCGTCTTACCGAAGTTTTTCGTCGAACCTCGATCAATTCTCGACCTGGCGACCGCACCTGCCGCACCTCCCCTCTTCGATACCGACATCAATCCGCAAGCCATCACAGACTGCCCTCTTACTTGAAGATGGCGCCATGTCCCACGTGCCGGGTAACCTTCATAAATCGTCGCCGAATTTCCACCTGCTTCTGTCATCGCTCGAACACGACATAAGTTTCTGCAAGACTACTATGTCCGCCATGATCATGAACTATCCACCTCCCACCATCGTTAGCCCGTTTGTGAGTTCCGCGAGAAAGGCGGATTGGGAGAAAGCGAAGCTAAAGGATGTGCTTGCGTACCTTGAGGATAAGAGGGTGGTCAAGGACAATGATCTCGTAATGCTCGTCGACGGGAGGGAAACTTGGTTCCAGCTACCGAGTGAGCTAGCGATCAGGCAATACATGACTGTCGTGGCAGATGCGAACCGCCGTGTAAAGAAGGAGTACGGTGAAGGTTTCGCGGAAACGATTGTTTTCGGGGCAAAGAAAACGTGTGAAGGAGATGACGTTGCGTGTAGACATATGCCATCCTCTGTTCTGCCGCGAGATACCTACCGTACTGGCGAGGGAATGAAGGAGACGGAAGAGCTTGTCCCGGCGCAATATTTGGATGCGGACATTTTCATGGGGCCAGTCAAAGACCTAAGAGCGCTTTACCAGACGGCACTGCTGGTCTTGGATGAAGGCAAAAGCCAATATCGGACAGTGCAGTCAGTCATGAAAACTCTCTTCGGAGAGCAGATGTTGGCACGACGCATATACAAGCAAGAAAACAGACCCGCACCCTTGAAGATGATTGCCCATATTTCCGGAACACTCAAGGGCTCTAAGAATAAGGATCAGACGAGTGATTTCACACTTCAAGAGAATCGCCAGTACGAATTCTCCATCTGTCTGGACTACACGCATGCACTATTCCAGCCTTTGATGGAATGCGCTGAAGATGAACTCGTGATCACCCAACCCACCAATGCATCCGAAACCACGCTGAAGGATCGTCAGCAGATGCTACACATTTCCTCTGACCTACCGTCCGCTTTCGTCAATGCCACAGGGCCTTTCTGGAGACCCGACGATTCGACCAACGATCCCTCTCCAAACGACAAATCAGCCTATATCGATAAGCTGGAATACAAATATGGACTAGACAAGCTTCCCCGCCGCGACACAGCCTGGACCAATATATCACTGATTCAGAACACGTACACTGGCGCGATACCAGCGACCTTCCGCGCGGCTCGAGAGAGTAACTCACGAGGAAACAAACAGATCCCACAAACTCCCGATGAGAACAATGCTGTTGCAAACTTCAAGAATGGAAACATAACTTGGACATCGCTCTGGTATGCCGGCTACGAGCGCGCCCTTCTCCGCCGCTACTTCCGCACACCTCAGTCGCCTATGGGTTATCACACCGCAGCTGTTGGAGGGGACCTCCTCTGGGATCAACGCGGCGGGCGCGGGGGCGTCTGGACCGCCGATTTCAGCCTCTGGCTTCCGTGGGGCGAAGTGGACGGGGTGTGTGGGACGTATGACCTAGTAAGTAGCGTTTTCGGGGACAAGAAGGGCGTTTGGTTACATGAGGATGAAGAAGGCGGTGGTAAGAAGGGCAGGGAGCAAGAAGAGGCAGAGCTGAGAAAGCACTATGAAGAAGAGAGGAAGCAGGACCAAGAGTGGATGCAAAAGATGGAAGAGGAGAGGCTGGAGAAAGAGAAGAAGGAAAAGGAGGAAAAGGAGAGGGCACAAAGGGAGAAGGAAAGAGAGGCGAAGGAGAAGCAAGAGAGGGAGCGGAAGGCGAAGGAAGAAGCGGATAGGAAGGCAGCGGAAGACGCTGCTGTTGCCATTGATGCCGTTGCTTCAACGGCTGCTGGCGGGGTGAAGAATAGTGCAGTCAAAAACGCTGCGCCGGACATCGCGATGAAGCAGGGTCGACAGCAGTACCAACAACGAAGACGGCGGGGCGCATAGAAAGCTGCCCCCTTGGGCTCTCGTCCATCACGGCTTTGGCGTTTTTCTTTTTTTTTTTTTTCATGGTATATCCACTGGGTCTTGCGATGCAAACATTACGTTACAGATCTTTCCTTTTCATTGAAGGCGTTTCTTTGAGCATGTGTTTTGTCATGGATGATGTGGAGTACAGAGACCATTCACGCCGTACCCTTCAAAGCTTACGCTTTTACTTGAGGACTCAATTGTGAAGAGAACGAGTCTAGTCTTCCGATGCCACAGATCGCTGCTATCGGGTCGCGACGCGCTCTGAGTTTGCTGCACGTGTAGCGTGTTGTTCGGAGTGCGCGCGTATTGAGCCAATCAGAAGAAGCTCTCGATATGGCCGGCGCGTAGCACGCCCGTGACGGAGCGATCATCCCCAATCACTTCGCACCTCACCATGAACCCTTCCCTCCCAGGCCGTCGTATCCGGAGCCGCTCCTTGCTATGCATCAGGCCTGTATGCTGCGCCGCATCGTTGCTTTCCAGCCACCAGCGGCTTCACATATCCTATAGCACGCCATGCATTTCAGCGCTTATACGGAGCCTCTGAAGGGCTACGTGCTCCTTAGTATATTAGTTCAATGCCAAATGTATTATTTCTATCTCCTCTTATCGACATAGTACTCTTCAGTCTACCCACTTCCCCTGTAGAGTTGCGGCGTAGCCAAATAGCTACACGTGGGCGTCGTTAAGTTTCACAATCCACAACTACCACGTCCATGGACTACTTACTCAAGGCCCACCTTTTCCCTCTCGTGGCTTAGTATTTGTACCCCATAGGCCTACTATTAATCTTCTTCAGAACTTAATGACCTAGTAGTGATACCATTCATCTAGTACTCTACATAATTTTGCCCTTACTATCTACGTTCTTTCTCTATATGATGCCGGATAGTCTTCTTTATCACCGGCAATAACAGTCAATGATGTTGATTTTGGACGAACAATCTACACAAGCGGATGCTCGATCCCAAACACGCCTGTGGACGGCTATGACTCTACCAAGAAGGATCCGGGAATACGGACATCCGAAGGTCGTGATACAAGCCACGGACAGTTTCTAAAGCGTGAGAAGCAGGCTCGAGCCGATAGGGTCGAGGCCAACCGACAAGCGCTGTCGCCCAGACCTGCAAAGAGCACAGAACAGAAACTGGAAAAGCGACGCCATGAGAACGGTGTTTCTTCGTTTCATCCGACCGAACGCGCACTACCAAAGCAGGACAAGTGCAAACATTGCAAAGTGTTTAGGTGACCGACCCACTATGTTATGCATCGATCAAGGGCTTGTTGGCGCGTAGGCGGATCTTCGAAGTCGATCGGGATGAGGTTGTAATATTCTGAGAGCTGTCGGGTCAGCAATGAAGCGACAGACCTTAACGCCAGCCACGTCACGGTACGACGGCAGCTTAAAACGGACATTATTCGGATTAAAAGCAATAGTAACGCTTCGTTTCCACTCAAAGCTATCAGGAGGGTAACCATTTGATTTAATGGTTTCCATTCTGGGAAACAACTTTGGCATAAGGCCGCCCCTCAACCAAAAACCGTGAGCCCGAAGCGCTTTCGGAAAACTCAAGGGTATAAAACTCTAAGATCCCAAGCAAACACTAACCCAGCTTTGATGGAAGGAAAAGGAAAAGATAACGCTTCCAAAATGGGTGTGCCCCGCAGCACGAAAGAAGAGAATGTTTATGTAGCTTATCTCGCATCTTGTTGGTGAAGTGGTTTTTTCGCCGTTAATTTTCTCGATGCCCTCCGACGGGATCATGCAAACAGAAAAAGGTGCGGGAATAGAAAAGAAGAAAAAAGGCAGCAACTGTCCAAAACAGCCGAAATAGTCCTCGTGGTTGTCATGTGAAGTGATCTGGTCAATCTCGTTGTCCAACGCCGAAGGAAGAAGCGTGGGAGGTCCGAGAATGATCCGGGAGAATCTGTAGCAAGGCTCAGCGGCCGCATGGCGAGGAGGAAGTTGTGGCGGCTCCTGACTCAAGCAACGCGGCAGCTGGCCGATGGTATGACCACCAGTCCATATATGTCGTATTCTGTAGACAAGTCCTTGAAAGGTTGCAAGGAGCGCGTTGACCGTTATTGTGATATCGATGGCAAAGCCCGTTGTGGTTTTGTCGCGTCTACCATGTTATACTCTAATGTTCCTCAGAGAAGCCTAGGAGCTTCAATCTGTAGGAAGGACCATAAGCAAGAGTAACTAATTGGGCGGGCTTCAATGTCCATGTTGATTTGTTGGCTGGAAGTACGATTGGAGGAGCGTCAGGTAGATGTATGGCGGGCTTTGATCTGGGGTCGGTCGCGCTATGCACCGTCGTTGTCTGTTATTGTTCCTTTGTCGTTTCCGACACCATATGCGTACGATCAACGCAATGTGGCGCCATCGTTCGAGCCATCGTGAATTGTCTGAGCGTTCCCAAACTATTTCGTTTGTGAGATCTCGGTTCCAGAGCAGCCTTTAACTCAGTCCGATGCAGATCTCGAATTACAGTCTCATCCAGCAATCATTGCCAAATGTTGATAGCTAGCAAGCATGCCCGCTGTCACTGACTGAATTAGATCTGTACTGTTGGGCCGGGCTACTCTCCCTCCGAGTGTAGTCGTGCCGAGGCCTTCGCCAGGTTTAGAATTTTCAGTACACACCTCTTGGCTGTACAGCTCTACCCACTTGAACGCGCCTACTACTAGGTATTTACTTCCGCAGTATCAAGTATAATCACTACACACCCCATGAACAACAGCTCAGCCTACACTATATCTGGACGCGCCTACTTCTAGGTATTTTCTTCCGCAGTACCAGCCCGTGCAATTGATTCTGTATCCAGCCCCTGACATATGGTTATAGCGGAGCGTCCATGCGCGAGGCGGCATTTGGGGGCGGGGGTGTGGCTTGGCTCTGATTCCATAAGATTATAGCCCAGAGCCTAAGCCAGAGGGTGTCGAGCTAAGCCGAAGAGGGTTGACGAGCTGTGTAGGGAGAGGAGTTGTCTGTCTGATCGAAGGCGTAGCGAGGACTAGGAGAGCCTGGGAGTTAGAGATGTCAATATATCGGAACCGGAAAGGGAATGTCAATTGGCGGGATGGTGGTGGTGACGATGGTGCATGTTGTCTGTCTGGTGCGCTGACTTGGTGTCGGATCGTGTGCAGGCGAGCTATACTTCGAAGAGCTTGGCCAGAAGGATAACAGAGAATGACGGCGGGGTTGTCGTCGTGGACTTGGTGAAGAGCATTTACGGGAACAAAGCTGGGGAATTAAGCTATGTTCAGGGGATGGTGTTCATAACAGCAGCTGTTGTCGTGGATTCGGGCCGGATGATTTAGGGGGCTTAGTACGCATGTCCCTTCTGTGTGAGACGCGGAAATAGGCCTGATCAGGTGCAATAGGACTTTCGGCAGTAGAGGGGAACGACGGCGAGTTGGACCGTTGCCGCCCTTTTTATTAAAAGCAAAAAAGGGAAAAAACAAAAAAAGAACATTGACAGAATCCATGGTGAAGAGCTCAGGAAAGCCAAGGTGTAGGACCCATCTTGCAGTTGGGCCGTAGTGACGGGTTTCGAAAGTCGTAGAGAGCACGAGCCTTACGCGCATCGTCTCCATGAAAGGTGTGTAGATACCGATAGCCGCTGTGGTCCACTCGGTAGTCGTTGAAGCGGTCTACTTGTTTCGGGGTTATGAGGGATTGCCAGGTTGTTCGGGGCGCGGGAGATTGATAGCGAGCAGTGGAGGATGGCTGCTCGTAAACCGGTACGGAAAATCGACAGTTGAAACATTGTAAGCGAGCACCGAAAGATGGTTGCTGGGCGGATGCGACAGATGGTGACCAACCAGGCTGAGTGGGGCCTGCGGGGGTTTGAGAAACGTTCGGAGTGGCCGGAGAGGGTGGAGGAGGAGGAGCAGCATCTGAGGTTCGTGCCGACCGGAAGAGGTTCCAGCCTGCAGCCACCGTCTTGCAGAGGGTACCAGCGAGCCCAGAAACCGTGCTTTTGGCGTGGTCAATGATTTTAGGGCCGTAGTCTCGAACAGCCTTGCCAGCGGGGATCAGACCCCAACTCCACATGATGGTGCCGAACGGTATCAAGATCTTGTCGTGGAAACGTTTCAGGACTTGCAAGCCAAAATCATGAATGGACCTAAGAGCGATCACATTGTTGACGAAAACTGCAGTGAAGATATGTTCCAATAACAACCGAAGAAACCATTGCCACTTTCCAGGACGAGCATGGAACTGCGGCAGTTCCAAACCCTCAGTGGTATTGCCCATTATATTGATAAAGGCGTTGGGTTGGGTGGCAGGCATCGTCTCTTGACCGCTCTGATCGTTGGACTCTTCAGGGTTGGCGCACTGGGAGCTCATGTTGATATCTGTGTCCTCGGTAGTCTGTGATTGTGCCTGCTGCTGCACCGGAACAGCTTCTACTGCAATAGTCGACAACTCAGCGCGACAATCCTCCTCTACTGTCTGAGCCTCCTCCTCCTGCTGCTGCTGCTGCACAGGAACCGAGATCTTTGTAGCAGAAACCGACACTCCAGTGTGGATAATTTCCTCGGGAGTCTGGATGTTTTCGTGGGGCGGCACAATAATCGTATCCTTGGCGGGCGGAACAAAGTTGTCGGTCCCAGACGTTCGTGAAGGGCCAGCAGCGGCTGATAAAGAGTCCTGCTGTTCGACATGCATCTGTTTGCGCGTAGCATGGTAAGGTGGCGAGAAATCATCCTGTTTCTGCGAAGCAAGAGAACCTGAAGAATCCACTGCCTGACAGGCGGTAATGTCCGTTTGGGAGAGGTCCCGCGAGCTGGCGAAAGAACCTTTGTTGTTCTTCAAATCGACGTTCGATGTGTCCAAAATGTCGTTTGTACTAATAGTGGACTTGTCATTGTCGCCAGAAGAATCCGCCTGAACAGGAACATCGAGTAGGAAACGATCGTGTTTTTTGAAAGCAACAGGATGCAACTGGCCCCAACCCATCTTGACCCAAATATCGGAGGGTGAGTTTACCTCAAAGAGTATACCCCAGTCAGAAGCCTGCCCAGCTACGTTACGCAAGTCATTCCGCTTTGTTGTCCAGCGCCGCTTTCGACGGTATTGAGGGTATCTACGTCCACGGATGACCTTAGAGCCAATGACACTATCGTGGAGCTCCAGAATGCCAGCCAGAGAAGATGAAGACGAAGCCACAGATGGCAGTAACGCTTGCAACTCAGGTGCGATTAGGAAACCGGGTGCACCAGCAGCTTGTGTGCCTTGACTCTGGCTTTCGCCGATTGCGTTGGCTCCGCACGTTTCAGTGTTGCATTTGGTTCCAGCATTGGTCTGCGGCTGGATTGAGTGGGCCGACGTATTCCGCATATCTGTGGTCTCTCCAAATCCACTAGTCTGGTCCGTAGTGGAGGTGGGAGGTTCGCCCATTGTCTCATCTTTGATTTCGGCAGGAGGGTCATCCATCGTCACGTCGTTGAATCCGGGTTGATCCGCATACAGATCAGGAAGATCGTCCATCGTCTCATCTTTTATTTCGGGTTGATCTGTGGACGGAGCAGGAGGGTCGTCCATTGTCTCATCCTGGACCTCAGACTGTGCGGAAGAAGCGCCCCCAATGGCAAGCGGAGCGGCCTGCTGTTGGGACAATGGCACTGCTGCGTTTGAACTAGGTGAAACGACGCCTCCCATCGCACCAGACACACAAGACGCACAAGACTCGGCCTTAGGGCCATCAGCAGCCGCCTCAGGGTCTTTCATATCGATGTCGACAGCCGAAGGCGGAGTGGTTGATTGGTTGGGAACTACCTGGACCGGACGAGCGTTGCCGCTGAAGCCAACTGCTTTACCTTTATTCGCACCCTGAGTAGACGGTGGAGACTTAGTACCCGTGGTCTTAATAGAAGTTGCGCTGCTAGCGCCTACAGTAGAGGCTCCTGAAGTCGGCTTGGGCTCAGTACGCTGGGTGGCCGCAGTAGCCACGGTCAACGTATTGGTAGCTTTCGGGGTTGATTTTTCATTCCACGAAGGCAGCCCTGGTATATGAATCAAGCTGCCGTGTGTGGTAGGTGGAGCTACAGGTGGAGCTAGGGGCGGAGCAGAAGCGGGAGGTCGATTGGCGGCATGACAAGTGTTAAACCCGTTGGAAGCCTGTGTGGTGGGATCAGAGCCAGTGGGTTGGCTGGAAGAGATGCTGGCAGTGGACAAGTGTGTAGCATGTGCGGTGGGCGCAGTTGTTCCGCTGTTTGAAGAAGTTGGAGTAGCGGCAGTCTGCATATCTTCAAAACGTATGCCCTTTTCGCACTTGAAATCGTTCCATGCCGTCCCATTACCATCTTTCAACTCCTCAAGCTTGCGAACAACGGAATGTTCGACGATGCGGTTGTACTCATGGGTGCCCTTGTGCCCTGCTTCTTTGAAACATGGATCTACCAAGGAACGATAAAGTCTGTCACGCTTCGTCTGGTCAAGCTTGAAGCGTTTGTAGGCACCAAGAGTGTGCTTTGCATCAACTGAGAACAAGAGATCCTTGACCTTAAGTTCGATTGGGCTAGGATTATTACGCCGTTCGATAGGGGCTGAGAAAACCCAGCTGGCACCAGACTCTGCTACAACACGCACTGCGAGATCATCTTGGCGGAGGTTCTCCTTCTCCAGTTGGATCATCTCCTCAATCTGGTCCCAGATCTCTTTCGGAGATTTGATTATGTCGGCGATCTTCGGGTCAAGGGCTTCGTCCTTGAACCTATCGTACCAGTAACGAAGGACGTCAAGAGCCGATTCGCATATGTTCGGTGCATCGGAAGGGGGTATCTTGTGAAAATTTTCCATATTGCGGTTCCATAGCTGGAAATTTTCGATGATTTTCCCAGCCTCAACTCGCAAAGCGTCAAGGTCTGGACAATTGTCTTGCAACAACTTCCAATCTTTCTTTGCGAGAAGCCCCATGCCATCCTCGCGGCACATCCACTTTAGCCATTCGCTCTTCTTGATAAGATTATTCGCATCCTTGAAGATTTGATGAAGGTTGTCTACGGTGATGACCGCACCTTCGGAATCTTCGATGCCTGTGGGAGCAGGCGTTGCTGCAAATGGCAGGCTGCCAGGAGCTTTAAACTCGAATTGTGAGGGAGAAGACGTGTTGTTGCTCGAGATGCCGAATTTGCGAACCCGAGATGTTGTCGGAGTTGGAGTGGTCGTGACATTCTGTGCAGCGGACCCACCTGCAGTCGAGGAACCGGAGGTGTTAACTGGCTGAGACGACGACTGATTTTCGGAAACCATCAGAGTGGCGCCCTTCAAAAAGTCCGCGAGGGTTTTTCGATACTTAGACACGTAAACCTCCGTAGCTGGGTAGAAAACGTCACCACCGGTGCTCAAACCGATCTCGGCCAGGTCTTCAGCCGGGTCTGTTGCTAGTTTGAAACGGACCAGTCGACCCTGACGGCGACCCGACATTATCTGGGCCGTCAAGGGGGGCAATTGCTCTATGATCGCTCGGGCCCACACTGATCGGAATTGCGGACCGAAACTATCCAAAAGCCATCCATGATATTGGCGAGCAGTCGGCATCTGCCGTATCCGAGTTATCAAATCCTTGATAAGAAAGTCGTACTGGGGCTTGCCATTGAAGAGGGACTTTCTCATGCGAAGTTCTTCGATGCTTGCCGTAAGTTTCCCGATATCAACCTCTGACAGTTGATAGATCTTGAGATGATCACCAGAGGACAGACGCCTATCCGTAGCCATAAAAACTGAGTGGATGGCTTTACGTGCATTCTCCTGGCATTGACTCGAGATAGCTTGTAATGGATATGATTCATGTGGTTCATCGCCAGGTGCGAGTTCTAAAGGCAGCATGTGATCGCTCAGCCGGAAGATGCACTCGTGTACAGTGTATTCAAAAAGGTTGAGCCCGTGCAGCTTTGAGAATTCTTGGCAGTGATACGCATACAATAGCGCATCTGTTGGGATCAGTCGTTCCTCGCGGGGAAATGAGTCCATATTCTTTTGCCAGCCATCCAGCACTCCCAAATGACATCGAATGTTCTCCTCCCATCGTGGTGATTCTTTCATCTTGTCCACGATCTTCTTTATGTCTGATGCATCAAGTACATACTCGCAAATCCAATGGATCCCATTGATATAGTTGTTCATGTCATTGTAGGCTTGGATCAATCGTGCTCGGAGTGCAGTCATAGGGATCTTCTGTTGCGGGTCGAAGGTGGCTTGAGCGAAGTTGTCCTGGATGTGTGCAGGGATGAATGCAAATAATGCGTCGCTATCAGGCTCTTTACGGTCGTCGGCCTCTTTGAACCGACGCATGAGTCGATCGTCTCCTTCCTGAAGGTTCACTTATTCATCTCCAGTCGCCATGATTGCGACGCCGCCTGAATTGACTGTAAGTCGATGCAAGAGTCGACGTTCCACGAGAGAGAGAGAGAGATATGTATATATATATAGAGAGAGAGAGAGAGAGAGAGAGTGTGTGTGTGTGTGTGTGTGTGTGTGTGTGTGTGTGTGTGTATTGCACAGGCAACAGTGGCACTTCGCGCGGCTTGACCTCGAATCGAGGTGCGGTCTGGCGGGGTGAGGTGAGGGGATATGAGGCAGAGCACGGTGCTGCAAGTGCAGCTATGAAGGCTCGGCGCGGGTCGGGCGCGAGCGAGGTGAATGCGCTCGAAGCGCGACGGTCGTGGCGCGCTGAAAGTGACTTGCCTGCTGCGCGGTCCAGATGGACGGCGGGAGCAAGATCTCGCGTTCGCAGGGTAAAATCAATTGCGTGCGTTTCCGGCGGGGTATTCCTAAGGGGGTGCTTACCACGGGGCACCAAGGCGCTTGCGCAGATGTGCGGATGTTGGCCTCGCAATAGAATGGCGCAGTTGGGCGTCTGCGTGTGCGGTGGAGGGGGCGCTCTGCTGCGATCGCAGCGTGTCTCTTGATATTCGCGGGGAACGCGCCAAGAGAGCTCAGCGCGGGAGTCGCGGAGCCCATGCGCCAAGCGGGTGAAGCTCAGTTCACGTGACAGAGTGCGGTCCAAGATTGTGCGGCGCCACAGGATTCTGAAAGCTCATGCGCCTGAACAACTCTGTTACAGCATCCTATCATGTACGCGTGTCACCTAAATAGGCATAGGCCGTGAGAAACATATCTCTTTGCACCTCAAGTTGAAAAATGGTTCTGGCCAACCCGCCTCATCGCTGGGCATGGAGGGAACCGGCCACACTCCGAAGCCTGTCAGAAGGATTTTTCCAAACTTCTTGAGCTATGCATATACGAACGAAGGGATCTGAAATACATTATGTCAGCGCCTGCTCCTTGCTTCTACAGATTCAGTGGGGCCAAAACCAAGAGATCTTTTCGGAAGGAGCAACAGTACCTGCAATGATTCTGAAATGCGGTATTCACCTGTAGTTCCTGGGATCTACTGCACCAAGTTTCTGCCTCTAGGTTCTATTGTAGCTGCCGCCGTTTACCGAGACCTTGCTTCATTACATCATGTATATATGTTGTGATTACAGTGTCTTGTTAGCTTGCATTGTTTGCTCACTTCTGTTACAGCACAGCCTGGAGAGCTTGTACGACGGTAACTTGATCTGATATCGCAGCACATAGCGCCAGTCGATCGACGAGTTGTCTAGTGTTTAAAAAGAATGACTGGAAGAGCGCGAAAGAGAGGGTAAAGCCCCTAGCAGTGGTCAAAGGCTGGGTTTTTTTTTGGACCGACCATTAGCTACTTCAAGATGAAGAGAGCTCGACTGAAACTCACTAGAAGAGACTATTGGAAGTCGAATAGTCCCGTTCTGTTATGGGTTAGTATGATAGCGTATGTTGTGAGTGGAAAAGGAGATATCAGAAGGAACAGTCGTGTCTAATAATTCATTTCTTCCCCAGAAAGGCGTGACCAGCACGTCTCCCTTGTCAGATTGCATTATCCTATATGCCGCAAATGCAAAGGAAACAGGGCAGCAAATGACAAATAAACGTGAACTAGGGTATCTGGCGCCAAAAATATCCTTCTCTTACAAAACCAAATAGCCATTTCCTGCGCCGACTCCTGATATCGATGTCCGAGATATCACATAACAAATAAGCGTTCACTTCCAGGCCAAATTCTACTCATCCCATGGAAAATCATGTGGGTCAATGCGCGTACATGTCAAATATGGCAAACCACCTTCTCTAAGATCCAACTCGAGGAAATTCCGCATGAGAGGCTTCACAGCGTCTTTTGCCTTGTTTTTGATCTCCTCGATGCGTCGTTCGAAACGCTTCAGGTTGTCCCGATTGTAATGCTCGGGACTCAGCTTGAGGAAGCGCTTGCACTCATCGTGCCCCAGATAGCTTGCCCCGCCAGTGCCAAGAAGTTTGAATATTCGGCCGGTGTTAAAGGGTGGTGGAGGAGGCAAAGGCGTATCATCTCCGCTTCGCGAAGGCTGTCGCGGAGACTTCAAAATTGGTGCGGGTGGTGGCGTGGTATTTTCTGCGAGCCATTGCCGGAACAGAGATATGGCCATCCACTCGAGCCAGTTGTTCGAAGGTGTCACACGCTCGCCTCTGCTCGTTGTAAGTGTCAACCGGAACAGTTTGACCTCAACTTTTGCCTTTAGCTCATCCATCTCATCCACTTTGTCTTCCACCAGCTCCAGGACTGACTCAGCGACTTGTCCTCTCAGCTGGTTCATGCCCTGCGGCCATTGACCCACGACGTGTACCATTGCTTCCGAGAATATCGCCTTGCTCCGTGCCATGTAGCCTAGCTTGAGGTAGCTTGGGGGGTATTTGGCAATCTGCTTCCACAACCGGCCCTGGAATCGTAGCAGATGGTGATCAACTCGCGGCCCTATCACATCGAGCGCATCGTACATGTCGGCGATCTGAAGAAGCGACTTGCATTCGACGTATGCGTTTGCGATATTGACGGGGTCTAGAGCAGGAGGATAATTATAGAATACGCGGAGGAGGTTGTCGTAGTCTCGAAAGGTGTCGTCGTCGGGGTCGGTGGGCGTCGTGGGCACGTGTAGGGAGGAGAAGTTGGCCATGCTGCGGAAGAAGCCCGCTTGAGGCGCTGGCGGCTTGTTACGAAGCGCTGGCGGCTGCGAGGACGCGCCATCACCGCCAAATAACGTGGGTTGCGCTTTCTGAGTTGTGTCAGAATGCAGGTGCTCTTGCAGAAGATGTAGGGGTTGTACCTTCTGAATCAGCATGGGAAGATCGTCGTCCCTTCCCCATTCGAGTTCGTACTTCCAGACCTTCTTCTCCTGTAGAGCGCCTTGCGGAACCCTCGCGAGTGCTGCCGAGGTTGCGCTCTGCGCGCTGCTCTCGCCGGCCGTCGCCCACTCGTCGCTCAGTCCCGCCTCGAAAAACCCGGAGCATTGCGCCAAGATGAGCTTGTGGAGCAGATAGCGTTGCTCTTTCCGCCCGTTGGAGATCAAAATGTCGACATCGCCCGTGTGCGTAAATACGGGGAACTCGTTCTGCGGCTGGTACGAGGAGCCCCCAAAATGCGAGCGGTGCGGGCGATGCCTTCGGACGGTCGAAGCGCGCGACGAGTGCGAGGTTACGGACGGCGGGCGGCGGATGGCGAGCGAGCGCTCTGCGCCCTGCGAGTCGGGATAGGAAACCATGCGGGCCTGCTATGACTCCCGGCTATTCTATGCGACGGACAAGTCTGCAGACGAGAAGATGGCGATGTGCGCTCCGGAGCATGCGATGGCGGCGGAGGGGCTGGAGCGCAGGCGTACACAAGGTGGCTGCGTGTTGTGTTGTTCGCTGTGCTTGCAGGTCGAGGTGCAGCGAGGCTGGAGTACTGCAACAGGCCCGCCCCGCCCTGGACGGTTGATGGGTGCGCAGAGGTTTGAGCTCCTGGAATGGCGGCGGCGGCGGTCGGTCTTCCTCGTCCGGCGCTGTATCGTCGAGCGTTTCAAGAGCTCACGGTGGCAGGAAGTCGGTGGCTGTGGCGACAGCCATCGCGTTGCCCGCATGCAGCTGGTCTGCAGACCAGGCCAGGATGTCCCAGGATGCAGCATGTGATGCGCCAATCGCCGCTGTTACCCGAGCCAAGCCTCTTCGAATGTCGTCTATTCGCTACCGAGGACTGGCACATATTCGTCGACGCGGAGCGCGCCCGTGGTGCCCAAACTAGGTGCTGCGGTAGTCTATTCTCCATGGCCATATTTCCAGTTGCTAGTACGTACTCTAGGAAGAACCCACCACAGGGATTGGGGCCATGAAAGACGCAACTTCATCGTGTGAATCTATTTCTATGAAACCGAAAACCCAATGACCTTGTGTACGGCTACCTCTAGTACTTCTGGCCACCCCCGCGGGCGTTGTAGCTACGATGTAACAAAACTTCCTATCGTCTGCACTTAGCATCGCTGAACGCACTTCCAATAGTACTGTCCGATTGCAAGACATCAGAGACGGTCTGGTATGAGCAGGTAGGGTTGAGATTGGACAGTTGGTGATCCGCTGACTACAATCACAAAGAATTGGTTCATATCGATCTGGCTTTTCTATGAGTCTCGCAGGTACTCTCAATACATCATTATCCCATCAACCTTATTTGTATTTCATCCGCCAGTAATGTTACTAGTCCCATGTTGCCCGAGGGAAACTGAGAGCGTTATGTCGGCGATAGTTCGTTGGCGTCATGCGTCCCAGGCGACACGTCTAGCAGGACAATAGCGTCACTTAGGAAAGACTGGCAGGGATCAGGAAGTAGTCAAATCAACAGAGACTGTCAGAACTTGAATACACATGGTATTCCCCGGTAAATCGTTCGATGTATACAGTTTCAGGCGACACACCGTCACTTCGGCCACCGCAATACAAGCAAGAGCAAATACACCGCAGAAGTCGCAAGGAATATGCTCGTCGAACCTCGCTCCTTGACATCGACTCTCTGAGCTCAAGTTGCCACCACGATAGCTGCAGCTCACTTCCGAAATTTATCTTAAAGAGCGTCCTCTCGTGAAACAATCCTCTATGCTGACACAAGATGAGGTATGCGGAATTCGAATGTTTTACGTGGCATTGTACGGTCACCATTTGCAAAGAATTTAGGAATGTTTCAAGGGCAGGGAAAAATACTGCTGCTGACCTGGTATTGCATCAAACAGGTGAAGATAGACGATGTCCCTCAAGTTTGACGTGCCGTGCGTCGCCAACGCGACAACAGATCTGTGTCGGTCATTGCTGCCAATGATGCCAAAGCCTCTGACTGGACCCCAACGGTTTGAGTTCAAGCTCTAACATACGTGTCGAACGGCCGTGGACGGTTTGGCCTATCCCGGAAACGTCATTTGGTAGCGTCATGATGTGAGCCCATTTCGTTGAGTATGGCCTATAATTGGCGTTGAACAGTGGGAAACGTTGCGTGAGAAGCAGCACAAATATGAGTTTCTCCGTCACTTGGGCAAGTATTGTATCCATAACCGACAACGTGGAAGAGTTGCAGGCGGCCGTAATTGCCGTACAGTTGGGGGACCAATGGCTCAGTGGCATTCCCTGGGAAAGGATACCACCAGCAGGTTGCAAATGCCTCTTTAATGACTGTCTTTCCCATTGTACACTGAATAAAACAAACTCGTGACGGATTTCCGTAAACGGATATATACAATTAGCTTATTGGATACACAATGTACAGAACGCTACTCAAACAAGCTTACACATGACAGCAGCTTTTATGACCTCAATAGTTGCCGGTCCCATGAATTTTGTGACCCTGAATCATCTCTTGCCCTCCCATGAATGGCCGCAGTACCTCCGGTATGGTCACAGAGTAGTCATGTTCATTCCACGAGTTCTCCAGTATGGCTGCTAGCACGCGAGGAACAGCGAGAGCCGTACCGTTGAGTGTGTACGGGAACTCGAGCTTGCCGCCGGTCTTTCCCAAGCGAACCCTGGTGTGAAGCCGTCGGCTCTGGTAGTCAGTGCACATGGATGTAGACGTGACCTCACCCCACCCTTCGTGCTTTTCGCGCCTTGAGGGGAAAAAGGCCTCGATGTCAATCTTTCTGGTAGCGCTGGCGCCGAGATCGGTGGTAGGCATCTCCAGGACGCGGCAGTGCAGGCCGAGGCTCTGTAGGATCTCTTTTTGAATAGACAACATTTCTTCAAAGATCGTTTTGGAGTTCGAGGGTGTGTCGGCGGCGAAATGTTCCTGCTCGTTGGTGTCTGGCAGCGTCCATGCGAACATCTCCACCTTGGTGAACTCGTGGACGCGGTAAAGCCCCTTCGTATCGATACCGCGGGCACCCGCTTCGGCGCGGTAGCATCGTGAGACGCCAACCGTCTTAAGTGGAAGTTCGACGTCTTCAAAAGTCTGGTTGGCTTTCATGCCAGCGAGTGGTATCTCAGCAGTACCCGCGAGTACCAGCTGCGGCTTCGCCTGGTCCTTCTCCGATTGCTCGATTGCATACACCTGTTGTTCACCGTTCTGATCCCGTGGCTGGAACCCGCACGCGGACGCAACGTGCGAGTATACCAGCGATGGTGGTGCCACGGCTTTCCAGCCCCGATTCCTTGCAACAGTGAGCGCGTACTGCACAAGCGCCTGCTCCAGCATCGCCGCATCGCCCACCAGGAAGTACCAGCCCCATCCTGATGTCTGCGCCGAGGCCGCAAAGTCCAGTATGCCAAGCTCTGAGCCAATGTGTACATGCGATCTCCAGACGCGGTCTGACTGCGAAGGCTCGGGCTCGGGATGGTCATTGATGTATTCGAGGAGTTGCGGCTCGGTGCCAACGGGCGTATCTGTGCTGCTCAAGTTCGGCAGGTCCTGAGCGAGGTTGTCAATCTCTTCTTGTAGCACCACTTCCTTTGCCTCGATGGTTCCAATCTCAGCTTTCAACGCCTTCGCTTCGTCGATGAGCAATTCTCTTGACTGTCCCTCTCCCTCGCCTGCGCTGTGCGAGTTTGCCTTCAGCTGCCCACGTATTTGGTTGTTCCTTTCCCTCAGATGGCGGGCATTTTGTTGGAGCGCAAGCCATTGTTCGTGGAGCTCGATGATGCGCCACGAAGATTTGCTGTGCGCCGCGTAGTTGCGGTCGATGCAGTTCTGTTCGTACAAGCCAGGATTTTGGCGAATGTGCTTGATGTCGATTGCAGGCTTCGGGGCGAACGCGGGTCTGGTATATGCGCGGCGAGCTATGCGTGGTGCTCGAGTGGTCGTTCGTATGATTTGGAGCTGCGTCCGGCATGCCGCGCATGTTGGCGGGAAGAGGGTTTGCAGCGATCTCATCTTTGAGCCATTTGAATTTATACAGATACCAAAAGAGCCCAGCTAGTGCAAGACACGACACGATGTTCACCCAGTTTGGTATCAGGTGAGCATGTTCTCTGGAGCTACCATGTCGGAACTTTTGCGCAAGCTCCGTTCGCCAAGCAGGACCCCTGCTTCCCCACAACATGTCCACGCTCATGTAGTCTAGGTACGCGTCCACTCGTTGCCCACATGCTCTCAAGTTGGCATTTATTCCTTTCGAGGGAATGGGTCCAAAACATGGTGGTTCACGAAAAGAGATGACCACCTGTTTCGAGTACAGTCTACCCGAAAACCACCAATCGCTTGCAATTCTCTCCCTCTTCGTTCAGGTTAAGCGTATTTCCCAAAGATGCACCTGCATCTACGTTGCAATCGCCTACTTAGCCAAAGCGCCTGTATAGCCATTCTGGAACGCACATGCTGATATCCTATATATCAAAGCCTCGTCGCGCAAGATAACTGTGGAGTAGGGATTCTGGAGTCCTTGGTCGAATATGTTGATCAGGTACAAGGTGGGCAGCTGATGAGAAGACTGATTTCCGTCCATTGGAATCGAAGCGAATTGAAAGCAGCCACTTACCCTGGGATGCAAAAGACACCAAGCTCTAGACAATTGTCGTCGCTGTCACTCTTCGGTCCAGGCCGAATGTAGTACGCAGGCTAATGCGCGCCTCATGTGGCGGTGTACATGGCCATGCATCCAAACGCCCACCTGTCAACGTTAGCCCATGACGTGGTCTCGTGAGGCGCACACGTCTTGGTTCTGAGCACCTTGGAAGCGACACAGGCAGCCAAGTGTATTTGTGACGATATCGTGTGAGGTTACTAGACCCATGTGTTGTTAGTTGCGTGAGTGCCTGGCCGTGCCGTTGTCTGATTGAAGGGCTTTGTTCGTCTGTGGTCTGCGCCGACCGAGGCACAAGACCAGACCTGCATCCATCGCTGAGCGCCTGCGGAGCTGACCAGCACCTCCGCTGCCGCCCGCTGCCTTGGCCACCCACTTCGCACATAAACACACGTCGTCTGCCAGGCCGCCTCGCCGCCCGCTCTCGAGCGCTGCAGTTCTCCGTGCTCGTCACTATCGCTACCGCCCGTTACCAAGCACGCAGCACTCCCTTGCTTGAGACGACCCGCGGACCGCGTCCCACCATGCACGACCCGTTCCCGTTCCCATGTCCGGCCTGGTTACGCCAGCTCACCGAGCCCTTCGCAGACTACGTCTCGCTCCATACTCTCCCGCTGCACATCCATGAAGTGCTCTTCGCCTTCTCTCTCTACTATGCCGTTAACCTCATCGTCGCGCCGGTGTTTTCACGCTATTTCTTTCCGCGGACATACAGCAGCCTCAATGCCCGCACCAAGCTCAACTGGGATGTGCACATTGTGTCGTTCGTGCAAAGCACCATCATTTGCGTGCTCGCCCTCTGGGTCATGGCGAAAGATGAGGAGCGGAGCGAGATGGACTGGGCTGGCAAGGTGCACGGCTATACCGGTGCCGGAGGGCTGATACAGGCGTTTGCGGGAGGGTATTTCCTGTGGGATCTCGTCATCACGGTTCAGAACATCAGCATCTTTGGGCCGGGAATGCTGGCGCACGCCGTCTCCGCCCTGTTCGTCTTCTCGCTTGGCTTTGTACGTTCCCTTCAAGCTATGCGCACCTTTTGGAAAGCTAACAAGTGTACCAGAGACCCTTTGTAAACTTCTACGGACCCACGTTTATCCTATATGAGCTCTCGTCGCCCTTTCTGAACATTCACTGGTTTTGCGATAAGCTCAACATGACTGGCTCGAAGCTTCAGTTGTACAACGGCATCCTCCTGCTCGTCACCTTCTTTGGCTGCCGCCTCTGCTGGGGCTCCTACCAATCTGTGCGCGTCTTCTCCGATGTCTACCGCGCGATCTCAGCCGGCGAGTTCGTCCTGGAGGACCCGGAGCTCGGCAAGCTCAACAACGGCACCACCATCGATCCCAGCGCCATCCCGACATCCGACATTATGCAGTTTGCTGGCGACCGCGCCGTCCCACTGTGGCTTGCGGGATGCTACCTCTTGTCGAACTTCACACTCAATGGCTTGAACTGGTTCTGGTTTGGTAAGATGATCGAAACGATCAGGAAGCGATTCGACCCGCCGCTTGGCACGAAGAAGCCCGAAGCGAAGGAGGCGGAGAAGGAGCAGGTACTCGTCGAAGGCATCAGCCTGCAGTCACTGCCGCCAACACCCTATGCGCAGACGAGTGGTACCGACGTGAATGACTACATTGGGGCGGTGAAGGTGGAGAAGAAAGCGAACCACCTAGAAATTGAGCAAATGGAAATCCGGAAGAGGACTGGCGAAGACGGGAGAACAATCAGCAGTGCGAGGGCTGCGTAGTGTGATTGCGAGGCGATAGGTTCTCAATCTCGTTCATTTCTTTTATGCATAGCATGGGCGGAGATGGTTTTACGACGGGGATACTGCGGGCGTAAGTGTCTAAGAGAAGGTGCTTCTTCGTAAGGATGGTACATAGGGTTCGCGTAGCAGGAAGTGTTCTTCTGCTATTAGCAAGTACAGGTTAGTTGGTTGGATACCCAGCAAGCCTTCTGTAATGCACATGCAATCAGAACATTCATCACACCACAGAGTGCAGACAGCCAGGAATCTCCGAGCTTCGGCCGCTTGCAACCCCTCCCCCGCAGTCCCACACAAACACCAAAATACCTTCTCCGTATTTCTCTTAACAGCAAACAGGCATCCTATAGAACCTGACCATGATGTACGGTATTTATAATGATAGACTGAAGCATCGCGAACTGACATAGAGGTGAATTCTTCTTTGGAGATTCATGGAACAGATGCCCACTGCTGTGACTCAAGGATGCGCACTGTGGTAATTCGGCGTATTCAAAAGTACTCAGCGGGGGTGAAATCTCGAGTATCCAAAGACCCGTGTGCTTTGAAAACACGCATGATATGACTGGTAGAGAAATCCGACCGAAAAGTGAGCTTTCTTTTCCACGTCGCCACAGAGGCCCATCCGCCTCTCCTCAAGAAGTCAAGAAGCGCAGAATACCACTTTCGAGGAGCACGTTGCCGCGTGGAAAACACCTTGCACGGATTCCGCCGTCTCTTAGGTACTTCTCTTGACTTTTCCTACCTGTGCCGGTCGGGTTGTCGCAAGATAACATTTTGTTAAGGCTGTTTGGACACCCGCAGGCTTTGAAAAATCCAAGTGCATTGCACGATCTATATCCTGCTACAAAAATACAGGATCAACCCGTCAAACACCCCAAGAACGCGCTGAGGCCATATCAGATATTTTTGGAGGCCTGGCCTGCTTTTCCGATGGAATGTCGATGCGGCGTTCCGCGCAGATATCTGGATCAGCCAACCTTCGATGCGCACCAGCACCAACCGCCGATCCGCCCTAAAGCTGAAGCGCAACGTTCGCGCGCACAGACTAGCGTTTGCAATTCCAGGTTTTCTAGGCCGCCACAGCCACTTTTCGCCGTGTGGCCCGTTTCGCTTTATTCCAGTCGTCTGAAAACTCATTGTCTACATATACCGTATTATTCACGTACACTTCGTTCTTCGGAACATTTGGTCAATTTGAAACGATACAGAGAAGATTAGCATGGCCCCTGCACTAAGGATGACACGCTCAATCAAAGAGAAGCTACCATTTTTTTGTGGTTTTGCGTGAGTTCGAGCCTCCGACTGCGCACGGGTTTGCATTCTTTTTTTGTTTTGCTGGCGACCACTTCTTGACCACGCGCAAAGAGCGCGCATACTGTGACTTCCATAGTGTCGTGCTTGCTTCCAGTTTGCCCACAACATGGACGCTACTTCTACCATCGCCTAGAGCTAGACTTGTGAAGCGCTGGACTGCGCTTCACCTGGGTCAACACCAGGTGACATAGCGTTTTCGCATCACAGACCTCCACCTCATATCTGTACAGCTTACAGTAGCCCAGTGTACGCCTTTTCGCTGGCGATGCCCCTCTTCCGCGGGCACACACTGGACTGTGGTGCTGAGCCGGCATCGTTCAACTGGGTCAAGGTCAGCGTGCGGAGATCTCGCACACATCCCAGCGAGATCGATTACAATCAGAAACAGTCTTGCTTCGAATGCTATAATTCAGAGGAACGCTGGAGTCACCACAGGCTGGCAAGGGCATCGGTGTAGACCGCTACACGAGCAGAGGGCAAGGGTTGAAGAAAACCCACTTGCCCATCTGCAGCGTTCCAAACAATACTGGATCAAAAAAGAGTACTTTATAAAACGCCTCAGATCGAGTGCTTCTCTGTTCCCTCCCAATGTCCGAGTAGTAGACCTTCCCATGTCTCCCGCTCCACGACATCTGCCGGATGCTGCGTATACACAGCGCGAAGACGGCCCAGGTCCTTGTTTGCTGGGTACCGGCGCCGAGGTCTGGGCTCCTCGGTGTCCATATCTCCTAGCCAATCCACCAAACAATTGCAGCGAGGGACGCTTTTGTCGGCATTGCCATCCATCTAGACCCAGTTGTACCCGTACTTGACAACGGGAGCTCCATTGTAATTGCCATATATCTTGATCCCAAGTCATCCAGATGGGTCATTGTACTGAGGACGCAAAAAAGGCCTTGTATAACAGAAATTGTATGTTTGCTCCCAGGCGGAGCAGGCTCGCCGTGGACCCTGACCGTATTTTCTTCGAAACGGTTTAGCTGCCATGATGGCACTATCAATACCATTCCAGCATGGGTTCGGCATTGCTTGTAGCCTGAATGTTATCTCTATCATCATCGTATGAAATCAGGCTCCCATAGAAGGCGACTGCACAGCACCCATTCTAGAGTGACATACATCCTGTTCACAACAAAGACGTAGTCCCACATAGCCTATCCTGGAGTAATACACAACCTTCTCGCACCACAGATCCATTCCTTGTCACAGCCCTGTCCATGCCAGCCGCCGCAGGATCGAACTCACGCGAAACAGAAAGAAAATGGTAGCTTCTCTTTGCTTGGGCGTGTCATCTTTAGTGCAGGGGCCATGCTCCAGCGACGCTGCGGGCCGCCATACGGACTGAGCATCTTGCTATCGGTCCTGTGGTTTCCTCAGCTTGCTTTTTTCCCATGGCGACATAACGCGTCCTAGAGTAGCATGATGGCCCTCAAGTCTCTATGTACTATATTATGCGTTGGTCTCAGGTGCAGCCCTGCATATGGAGCCGGAGGGGACAAACTCGTACGAGTTATAACAGGAACCGTTTTGAAATGATGCTTGAAGCACCAGGAAACTCGCGCAATACTTCACGGTACGGACTCCTCTTTCATCTCATCATTTGTGCAGTTCGCAAGATTCGTTACCGTTGTGAGTGCGCGATGGACGGCGTGTCTGCCACCATTGCGCGGGTTCGCGCCTTCCGTTCCCTCGATGTCAGCAACACCTCAGCATCCTTGGCTCTGCACCAACAACACCATCCTGTACATGTTAACAGCTCGACAATGCACTATTCAGCGCACAACATCAGAGTTCTGTCGATCGACTTGCCGCCATTGGGGATATGCGCTTCGGAAACGCCTTCAATCTATCGAACACATATCGTCGCTGATGACGACGCTTGGAAGGGCATGCAAAGTGCTACAGCTTCATGAGGTTGTCACGACCATCGTGAAGCGCCTCGGCACGTACGAAAGTGTCGCATTGTCCCTTTTGGGTTGCGGTATTGCCGAGCCTCTGCGATAGGAACTGCAGGATGATCCCTTTGTAATCTGGCGAAGCTGTAGGTATGCAGGCCACAGATTTGAGAATCTATATGCTGACGAAAATGCAGTGCAGCGGTGAAACGATTGGCCTCAAGGTGGACAAGACCGCCGGCGGGCCCGAAGCCATGCGAACTGCGACAATGATCACACCAGCGATGAGAATCCTCCGACGCGGGCGGATGCGGTGTAATACTCGACGGGTATTTCATAGCCTTACGGCTTGACGTCACGCACTACCATTCGCGATTTCCATCGTGCTGCTCACCGCCGAAGCGCGCAACTCGCAGCGACCTAGCGTCTGACCGCGGCCACCGCCGACGAGACGGCCCGTTCGCGATGGCTGTGCGAGGGATAGCTGAGAACACGATTGGCTGATGCTTACCGCTGATGTACACCGCCACAGGTTCTGCCTCTGCTGCGCAGGCATGTCCGATTGGCTCGAGAGGGTTTTCCGACAACATCGTGTGCACTGTCAGCGGAAAAGCGATCGCACCAAGACGGTATGGGCCTAGCTTTAGACCCCAAGGCCGACTGAGCCTCATACAGGCCCTGAAGCGCGGACGGGGCAGACCCCTGCGCAGCTGTTAATAGATACGGGCCAATCATTCACCGTACGCGCCACACTTAGCCACACGATACTTTCATGCTGCGAATGCTACGTACTGCTGCGATGCGGGGTGGGCTGGCTAACTAATATGAAATGGCGGCCTCGTCGCCTTTGCCGTTTTTCTTGAAGCTCAGATTCACTGGTCCGTTGTTTCGTGAACCAGCTTCACGATCGCAACAATAAACAACAAGCGCGCAACCTCAAGACGGATATCATACACGAATACCATTTCCGGCAGGACACACTGACCAGGTGCTGGCTACCGACACCAATCAGGCCGGGGAACCCTACTGTTCACCCAATCAAATCTCAAGATCCTGGGCTACCGGGATCCCGGGGCTAAGGTGACCAAGATGCTTTCTCCAAAGGACATTGGCTCCAAGGCCAATGCTTCCAGCATCTGGTCCTTTGACTCTGGATACGAAACGAGTCGTGCAGTGTCACCGTCGGTATGATAATTGACAGGCTCCGAATAGCGCATGTTGGCTGACGTTCAACAGCTTCAGGCCCACGCTCCAAACAACACTCGTCCATATCACACAAACAATCACACAAACAATCACACACCGGTAATTTTCAATGCAGGCGATCTCTGGAGTGCGCCGGTTGGTCTCCCAGTCGTTTCACATGGTAGAAACCAGCTGATGGCAACGCTACAGAGCGATTGTACTCGAGTGCGGGAAGACTCTCTTGTCGACCCGATTACGACTAGATTGAATGTCTTCACCACAAGTGATGCACCGGATCACAGTTTCGTGCTCCCTGACCTCCCAGTCTTCGACCGGACCTGCCTGGAATGTGAAGTTTGGCAACTCACGAATCCTGGACAACAAGTCAAATGCCAAAAATGTCGGGCACACTCAATTCACCAGGCTCTACCTACAACAACAAATCCTTTGTCACCAAACAAAGATGCTCTCCCAAGACTAGACATTCCTGGTGATATGCACGGCAAAGGCCTCAAACGTCTCCGTCCTGCATCACGCTGCTCGATCTGTGAAGCTCCTCTTCTGGTTGAATCGGAATATTGTCCCAGCTGCGATCCAGACCAGAGATTTCCGCCATCGTCACCGTCCTCTCCAGCGCACCGTGTCAAGCGTTCTCGTGCGGGTCGAAATTCTAAGCTTCCGATTGCGGCGTTAAATCGACTACAGTCCTGGTTGGATGCAAATAAGCACAATCCTTACCCAACTGCCGATACAAAGCGATGGTTGGCGCAGGAATGTGGAATTACCGAGAAGCAAGTGAACACATGGTTCACCAATGCTAGAGCCCGGCAGATGAATAAAGAACACGTCGAAAGCGGAAGCGAGGTGGATGGGGCAGACGACAGCGAAGACGCAGAGGCTCCACAAAGCGACATGGGCATTGCTGGATTCATCCAGGACAAGGCTCATGCAGATTCTACTCATCGTCGCACCTCTGCTGCCGTAAGGCCCTCACGAAGGGGAAAGAAGAAAGACTATCGACGTGCTCATCATGCGGAGGCACCTCAAACTCCGCTTCTGCTTTCGCCAGCGTCGATGACAACGTCACCTCTCGATCAAACACTTCCCGTGGACCAGGAGATGTGGCAATGCACTTTCTGTCTCAAGGCTTTGGTACCAAAATCATGGCGGCGGCACGAGGACACACAACACAGACCCAAGACTTCAGCTGCGCGGTGGACTTGCATGCTACATGGCGCGCGTCTGAGTTTTCCGAACCGGACCAACTCGGGCTCTGTATGCGCATTTTGCATGGCCAAGAATCCAACGGAAGAGCACTTTCTGCAGAACCACAGGATTGACGAGTGCTGGAAGCGGGATGCAGCCGACCGAACGTTCTATCGGCCAGACCATCTGCGACAGCACATTAAGAATTTTCACAATGCCACTTTGTTTGACATCGTTCAAGCGCGCTGGAAGACAGCTGCGGAGCCTGTTGCAGAAGGGTGGACGTGCGGATTCTGCGGTGACCGCCTGGAGACCTGGGACAAGCGGGAGACACACATTTCGAACCACTTCAAAGAGGGCATGACAATGGCTTCGTGGAGAGATTACTCTGACGTGGGCACGCAGAGCGACAAGAAGAAGGGCAAAGGAAAGGCAAAAGAAAAGGAGAAGATTACTGCTCTCAGCGGCTCCTTCCTAAACATCTTCCGACGTCCAACTCCTCAGCAACAGCAGCAGCAGCCTCAAATGCATCCACAGAGCAGTGCTTTCGAGAACCCCTTCCAGCCGCTGCCTATCGAGCCTCAAATCCACAACTACCAAGCCACAACGTCACAATGCACATCAACAAACTACGAGTCCGCATACACCTCGTCAACAGCGCCGATGGGTCTCGGTATATCTCAAGCCCCCGTTCTTCCCGATATCCCCCATGTCAGCCCGCTCGTCGTTACGCAACATGATTTCGAAACCGTCGGCAACTACGTGGAATGGGCGCCAATGCCGACATTCGAACAGCAGATGCAGTATCAGCTTCCAAACACGAACACCTATGATGCGTCAGTCCCTACTACAACCATGCAGCCTGATTATACCAGTCTGAATGCATTCGGTCTCGATCTGTACGGAAATCCGCTTGAATACCAAGGATCATGGGTTCAGCAACCAGCCTCATCACAGGATCCTCATCAGTATCCGCAGTACCAGCGGCGGCAACAGTAGTTCAGCTGAAGCGGTTGTACGCGTCACAGGTGACGTGCGCTAGCTGTGGGCTCTTCCGGTGGAATCGTAGCCTGGCCCTTGGTCCTTTAGTGATCGAGTTGTTTTCTCAGTTTGCGGGGGTTTTGATGCGATTGTTTCCACGCGATGCTTTTTCGTGGCGCTTTATACACCCTGGGATCGGGCGTTTAGTGAGCTTTCTTTTGGTCATTTTCGCTCGGTTGCTGTCCTTTGTTGTAGACTGAATGGGACGTTCCAGCTTAAGTGCTAGACTTTAGTTTATTGGGTTCATTTCGTGTCAAGTCCTCCAACATACTCCGACCATTTTAAATGTCTGTTAACCACACTCTTGCTTTGCCCTTGAGTTACAGCGCAGGTCGCTGCTGGTATAAGTTCATCTCAAAGACGGGCATGGTCATAGGGTATCGAGCATTGGAGCTTCGTTTCGTTAGGGAGTGACGTGAGCATGAAAGTCGACGGTGGTATGTCTTCTTGCGTGTGATAGGTATTGGCCACACCGTTCTACGAGCTGCTTTACGATATACACTGGGACACTCTTCATATATTATGGCTTTCTGTCTGCATACATGATCATTCTGTGCAAGCGCTCAATTGTCTTCGTCATTTCCCTGTTACGTCCGCACTCAGTCCCCGCCGCGCTTCGCTGCCTGCCTAAATTGCCGCCCTTCTACACAAAGCGACGATCCCACCTCTCCCAGTGTTTCGGCGTGATGATCGTCGGCTCGTTGACCCGCGCACAGACCCCAGCCGCCGTCGCCAGTGTTTGTCGCGTCGCCCGCCGCCTTCACCCGCCGCACAGAGCGCTCAAACGCGCGCGCCCGCCTTCACTTTTCCCTTCAGTTTTGCCTTCACTACGCTCCCAGTCACCGCTGGATCACGACAATGTCTCTAGATCACGCGCTTCACCTGGCTTAAGTTCACTAGGCGAAATTGTTGATCCGGCCGCGGCCAGAGGTGTATATAAAGCGCGCTTCGCCCGCCGCTCTTCCCCTCTCCTTTCATAACTTCTTCACTTCTTTGGCCTGTGGCGGCGTGTGCGCAACACGCTCTTCAATTTTCCTTCTCTGCATCGGTGGTGGGACTTGTGCCTTCCCTCTTCGGCACTCACCTTCACTTGACATGAGTTCGACTTCTACCTCTTCCTTTGGACCACCTTGTCGACTTCATCATAACAGCCATGTCGACGTCACCATACCTTGTCGAATTTCTCACATCATGTCGACTTCATCACAACATGTTGACCCTCCCACATGTCGACTTCATCATACCTTGTTGACCTTCTCACAACATGTCGATCTTCTCACATCAAATCGAGCCTCTCACAGCATGTTGACTTCATCACGCCTTGTCGACCTACTCACATCTTTTTAACACCTTCACATCTTGTCGACTCTAACACAAGACCAAAACCACGCCACCCGCCGCCACAGCCCTGTACCGACCGGAACTAAATCGAACAGTGGAAAACACTGGGCACCGGACATGGCACCGCGCCATGGGCGCTCTCCATCTGTGGATGGTCCAGCGTTGAGCTCGATCGGCCTCAACATCATGGGCATACCGGAACCGAACAGAACAGGGTGTGGTTCGAGGCCACAGGGTCCCTTGCGCTTGGATGCGGGTTTGCTTTCTTCTTGAACTTGTTGGTGGAAGGATATGATGGTTGGTTGGTGGGACAAGAGGTGGGCAAAATCAAGGCAAGTCAACAGTCCAAAGACCAAGGGTTGTCTTCAGCTCAAGTTGCGGGCCGTGTGGAATCTGAGGGCTTCATTGCCTGGCCTACCCGCAACCTCTCACCTGAGCCCCCTCAGAGTTTGCTGTTCGACTGGGAGTCTTGCGTTTGTGGGCCGTGTGGAATTTGAGGGCTTTGTGCCTGGCCTACCCACTTCGCAACTCCGTGTCTGATGCGCTGCGGTGGTTGTTGGTGAATGGTGTATGAAGGATGATGGATAGACTATGGACTCTTGGTTGGAACGTGGCTTATATCTTGGTCGGCTGAGACATTGATTTGGTGTTTGACTTGGAGAGGACGTCCATATGTTCTTGTTGGGGTTGTGCATAGACAATGTGCGCCTGAAATCGATCAGACTTCTCAAACCACCTGCTCTTTTCATTTCCTCGCAACACATGAATACTTTCTGTGATAGGACGTCACTCACATTCATGACGTGGTATCATACAACCATCACCATCGCCCAAGTGTTCCGTTATCAAGCGCATACAAGCCTTCCTATTCTAATGCTCTGTCTCGCCCCGCCGATCCCTTTCTTTCCATCCTCTATACCTGCACATGAAACCTCACCCTCTCTTTCCACTTACCCCCAAACCTCTCCTTCAGCGCGCCCTCCTCGCCCTCCATTGCCCACGCGACCACCTCTTCGATTGCACTGCTCCCTAGCTCCTCGAGCGGCAGCCAATGTCCCGAATCCTCCAACACTACAACCTGGCTATCCTTGGCGAGGTAATCACCCACCCCACCAAGCGCCAGCTGGCTCTCAAACGCCGGGTCGTCAGCGCCGTACACGATGGTCGCAGGCGCCTTGAGCGCACCTGGCGGACCATCATCAAACAAGCCTGCGCCTGAGCCACCTGAGCCGCGCTTGCTCGAGGACTGGATCTCCGAGAGCGCAACAACAGTCTCGATGGATTTCTCCCAGGGGCCGCGGAAGAGGCCCTCGCGGTAGATGCGGAACTTTTCTAGCATGCCATTGTTGGGGAGGCGATTCTTGAGGGATGCCGCGTAGCCGTTGGGCTCGTCAAGCTGGGCAAGGGCGGGTCCTGCGGAGGAGGCCATAGCGTCGCCTGCCTCCTTGGAGGTGAGCTTGCGGTATTTGCTGGGGGCGAGGCGTCCGTGGCCAGCTTTGTGGAGGAGGCGGAGGAACCAATAGTTGCCGAAGGTGGGGAAGATGGGTGCGAGGGGATAGGGTAGATTGAAGATGACTGCGCGTGATGTGTCAGCATCAACGGAGCGATATCAACGCAGTACAACATCATGCAGCAAACCACAGTGGCACGTACAGACGTAGAAAGAGCGCCTGAACTGGCTCAGGACTGGCTTCATCGTGTTGTACGCATTCTTGAGAAGAGAGATGCGAGTGGGCTGACGCATGTAGGTGTGAAGCATTTGCTTTGCGGATGCAACCTTAGCCGTGGTGTTAGAGTATGCATGCTCTGGCTGTGTTGTTGTCAGTTCATCCCCACGTGCAAAACAGAACAATTAAACGTACGATCAAAACACTGGCGATCACCCAACGATCGGCAAGCTGTGATGCCTCCGCCGCAAGCCTCGCCCCGATGACAGCTCCCCAGTCGTGTGTGACAAGCAATATCTTCGCCTCCTCCTTCAGGTACTTCTCTCGCATGCCCAGAATGAACTCTGCCATGGTTTCTAAGACGTCGTTGGCACTGTACGTGTTGATGCCCTCACTCCCCCCGTAGCCGGGTAGATCAACCGCGATGAGAATATGGGAGTCGAGTGACGAAGCTCCGAGTATTTTTTTCCACAGAAGGAAGGAATCAGGAAAGCCTCCACCTCATCAGTATCCATTGAGATGCCGGGAAAGCAATGCCCTTACCGTGAATGAACACAGCAACGTTCTGCGGCTTGACAGCATCATCCTGCGAAGACCGAAGGCTGTCTTTCCGCAACAGCGAATCCGTCTTGACGACCTGAACCAAGTACAGTTAGCCCGACTCAAGCATTCTGATTGCTCCCTCTTACATAGTGCAGCTTGACTCCATTCCTTAGCGTGAAAAACCGATGCGAGAACCCGGGCAGAGGATTGAGCCCAACGCTCCAGTATTGTTTCTGCGCTGCAGCAACTTAGCTTGGACCATCTATCAAAGGACCAAGCATACCAATCTGCACCTCCTTCACAGCTTCCTTGCTAGGCCGCTTGAAGAAGGCCCCATCGCGCAGGCCCGCTAGCACAATCACACCGAGCAGATTCGCAGCCGCATACACAAACGCGAAGCTCTCCCACACGAGCTGTGCGAGCATAATCGTGTGCTGGCGGCAACAAGCCCGGAGACGTCGAGATGTGCAACAGCCTTACTCGCGGGCGTGGTCAATGTGGGAAGAGACGAGCAAGTACGCAGTCTTCCGTGTGGAAGATTTTTCTGGCGGGGCAGATATCAGTCGCAATTCAGAGTCAATCAAACAACGAGACCCCAGACCAACCCGAGTGAAGTGAGGTAGGAAGTAGGACAGCGCTGCGCACACGCGTACGGTATGCTTGTGACACTAGCACGGGGCAGATGATTGCTCCCGCCGCAGGGTCCACAGCGCAGGGTCGTGAGGGCAATGACGATGGTTGGCCGGCACCGCGGTGCGAGCCCGCCCGTCCTTGCCGCTTCTGGATAGCTGCGTCTGCGATCAACACCGCAGGCACAGCCCTCTGGCCTCTGGATTTGTACGGAGCGCGCCCGCGTCGTAAATGTCGTGCCAGCGAGGTGGGTTGGCTGAACGGGTATATGATGGCGACGTTCGCGCGGTCTGGGGTAGAGCACGGGCAACGTCATGCGTACCACCCTACAAATTAGATCGAGATGCGGCACCGTACCTGCGTAAGTTCTAGAGGTAGGCTGGCGCTGGGCTTCAGCGGGGATATAGCAGCGCAGCAGTGACCTCGGATGCATTGTAAGCGGCGTTGCGCTCCGAACTGTGATGGTGTGTTTTGCTTCCTTTCCGAGGCTCATGTATGTGCATCTGGTGAGCTGAACATGGACAGAAGGGAACACAAAATCGCAGAAAGACACAGGAAGACATGTTGCAGAAGGAAACAATGCGGAAATAGATCAACAGACGTACCCGCAGGTATAGAGCAGGAAACGAGTGTAGCCTTCAAATCAGAACGGCCACCCTTCTCGCTAGCTCACATCAACAGAGAAACATCAAGCTCTCATTAGCACCCAACCCAAGAACACCACGCTCCAAAATCCCACCCATCACTACTCGAACTACTCATCCTTCCGCCCCATGGCCCTAATTCTAGCCCCCCAGAACCACAGCACCGCCGCCATCGGCAACCCCACAAGAAGCATGACCAGCGCCACGAGGCTATTCACCCACCCATACCCGAACGCCTCATACATCTTTGGAGCCCAAATCGGCACCAGGAACCCCAGAATATTTTGCAACAATAACGTCGCCGCCAGCGCGCTCGCGCTGAGTTCCTTGAACTCATCCACCTGATACGAGTTCACCGCTTGCGCGGTCGTGAAGCTGCCGAGCGTGAACAGGCCTATGCCAAAGTCGACCATGACCCATGAAAGGCCGTGCTGCGCGGACCAGCCGTACCAAAGGAGGCCGACGGGCATGAGGAGAAGGCCCGAGACGAGATATGGGACGCGGAACTCAGGCTGGCCGACGCCCGTGTTGCGGCGCTTGAGCATGGCGAAGATGCGGTCCAGGATCTTGCTCCCGATCTGTCCGTTGATGGTTGCACCAATGGCGACAGCAATGTAATGCAAGCTGCTGGTGAACTTGGAGGTATGATATTTCTCGGTATAGAGTTTCGAGATGGAAGACAGCATGATGCAGTATGCGGCCATATCAAGTGCGAGAACTCCGGTGATGAGGTAGACGATAGGTCGAGTCACAAAGAGCCGGAAGGGGCGGAAGAAATGTTCGCCAAGATCGGTCTCTTGCTGTGCGGCTCTCATGGATTGCCAGAGCTTCCATAGTGGCGACGTCGATGCATGGGCAGCTTTTGCTGCGCGTTTCTGACTGAGAAGAGAGGGGGCGTAGGTTTCTTCGAGCAAGAAATATCCCATGACAACGACGGCAGTGTTACCGATACTCAAGGTCCAGAATATCCAACGCCAGCGAAGTTTCTGCAAGACGAGCCCTCCTAGAATAGGTCCTAATGCTGGGCCAAAATACGTCAAAGACGATACGACGGCTAAGGACTCGCCGCGATCATCTTCGTCAAAAAGATCCTGCATTATAGGTACGGCGAGCTATGAGTAGTCGATGTCAGCCACATGCCCATGAAGGTGCAGACTTCAAAGAGACGACTCACTAATATGTTGACGCTGGCACCTATACCGGCCATCAATCGAGCAACCACCAACAACTGTGTCGAGTTTCCCACCGGGGCAATAGTGTTCCAAAAGATAAACCATGTATTGCCCGCTATCCATGCGGGCCGCCGTCCCAAAATCTCTCCCAGTGCAGCGAAGACGAACTGTCCGATCCCGAAACCCAAGAATGTTATCAACATAATCAGCTGTGAAACAGTATCGTCGACGTGGAGTTCGTGTTCGAGATCGACCAGTGCTGGTGCGATCATGCTCGCGGACATGTAGGCGACGAGCTGCCCGAACGAGGCGATGGTACCGATCCTAAGTTTGCGTGCGAATCGCCAGTTGTAAGGGTCATTTGGATCATCTGGCCCATCTTAAGTAGCCTAAAAAGATCAGTGATGGAATACCCCAATGGACCGCATGGATCTATACTCCATATTTTCGAGAATACTTCTTCAAAGTGGCATCTCCACTGTCAATTGCAATCTCAACGTCGTCATCAGGGGGAGCTGATTGCATCACAGTACTAGTTGATACTGAAGATAGTGGAATCCGTTCTTGTGAGGCCATGGCTAACGATCTTGGAAGACAGCTTCACTGACGAGATTTTCAGATAAAATTGGAATGCGACTTCAAGTCTTATCTGCTCCTTTATATAGAGACGAACATAGAATCGGTTTCCGCACTCTTTGTTCATTTTCGTTTACTTCATCGACCATGACCAGGAGTCACGTGGCGAGCGATGAGCGTGGTTAGTAACCACTTGGCACAAACGCCCACGCCGCGACTTTACGGTAGGGCAGACAGCCTTCTTCTTTAGGACTGGCTGCGCCGCAACAGAGTGGGATCCTTATCATACATTGCACCTGAAACCCTATGCATCAGCATCGTACCCCTTCACCGAGTTACGTCTTGGCCTCGAAGGAGGGATGCCCCATGGGTAACGCCCTGCTCTGCGCGTTCGCGACGATCTGTAGGAGAGACTGTCATCTGCTGCCGGAGTAGCTAACTGCATTAAGATGCCTAAGCTATACGAGTGCATCGTGGCTTGCTCTACAATCCATTACCTTGCAGTCCGTCCATACCCATCATCATTTCATCGTGTACATAGACAAACACTGCGGCAGACGCGGAAGGCACGTGGCGCGCGCGGCAAGGTACATGCTGTATACACATCCCGGTGAATGGACTAGAAAAGGGGAAAATTCTGATTTGCCGTGGCCGTCTTCCCCGAGGGCCCAGTCAAAATTCGTGTTTCAACCGCTGTGCAACAACTGATGCATCTACCAGCACGCATATATGCAGCCCGTTTCCCATAGCAATCGAACGGATGCAAAGAGGCTGTCAGAGAGCCGCGCGGCGCCCAATCGCTGGCTTTTGGGTTATTTGCAGACGGAAGTAGTAGGTAGAGACGACGTGTCCTAAGCTCCGAGGAGCGAGCTTCCTCGAGAGCGTTGACAGTCCTGAATTTACCTGAGTTCTCCAGTTCCAAGTATGTGAGAGCCAGCAGGACATCCAGCTGCTGAGAGGCTGTCACCGGCTTGGTGCTGAGCGCAGGTAAAGCAGTCCAAAGGTTACGTCTGCGAAGTATGTGGCAGGTTTGGTGGTGAAAAGGGTATGCACCTCCACATAAATTGTCGGCAAGAGTTTCTCAGATCTCGCTCGTCAGGGACCAATGCAATGGATCATCGCGCGTGGAATCGAGCCCGAAGAGGTAAATGTTGCTACCGCGCGGCGTAAATGCAGGACCCTATGCATGTTGAATGCCATTCGCTAGTAAGCCACATGTCGTCCAATGAGGCGGAATGAGGTTATGATCGCTTGGTACTGACCACCGAATGCAGAAATATGGTGGTGTCTAAGCGCGTCATCTGCGTAAGTATCAAGGTTCCGAATGTCGGGCTCCGTACCGTGCCATTGGACCTTCGTCTATTCGTCGTATGTTACACAGGCTTTGTCCGTGAGCACGGTCGGCTATCGGTCGCGAATAATGTCCATTCGCCCCGGACGAGTGTAGCTCGGCCAGGATCGGACGCCATCCGGCCCTTCAGGGCATTGAGCCCTATACAAGTCGGCACTGCCGCGAGCATGGCCAGTCTCCCTTTGACAACTCAGATGCCTTAACGGCCACCGCTTTTTCGACTGTGCCGTACATACATGCGGAAATTGTGAGACGTTGTGACCATGTGGACAGTGTTTCCATTTCCGCCTTGGACACGGGTGGGAGTTACGCGACCTTGAGACTGCACATCCCGCACTAAACTAACTTTTGGCTGTTTTCGAGATGCTTTGCGGCCAGTTCTGGAAAAAGGTCTGGTGAGAACAGCCTACGAAGCGTATGGCCGTAGAGCTCGCAGGAGCTATACCATTGTCATTTCAGGTACTCCTGGGCTGCGAGGGCTGACGAAATTGACATCGACTGTGGAAAGCTTTGAGCTTTTGAGGCCTTTTGCCGTGCCGTCTGCGGGCGTTTCCAGCAGCGAGTGCAATATTGACCAGAGGAGCCCGAGAAGAACCGGATGCAGCTCCCGACTCTTGGTCGGTAGTTATATCATCCGCGGGCTGTTGGTACAATGCCAGCGGCTGGACTGCGCGGCTGTTGTTAGCGTTGCCGGACGGGACAAAATGAAAAGATCTAGTGGGGTGGGAGAAGCTCAGATTCCCTGCGGATGTTGCTTTTTCTGATTAGAAGATGAGTGAACATGTGGACGAGGACAAGGCCTCAGTCGCTCGCTTCCGAATCGATCAGAGGCAGACGAATGTCACGCAATTGCAGTGGATTCATCAGCGTCTTCCCGTGGCGCGTAACTGCTCGCAGCTTTCTATCGGGGCGGCGAGCGCTTCCCGGTACCGCTTCAGTCGTGCGACACGCCTTCTTCACGTCTACTCAGTCTCACCGAAGCAGCCCTATTGAACATGTGTTTCTCGTCGGGAACAATATTGAGTACGTCTCGCGGCTGCGTCGCCAACGTTCTGACCTAAAGCCGCGTGGGAGCGGTGGCCCCTCGCCAGTGCTGACTCTAACGCTGTCCAAATGCCGAGTCGTGCTGCGGGCTAGATCACCAGATCAGCATGGAAATACTCAAAAGCGTACCCGAGGACCTATCACTTCTGTGTTGTCTGTCTGGGCCCTACACATGAGGGGCGTCCACCATTAGCTGCTCACCGTCTCTTCTACCGGGATCTACATCATGGTGAGCTTCGTGAACTCCTGCTCCTGCAGCCTTTAATGCATGCACATCACGTTGTTCTAATGCTTTCATGTGATACACACGACGAGTTTCGGGCCTACGATGATTTCCCCAATCCAAGGGCCGGAATCGGAGCCTCCTCCTCCTTCTTTCCCTCCTTTTCGTGACCTCGAGACCAACCCTAGTGTTGATTCTCTCTTTTTTTTGACTTGGAGTCCAAACTAAACGCTGACATCCCCCTCTTCATGATATGGGCCCGACCAATGCTGTGCTGTGTTCTGAACCCTGAAGTCATGTGAATGACAACTCGGTGCTTGTTCTGTATCCCGAAGGTCGGCGAGGTTGCCCTCCACAGTGCATTGTGCGAGATAGAGTGCGGACGGAACGCATTGCGACCTTTCAGAACGCGTTTGCGATAGCGACTGGTCCTCACGCGCCCATGCCTGCCACCGCACCACTAAACACCCTTCCTATTCCCAGCAATTTCTCCGCAACTTTCTTAAGGTCTTCCGACTCTAGTCTTCCTCATCTCTTCAACTTCAACTTCTCCTGCACACTGACCTCCGCCGCCCTCTGCACCCTCAGATCCTCCAACTCCCTCTCTACCCCCCTATTCCTCCTCACAGCCTCCTCTCTCTTCTCCATCCTCTCCCGCACAACACCCATCCTGACCTCAATCGCCCTCCGCACCGCACTCTCCAACCCTTTCCGATCTACGATTCCCTCTTCCGCAATGAACTTGCGCGCAAACTCGTCTATGCTCGTTGGACTGGGTCCGGGCCCGCCGGTATGATAGCCATTCGCGTGGGTGAGGAGGACGCCTGGGATAGGCGAGGTGTATGTTCGTAGCGCACTGTCGAGGGGGACAGGGAGCGTTGTGGGATTTATGACCGGGATGGAGGGCAGAGGTGTTCGCGGGGCGGCCGGTTCATTTTCCAGGACGGCGGACATGAGGGCATTTTCGAAAGCTTCCGAGTAGGCGATTGACGCAGGGGAGTAGTCGATGACGGGGGAGGTGGGCTCGGCGTGAGGCGATTCGGGGGAGCCTTCGGCGTCGTTGTCAGCGTCCGGGGTGAGGGGCGCGTTGGGCATGGGCGTGTCTTCTTGGTGCGCCATTCTGGCTGGGGGCTGGCTTTGGGTCTGGCCTTGGAATAGAAACATATGCGATGCGACGACGTGTATCGTGGTGCTAGTGCATGGTGTTGAGCTTGAGCTTCGTTGTGGAGATGGACGCATGTGCGCACAGGCCTCCCGTTCGCGCCTATTCGTCTTTCCCATCTTCATCGCCAACTGCGAATCCCACTCGCACCTTCACGCCACCACCACAAACTCACCGAAACTCCTTCACCTGCCACCCGTCCGCAGCCATGGCCGACAAGCTCCGCGCGCAGCAGCAACTCGAGGCGCTCCAGGCCCGCTACATCGGTATTGGATCCGCCGACACGTCTAAGCATGAGTGGACCTCTAACATGGCACGCGACTCGCTTGCCTCGTACGTCGGACATCCGCCGCTGCTGCAGTACATGAGCATTGGCATGGGACAGCCGAGGGAGAAGACGAGGGTCCAACTCCTGGAGCGCATGATCCAGCCCGTAGGACCTCCGCCTAAGGTACGTCTCAATTTATGAATGGCAAAGTAGAAGGGGTTTGCATGAAGGTTTTGCTGACGATTTTGTAGCAAGACGACTGATCACGGTATACTGCAATAGCGATTTGACAAGTGGAGCAAACCTGGCGTGCATACGAGGCAAAGACTACTTGGGCACATCACGGATGCGGTTACAAATGTGTGGAGAAGGCGCAGAGAAGGACGCCGATGTGCAATGGGGCTACGGGTGAGAGGCCCACAACTACACGGGCAGCGCTGCTCGACGTTGATGGTTTGGGAGTTGTTCTCGAATTCATGTCCAGATACCCAGATAGTACCTGCCCCGTCCCTAGGCGTCTACATGCCCCCGGGAGCGGAATGCCAAATGCCGATGCCGCAGCCACATTTTGGCTGGGATGCCGACCATATGTCCTCTGCATATCTTGAAGCTTATCCAACCTAGTCGCTATCACTCGCGCTCCCCGTTGGCCCATCGTCGTCATCCGCAACCACATCGCCACCTGCATTCATTGCATACTCTGCTTTCTGCAGTTCCGCTCTCAGCACGGTATTCCTAGGGTCGACTAGCTCCAGCGGCTTCAGCTTGGCTTTGTTCCGTATCCTGGGGTCGCAGCCGGCGTCGAGGAGGATGTCGACAATGGGGTGGCCCGCGGACTCCCAGTCGGACTTGTTGAGCGAGTTGACGTAGCGCACAGCTTTGTGGAGGGGGGTGTCGTGTTCCATGCGGTCGATGTTGTCGATTTCGACGCCTTCTTGATCGAGAAGGATGTCTAGGATGTCGTCTGCAAAACATTAGCTTTGTTTCCATATGCTTCGTGTGCTGCTGCTTCTTTAGCTGCGAGCAATGGGTCATCCCTCTGACGTACAGCTTCCGTACGTCGCGGCAATGTGTAGACAGCCGTTGCCCACGCCGTCAGCGGCCTTGTTCAGCGTCTGCGCGACATGCTCCTTCTCCTTCTTTCCAGCTGCTTTCGCTTCTTTGGCTAGGTCGGCCAGGGCCTCTTCGAGGAGAGACGTGTTGTCACGGCGGCATGCTTCGAGAATCACCTCGCGAGGGGAAGCGCCCTGTGTTTCTAGTCAGAAATCGTTCGCAAGGCTCTGGTGGGGTGTCTTTACGGACCTCCTCATCGGCCATACTGAATAGCTTCTAGAGTCTGGAGATCTTAGAAGAACAGCTCGGTACTGCAACCCAGGCGCGTACTTGAGGGTAGGATGCGGTGAAGATGCGCGGGGGCGGGGTGGATCAGTTGCAAAAGCGGCAGCGACAGGATGACGTCGTGTCTCGATTGGAGATCACGCTCCTTGATTGCCTATAGAAGATGCGCAAGAAGAGTAGAACAAGTCAACGACGCATACACACTCTGTCACACATGGCAGCGAACCCGTCTCTCCGCGGTCTTCGTACTCCTGTGGCTGAAGCATCCGCAGCCCCGCGCTATCCCCTTCTCGCCGCTAGCGCCCCAGGGTCCCGCCATAACTTTTTGGCCTGCCGTCACTCGCGCATCTCGTCGCATTCGCGCTGCAAGTGCTGCCCGCCATGTTGATCTGTGAGCCTCCTACTGCCTATATCGTGCCTGCATTATATTAACACCCGAGGCAGTCTGCCCAAACTGCCACAACATGCTCCGCGTGTCCCAAGTCCCGCCGGGCGACCCCTCAACCGCCGCTCTCGAAGGTCGCTCCCGCCTCGAGTGCCTGACGTGCCCGTACCAACACATCCTCACCAAGCAGCTCTTTGAGCGCAAGGAGATTACGCCCAAGCAACCTGACGATGCGCTAGGTGGGGAGGGAGCTTGGGACAATGTTGACAAGACGAATGGTATGTGGGACGACAGCGAGAGTGAAGATGGGATGGAGGCTGATTTGCAACAGTGCAATGTCCCAACGATAAGTGCAGGAATTTCGAGGCGTATTGGTATCAGTTGCAGATTCGGTCTGCTGATGAGCCTATGACGGCGTTCTACAAGGTACGTTTGAAGAGATCCTTGGCATGGAGAACTTCATGGGCTGACGATTTCACAGTGCACCAAGTGTGCCAAAGAGTGGCGCGAGTGATCTCTAGAAATGGTTTGCTTTGTCAGTCCTGCGTTGCGCTCTGGAGTCTTGGGAAGGGCATGTGCTTACGATATACCCGGCAATATTTCCTTCTGGTATCTGCTTCGACGATATCATTACTATGGTCCACCTACCTGTCCCGTTCAAAATCCTACGGCATGAATTATGTAGCTGCTCGAATTGGTCCTCTCGTCGACGTTCTCGACTTGAGATGTGGGCAACGACGTGCTGCCTAGAACGACAGATTGATCTCTACGTGACCTACCGAGTAACCCCAGGCTACCTTTCCAAGCGGGAAAAGGAAAATATGATCCACATATCAATTCCGAGCAGCAAGAGCGCCCTCAGACACGGCCTTAGGGACCGCAAGTGGCCCCGGGGCGACCGTATCACACGATGACAGACCTAAGGCGGGTCAACATTGAGCATTGCCTACGAGCGAATGCGAAGACTTTCACCAACAAGGATATAAACGCAGTAATGGGCGACCGAGAGCAGTGGTTGCGTTGCTCTGCAGGACATCCAGGTGTTGGCCAATGAGGATCCACCACCACCCTTGTCAATGGCTGAGCGCACATTTGTGCGCTCACTCTTCTTGTGTGCTCGTCGGCCTTGTGTAGCAACACACTCACCTACTTTATAACGCGATCCCTTACAATCTGTTACCCGTTTGTCATTACTGTCAACGTCTTCAGCAGGCATGTCTCATTACCTACCCTTCAGCGTCTCGGACGATGAATTGGAAAGATCCACGCGTAGCTCGGATTCATTCGAGTATGCCGACAGTATTGAAGGCACATTTTACGACGCGTCTCCTAGCAAAGCACCCAGAAAAACCTCATACCACGACCAACGACCACGACAACGCCGCAAGCTGGACGACCAGGGCCCACGGTTAGCCTGCCCATTTGCAAAGCACGACCCTCTAAAACATCGGCAATGCTTCAGATACGACAAGATGGACCAGATCTCCAGACTCAAGTAGGTCGATTTCATGAACATAGTGACACCCTGATAACTGACACTGCGGCATAGACAACACCTACTAAGAGTCCACCAATTGCCCATCCATTGCGTACGCTGCTCGCAGACGTTCAGCACGGAAAGCAGAAGAGACTCGCATCTCCGCAGCGTCCCGGGCTGCAGCATACAACCAAACCAAGCTCACCTTGGGATCACTGAGACGCAGAAATCGCAGCTGGCTCAGCGCGTCTCCGCGAAGAATTCAAAGGAAAAGAACTGGTACCTGATATATGAAATCCTCTTCCCAGGTTCACCGAGACCTGATACTCCATGTATGCAACAAAACCCTAACCACTACCGGTCTTGATTTTTTGGACGGTCACTAAGGCTGCGCAGTCTTGGACAGCACGCAATTCTCCGAAGAACTATTCGCTGTTCGCGAGTACGCAGCGCGGGAAGCGCCCACTCGCATTGCACAGCTGGCCTCGGCACTCAAACATGACGAAAGGTTTGCCCCAATACCCCCAGAATACAAGCTACGCATTGAGGTCTTTGCCCTTGCCGCAGTGAAGGATGTCTTGGATGCTGTGGTTGACAAGTGGTTACGCGGCGGCGTGTCGGAGCAGACGAACCCACCAACTCCAGTTCATACACTAGATCCACCATCGCCTAGTCTGTCTTGCATTACGATGAACCAGTCTCCTTCTAATACTCGACAGTCGAGCTCTGGGGATGAGGGCGGTGCATTCGACATACTGCCTTCCCTAGTGGAAGGGACGAAATCTTGGAGCAGCCCTGAGGAGCCTTCGCGCCTCGATTGGCTTTCGATGGTTGCTGACCTCGATGCGAGATCTTGGGACGATTTATTGAATTCTTCTTTGGATGGCGCGTTGCAGCAGCCGCTGAAGTAGAGAGCGGGGTTCAGGAACCATCACATAGGCTAGCACGAAACCTTGGAATTTAGCACACTCTGTTCTATAGGAATTCGCTCTACAATACAGTTATAGAGCTACATCTTAATAACGTATCTTGAAAGTACAACAATCCTACTTTTATTAGTCAGCCACAGTCAGAAGGACTTCGGGGTGATAGGCCTTGTTCCTCTTGTGCAATACACGCGAGAGACTTGCTGAATTGCACGGACGACGCAAGATTATGGTTGCGCGTGTGACGCTTGCCGTTTCCTAACAATGTATACAGTACCTTTGCTTAGCTAGGCTGTGTTTCCCAGTTGATTTTCTAAGATAGTGTCGACCAATAGACATCGCAGGACTCCGAGTGAAATCGCTATGGCAAGCATTATTGTTCATAATACAGGATTTCAAAAGCACGTTTGGGAAGTCGGGATTATCGGCTACGTTTGGCAGTGCTTATAAGCATTCGTGTTCTGTCCAATGAGCGAAGGAGTTCTCCGAGCAGACCTATCGCAACACCAGAGCATGCGGGAGCAAGTGCTGACATTCAAACTCGGTGCTTCATCCTGAATCAGGTCCAATGCTGCAAATACACTAAATACAAGACAACGCGACGTAGACCGATATTCATGCTCAGACCTACAATTCCGCCTGCACGTCGCTACCGGCAACTCTTTTACTTGCACCACCTTGCCAGCTGAAAGACATAGAAAACCTTGCCTCCAAATTGATAGGCAGCTTCCGGTCACGATGGGGAATACCTGGACACAGTTCTTCCCCCCTGCGCCGCAATTTACAGAAAAGAACCTTGCAGACCTGTTCGGAAAGGTAACACGCAGGTCACCTTTCAGTCCACGTACCTAACGCACCCAGGTCTTCATCGTCACCGGATCCAACACCGGAATTGGAAAAGAAGTCGCCCGCATGCTGTACTCGGTGAACGCAAAAGTGTACATCGCAGCGCGCTCGGAAGAGAAGTCGCGCAAGGCGATATCCGACATACAGACTGCGTATCCATCGTCCAAGGGCAGCCTCATCTTCCTGCACCTCGACCTCGCAGATCTCACTACCATCAAAGCGACAGTAGATGAGTTTCTAAACAAGGAGAGCAAATTGCACGTCCTGTTCAATAACGCGGGCGTCATGTCGGTGCCTACGATCCCAGACCGCACAGTCCAGGGCTACGAGATGAATTTGGGTGTCAACAACGTCGGCACCTTCCTACTAACCAAGCTCCTGACCCCGGTTCTGATTTCTACTGCGCGTACCGAGCCAGCAAACACAGTACGTGTCGTCTGGGTATCTTCCACCATCGATCTCGCAGGCGCAAAGCACGTCGGCGTCCCCCTAGACGACCTTGACTTCCACAAGAGAAAGGTACCAGGCATGGAGCGCTACGGACTGAGCAAGACGGGGAGCTGGCTGCATGCGGTCGAGTATGCCAAATTACACGAGGCCGATGGCATTGTCTGTATGCCTGTTAACCCGGGGAACCTGAACAGCGAGCTGGGGAGGGAGCATACGCGATTTGTGCAGTGGATTCTGCGATTCATCGTGCATCCTGTGTATCTAGGAGCCTACAGCCTGTTGTTTGCAGGGCTGAGTCCAGAGATTACGATCGAGAAATCGGGGAGCTTCATATGGCCTTGGGGTCGGTTCGGAACTGTCAGGCAGGATCTTGTGGCTGCGACGAAGAGTGAGGCGGAGAGTGGAAATGGCAATGCGAAGAAGTTCTGGGACTGGACTGAGGAGCAGATTGAGAAGTATGTCTGACCGTTAGCTCTTTTCACATGTTGGTAGGTAGATTGGGAATGTAACCGGGGCCTGTAAACGGGTCGAGATATATTTTCAAGCGGAGCGCATGGTGTTTGCTCTCAATTGCCCTGAAATCTTCTGGCTGGTAACGGCCGATGACTTAGGAATGAAATTGATGTAGGTCATGGCCAAAAGTCATCTCCGCCGCGGATTAACTCTTTTGCGGAACATATCGAGAGCGCGGGCGATGGTGGAAAAGACAGACAGTCGTGGATTAACTTGTAAGTGGAGGAGCACGGGAGACGCGCTACCGGTACCGCAGGCAGGGACGCGACGCGCCAGGAAGGAACCACCCGACCAGACCATCAATCTTTGCCCATCACTTTACCTTCAGCATCTTTACATGCTTCCACCAATACCCCTAAGCATACAACGCCCTTGTATAACAACAGCGAATGCCGAGACCATGCGTTCCGAACGCATGCCGCAGCTGATTCGTGGAACAATGAAACGCAGGCATTGCCACTAGCCACAATATCCCCTCCACACTCGAAGCATGCTAAACGGCGATCAGGACCAAGTCAATCTGAGAACAGACCACGGTCCAGGAACATTTAAAGATGAATATGCCCAGAGGCTTGGATGTTGTGCAAGTTTCTTGGTTGCTATTTCTCGCCAATCAAAATGAGGCCCCAAGGTAGTTCTTTGTGAATTCTCGTGCTTGATCGTAACAAGCTAATCTTGTGGTAGTCTTGACAGCGGTTGCCATCGCCACATTTGCTGATCGCGGTGTTGCAGCGGCTGACAGCTCTTGCACTGTCACCCAGTATGCAGGTGTACCCGCTGCGATCGCCAACTGCACTGCCATTACGCTGTCGAACATCCTTGTTCCTAGTGGCCAGACGCTGGACTTGACGAAACTCAAGACGGGGGCCACGGTAACTTTCGCGGGAAAGACCTCTTTTGAGTATTTTGACGGCAATATCGATCTCATCAAGGTCGCCGGCACGGGCATTACTATTACCGCCGAACCGGATGCCATTATTGACGGTAACGGTCAAGCTTGGTGGGACGGCCTGGGTTCAAACGGCGGTATCTCCAAACCCAACCACTTCATCACTGTCAGCAAAGCGAACGGTGCGACTATCAAGAACCTGTACATCCAAAATTGGCCGGTGCACTGCTTCTCCATCTCCAACTGCAACAACCTCAGCATATATGATATTATATTGAACAACACGGCCGGTGATGCGCCCAACAACCGCTCCAACGGTCTCGCAGCCGCCCATAACAGTGTAAGATCCTCTCCGGTCTAAAGTCGCTATGTCTTAGACATAAAACGACTTGTACATTAAGCCACTTTTATGACTCAGCTGACTTTGTACCCGCGAGTATAGGATGGTTTCGACATTTCCTCGTGCAACAACCTCACTCTGCGCGACTCATGGGTCCGCAACCAGGATGACTGCGTGGCGGTGACATCAGGCGACAGCATCACCGTCAGCAACATGTACTGCGATGGCGGGCACGGCCTCAGCATCGGCAGCGTCGGGGGCAAGTCGAACAACAATGTTACTAACATTCTATTCGAGAACAGCAAGGTGCTTAACAACCAGAACGGTGCACGTATCAAGACCAACTCTGAGACCACGGGTTACATCGCCGGCATCACGTACCGCAACATTGAGCTGTCGAACATCACAACCTATGGCATCGACATCCAGCAGGATTACCTGAACGGTGGACCAACAGGCGAACCGACCAACGGAGTCATCATCAAGAACATTACGATGGAGAATATCCACGGTACAGTGACAGGCAAGGCGAAGGAATACTATATCCTTTGCGGCGACGGGTCGTGCTCTGACTTCACGTTTAACAACATTCACATTACTGGTGGGAAGAACAGTAGTTGCAACTTCCACCCTGACGGCAACTTCAAATGCTGAGAAGAGAAGAGACGTAGACGGCAGGTTGAAAAAATATTGCAAAACCATAGAGCGTTAAATCCCCCTTCCATTACCGTGAGAACTCGAGACAAAACCGTGCCGCCACCACCTCTCAAGATGTCTTATCTAACATTGTAAACATCTATAATTCATTGTGTTTCGGCGCAACGCCTGTCTCCACAGCCTCGCCAACCGCCTTAGAAGAATGATACCTCTCCACGTCCTCCGTCGCAATGCTAACTTCGAACAGCCCACTTCCCACCAGCCCGCCTCCCTCTACATGCGCAACCTCCAGCTCAAACCACGCATCCGTCCTCGGCACATCCCCGATCCCCAGCTCAGCCCTAAACGTCGCGTTCCCATCGAGGCCGATATCTAGTTCCTTGAGCACCACGTTCCTGCGCACATGCCGCATGCACACGTGCAGCGAGAGCTTAGGCGTGATGGGATGCACAGAGATAATAGCGTTGTCGAGCTCCGAAGCGTCGAACGAGAAGCGGCGCGGCTCGGACTCGGGCGTCACGTAGTCGCTGATGGAGAGCCCGGCGGCGAGGAGTGTCGCCGTGTCTCGAGCGTTGTCGTACTGGGTGAGGCCGCGCGAAACGACGTGGTCGAGAAAGCTGGGGACGGCATCCTCATTATGGAGGATGCTGTAGGTACCGCCCGTGCGCAGAACGCCTGTGATGAGATCCTGTTCTTTGGCCTTGGTCAGGGCGGCGTCTTCGTGGGTGGCGTCGGATTCGTCTGAGGGAGAGCGTGGCGGTGGAAGGAGCCCGAAATGCACACGGATGCCTTCGTCGCCGGCGTGCCATACGTGCGCGATTTGCTCGTCGAGGTTCTTGTTGCGCGTCTTGGTTAGCGCGATGATGGCGGTTTTGTTGGTAGGGAAGATAGTTGCGTTGTGCCGGAGGGCTTTCAATGCGACACCAACATCGAGACCTTCGTGTGGGGGATGTTGCAATTTCTTCACAAAATGTCCCTTATCATCAGTCTCTTCGTCCCCCAGCTCTCCGCTCGAGCCAAGGCTCTTTGTGGAGTTTTCAGCTGTCAGACCTTCTCCGGGCCCCTCGTCGTGGGCGGTTCCTTCGATTTCCTGCAGGAGCCAGGCCTGTATGGGTATCTGCATCTCGGCTATTCTACTCGTATTGCGCAGCGCATCTTGAAGCATTGCAACTCGGCGTCCATAGCAGTCGTGTGTTGGATTATCGCGAATCAAGGCGCAGATGATGATGTTGCCCCTCTCCTTTCCGTATGTCCTGCGGATCTGCTCACGGAAGTAGCGCCACTGCCGCCTGGAGTCTTTGATGGCGGCACTGACCGCTCGCTCAAAGTTGCCAGGTATATCGCTGCGTGGAGTATTTGGGCCGGGCTTGGTGGTCTTCCCAGTGATATAGTCGATGATTCCGTTGTCTTTGTTGAGCGTGTGGTGAGTGACACGTCCGGTACAATCGAGGGAGCCAGGTTCTAAAGGATGTCCTGCCTTGCCTTCTGGACCATCGGTCATGATGCCGCCGAAGCAGCCTGTGGACAGGTCATGGGGCACCTGGTCAGTGATATTATTCTCTGCGCGTAGATCAAGAAACACAGGAATCTTGTTCATCTTCAGACCTGGTGGGTTTGACAGCCCATAAGGCGGCTTCGCTTCATCTGCCCAGTTACTGTGTGCATAGAAATCCTGGATACCGTGTAGAGCTCGCCCAAAGCCCTCAATAGCAGAGCACTTCCCTCTGGAGAACCAATGCATCTGGAGCTCGGGGAATGAGAAGCGGCAATCACTGCCCGATATATCGACTTCGGGTACAACGATTCGGGCATGATGATCCACGATCCTGTCCGCAGCATCGACACCTTCGAGGAACCTCAGGCGCATATGATTTGTGCAAACCTGAAGTTGTGCGGTTGCTTCCTCGCGCGTGCGTGGATACTCACCCTTAAGGCCGTGTGCCTCCGTGTCGAGGAAATCGGCGTTGTCGCAATGAGCCTCTGGACCCTCCGGCGTTGGGTCCAGCATATCAGGAGCACCAACAGCTCCATTCGTGCCCCAGCCTACATGACCCTCTGGCCCTGACCTTCCGGCCAACTGGTGGAGGCTCAGCTCTTCGAAGCATCGTCCATCTGATGTCGTGACACCTGGTGGACAAGCAAATGCTGCCCGAGTGATCCGCTCATGTTCGCAGTGCTGGCCGACTACTTCCGGCTCATTGATAGTTCCAAATCCTAAAGCTAGATCACTCCGGATGACGCAGCTCAAAAGGAGAGCGAAAAGTGAGGTGGGATTGCGTCGTCTTTTCATTTCCGTATCGATAAGCCGCCCCGCGCTAGGGACAATATGAAGATATCCCCAGATCTGGAAGGCGTAGTCCAACGCTTGCTGTTATTGTTTCATTAAGCGGTTTATGTGATTATTCGCAGTGGTCTCCGAGATGAGCCGGTGTTGTATTATGGTTGTGCTAGCTTGGAGGTCATGTTTTGCTTGACGAAAAGTTGGTGTCATTGCGCCACGCCAGTGTGGCTGGTGCGTCGTCTGATCGCTCGATCGCAGTTGCAGTCACGATCACTCACAACGTTATTTCGACACTTGTGACATCTCAGGCTGACCATACTCAAACAAATGCTACTTCTGTCTTTCGTGGTCCTTTACATTCGAGTCTCAGTACACACATGCAAGACCCCTGCGGTCTCCTGCAAACTAACAGCTGCTAGCCACCAGCCTCCAACTAGGCTAAAGTGCCTCGCAGTGCGGAGTATGGAGCGAAATGCCCCGAGCCGCTTGGGGCAGATCTCATAGAAATACGATTCCTCCAATCAATATAACCGCCAATCCACGTATATAGCGATCGGCCGGTTGTCCGAGAGCACCTGGCGCCACTATAAAATGTACCATCCCGAAGTCGGCCGCTTGGGCAGCAATCAATCCGACTTTGCCCTCGAATGTTGTGTGATAAGGCGTGGCTTTGAAATTCTGGAATGTTCGTCCCTTTTAAAATCATGAAGGCCCTTGTCCAGCTACTTAGCATAGCGTCTGTCGCGTCTGCAATGGGCGAACAGGCTCAAGATTCTCCGGTGCTTAGACGCCAGTCGTATGCCATTTCTCTGCCCAAATTTCACAATATACTAACTATACCTCAGCGTGAACAGCACTATCTTAACTTATCACCCCGCCAATGAATCTAACGGCGTGGGTGTGCTCGTCTTACCTGGCGGTGGCTATTCGTACACGTCAATGGACAAGGAAGGCTATCAACCAGCCGCATGGCTGAATCAGCGTGGTTACGATGCCTGGATTCTAGACTATGCGACGGCAAATAACTCGAAAACACCCCTCTACCCGCTGCCCCAGGACCAGGCATTGGAAGCGGTCAAGCAAATCCGGGCAAAGAACATCGTAACGAAGCTGGGTATTTGGGGATTTTCGGCCGGTGGTCATTTGGCAGCAACAACTGTAACAAATACGTCCGCAGACCTAGACTTTGGCATTCTCGCATATCCCGTCATCACTCTGGACCCAAAGTACACGCACAATGGATCGCGAACCAACCTCGTCGGGAGCAACCCTTCGCCTGAACTTCAGTACCAGCTATCGGCTGAGAATCGCGTCACGAATCTTACTCCACCCGTATTTTTGTTCCACACCGCCAACGATGGAGCCGTTCCCATACAGAACACATATTTATTCGCAAACGCAATGGCGAGTCACAAAAGGCCTGCGCAGTTGTTGGTACTGCCCGATGGAGGACATGGGTTGGGGTTGGCTCTGAGTGACCCGGTGAGGACGTGGACTGGGGAGCTGGAGAGGTTCTTGAAATACTCCATCTGAGCACAAGAGAAAATTCATTCCTTTGAAAAAAAAAAAAAAAAAAGAAAATAGACGGAACATCAATTTGGTCTTTCTATCGCTCTATCAATGCATTTGGTGTGTATTTCATTCCGAGCGTTGTCGTGTTGTACTGTATAGTTTCGACAACACTGCTTCAACTTTCAAAAGCTGAAGTGGCCACAGGCAGCTTACGGTGCAGGCGCGTCAGAATCTCGAGGTAGTCCTTCTCGTTCTCTTCCGTGATGATCCCATGTCTGACGAAGAAGTCGATCATGACAGCAGCGCAATTTGTCTTGAACTCTCGGTTGATCATTGCCTTCTTGATTTGCTCTAGATCCCAAAGATAGAAGTCTTCCACTTCATCGTCCTGCGGCCGAGGTACGATGGTTTCGGGAAGTTCGATGTCGTAGTTGTAGAGAATGACCGGAGTCATCAGGTTAGAACCGTCTCCGTAGGCATCACTACTTTTTGCGACATATGTGATCGCACCGCAAGCCTTGGCGTTGGCACGAACGAATTCAACTGGTATAGACGCTTCCTCGGCAGCCTCGTGGACGATGCATTCGAAAGGTGACTCTTCGGCGCGTACTCCGCCAGCAACAGTTGTGTCCAACTTGCCTGGAAAGGTAAAGAGGTGGGCGGCCCGTCGTCCTACCCAGATCTTCATCCCGTCATTAGTCCTTACATACGCAGTCATGTGGGCACCACGGGAACAGATGCCAAATAGACGCGCTGCACTGCGCAGTATCTGCACTTTCGGGTATCTGGCCCCAACAATTCTGTAGTTTTCCCATTGCATTGTCTTAAGGAAAGGGTAGGTCTTAGAGTTGACTGCTTTCTCAAGCACCTCGTAGAAGGCCCGGCTGCATGCGGCGGCAGTGTCTTTTCCGTCTGAGTCATCCAGCAGCTGGACCGTTCTTGGAACAGTGTGTTTGACTTGGAATGAGGCTGTCCATTCAAGCTTCTGTATTACTGACGGATGGATATATCCATGGCTCCGAGGGTCGTTGGGGAGGAGAAGTTGATAGAAGGAAGATCTCTCGTCCTCATTGTATGGTGTCTTCGATATGTCAATGTGTGGGAAGCTAATTTGATCAGTGGGCTGCAGTCTTGAAAGGAAAGCAGACTCGCCTGTCCACAGCTTTCAACAGCTCGAGATATGGAGGTTCCGCCGCCATGTTTTAGATGGTCGTAGTAGCGCTGCGTGGTCACTCTGTGGGTACCGGTAGTATTGCGAGCGGCTGGATGACGAGGTACGCACTAGCCGGGCCGAAGTCGGCTAGGCTTGCAATTTATGGAAGACGACCAGTTCGCACCGCCCAGGTAGCTAGACTCGGTATCCCAGAAACATGTGTACATGTGGACTGGTGGATCCACAATTGAGAGACCATAATATGATGAGTATGTATATTGGTACTTTGGTCCTCCGAGATTTGCATCGTTTGCATCCATCCAGTCTAAGACTAGGGCCTTGGCGCTCTACTCACCAATATGTAGCTAGCATCGCTGACCAACCATTCAACAAACATGTTTCGAGTACCGGAAAGCTCATGACATCTAAAGCAAGCAGAGCTGAGCGAAAGGCCGCTCGCTACTTGGGGCCAGTGGTCGGGAAGAATGTACCGCGGAAAGGACCGCAGGGTGGCGACGAAGGCGATTCTCGGTCTGAAGAACACGCTCCGTGAGCAGCATCACTTCCCCCAGACACACAAGCTCGCAGAAGTAACAACATACATAGCACTTCATCTCATTCAGTTGATTTTGATTGCTTCGATGATGACGAGGCAGGAGAGCCATGCGCTGGACATAGCGAAGGTGGCATTGCGCTCCGAATGAAAGAGAGTATCCCTGCAAGCCACGAAGCCATTCTTGCTGACCGCGAGGCTATGTATGTCGAATTGTATGGCTCTGAGTCCCAGCTAATTTTTGGGAGCACATATCGCAATAGTAAGGAGTCAATACTATTGCAGCTCCCAGCCGAAATCAGACGGCAGATATGGGAAATGGCTTTCGGATATCGTACCGTGCACCCGAGGGCTATGCGTGGTAAAATGAACTGGCAAGCACAGCGAAGGCGGCTCCAGGCTTCGAAATGGGGTGTCTCCTACGACCCGTGCTCGGAGAAGTTGTCGGATTATGAGCTGTACGATCTGAGCTTGCAAGATCCGGAAGCCGACCGTTGGCCCAATGGTATGCATCCCGATTTAGGAGCGCCCGGTTGGCACGACTGCGATTCTCACAACAAACCGAGGAAACACCACTACTTGGTTCCACCGGTGTGTAAACAAGTATGGACAGAAGCTTCAGAATGCGCTTGGGAGACAGTCACTTTTGCTTTCACGACTTCCGGCGACTTCCAGCACTTTGCACGCTTCTCGGGCGCTCGACTGGACAAGGTTCGCCAAATCTGCCTCATAAGCCCTGGAATGGACTTCTTTGGTGGACACGAGATGTCCGAAAAGAGTAAATTTGAAAGAGGTTGGGAGCGAGCGTTGAGGTCGGGCGTCATGGACGAATTTACTTCGCTGGTCGGTGTGCATTTGATTATCCGTTCGTTTTGGGGTACCTCTCAATGGGGCACAAGTACTGTCGAGAAGCTTGATTTTCCTCCAGACGAGTGCTTGTATCTTCCGGAAATTATACGTGTCTTTCGGCAAATTCAACTTCGTCCGGAACGGGTTACCGTGCTGGTCACCAACGACCGGGCAGATGAGCCTTATGGGTACGAGGAGTTCACGGTCCCCAAAAGACGACTGATGGCGCAGACCATTCGCGATTTCATCTTGGAGGAAGACACGCTTCGCGACTGGACTGGGCCGGGGCAGATGATGATGATGAATTGTTCTTGATACTGGGCTTGCACTCGTTTACTTTATTATAGTTACATTCCATATATTGAGAATGACTCCAATAACAGACAGGTTGAAACCAAGACGCACCAAAATGTCGCTGTGCAGACAACGAGCAACCGTAAGCTTTCGGATGCCAAGAACATTCGCTCATTACCACCGACCCATACGCGTCTATGTATCTCAACTACTGTCACTGAGGTATTGTCTCCCTCGTGCCGTAGGCGTGTCGTTCACGCCAAAGAATATAGGTGCGCCGTAGCTGAAATCGTGTTCAGCCTCTCATTATGCTCCCTGTACAGACGTCGAATATTTGGATGATATCAGCTCGTTGTTTCATCAGCTCGTAGATCATCGTTCCAAGCCATGATTCCTCTATTGACATCGTCATCGCGTTTGACAAAATGGCGACGAGAAGCCCCAAAGGGTAATTTGTATTCGGAGGGCATGTTGCCCCTTGGCAAGGTTCCGGAAGCATCGATTGTTTTTCTGACAATATAAGTGTAGCGAGAATCAATCAGAAGAGCTATTGCTGCGAGATTTTGGGTCATGGGAAACACCATCGGCGTCTCTGTGTAATGATATCTCGTGCGATTACCCAGTTTTGGCAGCCTCGATGACCGCCTCAAAACTCTCTGTACGTATAGTCGATCTGGATCTCGACATGGAGATATACAAGCACATTAGGTTGTTCACATTCCATCTCTTCGAATCAATTTCCTGACACACAAGAATGGAATGCGGAGCCTGTTTTGCCATGCGGGACATTTCAAGATTTGCTGGTAGCATCTAGGTACAGCTCATTCAAGCATGAACGCGAAAGCTTCTGTGTCGCTTCTTCTTGTGACCTATGTGCGGTGATTTCTGCATACCAGCGATTCCATGGAAAGTATATTATCTAAACACCCCCGATCAATACGGTAAAGCTTGAACACAACATATCGAAGCCTGCTTTGTACTGACAATATGCCATGAAAACATCGAAATGAGCGCAACCCAGCCGCACGCAAATACAGCATAGGCGAACGCGTATCTCTTCGACTCACTGCTGACAATCTAGTCAGATATGACGCCGCTATGAGCGAGGCAGATCTCCGTCAACAAGCTGAAGAGAGATTTGCTCGTCGTCGTGCCAACATGAGGGAGCCTCTACACGAACGACTGACTTCCGAGAATCTAGCGTGGAGAGTGTGGAACAACTCAGTTACCACCGTCGCGCAAGAAGATAGACGTGCTCCGCTCACGGCGGCCAACTTGTGTCAGCATGAGGCGGAGATGCACGAGCCTGATCGACCCGTACTCTCAGCTGCGGATTTGGCGAGGCGAAATGCTGCCGGTATCGATCAAGAAGTCCTCTAGTTGATGTGCAAGGACTTCGACTATAGCAACACTGGTTGGCGCCGGGCGGGGCATCGAGAAGGCAGAGGTGGTTTGTTAGAGCCTCGTGCGGGAGCACGCCGGCGGTGAGGCTGACCGAAGTTCTTTTCAGCGGTGATAGGGTAGCCCAATCGAACAGTCTTGTGTACCTTTTGCGGATGCCTCTATACGATTTGACTGAACGCTCCATATTCAACTGTAAAGTGTGTGGACTGCCAGATACATGCCTTTATATGAACACGCATGATACACGTGGTCATCAATGGTATGCATAGCTTGCAACGTAAACTTATCATATTGCACTGTCGTGGAGTACAATTGGCATTAACAGTGACCGGTCAGAGCTCTCTATCAACATTGACACAGCTACTGATTATTTTGCAATTGGTCGTACGGTTCTACTTGCTATATAAATGTTGTGATGTTATGAAGGAGAAACAGTTCTTCATGTCGAAGACTGTGGTCACTGCGACTCCAAGATGCAATGTAATGCTGCACTTTCCAATGTGAAAGACCTATGCCTTGCACGCAGTACCTACGTTATCACTAATCAACATCGACCCTTAATGCAACCACACCGAGGATCACTGCCTTAGTTCACTGTCTGGCATGAACAGGGGTCTTCTAGAACACAAACTTGGTATTTGTCAATGGTTCACCGCAAGGTCATCTTACTTAGAGGCACCCCTCGTTGACATGTAATGCCAGGGGTCAGATGTAAGCATCCAGCCCGGAGACTGGCCGGTCAGACAACGTCTAGAAGATACGGAGCTTCGTATCTCTGCTCAAGGACCCCGTACCCCTAGCGCCATTCCCGTTCCGCATGGAAACAGTCTCTCTACCAGTCCACCGAAAGTATCGCCACTATTACCCAAAGCAAAATACCCCATTCGAACACTGCATATCCCAATTAATACCACACAGTCCCTTCATCTCCCCCAACTATGATCGTCCACCACTCCCCGCACAACACGGCGGCCCGCAATCTGCACATCATACCGCATCCCATCACACATCACCTCTTACTCACATACTGTCGTCAATGCATCGACCACAGCATGCACGACGTACCCCACTACATCCCTGCTCATCCAGGTCTTCGGTGCCTATCTCCGCGATCGCCTCTTGTGACAAGGTCCCGTTTCAAGGTCCCCCCCTGTGTCTGAGAACAGTGCGTACCCCGTGCTGCGCTGGCGCTGCGCCTGTTTGAGGCCTGCGAGCGCCGTTTGAGGCCCCGAAAGCCGGATCGAGACGTCCCGGGCCAAGCGAAGACAGTGCGGACCGGAAACGGTCGGAGTGGCTGTGAAAAGCGGTGAGGGGCGGTGAATGAGGGGAGTCACAAAGGACGCGACTGTGAGCGTTGTGGAGGACGCGTGCGTGTAGCGAAAGAGTTGTGTTGGTGCGTCTGTGGTACGAAGGCTCACCGATCGCTGTGCTGCTACCGTAGTATGAAGCCCATCTCCGATAGAATGTTGCGAATAGGCTTTTGAGTAGTATTCTTGAAAAGCTTATAGGACGTCTATCTACGTGTTCGGGTGGTCTGTGGTGGCAGGGTGGTAATGATATGGAGAGAAGAGGACGGACATCTACCTACGTAATCATGGCTTCGTATGGCCGCACCACCGTGAGGAATCGGCGTGCGAGCCTAGAAACAAAATCGCTCAAAGATAAGACAGGAAAAGAAACATACCAATTTAATATCCCGTGGCCCAGTGATAGCCGTTCGCTGAAAGAGGATTTCGCTCGCCAGTCCATGCATCGCTCCATGACAAGAAAATGACAACCGCAGTTCGCCAGTCACTACCCGCTGTGTGACAGCTGTCCTAACCATCTAGCCGGAACGCCTACTAAGCATGAAAGAACATCATTGCGAGCAAAGGAGAGGAAATCGCATTATCGAACGGAAACAGGCTAATTGCTGAAAGCAACCAGTTGCCTTTTACAGTAGCAACACATCTTAGATCATACTTGCGATTGAACTGAGAGCTGTCGTCCTTGGAACACCAACTAGCTCCGGCTCACTGACCTGATGCATGGGGTGGAATGTGCTGCCTGGCTGTAGTGGTGACGTGAAAAGACCGACGACAGGAGTCTTGGGCTGGAACTCGGCTGCAGATGCCGGCGGATGCATAGCCGTTGTTGATGTCGGCGTCGGGTATGCCGATGCGGCCGGGTAAGAAGTACTTGTAGTACTCGGCTGCGATGTCGATGTCGGTACGGCAGAGGTCGACGTCGGTATGCCAAGGGCCTTCAGGGAGGATATGGGGATCGGTGCGGAATGTCGGTGCGCGGTGGTATCTTGCTGCGAAGACGTCTCTGTCTTGATTGGGTAGCTGGAGGTGGCTGATGCCGAGGATACAGTACGAGCTCGAACAGCATGGGTTTCACGACGTCTCTTGGGCCCGTCTTTGACCTTCGGGTGCGTGTGGCACTGTCAATGTTAGCGTAAGCCTTGTGGAATGCTCCTACGTTTGCGTTCCGATAGGTAGATAGCGCGTTCGGGGCAGTGTGCAGGGAATGACGAGTAGGGCGTACCTTGTATGCATGCCTGAACCATGTAGTGCCCTTCTTCTTGCTACTCACGAGTGCGATCCACTCCCCACAGCTCCCACACAGACCTTCCCACACATCGAGATTACCTTCGGTGCGACGAGTGTCTTGCGGTCCTTGGAAGGCAGCACCAGTAGCTGCGCTCACCCCGTGCGTGAATGATTTGTCGTACCAGAAGGCGCTGTTTTTGAGCACGAGCCAACGACCTGGCTTGCACAGTCCGCACCAGCCCTCTCGCTTATTGCCGTGCCCACGCACCCAGCGCGGAGTATACAGATCTCCATTGAAGCGCAGATCCTGTTCATGCGGGATGAGGTCGGGGTCGGATGGGTTCATATCAGACTCGGGAGGATCGGAGGCTTCTTCATGAAGTGATGAATACAGGTCTGGTGGATCAGAGAGATCAGCGAAATGCGATGCGCAGCCACCATGCCTGTCGGCGTTGCTTTGCAATAATCGGAAAAGGCCTTGGGATGGTAGCGGTCGAGGCACTTCAAGTTGATATGGTTGGTCCTGGGATGCGAACATGGTAGGATTGCTAGATTGCAATGGATGGGGCTGAGAGTACAGTACGTTTTGAGTCTGGAGTCCGAAGTTATGTAACGCGCTAGGGGGGTATGCGGGCATGGAATGGTGTGGGTTCAAGCGAGGACCATAAGGCGCGAAACGATCTTGAACTTGAGATAAAGGACGTTGCGTTGGGGTGGAGGTGGGTGCATGACCCGTTGACCATCTCTTATATCGACTGCTCTCCAACGTGTAGGGTGAAGATCGTACATTGGTGTGGGGTGCTGGCGAAGCCCGATTTCGACTACCGCTGCGTACGACGTTATCATGCTGAGGTCTACGTGGGGAGGCTAAGGGTGATAGTAAGTTGGGCGTCGGTTCTAGTGTTGGCCAATTGTCGCAATCGGATGGATACGCGACGGCTTCAGATGTTCCGAGCTCCTCGTAGGTTGTTGCCTCTGGAAGAACTCCGCCGGTGCTAGATATTGAGAACGATGATTCCGATAAACGTCGCGTCGAATTGGGATTGTAAGTCGGCATGTTCTCAACTTCATGCTGATCCATGCCATGGTATTGTCCGAGGTGAATGACTGGGGCATTCTCGTCGTGGCCCATGAAGCCATGGTTGAACTCGTGCAGTTCCGGGTCCATGGATGGGAACGACTCCAACTCTTCGCAAACCTTTGCTCCCCAAGGACCTATGCTTATTAGCATCATTTTTTCATAGGAGGACGAAGACCTACTCGTGTCAATGACACCAGGGAAATAGTCTGTAGTCCCGAGGCTATCAGGTCGATAAGTTGCGGTGCTCAGGGCCGGTGAGTGTGTGGCAGCGACGTCTGGTCTCGATACATATCGCTGCTGCTCTTCTCTGGTCGTTACTGTGGGAGCCTTTGTAGACCCACTCGACATTGGGTAGTACTGGCTGTGGGAGTGGGACTGTGGCACCGCCCACGTGGGCTGGGGTGGCGACGGTCTTGACACATGTTGCATGTGGTGGGGTTGTTGGTGTTGCTGATGCTGAGACTGGTGGTGATGTTGTGGATGCTGAAGGGCAACACCGCCGTAGGAGTACATCATCTGCGTTGGGTGGCCTGTCTGTTGATTGACCGCGTATGATCTATTAGGTGATGACCGGTATCTATATATCAGATGAGCATGCGTCTGGACCAAGTCTGAGGGCAGACAAGACGCGGGAGATCTTACTGCTGTACCGCATTAAATTCCATCTTTATCCTCTCCCCGTATTGGAATGGCCTTGGAAGTTGGTGTGTATGTGAACTAGATTGGCGCCACTGTCAGCAACCTGAACGGGCAGTTCACTCTAGCCCAGCGCTAGCAGCAACAACAACGTGCATCGGACGGCGCACAGCGTGGGGCCTCGCAGGTAACGCAAGGAAGCACAGATGCGCACGAGGGACGTACTCTTTGTGAAAGCGAACGAACTATGTCTGGTCAAAGGAATGTAGCTAGTCGATACTGTCGTGCGACTATAAAGTGATGATGATGGCGTGGCGAGAAAAGAAAGCCTGCCGCCCGATCAAAAGAGTGTACGGAGAACAATGTCTCCCTCGCTGCCAGCGCGGTAAGGAGCCCGCTCCAAATAGAAAAGAATGAATGGTAAAAATAGGGCGTGGTTCCGAAAGAGTGACGAGGCCAAAGTAAGAACAAACGTAGTTCGAGGGTATCTGCGTATATAATGAGAGGCGGGTTGGAAGCTTCCGAGGGTGACGACGGGCAGGATAGACATGTGCGAAGCGGGCGCAGAGGAACCACTTTGGGGCAGAGAGTTTGAGAACAGCATCGGGAGGCGCCTTGGCCGCCAGAGATCTGGAACGACGCCAACCTGGAGGAGAGGCGTTCGCCCAAAGAGGGACATCGCGCGGTGGAGCAGGTGGGTGTAGGGCTGTCGGGGATTAGCGCTCATGCCACGGGACGGCCTAAGATGAGTGCCCGGGGTGCCGGTGATGCATCTGGAGGGCGAGCAGTGTGAGTTCCTGACAAACTGAGGCAACTCTGTCATGATGGGGGTGCGCCAGCCAATTGCTGGGCCGCCGTAGGAACCTCAGCCGGGATCCCTCGTACCCATTTGCGAACTCGAGACCAGTTCTCGAGAGCCGTTTCAGGATAGCCCCCGTCGCCGCGGCATCTCGGCGACGAGGGCGAGCTGAGGTGCTCGAGCGAAGCTGGTGAGGGTCGGGTAGAGGTCGAAGGATGCTGGTCGTCGCAGATGTGAGACGTATTCTGAAACGTCAACCTCGCGCCTGCCCACAGTACGGCCGTCGTACGCTACAGAGGCCGCGGTCAGCAACGCCCTCATTGGTACAACATTTATCCAATATTCAACGCGGCTGACCAGTGATGTCTCGAGGCAGTGAATGAAGGCGTCACGTTGCAGTTGGGGGTGGTGACTTTGCACCGTTTAGAAACGGCTAGCGCGACCCGCTAAACCCGCTTAGCGACCTCCGCTGTGTCAGAGCCTCGACGTCTCCTCCACCTTCACAACGTCCATTCGATAGCCGCTCCCAGCCGTATGGCGGAGACAGGACCCGGCTGCCGAACTTACTCGATCGCTGTCAGGATATGGAGCCACCTGGTCCGAGCGGCAGCCCTCCAGGCTACTCGCCATGGCGTGTAACGTGAAGGCACACCCTTTGGGACGACCGCGCTTCCCGCGAGTGCTGACGTTTAACAGCTCCATGACATCTAGGAGTCGTGGATCTCTGGACACGTGAGCACCCTCACTGCTTCAGGCAGTTGTTTGATCCTCTTCGCGGTTTTGGGTCGTATACAGCCCGTGCAGCCGAGACTGCAAAAGCCACCTTGTTTAACACAGAATGAATCGCGTCATAAAAACGGATCTTAATGCTGCTGCTGTTATACTCGGGCCGGAGTACTGCGTCTGCCCCAACATGCCTCAGGCATTTGTCAGTGAACATGCATACTGAGGGATCTCAATAACGCAGCAGCCACCTCCACCGCAATGCGCTCCTCCAGCATGATACCTCATTAGAACGGCCCCAGAACCTCGTTCAAGGTTCAGCCACCATTATGCCGCTATACGCAAACACTGCAGCATCAGAGCTCAGGAACATCAGCGGTTCACAAAGTCGCTGCGTCCAGACCGCTACTTGCGTGTCGGCCAGCCCGATACATATGCACTCCATCTGTGCTGTCTACGCAGTTGCTCCTTACAGCGTTCTTGCCCAGGCGCCTAGGCGTTGAGAATGCACCTGGATAGGCGCCTTAGCCGGCATGGCTTGCACACCACTATGGGGCCCCGGATGCAGCACGGTCCGCGCGTTGTTAGTCGGCAGCGCTGTGGCTGACAACGACAATTCTAGAAGAGGGGGCCAGCGATCGAGGTTGTTCGCAGTTCTCCCTTGCTTCCCAATATGCAGGCCACATCGAACGAGGACTAGGCCGGTCGCTATCCCACGTCACGACATCTGTTTATTTGAAGTCAACTCCACTTCTGTGCGCCCTTCTCATTCCTCCACGTGCGGGTCACACGGTGCGGGCCCCTCCGGCCGCGTAGACATCTGCACTGCCCTCCGTATGTGGAAAGGCTACTATCTAACGACTGCCTATCGATGTCTCGGATGAGAAGGCGTTCATTCCCCGCATCACCAGAAGGGCGAGATGCCCTGAGCAAGTGCGCGGCTGACCATCGAAGCCCCCTGAACCTGGAGAGGCCATCGGGTATTGATCTTCACTGGGAGATTGTGTCACCAACCCACCGCCTGCATCGCGTTCCTGGCCGCTGACGGCTGTCGGTGATCGCCGCAGTCACCCAGGTCAACTCAGGCCGCGTTGGCGACCAGATCATGTAAGACAGGACATCCCGCGCTCTATTGTAGGGTAGGGCGAGGCGAGGTGTCCTTAAGGAACGATCCTTCCGCATACTGGCGGATCGCCCCGTGGGGAAGCCGCGGACATGGTAGGTTGCACGGAAACGGTCGGAATGGCAAACATCGTCGAAGCCCCGCGGCAAGACTAAGTCCAGCTCACATCTCGACAATAGTTCAAGCAGATGAGTCGAGTCAACGGGGAGAAGCTCTCTTATGTGCCCCTCGTCATATACTATGCGGCATCGAAACAGCCATCACTTCCAACTGACCATGAGATTTCGCAGACCGAGATGATCACTCAGCTCCATCCTCCGCCGTTTGCCCTGCACGGTAACTATAAGAGTTGTGATATGATCGCTACCAACACCAGAAAATGGCCACGAGCGTCTAATGTTTCAATTCTATCGATAACGCGCCCTAGCTCCACCCTCCCGCCTCAGCACCGCACCTATATCACCCCAACTATGATCGCTAGTACATCCCACTCAACCCAACAACGATAATCAAACACAGCACATTCGCTCGCTCACACACCTAACTATCCTCCCCCGAACACAGACAGATGGCAATTGCCCACAAGCCCAACCCACGTACCAGGTACGTGCGCACCCTTAGCCCTGTGCACGCTGCGCCTCACCAGCAGATGGGCCCTGTCACGGGAGTCAGACCCGAGGTTCTCGGGACCTCACCGCGCGGACGTCGAAGGCGCGACCGGGCACCCATGTTCCAGCACGTCGGACGATGTGCGGCCCCTCCGCGCGAGTAACGATACGTCCGAGATGGGGTGGAAATGAGTCGCGGGGTCGGAGGGTGGTCGGCGTGAATCGTTGTGGTCTTCATGCGAAGAGTAGCTAACAAGGTTTGCTGAGTGGGATGACGAGGCCAGCGAACGCGTCATGAGGTCTTGGTATACACAACACCTGTGGTCAAGGTGCGAGGTGAGAGGCTTGGCCACCAACCTCAGCGCTCAGGCCGCGAATGCGAAGCCCTGGGTGTGCATTGAAAGCCTCGTGGACAGCGAGAAATGACGATGCTTGAGTGCGTTAAGGTCATCGAAGAAGGAAGTGCACAGCATAATATGCGCTGTCATCTTCGGTCAGCGTTCAAAGTACAAGCACTGAACAAACGAACTCGTAGACTATGAGGGATGATGGCAGCTTGAGTTAGGAAGGTTCACCGCAGAGGCAGGCTCTCACATATCGTGCGATTCCATCTTCAACATCAATCCCGAACATCAGTGCAGGCATGGCTCGAGGTCACGAACAAACGAAACTCAGAATGTAAGACTATATGGTATCATGCCCCAAAGCAGCGCAGCCGCGCGCACAGAGACCCCAACGCCATCATGAATTCGTTGACCACAGCTACCATTACCTTTTTTTCCCGACCAGGACATCACAGCCCCCATTAAGCGTTTTGAAGACCATCGTGCTCCCACCATTACCCTTCTTCGCCTCGACGCGATTCAACCCAGGCCTCTCCTCTTGCCGAATCAGCTCCAGGTCCTTGCCCTGCACATGTAGCACGCCCGTCACACTCTGACCCTCCAGATGACCCTCCCATTCTTGCGGGTACGTGAGGTTGATCGAGCCGCTCACACTTGTGTGCGTGCTCACGAGCTTGCTCATCGCAGTCGCAGGTGCCTTGAATGTCGCCCTGAGGTTGATCCTCGTCTCGCCGTCTGTCGTCTTCGTAGTGAGGATGGAGCTACCATCAGCGGAGTACGGGATAAGGTCGACATTGATGCCACCGGCGACAGAAGAAAAGTCTGTCTTGGTACCGTGGATGAAGGTACCGTCAATAGAGCCCGCTGTGCTGTTAATGCTGACGACGTAGTCGCGCTCGGGAATCTTCTTGCGCTCTGTGTCGACGCGAATGCTGCCGGACATGGTGCTCGCGTAGAACAGTGCCGTGCTGGGACCGTCCGCGGCTTTCTCTTTGGGATCGACGTTGATGTTGACGGAGCCTGACTTGGTGACGATCGAGAGCAGGTCGAGGAGTGAGTACTTCCCGCTGATGGAGCCGGATATGGTTTCCAGGCGTGTCTCGCGGGAGTTGAATGACGACGCGTCGAGGGTGCCGGTAGTCAATGTGATGGAGGTGCCGTTTGTGACGGAGAAGTTGACGCCTTCGTGGATCTGCATGCCCATATGTATGGCCTGGACATTGAAGTTTTCGAGGGTGGCACCGGCAGCCATGTAGATAACAACGGAAATGCCCAGGCACGATTCGCCCCTGTGTAGGCCGTCGAAACCGTCCGGAAAGGAGGGGTCGCCGATGGTAATGCCGGTCGAAGTCCATGAATATTTGATGCTGTCCACGTCGACTGTCTGAGATGCGGCATACGACATTCTGGCCTCAATGGTGCCTGCGGCTTGCTCTGCGGGTGCTTGGACTACATGGATCCAGCCGGACACTCGCTTCCAAGGACCATCGAGCTGATGCACAGCTTCTACGATATCCAATTGACTTGGCTTGCCAAAAGCCCTCTCCTCGGTCTTGATGTTGTAATTCTTCTTTCCACAAGCGGCAGGCCACCGGATGGGAAAGCTCTCCTTGCCCTTTGTTGGTTTCGATATTGGGGTACCTGACTGAACAGGCTGTGCGGGTGGAGTCACGACTGTCGACTACAGCAGGTCAGCGTCAATTGCTTCCTATCAAGCCCAAGTCACGCACCTTCTTGTCTCTATGCGCCAGCGCCGCGATGACGACGATCAGCAATATAGCCGCCAGCAACGCTCCCGACCACTTCACTCTCTTTCTCGAAAAAATCTCCTTCCATTCCCGCCGCCGATATCTCCCATCCTTGTGCCCCTCCTCCCTCATCGGCGTCAACACCGCCCGTTCCTCGTTCAGCAACCCAACGCCTTCCTCTCGCCACCCCATGGGTGTAGTCGCCTCAAGATAACTCGGCGGCGCATCCTGCCCCACAAAAGTTTCGAGCAGCGGCGTCCTCTCCTCGGGATACCGTGCCGGACTACTGATCGTGACCTGCGGCTTCTTCGCGGCCTGGTTCGCGGCCTCGGTGTCGATGTACATGACGTCGGACGGCACGCTGCCACTGCCCCTCGATTCCGTATTGTCTCTGAAGTACCCGTCTGTTGGACTGGAAAGCGGATCGGTGATACTGGAATAGAAAGAAGCGGCGTCGTCGTCCCGTAGCGAGCGTGTGTAGTTGTATCGCGAGGGACTCATGACGGCGGGCTGTATTAAATATTACTTTAACCACGGCTAAGGGATCAATGTGATTGATCTGCGGGTTCTGGGGAGCTTGGGAGCTTGGCTGGAAGGGATGTCACAATTGTTTCGGGCAGTGGAAACGCGGACGGTTTGAGGATGGCTTGGCTGTGAGCCGCGAACATGAAGGCATTTTAATGTTTTCCGCCATCGCAGAGCTGTCCAGCATGCGCGAGGAATTGGGTAAGCGGAGGATACGCGTCGCTGCAGGGCGTCGCAAGGCAGCAGTTGTATTCAGAGGGGCAATTGGCTGGGAAGCGCGATGTGTGCCGCCATGCAGCTGCAGGTTGCGATGCCTCAGGCGGTTTCTAGTGTGGGGACGTCATACGCTAGGGGCGGTTGGGAAGGTCGGCCTGCGATCTGTGCAGCGACGCGACCGTCTGGCTGCACATCCGCTAGCGTTACAGAGGCAGTGATCGTCGGTGTATGCTCTGGGGAAGAAATGGAGCAGACGTCTAGGAACTGGTGTTCTGCTGAGAGATGTAGGATGCTACTGATACGGGGGTGCACTTCCCTTGCAGCCTGCATATGCGCAGGTGCCGCAACCGCAGTCGTTGACACCGTTGTTTTGTGTCTTCCAAGGTAGATCTTTGACAAATCGGGATCCTAGGGCATCGCTCATGCGTACCTTTCCGGGTGGCTCCATGAGTCCCTTCTCAAAACTTGGTATAAACTTTCCTGGTTACAACTACAATTTCTTGCTAAACATGATCTTGGAGTCTTGCATGTACTGCAACTATTTTGCAGAGTGGATGTTACCTCTCAGCATCGACGCGATTCGTCTATCAAGTGGACTTTCAGCGGCTGGTTTTGACGATATGCTATAGAATTCGAACCCTGCCTACAAAAACGCAGGTTGCGGGTGAAGCGCCTACCTAGAGATTGATACAACGGGAGCTTCCAGGCCCAGAGTAGCGTCGATGTTGGAGGGTATGAGAGAAAGAAAGCGTGCAGAAGAACGTCGTGAGAACCGCTTGAGGTTGGGAATATTTCGGGGATGGTAACCTCGTAGCAGGGGTTGGTTCGGTTTTAGCACAACAAAACAAAGCAGCAGTGCTTATTCCAACAGAGTGGTTATTCGCGAGACAATATTCAGATGACTTGAGTCTTTCTGTGGTGAGCTAACGACTAGCCATTGTTCGCAGCTGCCCATTTCTGAAGGTGCGAGGGATCATGGTATACGCGTGACTCAACTCAAACGTGGCGACTTACCATGTGGACGACCACCCACCTTGCCTCGCCAAAGACGCAATCCCTCAGAATTCATACATTTTACACTTAGAAGTACCATATTACTCCATCCACACCGCAAACTTGCTGCAACACATCTCGAGTTGCATCGGGCTTCCCGTCAGCAAGGAACTAACACCCATACCACCAACATGGACGACCTCACCGACCTGGAAAGCATGGCGCGTACTACCACCGAAGGCTCCGGACTGGCTTCCGGTTACGCAGGGTAATAGCGCTGGATGGAGCTCTTCGGCTACAGCGCCCTAGAAGTAGATACCGCGATAGAAGCCCACTTTACGTTCGGCTCCCCCGCGATATTATCTCCGATGAGCAATTCAAGCAGATCAGCAGCTTATAGAACCTCGGAGACTATGACGAGGAGACCTTTGCGCACTTTCTCAAGCGCTCCGGCTCGAGTCTCTCGCGATTCTTGCAGCGGCAGCTGGCCAGTCGTAATGGGGAGAAAGAGAAGAAGCATCTGGGCCAGAGCTACATCGTGCAGCTTGTAGATAGGCTAATGGCTGCGAATACCTAGCACATTAGTGCCCTTGCAGAGGCGCCGAAGGCGGTGATGAGCGAGACCGGCCAGATGACTGCTGCGGTCGTGGACAGCTGGACGAAAGATGCGCTCGAAGAAGCACTAACGGCCGGTCTCAACTTCAGTCTTATCTCACTTGTCGGTCGGGCGGAGAAGAACCTATTTTCATGCTCCATTCGGCATCGATGCTACTATGCCTCAACATCGCTTCGGCGAAACGCCCACACTGCATCAAGACCAGTACCCCGTCTCTTACTTCCCCTACGGTACCCTGGCAGTTGCAGAGAAACTTTGACCGATGCTAGGATGGGAGAGTGAACCAGTCTTGTCTCCTGCGAAGGTACGCAGAGGCCGCAGATTGAGGTGGGGATAATACCCTGCGCTTGTGGATGGGGAATGAGGGAATATCCTGCGGGGGTGGACATATTTAGTTGAGAACCGTGAGCATGAGGTCAGGCTAAGGTTTTACGAGACGAACAAGTACGAGGTGGTCAGACGCAAAATCCCGACCGAGGTGAACAAAGCACCCGACATTTAGGTTCTGTGGCAGGACGGAGGAGGTGACATGAAATCTTCATCTACTACTGCGTCGGTCCATAGTGTTGTTAAGCTGGGTGTACTGCGTGGCAGGTAGCACTGCGCATGTATCAAGATATTGTGACGAGTGCTGTAGCTGCGCCGAACAAAGTTGCATAACTTTTAAAGCGATAGCCCAGTTGAAATTGTGTTCACAATTTGAATGACCGGCCATGCTTCACCCATGCTTGTCTGATGAGATCAGCATGAGCAAGAATCAGTAATGAGTATCTTGATCTTCCGCCGATGGACAAAGGATATAGGTAACAGCGATACCCTTACAGCCACAGTGCGGACATCACCGACAAGATGACGACTAATTGCGAGTGATTCCGGGAAGCGAGACTACGTAGTACCACTGGCCCACTTGGTACGGAGGTAGAACGCGGCAATCTGGGCTTTTGAAGGACAGCCGAGGTTTTCGGCATGTGGGTATTGTCGGTCCTTTTCGACACTAGGATGTCCGGCACCTGCGAACTTCGTTCAGTTTCGTCCCTTCAACCGCTGTTTTGTTGGATTAATTTTGGTCATATTGGGCGAGTGTTTCCTTCGCAACCGGTATCATCGTGGTGCATTTGGGTCCTAGTCAGATTTGCATCGGCGCATCATGCCAAATTGTACGGCCCGGCGATTGTACAAACTTCTATAACGCCATTCGCAAGCGTGTCAGGTCATGTCATGTCGGCACCCGGAGGAATTGAATTGCGAGTGGTTCGGCAAGGCGTGCAGACGTGGGTCTCGCCGCCGTGCCGCAGCCGCCGCCCAGCATACGCTAAGTCGGCATCGTGCGGATCGCGCAACGACGAGCTAGGCAGTTGGCGGCAGAGGATGATGTCGGCTAAGCATCGGAATATCGTGCAGCTGTCGTGGAGCGAGCGTCCATCTTTCGACGACCATAACTTTGCTTTTCGTATAGTGCGGCCTTGGTGAAGTTTCGGCTGACTGTCAGAGCCTATCGGCGGGTATCTTCGCCGAATGTGGAGCCAGGGAAAAGAAAATATGCTGCTCGATTCATGTTTGCCTTCACGTTTGCCTTGATCGTAACGAAAACCAGCTGCAGTATGGGTATTTGCAACCGCAGACACTAGAGAATACAATAGTACGATCACAGAGGCTCCAGACGTGGCAAGCGAGTCATTAGCCCGTGGCGTGTTGTATACATACCGTACGACAAGACATCGAAAAGCGCACTAACACTAGTATTTCCACGAAGGACGGTGGGGAAAGGTGGGGAAGAACACGCTCGCAAAGATCGAGCACTCGGTGGAAGCAAATGGAAATAGGTGAAGTCGTGATCCGGAGATTCATGATCCGGAGCATGCTATGAATCCTTGAAAACGCCAGCAATGCAATCCGGACAAAGGAGATTCGTGATCACTGATAAAGTCATCAACTCTTCAGCATGTCGTTATCCACCTCCCAATCGTGCCACGTCGGCTTGTCGAAGCCATTCGGGCGAGAGCTGCGCAGGAAGCCGTTCCACGTGCCTTCGATCTCAACCACAGGCCTTATTGTACGGAGGTTGGCATCGAAGCCCCGACTGAAACATTCTTGCATGTGCTTCTCGTCAAAAAGCTCGGGATGCGTTCTTCTCATCGTTTTCAAAGCACGCTTGCCAACCTCGTCAACTGAGTCGTTATGGCGTAGCTGGAAGAAGTCGTCATCATGCTGTTCCCTTAGCTGAGCCATTATGATATCGTCGTAAAGTCCCAATTGAAGAAGGAAAATGTCGTACTGGCACAGTGATGTTGTGCCAAGATAGCTCCCGCCATGTTTTGCTCGCTTGTATAGACCGGTCAGGACTGCGATCGTGCCCATGCAGCCAGTGCCGTAATCGCTCATGGGGAATGGTGGCACAACAGGTTCATCGAGGCCCATCCCGAGACCTTGCGCCCACGCAACGCCTGATACGCAATCCGCAATCTGTTGCCATCCTGGTCGCGATGACCAGGGCCCGACATGACCGAAGCAATTTTCAGCCACGTACACGATGCCACGTTTGCGATCCTTTACAAGCTGCAGGATCTGGTTGGGGCCGTATCCGAGACGCTTCAGACTGCCTGGCCGGTACCCGTCAAGTATCACATCGGCAGATTGAAGCAGATCTTCGAAAACCTTGCGATCCGTCGGTTCGCGCAAGTTCAACTCGGCGGCATGTTTGCCGAGATTGCCGTCCACTTGAAAAAAGGGCACGTCAGATAAATTGGGCGACGTGATTTTGATGACATCGGCTCCGTATTCAGCCAACCCACGTCCCATTGCGGGGCCTGCAATTATCCGGCACAGTTCGATGACGCGAATTCCTGCCAGAATTTGGGACTTTGGCGCAGCCGATTTGGCGAACGCAAACGGAGCAGGAGGCGAGTCGGACTCCAGTAAATCGACCCTCCACGGTGGTTCGTGCAACAGAGCCTGCCCGTGTTCAGTAATCTGGAAGTCTTCCCACCTCAAGCAGGTCACGCCTGTAGTATACATGTCAGCGGGGTTCAGAATGCTGAAGTGAGACAGGACATGTTGTTTTGCGCAAAGACAACAGAGTACCTACCCGCCTGCTTAATCCTCCAGTTCATCTCTTCCAGTTCGTCCACCGTATACTTCTTGACATGATCTTCAATGACTTTGATACATTCGTGGTAATCAGTGAGGTCTGGTCGGTGCCCCTCCAAGCCGATCATGTTCAGCGCTTTAGTAGCCTCCAAAGAGCCATGCAAATGGAAATATTCCCCGGGAATCTTGGTTGCGTAGAGGTTTGCGGAAAGTCTGCGATAGAGAATAGACTGGGCTTGGAGAAGGTCGGAATCTGGTAGCAATTAGTTTCGTGGGGATGGCTTGACGCCAGGATGCACAGTAACGTGATCAAACGCTGTAAAGTATCGACGGACGCACCTTTCAAGTATTTCTTCACTTTGGGATGCGCCTTGTCCATTCCACCAACAGTTGCAAGATAGGTGGAGAAGAGAAATGCGGACGCTCGTTCCAGGTCCACATTGATGCTTCGGTCAGGAACATCTGCCTCCAAGTCTGCTATGGATGCGGCAAGTCCGGCTTCAACGGCCTTGAGTGCCGAGATGGCTTCTGTTTGTTTCAATGGACTCGGAAAATAGGGACTTCCGGTGTTGACCGTCGAGAAATGCGTCCGTGCCACATGGGGTAGGCACTCTTTGGGGAGTTGGGCAGCGGCCACTCCTAGAAGATAATCCAGGGCTGCGTAGGTACCATCGAGCAGTGTGTTGGCGCGCTGGTCACACGCACTCCCGCCTGCAAAACCGCGTGTAAGGTACGGCGTCATCCTGAGAGCCTAATAGCTCAAGCAAGTGGTAGGAAAGGGACAAAGAAGGGATGCTGGTCGACGACATGTGAGCGGGCCGAGCGTACAAGTATCTGGTGCCGCTCGGAAAGCCGTTGCGGCTTCGCGCTGCTAGCGACATGCTCAACAGGCACTCGGAACAATGTGCGAAGAGGCTAGGCTAAAGCGTAGCGCCGCGGAGGATGATTGCCAGTGGCGGCGCCCGCGGCTGCATGCAAGCGTGCGGCGGTAGGGCTGGCGTGGGTGAAGTTCGAAGTGGCTTGGTCGTGGTCAGCACCGACACTTGCATGTGAGGGGAGCGCTCTAGCGCAGCGATCAGCTTGGCGGCCGTGGGAGCCGGAACGCGATGGACGGCGCATCTAACAAGGAAAAACGCGCGATCCAACCACCAGCTATCGAGATCTCTTCAGCCATTTGTGACTCCCATCATTCGCTACGTCGCGCGTCCGTTACGTCGTGCGCGTGAGCGTGCAATCTCCCTGCAGCTGATGCGACTTGATGAGCGCGACCCGCCGCCCACATCCGACACATGGTCCGAAGACATCCTCCACAGCGGATAGGCCCCAACCCTGTCTATCCGACGAGCCTCTGAGCACTATCTCGTGTTGCCTCTCGCCAAAGTAGGCCCGGCATGACTCGGCCCAAGGTACCGCCTGGCAAGTTCGCGATGTGTCCGCGTCGACCCACCCCAGTCTAACATCCCACGCCTAGAACAGCGACAGCGCACCGCACAGGCATGCGAAAGCTGCAAGCGCCGTAAACAAAAGGTCCGTCTCTTGCTCAAATCCCATATTGGCCTCATAAGCGAGCAATTCCCATCCTGTCGGCTTTTGCCGACACCCCTGCCAGCCACTGTACTGTGTAAACCCACCGTCGTACAAGCTGCTCCTCTGCTGTACTGTCTCTGTTTGGCCCACTCAGCTCCCGGAAATCATCTTCCACCCATGGCTCGATCTTCTTGCTCCACTTGTTGTTTGCGCCTTCTCTTAGATCCAAGCCCCCCTCCGCCTGTTCGAGTAGTGACCGCAGATCACAATGCTTCATACCCACCCAGCTTGTACGACAGTCTAAATCCTTCTCTTTTCACTGTAACTTGGGATGGCATTGCCGCCATCCCATTGGCTTTGTCCTTCCGTACCCTTTTACGTTGAACCCGCCGCGGCCCGTGGCGTTGATGTTGGGAAACTGATTCGGAAAAGTGCAACGGCCTCTGTCCCTGTAACACGTGCGATAAGGTAATAGCACCTCATTCTGTACGGAACTTCCGCTGACAATTACAGAGGAAATTCACGTGCGTATACACTGAGCGGGACGCGTCTTCGCCCTCTAGTGTCGAACGCCCACCCAAACGGCAAGCTCTCGATGGCGAGCAAGAAAGTTCAGTCGTAAACGACAATTCCTCAGCAAACACTCCCACCAATAGATTGCATACCACGAGCCTCTCTCCAATCGCCCACTCGTTACCACACGTGTCCCCGTCGATTCCGCGGTCAGGCCCTGTCGCATCAGAACCGAGATCTGCACCATCAAGTGTAAGTAACATCGACCTAATCAAAGCGCACACGAGCCATACCATTCCATCCGTGCCCAGTAAAAATTCCCCTAGTACGCAGAATTTACAGCAGTACTGCGCGTTGCTTGCTGCCTGACAATCGCATATCTTCTCAAATCAAGTACATGTTGACTGGTCTCCAAGAGCGACGCTGGGCTGCTATATTCTTCTTCATCTATACCGGCTCTGCGCTCACTTTGGGACTATCGTGCCGTAGCAATTCATCTGATGAGAGTTTTACTGATCTGGTCAAACCCTCAGGCTATCAAGCGCGAAGACAATGCGAATAAAGTACCTGACGAGCGACCATCCGTTGAAGTCGCAGCGACTTCCTTGCCACTAGCATCCGGGTATGTCACTGCAAGTCGTTGACTCTCGCAGTGAGTCCTGCTTACATGTCACCCAATATTCAGGCCGCCATCCGACGAACCGCCGCCGCTTATATCACGCGGCTCTACCATTCAAAGTGGCCAAGACGAAGAGGCCGTAGTTTACTCCCAAACCCGAATGTTGCAAGATCCAACGGGCCGATTGCGTACGTTTGGTTCCATTGTTTACTCATAGACTATCATTCCGCTAATCAGGAATAGTCTATGTCGGGGATTCGGCAACACTTTCGTTCCTGCAGCTTCTCCGGATGATGGTTGAGAATGCTGCTGGACAGTCACCCTTCACCAATGACCCTCGGCGCCATAAGATCGTTGAAGGTCAATTCTCGCTCCCCGCCGGCTTCCGGTAAGCCCTTTGCGCATCGGTTATCCTTGGACACGTTGCTGACTCTGCACATCAGACACACGCATCTTCTACCTGATCACAGAACCGCCCGTGTGCTCGTCGACGCTTTCTTTATCAACACACATGGGCTGCTGCAGATCTTCGAGCGCCCAATGTTCTTGGAGAGGCTCGAAAGCTGTTATTCCGATCCGTTGTCTACCGATCCCTCCTGGCTGTGCATCCTCAACTTGGTCTTCGCCATTGGCTTGACCATGGCCACTCCGCTTTCCGGGAGCTCTGAGGCGCTTATTGTTGACAAGTTAAGGAGCGAGCATCTGGACCGAGCCGAAGTCTTCTACCTCAATGCTAAAAGCTTGAACGACCCAATGACTGGATTCGAAGACCAAGACTTTTGGTCGGTCCAAGCCTTGCTCTTGATGTCTGTGTACATGCTCGCCAAGTCAAAACGAAACACTGCCTTCGCCCTTTTAGGAATGGCGGCCAGATCAGCGCAAGCACTTGGTCTACACCGCGAGGAGACCTTGGTCATCTTTGGGCCTGAGGAGCAAAAAGCACGGAAGAATCTTTGGCGTTCACTTTTTGTCATTGATCGCCTTCTTGCTTGCTTATTGGGTCGCCCGGCGGCAATATCGGAGAGCGATTGCTCAGGCGACAGCCTACGGCCTGCCGAAGCAGCCCCCGACGTGTCAAGTCTAACAGCCAACTTTAACGAAACCGGAGCATTTTCCCTTGAAGCTGCTGTACGAAGCTGCTCTGCCATTGGCTTGATCTTGAATAAGGTCTATCAGCAACGCAAAATTAGTACGCGGCTGGCTCAGGAGATTGCCGATATATGCAAGACCTGGCCGCGAGCCTTACCAGCTGTTCTGCATTGGCGACAAGCGTCCACTGCCACTGCCAGTCAAGGTGTAGCCATTCTGCATGTCAATCTTTTCTACTGCCACTCTATAATCTTGCTAACCCGTCCCTTTTTCCTATACATTCTCAACATGGAGACTCAGCGACAAGTCACTCAAGCTTCGACTGGTGACCGAGCACCACGACCCTACCTTCGTATGGAAAAGTTCAGCGAAGCATGCGTCATCGCCTCGACGCATACCCTCCTCCTGGTACAAAATGCCTTCGATGCTGGATATCTTTCGCGACGAAACCCCGCTGTGATATACTTCCTCTTTGCCGCTGCACTTGTGGTCCTCGCGAACGAGTTCGCCGGCCTATATCGTGTAGAATCTCCTGATGCCTGCATTGCAAACTCAATCACCATCATGAGTTACTGCGCAGAAAGCGACCAACAAGCCAGCCGCTTGGTGTATATCTTGAGCTCTTTCCGGGATGTCGTCGCCCAGCAGCGGGTACGCAAAAAGCAAACCCAGAGCGACGATATGCATCTGCCAAGCATCTCGTCGCAGTTGTATGGGGTGTCTGTGCCCAATCAGCAGACGCCCACTCCAGGTCAGAGTGAGGATGCGCCGAGACTCCATCAGGTCCCGATCCACATTTATCCTGGAATGCAGACCCTCCCACATAGCGATCCGTCAGGGGGTTTGCAGTCGCGTCAGCAGCAGCCTGGTGCGCCTGATTTGTCGGTACATCTCACGCCAATCCAAGTAAGCGCATCGATGAGGTTAAGCATGTATTTCCACTAATTTACTTTGACAGGACTACCAAGCAGCCGGAGCCGGCCGAGACCTGTACACGTTAGACGGCCAATCAAAGCCACCGAGCCTCTCAAACGTTTTCGACCTCTCCGGCCTCGATGCTACTCGTGTTCCAAGCCTCTATTCGGAAGAGAGCGGTGCGGATGAACAAATCGACTTCGACGCGCTCTGGGCATGGCAGAGCAACACTCCCGCCGTGGGATCGCCAAGAAACACAGGTGACGCTGCTGTAAACGGGGCGCTGCCAACGCAGGGAATAGGCGACAACTCAGTTCCGTTGTTTGGAGTGACTTCGCATGACGGAGATTGAGCGGTCGGATCCCGAAGGCTTGTCGTACGGCGTGTGAGCGCGGTTTGTGTGAAGATTCTCTCTCTCCAGTGCTGATGCTGTACTCTCGTTGGGGCATGTCAGCCTGCAATAATAAAACAATCAATAGACGTTCCAGTAAGTCCACCATGCCCATGAACGCGTCGGCAACTAAGCAATAAGGGGCCCCCGTACGGGGTGTTCAGTACCCGTGGTGGGTTTGTGTGAGATGCGTGATAGGCAAAGAGATGTGATGGATCTAATGGGATAATACAAGGAGCTGGCAAGGGAATACAAAGGGCGCTAATCGATGTACTTGTATGGGCGCACTAGGAGTTTTGAGCTCAGCAACGCCTGTGGGATTTTCTGAATTCAGCGCATATCAAACGTATGTAAATCTACTGGACCCATGAAATATGCTGTCTTGCGTGACTTACAGGGCGAATGGTACGAAAATGTTTAGTCATGCTGAGGAAGGAACTTTCCGACAGCGTCGTTGCTTCGGCCTCCGTCAGCATCGAGTCTTGTCACGTCTCACATCGAGCTGCATTCCTTCTCCACACATCAGCGCCACTGACCAAACCTGTCACTTGGGGACAGCTCTCTGTAGTGTGACAATCCCTTGATATCCCCACAGTAAACTGCAAGCCGACTGCAGCCCATGATTCGCCTTGATGCACCGGTTCATTTTAAACCTCTACCTCGTGGCCACTACCCCTTCGACTTTACAACAAAACGGGCCGCAACTCCACCAAAATGCGCGGACCGTGAGGTGCGGTCAGTTATGGCGTGTTCGCGATGGTTACCCCAGACCGGGGTCGCAACCTGTTTCGAGCGCGGAGTGACCGTCTCCGCATGGGAAGCGAGGGCAAAGAAGGTTAGCTCCTACCCCACACAAATGGAACTGCGAAGGGATCGTCCCATGATTTGACCCTCAGCCGGCAAGTTGAGGTTTGAAAATGGTTGGAAGGCGACAGGTATGCCTCCTGTGAATGCTTCCATCAAAGTAAGCTTTAGAGATTATATTAATACGGTGTCAGAGAGGCATACTTGGATGCTCGCGACCATGTATCTGTCTCGCCGCATCGCTAAATTCCGATGGAAGCAAACCCAGCTTACACCTGCATCTGAACCGCATGCCGAGACCGTAGGATGGTCAAAGTATTCGCGGAAAAACTCCCACCACCAAGGTCACCCATCGCACAACCTTCCAAGCCAAGCCTGGGCAACGCTCTGTCGCACGGCTCGAGTTATGCCTAGTATGCCTCCTCGCGATATTGTAGTACCGAGTATATAGACCATGCCTTGCGCTTCTTCGATCAGCATCGGAGTCGGTCCTGTCTTGGACAGATCGCGGAAAACTATACAGCGACAACGGCGTCTTCTTCCCCATCATGGCGCCCACGGTGATTGAAGAAGGTATCATCCAGCAGTTGATCAGGACTGACAAGGTGCGATGGTGGAACAAGCCCAACCTACGGTCGCTGTACCTCCTGCTGGTGCCGTTCTGTCTTTTCATCGAGTCGACGTCTGGTTTTGATTCGTCAATGATGAACGGTATGCAGGCCCTGGAATACTGGAAAGCCTACTTCAACCATCCCAAGGGCGGTCAGCTCGGCTTGCTCGTCGCTTGTTATAACTTGGGCGCCTTGACATCGATCCCGTTCGTTTCTATCGTTTCAGATCACGTCGGCAGAAGATGGAGTATCATCTTCGGGTCAGTCATCATGATCATCGGCTCCATCATGCAGGGGCTGTCTCGCAACCGTAAGTGAGTTTCTCGACGTCTGGCTTCAGACAGTAACAGCTTGCAGTCGCCATGTTCGTCTTCTCTCGCATCTTCCTTGGTCACGGGATCGTTTATGCCATCATTGCAGGTGCCGCTCTCCTTGGCGAGCTGGGCCACCCGAAAGAACGAGCCTTCCTAGGGTCAATGTTTAACGCCTTTTATGGAGTAGGCGCGGTTCTCGGCGCCGGCATTGTTGTCCGCACGATCAACATCCAGAACGACTGGTCGTGGCGTCTTCCGTCCATGCTGCAAGCGCTTCCATCCCTTATCCAGATTGGTTTTGCGTTCACGGTGCCGGAAAGTCCGCGCTGGCTCGTGTCCAAAGATCGCTCCGAGGAGGCGCTCCAGATCTTGATCAAGTTCCACGCGGAAGGCGACGCCTCGAACGAGCTGCCGCATATTGAACTCGCTGAAATTCGAAAGGCCCTGGAGATTGAAAACGAGTCCCGCAAGCGCGGATGGGTCGAGCTGTTCCAGACTCCTGGTATGCGAAGGCGATCCCTGGTCTCCGGTGCTCTGGGCCTCTTTGTGCAATTCTCTGGTAACAGTTTGATTTCCCAATATCTGGTTCCTATCCTCGAAATGATCGGCATCAACGATAGGCAGCAGCAGGTGCGCTACAACGTCGGCAAGGAGGCATGGGGTCTGCTCGTGGGTGTTGTGCTCGCCTCCATCACGCCCAGGTTCCCACGTAGGCGCATGTACCTGCTTTGCGCGTCTTGTCTGTTGCTATGCTACACCGGATGGACTGTAGCACAGGCTCGCAACCGCATCACTGGATCAGTCGAGTCTGGATACGCCGTCTTGGTGTTCATATTCCTGTACAGTCCGGCGTATTGCCTGGGTTACAATGCGCTCACGTACGTGTACATGGTCGAGATCTTCCCGTACTATGTGCGTACCAAAGGCTTGAGTTGGTTCCAGTTCTGGAGCAGGTCTGCGGTTATGTTCAGTAAGAATCCCGCGTGCACATGCATGGCCACATTTTAACAAGTCACAGGCAGCTTCGTCAACCCGATCGGTCTGGCAGACATTGGCTGGAAGTATCTGCTGGTGTACGTGTGCTGGCTCTGCTTCGAAGTCGTGTTCATCTATTTCTTCTTCCCGGAGACGTTTGGCAAGACACTGGAAGAATTGACGTTCTTGTTCGACGACGAGACAGAGAACAAGGAGGCGCTTGCGGCTTCGGCACAGAAAGTGCTGCAAGATCCGACGGTCACCGAGCTTCACGAGTCGGCCGAGAAGAAGGCTTAGTTGGGTGAGCCAGTGGTTTGGACACGGCGTGGGAGCTGGGTAGATGCAGCATCGGCGACGTGTCGAGGAGGCTTGGGCAGAGAGTCTCGGGCGTATATAGCTACAGTCACGACGGTAGGAGGGCAGAGCATTACGAACAATGTGACGATTCGATTGCTATTCTCGTTGCTGGTCCAATCGCATAAATGCCCTTTGACGCCGAATTTCTATTGGGCACCGCCTCCAAGCGCCTTCCCGTTGCAACGACAGGCTCGCCGGCTAAAATGCAAACCGAACGCCTCCCCCGCTAGCGCTCGACCCACCTGCGACACCCCGAGGTTCACCTCTTGGTAACAACAATCGCGCACTTTGTCGTGCACATCCCAGGGCCCACAGTCTCTCGTATTCCGCACCTCGCGCAAAGCCCCCGCCTGTGTCCTACCACGAAGAGAGACATACCCCGCGACTATACAATGGTGTCCACGCGCAACCACCCCACCACGTTCCCGCCGCCCGAGGCCTCGCCCACAAAGTCGCCGCGCAAGTCGCGCACCTCGACGCCGGCGCCCACGGCCTCCGCTTCGTCGCCCAGTCGCGCGGGCCCGAGTGCAGTCGTGGGAAGAAGCGTGCAGGAGCGCGTGGCGGAGACGGCGCAGAACGGGTTCACGGCCATCAGTGGCGATGGGGGGAGGGGGAAGGGCGCATGGAGCCACACCGCGAGCAATGTGACGCTGGCGTGGATCGCCGTGTCGATCCCACTTGTCATCTGTACGTCTCAATCCCCTTTTGCTGCTCGGAGACCGGGTTCAATGGAAACGATGCGTGCTGATACACACCAGGGGACTCCCTCTACATCCTCCTCCGCCCGCACACCATGGCCGGCGGCTTCCTCCAATGGCCCTTCTGGAAACCCTACGAGATCTACGCCGCCATCGATTACGTCTACGGGCAGCCAGGCTGGGACCTAAAAGACGGCTTTGGCGGCGGGCAGGGCGCCGTCAATGTCATTGAAACTATCCTTTACGGGCTGTACATCATGATAGTGTACAACCACGGCGTCAAGGCCGCGGGCGGAAGCGGCGTGCAGATTGGGAGTGGGGTCAAGGGCTGGGCGAGCGGTGGTGTGAGGGTCAGGGGGATTAAGGGGAATACCGCGCTTATCATAGGGTTTACGGCGAGTGTGATGACCTTGAGCAAGACGATACTGTACTGTGAGTTACCCTTTTGATAATAATTCAAAGGTGCAATACTGACGAGATAGACTTGGTCGAGTACTACACCGGGTTCAAGAACACGGCGCACAACGACTGGTTCACGCTGTTTCTGTTCTACGGCGTTATGAAGTAAGTATCGCCTGTTGGACATTGTTGTGAGGGCATTGCTGACACGCGATAGCGGCCTCTGGGTCATTTTCCCAGCGTACATGACCGTAACCTTTGGCTCGGACATCCTCGCGGGCTTGGACGCCGCGGTACAGGATGAGAAGAAGCAAAACTGAAGCATAAACCAACGCCAGACATCTTGCCATCTAATCAATCTCTTTCCCTTCGTCCTTTTCCCCAACTCTAAACTCCAATCCTCTCATACTTTATCAAGTCAAGCCCAGTTCCTCTTCACTTCCTTCGCCCACAGCATCCCCACTTCCATCTCCCTCCCATATTCTCATCTCTCGGTCCAGGTAATTCGTAAATCGCGCGCGGCAGTCCCCCCGGCAACAGCTCAATCTCACTCTCTTCCTCCCCAGGCATCGACATATTTCGCAGTGGGCTCGGTCAATGCACACCGTTGGCGTGGCTGAAGGTCCTTGAGGATGGACTTAGCAGCCGTTCCCTGCTCGGATTGGAAGCGACGCGGAGGACCGGGCGTGCTGATGCAATGTCGTCCGATGGTGAAATGGGCATCGGTACTAGAGTAGTCCTGGGTAGACTTGGTACCGGATACGGTGAATCGCTCATCGCTCTACGCGGGAATGAGGGTGCGCTTGCAGGCGTCAGTGTCGGGGGCTGCGCAGCCTGGCTCTCGGATGTCGTGGCAGGACTTGATGTCTCCTCCTTCGACTGGTAGTACCGCTCTGGTTTGGGGTTGTCCTGGCTAGGTGCAGCTGCCGGCGCACTCGTCACGCCACGAGTCGAGCGATTCCGGACTGAACTCGCGGCCAGTGTGCCGCTCTCGCGGCGCTGGATCGCAGATGGTGTAGTGTCGTCCCAGTCGTCGGGCAGGAGGGTAGCGGACAATCGCTGGCAGTTGTTGATGGAGTCTCTCAGCATTACGGGTGGGGCGGTCGAGGGGCGGCCGGACATGGCGGGTGACGGGATATTTTTTGGTGGTGTGGAAATGGACGTTTGAACGGCTGGACGGTGGTGGTCGCTCGCAATTGGGGTGGTGGACGCGCGGATGGCTGTGTTCACCTTGAGCGTTTTGCTCGGGACTGCTTGCAGGGCCGAAAGCTCTCGGCGGGGACATGTAGGCACGGCGCTTGGGCAAGGTGAATGCGGAATGCCAAGAGCTGACATTGACTGCTTTCAAGTGTGCTTTGACGCATTTGATATATCTGTTCTTTCCTTTTTGAGCAGTTGAAAAAAAATTATTGCGAGATGTACTAGAGCATAGGACTCCGGAGGAGTACCTGCAGTAGAGTATCTGGTCTGAAGGGAATGAAGACATTATACCAAAGGTAGCAAATGTTTCTGTTGGCCATGTGATGTGAGCAAAGAGCTGATCAGCTGTGAACTCAACACAAATGCTAACAAGAATTTCTTGAACCTTCTAGTCTTCGACCTTCACGTTTCCTCCAGCGTCCATGCTATGCTGTGAACCCAGCCAAACTTGTTGGCCGGCCCTGGCCTCAAATCCCAAACTCCAATCGCTATGCCGCAACTGCAGATCCGACGTACTCAATCGCACTTCAACCCTATCCCAGATCCCTCCATCCTCGTCATCACATGACGACACACCTGCACATTCCCCCCTTTCCCCTTTCATTCCCCTTCTGGGAATTCTCCTCAGCCCTCTTCCCCTCACTCACCATCCTCCTCCGCTCCGCCAGCTCCTGCACCCCCATCGCACCCTTGAACGGCCCCTCATCCGCAATTCCCCTCTTTCTCTCCATCTCGTCCCGCCCCGGCGTCGAGAACGTGCTCGCCACGCTGCGCGCCGAGCCATGCCGCGGCAGCTGCGGTTTCTGCGGCGACGTTGCCGCCGTGAGCGGGCGCGAAGGGGATGGCACGTCCGGGCCGACACACTGGGGTTGCTTCTTCCACAGTGGCTGGGGCGGAGTGGTCGGAAGGGGTGATATTGAGTCGGGCTCGTGCTCGTAGTACGTCCTTCCGTGCGTGAAGTAGTCGTTCTCGCGCCGGGGAGCGGGTCTCGTGGGATCGAGAGCGATAGCCGCTGCGTGCTGCGAGACGGGCGAGTGAGCCTGGCTCTGGCTCTGGACATGCGGCGCAAACGGGTCCTCGGTCGGAAAGAGCGTGAACTCGCGCAGCCGCGCTCTCTCATCCTCTGGTCCTGGCACCGGTCCTGGCACTGGAGGTTGCACCCGCGTGGGAGCTGCTGGCATCGCGAGACGTGCGCACGCAGCGTGGCTCTCGCTTGCCGCTGCGACGACCTGCGCGCCTGGAGTCGCGAGGCTGGAAGACAGCAGCGTGCGGTGCTGGCGCGGAGCGCCCAGCTTGGGGGGTGAAAACCGGCCGGCCTTTCTACGCTTGAGGTGGCCCACGGCTTTGCTGCGTCCAGGTGCTGGGACGGGGATGCGCGAGGGTGTTATGCGTCGGCTGCGATTTGGACTTGGACGATGGTCACTAGGTGAATTCACGGAGCGCGTGCGGGACACGTGGCCTTGGGCGTCGTCGTCATGCTCGGCTTGTTGTACTTGCAGTGTGCAGTTAGCTTCGGGACATGTGCAGTGCTGTTATGCATCTGAAGTGGTGGTTATGCGTTCGATGTAGGTCGTTCGCGCAACTGCCTAATCGGGCGTATCGCGGGGTACACTCGGTCTTGGACTTACTACCTGACACCAGCGTTCCGTCTTCTACACTTCGAAGTCGGCGATGGTTTAGGGACTGCGTGCGTGTGTGGTGGCAGGGCGTCGAATGCGTGGCGTAGCCTTGGGAGAGGGCCTCGGAGAGGGAGTCGGGCGACGGAGTTACGCGCCGGATAGTAGAACTCATGCTGTATGAGCTTACTGGACGCTTTGGCGAGTGCGAGGGTGTGTATGGTCCGAGGTGTTTTATCATAGCTTGGATGCTCTGGCTTGTTGCGACCAGTCGACGAGTGGGAGGCAGATTGGGATGCTGTCTTTGGTCAGGTCCGCACTTGGAGTGCTTAATTTGCAGGTGCTAAAAGCTCGTGTCAGAAGTATTTTGGGGCAGGAAAGACTTTGAAAGGCGCAGAAGCTGAACGGTGGTTGGGCTGCCAGTGAAGATAGAGCCGTTGAGTGCCCCGGCCCGTTGCTATGGCAAGTCAAGTTTTTTAACCTCACTCCGTAAAGCTGAACGGGCGTCACCATCAGCAACTGCTACAACGTGGCAGAGTGCATGTTAAGAATTCAAATGTGCGCGAAACGGCATCGTTCAGTGCCTGTGTACGATTGCGGGCGGGCATTGACACATCAACTAAATTGTACAATTTCAACCTACCGGTAACTTGAAAACATATCTGATACAGATCCAGCAAGCTTTTTCTCACTAAATGTCGCTCCCTGGCCACTACCTCTGGTAGCTTCACTCGACCTGGCCCCCGCTGAATACATCGTTCCATTCCATAACTCGTTTGTTAGCTCTTCGACGGGTGCTTTTATCTGCAGTATTGTAGCCAGATATGTATCTGCAAATGTTGTCCTGGGATCGATTATATTTCCTTCCGCGATGGCTGCGCTGATGGACGCCCTGGGCTGGCGCGCTGATGGGAACGTATATGGGAATGTGCTCGGGCTCTCTATGCCTACGAGATTTTAGAAGGCACATCTTTGGTAGTTTCTGTCCGAGGCGAATATATTTCTGAGTAACGGTAATCGATAATAGCGGCTCTGAAGGACAGGAGCAGTGTGCAAATAGGGGTGAGAGGTCAGAACGATGTAGGTGGAATCACACAAATTTTCATACGTAGGCGCATGCGCTGGCGTGGCAGTGATGCTATCTAGCTACTGTGATGGAGTGATGTGGCGCTATTCATTCCTTTTACGGTGTCACTTCATCGAACGTTAGTATGGCCAACGAACAGGACTTTAATTGCAGACATTGGAAGAACGATAGATAAGAAGTTGGACCAATCCATTCTCAATTCGCATAAGGTTTATAGTAAGCTCCTGAGAGACACACTAGCATGTGCAATGACGCTGTGTATCCCCAGAAGATTAAGCACTGACTGTGTCGCTGCAGATAGCAGCGGTGAGAAAACCCTTGAGGTAGCATGTCCCCAGATCATCAAAATTCCGGTTGCGTTTCCAGCTTACGGCAGCACAATCCAACCCGCAGCGGGTGATGCAGCTCGAGAAGGGCTCATTGCGTGTCGCGTTTCCGCTATCGCCGCCGTAGAAGTCGCTGTTACACCGGACAGTGAACTTTCTATAGGTGGTTCCAACTTCGTAGGTGCAGTTGTCGTATCTTGCGAGTGTAAGGAGTAGCATAGACGAATGGATGTTGAAGTAACGTCTACCTCGTCTTGGAAGCACTGCACAAAGTCATGGAACATTTCCGTGCTGTTTGAGCAGCGATCGGTTTAGAAGTGGCGTTCTGCGATGCGGTAATCACCGATTGTCTTAGAACTATCAACGCGGTGGTCAAGCAAATTGAGGGTTCAAAGACTACTTCGGTGTTTCGGTCACACGGATTGTTCAGAGCAGTAGCCCCGATGGCTCAGTTCTCCCACTCGCGGCGCGGTAAACGCAGAGCCATTCAGCATCGCCCCTACCATGAGTAGGGAAACGTTCAACATCAAGTACCGATCAGATGCACCGTGGTGTGGAGAGGCAGAAAAGAAATAGCATTTGCGGTTGTGATGTGAGATGTGGGTAAATGGAAGACAGGGCATTCTGAACATCCTCTCGCTTCTGAGCGTTCGACATACACTGGTGTCAATGATGCGGTTTTGCTCACGGTGAACAGTGTCCAGAGTTCGAGGGTTGATTATACCTTCTGCGAGGATCGCCCTCCAGGTCAGTCTTCCCCTTACCATGGCAGCGGAAATGTCGACCCCACTGCCCGCTGTCTTCCACACACTACAACAAACAACGCAATACTAACGGCGGGCTGAGCCCACTCTGTAGTACTCTTCAAATTTCCACAACTTGAAACTCTATAACCAAAACCTGAAACTCTATAACCGAACTCCAGTCACGATTCATGGAGCACACGTTCTTTGGCTTCAATATATTACTTCTATTCTTGACGCTGTCGACGCTATTGACGTTAGTACACTCATGCAGGCTCCTCAACATTCCAGCCCACACTAGATCGTGCATTAGAACCAACTAACGCTAGTGAAAGCCACACTACTGCAGGTACCGAAACTGCCGGCCACGAGCTAGAGCAGGCTTGTGATCTGCAACCTACCTCGACCGATAAACTTACATCACGATGCAGCAACTAGCCTCCTCCTTTTCAACCGTCCTCTTCTGCAGCTTCTTTAGGCCGAGGTACTTGGGCTCAACTGGCGGGGGCTGAGGCAGCGTTGCGCGGAGATTGACGGTTTGCTTGACTTGCAGCGCCATCATGTCCGCTCTGAACTGAGCATCCCGCTTTGAAGCCCGTTCCTGCGGGAAGAGCGAGTACGTTGGTTGTGGACGTCGATATGGAGCAAGCGGAGGACCTCCCTGGCGCAGTTGCGATGGATCGCGGAGGTTGACCGTCTGACGAGGGCGGTCTGCAATCGCCTCCACTCTAAAGTCATTGCCCTGCTGTGTTTGCGCTTCATGTTGCGTATGAGGGCGCAGATGCGAACGCGAAAAGTTCTTTGACGCATGCGCGCTCATGTTGGGATTACGCGTCATCTCGTTTGCTCAACTGTTTCTACGAGGTTACCTCAAAGATTGCTGAGCAGCTTTTATGCACATGATCGACTGGACTGGATGCATTGTTAAGAGCATTGTCTACCGTACAGTGAGAAAAGGCCATGTTTTCTTTTTGGAACACCGCGAAGGCAGGTACTGAACAAAGACCTTTTGTAGACTTTCACATGACTGCACACTTGCCACCCAGTTTTTCGCGCTCTTCGTAGTAGATTATGTTCCTTGTATGATTCCGTGGCGCTGGTGGTATTAGGTTGTAATCACGGGCATCAGAGCGGGAGTCTCTAGAATCCCCACCATGTCCGCAATCATCGCGTTGGTCAATTGAGAGAGGCTTCTTTTTTTTTTCTTTTTTCTGATGAAGACACGTCGGCAGACAAATGTGTTTGGAGTTCTCAAGGCCGGGCTTCGTGAAGATGATGCTCAACGAATACGATTGTGCAGCTCGAAGAAAAGTATATCTGATTTGAGTTTGTCAACAGTGTGAACATGGCCGATATAATTAGTTGGCGTTTGGTCGCACAGTCACCCTCAGTTTTCACGCAATAGTCATCGCACTGCTGTCAGGACGATATGATCCCGGAAACTTGTGGCTCACACAAACAAAAGAGCTCGCTGTAGCTGTCCGTCACATCGTAAAAGCCCGAAACTTCGAAACGACCCCAAGTTACACATAACAACTTAGTTTCTTCTTCTTTGTCGTGTCGGGACTCCAACTGCTCTCGACCGTGGTTGGCTGTCCTTCGGATTTCGGCTCCTCGAACACCGGGGATATTCGACCCATGCAAGACTCACGATAACGGATGTTTAAGAGAGCAGAGTTCCTCTTGGACCCCGGCTGCTTCGCGTACATTTCCGAATCCTGCATTTCTGGCAAAGGTTTCTTGGGAATTGGTGGTAACGGCTTGTTCAGATTATCGTTATCGGGATTATGACAAGGCTCTTCAGGAATTAAGCTGAGTGTGGGTCGGCGTTCGCATCTGAGGCTGCGCCTGGGGCCTGAGGGCCTGTTCACGGAGGAAAGGCTTTAAGGAACGGCGACTTGAAGGAAGGCGATATGCTACACATAGCAATGTGCGCTTTGTCACGAGTACAACAAAATTAAACAAAGGTTGAAACATGAGTAAAGGCGAGACAATGAGACGTGTAAGATTGCGCATTGTCTGAAGGGTCTCATACAAGAGTCGGTTCAGCGAATCCTAACATTTGGCGCAGATGACCAACGTGAATCTGCTCAGTGACTGAACGGAGCTTGCCATGAATTGAATCAACGTTGTCTTAGTGAATTAAGAGTGCGTATCACGGATTCGCTACTGCTTGGCCGGCTTTTGCATTTGGGTTTAAATTCACAAACATAGCAGGCATTATGGAAGCTGCACACAGCATAGTTTGGGGTCAGCTCTGCTCTCTTCAGTGTGCCAAGCTTACTCACACATGATCATGGACACCTGAAAAAGTGTCATGTTCAGACTCTAGACACTCACAGTAGCTTGAGTAACCCATTCTTAACGGCTGAAACTCCGGAACGCGACGAGGAAGCTGAGATGCGGCCTTCGAGCTCCCCCGAGGCATGCGTATACTACATCCGAGTCTGGAAAAGAATCTTGGATTTTTGAACTTCACTTTAGATTCCTAAAGTCACTTAACCTATGACACTTTGGGTTCGCTTCGAGCTTAATATTCGACCACATTTCTCGGCGAATCTCACAGGAGAAGATTGCTACAGAAGCCTCGGTGTGACGATTTTAGGACCGTAGGTATCGTGCAATGGAAAATATTGAAGGTTCACTGAAGTTGTATTACTGTGATTCTAACTAAATTATATAGCCATAGTGAGGCGATCGTCAGGGGAGTTGGCTTATTCAGAGTTTCCTGATTTAGCAGCTGAATTATAACGATTGTCGCGATCCTCAGAAGTCCATGAGAACTCGGTCCGAATAGGATCGATAGTAACGTAGATTGAACTGCAACACTCGGTCTTCGCTCGTGTTTGTTTCTCCTGTCTACAACGTAAAGTACACTAGATTCCAAATGTTCGCGCGGAGCGATTCTCTGACAACTCCAGCCCAGGAGCACCCAGAGACGCTGTATCCAATGCCGTAACACCGTAACGCCTTCCATTATTCCCCAATCCAGTATGTATCGTACAATAGTAGAATCAGCCGGTGTCCATATGAGTGTCTTGTGTGTGCGCAGCAGCGAATGCGGTGTAGGTCTGTAAGAGGTCGGCAGGTTCGGAAAAGAAGTCGCAGGGAGGTAGAGTCGCAACAGCCAAAAGGTTTATATCCAAAAGAAACGCCAATGCGATGCAGCCGCCAACGCCAATCAAGAAATTGAGGACAAGTCCGGGTATCTAAGTCGCAAATCTTTTTCACCAGCCCTCATCCTTTTGGTTCTTGCCCTCGTCGTTCTTCAGCGCCTGCTTTTCTTCGTTGGTCAGCTCGATCATCTCGGCGCCTTGCAGTCGGTAGTTGCCCTTAGCATTGACTACGTGGTCTCCGCCGGATTTGTGATAGAGTTGGTGCAATCTCGGTACAAAGTACTGCATGACTTGGTCGCTGAGCGCTTTCGAGACAAGGCCCTTATTCACCCAGTAGTGGCGCACAAAGGTTCCTTTGCAGCCACCGCGATTCTCGGCTTCGGGCGCGCCATTCGCCTCTACGCAGGGCAGTACTTTCACGTCCTCGGGGCGGTCGAAGTCGTAGCGGACGTAGTTGCCGAACGCGGCCTGCTCGTGAAACATCTCGAGCTTCCACTTCGCGCAGCCCTGGTAGCGTCCTTCATCAGGGCACTCGGCCCACACTTTGAACATCTCCTGCGTGCGTTCGCTCTGCTGCGCAATGACGAAGCCGGTGTTGAGGTAGCGATTGCCTCGTGAGTCGTAGTTCTGCGGCTCGTCGGGGTCGAGCGACATCATGATGAGGGTCTCCTTGGTCAGGTTCCAGTAGTTGAGTAGCCACTCGAGCGGAAGGTGCGGAAAGTGGAGCATAACGTCCGAGTCCATGAAAAGAATGTAGTCGTGAGTCTTTAGGGCCTCCTTCATCACAGGTACCTTGACCCAGGTACCCCAGCGGTCCTCGTAGTCGGGAGCGCGTACGAACTTGTAGTCGTAACCGTGGATCATGGCATAGGTATAGTGGCTCAGCATGCCGGCTGATAAGGCTCGAATGCCTTCCCCGCCCTTCCACACAAGCTCATCATCCATGAGCTGGCCCGGCTTATTCAAAGGCCGGCTATCAATGTCCAGAACCAAGACCTTCTTCCCCAATTTTTGCTTGAAGCGCGGTTCGCCGTGCAGGCGGTACACCTGTCCTTCGTCGTCGGTAAAATTTGCGGCGGCGACCGGGTGTAATATCGGCTCGTAGAGGGCTTTGATAACGGCAGCCATGGACGTATCGCCATCGGGGATGGATACATTGTGCTGGTAAGGGTACCTGGTGCGTAGTTAGGTTCTGAGCTATTCAGGACATAGAGCTATATAAAACGTACTGCGAGCCCTTATACGAAGGTATCGCACTTGGTTCAAGTGCGATATAGACGAAGGCGCACAGCATCGGGATCAAGGCGATCAGAAGGATGCGTCGCCATCGCGCATGAGGCCCGGAGGCTATGTTGGCTAGCGAGGTGTAGGCATAGTTGGTGTTCGCAGACATGGCATGCGTAAAGGAATGGTGGCGCGGATCCGAGGGCTGGGTAGCGGTTCCTAGGGGACGGATGAGGTCGGCTTCTGTGTCGTTCGGCCAGATGTGAACGTGGCTTGGGGAATGCCCTGGCTGCGCGGAATGCCCTGGCTGCGCGGAATGCCCTGGCTGCGCGGAAGGAGCTGCGGACGAAGGCGGAACGCGCAATCAGAAACCCAACAACAAAATAGGTAGCAGTAGAAGAGAAACAACACAAGAAGAGAACGAGCGAGGTGTAGATCTGGAGAATCAGCAGTTGAGTATGGCGGAGCCGCGTCGGCAGGCTCAGCTAAGCTCAAGGCGCGTCGGAGGGCGCTCGCTCAGACGCCCCGGCGACTAGCCTTGAGCCACAGCCGCACCGCGCAACGGTCCCCGCATGCAAATGACCCTTTGCGGCAGATCGCATACCGCATTGGACAGCATCGCGCAACATAGGGAGATTGGTGATGGACACTTTGTGTTTGTGTGCGATATAAAGGCAATAACATGGGGTCCAGTGCCCTGCACATGCGATATGCGGCAGTTGAATCTCACAATTAAGCGAGCGATCCTGCGCCATCGAATCCTTCGTTTTCGTCCGGTTGCTGCGACCAGGGGGTTACGTCAGGCACTGCGCGGCCCAGTCGTTTTCGTGCATCTGCTATCACCGTACACGCTGCTCCACCTTGTGGTCATCGCTGTCAACCTTGTAGTTTCAGAGACGTCGCTGATCCGGGTAGGTGATGCAGGGTCAACCGCTGGTTACTTCCGTCTGTCTGGTACGTGGCACCTAGTGTTGTCACAAGTCATTGGGGACCAACAGCTGTCACTTCACATGTGTGGACGTGCGAATGTGCCGGTAATGCCGCTTCGCTCGAGGCTGCGCTTAAGGCTGAATTCGCTGCAGGCTCAGTTTGTGATTCCCCAGGAAGCGTAATATTTTTCTCAATCCCAGTAGTAATTTGGTTGCCAGACCTTACAGTAAGCGCAACAATTCGTAATCCTTCGTGATCCCCGGACTCTCCTGCGCGCAGCTTTCGATCAATGCCATCATGATGCGCACCCATTCCTCCCATCCTTCAGGTAGTGTTGCTCGCAAGTCAGGATTTGGCGATCGCGCAACTGCAGTAAAAAGCAGAATCTGTCCAAAACACTGAGAACACCAACCAAATTTGATAGGCAAGGCAGCTTTCATTTGAACGCATAAACCCATTGTGGTTGGCCAGTACATTGCACCCTCCAATCCTTTTCGGACCTCGTCGTATTCACTACGGTTGGTGTATTCTGGAGCATGGAGAGCCTTGTATAAGAAAGGCCGTCCAATGTGGAATTTTGCTACGCGGTAGCGACTACGCAACATAGCTTTCGCAATGACATGCGCGGGGCTAGGAGAATCATCAGCATTCTCATTGTCCGTGAACTGTAGCGATGGCGGCAAGTTCGAGCGCCACTGTTCAAGCTGATGATGCATCTCAGCAGTCAGGTTCGGGCTTGGGTAACCTTCTTTCTCCGCAAAGGTATACAGATTATGTCTAGACGTCTATTAGCAATGGTAGAAGGCTCATAGCTTGGTATACGTGCCGAACACGAGTGAGAATGATGCGGTGAGCAGCTTGCGCAAGGAAGTGGAAGTTGAAGAAGGAGTCTTCCTCATCAGAAAGCAATCCTGAGATGGATGTCTTAGGCCGAGGGTAGGAAGTAAACCTTGGGATGGGTATATCTGCTTCGTAGTCCAGTAGCCCGCTCATAGGGAGACTAAGCTCTTGAGTGATGATGGTTTCGTACATGAGTGTATTCCAGAACAATCTTGAAAGCATGTCGCCCTCCCAGTCATCGAAGTCGATCGATTCCTCTCGCGACAGCACGCTTATGCAACACAAGGCTGCGCGATTGACCATCGTCCATGAATCAATCGGGCGTAGCGTCTGGGCGTAGTACAATGTACAAAGCATATAGAACTGGCCAATGGGTAGGTCATTCTGGTTCATGAGAAAGCCAATCCGTTGTCGGGCTTCGTTGAAGAACTTAAGGCCGGGTGGATCGTCTGTCACCACTTCATGCCATTCAGGTCGGACGAAGCCGGTCGTAGGTGAGGATGTGCGTGACGGCAAGGCAAAGTCTCCTTCCTCGTAGGTTCTCACTGACAGACATCCAAGCGCCAGAACTATCAGCACGAGGCACGTTTCAACATCGTATCCGAAGTTGCTTTCCAGCGCGCCCTGAAGCGTTGTGGAGAAAAATTGGAATCTATCAAGAACAGGAGTGTTACGATGAAAGACCGCAAAGTAAGCATCGGCTAGACCTTTGATGACCGATAATGGAAGTCTTGTCAGCCAGAAGTTACTACTGTACTCTGCTGGAATGTCGATATGAATAGGTAGCGGTGGTCTATGAGTCTCGATGTTTACGATGTAATCCCGGGGAAGTGCATTGCGAGCCGCAAGGAATTCTGCTGGGAGTAGATCCGCAATAGCGGGCCATGAAGCCACGCCATGCTGGCTGAAAGACAATTTGATCGCACCATGTGCCTCAGTGGCAGCGTTTGAGGCTTTGCCAGGCGTTTCAGTGGTAAGTGGGGAAGAAACGTCCAGTATTCCTCGTTCATGATGCGAGAGTGGGTAAGATAGAGCGTTTGATCCAGGGCTTGGCTGGGAGTTGGCAAACGGGGACCTGTAGTCCTGCGGAGCAGGAGGTGGTGGCGGCGGCGGCGCAGCGTTGTTGGAATTGATCGCTGTAGTAAGATCTTCGACTTTTGCCTCCAGCCGTCTGATTGCATTTATGGCAACTGTCATCGACTGATCTTTCCTGTGAACGGCTGTAAGAATACTGTATTACATGTAGGACAGGCCAAAATCTTGAATGCAATGCGCTTCACGCTGCCCGTGAGTATGGAAAGCGTCAAAGTACATGAGCACTCACAGATCTGCTCTAGGCAACATACTTGGTAGGGCGAGGTGCTTGGTATACGCATTCGATGTTCATGGTCCTACAATAACCACATTTGGGGCGATCTTCGTCACATCGTGTTTTTCGCGCTCTGCAAATGTCGCAAGCCTGATCTTGTTAGCTATACAATCTTGTGCTAAGTGTCCATACATAGTTCGATTCTCTAGAAAACGTTTATCCTGCATGGTTTACACTTACCAAAGTGGCCATGAAAGTTCGTGGCTTCTTCGTGGCCGAGCCATCTCCGTCATCTTCGCCGTGACTCGAATCAGCCCGCTGTGCACGTGCAGGCGAATGGAGACCGAATGGAGCAGACGCGTCGATGGATCGCTTGGTCATGACATATTAGTGTATTAACAGACACAGGCGGTTGCAAGGAAGCTGTCGTGAGCGATGACTGGGTTGTGATGTTGAGGCTCGCCGGCTTCGGGAGGGAAAGCGCTAACGGCGTACTAGGCGAATATGGGAATAGCGTTTTCTCGAGTCATTAACGCTCCGAGCTTTTTGATACCACATACATCACTCCTTTGCGAAGGACATTAACCTACATCACAACCAACGTTGACGTACCAAAGGAATGAAACAAAGAACCTATCAAAGCGTCTCCCTTCTGCGTAGATCGCCAGATGGAAAGCTGATGAATACATGCATGCATTCAGCCTTTCAGTGTACTGGCAACACGATTGAATAATATTCAAACAGAAGATGATCAGCCAAGGCTTTGAATCTCCCGAATCAGCTTCTCAAATTTTAATCTTCAGCAACGAAATTTATCCCAAGCTTGTGTCCAGACTATGCGAGTTAATCCGGACACTCTATTTCACACATCATAATGTAGGAGGATAGTTCCCGTGAAAGCATAGCAATTGCGGCTGGGCAGTCTTCTCAGCAAGTGTAAATGAATCATTTCTTTAAATTCTTTGAACATGTTGAATATTGGCGCCCCATCGATATTATATTTTCCGGTCGGCCGCGGCTCGTCAAAGTACGCGAAAGGCAAAGAAGGAAAAGTTGATTGCTACAGGTCTGCGTATGATGCAGATGCTTCGAATGTCATATGCCCGGATGTTTTTATTAGAGTAAGAGCAATCGAACGTAATGCCAATGTTTCATGAGCATCGATACGGAGCGTGGCTTTAGAATGGGAAGACGGGTTAATGGTACGATCCACGGGCGATGCGAGGTGGGGTATGGGGAGTGGGTCCTCGCCCCGCAGATATCTATGGGCGATCAGATCTTCGTTGAGGTTGTATGATGCATTGAGGCATGTGGCCAAAGAACCCTACGCCCGAGGAGCTGGCAGGAAGTGTGTGGCGAGATCCACGGATACTCGATTCTTCGAAGCCTCGATTTCCTCGGAATATCGAGTGATCAACTATGTCTCTCTGATCTCAGTTGATATACACTGATTGATCTCAAGCTAACTGCCGATGAAATCTGGGATTCGAGTACCGGGGCTATGTATATGTACGTCAAGCGCGAAACCAATGCGAGGCGAAAGTTACTTGTCCATGCCACTAAGGTAGTGTGTCTAGCTCGGGATAATCTACGGGAGTAAAAGAAAAAGACTGCTGGATAAAGTAGTGCTGGGAGTAAAATGACGATGCAGATCGGGTAACAAGACGCAGAGAGGGTACGAAGAAAGCGGGTACATGTTATGATCTCCTTTCCTGGCTGTATCAATTGACATGACTCGAAGGGGCCGATTATGAAAAATCGAAAAGGTTTATTGGCATGGGAATACCACACAGGGGCAATCTCAGAGTCGTTCTGTGAATTTCAGTATAGCAAAGAACGCACTGGAAGCGCGGAGGGAAATACAGCACTGGCGCTTGTCCCCTAGCATAGCAGCCTCGTGCGGGTTTTGCATTCGATGAAAGCAATGGCTCCATGAGGCAAACAAGAAGAGCGCTGCCTCACACCAGAAGGCAGCACACGGCCGTAGCCTGAAGCCGTGCTTGAACCAGAACAGCAAGACCTCAACATATGTGCGAGAAAGGAAATTTTAAAGTAAGGCCTCCCCACCAGGTGATTCCATAGCTGCGCTGCCGCCAGCTGTGGAGAAATAAATATTGCACATGGCGCTAGGTCCATCCGACGTTCCCTCCGAGATCGTATTGCGCAAATAGATCCCTGACCGCGAAGCCTGAGCGAACAGCTCAAGTGCGGGACAACGAAAGACGAAAGAAAAGTAGCGGTAAGAATTGCGACGAGGTTCTTCCCTACCGTGAGTTGACTGGACCACCCCGCATGATTGCTTGCGCATGTGCATAATTGCGCGCCTGCGTTGTAGGATAAACTGGGGATTGTGCCCTTCAAGGACCATCCCCGGTATTATTGTTTGCAGGGATATTCCGAAGCTGGAACATCCAATATTCGCGTGAGGAATTCTCCACGAAGACCGTCCTCGTCGCTATTCTTCGTGGGGCCGGATGCCATGTTCGTGATTTGTGGAATTATATCCTGGGGTGTCCTTTGTTGACAGCGCATCATTTTTATGGGGCAAGGATCTGCAAAGGAATGCACTAAGACCGCCTTGCCCATTGCCGTAGGTGGCTTTGTATTTTGCCTACACCCGATGGTGGCGACAAATGGCATGTCGACATCTATAGACACAGTTACGTCTTGCATAGGAGAGACAACCCGTGTGAAAAGGTATTGGGTGACATTGTCAAACATCCTCGGGCGCGTCCATTTACACTTCTGCGCAACCTTCTGGGCATGAGTTGTGAGCTCTCGGATGCTTCGGCAAAATCCAGGATGTCCCCGGATCGCGATCGAGGGGACAAAGAAGAAAATCGAGTGACCTAAGTCAAATTCTCAGGCGCAGTTTCTTACACATTGGCGCTTCCCTATATTAAATTGTTCCAGAAGCCCGTATTTCTAGACTCTGTGAGCGCGACGCGCATACCGTATCTGCCGTGTCACGTCGTCTTGCATGCGAGAATTCGAAGAGACCCAGTCAATCTTCTCAACCGCGTTCGTCCGTGGTACGACTCATGCATTTCCTCGCCAGACAACGTGCACCGGAAATCGGGTTACATTTGTTCAGCCTTCAGATGCAGCGGCCAACAGTTTTGACTTCGAACCGTCTCGATAATGTTGGCGATAATCGATTGAGATCGCGGGCATTTGGCGTCGGCTCAGTGGGCATTAATATCTCCCTGTGCATGCGTTGTGCACTGGGGCTCGTCTCCTCAGGTCCGGGGTCATCCGAAGATCCAATCAATTCCATACCATGCGGTCATAACGTGCATGCACTCTATTTACAATCGGGCTCGCCTTGGAGTCCGTATCCCGCAGCGCACAGTGATTGATCACGATCCACTCATCATACATGCTCCGACTTCAGATCACCACAAGAGTTTTAAATATGTGGTCGTAGTTGTTGTTTGGTTGTGCAATGAGGAACTCAGAAGTGGAGAGTCAGTACGCTCAGATGAGGTATGCGATCCTTGTGCGTGACTCCTGCACAATGCAGCTGTGATGAATGCACAGTGCGGCCCAAAGACAACTCTCGTATTCAATAGCACAGGTTCTTCGCGAGTAAAGGTTATGATACTATTGTTTCAATATTTAGAGTTGCTGCCTAACAACGTCAAGCCCCTTTCAAATCCAATAATAGCGCAGTGGTGCAACCTCCGCGAATGGTCTGGATATTACAAAGCGCATCGGGATGGCGTGAGGGCGAGTTGACAGGCATCCTCGGAACCCCTGGAAAGCACGCAACTGCTCATCGGTGCGCATAGCGGGGTGGTCCAGATCTAGTGCGAGAGTCCGTTCTAACAATCGCGGGCCATGTGGACTCGAGGCGTCTTTGCGCGGCTGCAGCCCATCGCGCAAGATAGAGTCTCCGGAGGGTACCTAACTTCCCTGATTTCACATCCTGGCATCGGTGCGAAAATCTGTGCCGCTAGTATCTGACGGCCGAGAAATACCCATGTTCGAGTACTACCCCAGCCATAGACCTGCTCAGTAAGCTCCAAAATGGTCAAAATCGTATTCTGACTCGAGTCTCTGCTTACACAAAGTATATCCAAGCGATGCGTTTCACGTTCACGGCGTTACCGTCTAGTTCGACCACGACCATATGTTGGGGATGAACGTCCATCGAAAACGTGGAATGGCTACACTAGTGAAACAAGAGTTTGGTTCCCATCGAATGGCAAATGGTACTGCCGGCCAAGCTTCCTTGGGGGCTTTTGGGCCCACAAGTTCATCCGCTACCGAGCCGCTATGGATACGAGGCTGGTCTAGCGTGATCCTCGTGTATACACCTTAGCCGACGTATGCTGCGAGCATGGAGATCACGGAAGAAGTGCACCTCAGCTCTTTTGCTACAAAGACTAGAACCTATGAACCTACCGAGAGTGGCTTCTTAGCAATGTTCTCCCGGTTGGTAACGTTGAAACAGATAATTTCGTAGACTAGAAAATGCCAGCAGTGGAGTTCCAAATCCGTGTGCAGTCTGCAGGGGTACTGCATGCAACTCGGCCCCTGCAGCGCTCGAACATTTGTCCCTCGGTGAAGCGTTCCGGTAGCCTTGCTAACAGCAATCGGGACTGGGGCTGACGAAAAGTCGCTTGCGATTCGCGACATCGTCTCAGAGGCTCCCCCTTGATGGGCTTTTACTGAATATGGCTAGAGCTGGTGGTGATATTGGTATGTTGCAGATTTAGACGGACCCGAGCCCGGTGCAAACCTTCGCCGAAGCCTATCGGCCGTTCAGACGTTGCATACCGTATACGCGCAGGGGTGACGTACGCTTGCCACGCGGAGATCACCTAGTCGTGGAAACTTGGGACGCAATCTTTGCGCGGCCTCCAGCCGAGCAAAGACGGCTTGAGACGGTTCTGAATTGTGTGAGGAGCCGCTTCTCCGTGGTCCCCGTAGATGAATGGTGAATTCGAGTCGCCACCTGAAAACTGGGTAGGCGTTCATGACGAGAACCGAGCATCCGTTGATGCGAGCGCCCCATGACGCATAGGGGCAATGGCATAGCCCGAGCCGTTGGCACGCTAGTGAAACGGTGCCGAGTTGGCGCTAACGTGCAGAGACTTTGGAAAGGTACCCCGATGGTCAGGGCGCTCTAGCGGACCGGCGAATGTGGGTATGCGCCCCAAGCAAGCTTCATAACTGGGTCCGGTGTTTGATGCCTAGAGGCTAGAGTCGACTGGAGCTGGCTTCATGCATGGCAGGTACAACGGCTCGTGTCTTAATTCCTTTTGAGCTAGTCACTGCTTCGCCGGCCCGCTCCCGGTGATTGTTCCGGGAGGCTTGCAACGAGTCGCATGGCCACGAACCCAGCTCTGCCGATCGAAAAAACGTGCCTCATCCAAGACAACTGAGCGGATGGAGGCTCAGCGGCAGTGTTTGGTACCTCCTTAGCATGAAGCTCCAGCGAACTAGTCCTTTTACCTAATTGTTTTTCGCCTGTGGTCGCAGTCTACAGAGCTGCTGCCAACTTAATGGCTCGATAGGCCTTGGCACTGAAAGAATGGATGAAGATTTGAGATCCGGAGATGCATTTCGACACCGCTCTAGCATTTCTAGTCTTCGATGACGATGTACACAGTCCACATCACCTGTAGGACTGGAGATCGGTACTTCCAGAATTACCGCTGAGGTCGTCAGAGCTCGGCATGCTGTTGACGCAATCAGTGTCAAAACTCCAACTGACTATTGCGAAAAAGCTTCCGATGAGGCTCCGCCAGCCCTATAGACGGCTAAAGCGGCCAGAACAGAACTGGCCGCTATGGTGAAATTGCTCCCATGGACCCTTCTGGGCAAAGCGCTGTGAACTCACATGTCGCCCCAGCTCGCTTCACTATCCTTGTCGGATGATGTGAGTTCGGCGACGCCACGGAAGACTAGCTCGGATCTTGCCTTCGATCTGACGCTGAAGCTGAAGCCCCAACTATTGAATTTTCTGCGGAGTGTTTTTGCCGGGAGAGGCGCCCCGATGGTAGTGGCTTGCTGGAAACATGTCGTAGGCGAGAGCCCAGATTCGCGCAAGTGTATCACCCCAAGCTCCCCTAACATATCCCTACGCTTATAGACAGCTGCTCGACCTGGTCACTGGGCAGCTTCCCGCCGCCACACATTCGTTTGCTTGATAGAAATTTACCCAAGATGACACCTCACCCCCGGCCCCCTCGCATCAACGTCCATGGAGACTACCATACTGAGAAACCGTCAGCACTGAACGCGCAACCTGGACTTGAGAACCCATTCGACAGCGTTGATGTTGTGATCCCTGCTCATCTTCTCCAGACCGCACAAGCGGTCTCTAAGCGCGACGAGGCCGACGCGCCCAATTGGCAACCCCAGAGGCAACTGACTGTCCGCGAGAACCCTCTGTTCAGACAGCTATCCGCGTCTATCCGTCGCCCACGTGATAGAGGAGGCCGTGTCCAAAGGTCATCGACAGTTCCAAGCGCAAGATCTTCGCGAGCACCCTCACCCGCCACGCGATCAAACAGCACCAAAGCCGGTCTCGCTGTGCCGTCGTCGGACGAGAACACACCACACCATGTGAGGCGACCGGAGCCAGCAAACAGAAGACGAAGCTGGAGGTTATCCTACACGCCTGGTGGTCTTGACGAAATCGCCCTTAGTCCCAGAGGATCACGAGCCGGAACACCGACGTCGGAGACTTTCCCCGTAGCCGGGCATGCCACTCATGATTTTGCAGCACAGCCTGCACGACATGTATCGAATCCATTCGGCGATAAACATGTCGACTCATCTGCCAATACTTCTCGTCGATCTTCTTTTGGTGACAACGCCAACCCGTTCCTCTCACGAAACAACTCGTCAATATCGGTCGAGCAGCACACTGTTCCGGAAGTGGCACATGTTCCCCGGGAAGCTCGCAAACGAAGTGGAACTCTTGAAACTGTTGTCAACGCTCTTGTGCCCGATTCTTTGCAGAGGAAGCTGACCAACAACACCGTCACGACTGGCGGCCTCACTCGGCACAGCAGTATGCGGAAGACCTTCGAGAAGGCAAAGCTACGGGGCGCGGAGATGCAGCGAAACAAATATGCCATGTGGGCATTCGAATACGGCATATATATCTTTCTCTTGTGTTTCATTTACTTCGTCTTGATTGGCATCCCTCTGTGGAATGGCGCTGTCTGGTGGTTGTACTGGGTGGTTGCCAACAAGTTCGTCTTTGCTGGTGGTTTCAGCATCACCCTTGGTATTGCTCTTTTGTAAGTTGCATTGCGCTCTTCTTCGTCATGTCTAACGGTCAATTAGCTACGCATTCGCTCCTCTCCTTATAATGTTCGAAGATGACCCTCCACCGATGGAGATTACCGCCGAAACGAAGATCCAGGATCAGGTCAAGGACACTGCGCTCTTGATCCCTTGTTACAAGTCTGCCAACTTAATCGCAGCCACTCTCGAAGCTGCGCTCAAGATCTTCCCGGCATCGCATATCTACGTGCTAGCGAATGGCAACAGCCCTACGCCGCTCGACAACACCGAGGAGATTTGCCGCCCGTACGGCGTCAACCACATCTGGTCGCCTGTGGGTTCCAAGATCGTCGCGCAGTTCGTCGGTTGTTATGCTGCGAAAGCCTTCAAGAACGTGTTGTTGATTGATGACGACTGTGCGTTGCCGCCCGACTTCCCTGTTGTTACCGAGCGGTTAAAGGGCAACGTCATGTGTCTCGGTTACACCATCAAAAGCGTAGGACCCAACTCGTCGAAGGGCAACTACTGTCAGCAGGCGCAGGATCTCGAGTACAAGCTCAGTGGCATTCAGCGTGATTTTGCCGGCCGCATCGGTTCAGCGACCTTTCCTCACGGTGCTATCGCGCTCTGGGATCGGGAGCTTTTAGTCAAAACATTCCACGAGCACCCCGGTTTCAGCGTATCGGAGGATTGGTTCTTCGGTCATGTGGCTCGCAAACTTGGTTCCAGGATTAAGATGTGCTCGCAGGTCTTTGTCGAAACCGAGACTCCTACAGCGGTGTTCTTCTCTGGCGGTGGCTCACGTGGTGGATTCGGCGAGATGACCATTTTCAGCCAACGGTTCAAACGCTGGAACTTTTTCTTTGTTAACGGCATGTGGTTCAACCTGGCCTACATCTTCGGCAGCTGGAAACTCGGCTGGTGGGAGATTGGCGCCAAAATCTTTGTTTTCCAAGAGGTAAGTTCGCTGGCAGCCTTGTACATGCGAACTGAAGGCTAACTTGTCCTAGGTGTATGAGACGCTTCTGTACCTGATGACTCCATTCATTCTTCCTATTTCTTTTTATGTTAGACCTTCGTTTTGTGGTATACTTCTTGCAGCCACTGTCGTTATGTATCTTGTCAACACCATTATTTTCAACGAAGTTCATCTGCGTCGCAAGGGGGAGCGCATTGGCTGGTTCTGCGTTTACGTCTACTATCTTCCGTACAAGATCGTCCTGACGGGCATCAATGTCGCGAGTTGCTATTGGTGAGTCTGCCGTATCATCTACCTAGGTCGACTAGTTAACATTGCGCCAGGTCACTTTACAAGTACGCTCGTTACTTCGCCAGGAGACATCCCAGGGTGGTTGAAGACGAGAAGGCAGTTGAGGTTGTTGTCAGGCTCGAGGAGAGTGCATACGCTGCGGAAGCTGGAGGCCTTGGTCGAAGTCTCACCGTCCGCAAGGTCGCAGAGGTACCTGTTGGCCGATGCTCAATGGAGAGCGAGAGCACTGCCGTGAATGCAACAAGGTCCAACACGCCTCAAATTGGATTGACGCTGCATTCCGATACTGCTCACTACTACGAGCCATATTACCATCAAGACGAGTTCGATATGGCTGGGTCTGGTGCCAGCACTCCCGCCAGGGGTTTGATGAATGGTCATGCTGCAGTTGACTTTGCCAACGACAGCCAAGCACCCACGCCGCAGAACCGCTCGTATGCAACGAGTATGGCAAGCTACGATGGGTGGGACAGCAGAGTGAGCGAGACCAGGTGGCTTTGAGGAGCTTTCGCCCGGAGTTTGTAGGACAAAAAGCTGTAATCCTTAATGCATATACCCAGAAGCCATATAGATTACGTACACCTTCAAGATATGTCTTTGGAGTGAAAGCCAAATCGCGATGCAGACTGTTGCCGGTCGATCGTGGTAATGAGGTGCGGAGCGCGTCACTTATGAAGTCCTCACAAGCTTCGTTATCGGCTTATCGCGCCATTCCAAAAGCGTATGTCCCGTGACGTTATCTTCGCTAGGCACCCGGTAGGCTGGGTGCTATCTCAGTAGGCTTACAAGACAATATTCGCCAAGATAGGCGTGCAGAATTGATATTGAATATCGATATCCTTGTCTAATTACACGCTCCAGGATCTGTATCTACCTATGTAGGTAGATACCATCAGTGCCAGACCTATGGTATCATAGGTAAGTAACCCGCTTGAGGTCCTGTTTCCACTACCATATGTAGTTAACCATGGGCTGCATTGCAAATTGGTACGAGAACAAGCCATGGTGGAATGAATGCGCAGAATAATCTATTCATGGAAAGTCCGACACGATTGGTGAGGGAATAATGGTGAAGTCTTGACATGGCAGTGTCGAATCCATCCCAATGAACTGTTCTCCTAGCTTAGCCCTGAAACCATCACCAAAGCGCGCAAAATAGTTGTTGGGCTAATGAAACCCGGTGAGTTAGCTCGGGGGTAGAATCACGCGCTACTTCTGGATGTTGGTCGTCGGTAGCGATATCAGAGCCACGTCCTCGGGTGCTTCTAGGGAGGTACGCTAAATGCGGGTAGAGGTCATTGTAAGTCTAAGCATGCCTGCGTAGTAATAAATATCGTTCTATCCTCAAGGTCTTATTACATCACTAGGTGATTTTCAGCAGGGGATCCTGACAAGCAACAGGGGTTATTCTAGCTGCTGGATTGTGGTCACATATAGGACAGGGAAATTCTCGAATCGCACTCACACTCACATAGGTGACGTCATCAAAGCGCGCAAATACCCGCCCCAGACTCTGGCATGGGAGTATTCGGAGAGCTTTGCCCACCAACTCAATGGGCATGCGAAAACCTGGAACATATACATTTGCACCCTCCGTCAGAGGACTTCGGAACGCGATTCGAAATAAAGCATTCTCGCGCTTCTCTTCAGTACAAGCTATAGCTAGGAATCTGATCGTAACAATCCATTCCCTTCAGTGCCTTCGACAAACATAACGCAGGTAACCAATACCCCCCCCCCCCCCCCCCAAAAAAAAAAAAAAAAAAAAAACTACATTTAGCTGTACCGTCATAACCCTTCGTGGAATCAGTTAGCATGGATTTTACAGCAGAGCCTGCTACAAAGAACCCACTCTTTGATATCCGCCACTGTGAAAGATAGTGGGGCATGTAGAAATCTACTCCCCGCCTTCGAAAGCGAGATGTGAAACTTGCTGAGAACCTAATGCCTGCTCTATCATGAGTTACTTATTTGAACTAGTGAAGGCTTTTGTCGAGGTGAATGATAGAGACGAGTGTCTTGAACTTCCGTTCATGTGACTAGATCATCAACTATTCTTCAAATTGGGGATTCGACAAACCGACTTCTGCGTTCATCCTTTCTGCCTTGCAGCAGTAGATACGCGGAAGGGTCTAAGAGACGGAAAAGTAAGGCTAGGAATCCCGATGCCCCTGAACCCCCATTGTACGAGTCACCATTCATCAGAAAGAAGGTTGAGGACGTTGCTGAGTGACTGCGCAAAACAACGAAGGAGATTGGAATCAGTGGTCACTTCTCCATCATCTTGGGCAACATGTGTGGATGAAAAGGTCGTGATGCGCCAGTTCGTGGGCATGGGCTTGAAGGAGCTAACTAACTTGGACTTATTCGCTAGACTTGTAGATGATTGCGCATGAATTGTAAACTAGATAGTGTGGAACCATCAGAAGAGGTGAAGGAGTCCCGTAGACAGGCTAAGCTAGAATGATAAGCTCATGCAGCTGGAATCATGTACTGATGATAGACCTTGAACTAAATCTCTAGGGATAGCATTCGCAAGACAGTCGCCTCGAGATGAGGTCGACCTTGTTTTGTTTGTCTATTCTCTCTCCGTGCCTGCAGCGGTAGCCTGGCCATTGGCCGCAATGTTGATTCCATTCTCTCCACCAACGGACTTGCTTCCATCGGAACCTTGAGTGATGCCCAGATTTCCACCAAGGTTCGCAGCGCTGCCATCCTTGTTGAGCGTAATTCCAGCTTCCTCTGAGAAGCGCTCCGACTCCTCGGTAGCCTTGACGCCGTTCGACTTATTCGCTTCGGCAGCGGTCTCTCCCTTCAATGCAGCTGCTTCACCCTTGGCTTCAGCAGCAGCGGCCTCGCCCTCGGCCCGTCCGGGTTGGTTCTCAGTTCCTGGTCCCGCTCCAGTTTGGGGCTCTGCCTTGGGCTCGGTGGCGGGTGCAGCAGGTTTTGTCGCGGGCGCCTTTGGCTCAGCGGCGGCAGCTTGTGACTCCTTTACAGGCGCAGCCTCCGTAGCCGTGCCGTTCTTTGAAGCTTCGACCGTCACGGTCGCTTTGGGCGGCGCTGCTTCAGCTGCCGGAGCACTTTTCGCTGGCTTTTCTGCTCCAGAAGCGGTCTCTGTTGGAACTGTTTCGGCTGCAGAAGCAGTTTTCGAGGGCTTCGCGGCTTCAGCAGCAGGCTTGGACTCTTGCGCTGGTTGTCCTTCCGCTCGCGCTGCTCCCTCGGCTGGCTTTTGAGTATCAGGGGCGCCCGCTCCACCAGCCTGGCCCTGCTGGCCCTGGTTGTTGTTCTGACCTCCAGGGAGACTAAGACCGTTGCCTGATATTCCACCTTTGGAGCCACCTAGTGTCAATCCCCCAATGGTCAGACCACCTCCGTTTCCTCCCTTGGTTTGTCCGCCAGCTTCGCCGGCCGTTGCATTACCACCTCCACCGAGCTTGAGGCCCCCGATCTCAATCTGACGGCGGCCAAGTGTATTGGCTCGTGCAGAGAGCGAGCCCTGATAGCCGTCGTCAGCACATGAATATATAGTGGAATTGAGCGAGATCATGTGGTGAACGACCATATCGTCTGCGACGAGAAGACTTACCGTCCACCTGCGCGAAGGAGCATCAGCAACCGCGAGATTAGTAAAAGCCAGAACGGCAATAGCCACTTCCGTAGTGAATTTCATGATGCAGCAAGGATAATAATCGAAGGTATACTAAGGTAAGATGCTGTCCTGCAGACACAAGAATGGGAAGATATTGGCAAGAAGAGATAGAAGCTTCAAGCTCCAGGTAATTAGATGGATGGTAATCCGACCGAGCACAAGATTCCAAGACGACTATAGCACAGCTTTTGAGAGGCGAAGTCGGCCTAGAATGCTTCTTTCTGAGCTTGCATTGCGCAACGCATACAGAACAGCTTGGCAGCCTTGACGTGGGCCAGACGATGATCAGACTTTGACGCACGAATGGGAGCATTGTGTTCAAGCAGCAGTGGAGATCTTGGCGTTGCGGAATGGTCGCAGACACGGGGAAACGGCTTGGCGTTTGATCAGCCCGCCGACAATGAGGAGCAAGAAGCAACGCACGGGCATCGAAACCCGGAAGAGGTCTATCCATGATCTGGGCATCTGAATACGGTTGCTTGTGTGTATGGAACAACGGAGCGATGATCGCATTCTCGGCTTGGCAAAAAAATGCAGTGAACATTGCGTGTCAGGCTGGTTGCCGTCATTCGATGGTGAAGATGTTCTCGGCCACCTGGGATCAGTTTGCAGTACTATTACCCATGGCATGTTAGCTCATTAGCTCAAGAAGCGGCCAGTTGAATTTATCGGGATGCGGCGATACCACGAGACGCTCTGCTTTCGCACAAACTTGAGTCGAACGGATGTCATTAGCCATCGCAAGCGCTCACGAAGCGATCTACCTTTCTTCACTACCAAAATATAGATGAGAGAGTTGAGCAGATTCTACGATTATTTTCTAGCCCTGGAGGATGAGAAAGCAGCTGATGTCAAGGCGCAAGCAGACGCTAGTGTCTACCAGTACCTATTGGTAAGCAAGTGCCTCAACACCGTCCTTCCTCCTCAGCATCGACCTTGGACTATACTTCTACCCCAAGCTTCAAAGAATACACCACATGGATCAAGACATATTGGCGCAGGCAATCCACCGTGGCCCTGCTGCATGCACAAGTCAAGAGTTGAAACCTCAGAATAGAAATCTTCGGGATGAAACTTGGAAAGATCAATTGATCCCGTATCGGGGGGCTACCTCAGCGAGAGTACCATGCGGGATGACGAGACTTGACAGAGGTTTGGATACTGAGGCTATCATCGTGAATATTCTTGGTGGGCTGGGATGGTTCACTGTTCACTTTCACCACGATGCACCTTCCCTCCCCATCGTGGCGACGAGCGCGTTCCTTCCTCACAATGCGTCTGCTGCGCACATACCTCAGTCCACCGCACTACATGTAGGATGTCAGTCGTTGACGACGAGACTTTCACAATTTTGTCAAAGTTTTCGCATGATCTTGATATACTTGACGCAAGATGGCATACCTTAATCTCAGCGGGCCTTTCGCAAGCGACGAAAATGTGAGGAAGGCATCGCTCGCGCGGCTGCTCGACGAAAACACTGCTGTAAATGAGGGAACGACAACCGACGAACAAACCCGACTCTTCCGGCGATTTTAGCCCTCCAGTCTCACCAGCCGAAAATTACGACGCTGGTAGCGCAGGCCCATCAGGCCTATCATCTCCCACAGTTGCTACAGCTGACGGTATCAACACCGACCTGCAGCTTGAGTTAGAAAAGATCAAACTAACTCAGCCAGACACGACCCATGCGCCCTGCACGTCCCTAATGAAGTTCAGCAACTCCGCGCTAAGAACGACAAGTTGAGGATAAAACACATCGTCATGGAGTAGCTCGATATGAGAGATGTGGCTTACAAAGAGGCTCTCACGCAAATGAGGGTCCATAAAGAAAAGGTGGATATGCTTCAATCCATGGTGGACATCCTGCAGAACGAGAGTCAGCAACTAAAAATGCCCGCTACCGTCGTGACAGGCTTAAGGAATCGAATCCAACAGCTACATGATGACAAAGACGGCCTTGTCAGAGGAGCGCCATCGCCTACAGAAAGAAATGCGCAAGAAGGACCTTGAGCTGGGCTCTGTGAGGACTCTAAAACTGCAACTGAGTGTGAAAACTGTCCAGGTGGAGAATTTGAGCAGAACGCTGGCTGTCGCAAGCGACAGAGAAGCTGAACAGTCCAAGCAGCTCAGCAGCGCTCTCACCGAGCTCAGGGGCGCTCGCGACACTCAAAGATGCCAGAGCAAGAATATTGCATATCTGAAATCAAAGAATTCTCACCCTGGAGGCGACGTACAGGTGACTTGGGAGCTCAAGCGAGACATAGCTTTCTATTTCACGCAGCTCGATCTGGCCCACCAGAATTATCGTATCTTTACTTGCTCGCACAATCGTCTTGCCAACCTACCCGACGGGAACAAATCCACTCGTCAGCATGATGCGAGCTTCACGGCGAGCGATATGTTTCGTAACTGGCAACGTGATAAGGTGTTCATGGAAGAGTATCGTCAACATCGAGCGTATCTAACCAAACACCATTTGGCGCATCAGCAGAATGATCCGGGTCGGGGTGATCATGCTCATCAGATCCAAGAAACCTGCAAGTACCCCATTACCAATTCACCCATAGCTTTGCTGATCACGACAGTCATCGCTCTGGATGGATATCGGGGTGTGGTAGTCCAGTACAAGTAAGCGTGACGCTCCCGTACTCGATGATCAAAGAATAAGGCCTGGTGTGGAAACTTAGGCCAACGGCACTGATGAAGCTCACTTGTTACAAAGCTCAGACATGTAAAGTTAGTGTCACAAAGCAGTTCAATGATAAATAATCCAAAATCACCCCTCAGTAAAGTGTCCCTCGACATGGAATGCCACCGCTCGCTCATCTCCCTCAAACTCCCCACAAACAGGACACGTCGCAATCTCTCCACGACCCCCACCCGCAGTCTCTCTGCCCACACTCTCCTGGTATCTCCGATCCTCCTCCTCCAACTGCGCAAAGAGCCCCAGATCCCTCCCCTTCGCCCTACCCTCATCATAAAGATACTCATCATCCTCCCTAATATCCCGCTCATGTCTGAAGCCACTCGCACCTCCACCTCTACCCCCAATCCCATTCTCCCCATCCCGCCCCAAATTCGCGCCAATCCCACCAGCTACTTCCTCTCCCGCTAGCCCGTCACTCTCACTGACAATCTTCTGCACACGCCCGACGCGCCCGTCGCGAAGCCGGACCTTGACGCCCCTAGGGTGGTCGCCGCGCGTGAGGAGGTCGGCGACGATGCCGGTGACTTGGCGGCCGGTGGGCTGGTCGATTTTGAGGACGAGGGAGACGGCCGTTCCTGGAGAGATGGCGCTGTAAGCGGGAACCGGACGGTTTTCTGCACCGAAGGTTTGGCGTGGGGCGCGTGGTTGGCGGGTGCGGTTTGTGTTGGCATTATTGTTGGATGATGATGAGGAGGAGGAGGATATTTGGGCACCGCCGCGAGGTGGGCGCTGTTGGCGATTGCGGCCTGGCATTGTAATGGGTGGCTGTGGTATCGTATCAAATTGGTAGGGCTCCAGTGTCCCGTGCTATCTCTTTCTGTACTCTTGCTTTACGAGGTTGGGAAGGACGTGGGAATTACAGAGGTGCGTGTACACTTTAAGAGGCACTTGCGTACGGCTTTGAATAGTCGGGCAAGTTACTGAAGTAATGTCTCACGGCGGAGGGAGGGTTTTATGCTGTCTTCGAGGGAGCGTTGGAGCACTTGGGAGGGTGAAAAAGCTATGTCGTATTGGGCGTGGTGGATGATTACGTCACCCTCGTTCTTTCCTCAACACCAACCTCATGACTGGGTTTACAGCAGATGGGCGGAAGTCTTGTTACAGAGCGGATAGTTATTGCTTTCAATCTACATTCAATGTAGGCCAAAGCATTCAGCGAAGATACAATATATTAATGCATCGTCTTATCCTAACATGCGCAAAATATTGAATTCGTCCGTCTATACACGACAAGGTTGAGACGCCGATAATGCTGTGATGTCAAGGCAGTCTATATCGAGCTTGCTAGCTCGCGCCGACCCATACTATCCCAACGCCGGTCATGATCCAATAACAGTGCGAAAGAGAGTAGTACCCAGGCGAAAAGGGAGTTCAGAAGTGCAAGTACACTCGCAGGATGTGAAATGTCCAGATTGTGCACTCACCGCAAATCTTCGAATGCAGAACACGCAGGCGAATACGCTCAGAAGGGGAATCCGCCGCCCTGGAATTGCTGGCCTCTTCGGCCTCCAGCACCGGGCATGCCGCCCATACCACCAAAAGGGCTGCCACCACCGCCACCGCCCTGGAAGCTGAAGCCGCCGCCACCACCCCCTCGGCCACCGCCCATACCTCCGAACATCTGCATGAGAATCTCGGGGTCAATGCCTCCGCCCATGCCGCCTCCAAAGCCACCCCCGCCACCGCCGAACATTTCGGAGGGGTCGATAAGATCCTCGCCGGAGTCGTAGCGAGCGCGCTTTTGCGAGTCGCTCAAAGTTTCGTGAGCTTCCTGGATCTCTTGGAACCTTTGGTGGGCGGTTTCGTCATCGGGATTCTTGTCGGGGTGATGTACGATAGCGAGCTTGCGGTAAGCCTTCTTAATTTCGGACTCGCTAGCGTCCTTCTCAATACCAAGGATCTTGTAGTAATCCTTTCGCTTGCTCTTCTTCAGCTCGAGCTCTGCATTTCTGATCTCCTTTGCAATGCCGGGCTCTGAAGGGTTGGCCTCGTGGATAGCTTTGAGCTCCTTGATGGCCTCATCCCAATTACCAGACTCACCCAATGCCTTTGCCCGGGTCTTCTTTGCCTTTGTGTAGCCGGGGTCGAGCTCGAGTGCCTTGTCGCAGTCTGTAATAGCGTTTGTCCACTTCTTTAGCTTGCTGTAGCACAAAGCCCGGTTCTGCAGGATCTTGGAATTGGTCTGTTTGTTCGAAGGATCGATTTCCAGCGCCTTGGTGTAGGTGTCCACAGCCTCTTGAATACGACCAGACTTGAATGCGGTGTTACCCTCCTCCTTTGTACGCTCGAGCTTCTGCACCATCCGCAGGTACTTCAAAGCGTCCTTAAAGTCAGGGTCGCAGCTCAGCGCTTGCCTAAAGTGTTGAAGGGCCTTGTCGTTCTCGCCCTGACCATAGAGCGCGCGACCACGGAGCACGAGTGCGTCCGGATCCTGATTGTTCCGCCTGAGCAGGTTCATAGCAACATTCTGTGCCTCGCCGAGAGCATTGATGTTGCCCATCCGCAAGTGTGCCTCTCCACGCATGAGGTTCCACTTCCGCGGCCTTTCCACATTGGAGCCTAACCCTCGCTCAGCCTCGTTGAGTGCGTATATGACCATGGACCCTGCGCCACCACTCTTCAGCGTGTCCTCGGCCTGCTGTAGGTGCCGTTGCATGGTGAGCGCAGGCTGCATATCCTTTTGCGTGGCATTGACAGCGTTGAACGCCGCGACCGCCTCATCGGGCCGCCCTAGACTAGTGTACACCCTGCCTAATCGTAGTCCGACTTTCATGTTGCCGGGTTCCAGGTCGTCCGCCATCTTGCAGTCTTCCAAAGCTTCGACAAAACGGTTCGAGGACATGTATGCGGCGGCGCGGTTCGAGTAGTAGGTGGCATTTTGAGGGGCGGCTTCAATGGCTGCGCATGATTAGCGGATGTTTGCGGACTGTGCGAGGTGATGCAGTGCGGCAGGATGCAGCGTGCAACGGGAGCACAACGCACCTTTCGAGTACTCTTTGATGGCGGCGGGGTAGTCTTTGATCTTGAAGAACTTGTTGCCCGCAGCCTTGTACTCCTCGGCGTCGATGGTGGGGGGCTGCGCAGGCGGGGATGATTCTTCTGGGGTCGCCGCGTATTTGGCAGACTCTGGCGGGGGGCTCGTTGTGTACCGGTGCGGCGGGGGCGCTGGCCGGGAGTCGTCGCCGTTGGATTTGGGGAACGCGCCCGGGGCCTGTGCAGCGGCCGGGCTAGAGGGCGCGGGCGTGGGCGAGGCTGTGAATTCGCGGTCGATGTCCATGGGTTGGGGCGTGGGCTGGTCGGCCATGGCTGACATGGCGGACGACGAGAGCCTGCGGAGCTCGTCGGGCGGGAGATTGAGCGGGTGGGAGTCGCGGTCGTATTTGGACGAGCGCTTGGACGAGTAGGAACTAGAGCGGCGTTCGCGCTCGCGCTCCTTTACGCGGGAGTGGGACTTTTTGTCGGGCGACGAGGGAGGGGTGCCTGGGTTACTTTTTGTCGGTTGCTTGCCGGGGGCGAGTTTCGGGGCTTCGGGCTGCGCTGATTTGGAAGACTTGCGGAAGAGAGAGGGAAGCACCATGAGAGGCGAGCGAACAAAGGTCAGGAGGCCCGGTGTAACTGAAATTTTAGTGCGCTGCAGTCAAGGCAAAGTTTGGTTGAGAGCGGGCGCGGACCGACAAAAAACGGCACTGGGATCAAGAGAGAGTCTTCTAGCACCTTCTGCCGCTCAGACTCTCGCTAATCCGCAGACGCAGAGCTGCAGCCGCGGGCAGGGCGCGTGCTCCGCCGGGGGGCTGGGCTGGGCTGCAGCTCGTCATCGCAGCCTGGGTTTGCTCGCGAGGCGCCGGGAGCTGATCGTCGTGATTCTTCCTCGCGGCGTGTCACAGCACGCAGCATACGTGAATGTAAAGTAGACCCGGTCCACTCCGCGTGTGGTAGTGCCGCCGCCCTAGCATCCGGATAGCCAAAGTATTCAGGGTATACAGAAGAGCTCAAAGAGTCGCTCGCACGCATCCCACAGCTCGCCGGCACCGGTCATCACCTCGCGTGCCCAATCCGCATCCAGGAGGCTGGGACTTGCAGATCAAAACATCGCCAGCAGCAGCCGCATAAACAACGGCTATATCGCTCCAATCTACGGTTGCCGTTGCGGTTTCCCCGACTGCATTTGATGAGTTGTCTTTTGATTTGCCAGCCTCTCCATATTTCCATTGGAAAACATGCCAGAACAGCGACACGTCGCTCACCTACAACCGCTGGCTAGAGGTGGCGTGCGTTGATCGCCTACAATTCGATAACGAGGCGACTCCAGCAATGTCGGTTAACAGTCAGTGACAGGCTTGATGGCTTGTCAAACGCTGTTCTGAATCAGGGAATCTGATATCCATCTCCATTGGTGGAGACCCGCCGCACGCCTACACTTTCATTATCGGGGGATGCAAGTCATCTATCAGAGTGGAGTATGTCTCCATGGTGCAAAAGCAGCCATGTCTGAGAGTCTTGGTAGGTATGGTAGGACTCTGCATGTCTATGACAGCTGTGCCAAGCTATGCCGTGGTTTGCGGGAGACTGCGATTAGCATAGGACGTTCGTTTGTGGCGGAATGTCCAGATCTACTTCACAGTGAGGGAGCCGAATATATTTACCCGAGCGGTCCGTGAGGAACGTCGAATGGGAGCTGCCCGCAACCGGCTCTGTATCTTATCGCCACGTGCTAGAGCTCCGACCGGGGTTGCACCTGCCGTCCACCTCCACTCACAGCTCCCCGCCATTACAGTGCCTCACAGGTGCACAGTCCGCTCAAAGACTCAAGCGACTCTGCAGAACGTGCGCACTTCTCTTATACTGAATAAATAATAGGCAAACACAATCTTTCGCAAGCTTCTTGCTTTCGTCCCAAGATCACCAGGACAAGCGTAGCGCTCACCCAACCAGGTCACAAGTGCAGTGACGGAACCTCGCAACATAGCTGAACCACCTGTCACCGCACGCCAGCTATCTTCGCTTCTTTTTCACGGCAGCCTAAAGCAACCCACCCATCTGCGCATCGGCCAACCCTCGGTGCCTTGGGTCCGCGGCGGACCCTCGCAACACCTGAACCTCGACCCGCTCGACGCGGCCGCCGAACGCACGATACCGACTATAATCTCACTCAACCACACTTAACTTTGCTATGGGTCTTACGTATAATATCTACCTCACAGGAGGCCGTATCTACGGGTGTCGGACCTGTAAGACACATCTCTCCAACCACGACGACATCCTCAGCAGGGTACGCTCGCTCCAGCATCAAGAACAAGGCTGTACAATTGACACATTCTCAGAATTTCCGTGGCCAACATGGCAAGGCATATCTCTTTGATCAAGTGGTCAACATCACCGAATCGGATCCGAACGAGCGCAACATGACGACCGGCCGCCACGTCGTACGCGATATACACTGTCGACAATGCAAAGAGACGGTTGGCTGGAAGTACGATAAGGCGTACGAGTCCAGTGAGAAGTACAAAGAGGGCAAATTCATCCTCGAGGCAGAGCTCCTGTGTACGGTTTCATGAGCGGCCAACAACGCGGCATTGGCACACTTCTGCTCCCACAGGCATGCATCTATATGGCGTTTTTGGATAGGGAATGGTTCTGGGTTCAGGTTACGGCATGGAGTACAGGTATCGGTCAGCAACTTGGGTATCGGCGTGGTTACGGCGAGACAGTAAGGTGGCTGTTTTAGTAGGTGGGCATATCGTACTTCGCCCCTCTCTGCACGAAGGCTTTCCGGATGGGCGGATGGACGGCACTCTCTATAGCTTACGTAGCAGGCAACATGATGAATTATTCTGATTGCAGCTTTTTTGCTTCCGTGAGGTCTGCATTGCGTCTACCCCGCTCAACCGGAGGTAGTGGCGGGGTGGAGCTCAGCTCTGCCGGTACCTAGGTAACGACCCCACCCAACACCGAAGAATTATTCCCAATCCTCCCGATCTTACCATAAGCACAGCAACACGCCTACTCTATCAATTGCTGCCTTCTGGCTGTTCGTGTCCTTCAGAATTGTCACTTGACCCACCAATCGGCAGAGTATCACAGGCCAACATGGCAACAATGAAGGCCGTAGTCTTCAAAGGGCCGCATAAGGTCGTCATCGAAGACCGCCCTGTTCCGGCAATCAAAGACCAGACGGACATAATTGTGAAAGTGGACAAGGTGCGCCGGTGCCTCCCTTGGTCTGACCTTGGCTAATCATTCGCAGACGGCATTATGCGGCAGGTACGCTACAATCACCTTTCTTGGGTTCAAGCATTGATGAATAGACAGTGAATTGCATGTCTATCGCGGACATCAACCATCAGGCACAGACTTCATCATGGGTCACGAGTTCACAGGTCTCGTAGAAGAGGTGGGCTCGGAGGTCAAGAATTTCAAAAAGGGTGACCGCGTTGTCACCCCCTTTACGGTATCCTGCGGAGAGTGCTTTTACTGCACGCGCGGCTTCTCATCCCGCTGCGCTAAAGGCCAGCTTTTCGGATCTGTAGGCCTGGATGGCGGCCAAGCGGAATACGCACGCATCCCTCTAGCCGACAGCACTGCTGTCAAAGCACCGGAAGGCATCAAAGACGAAGCGTTGGTGCTCATGGCAGACATCTTCCCCACTGGTTGGTTTGCTGTGGACAATGCATTCAAAATGATTCCCAAGGAGGACATCAGCAACAGCACCGTCGTTCTGATCGGGTGCGGCCCAGTGGCACTCTGCGCCCTTGTCAACCTGGTGGACTACAAGCCAAAGAACATCCTTGCGGTTGACTCGATCCAATCACGTCTAGACCTGGCGAAGAGCTTAGGAGCCGAGCCCTGGAACTTCCAGACTGATCGAGAAGGGCTGGACAAGCGGGTCAAGGAGCTCACTGAAGGCAGAGGCGCGGATGCTGTAGTGGAAGTAGTCGGCCTGTCGCCCGCTCTCAAGATGGGCTACGAATTGCTGCGACCGTGGGGCGTGCTCTCTTCTGTTGGTGTACACAACGGGGAGATTCCTTGGTGAGTCAAATGGCGTCCACGCGAGACATGCATGGACTGAGCGTGTAGGACGGGCAACCAAGCATACAACAAGAATCTGCGCGTGCAGATGGGCCGCTGCCCGGTCCGCAGCGTGTTCCCAAAGGCACTGGAGTCACTGAAGAAGCATCAGGACAAGTTAGGGTAGGTCTGTGAGTTACACGGTCGGGCACGAGCTAAGCGAGTACAGGTTCATGGCGGACAAGATCATGCCGCTCTCGCAGGCCGTCGAGGGATACGACCTCTTCGACAAGATGCAGGCGCAGAAGGTGGTGTTTGAGGCGCAGAAGTAACCAATGACGGATGCGGAGGAGAGCTGGGTGCGTGAGCTGGTCAATCGAACAGTCGTGGACCGAGCCGCCGTGCGTGTCGCCGCATGCCGACCGTTGCTTTGTGGTCCGTGCAGAGCGGGGCGAGCTGGAGGGCCGCCGTCGCACCCACGCGTCGAGCTGGAGCTTGGGTGCGTTGGTGTCGAGCCGCTGGTTCTGTCGCCGCAAGATGACGCAGAACTGTGCCTGCAGCGACGCGCCCTCGCTTGCCCGCCGTGAGACCTGCTGCATCTGTACCCAATTCCACTGCCATTGCTTCTTTGTATAATTACCGGCCGTCGCTGCTGCATTCCCCGGTCGACACGGCAAGACCTGCCCGCCTCGCTAAGAGAGCTAGCAGTAAAGCAGCAGTCCGCCGCAATATTCGTGTTCATCCTCTGCAACCTTCGTCACTTACCTGAGCGTCCCTTGACCACTCTCCACTCCGCGCCCACTCCTCCGTCCCCACTACCGCCCTCTCTCTCCTCTCCTCCCCTCGCCTGCGTCGCCTCACCGCACGCTTCTCCTCCCACCTGTCGATCCGCACCGACCACCTCTCCCCCGCCGCTTCCGCAACCACCTGTAAGTAGCGAGACCACGCATGCATCCTGGCCGCCCGTCAACAACCCACTGACAATCCACGCGCAAAAACAGCAGAGCGCCTCTCACACGCGCCTTTCGCCCTCCCCTCCCTCTCTGTCTCCTCAACTCACTCTCCGGTAAGTGACGTGTTGTTTTCTGTTGCGCGCGTCGACGTCACTGACGACACCGTAGCACCACCACCCTCCCATCTTTAGATCATGTCTGCAGAGGAGTCTCAGCAGGCCGTCCAGGACCCCAGCCAGGTCGCCGATTCGCTGCAGCGCCTGAGCGTGAACGAGGATGGCGATGTGCAACCGCGCACCGAGGAGGAGTACGCCGAGTCGCAGCTCACGCTGCGCGCTATTGTCTCCTCTAAGGAGGCTGGCGTCATCATAGGAAAGGCAGGCAAGAACGTCGCTGATCTCCGCGACGAGACTGGCGTGCGCGCCGGCGTCAGCAAGGTTGTCCAGGGCGTCCACGACCGCGTGCTGTCCGTCACCGGCCCGCTCTCCGGCATCTCCAAAGCATATGGCCTGGTCGCGAAGGGTCTTCTCGAAGGAGCTCCTCAGATGGGCATGGGCGGCCTGCTCCGCAGCGATGGCACTCATCGTACGTCTAATGCGCCATTTTCAATCATCAACCCCCTGCTAATTCGCGCGCAGCTATCCGTCTGCTCATCTCCCACAACCAGATGGGTACCATCATTGGACGCCAGGGCTTGAAGATCAAGCAAATCCAAGATGCCTCCGGCGTGCGCATGGTCGCCCAGAAAGAGATGCTGCCCCAGTCCACCGAGCGCATTGTCGAAGTCCAGGGTTCCCCGCAAGGCATCGAGAAGGCTATCTGGGAAATTGGCAAGTGCTTGATTGACGACCACGAGCGTGGCTATGGCACCGTTCTTTATAACCCTGCCGTGAGGGTCCAGCCTGGCGTTGCTCCCTTGGCATCCAACGGCATCAACGCCGGCGGACGTTCGTACAATCGCACTGGACACGGTGCCGATTTTAGCGACTCTCCTCCCACCTACAGCCGACGGTCCGGATCGGATGCCGCGAGTCGCCCACCCCCTCCGACGCACACCGAAGACGGCGAAGAGATGCAGACCCAAAACATCAGCATCCCCTCCGACATGGTGGGTTGCATCATTGGCCGCGGCGGCAGCAAGATCAGCGAGATCCGCAAGAGCTCCAACGCGCGCATTTCGATCGCCAAGGCTCCTCATGACGAGACTGGCGAGCGCATGTTTACGATTACCGGCAGCGCCAGCGCCAACGAGAAGGCACTGTACCTCTTGTACGAGAACCTGGAGGCTGAGAAGATGCGCCGTAGCCAGGCTGCAGAATAGACGCTCTGTGCATGTTGATTCATTGGAGATTGACGTCGAATGAAGGCGAAGGCACGTCGACCGCTTCCGAGCGCATTGGGACTTTGTCATGATCGCCCTCATCGTCTGGTCAGCGCCCTGTCGCCCAAAAGGCCCAAAAGCAAGGCTTTGCTTAATTTCTTCTGTCTGCCCCCTTTTTACCTACTACTGGTGGATACCAACAGCCGGGGCATTATTTCCTTCTAATTCGGGGTTCGAGTGCAAATTGAGCGAGCTGGATTGTGTCAGTCACGACTTTAACGACTTACGGATGATATCCAAGACTGTTGCCGGACGCTGCGTCAGGCAGCATTTCTATGGCTGGTTTGCAACGGCGCGGTGAAAACAGTGTACTCCCTGCATGGGAACACCTCTGTACTACTCTCCCTAAGACCCTCCTACATCTACGAGCACTCCTGAACTACTTCTTTCCGATATCCTATTATACATTGTCGTCTCCGTGTCAACAGTGGTGAGCTGGCTGCTGAACAGCGCATTTGTAGTTGTAGGGTACGAATAGATGATCTCTACCTCAAAGCTGACCTCCACTCCTTTGCTGTGACTGTCAATCAATGCCGGCGTCATGTGTTATATCGTCGATGCTTATCGGAACATCATTCCGATTTCCGAGCGTTTAGTAGGGTCTGTGCGGGCCGCGGCTTAGTCCGCCGTTGGACCTTGATGCCACCTTTAACTTTTTGGTGGATATAAGCTGGGGTTTGTCCGTCTTCTTTCTGGGACTTTTACTTGTGTTCCTGTTCCTTCAATGCTCAACTAGAACAATTGACATCAATTCGGAAAGAAAGGAAAATCCCTTAAAGTGGAGAGAGCAATTGCGACGGCGACAAGCGCATCCCTGAACTTCACAACACCGATACCACCACATCGCAGGCCAGAATGGCACGATCGAAACAGAACACGCCCGACAAGCGCTCCTCCAGCGGAATCCAAGCGCAGAATGGCAGCACGAATGGCACAGCACGTAGACGACCGAGCTTTACAGAAACGATAGAGAAGCGACTAGAAGAGGTTGCTGAATCGGCGGCTAGGGACCCCGAGGAGCAGAAGCAGTCGGGGCTGTTGGCGTTGGCAATTTGCGTGGGTGGGATCTATGCAAGTTTGTAGGTTGCGCGCACCAGACAACGCGAGCGAGGGCTAATGCGACACGCAGCTTGAGCTGGGCATATCTTCAGGAACGCATAACCACCACCAAATACGGACCCAACAACTCTCGCTTCACATACTCCATCTTCCTCAATACCATCCAGTCCGCCTTCGCAGCGTGCACTGGAGCCGTCTACCTCTTCGCTTCCTCCCCGCGCGACCCCAAGACCGGCGCCCGCAAAGTCCCACCCATCTTCCCCTCGAAGCAGATCCTCTTCCCGCTTCTCCTCATCGCGGTGACGTCCAGTCTCGCCTCGCCCTTTGGCTACGCAAGCCTGAAGCACATCGACTATGTAACCTTTATCCTAGCCAAGAGCTGCAAGCTGCTCCCTGTCATGTTCCTCCATATCACGCTCTTCCAGAAGAAATATCCCTTCTACAAGTACCTCGTCGTACTCACCGTCACCCTTGGCGTCGCTATGTTCACGCTGTACAACCCGTCCACCGCCGATAAAGCCGAGAAGGCCGCAAAGAAGGGCGTTTCACCCGACGCATCCAAAGCCCTTGGCCTCTTCCTGCTCAGCATCAATCTCCTTTTCGACGGTCTCACAAACACCGTCCAGGACCAGATCTTCAGCTCCTTCAAGGGCTTCACAGGCCCGCAGATGATGTGTGCCCAGAACATCATCTCCACGTTGCTCACGACCGCGTACCTCCTCTCCGCGCCCTACATCGCGGCGTCCCCCCTCGGCGCTGCCGTCGGCCTCACACCCACCTCCGGAAATGAGCTCGCGGACGCAGTCTCCTTCGTCACCACGTACCCCACCGTCGGTTGGGACGTGCTCTCCTTCGCGGCGTGCGGCGCCATCGGGCAGGTCTTCATTTTCCACACGCTGGCGCATTTTTCGAGCTTGCTGCTGGTTACGGTGACTGTCACGCGGAAGATGCTGACGATGCTGATGAGCGTAGTGCTGTTTGGACATACAGTGACAGGGATGCAGTGGGCGGGCGTGGGGCTGGTGTTTGGCGGGATTGGCGCCGAGGCGTGGTATCAGCGCGTGGAGAAGAAGGCGAAGATGGAGGCGAAGAAGAGGGAGGCTGCGAAGAGCAAGTAGAGTGGATGGAAGAGAAACGAGTGCTTGGGATGGGGAATGGCGTTCTCATGGATGATTCTCGGGTTCTATTCTGGAAAGTAGAGATGTTGGACGCGGTATACCCTGGCACAGTGATAGAATTTGCAATACATGGACTTTCGGCATTACCATCGTGTTGCCAGGCAACTGTTTAGCATGTGGTAGAGGAGATCATAGCTGTTGGAGGGTGACAGACAGTTGTCGCGCGCTACTGCACGTCCGCGCTGGTGAGGAGGGGGCGCGGATGAAATGCACAAAAGATTATATATGTCACAAGAGGCCTCAGCTGCATGGATAAATACGATAAGAGGTGTCCCGCCCCTAAACTTCATTCCTCTCCTGCTGCGACCGTAGCATCGCCTTTTCCTTGTCGTTGATCTCGACCTGCACGTCTTCGCCAAAGCCGATCGTCTTCGGCTGCCTGCTCCATTGCCGCGCGGGCACACCGTCCCGAAAAAATCCCTCAATTTCTTCCATACTTCGCCCGGTCACCTCTCCAACACAGAACCACACATAGGCTAGCGTGATGAAGCACAGACCTGTGTACACGAACCCTGTCTTCGGACCCAGATTCGCTGAGTAGTAGAGGTATGGCAGCGTGAAGACAGTGACCCAAACCGTGATCCAGAAACACGCGACGGCAATGGCGTAGATTTTGTTGCGGTTCCTGCCCACAGCCATTTCGGAGGCCTTGGGAAGGACGTTAGCTTAGTTCAAGGGTGCAAAAGTAGGCAGGAGACTCACGATTGTCCAACCCAGAGGTCCCCAAGCGAAGTTGAAAGCAGTGATCTCGATGATGACGAAGGAAATGATAACCTTGCCGCTCGTCCCACTCACTTGGCCTCCGGGAATACCCAGGCAGCCTACGATAAATATACTGGCCATCATGACCAGCGTCGTTGACAACAGAAGCGGGCGGCGCGGGATCTTGTTGGCGCAGAGCACAGCTGCGAACACAGTGACGACTTGGATGACGAAAACAATTATCGTCATAAGGAAGGGGTCTTCGAGACCGATGGCCTGGCTGAACACGGTACCGAAGTAGTAGAACCATTGGATTCCGTTGATCTGCTGCGCGACAAGTGCTCCGGCGCTGAAGATGACCTTGCGCCGTTCGATTGGATCAGTCAACAAGTCCATCCACTTTGAGTCCGCGGATAGCTCGGCTTCGTGCTCGATACTGGCACGGATGGTGATCATGTCGACGTCAGGCTCGTAGGTCTTGTCGTCTTTGCGGAGGAGCCGCAATGCTGCATCGCAACGCTCAGTCTTCTCGCGGCGAAGGAGCCAGCGAGGAGACTCAGGTACCCAGTAGAGGAAGGTGAGACTGAGAATCGGGAAGATGAGCTGAACAGCGGTTGGTACACGGTAGGAAGCCGTGGTGGTAAGTGATTCGGTGCCTCGATTGATGACGGCTGCAATGATCTGAGATACGGAGAGAACGAGCTGCCAGCAGCCAAGGAGAGGACCTCGGATAGCAGTGGGAGCGATTTCCTGTTGCAGGCTCATCAGACGATGCCCCTGTGTAACAGTATATGACTTACACCGATGTATAGCGGACTCGTCGACGAGAAGATGCCAACTCCCAAGCCTAGGATGACTCGCCCACCAATGATAACCCCTTTGTCGTGATCTGTGATTGTCTGCAGTACTGTTCCGACAATCGCCACGATAGCAGCGATGAGAAATGCCCCCTTACGGCCAAAGAAGTCGTTTATGGGAGCAGCACCGAGAGAGCCAACCAACTCCCCAACATTGATCATTGAACTCATGATCGAGAGGTCGGACGCCGAGATTGCATAGCTACCATCGGGTTGCCTGTCGCCGAAGTGCCGTATGAACGTTGACATGGCTTGGATACCCGAGAAGTACACACCTGCTTCCAATTGAGTTTTCAGTGTCACGGGAAGGATGAAGCTGCTCACCATCATAGCCATATTGACACGCACCGAGTGCAGCGAAAGCGCAAAAAGCCCAGATATATGGGTATTGAAGTTTCATCATCTTTGATGGTAGCTTTCGCGTTGCTGGGGTTCGAAGTGTAACGAGAAGACTGCCTGAAACCCTGGTGGCTCCGACAGCGTGGCCATGGGCCGGTGCGTACTTATACTTCTCACACGAAGATGCGGAGGACCACGCGACAAGTTGCGGAGCCCCATATGATTAATTCCCGTCTGAATGGTTTTTGTGGAGGTCGTGATTAGTTGCTTGCATTGGGGAAGGTCTGAGAGCTAAGTGCTCGCCGGCCGGCCGGCCGTGAAGACGCGGCCGGCGACACCTTGGAAATGGGCCGGCCGGCCGGCGTAAGCTGTATTGCCAACCCTGACAACGAATGCCGCCGCCGGATTGCAGAGTTGATCTTCCCAAGCGGGCAGGACATGCGATGGTGGGTAAGTGCCTGGATGCGTGGCAAGCATTAGTGGGTCTTTGCTTGTTGTCCTTAAAGTCTGATTTGCGCCGCTTGCCGTAGAAGTGAGACCGCCGACGTCGTTCAATCCGACTCCATAATAAAGATGCCATCGAGAACGGTACCGCCGTCAACGTGGTACAGCAGGCCATCTACTTCCCAAGCTGCAGCAGACGCCATCCCAATACTGGTTGATGATGAGTACCATGTCTTCCATCTCAGTACACCTCCGAACACAATTAGACATCCGCCACGGCTTCGGTCCTCCTGGTCGCGGCTTCGTTCGCGCGACCTGTTGAAATGGGAACGCGATCAAACAGAAGTGTTGATTCCAGGCAAAACTCGCGATAGCCCAGATGCTGATGGTGCATGGACTGGATGCGCCATCCTTGGACCGGACGGAAACATGCACATCTTTTACACTGGATACAACCTGTCACAAGATGGCAAACAGGTTATACTGCATGCGCGTTCAGACGACAAGAAGGGTACTAAATTCACCAAAACGCCATGCCCCATTAGCATCACCGGGGACTTGTCAAGATTCGAAGACATTGACTTTCGAGATGCTCATGTTTCGCGGCAGGAATCGGAAAATTGCTACTGGATGCTAGTCGCCACGAGACTGAGGACTGGCCCCTTTTGGACGCGAGGCTGCCTGGCATTACTCACGTCCCCGGACCTGGAGGCGTGGACGATCGACCCCAGACCCTTCTACGCACCTAACGATATATTCTGCCCCGAGTGCCCCGAGCTATTCTCATTACCAAATGGAAAGTGGTACCTTGTCTACTCGAGGTTTCAAGCTCCGGATGCTGGCACGGTATATCGAGTCGCTGACTCGCCAAGGGGTCCATTCAAGACGCCACGTGCTTCTTCCGGTGGACGCTTCGATGCGCGAAGGTGGTACGCTGCAAAATCCTGTCCGAAAGCTGGCGATCCAAGTAAACGGATATACTTTGGATGGGTGGCCGATAAATTTGACGGGCAGTGGTCATGGGGTGGCGATATGGCCATGCCGAGGGAGGTCTTTGCCGACAAGAATGGTCAGTTGGTTGTGCAACCTTGCCCCGAATTCCTGAGAGCAATGTTTGCTCCATGTTCTGAAGTGCCGATACCTACGTCAATTTCGATCAGCAGCCTAGGCGAGACCAAGATTTCCTCACTCTCTGCCATGGAATCTGTCCCGAATGAGTATCACCTCAATTTCCAGGTTGCTGCCTCCGATGCTGCATCGTTTGGACTGATTTTCCGCACATCCAAGGACATGGACGGTCACAGACTCAGAATGACTCCAGCTAGTCCGTATCTTTGCGATGTCGTGTTAGCAAAATATCCAGCACCTCTGGACGACTTCTGGGCGGATCAATACAAGATGCATCTGCCACGCGAGGTCGACGGTCCTGAGATCGCGCGCCATTTAGTAGATATCCGAGGTAACATTTGCATTACCGTCAAAAGCAATGTCCTGGAGATCTTCGTCGGTGGCAAGTCCATCAGTTATCGTTTACCTGGGGCCAGCGATAGCAACAACAAGTTCACTATCGAGGCCAATGGGCACGAAAACGGACAGACACGCGAACCACTTCTGAATGGCATTGCCGAGGTGATGCAGGAGCTGAGTGTTTTCGTGGAAGATGGATCTCTGCAGTTGATGGATGTTCGTCTGCGAGCGCGAACGAACTAGGGCCGTGGTTTTGCGCAATTGTCTATTCTGGGAGCACATGTTCGCTTAGAACGGCGATACCAAACCATTCAGCCTAGCGTAGCATTGCTCAAGAAATCGAAAGCATCCAGATCCATTTCAGTTGCATCGAAGCCTTCCGTGAAACCAAAACCGAGCGCGAAGGCGTCCGGGTCCGCGTTGAAATGACCAGGCGTAGCTTCGAAAGCCACAGGCGAGGTTCCCTCCACCGTGAACTCAAGTGCATGCTCCAGACCGCGAAGAATTGCCCCTTCCAAGCGATTGACTGCGTATCGTATCGGCTCGTTTGTTTTGCTCATGAGACGCAACGTCCAAAGGTAGGCTCTCAAGGACTCGCGCCAATGGTCACGTTCTGCTGGCGTAAGACTCGTGACTAGTAGTAATGTGAGGAAGGATCCGATGACTGAGAACAAATATGGTGTTGCGAAGTACCAAAAGCCGTCCAGATGCTCTAGTCGTAAAGACGCTACGAGTGAAGTAGCCTGCTGAGCCGTCTCGTGAGCCTGCACTCGAATCGCCGTCAGGGCTGCCATGTCAAGGCAGAGCGGCGCAAGTGCAGTCGAGCGTACTAGCCTCCTGAGAACGTTGATCTTCACACCATAATAAGCGAGGTGAATGTTGCCTGTGCACACTCAGTGATTAGAGAAATGACGATATCCTAAGATTATAGTCCATAATACCGTTTGCGCATAGTTCTCTCGCCGGGATGTTGGATATTGCAAGTGACGGAGGTAATGCAGAGTGCCACTGATCGAGAGAGCTGAGGATCGGTTGCGCCTGTTCTTTCAACTTCAACGTGTCCTGCTGGGTTGTAGATTTGACAGTGTAAAAGGTCTTGAGGACAGTATGCAGTATCGTAGTGAGCGATTGTAAGTACAAGAAGCTCACATTTTCCGTACTCTCGAAGTCTACTTCGTTGAGAGGGAGGACGCCCCAGTCATCTTCGCTTATATGGCTAGGCCTGCCATGCGCAAGGGCAGTCCAAACATCTTGCATGTAGATAGCCCAACTTACTCGTTTTCGCAAAGTTCTTTCCCAACTGGGAATTGCCCACGCCGATGCATCGAGATGTAGCCCACAAGCTTGTCCTACCGATAAAGCCTGTGAAGTCAGGCCCCAGGCAAAGGTATGGTCCGGATTGAGAGGATCTTCCGGCTTGCACTGTAGTAGCAATAAAGTCGCTTCAATCGATGTGAGGCGAGGTCGGTGGTAGGAATCCTGGATATGTTGTAGTGTGAGCCTTCGCAGGGTGGTAACATCAATAGCTGGCTGGTTTGACAGGTTTGAATCATAGAACCACCAGTTGATCGCATTCAGATACACTGCACCCAAAAGTGGCGCATCAATGTGGCGGTAGGATAGTTTGTACCTGTCGATGAATCCGTCCTTGTGGATGATGGGATATGAGGGATGAATGAGCTTCCAAAAGAGCCGGAGTAACTTTTCCCCATGAGGTTTGACGCAGGCCTCGATTGAGTCTACAGCGTGGTGATGGCCCTCAAAGAGAGCAGACCTGATATCGGAACCCTGAGCGAAGTTACTACAAGATCAAATAATATTCCATCATACTTGCCATGTGGAACGTGACAGGATAGTCAACGTTTTGGTCATGTCCCAGGACCCGTCGTATGGAGTGTGTCGGCAATGTGTATTCGTTGTAGACGGCAGAGTATGGGCGATGCCTCTGAAACAGGTTATACGGCATATAGTATGATGACTTGAGATGTACAAACCATAAGAATGGGTTCCATGTCACTGCCAAGCCCATACAACTCGGCGAATTTGGTGGAGTTCAGCCCAAGCGATCTTTCAAAGTCTTCTGTTTGCTCCAAAGGTTCCGCTGTGTGATTCTGCGTCTCCAATCCATCAGAGACCGTGATAGCGCCCAAGTTGACCGTAGGGCTCGCGTTGTAACGAGGACTGAGGACTTGACTTGGCGACGGCACTGACGGGATCCGGACTTCTTCATCGCTAGGCTGCACAGGTGCAGGAACTGAACGCTTGGGAGGATGTTCTAAGAAAGTGCAGTCATTTTTTTTCTGAATGCAGACGTTGCACGTTTGCTGGCCAGTATCGACAATACATCGGGTTTTCCGCCGGCGGCACGCGTCACATGGACGGGAGCTTTTTGGGGCGGTCTGGCGCCGCCGTCGAGGTCCAGGACTCTCGGACATGGTGTCTATGCAGGAGGTTCGAGATGACTCGGACGAGATGGGGTAGATGAAGCAGCCATCCGATGTTGGACCCAAGGGATGGAGTTAGCAAGCCGTATTTCCTTGACTCAGTTAGCTCGACGCTAGTGGGTGTTGCTTTCACATATGCAACCGTTCATGTACAATAAAGTTAACACTCGATTAGAACTATCCCTAGCACCGTAGCTATACTTGATTATGATGTTACCATTAATGTCGATATCTGTTGTCATTTGCAGCTTTCAAATCACCCTCTCCATTCTCACCCATTCCTCCTCTCATGCTCTCCTACTACTCCATTACGACATAAATATCACACTTCACAATAAACTCCGACACGTCTGTTTTGACTGCCTTCCCCGGCTGCCCGTCCAACTCCAGGTACGTATGCCTCGCGTCCAAAAACCCGATAGTCTTATCTGGACCATACACACCACAGCTGTTCCCGTCCGGGAGAGGACCGGCCGGGAACGACAACTGCATGCTGGTCGCGATGATTTTGCCCTCGCGATCGATTGCACTACCCCTGAATAGGTTGAAGTAGAATTTGCGGAAGTGCCCCGATGTGTCGATGCCGGCTGCGGCATGGGCGCCGGTGACGTCGTTGAAGACGGTGACGGTGAGAGGGAGGTAGCCTTTGATCGCCGCAGCATTGGGTTCAGGGCTAGTGATGGGGGCTGCGAGGGCGGCTGTGAGGAGTGCGGCGCTGGAGAAGAGGGAGCGCATTTTGATAGGTTTGCTTCTTGGCTGAAGCGGATGCAGTTTGTTTTGAGTACTGGAGCTGTGCCGCACGCGAACTGGGTATTGCTGATTGCGAGATTCGGATGGCGATGTAGCTATGCTCGTAGATCGCGTTGCCTTTATAGGGTTTGTTCAGCCTGATGATTCTCAATACGAGGAGCTGAGAATGTTACCCTGTCACGAGAGCGCCCACCACGTCGGCCGTGAGGGTACCATAACATCGTCGATATTGACACTGCTCACACCTGATTGTCTGGAACCGCATCTCACGAGAGCACAAGCTGACATATACAGCGGCGATGTGGGCGGGGGCTTGTCGCAGCTCGATTTAGTTACGTAGGAGTGGTGAGCACTCGGTGCCCCACGCCGGCCCTCGTCTCTCCACACTCTCGGTATGGGAAAGTAACGAGACGAGGTCAGCGCAATACCGCTCACCAATGCCACGTGCAGCTTGTGTAAAAGACTTTCGCCTTGCAACCGTCAATTTACGCACTATTTCCGGCGCATGACATGGGGGAAAAGACTTCCTGAAACGGATACGAGGCAATAGACGATGTGAGATTATGCTAAAATGAATGATTTGCTATTTGTCCGCTCTCAACGCACATGAACGCTATGCCTTGTCAGGAATACTTAACACCACGAATACACTTACAAAACCTTCCCATCTGAACGAGAATTCAACACTCCTAACTGCTCACATGACCGCGCACAAGCAACATCCCCTGTCTGTCTGTCCCGCCTCCATCTCCGGATATATCTCGTGCACCAGCTCTCTCAACTCCTCGCCCTCGGTCCGCCTTTTCTCATTCCTTGCCTCCTCTTCCTTGCGCAACCTTTCCCTCTTGTCAAATTGCTCATCGAGCGTGTCTTCGAGGACGCGGATATCAGTTCGGAAGCGGCGCTCGCGATCAAGATGCTCTGTTGAGCCCCAGGGTGGGATACGTGGTCCGTAGGGCTGAAGGCGAAGAGGTGTTAAAGGAAGGGATGAAGTCGACAGGAGGGTCAGGTGGGGTGGTGGCGTCGGCGGAGGAGGCGTGCAGAGAATGGAGTGAACATCTGCAAAGCGGACGAGAGTGTCGCGGGTAGACTCGTCATCTGATTTAGTTGGAGCATCGCATCGAAAGTCATAGTCGGCATCTGACGGGCAGCAGATGTATCGTTGATCGGAGGATGTATCCGGAACGTAGTCACAAACTGCATCGCAACTAGCGCGGCGTAGTAATGACGGAAAGGCAGTGTCGATGTTCGTTGGCCGCAAGGAAGAGGGAAGTGTCTCGGGTGCTTGGATAGCGCCGCTTTCAACACAGTCCCGTTGTGTAGGTTTGCGCGTCATACACCACGGGCGGGGACTCCTGAGAGAGTACATCGTCAGGCAGTTCTTCTAAGTGTACAAATGTACCGAGATCGCGGTGCTCATCGTCCGGATAAGAAAAGGTCTGAGGTCGACTTCGCTGTGTCATCGAACAACGCGTAGGTGTCTCCGCTTCCCTTTGGAATGCTTGTGCGTTCGAATTCTGTCGCGCTGTGCGTATCGAACCGGAGCTCGCGTTGTACCTCGTCTAGATGTTCATGCGGTAGCGCTGGAAGTGGGTGCTCGCTCATAGTAACGTACGATGCATGTCATGGTTGAATCTGCAGTGGACCGCATGTTGATAGCTTCTTGTTTGCGTTGTTAGGTGATGTAGCAGGTCACATCCGGGCAGGATTTTGACGTTGACGTTGTTGTTAGCTCCTGGAACGACGGGTGATGCCGTGTGATGTTGATGTGATTCGTGCAACCGTGAACCTCCCAGCGAACGTGTAGGGCGCGGTGGAACATGACAGCGCACGCAGGAGAGCAACCTTGGCGGAGTATCAATGGTGGGGCGTTGAGGTTCTCAGATTCCGACAACAGCGTTGAAATCGTGAATGCCTCTCCGTACGCCCTGCTCGAACTCCCATACCAGATCCCCCGTGAACCCACTTTCACGAATCCTTTTGAGCACCCATAGCTCAACATTGCCAAGCCTGTTGCCCGGTTCCACAGCTTCCATCGCTTTGTCGTTCATTTTTCCCTCGAAAAAGATGTACGCATCGTTGTACCCAATCCTCCACCCATTCTCATATCGCGAGTGATCGCCCAACTTATTTGGGGCTAGATGTTCATGATATGCGCGATGCTGATTGATAGCTTTCCACATGCGTTCGTCCTTGCGATTCCGGGCGCATTCCAGTAGCCCGAAGATGTTGCAATCAGGAATAAAGGCGTGCGGAGGAGGGAAAATGAACCGGTTTTGAGGATCCGACTGTGCTTTGAAACCCCATTCGCCACCGGGCATCCAGTCCATTTTCCAAGTCCAGAAGAAAGCGCCTCCCGCGCGCTGCTGGTATCGTAGTGATTGCTCCGCGCCAAAGATCTTGATTAGATCCGCTTTCGGAGTCTCGCCTGTTTTGAGCCAAGTATCCGCAGATAGAACGTTTGAGTATTCACCGATGATGATTTGGACAGCGCCGCGATCAGTCACGGATCCTTCTTTGCCATCTAATTCTGAGAGCTTGGTGGGGACTTCTTGGATAATTTCCTGAGGCGATTTCTTTTTATCGGCGTCGTTGAAACACCAGTACATATGGGTGTCTATCACGATAGGATTGATGGATCTAGTGGGAGATGCCACGTTCTTTCTCAGCGAATAGTCGATCGCTCGTTTGAGATCCCAAGCGTCTGATATAATCACGGGAAGACTGGAGTCTATAGCACAAACAGCGTCTATGGTCTGGTCGTACCAAGCGTAGAGATTTTCGCTATCCTCGTTGGGCTCGTTAACTAGAGAAATCCCGACGAGCTGAAGGCCTGCAGCTGATTCTCGCGCCACAAATTCAGCGCAACGAATGCCAAGCTTGCGGTTGTAGGGCGAAGTCAAGAATTCTGCCACACCGCTATTGGTTCCAGAATGATCGTTGGTGTTCGCTCCTCCCGGCATAGCATGGAAGTCGATCACAACGCCAACACCGTGGGCTCGTAGTCGTAAAACGAGATGGCGAATGCTTGTCCATGCAGCCGAATAGATGTGAGCAAAATCTTCAAAGGGTGTCCCTCTCGTGAACTCCTCGCCCGGTAAATTCCAGTAGCCGATCGGAAGACGGACGGTGGTACCTGCCGACCATCAGCACGCTTCGAGACTTGCGAAGGAATCTGCATCGAGTCATGCAAACAGAAAACCGCAATTTCCATTCCCTTACCTTTGGCTTCGTCCTTCAACCATGCTATGTCTCTGACGATCCATTAGTTGACCATGGTTCAAAATGCCGGGCTACTGTTGGCCACGTACTCATCTAAGATGGCATTTGCCCAAGCTGCCTCGAACATTTTCTTCGTTTGTTCGGCTCCAATCTTTGCAACCCATGATTTAGCAGCCTCCAGCTCACTCGAACCCGAGGTTTCTTGAAGAAATCGAGAAGGCGACAGCCATCGTTCGAGGACATAGACAGAGCCAAGATTAGTAGCGTGGTGGTAACGGTAACGGATAATATCAAGCGCCGATGGGGCTTGAATGGCCGGAAGTAGGTTTGAGCGAGAATTCATGCCGCTGAAGCCGACCGTTGATGACGGTGCAATCATGCTAGAATTCTTGGAGCTTGACATAGGTCTCGATTTCCTCTTCTCAGATGGCGGTCGCGGGGGCCCCGCAAGGTCTGCATTGAACACCTTGTGCGCTTTACCAATGAAGCCTTTCATGATGTATATAGCACGCTGTGGATCCTCACGCTTGGACGGTCAGCTGAGTGCTAGGTCGGGAGAATAGGCGAATAACAGAAAGACGGATGCAGGGCGAAAGAGAGACTGGAGTGCAAGAGGATTATTGATGACAGGACGAGGTTTGTTTGTAGGTTTTGGTGAGGGTCGGCTTCGGCATAGATAACGCGTTCAAAAAATAGACCTGACAGGAGACTTGCTGGCGCATTGGATGGCGCAGCAACGCCGCGCATTAGTTCGACAGCGGCGGCGAAATGGTCGCACATGCTTCTTAGCGTGACAACGTCCGAGCCAGGAGTGGAGTGTTTGGTTCATATACGTGCAATCGGCAGACCATTCGCGGACGACGCAATTCTCAATGATGGCGGTTTTCCAGGCGACGGCACTGGCAGCCGCCCGCTCATCTACCAAAGGCGTTTCGCTGCTGCACACATATCAGCCATCAGACTGGAGAAACCTAGGAGTCGCACCAAGGGGTCCTGTAGAAATCGCAAGTCAGTGCGTTGAAGCGTGTTTCCAGTCGCCTGGTACGGAAAGCTTTGTTTCAATGCTCAGCTGTTGTGTCACTATACGAGGCTCCACGAGCAGAGCACAGATGCCTCACGATCCCAAGCCATGCCAGCCTCGTAAGCGGTTCCCCAAGAGGCTGCAGGATGCGACTTGAGTAAGACTGCTTCGGCGGGACGCTCGTGAGATGGAGGCTGGGGATCGCGTGCGGACGCTAGGTGATAGGCCAGGCCTACGCTCGCTTGGTGGACCGCATCTGGACGTGGAGGTCGGCGGGTGGGCCTGCTATCGTCCCGACTCGAGCTCGAGCTTCAGCACGACGCGCCTCCAAACACGACACAACAACACCGAGCGCGTGCCCTTCCCCCGGCAGCCTGGCTTCAATCGCACTGGTCGTGTCTTGAACAGTCCTGCTCCTCCCTCATCCATTCTACACGGCGCGTCCGGTCGCTCCTGCTCAATTGGTCCCGCCTCGACGCACGCGTCCCAGCAGAAGAGGAGCTCTCGCATCTTGCACCCCGCACGCCATTTCTACGCCATGTCTGTCTCGCATGCCAGCACCCCCTCCAAGGGCACTCCTCGCCGCGCGCTCGGCGAACTCACGCCCAAGGCGCTGAACACACCCTCCAAACGCGCTGATCCGTCCGACAACACGCGAGCTCACAGCCCGCTGAAGCAGATGCAGACCCTCTCACCGCAGCTCTTCGGAAACAAGGAGAACGTGACTAGCAGCGCGCTCAAGGGCAGGAAGAGGAGCATCAACGAGGTGGACGACGCGGAGCGCATCGACGCGAAGGTCAGGGTCGGAGGGAGCACGACGGGGCACGTTGGACTGAGCGCGGCTGCAATGCGCCTATACACGGTAGCTTGCATCTCAAGCCTGACGTGTTGGTCACGCAACTAATTCGGCCCAGAGCAACACCACCGTCGACCTGCCAGTGCCAGGGTCACCAACCGAGCGCAACACGCCAACACCTGAACCCGAGCTGCAGCATGAGGCGGTCAACTCGCAGGACACACAGGGCACCAACAACTCTTTCTCTGCCCTGGTCAACTACGACCTGTGCGCCAGCCAGCAGAGCGTGCAGCCCGCCCCGCCACGCGCTCCCTCACCACCCTCGCCAGTGGCGGAAGAAAAGAAGTCCCGCGCCGAACTGCTGCGTACGAGACTCGGTTTCGGTATATATAAAGTCAAGACGAACCAAATCGCGAAGAGCGGCAGCGACATCATATCGACGTGGGAGACTACCTATTACGAGCCAGCAGACGCGTCCACATCCATGGCCATACCATCCTTCGATGGATCAAGAGACGCATACCAAGTGCCAGATATCACTATATCGTCAGCCAAGCGCGATCCCCACCCGGTATTCATTAAAGCGAACCTCGATCCTTTTCGTCCCATCGGCAATTTGAAACTCACGCCCGCGCCCGTCCTCCTGCCGACCGCGACCTCCTCTCGGATATTACACGATTACGATATGCCATCGTCTCCACCACATGTCGTCTCGCCTGAACAGCTCAGATCGCCTGTAAAGCAGAGACTGGACTACGCCACGCCTGTGAACCAGAGTCCAAGATCTGAACGGGCGGAAAATGACTTCAGCGACGGAAGCGCACAAAGTGGTTTGAGGAAACTGCAGCGGTTTCAGGAAGGCGAGCTGACGAGCTCGGCGGTCAAGGGCAACGCTGCGAAGGGGCTGATGCAGTTGATGGCTGGAAAGCGGTAGTATGATCTTTCTTGCTGTGGCAGACTACCGCATGAGGACACGGCCACTGTGAATGGGAAGAATCGGCGAGAGGTTAGCTCGAGGAAGACGAGCACTATTCTTCCATCTATTCATGAGCATGCATTGCCATTTGGATCCTAGTAGTTTATATGATTCAAACTTAGTGGATGCAAGCGACACGTGCAGTTTTGTTGGTCACACCAACGATAGGAATCAATTCTCATGGCATGGATCCCCAGACAGCTGCGGCACGAACGCATCAGCAACGTGTCTATAGCTGTTGATGGAAGATGAACGAACGCAGACTGGAGAAGCCTGGCCGCGACCATACCCCCTTGGCGTTAGCGCATCAGCCACAGTGGCGCTCCGCCAAATAATCAACAAAACGTCATTGTCGTAGCTGTCAAGCGGCGTTTTTGTCCTTGTTCTCTACCCTTTCGCTCCGACCACTTTCATACGACACTGTCCATGGCATGCCCCTTGCCCACATAACTCAAAAATCCCTCCTCGCTTCCTCCTACTCCTCCAAACTCGACATGTCAGCACGACGCAAAGCAGCGCCAGCGAACGGTCAACCCGCCCCACTGACCTCGACCATGCCGTCCGGTACGATCCGAACCACACCCGCAGCGCGGTCACCGTTCTTCCCGACTCGCCTCGAACTGCAGCTCCTCGCCATCTATCCTGCCACACTCTTGCTCGGCTCCATTCTCAGCACGCTGACGCCCGCTTTCCGCAATGCGCCCTACTCGCCTGATCTCCAGTCGCACGACCCAGCGTTTGCGCCTACATATTTTGCAAAGAAGAAGAACATTTTTAACGTCTGGTTCGTCAAGAAGGGCTGGGGCTGGACGACTGTTGCATTCGTCGCATTTCTCTTAATGTGGCCTGGTTTCGGCAAGGGTTTGTCTGTCAAGAGGATGCGAGCCATGCTACGTTACAGCGTCATTACGCTGTGGTGGTGCTTCGTCACGCAATGGTTTTTCGGGCCGCCCTTGATCGACCGCGGATTCCTCTTCACCGGCGGCCAGTGTGAAATGCTGAACGACCCATCTGCGATGGAAGACATGAGCGACGCAAGGGTATATCTCACGGCGGCAGCATGCAAGAGGGCAGGTCGCAAGTGGGCTGGTGGACACGATATCTCCGGACACGTCTTCCTGCTCATCATCGGCTCAGCGCTCCTGTGGTTCGAGACCCTACCCGCTCTTACGAAGTTCGAGGGGCTTCGCGATGGTCGCAGAATTGTGCTTGATGATGGCAAGGTTGCGACTGTAGCTGTGGAAAAGAGTCCAGCATCTGAGCAGGACGAACTCACGAGGAAAGGAGTCCCATTGCCGCTTGGTGTGGCCGGCTTCATGTGGTGGATGCTCTTGATGACGGCGGCCTTCTTCCATACGTGGTTTGAAAAGTTCACTGGACTTGTCGTTGCCTTCCTAGGATTATGGGTAGTGTATTTCTTGCCGCGAGGGATCCCAGCGATCAGGGCCGTTTTGGGGATGCCTGGTGTGTAAGAGGCTCTGATTACTGAATCGATGGTTTTCATGAATGTACGATACGATAGTAATCCTGAATGTCATTACATCCTCCATCTGCTTAACCCTTGTCCTCTTCGATCTGCCCCTTTGTTGTAGTGACCAGCCATCGGGATTCGTAAGTGCTCGCTTCAAATTACAAATGTCTGCACGCCATCTAAGAATTATCGATACACGAATCATCCATGACGAACAAACCCAAGATCCATGGGCACATCATTTTAGTCCACGTTCTGGCATTAGCTCGGCTCGGAAATCTTGGCGGGCCGAGGCCTCCTCTTCCGTCACCAAGCATGCACCTAGATGGCGTCCTCTTTCTCAGCGCGCACAGTAGTATTTGCCGACCATAGTAATATCGCTCATTTGACCATCGCACACCCATGTACCTGATGCCCCATTCAGCTCATAATGCCGGAAGAAAACTGGGCTATGCACGGCGGCACCCCTGCCTGTGACCTATGCCACTCGAGAAAGGTTTGTAGTCCTCAACATACCGTGATTTGCATAGTGCTGAATGGTTGGAGGTAAAATGTGACCGCCAAGATCCGTGCAGAAATTGCACGACTGCCGCTGTGCCATGTATGCGAACAAGACAGAAGAAGGCGCCGCCTTCGAGGGTTAGAACGTGAGTCTAGAGGGGCGAGGAAGTGCGAAGAGCTTGCTGATTATGTATAGAGACGAGAAAATCAAGGCTCTTGTAGAAAAGCTGGCGACACTGGAGAATGCTGTTCGCACCACGGGTGTAGGTGCTTCGTCCATTGGTTCAGTGCCGCCATCAGCAGCAGCCATGTCCAACAGCGTGTCAAGCATGGGGGACGACATATCCCCTCGACCCGCGAAGCGCAGCAAGAATGAGGCGGGATCCATCGGAACGGTGACGTCCACACAGGATCTCCTCTCGCCCCCGGACTCTGTGACTTCGCAGCTCTATCGCAATGGCGGAGCTCGCGAGCACATCGAAAAAGAGCTGACCCTTAACGAGAGCTTAAAAAGCCATCAGAAAAACGTTTTCGAAACAGCCATTGCTTTCATCGACCAGTTGTCGCAGGGACCAACGACTAGTGTAGAGGAGCAAGCCTGGAACCTCAATGTAACAACAGACTTCTCGAAAGGCGAGCTTGTACAGATCGTAATCGCCAGTCAGCACATTCTTTCCCTCGTGTTCATGCCTTGAGCTGATTACCCTAGGCCAACAATCCGATGCCAACCGAAACCGGCCCGACATGCAGCTGTTCCTACTCGATCACATTCCGCCTCAAGCACTAAACAGGATGGCAATGTGTCTGCTAGAAGGTACCGCGAGCGAACAGACGCTCAATTTGTGCAAGGTAATTGTGCATTTCAAGGCATGTCTGAGCCTGTATGCGAGCCAGCTACACTCGCCGAAGGATCGTACGATCCGGGAACATGTGAAGGAATTGCAGTTAAGACATCTGAATGCGGCGCTTGGTGCCTTGAATTCTGTGAGCGTTATGGCGAGACCTAGTCTATTACTGCTTCAAGCGCTCCTCACTGGGGTGAGTATTGTCCTGATCCAGGACCACAGCGTGGGCACACAGTTCTGGGTTGACAATGTGGCCTATGCAACACAACTCATGACCCGCCGCAGCGCTCAATCCTGATAACGCACTGTCCAGAAGACCCAGACACTAACATTGCGTCTCTAGTCCATTCTCATGTATGTCGTGGGGAACTCCCAGAGCTGCTGGAATCTAGCTGCGTACGCTTCGCGCACTCTTGTCGCCCTCGGCTATCACAACATTCACAGCTTGGCCCCCGGGAACGAACAGGAGCAGGAAATTCGTGCGGCTGTGGCTTGGTGCTACCATTTTGACAGGGTCATGAGCCTCTTGCTGCTCCGTCCACCATCATTACCACCTCTTCAGATCCCAGTCGTCTCGCTAGTGTCCTACAGCCCAGACAACCCTATGGCCATCTTTGCTCTTGTCATGCTTGAGCTTGTACCTATTCACGAGAAGGTTCTGGATCTGACGCTCGCCAGTCAGAGGCGGAAGATGCCAAAACCGGAAGCGGAACCTCAGGTTGACGAATTGCGCCGAAAGATGGACGATATTTACAGTACGATCGAAAAGGCTCGAGCGGACAGCCCTATCACCCACAGCCCAGATTACCAGCTCCACTGGCACAGCCTTGAGTTCAAATTTTTCTCAACGCTAACAGCAGTCCACCGCCTCAGCAACACCGTATGCTTCTGTGTTTCTGAGCGCGAGAGGTGCCTATACGCTGCGCGTCGCGCTTTGCAGTGCGTAAAGTCAATACAGGATCTTGCTAAGCAACAAGACCACTTTTTGGAGGAGTATAGTCCGTATCTTGCTTGGTGAGTCCAGCTATCCGAGCGATCCCTCCTCACTCCTTTGCCCCGGCGCCGCCACGAGAAACCGTGCGCGGGCGACTTATGCGCTTGCCCATCAACGTTCCCTTCCGCGTCCACTAACATAACATCGCAGGACAATACTCTCATACCCGCTTTCACCCTTCTTCGTCCTCTTCTGCAATGTCGTTGGTACCTCGGATGTGCGCGACTTTCAACTTCTTCAGGACGTGGTTGACAGCGTCTCCTCCCTCGTCATCGAGAACAAGCACGTAGAGCGCCTCACACGTCTTTGCAACGCGCTCCTTGCGCTTTGTAGGCCGCTCGTTCAACAGCACGGAAGTGCGGCGATTGTGCAAGAACAGCAGGCTGGTCTGCTCTTGAACTTTGCTTCTGGAAATGAAGCTACCGCAGCTGAAGATGGCTTAGCGACTTCGCAACTGACAGGAGAACCGCAAGAAGAGAGCCCAGTGAAGGAGCCGTGGCAGGACGATATGATGTGGCAGTTGTTCCAGGCTCAGCCTAGTCTGGAGTGGTTCAATTCTGATATCCTGGATCCGGCGTCATGGGATTTAAACTTGCCAAGCTGAAGTATACCTCTGGAACAAAAAGGCTGTCTCCGGCTCTTGTCGCCCAGTCCCAGCGCATGGAAGGTCGGGCCGTCGGGTCTCGACACTCTATGCAGCTGTTGTGTTCGTCATCGGCACTGGAGTATCTTTGGGTCCCTTGCTCTTTGCATCTAGGCGATGTCAGACAAAGTCTGTATCGATTGCTAAAGACGCAGGTCTCCTACATTAGCATGACCGTATGAAATATGCCTCGGTAGCTGAGAGAGCGGTCTAAGTGACACAGACAACGCTGGCGGTATGAAACGCGCCGATCTGACGTCGTTATGTATGCCACGCCTCGCTGAGTCCAATGGAATCGTATTGTCGTATACCACTGGCTTTCTCCCGACTGTTCCTTGTACGAACGACTTCTATTTTACGGGTGTGGCGTCCCTTCACGACCACTACTGCTGATTCTGGGAGCCAGTGACCGCTGCTGTTCTCCCAACGGCGAGTTCGTTTCTTGGAACAACAACGGTCCTGAGACTGTTATCAAGGTTGCATCTGACCCACTGCTCAAGGGACCACTATAACATCTTCTGCTTGGATGAAAGCACTGCTGCCCTCCATTGGACGACTCCTTACGCTAGCGTTGGGCTTCGCCTTATTTTCAGGCTTCGTATATTGCTCTACCGGCGCGCGGTCAGAAGGTTTCGATTCTGGTCCCTTGTCGACGCCCTCCTCTTCGCTATCCTCTCCTCCTCCGTTGCCATCCTCTACAACGTCTCTGCCAAGATCACCTTATGCAAGTAGCTTGGCACCACTTAGCTCTTCTGTCTCGGGCTCTGGCTTGAGGCATGGATGACCCAGATCGGACCTCATCAACCTCGCAATCCCCATGGCATGCGTCTTCATCACGCCAATCGCTGGCGGCAACTGTCTCCTATGTCGGTGGTCAAATGCGAGAGAAATGGGAAGCAGCGTGCGGCGGATCTCGAGATCGGGCATGCTGCCTGGCAATCGACGGCGTCAGTTCTCAGAGCGTAGAGTATGATTGAATCACCGGGTTATCATGCGAGGGCGTTTCCCGGGTGCGGATGCAGGGTACGGCTCGAGTCGAGAGAGTAGCGCGACGATGTGCCCCTCCGAAGATGGCGCAACTTCACCATTCTCGAGGTAGCCTGTCCCGCTTGTTAGTAAAGAGGGGCAATCGCATTCGAGTCAAGGCAGCCCGTTTCTTCCCTTCGCCTCGAAGCTCGTCTTTTCAAGACGTTAGTCCGCCGCAGCATGATGTAGGAAGGGACGCGCCCGCACGGGGAGCGTCGTGGTAGTCAAGTCGGCTGTCCACCTGCTCGCTCGATAGAAGAAGGAGAGTGATGCTCAGTCTCCTCTTGGTCTATCGGGATTCGACGGCCCATAACCTCGAGACACTTCTCCCTCGCGGCAAGGGGACGCCGTGATGGTTCTCTACAGCGACGCAGGACCGTATTCCTGGCGGCCCGCTTGCTTAGCCTAGCTTGGAGAAAGCCAGGCAGTGGGAGAGCTGCGCGTACGCAATACCAAACCCATTCAGGGCACCGCTTTCATAGTGAAGCTTGCATCATATTGTGGCCCGCGCAGGTAGTCGGCCGACTAGCGTGCGTGCAGAAGCTATAAAATCAAACCCAGCTACTGCTTCCATCTCCCCGCACCGCCAAAACAACCACCACTTTTCAGTCGCCAAACCTTGTGTCGCCATCATGGGGCCACAAGACCTCCCTCGAGAGCTGATGCGGTTGACCTGCCTCTACCTCGTCGACGACCTGGGTCTAGAACCTGCATTGAGGTCTGCTTTTGCTGTCCATACGTACATCTAAACTTTCACCCTTTATTCCTCCAGACTTCTATGCGTCTAATCCGTGACTGCCTCAGGAAATCACAGGGAAAACATATTAACAATACATTGTTAGGATCCAAGACTCTCTATACGGAGACCCTCAACGTCGTTCTCAAGCGATGCCCCATTTCTGACTTTGGAAGGGGACTTGGCCGCAAGATCCTGAGAGTGAACCTGGCCTCCTTCCTTAAGATTCGCGTGAGGCAATATCGGCTGGGAAAGCTGGAACCAATGAAGAGCTGGCGCACGAAGAAGCTGGAGCGTGAGCCATACTTCTTGCCAGATTACATCACCAGGGTGCTTCATCGTATCGAAGAGATCTCTGGCGAGCGTATTCGCGATGATGTTCGGATTGAGCGAGAGTCCATCCTCTGCGACGGTGAGTGGTGTACGAGCCCGACATGATCAGCTAGAGGCTGTGAGTATCATGCGCCTTTTGCTGTAGACGTATCTCAAGTTGATACAAGCTCGTTGACCCCAGGCACGGTTGTTCAGGTTTGAGCCAAAAGCTAATATAGTATAGTCATGGTGTATCATCATGGACAAAGCGACTGGGCCAACAATGCGAAGATGACAGGCCAAATCTGCTCGGAACAGGATTTTCTGCGGCTCCTAACTCAGGATAGGAATTCGGCAACGAACAGGAACCTCATCAAGAAGTGGGAGGAGACATTCCCACAAGCTTGCATTGGGGCACTCGCTGCGATTGGACACTATGAGGTATTGCAAGTCGTTCTGAGCCCGTCTAAGTGCGAGATGTGGAACAATTCGTACGCCTTCCCGTACGCATTTTGTGCTGCAGCATTCGCCGGACAGTATAGCGTCATCGATGAAATTCTGGACGTCCTCAAGGATTCTCTTGCGCTCGAAGACATCTCTCCACATGCACTGATTGGGGGCGCTGCATGTGCACTCAAGAACGGAAAACTGGACATTGCCAGAGATATCCTAGAGCTTGGCGACGACTTCTTGCCGGTGGTGGCTTCTAAAACTTTCCCAGCCTTCCTAGCCGAAGCCTTGGCCAGCGATGATGCTTCCTTCATGTCATTAGTGTTGGACATGGCGCACGATGACAACCGCAGATGCTACATTGATGCCTTTGCGAACGCGTGTATGAACGGCCAAGTCACTATTGCGGGTCTCTTCTTTGAGAAGAACAAACTCAACATCAACCAGAACTTCGAAGTGGCAGGTAAGCGCATCTCGCGCCCGTAGTATTGACCTTCACACTCGCTGGACTTTGCTAACTCATTTTCACGATATTTAGGACTTGTCGAATGGCCTGTTCTTGAGCATGTAAACCCTATTCTAACAGCCATAACGCAGGCTCCAAGCAGCAAAGCTCGTGCAGCGCTCGTCGGGGAGCTTCTTCGCTTGGGTGCGAGTCCGGATGGCCCAAGGATCATGAACAGAGGCTTTTGGTCTCTCCCAGTACCAGCAGCTGTGCGAATTGGTTGCCAGGATACAGTTCTGGTCTTGCTGAACAACGGTGCGGACTTGATGCTATCTAACAACCCAAAGTACAAACTCGAGAAGATGCGGGTCCTGCGATGGATCAGCGCCCGATTCCAGCATGGGCTCCAGTACCTCATCAAACCCAGCGTGAGACAAGAGCTGAGGAACCAGCTAGGGTCCGGCCCGGAACCGGACCGGAAAGAGCCCAACCCCTTCCTCATGCTTGCCGTGTCTGTGAAGGACTACCGTTGGGACGCTGTCCGCTTGCTACTCAACCGCGGAGCAAATCTGCGTTTCCGACCGGCTGATTGGTACTGTCTCGCGGCGTGGGACGACATCCTGAAAGCTATGCATGCATACTTCAGTGACGGACGACGCGACTTTCTCTCTGATGTAGCTTGGTGGAGACTGAACAATGAGTTGGGATACATGAGCGAAATTGCGAAAGCCGCCCACGATCTAGCCTCCACGATCACGGGATGAACTATTCGAAAGATGGCAGAGCGGTATCTGTATGTTGAGCTACATCCTTCAGATGTTTTCCACGGAAACTAACATATGTCGAAGGGGGCATTAGGCACATGCAAGACACGATGGATCCCGGCTGATGGGCACAACAACCCCCATTGCTTCTAAGCACGCATGCTAGTGGAGTTTGCTCATTGATTTGTCCGGTCTGACGGGTATATTTTTTCTAGTTGTCTTTGCAACGCTCGCCTTCTTGCCCGAGCTACTCTCAAGTCCTGAGGCTGCTTATAGTCTCCTCTTGGCTTTCTTGTCCAAAACGTTCTATCGAACTCTGCCTTAGTAGCACGTCTATCCCACCGGGAATTACACAATAGACCTGTTCCTTTCTTCCTTTCGAGCAATTTCAAGAATGCTACTACTCATTCGGTTGCTTGAATCTCGTTGCATGCTCCCAGACTCTCGGTCCCGGAATCTCGTACCCCGTCACGTTTCCATGAATATTCACCAATACGCCTTTGTCCCTCACACCGTACAGTTTCTCCCCAACAACACCACCTTCCAGCTTCTTCGCATCCTTACCTCCACCACCCGAAACCTTCAAGTTTACACACTGCGGATACGCCTGCGCCCCATCCACCTCCTCTGCCACATGCAGCGCGATAATTTCATGCCGCAGCACATAGCTCCCGTCCACCAACGCCTCGGGCACCTTCACCATCCAACTCGCTCCGTTGGCCCGCAGCACATCGGTCGCCCACGTCCCTCCCAGCGGCAGCACGTCCGCTCCCGAACTATTCAGCCACCCTACCTCGTCGATCTTGACCCAGTCCAGCGTCTCCTTATCCGCCCCCGCGCACGAACCTGCGCACGTGGCCAGGTACGTCAAGACCGGCCCCTTGTGCGACGCAGGCCACTCGTTCCACTGGACTCTCAGCACGTCTCCTGGCGCGGTAGGGATGTGTAGCGCGCCTGGCGTGGAGTTGAAGTGGCATGTTATGTTGGAGGTGTTGAACTGCGAGGGTGGGACATAAACGTTTCCGAGGTTGGCCGCGCGCCAGGCGGTGAGGTCTTGGAGTTGTGCTTGCGGGGTGGCGGGGTCCCAGCCTTGGTAGACGGTGCCGGTGGGCGTGGTGATGTTTGTGATGCGGCCGTGGGCGGACGCGGTGGGAAGGAGTGCCGTCAGGAAGAGACCGGGTGAGAGGCGCATTGTTGCGACGCCAGCGAGCGTCTTGTCAGAAGTTCGAGGAGAGTGTCTTGCGCCAGGAGGAGTGTTGCTGAGCCTACACTGATCTGGTGCTGTATTCAACTAGTAACAAGATTCTGAGATTATCTTCGCATCTCGTTGGCCGTGTTCTGGGCATCGCCGCCCGAAAGTGACCAGCGGCCTCCAGAGCATTTTATGCAGGACACGCATTGCAATTTACCAACTACACTTCTGTTACGTGGGGCCGAACTCCACGAAAACGTGCTCAATCCGTCTATTTCCACAGTGCTACTATACACTCGGCGACCACGTGATGCTATGCATCGGTTATATTGTTCGTGTGAGGTCACGATCCCTGCCGTGACCCGAGCTGCCGGCGCCTATATGGTCGAAACAACATGGTAATTTGAAACGCCCAACACTGGCTAAGATCAACGCGCGCTCGGCTCATGTGGTTCGTCAACATGTCTGGAGTCGGCACGAATAGTGGTATAGAGGAAATTACTGCGGCTTGGATGCCCGCCAAGCGTAAATTGCTGTGGGTAAAGGCTGTGTAGTGTTGATTTGTGCGAAGGAGCGTTACTCATAGATACATTCGATTTTACTCAGGCCTCGGTCTCGTCTAACTTTGTCGGTTGTCAATCTCGCCATTCTCTCTGTAGTATGCAAAAGAGAGAGAAAGAACATTGAAAAGTACATACAAAGACTTGCGTGCTGGGATGCAAAGGCGCGCTTGGAACCGCCAGGCCACTGCCCTATTCAACGCACTTGTGTCTGACCATACTCTGCACTTCCCTTGGTGCCTTGTCAAAACCCCTTAACATCTGACCTGCAGCAATAATCTTCTGTTTTCCATTTTCCATTGTCCAATTCACGTGTACACTGCGTCTTCCATCCATATTCAAAGCCTGGTGCGCGCTTTTAACCCCTCCTTTGGCTGCCGTGAACTCTTTTAGAAGTTATCAATGAGGTTGCGCATTAAGTTAAAATTGAGACCCTCAGAATTGTGGCGCAAGGATGTGTAGCAGAAAACACACTTCGGGGAAGTTGTGATTATGACGGTTGCCAAACGCTCAGCTGGCCTTCATGTGGGAGAGACAGCCAGGAGTAGACGCATAGACCTTCTTGACTGCATGTACAATCGTAAACTCTTGGGTCGCAAGACGTTGACACAATTCTGGATGAGCAGACCGAAGTCAAGTTCAATCCTGAGGCTCAGTCCGCACATCGTGGAGCTGCTCTGTCTCTTCAAACATCTCGTAGTATCTTTTATAGTCCTTACGAACGTCAACTGTCTGGCGAGTTTTTGGGTCTGAAGATTTGAAACTGATTGAATAGTGCCGGTAGCGTTCCATGTCGTTTACGACGGGGCCGCCGTAGTCTCGCTCCATCTCTCCGTTGCCGGGTAGTATGAAATAGTTTCGGTTCGGAACAAGACATCTGCCACCAAGTCCAGCCGCCTCCGGAACAATCTCGTGCGGTTTTTGTGGAACCGTTTTGCCTACACAGTACTTTTCCTGCGATGCACCAGTGAATGCAACAATGTTGAAGAAATCATTGGGTGTCATCAGACACTTTACGTTGTGAAAGTAGTGGGGCCTTTCTGACGGACACCAAAGTCTCTCAATCCTTGGTTGTATCAAAGTAGTAGTGATAGACGTGTTTTTGATGAACAAGCTCGCTCCGGTAATGGAGATGTAATTCACGTCCACAATATTTTCCTCTTTTGTTTTCCCTTTACCCTTAGCACCAGGCGAAGTTGGGTGAGTCATTCTAGGAAATAAGTAGGATGGGAGCAAGTTTTCGAGCACTTCGCGTAGGGTTTCTTTACCCTTCATTCCGGTATGCCCATTCAGTCGCTCCTTCCTTGCCCTTCTTTGCCTGGCAAGATTTTTCCTTTGGCTTTGGACCTTCGCTTTCGTTTTCCGCTTTGGGTGGTGAAAGGGTGCAGGCATGATTCTTTAACGGATCTGCCACTTTGGGTGGACGCACTAGGGATTGAAAATCTCGGGATGAGTGATTTAGATGGGGATGTTGGGAGTGGGAGGGTGCTAGAGATTACATGTGGAATGCACTGAGCGTGTTTAATGCTGGTTTCAGAAAGGAGTATTCTGCGGTGGAGAGAATGGAGGCGTTGGATGAAGCGTGTTCTGAAATGGTGAGTGTCAGGGATGATGCAGGTGTGCTGGGAAATGGCAAGACGACTTTCGAGTGGCTGAAGGAGTAGCGGGGGTGAAGGCGACGGCGTAAGATTTCGAATGTGCTGTATGAAACTGCAACAAGCATATGAGGGCGGCTAGGGAGGTGAATGATAGAAGACTTGAACGGCTTCGTGGCTTCATGGTCGTGTAACTTTTGAGCTCCACACATGTCCATGCTTAGCTTTTACATACGATAAACGTCCCTCCCTGTCATCATCCTCTTCTTCTGAGCCGGCTTGGTCTGATAACCCTCCGTGTCATTCCTCCCACTACCGGCACTGAACAAGCTCTCCACCTTTGCAAAGACCATCTCCGTATACGGCACACTCGGCGCATCGTAATCGATCGTAAACACACTGACACTGATGCCGCCGTTTGCAACGACATATGTCTCGCCAGGGAGACTGCAGTCCCCGTTGTAGCACGCGTTCACGCCAGCAGCAAGCGGCCGCACATTGCCCCAGGTGAACGTCTTCTTATCCTCGTCATACACGGCGACGTCGGTCTCGGCCTCGCCCGTGAGGCGGGACTTGACGACCGGCGGGAGGGTGTCGTCAGACAGCTCGGGAATGTTGACGTTGATGCCGTAGCCGAGGGGCAGGACGGCGGAGCCTTCGGTAGTCGCGTTGATAAACTGCTCCACCACGGCATAGGAGGCTTTCGCTGCGAGGGCAGCCGGGTGCGTGGCGTTGGTCACGTTGAAGTAAGCCACAGCAGAGTTGCTGGCACTCAGAGCGATTGCGGGGATGGAGCGCGAGACAGCGGCGTACGTGGCACCAAGTGTGCCGCTCAGGCTGTACACGAAGGGCCCGAGGTTGGTGCCATAGTTAGGCCCCGCGAGTGCCAGATCGGGAGTCCATCCTGGGTAGTATCGAGGGAGCACGTAGTCCAGGGCTACAAACGTGCATGCCGCAGGGGTGCCGTTGTAGTACCAGATGCTGCTGTCGTTGGGATCCGTTCCCACAGCGGGCGCCCCAGCGGGCACGATGTCGTACTGCGCGGGGGAGGTGAGGTTGGCATATGTGGAGAAGTCAGAGCGGCCGCCCTGACCAGACTGCTGGGTTGCAGGCGCGACGATGAGAACGTCGTGGCCCGCAGCCTTGAGCAGCTTGTACAGCTCGCGGAGGTTGCCAGACCCGAAGCCATCGTCATTGTTCATGAGGATGTTGAGGGCCGTTGCGGTGGGAGCGAGCGACAACGCTGCCGCGAGAGTGGTGGCGACCTTCATCTTGGCTCAATGGCAACGATCAAGAAGTCAATTGACGATGGAGGCAGAGCTGCAGGAGGGCCATGGTGCCTCTTAAACGCTGTGGGCAGCGCGTCTCGCCGATGCCGCGCAGACCGACTGTCGCGTGCTCCCCTTCCCTATGCAACTAGCAGTTCGCTAAGCATGCAGGTACCGTGCTGGCTCGCAGCATCGGTCAATCACCGCTGGCAGGCGGGCTTGTCTACCGAGTTCCACGTTCCCGGGTGATAAGAGGTGCGAAGAGTTGGGGTAAGCTCATGAGGCTAAACGGAGAGGGGAAGGTGGAGATAAGCAGGGCCTCGGAGGTCGGCGCCTGGCTACGTACGGTGGATCGTAGCTGTAGGCTAACGACATATACTAACGTCAACGATGCTGGAAAGATGCATGGATAATATTTGTGCGGAAGAAGCGGCGCAGTAGATGCGATAGCTCCAGTCGTGATAAGCTCGACATGCCCAATGTCCATATCAGTCTTCAGCCTACAGGTACGGTCTCAAGACTTCATGTGTATGCTCCCAAACCTTCGCCGACGCCTTTTCCCTCAGCACGTGGACGACTTTGTCATTTGGAGTCGAGTCGCACTTGTAGTTGGCAAGGAACAGTCCTCCGTCGCGCGTCCTTAGCGTGCTCGTGCCAGCCTGTCCTGTCCAGGGCACACCACGGCCCCCGAACGCAGCGCTGGTGCACAGAAACAAATTTCTTTGACCTGCCACATCATCTGTGGAAGATATCAATCGGATCAGCGGCTCAAGTAGACCCCAGATAAACCAATACAGAATAGATTGACTCGCGTGCAGCCCTCTCCACACGTTTCCTGTATTCACCATGCCCGGCCAAGCATGAATGAAGGTAACATCTGGGTGTTCAGACGCCGCCTTGTCCAGGAAGACGGTTTGCAGGGCCGCATAATGTGGCTGGGCGGTCGTGATGCCGAAGCTACCCGGTTTCTCAAGGTCAATGTCGTCCACGTTGATGCTGCTCGTGCGTTCCATGCCACCGCCCAAGACGCTGACGACCCGCGGAGCTTCGGATTTCCTCAAGAGAGGAAGCAAGTGCAAGATAAATAGCATGCGTGTGTAGTAGGATAGTACGAGTGACGTCTCGAGGCCTTCAGAAGTCTCTTGACGGACGCCGAAGGGTGAATATCCTGTCGTAAGGAAGAGAAGGTCAATGCGGGATTCCCTGCTCTTGATATGTTCACACGCCTTCTTCCCTTCGGCGAGCAGCGAGACGTCGGCTTCAACCCAGATCACTTCAGCGCTGGCGTTCACGGTTTGCAATTCCTGAATGAAGCGGCGGCTACGCTCCTCGGAGCTCGGGCGCCCGATAAGGTAGATTCGTAGGCTGGTTCCCGTCGCTACCAGAGCGCGAAGGGTGAGCTGGCCGATGCCAGAGGTTCCTCCCACGAAGACAGCCACGCGCGGGGCGTTTGCGTCATTGATGGAGGCGTTGGACGCTTGGATGTCCTTGTAGGCGACCATGCTTGAAGGACGCTGAGATTGAGGACTTGGTGAGACTGGAGAGACAAGGCAAGGCTGCTAGACAGGTATAAGTATGCGTTCGTATTCGTACGAGTGTTCATCCGTGTTCCTCCATAATCCTTTCGGACGAATTCCCAGGCGCGCCTTCCACTCGCGCTGGGGGAGTGACAGCCATCAAACGTGGTCCAATTCACACACACACGATAGCCTGGATGGCTTCATGTTGGATGCTGCTCCGCTCACGGACTCGAAGGGTGGACGAGAGTGGAGCAACCCTCGGCACGTGGCGCGAGGCTAGCGTCATCGCGGTCCTGTCTCCACCGACGTCAGGCATTGAAGGACCCTGGAAGCAGGCACCGTCTTTCTGGTTAATCCACTCCTCTGCTGCATCTATTGCTGGTGTTGCTCTCGTATCCTCCACCCAATTTATTGGGCTTTGCAGTGAATCTGGACCTTGGTTTGCAGAGGGCCACCCGCCCCAGCACGCGACCCATCCTCGCGCCGCCGCCTGTCTAGGTACCCGCCTCGGACGGCGCCCTCTTTCCGTCGTCTCAACACACCACCATGGCGCCTCTCCGACTGTCGATACCGACGACGCACACAGAATCAGACGGTGGCAAGGAGTTCACCACGTACGAGATCCGCATCGAGCACCCCTTCCCGCGGGCATCGACGTCCCTGCGAAAGCGCTACTCGGACTTTGCGGCGCTCGACTCAACACTGCGCTCCCACGTCGGCCCACCTCCAGCGTCTCTGCCTCCGAAATCCTGGCTTGGCGGCTTCCTTGGCCTCGGCAGCACCCTCGGCTCTCCAGAACAGATCGAGAAACGCAGACAAGCGCTGGAGCAGTACCTGCAGGCGATCGAGACAAGTGAAGACGGGCGATGGCGTGTCACACCGGCGTACCGCGAGTTTCTCGACCTCGGCAGCGACAAAGACAAGAAGACGGCCAATCTTCCCGGCGCGCAGTTCGGCAAGGACAGAGTCAGAGATAGCACGGACTGGCTGGACAAGTACCAGGAGGTGAAGAGCAACCTGCAGGACGCCCGACGGTGGTTGACGTCGAGAGAGCAAGCCACCGCTGCCACGGCGCAGCACGAAGCAGGCGCGAACGCGAAGAAAGGGCTTGTCAGAGCCGGCACCCTTCTATCCGCGCTGGAAGAGGGCTTGACCAGGCTGGGCGGCGGCGGCGATGGATGGGGCGGTGACAAGCTCGGCGACGGCGAGATACGGCGACGACGCGATCTCATCGGCACATCCCGCAAGGAGCGCGACGGCCTGGAGAGCGTGCTGAACACCTTGGCCGTCAAGGCTGCCGCGTCGGGGTCCACCTCATCCGCACCGTCGACGAATTCGGCTGCCGCGACCAACGAGCAGAAAGCCGGCCTTTTCAGTCGGGCCAACCAAGGTGCTGGCAGATCAGGCCGCGTCCTCGGCGGCCCCGCCAAAGAAACCGAACGCACCCGGGAGCTCGACAACGACGGCGTGCTCCAGCTCCAGGAACAGATCATTGCCGAGCAAGACCAGGATCTAGTGGATCTAACCACCGTGGTCAGGCGGATGAAAGAGATGGGCGTCCAGATCAACGACGAGCTGCAGTACCAGAACGAGCTCCTCAACCAGTTCGGCGACGACGTCGAGCGCGTCGACGGCAAGATGAAGATTGCGAAGAAGCGCATTGCGAAGATCAGATAGGTTGTGTGCATCGGCACGGTGTTTTGCTTGATTCGGCTTGTTGTTGTTGCTTTGCATATACCCAGTTTACTAATGAGCACATACGTACATGCATCCAGCGTCTTCAATACAATTTGCAGCTTCATGTCCCACCTCGTCCAGCCAACTGTCTAAGCGAGGCGTACATCATGCATGCACGGCAGGGATTCGCTGTGAGTGGGCGGTATGCACGAAGAAGAAGAGCTTTGGTATTCACGAGGTGCCAGCCTTCTCTCAGCCTCATCTGCAACAACTTGAGTAGAGTTACTGCACGTGAAGAGCAAGTGAAACACAGCTACACTTACTTCGCCTACATATTTTGGACAAGTAACGGCCACGCCAACACCAGCATCTGCGGACTTCAGACATGGACCCTGCATACGGAAACGTGCTGGTGGACTCTCTTACAGACGGACACCATCCCTAGTCTTGGGCTAGACTCTCTCACAATACCGCGCAGTTCTGATATTCTTTCTGCACTCACATTCCATCATCTGGACGGTGAAGGAGGTGGGGATGGCTCAGAAGGTGCGGCCAGTAAATCTACGACAGAGGAATCACAGTTTTCCAAGAAAGGTCAGCTAGTGAGCCAAGTGTTAGTTCGCAGGAACTTAAGTTCCGTCCCACTTTGGAGCGTACATGCAAACACGACAGAGGTCACAGCAAGGACTGTCCACTCTCACACTGAAGGATATATATACACTCCTGGAGATGGACTTTATCCGAGACGCCTTGCGCCTCCTCCAAGAAGGGTTCCCTGTGTGTACCAGAGATGTGCAGGTTTTTTGATCGGCGGTGCGACCTGATGTGAATGGCTGGTCATTTAGTGGACGATATGGGCCAATATAGTAGACACCTTTCAAAAACGCACATAATCAGCTCCGACAGACCTCATAAATGCTCCATCTGCAACGAAGATTTCCTGTAACCAAAGGACCGCAACCGTCACGAAAGGACCCATGATCAATCAGAAAGCTTCCATACTGAGGAAGCCCTTGTTCGCCAGCCAATCAAGTTGGTGCTTCTTGGCGAAGCTGACGACGCTTTCGAACATGGCATCGCAGCCGGGATTGGCGTGAGCGGCGTTGATGCATTTCCCACCCAACAGCAGGATGGCGAAGATCAGAGCGGCGCAAGTATGAGACTCTAAATCCCAGAACTCTCTCCACAAGCAGATACGCAGCAAGCACCCCAAAATGTCCCCAAAAGTAGATCTTCTCCTGCTCTTGGTTGAACTAGCGAGGGAACATGTCGAGATCGAGGTCATCGATTCGGTCGGCCTCTTTAGTGGGAAGATGGGTACGTCTGGGTGGCTGACAGGAATGTGTTAGCCATGTCTGGTTACAAGCACCGGCAACACCACACCAACGCACAACGTAAAAGTCCTCAACATACTGTGTCAACTTTGGATGACTGATCTGCATGTCAGTCACACAGGGCTAGATGCAGTTTGTTATCTCAGGGGAGATGATGGGTAAGCCGATGGGACGTGGTATTTGCGTTATCACTGTACACTTAAGAGTTCGCTTGTACAGTCTCGCCCGTCCACCTAAGCCCAACTAATTGATGAATTTCAGTTTCCTATGTGTTAACACAAGATGGCTTGTTCACAGGCCAATATCACAGGGCTAAGTGCAGTGTGTTACCCTAGCATAAGTAACAAATAGGTCGATATTACTAAGAATGTTGCCTTGGTACTGTACGCTCAGACATGACCTGCGCTTTTGTACCCGTCCAATTACCAACAAGCTAACGCGAAGACCTACTTCGACACGCCGGCCCATCCCATTTAAGAAAGCAGACACGTCAAAAGCTTCGTCACCTGGGTGAAGAGCCCACCCGCAACATCCACCACATACGACAACACACCCGCGAATACGCTCGTCAGAATGCCAATCTGCGCATTCAACAGACCCAACGCAAGTTTCAAGAACCCATCGATCCAGACGTTCAGGATGCAGAAGAGCTGTCCGAACGTGACCAGCAGCACGAGGACCTGCGAGCCGAGGAGTTCCCAGATTGCTATTCGCGCCGTTAGCTGTGCATATCCAAGACACAACAAGACGTCCAGGAACAAAAAAAAAAAAGACAAAAACTCACAGCACTGCAGCCTACTCAACGCGCCCCTAAGCGTAAACACAATCTCCCACACCAACTCCTGCACTGCCGCCAGCAACTGCGCCCTCACGCTCGCCAAATCCCCAATACTGTCCGTCCACCGTCCAATACTCGCCGTGTTCAGCTGCGTAAGGCTGTAGCAAATCACCGTCACCTCGGACCTGATTTGGATGATGCTGCTAGCCCGCTTCGTCAGGAAGTTGAGGTCGAGCCGGTTGTAGGAGGCGAGCGTGTTGTTGATGTTCAGCGTATGTTTCTTGACCTCGGTGGTGGTGGAGCGCAGGTAGGTGAGGATGGCAGGGGTCGAGGCCACGCTGCCTGTGGCGCCGAGAAGGGCGATGTCGTCTAATGAGCTGATGTGCGGGCCGGCGGCGCCGACTGCAGGCAGAGTGGAAGGCTTAGTAGTGGCAGGGAGTGTGGCAGGCTTTGGAGCGGCAGAAGGTGTGACGGGTTTGGCAACGGCTGAGGGTGTGACTGGTTTGGCGACGGTTGAGGGTGTGACGGGTTTGGCGGCGCCGAGGGCGGTGAGTACGTTCGAGATAGGGATTCCGTTGTCTACGGGGGTGGAAGTAGATAAAGTCGCCAAGGTGGAGAGGGTGAGGAGGGTGAGGGTAGGGAGCTGCATTGTGGTGGCTGCCGTGTAGGGTGTAAACTAAGGAAAGTAAGAATAGAATAGTGTTCGAGCCGGTGAAGGGGAAGTTATCGTGGACTTGCTTTTATATGCGTGGAGCGACTGCAATGTTCTCGTTTGGGGATGTCGTTCCAGAGGAATTTCGTCGTGTCCTTCCGTATGACCGTGGGATCTGGATCGCATTCCGGGCCTGACCTGGATCACCAGGAAGACCTATGATGCTAGAAGCACATAGGTATTGATAAAAGCGGCGGTATATTTGGTGCCCCCTCGAAGAAGTGATTAATCTTCCCTCTTCCTATGGCCGAACCGGCTGAGTGGTGTACACCTACCATAGGTACAACGGGAAATCAGGTGCATTCTCCAATCAGCAAAACTAATGGCGGCATGTTAAACCGCACGTATAGCTTCGCCCGGAGTATACTCCGAGCAAGAAAGTGCTGAAAGGGTGACGAAACAGGGGACCGAATGGCTGGTTCGTAGCAAGGGGTCGCCGCGGAGAATATACACACATTATCTTGGGAGACACGTGCGGCAGCCGGCTGGTCAAGGAGTCAAAGAAGCTAGTAGTTGTGGGACATCCATTAGCTGGGCTTTTCCCATTTCCGTGAATTCAAAAGCTGACCATCTTGTTCCGACTAGGCCTGATCGCTGCTAACATGTACAATACTACTCCAGCACAACTTGTTCTCCAAATTTCGGCAACTCGTAGGTCTCCCTGCACAAGCCGTCCTCACAACCACCGACTGGGAGTCACACATCCTCTTCATGGACAGCCAAGAAAGTCAAGCTCCAAAGCTGTATGATGTCACTCTCGGTAGTAGAGAACGCGCTCAGTGGCACCGGTTGATACCCGTTATTGTACTCCCAACTCCAAACCTCACTACTCAGCTGCGCACGGTTCTTGTCTATCGTATCCCAGAGCGCCTTGTAAGCGTTTTGGACTTTGCTGTGACATTCTGTGTTGCAGAAATCTACAGTAGGTTTAGCAATTGATGTGCGGAGAATAAAAGGACAAGGAATTTGCTCACCAGGTGCACCATCTGCATCACAACGGGCAAGCTGACGACCAAGGCCGGCTGCCATCATGGCCAATTGCCAGCTCCACACCACAGTGCCGTGGTAGTCGGAGTTCTTGAACTGGTCCGAAAGTGACTTGTTGCCGGCGTACGCAGGATTTGCCACAAACAGTCCGACATCTGTAGATAATCCCACAGGAAAGTTTTGTAGGATATGGTCGGCGGTTTGATCTAGGAAAGCGCTGAGCTGCTCTTGGTTCGTAGTGTTGAGCAGGAAATGGCGGAAGCAATCATCCGTGTTCATCACGCGGACAGGTTCATTGTCGGCACCTCCAAGAGCAAGGGCATAGAAAGTGATGTTGCCCGTTATCTGGTCGGTGTTTGAGGGGCCTGCCAGAGCCGCATCGGAGACGTACTGTTCGACGAGCTGTTGGGCGTCGCTTTGAGAAACGGACACTTCGAAGAACTTCAATGTCTCGTCTTCCCAGACTTGCGCATACTTTTCTGCGGTTTCCGCCCATTCTGGGTGATCTGGGAATACACCTGCTTGAGACAAAGTGGCGATTGCACGTAAGCCCGCGGGTACAAGAGCTGTGTTGACGTCGTATGGGATGCGTCCTCCTCCCAACCCTGAACTTGAGTCTCGCCATTCGCCTACCGATTCACCGTCTTTGAGGTGGATCAGGTTGGATGCAACTTGGCTTGAGACAAAGGGTGCGGTGGTGTTCATGATCTTCTCAGCAGTACGCTGTGCTAGCTCCAAGTAAGCGACCCCTGCGTTTTCCTCCAAGAACGTAGCCTTCTTGGAGAGGAACGGTGTTGCCCTGCTCCCCCCAGTGTCTGTGTTTACAAAGTAGTCTCGCATCAATACGGGAAGAAGGAAGTCTGTATCAACCATTTTGTAGTCGCAAGTGGGTGCGCTCGAATCGATACCTTTTTGGCGAGCAAGGAACGAAGCATAGTCACCTAGATTCTCTTCGTGACAGACTGTTCCATCCGTATTATTGATGCGTTCGATTACTGCCCCGATAACAGCCTCTAGTGCGCCACCCTCTCCTTGACTGAGGATGTCCTGCATCAGGAGCGCCGAGAGCATGCTATCGCGACCGAAGTATGTTAAAAACCTCCAGGATCCGGCAAGAAGCTTATTCGAGTAGGACAGGAAAGACAGCGACGTTGTTAGGTCAGCGCTTTCCTTTACGAGACCTTGCGAGGCGTTATTAAGCACTTCGGAAGCGCTCAGCTGATCCAATTGAGGGTAGTTGAAAGTTGCCCTGAATTCGTAGGTTCCAGTGCTGAAACGGAGCCTGCATGTCGACTTAGTGTTGCACGCAAGAGCCAAGAACTGTACCTACTTCCACTTGTCGCCAGTGATGATTTGGACCGCTTCAGCCCCGGAAGTGGGCGTAAAGTCAATCCATGTGGTAGTCATGCCATCGAACCAAGTCCGGTAGAACTGGCCTCCGTCGCTGCCAAACTTCTCTGTCGCGACCGCGTTCTGGACGTCTGGGCTGAGTATTCCTCCACCTTCAGAGTAGTCGCGGATGGAGCGGATGGAGCCAAGGATGGGTAGCGTGAGGAGAGCTGGCGTGTCGAAATGAATGAGACCTTTTACCCCTACACGAGCATTCTCATTCTTGGCTCCGTCTGCGGCGGGCTCGTTGACAGTTTCCAGCACCTCCCCGTCCGTGGTCGAATTCTCCAGGTGCAGTCCAAGTGTTCCGCCATTCTCGGCCTCGAAATACGCCGCTGCGCCGCTGTTGCCCGCGGGCCATGCTACGAGTAGTCGTGGTTTGGCATTGGAGTTGGTGGTGTTGGCGTCCGGGCTCGTGACAATGACATGGGAGCTGGTGATGCAGTCGGAGAGAAAGTAGTTATCATATGGGGCTTCTGAGAGATGCAGCCTTGACGCAGGACAGTCTGCAGCACGTGTGAAGCCGACCGAGGCAACCAACAAACACCAGAGCACGAGAAAGGTAGCCATGGTGCAGTTGGAACTGGTGTAGTGGTCAGTTCCAACGAAGAAACCCAAGGCATATTTAAAGGTAGTAGCCAGGTACCATGCAACGCCCGTGCGTCATTCGGGCGTTAGGGCCTGCGGCTATGGGGTGAGAGACGCGGACATGGTGATGGTAGTGGCACGCCGTGAAGCCGTACATGAAGATGACGTTCCACATTCACCTTCCCCATGAACTTGCATGTATCCACGCGACACCATTCTCTTTCATGGCTTTGTACAATTAAGACTGCAATCACACGTGGTGCGCGCGCGACGTCGGATGGCAGGTAGACTCGAGCAACGTCATGCAGCATACCCGCTACCTCATCTTGGCGGCTTTGGTGCATCTAAATGCAGGCACGTCGGGGCAAAAGAGGGGTCAAAGGACGCTTTGCGGATCATCTGGCGCTTCCCCTCGGCGTCTTTGGCTCGATGCAACCTGAGGGGGTCGGCTTCGAGGCGCTAGTCATAGAAGCGGACTAGCCTGTAAGCGGAGAAATACCGTCCAATGCATCGAGCCTCGCAACCTTCCTGCTGCGGCTCAGCAATCCATGCATTCGCCTCGCTGTCGCGCGAGTCCACAGTGTTATCGTCCTGATCGTCTGTTTTTGTCGACTCCGCCCCTACTGCTGTGAACGTCTCGGACTCTACCGACCGGATCCAATCCGGAAGGGCTATATAATCATCGAACAATGTTGTGATCATGCTGGTTACGAGCACTAAATGCCAAGGTCCTACCATTCGAGTGTTCTCCAAGCTCATGGTCAATTCAGAGCATGAATTGTCACTACATTATCAAACAAAATGTCCTGCTTTCGTGCGCGCTACGGTGCTGCTCCACACGACGCGAAGTTAGTTATAGACGAGACTTGCGAGAAGAGAGTCTCAACTAGATGTAGAACTTCAAAAATAAAGCTCAGTTCGTAATAGCATTCAAGTATATACAGTAACTGGAGGCTAACTGGCCTGATGAACATGCGTGAGGCTCCAAAGATTCGACCAATTCCCAGGAGATTTCACAAAGAGTATTCTCTTACGCGATGAACTTGACCGCCGTCGTCCCCTGCTCTGCCTTGGCCGCGGCAAAAGCTTGAAGCAACGCTGGATACCAGACATTCATCATCTTCTGGTCACCTGAAGCATTCGGATGCACGCCATCGCGCAAGTCAGACGACGAGAAGCCAGTGTACTGGTCCACAACCCAGATAGGCGATTCTGTCTTGTTGAGTCCGGCAGCCCACGTCGGGATCTGCGCGTTGAGCTGCTGGATCTTGGTGTTATACGAGCCGATGCCCATGGGGATGATTTGCGCGACCTGTACATGCTCAGCTCACAGACACTGCCAAGAAACTGGTACACTTGCGACTATCTTCATCTTCGGATTATGCGTCCGCATCGTCCCCACCAATTTCGTAAAAGCCGCAATGATATCCGCCACGTTCTTGTTCTGCTGCACGATGTCGTTGGTCCCCAGGTGCATGGTAATCACGTCCGCAGGGTTCGTCTTCAGCCAGCCATCCAGCTGGTTCTTGTTCGCGATGTCGATGGCAAGGAAGCCTGAGTGGCCCTCGTTGTCGCGATCATACTTGGTGTCTTTGCAGTTGTTCTCCGTTTTGCCGCTGCCGACAAAGTTCACGGATGCCCACTGTGTACTTTGGAGCTTCTCCCAGAGGAGCGCGCGCCAACAGATAATCTCGGTGATGGAGTCACCAAAGGGCATGTAGCGGAGGGTGGTGTTCTGGGCGGTGGTGAGCCCGAGAATGGGGATGAGCGAGAGGAGTTTGAGAGAGACCATGGTGACTCAAGGGAAGTATTGAGCTGGTGGATTGGGATGCTGCTGAAGAATCAGACCACTTTCCGCTCTTTTATATGCCTGTGTATGGACTATGTCGGACGTATTTCGGGGATCGTAGAGTTCATATCGAACGGGGACCCGGTGATGCGTCGCTCATTGCTCCTAGCGGCGCCGATTTAACACCCCAAACGTCGAAAATGATCAATTAGAAAATGCCAAAGGCGAGTGCCGAAATATCCCAAAACCCACTTTGCCAATTCGGTTTCCGGGAAGCGCGTGGCATACATGAGATCTAAGAGGCACGACATGGGTGCGAACCTGGCTAAATAGGCCGAATCTAGCAACCCATCATATATAAAGATTGGCAACGGCGACGCTAGGTATAAAACGCGGGGTTCTATGAGAGCGCCATACTGTCGGTTGAATGGGACATTTATGTCGGTGTTCACTCGGGATGAGAAGTGATGGGTGAAAGGATCTAAAATGGACACGACGTATCTCGTTCGATCCCATCGCAACGCCTAGCACGATGGGCAGAATTCCATGGAAATAGCGGATTTGCAACGCGGCACTTCACTCATATGTGACATTGTGGACAGAACGGTCCGATCACACCGAATCCAACACGACAATTAACTTGGATTGGATTGGTTACACTCATGCTAGAAACAGCTCGCACCCATAAGCTGGATAACATTCGGTTCCATCATATTGATCAAATCTTGATTAGATCTCAAAAACCTTGTAATAGCTACTCAACCCTAAAGACTAGTCCTCTATACGCTCCAAAAACTCATACTCATCCTCACTATCCACCATCCCGTTTAAATTCTCTTCACTCAGAGCTGGGTACTCGTCCTTTCCCTTCCCCTCCTCAGCACACCTGTCATCACCCTCGAAAATCGCCTCATGCACCTTCTTCGCAACCCCATCCCCCAACCTCCTTAAACGCTCCTCCTTCTCGGCCTCATTAGCGCGCCGCACACCAGCGATCCAAGCAGCCATGTCGTCTCGCCGGTCATCCAACCGCGTCCACCATTCGTAATCCACGGCCTATTGTTTCTCCACGCTCGTGGGGAAGGCTTTGTCGTCGGCTATGGAACCGTAGATTGGTGCTTGTGCGAGGTTTGTATGCTTGTTGTCGCGATGGATTTCTTCAACATGCACGGACGGGACAGGCTCAGCCGGAATAGCATGGTCATCGTCGTCTTGTTTTCCTCGGCCCAATTCTGCTCTGCTGCGGCGAATATCCTGGCGAGGTCTCGGAGGTAGAAAAAGGTAAACACCCCGAAGAAGAGACCTGGGATGAGGTAACCAGGAGGAGGGAGCCTGTTGGGCATTGCATGGGAATGCGATACTAATGACTAACGCGAAGGAGGTGGGGAAGGGTCGTGGGATTAGAGGCTAGCAAATACGGGTTTTTTTGTTGGCAGTTTGTGCGCAGCGCAAACTGTGGGCTGAGACCGTCTCGTACATTGGGCACGCGAGTCTACATTCACTCGTCGCTCTCTCATATGCCCCCTTGCTGTTACGGCGCTTGAATCATCACTGGATTCCATTCCCAAGACGCAACCTTCACCGCCTGCCCATTCCCAGCACCTTTGACGCCGCTCCACTGACCCTCAACACATCCCTGTACGTCAAACTAACTCTTGTACCTCGCTCGTTCCTGCCTCCCTCAAAGGCACTGCTATCACCCAACAAAGCCCAGTTCGCCACCGTCTCCTCCCCAAGCCCCTCATCCACCTCGACCGGCGAGATTCCGTGCAGCAAGTCTGCGTACGCCGCACCCGTCGTGACAAGCAGACTCCTCGGCTCCTGCAAAATCCGCGCGGGCACAGCGTACTCCCCCTTCTCTCCACCTTTTTCTTCTTCAGGAGCAGACTCGCCTTCAGGCACAGAACTCTTCACCGTAAGCTCCAAACACAGACTCCCGCCCAGACTCACCGTCGCAACAACAGGCGCATACGCCGCGCCGTCTTCGTGGGGCATAATTCCCTCACCCTTCTTATACTCATTGATAAGCACGTGATTAGGCTGCCGGTGGGGCGTGTCGTCGAAGATGCCGAGCTGCTTGAAGCGCTCTGCGATGGGGGTTAGGAGGTAAGGCGGCAAGGGCGCGCCAAGGAGGGTGTTGTTCTTGGTGAGGGTCGAGGGGTGGGCTTGCAGGCGGCGATGGGATAGGGTGATCCAACGATTAGCCGGGATCTAGGTGTGTTAGTATCGCGAAGGAGAGATCCAAACTTGTGGTTTTTGGTTCTGGAGAGGATGAGGTGCATGCATACCTTGTCCAATATGGACGCTTCTTCCTCTGCTGTGATGAAGTTCGGGATGTAGTAGAACTCAGGCGGCAATGAGGCAATTCTAAAAGCTTCGAGGCCTTCACGCCCATTTATTGGATCCATGTTTCTTACAACGACCGGGAAAGTTGGTCTTGATTTTTGATGCGGTGGTAGGCAAGTGGAGTTATTGGTGGCGGCTCGTTCATGGGAATGGGCGACCATGCCCATTTAGGTATCCCATGTCACGTGTACGCCCCACTACACTGGTGCCCTGGGCAGTGTGTCCAACATTGCGGTCGAATGGTGTCAAACCAGAACGAGATCAAGTCCAGAATACGTGCAAAGTCCAGTGGTACTATGACGCTATAACTGCTACTTTAAAATAGGCAACTAAGCTAACCAGCTGTCCTCCAGTCTCAACAAAGGGAGTGAACCACTCAACCTCTATAATTGCGCCAATGAAAATAAACCCAACCCGTACGCTAACTATCAACAAATGAGAGTTCCAAAAGAGAAACATGACAGGGACAGGAATGAGAAAATGTGAAGAGCGAGGTCGCGGGATGTCCAGATCCGAACGAGCACCAGCAAAAAAACCAAGGACGAATGAAGATATGAAGAGAGATCAAGGCCGAAGAAGGGAAAGAGGCCCAAGAACGGCGCTCACATCACACTACAGCCGCCAGGTCCACTCCGAGCACGACGGCGACGACCAACACCGCCCGTGCCTACACCGATGCCGCCCTCTTCCTCATCAGCATGCATCATCTGTGCTTCGCGCGCGCGTCTTCGTCGCCGTCGCGCACCAGCGCCGCCCACGCCAGCTTCTTCATTCATCATCATCCAGTCGGCCCATTTGCGCTCCAGACGTGCAGCTGCAGCAAAGTCACCCCTCAAAACGCGCTTCGTGTGCTCTTCAACCGTAGGCTGCCAGTTGTAGAAGCATTTGAGGCCAATAATTTCGCGCGGGTAGGAGGGCATGTTTGACTGTGAGCCGGGCGATGGGCGCGAGATCTCTGCGTTCCGGGACAGCACTTCGCGAACGCCCGTCCAAGTCACATTTGCGCAGTCGTAAGCCACGATGCGGAGACCAACGGTGGGACGCTCCGTGCCAGTCAGTGCTCGCGCATGGCGGTTGCGGGTGCGGATGCACGATGCGGCTTCGGCAAGCACGAGGTCGGAGATTCGGGTATTGTCCATCTCCAGAGAACAGAGGTTTGAGCACGCTTTGAGGACTGGAAGCATTCCTGCATCGCCCAACGATTCGCAATACGAGACGCAGAGGTGCTTCAAGTGAGGTGCGCACATTGAAGAAGCAAGCGTCTTCAGCACCTCATTCGTCAATCCGTCCAGTTCTTCGATATCCAAATGAGTAAGAACAGGTAGCGTGGGTAGCAATGTAGTAAAAGCGTCGTTGGTCAAGCTGTGGCATTTGGAAAGTTGGAGGCCCTCCAAGTTGGAAAGATTGTGCGCTAGCTTCTTCACCCCTGCGTCGGTGATCCCGCGGCACCGGGTGAGGTCCAGATGCTTCAGTCGTCGCGGCGGAACGATGGGTCGTCCAGTGAGGAGGTCTATTTCGCTGTCGACACCTTCGACTAACGCAGCAAGAGAGTCGTCGTTGAGGCTGTCACAGTTCATGAGAACAAGTCTTTCCAGGGTGTTGCGCTTGAACAACTCAAACATGAAGTCAACGTCATCCCAACCGCGTACCTCTCCAGCACGCAGATCTTTCAGGTTCGGGCAGCTTTCAACGACTTTGCGGAGACCCCTGGTGTCAATGTTGTTGCACCATGACACGTTAAGATGCTCCACACGCGGGCAGTGGTTCGCCAGTATTTTCATGGCGGCATTGGTCGCGCCAACCAGACCTGACAGATTCACGTGTACCAAGGACTTGTTCTGCAGCAAGAAGCAGTGAATCGATGTCCTATCGATCCGACACCCTTCCAGGGAAAAGTTCTCGAGGTTACGGCACGCATCGATGAGACCCTTCTTGTTCCATTGCTCTCGCAATTGCACGCACCCGCGAAGGTTGAGATCGCGCACGAACGGACCCGCTGCGGTAATGATGTTGACCAGAGCATCGGCAGTGATGTCGCGATAGAATCCAGATGTATCCAGATCGCTCCACAGCTGGCCATCGAAACACATAGAGTACCACGTCTTTGACACGGCGGAGCATCGTACAATCTCTTTGGGCTCGAGATGGCGCAAGATCTGCATTCGAATCTCAGCCGGCATGTCGGACCAGAAATTGAAGTTTGGCCTTGGTTGCAGGCGCTTCCGGATCGGCCGCGAGAAGTAGTCGCCGTCCGCTTCGATCCCATCCTTGGTCAAGGGCCGGAATTCGGATGGGATAGGCGCTGTAGAGGGCCCATCGGGACTGAACATTCGAAAACGCGCCTTCTCATCGTACAAAGGGCTGCCCGGTGGGCTGTTGGCGACCGAAGTGGGAGCCGTCGAGAAGCCGGCCGAGAGCTCCGAGGAGTAGGAGCTGCCGTACGATTGAGCGTACGGCGATGCACCCGATGCCAACGACACGCACGACATGGAGGCTTTGGTTGTTCCTCGCATGCTGTGCGAGCGGGACCTGCTCAGACCAGCTAGGCTGGGTGACGAGCCCATCCGTTGTAACCCATGGAGAAGACGCTGACGGCCCTTCAGCTTGGGCCGCTCAATGTGTATAGCCTCGCTCGGCGTCGGCGGACCGCTTGGGGTCATGTCGCCGGGAGTGTTGACTACAACCGAGTCGATTGACAATGGCTCCATGGTAACGCGTGGATAGGTGCGGATGAGGCTGGGCGCGTCGTACGGTGCGGGAAATAGGGAGCAAGATGCTGTGAACGACGGTTCCTTGAGGCCTGCCAGCAAACTGAATCGTTGGCAACTCACAGAAGGGAACAGTCACTGACGGACGGGGGGAGAACGAGCGAAGCACCGTTTACCGTGACCTGGGCGCCGGGTGGGTGGGCGGTTTTGACTACACTGCCGCGGCGCGGTTCTAGCTCATGCGGGGGGGACCAGCGTTGGCCTGCGCAAGCAGCAAGCAGCGAGGCTAGACGACGTAGCTTACAACGGCGGGCTCCTCAGCAGGAAAAGCGAGCATAAAGAGCTCTCGGTATCAGTGCGAAGACAATGGCAGCAAAGCAAAGCCGCAAGGCGGGTATGATATGCAGCGTACAGCTCACGCTGCGGGCTACAGTATGTACATGTCGGTTTGCGGGGATGGCGTTATCGATAGGGCCTATCGGCACGCGCGCGTTGGCAGGTCAAGCGACCCTCCAGAGCTGCCACGCGCCCTCGTTTGCACTGAAACAGTGGGCACGCTCCACGCGCCTCCATGGAGATACCGTCTGTTGCAGACCACCATCACAGGCAACCAAGGCGAGCTCGCGGTCTGCTCTTCAACCTGTTCGGCCTGCGCGCCGACGAGCAGACGCACGCTCGCTTCGGCACCCCCTGGGCGCTCCATATGCAGGGCAAACAATCGCCATCCTCAGCTGCCCAAAGCAGAGCACACCCGCCAATCTGGACCGGCAACGGGCGACCTGGGCGTGGAACACCGTGCCGAAGAGCAGCAGCGCCGCACCGTCGCCGCTCGCCAATGCCAGGCCCACCTGTACTACGGGGCAGCTTCTGCCGACGATCCACGCTCTGCTTGTGGCCTTGTGCAGCAGCGACGAAGACCACATGCTGCCTCATCAGACGGGCTTCGAGTGAGACGATATCTCGTTATCTACCAACATCATCACGCAACGGTCAACTGCTCTGGTCTGATAACGATAACCTTCGCAGACCGAAGAAAGGACCAGGCCAAGCTCACCAAGTCTCACCCCAGGCGATCACTTGCCATTTCTCGGCGAGAATCGCGCTTGCCCCACCCGCTTGGGAGTGGTGGGGGCTGGTGTGCGCGGTACCGCAGGGTCTGGCTGGAGGCTCACCATAGCAAGAGCGGAAGAGCCGAAGTTTTGCAGAAGCCTAGAAGCTTGACTATCTGCGCCATCGAAGCGCCCATGTCTCGCTAACATCCACTCAAGCCTTCACCGGGACGCCCTGCAGGTGTCCTATGAACCTGCCGTGGACACCTCTCCAGTTCTCCTCGCATTTATTTCTGACTGTGCCAACCAGCAGCCTCGACGCTTTGATCTCGACCTCTTCCACCAGACTCAACTCGCTCTGCTTTTCTGCTGACTCGCCGTCCTCCACTGCTTTCTCCTTGCCCTTGCCTACGTCTGCGTTCCGCATTATGGTCCAAGTGGTATACTGCACCAGCCCGAGAGGCGCCTTGATCACCCAAAGCACGCCGTCATCCGTGTTGGTGATTTGGCTCTCAAAGGTCACGGTCGAGTCCCACAGGCCCTTTGGCAGCGCGTGCATATGATCTGTCACTTTGTATCGCTTCGTCTTCGGCGCAGCATCGTCGGAAGGCAACGTCTCATAGGAATGCAGCTCAGGGTCAAGTTTCATGAGTAGGTCGTGGTTCTGGAGCTTCTCGATCGCCGCTTCAAACGTCGTGCCCGCCGGGAGAGGCGTGACGTGGTGCAGCTTCGCTGTAGTGTTGAATGCTTGATGGTCAGCTCCACGCAGGGCGGCGGGACTGGGGCAGGCTTACAGAACATGTCTCTTTATCTTAACTTAGGTTGGAGGTGATGCGCCCATATGAATGCCCCGGCTGTCCAACTTCGCGTGTGTGGCTGTGTCGCAATTATCGTTGACGTCTGTAGTTTTCGAAATCGGCTCGATTAGTATTATCACGTACTGCGCGAGAGAAGAGTTATTTCATTCGCAAAGGATCGACCTGTGCTTTAAACGGCGCCATCTGTCTTTCCGCATCCGTTCCGACATGCTCGTTTCATATGCGCGACGCTTTTGAGGCAAGAAGCCGACTACGACTGAGGACGCTTGCAAATCTTCACATCTAAGCTCTTCAACATACAAACTAATGGTAAGAAATCGTAAAAAAGCAAGAGCTTCTGCAATGTTGCGCAACGACGTTCGGGGCTTGTCGCGAGATCAACGCGCGCATCATCGGGACCGAGTGAGACCCGCGCGGTGCCTTCCACAGCGTTCCGCACCCGACAGCCGCGCAGCTCCATGACCTCACGCTGCTCAAGATCCAGCAACTGTCAGACCCCCAAGGGTGCTATTTGTAGCGAGTGGTCCCCTGTATTGAAGCTCTGCTCTTTCCAAACACCTCGGTTGATCTACCTCTAACATCCAGCTGCTCATAATGGCAACAGCAGGCTACCTCTTCAACGAGCGCCCTCCGGCGGGGCTTCTCATCGCTCAAGCGTACGACAGACCTGCGTATGCATAAGGGATGGCACAACTGACTGCACACCAGCGTGGGAATTACAGCATCAACGTACCTCCTCGGCGGCAATGCAACCATCGCCTTCGTCACGATACCCGCCGTGATGGATGCACCCTCCCCGCTCGCCGCCAAACAGTGGGCAAGGGTCTACGAACGTGCAAAGCCTTTCGGTATTGGCTGCAGCGTCATCGCCGCCGCATGCACCGGCTTCGTCGCCTACAACCGTATGCGGTCCTGTCCTGTTCCCCTCATCCGCTAATGCTGTGAACAGAGGACCCTGCCTCTCTTCCCTTCAAGCTCAACGCCGCCGCGACCCTCATCATCCCAGCCATCATGCCCTTCACAGTCCTCGTCCTTAAACCGATCAACGATAAGCTGTTTGCGAAGGGCGACGCGCTTGCGCTGGACGAGAAGGCCGAGGTGGGCGTTGCGCAGGAGGAGACGACCAAGGCGCTGATTGATCGGTGGACGAAGCTGCACCTTGTGCGGACGGCGATTACGGGCGTGGGTGCTATACTGGCAATTTGGGCGGCGCTGGACAAGAGGGAGACTGGAAGTGTGGGTGGCTTCAGTCTTCAGAGTGGGGCGAATAGGCTTGGTTAGACGCGATGGGGGAGTGATATCCGGGCGTTCTCGCAAAGGGGACGGACACGGGACAATCGCTGAGGCCATATCTTGTCGTGCTTGATGCGGAATCATGTCTAGGAAGACGGCATGCGTTTTTGGCATCTACTGTAGCAGAAATCGTTCCTGCCTACGACCTGCAAATCATCCCACGATCATCCAGCTTTCAAAGGGTCCCCTGGGCTGTTGGGCACGATAGTGGTCGGCGTCGCATCAATGTGGCCGCCTGTCACCATCCAATTGCATGCAGCTAGTTTGCGCCGCATGGCCACGTATAAATACCTTCGCACCCCCAATCCTTGGACCGAACACTACCACTGCACTCCTAAACAAACAGTGAAAAGGAATAGCAGCTCCAAGATGTTGTTCTTCGTTAGAGCATCCAAAATGGCCAGACCGTCCCCACTCCGATTCGCCGAGCCCTTCCCCCAAGCTTCATCCTTATCGATTCGATCGCATTCTGTACACAGTTCGTACAAGTAACTGGCAACCTTGACATCGTCAAGATTGGCGGTCGCGTGGTGCTTGGTGGTCTCATCTGCCAGATTCTTGCCTTGATCATGTACTTGTTTCTGGTCTCGCTCCTGTACCGACAGGTTTCCAAGAGACAAATGCACGTACCGTGCTGGCAGCAATACGTTTGGGCTCTAGCAGTATGTGTTGTTGCAATCTCCATTCGCAATCTAGTCGGATTACTAGAGTTTTTTCACAGGGCTTGTATGGGTTTATTAGCCAACACGAGGTCATGTTGTACGTGTTTGACTCTTCGTTGACGCTGGGCGTCCGTCCTGGCACTTCTTGGATTTTGGCAACCTAGGCTGATTCGTGCATGTACCGCTGAGGGCAGAAAATGCGAGGTGGACTGAGTACAATTGCTTTAGGGTATAGCCGATTCAGGGTCTGCATGTGGCTATTTATCTATCATGGGTTTCAAGCACACTGGTTGATAATCACCCTAATCATCATTGACGAACAAGTCCGGATTTGATACTCGCGCAAAGTTGCTTCCCATGTGCATGAAACAATCAGAAGATAAAAAGATCCTGTTATGGTCTTGAAACAATCACATACGGTCCGACAAGCTTCCTTTTAGTGGAATCAGGCTGCATCAAAGCAGCGGTGGGCACTGACGGACGGACAATATTAAGGGTCGGTTTAGGCATTTGTGGTGAGGTCAATCTAGCCTCTAAAACGTTACACTCGGCTCTTCTTTCGCAAAGATCCACCAAGCCTGAAGCACGTTGATGGTGAGTCGCGAAGGGCTAGTAGCGAGAGCGAGTACGCGTGTATACGGCTCTTAGCGCACGTACTAGCTCTCCCTGCACAATAACCGCCGAGTAAATCCTGGCAATATGACGTCGAATGAACAGGGCGTAGGGACCAAGGGGTACAGCCTTTACAAGTTGGGCAGATAAATACCCTGCGCTGCTTCGTAGCTCAGGCCGGTACTGATTCAAATGTCCACGCATTTCGGTTTCCTCAATATGCGATTTCTTCTCTGCGTTGCTGCAGTCTACGCGGGTGTTGCTTCCTCAGCTGGCTGCAAAACAACTCCCTTCGACCCGGAATGGCTCTCTGAAAGAGTCAATTTGAAGGCCGCAGGGTCGCCTCAAGCAGCTCTAGAAAGCGCTGCGCATTTCTACGAACAGAACGTGGAGAATATGTGGCTTCTTGCGACGCTGAGAAAAAACAACAGCGTCCTATATCGTATGTGAAGGATAAAACCAATTCGGACTATATATACTGCGTAAGATTCTCAAGCAAGCACGCTAATTTGGACCTCCGGTGTGAGCGACGGACTGGCCCGAGACGTTGTGATTGATTTGTGCAATGATTGTGGATCGTGTTGTAGATGAAAGGTTGCTCCTGACCACTTCATTCCCTTCTCCTAAGACCTACAGACTTGCTCTATTTGTCTCACGGACTATGACACCGAGATAGATCCTAGTGGTGGAAGGAGAGGGGCTTACATCACGGCATTGTCTCATCACCAGCTTCAAAACTGTGCCTCGCCATTCGATCGGACCTGGCGGGTTATGACCGAACCGCGAACCGAAGGGCAGCTACGAGTAATAAGTTCCAATCCTATAGCATTGGGATGGTACGTCAGAGATGGAAAGAGGCTGAAGGGGTCGATAGCGGGGGACATGGATCATGAGTAGAATTCTTAGATCTGTTCGATAGGAGCTCAAGTGGGTCACCTGATAGCTGTGAAACTGTAATGTAGATGACAAGACCAGTGATCATATCCTTTTGGACTATTGCTGAGTTGTTGCTCCAATAACACCTCTGGACTAGACTCGTATCTTTTGATCGCATTTCGTATGGTTATTCGACAAAAGTTTCTCTCTCTCGGGCCTCGTCCTGCCACTTCTTGCCATGTTCGGCGATCTTGTCGAGCTCTTCCTCGGGGAGCTCGTTCAAGGTGATATGGAAATGAGGACGTGGCACATTGCGGCCGGCCTCGAATCCGGGTCTCTGGAGAAGATTCTCAAACCATTTCACAATCTCGGTATACTGTGCAATCGAAGTTATCCCAGAAAAGTCTGCAATTACACGTCAATGAGCGCGTTCTGTCAATTATAGCGCCTCGGTGAACACTTGAATACTAGCGATACCCCGAAGGAGTGATGCAGTACCCGAAAGTCGACCTGGTCTTGACGAACTTACTGTGTGCGGCGATCCACGGCCAGACTGCTATATCCGCAACTGTGACACGGTCACCCACAACATATCCGGTACCGTTCTTCGCGAGCTGGCGATCCAAAATTCGATAAAGACGATGTGTCTCATTGACATAACGGTCGATGGGATACTTGAGCTTCTCTGGGGCAAAACCTAACATAAGTAAATTGTGAGCTAGTTGCGTCTTTAGAAGGCTGCTCTTGGACGCTGGAACTTACGAGTAAAATGATTGGCCTGACCCTGCATGGGACCGAGGCCGCCCATCTGCCACATGAGCTGTCCATCATTTATTAGATAAGGGTACGAGTGTCACAACACAGTACGACGTACCCAATTGATAGTCTCCCAGTGCTCCTTGGTACCATAAGGGTAAGAGATCTTGTTATCTTTATCATAGGTGGCGACAAGATACAAGAGAATAGCACCACTTTCAAAGATCGTGGTCTCGCGGCCGCCCTCACCCTTATCGGTGAGAGCGGGAATGCGACCGTTGGGGTTGATCTCCAAGAACCAGGGTTCCTTTTGCTCGTGCAAATTGAAGTCCAGGGTCACGACCTGGATGATGCGTTGTCAATCGTTGGCATATTGTGGCCCCATGTTAGTTTCTAGACGTACCTTGTATTCGAGACCCAGCTCCTCCAAGGCGATAGAGGCTTTTAGGCCATTGGGTGTGCCTTCAGTATATAGCGTGATACCCATAACGAGTTGCTATTTCGCTTCGGGATTTTTTTAGCTTGCTGGAACTGAAGATCAGGATATTGTGTGGAAGGGTGAGGAAAGCATAGAGTGCGAATGCGACAAGTTTCTTCAGTTTTGGATTGGGAAACCAAAGCCCATATATACTAAATTTGGGCGCACATTCCTACTTGCCCCGATGAGTGTCTTTATTAGTGCACAAAAACTTCACTCAATCCGGGAACTGGATGTACGCAAGCAGAGGCGGAGTGTTCATATGCGTGGTTCCGCGGTGCGGTAAGCTACAACAACATGAGACTGCCTCCTGTTCCCTGGAATTAGACCCTTTTTCGGTTTATATATTACAAAGCGGATCTTATTCCACACGTTTCAGCTCGATGCTTTCATAATGTGAACAAATCTACTCCGCAATATATTCGTAAGCTCTGCCAAGGATCTGGTTCCGCGGAACCGATGCACGTAAACCACCATATTCAGGGCTTGGACTTTGTTCGGTATTCCAGTTCAAGGAGGTTCCGGGATACCTTGAAATCCATAAAGCTTTTGTGTGAAACATCTAGGAAACTAATTCATGCGTCAGATTGGCCTAGCACCAGAAAGGATTGTTTGGTTCAATGTCACTGAAAGAGCTCACGTGGATGTACAGACATCTTACCTTGGTCTAGATGATGCCAAGCTCGAAAGATATTTCAGATGTACGATAAAGGAGCGACAAGAATCAAGTCATTGGTAATGAACACTAACACCATTCTCGCCCAAACACACACCATCAGCATCCCCCACTAGACCCTAGGGACAGTCAGCCCTTCGGTAGCGCATCGAATCCAAATTCTGTCACGTCTGACACAACGACCTGGAGCATGAACTGAGTCTCATCAGGCAGCTGGATCTTTCCAGACTCTCCGTCAGCCAGCTCAGGTACTCCGTTCTTAAAAACAAACCTGGTGACGTACTTGTCACGACAATTACTCGTATCGGGCTTTTCCTTGCCTTTCTCCAAAGCGAGATCTTCTTGTGCAAAGAAAGAAGACTTGGAAGCCTTTCCATCCCTGATTTCCTTACGTGAGCCCACGACAGCGGACTGTCCTCTAATGCAAGCGCGAGGCAGGACGATCTGATGCGTTTCGGTGGTATCTATGGTTTCGAAGCGGACATGAACATTTGAAGCGGCTTCAAAGCCCGGTTCGGGTGGAGTTTGAGGGATAGCACCCTTGTTGTATTGGCGCTTCCAGCTATCTTTAGGAGTGTCGGCTCTCCGGGGCTCACGCTCTAGCCTCCGAGTGGGCGGAGTACTCTGGGGGTCGGCCTCAGATGCTAGGGCGGCCGTAGCAAGGCCAATGAGAGTAGATAGAGGAGCGAGGTTGAAATTCATGATGTGTTTCGATTTCACACTTGAAAAAAATGCCTTTTTCAATGACTCTACCGATGAAGTGAGCTGGGGGGTTTCATGATTCCGTCCGTATCCTCTCCCCTTATGTGTCAAATTTCCACCATTTGGCTTTTTTTGACGACCTCTCAACTCCCCTTCACTGACACGTTTCCCATTAGTTTGTAGGGTTCGATCTAGCATTTGTGCGGGAGCATCCTCAGACGTTCAAATACTACGTAACAACTTGGATCATTAACTAGCCTTACACAATAAACCACGTTAGAGCTCGCCGGTCCTCTGCATAATACGCCTTTTGGTAATTACTGTCAGTGTCGCCTCGCAGAGCTGTCCCGATGCAGCATTGTAAACATGCTCCTTCCCGCATCAGTACCCTACCGCAGCTTTTGTTCTGGAAAGCGACAGTGATTGCGGCACACTTTGCCATAGGATCGTTCGGTATGACGCAAAATTTCATGCCAAGTGTTTCAAATTTGCCAGACTCGTCGTCCTGAACCAAGCGTGTGAGATCCATGATCCTTGGGCAGCCAGAACCATCACAGTCTACCCAGCCTCTAGAGTACGCGATGTCTTCTGCGAGCTGCGCTGGCCAGATGGTGATATACTTCTCGCTTTCCGCATCACCTAGAGCCATCTGATAAGAAACTCTTAGGCCCTGAGTAGTTTCCCGAACTTTTCCATAGATCTTCGAATGTTTCCAAGACGCATCATACGGATCTAACGCTCCATGTGCCGGCCCATTTGTGCCTGATGGTCTGTCATCGTCTTTGATTAGGTCGTATGGTTTTCCTTCATGCTCGATGCCTCCAGCGCAGATGTAAACCAACGATGTCTTTTCGACATCCAAAGTGGAAAAGGTGGTAGGATCCAGGACCTTGGAGTAGATACATATCCCACCCGTTGATACGGCAGTAGCGTTCCTTGTCGACATCAGATTGTAGCCTTCATTACCGTAAAAGAGCATGATGTAATCGCCAAACTGTCGATTCCATCCAGATCCAACAGCCGCCATGGACGCCCAGTTCCAGAAACTGCTGTACACTCCCCCCACGCTGGCTGGTCCAGAATCCGAAGCAGGCGGATATTTCGTCTTTTCTATTTTGCGTTGACAATGATAGAATCTCCAGAGACCTGCGCTTTTGATAAACAAGTCTTTGGCAATCTCAGTGGACGCAAGTGTTAGGGCTAGTGCTATGATAGTCTTGACCACAGTGGGCTGACAATATCGCTCAGACTTCGGATCCCTTTCCGCGGAGTAACTGCATGCGTGACAACCACGTGCTGCGCATGTTATCTTAAGCTTCGTCAGCGAGTTTTCGTAAGATGAACACGCCTCCTCCAGTGTACAGATTGAGCTCGACTCGAAACCAGCTCGCAAAGGAGCCAATTCAGGAAACCGCCACGTGATGAATTCGACGAATCCCAAACCATGTGAGGCGAAAACATACAGCCGCCATGCAGCTATTGAGCGACGTGGTATCTTGCTATCTGCTTTCACAATAGCGCTCAGCATCCTTGCTACACTTCCGATGATACTTTCGAAAGCTCGTCTCTCGTCCTGGATAAGTGATTCGAACGTCGACCCAAAAAACCGTTGGAAAATGTTGGCCCAGGCTAATCGCCCTCCACACATTGGGCCGTCATCGCTCGGGCTTCTCGTTCGGAAGAGCATTGTTGGATCATCGATGTTGTACACTTTGCCAACGCATTGCAGTTCATATGAGAACTGGCCACTTGAGCGGTTGGAGGATGTAGTGTTGAAGATAAAGTGCGCCTGTATACGTTTTTTCGGTATACTCTGATAAATGACTGTCCCATCCCCGATTTCCAGCGACGTGGAGAGACTAAATAGCCACTCGGAGATTGCCGCAAGCCAACCGATGGCATTGCCACCCATTATCGTTATCTCACCAAGTTTACCTTTAGAAACATCTCCGATTGCTTGGATGGCTTCAGCAATCAACTTGGGATTTTGACATGAGCTCCTGTCAGCCTTGTGATAGCTTTGGGAATCCGTATCGAGATCCCAGTATGTCGGGTTGTGTTGAATCAACTCCTCCACGAAGCTGCCGAAGTCCGACTGCGACAATATTCCAGCACAAACTTTTATCAAGTTCTTCCACTGCAATATTGATGGCGTGAGTTGGGTTGGTGCATTTATAGTCTTGACCATCTCGTGAAGAATCTCTGCAGCGACTTCTTCATCAAAACATTCCGCAAGTGCACCACAGAAAGCTACACATACAGTGCCTTGGGATGTGCTCGATAAACTCCGGGCAATGTGGCGACGGCCGAATCCCATCCACACGCGATCACCCATCGTGCTGTTGCATGACAGTGACTCTAAAACATCCGTCATACGTCGCTGGCCATTCGTTGAAAGCTGAAACCAGTGATTGCAGAGAAATTCCCCGATCGATGCTGTGTAATGATCTACTCCAGCGGCGCAATAGCGAGAGAGTATGTCGAGTGTGGCCGAGACTGTCGATGTACCGATAAGGCCCCAATCGATAGTGTTCTGGAATTGCCCACTTGGACCACCCCCTGTATATGCTCCCACACTAGATGACATGTCTAACAAGTCAGTTTCTCTTTAATCGTTGCCCAAGGGGCTCTTTTAAAGTAGCGCACAGCTTTTGTGTTGCATGAATGACGACAGGAATCTTGAGCGAAGACTTAGGAAGCGGGATAGATAACATATGTTTCCATGCATAGGCATAGCCTCGTTAATAATGGAATGGACGCATCCGTGATTGAGAGAATGAGTTTCGTTAAGCGGCCAATGACATGTGCTGCATGCCTGTTGCCTGCCCCAAAGCAGACCCGGGCGGTTAATCAACTGCCCACTGCGCCACCAAGCTGATTTACGTCAGTAATACGGCCTTCAGCCTGCTCTTTCGTCCATTATCGTATGATGTGTATGTAAACAGGGACTAAGTATAATACTTGCAAAGGGTATGACCTGGTCCTCCTCCTCGGGTTTGATAGCAAAGATAAGATGGCTAGAGTCTCTTAAAGAAGATTGGGAGTAGAAGATTAGAGCTTATGGGCTTCCATTTGCACACGATGATCGATTTTGAGCATCCCCGCTACCGGTAAATAATCTCAACCTTGCAGCCATCCTTGCTCGAAATAGCCAATGTCAATCTGTATGTTTGGTTCTTAATGTCCACTAACTCAGCCTTCTCACCTGCCGGCAAAACAGGGCGTGACCTCGCCGGAGCAGCGATCAGCGCGGCAAAGCAGAATGACATGAGGGCGAGCGAGCCCGACCAACGCGCAGGTCAGCACGGTTGAGAGCGGCGCGGAGTGCAGCGCCGCGAACACGGTCCGCAGCGTGGGGGTAAGTAGTGTTGTTTCAGAGCGGCTGGTTTCTGGTCAATTACCTTTTCGATTCTTTGAGGAAGACGATTCAATCCTTCGAAGATTTGGTCGAGAAACAGGTGTCGCGCGGCCAGGTGCGCTCTGTCAGCGACAAAGGCTGTGAACTGGCCGAGAACTCAACACATGAGAAAAAAGAAGGAACTTGCAAACCTGTGGAGCTCAGGCACGTGGTTGCGGTCTTAATATCGTACGGTGAAAGCAATTCGTCATGCATTGCGATGCGTCTAGGTCCGGTGAGCGTAGTTGTAAAGATTGTACTCGTTCAATTGTACTCGTATTCGGTTGCAGCCACAGGGTGGCAAAAGTACTTCGACGCACAGCTGAGAGCATTGAAGGTGTGGAACACGAGACACCCTATTACGCTTGTGAGTATAAAATTCAGGTCTTAGATTTCAGCTATACCATGATGCGAACATCTGGAAATTAGATCATTACAAGTAGAGGGCTCCTCTTTCCACTCTCTTGAAATACAACTTGCAGGTGTGTCCACATCACGACATTGTATACATTCTTGCAAAATTAGCAAGGCCACGGCGGGAAGCTTCCAGAGCTCTATCGAGGTATCCTTCGGCGACTGGCTACTCCGGAAACTAAACGGCTCTGTGCTCCGATACATCTCTGACTCCTGTGGTATTCGTGATAGTTCCAGACTTCAGGAAACCAGACATCATGGTCTTCGGGTATTGATTGCGCTGCAGTGTCGATTGAATTAATCCCAGATCCGCCGCATCTTCGATTGTCTGGACGAACCCACACGGGCTGCTGGCGCAGGTTGCTAGCGCATGAGAAATTCCGAAATAACCTTCAATTACTCGCGGGAGCGAATTTGCGGAGAATCATCCTGAACAGACCGTTGATTGACTTAAAGTCCTCGAGGGGGGGTTCCTTGCACACCGATATCGCTTAACCTGATGCAGCAGTCTTGCTGGTGCGATCGGAGATATCTTATGAGAAGCGGATTAGCAAGGCGGCTGTCAACACCCATGTTGGCGTATCTGGCGAACTCGTCGCCCACATGTGTGTTGAAAGCAATGGGGCCTTGACGAAGCCTGGAACCGTGTTTTACTTGCAGTGGGGCTCGATTATCCTGCTGGCCGATTTCCCACCGATCGGGCCGAACAGGGGACCTGCCACCTCCGACCCTCAACCGAGGCTTACAATCACAGTAAGGCTCGGAGGTTCAACCACTGTTCATTGCACAACAGGTGCTGCTTTGATCCACCGTTTGTTTGTCAGCGCCACCGAATTGTAGAGCATCTCCTCCGAATCGCTCTTTCGGGATAGTGAACCGTTGTTTCGTGTTGCCGCATCGACATCATGGAAGCTTTGATAGACGTTGTAGCAGGGAAAATTTGCTGCGATGTCTTTGCGACGTAGGAGGACCCCATGGCCTTGCTGTTCCTTTCCTATGTATATAAGGTATTCTCTCGAAGAGCCTTTGTGATTTATTTCCCATCATTCCAAAAAAACATTCTCCATCACCATGTCAGTAACATACAACGTCATCAAGGGCTCTGCCAGCAAGAAGCTCGTCGAAAGCAGCGTATCTGCACAGCTCGAATCTCACCAGGTCTACATTGAAACCACCCATTCTGGTCTATGTGGCACAGATGAGCATTATCTTGGTGCCGATCAGGCTCTTGGACACGAGGGAGTTGGTATTGTCCGCCAAGTGGGCCAGGGAGTGAAATCGGTCAAAGTTGGCCAACGCGTCGGCTTCGGGTACACGCACGAAGTCTGCGCCAACTGCGATAATTGTTCTCAAGGTAAGCCACGCTGTTTCAACTACGTCATTTGGAAGCATGCTAATTCTGGACAGGCTGGGACCAGTTCTGTCGAGACCAAAAGCAATATGGATTCCACGACTTCGACAACGGCACTTTCGGCTCTGGTGCTGTATGGGACGAGAAATGCGTCTACCCCATCCCTGAAGGCTACGACTCTGCCAATGCAGCTCCGCTGATGTGTGCTGGGGCTACAGTCTGGACTGTCTTGAGCAGATACGGAGTGTCTGCAAGAGACCGTGTTGCCGTCATGGGTATCGGCGGCCTCGGACATCTGGCCATCAAGCTTGCCGCTGCCATGGGATGCCACGTTGTCGTCCTTTCCAGCTCCGAAAGCAAGAGGCAAGAAGCCATGGATTATGGCGCATCCGAGTTCCATGTATTCCGATCAGGGGAGAAGCCGGTTGATACCATTGCCCCTATCAAGCACTTGCTTATGTGCGGCAGTGGTGGCGTAGACTACAAGAGCATCGTCCCTCTTATGGATACCCACGGCACTATCTATCCTCTCACCGTTGCCTTCGAGCCATCGCCAATCCCACTTCTCGAGCTTGTCTTCAAGGGCATCAAGATCCAGGGCTCCCTCGTCGCATCCCGCGATACCATGCGCAGCCTACTAGAATTTGCTGCACGGAAAAACATTACTCCCACGATCCAGACCTACCCAATGAATGTCAAGGGCATCGAGACAGCCATGCAGGACTTGCGGGACGGAAAGGTTCGGTACAGAGCAGTGCTAGTCCGCGAGTAAGCAAAGAGATGCTTCCCTGTACCTCTACTGTATCCCTAGCATAGATAACCTTTCCTTATGATACCAGTTTCAAGCCTAATTTCATCATGTAAACCTTCATTGACATCATTTTGATGAATCATGTGAAGAGTGAAGTAGATGCTGTACTTCTTATCAATCCCCAAAAAATAGTGGTATATCGGGTCATACGACAGCTTTTCATCATCATCACTCATTGGAGCTAAGGAATACGAGCTATAAAGTCTGTCACTTTTGCCCTAAATCATACCTCGCCACACCTCACCACAGCTGACTCTCTTCAAATACTAAAAATCGGGGCGCCGGCGATCCATGAGCCTGTGGACTAAAACCGAGTAAACAATCTCTTAATGGCTGCTTGTGTTCCTGCCTTCCGCACGACAAAAATCAAACCCTAACAAGTCATGTCTTTAGACCCTCAAGTGTCATGTTCTTTGACATACACAAGCTCGCAAGAGTGTTTTCATCACCACCACCATCTTTTCCCAGGTTCTCATATACCATCAGTGTACCATAGGTATAATTGATTGTGTTCGTCCTTCGACTTCTGTCTCACTACACTTGTCAGCCGCAAGGCACTAAAATTGAGTATGCCACACGTAATGGCGCTGTCGGACTAGAAATGGTCCACCTAATTGACCATGTCTGCCTGAGCCGTTTTCCGACGACGAAGAGGCTCGAAGTGCTTTCCGTCACCTTGCTCCATGCTGTGACACATCAATCAAATCGCAAGGCTCACACCGGTGATGCTCATCATCTCCACCATCGCTAACCGTTTGACCGGGGTAGACATGAAAGGCCAGCGTTTCTATGCTCAAATACCTCTCTAAGTTTTCTAGCCTTCAGGCACTAGAAATCGCAGACGTACCAGTTTATGGCGCTGAAGGATAAAAAGGTTTCAGACACCGCGCCATATGCGCCGCTGCCGCTGCTCGCTCTGAAGCCTTCGGGAGATTACTCATGCATTTTCGGTGCTTCGATGATCACAGTCCGCCTGGCGATGACAAGTATCATCATCGCTTCCTCAATCATCGGATGACCTGTACTACAAAATCTGCACTTCATGTAAGCTCTACTCTTCACACTGCAAGTACTCTCAGAGTATCAAGACCGTTATTTCAAGCACATCATGGGGCTGGGGAACCCAAAGCGTTGATGGGGCTTGGAAATATCCTCCTGTGCTGTCGCCTTCCGCACATTAGATTGCAAATCACTCTTCTTCGAGGAGGTTTGGCTAGCTGGATCTGGGAACAAACTTGATGATGATCCTTGTCACCATTTTGACTGTGGCTAAGATCCCATCTAAACAGAGTATGAAAGCCGCATCTTTCTGTAGCTTGGCTCCACACACTGCAAGTCCTCTCGAGGTATCAAAAAGTCCAACGCAACAGTTTCATAGCGCTGGTGGACAAGAATTAGACTTACCATAGGTCATTTCCGCCCGCTCCGTTCCCGCTACAGTAGCATGGGTCTCTGCACGAGTCCTCGAACGTGTCTCGAAAGTGGACGATGATGACTATCATCAGCTTGCCCTAGTGCCAGAACTCTGCTGAGCCAACATACAAAACCCTCACCTCCAAGGCTTTCCATTTCACACTACACCTCCCTCACATACGGGGACTTGAAGACCATATTGTAAAGATTATGGTGTCGTGGACCAAAGACCGGGCAGATCAATGCGCTATGTCGTATTCCTGCTCCCGCGCTTCCGCAAAATACCGATCAACCACCGCAAGTCGCCCCTAGCATCCACCGCTTCTACTTCTCTCGTTCAGTATAATGGCGGCCACCACCTGCCTAATATGTATGTCCAGACAGATCTAATTATAAACGCAGCACCGCCCGCCTCGCTGGAGACTGCATAGCACCTCTGGCCTCGCGTTCAGGTGGGACTAAAATCTACCCGTACCGTACGTAGGGAGAAGCGGGACGATAAACTCCGTATTGTGCGCTCTATGGCTTTGTCGCGTTCCTTCGCTCGTGCAAAGTGCACCCATGCTTCCAGCCTTCGTCGACGGAAAGAGACACCGTCTTGCCATACGTTCGCCGGCCGTAGTGATGATTTTCACCATCTGCACCGATACCTTCATCGCCAATGACAAGGACCACCACGTATATTCTGCCGCTGCTGTTCCCCAGTTTTCGCTCTCCACTCTGCTTCCCAGCCTCGAGACACTGAATATGGAACAAACATGAGACATGCGGCCTCTGGGCTCAAAAGGATACGCGGTCGTCTTATGTGCTGTCTACGCCGTGCCCGCGTTTGAATGCCATTAGCATGTAGGGCGTCTCAGGCTGAAGGCGGTGATGGAGTGTTTCATGTTGAATCCGCGCTCCATCGTCTCCGAAACCCACATGACTTCAGTGTCGTGCGATGATCAGCACCACCCGCTTCTCACATAGCGACGTCACAAATTCACGACATTCAACAAGCAGTACATGTGTAGACTTTCAATTCATCTACACTGGTCCCTAATAACCTTCCAACCCAATAGTGTCCAGAACGAGCCCTGCGGCCCTATTGCTTCCGACCCATCGATCCGTCAATCCGATTCCAAATCAAAAAGGCACATACTCCAGGGCTATCCAAAGCCCATCAAATCAGTCCCTTGGGACTATGAATGCGCGATCCGAACATGAAAAGGTGGTCCAAAGCAAAGTAAAACGACATAAGAGATGCAAGACTGCTGACCACCCGTTGCGCCCAAGCCAATCCTGCGCACCGTATGTACAGGTCGGAGGTTGAGAAGCGCACTCGAACTGGTGCGTCTTCTGTGCTCGCCGTGGCGTAGCGTAAACTTCGTGAAAAGGAAACAAGGTGTGCATGTAGGAAAGATCATGTGAAAGTATGTGATGGGTAGGAGAGGTACAGAGAATGTTTTGTGGATATGAGGGTGTGAAAGGCGTAATGAGCGTGGTGGAGGTTCGCGTGTACTAGAAACTAGAGACTAGAACATTAAGTGAGGGTGCATACGGTACCTCCGCTATGCCTCCGCAAAGATAACCGATGAAGAAGGATAAAGGTAGGAAACAAAGGAGGATTGCTGATCGCGCTATGCGCAAACAATATCACACGGCCTGTATGGCGTGCACGCGGGTCGCATGAGGATGAGACCAAGACCAGGTGACTTTGGCGCGTCGTTCGATCCGTGCTTAGGGCCTGAAGAACTCGGGTGTCGGTTGGCGGCTTGGGGCCAAGGCTTTAGGATCGGTGGACTGTTTCCCAGCACAAGTGTACTGTCGGCTCGGAAACTAAGCTTTGGTTTCCTCCTACGGTGGCATATCCTGCCAGATGATCGCGACTGCCTAGTGGCTCCGAGCTCGGCACGTCTTCAAGGTTTGCATTCAACATAGAATGTATAAAAGCCAAACCGGATTGGTTCTGGACAGCGTTCGCGAAATTGTCTCAGAGGACATCCCAGATATTCCGCACGATGGGACTGCTTCCTGTCTGGACCGGGCTTCGAGGGTCTGCAACGAGTGACTTCTGTGGTGTCCATTGCCGCTTCTCTGTCCACTCAGTACGATTCTGGCCATCCTTCACAGTCTCATTCGAGGATGCCGGGCTGACTTCATCGGTGGGGGATTGGAGGTCGAAATGGAACGGGTTGCGTGTGAACTCTTCTGCACGTGGCGACATCAGAGCATCCAGGTCATCGACAGTTTGTGTAGGTTGCGGCGCCACCTTGGGCAGCATCGCCTCCATCTCGGTCTGTAGCTTGTGCAGCTTTCGCTGCTCTCGGAGATTTGGTGAAGAGAATCGCGACCGAATTCCAGTTTGCTTTGATGGAGTTGATAAAAACACTTGACTTGGAGACTGTGGCGTGGCTGGAGGCTCCTGTCGAGAAGTCGTCAACGTCGGTAGAGGACTCTCCGAGAACGAGATATCTTCCGTTGGACTAACACTGTCAATGCGAGCGTCAAATTCTCCGCTCTTTGGACGAGTGAAGCCGGGTGCTGGGATAGCCGGCGGTGCTTGTGCTGTACCGTTCAATGAAGCGAATCCGTTAACGCTCTCAGGCTGAGCGAGATCCGATGGGGGTAGAATTGCTTGGAATGACGGCCGGCGAGCCTCGGCTTCGAGCTCCGCTTCCTGTTGGGCGAAGCTACGGTGCTTCAGAATATCAGGAGGGAACTCGAAGCGTCTCGGAGATGCTAAGCCAAACGGGTCTTCATCTGCAACTCTGGGCTTCAGCGGTGTCATGTGGAACTCAGTCGCCCGCGGGGAGGTCAGCTCTTGCTCTACGATATCCGTATCCCGCCCAAAAGCATCTGAGGGGAACTCGGTGCGGACCGGAGAGATAAATTCGTTCTCGTTTCGGTCCTTAAGATTTGGCGCAAAAACAGGCATTTTAATAGTCGAGTCCGAGGCCCGGTTGTAGCGTGCGTTCTGTGGCTCGGGTGTTTCCTCCTCATATACCTGAGGAACGTTGAACTCAAAAGTCCTGGGAGATAATGGCGGGGGCGGAGGCGAGTCTGATCTTGAGTATGTGTCCAAGTCGTAGCCCTTCGGCCATGGGTCAAGATTGAACTCTGGTTTCGCAGGTGATCCGAGTGGAACTCTTAGCGCATGGTCCGGGGCTAGAGACGGGATGTTGAAATTTGCAACAGCGGGAGACCGTAAGGGCAAGTCGCGGGAGTGGTCCGGGGCGAGAAAAGGTATGTTGAAAGATGCTACAGCCGGAGACCTCAAAGGCAGGTCGTAATCTCGTGAGGGGGCCAGGCTGAAGGTCGCAACGGCAGGAGACCGTAGAGGCAAGTCGTGGTCCTGGGAGGGAAGGAGGAGGCTGCTGACATTTGGCGAAGTCCGTGGTCTATCGAGTTTGAGGCTGCTCTCTTCTGATCTGAGACGCAATTGGCGGGAGAAGTTTGGCACAGGTAGTTGTTTGAGGCCTGCCTCATGCTCACTCAGCTGTGCCTGCACCTCTTCCGTCAGAGGCTGATCAGTCTCGACGGCCGCAGAATCGTTGTCGGTTATGGCCAATACCGGTACAATGTGGCCTTTGGGGTCAACGTACGGGGTGGCGGTCGGTGACGATTTGGGTGAAAGGTCAAATTGCGTCTGGCTCGCTGCCCATGACTGACGGAATCCAGGTGAAAAAAGCGAGGAGCCTGATGGCGCTGATAAGGGCCCGGGTGATATCGCCATCATGTTACCAGTACTGGCGCGTTGCAGATTCATATCGGTCTCAGGCGGCAAAGGCGCGGTGCGAGGTGTTCGTGGGCCGGTAGGCATGCTCCTATCGAAGGGAGAATGCCGGTTTGTGGCCATCGATACACCTGTGGGGAGGCCAGCCGATCGTCTGCCGAATCCTTGATTGAACGAACGGCTCTCGTTGGCTTTGAGCAATCCATTTCGGAACTCTTGGAGCTGCATGATGAGGTTCATGTTGGGCCCTATCCATTTGCTTCGCTTCTTGACAATGTCATACGCTTCTTGGACACTCATGCCAGGATTCTTATATAGGCCGTATGCGACGATCAGACTAGCAGATCGGCTGACACCGCACTGGCAGTGGACAAGAACGCGCTTGCCTTGCTGCACTCGCTCGTCCATAGTTTTCACCAGTCTGTACAGATCAGACACGATGTCAGTGTTGTGTTCCCACAACATGTGGATGTACTCCGGTGTTTTGTGCGTCTTCCCGTTAATCACATACTCAGAAGGATGGATAGTGTCAAGAACAGGTGTAGCTTTCGGCGTCGTAGGTGAGCTGTGCTGCAGGTCGGAAGATGACTTCCTGTCTAGGATGGACGCAAAGTCAGGATTCTCAGCAGGGGGGCCATCCAGTCGACGAGCGTCAATGTCTTTCTGGGATTCGGACGGCGCGGTGAAAGGGTTCTTGACCTCACTGGCTACGTTGACGATCACATCAAAGGTGCAGGCTTGTTCCGCGGTCGGCTCAAAGTACAGGAAGACGCCCTCAGGGTAGATCTGAATGGGCCCATTCGGGTACGCTGCAGGCTTCTCTTCTCGCGACTGTGGAATGTCAAAATTGGGCTCTTGCTCCTCCTCTTCCTCCATCTCATACGGGACTTCTGACAACCCACGTGCGTTTGGCTTGACGGGACGAAGGACCGGCAGTTGCATTCCATTTTTTGGGCCCACAGCGGGTGAGCATAATGGTAACGAGGGAGAAGACTGAAAGTGACGAAGCGCTGGGCGATTGAATGACGGTGTTGATGGAATGACCAATCGCATAGGTTTGTTCTCTTGGCTCCCGGGGGTCGATATAGTCAAGCTCAGGTTGGACGGTCGCCGCCGTGGGGGCGTCGGGGGCTTGATGAACAAGGGCGAAGGAGGTGCCGAGCTGTTCTTCTCCTGCTTCTCCACTGCCGGAAGAGATGCCGTGGGGTTCACGCGCAGGTTTCCAAGCGACGTGGAAGTGTTGATTCCGAGATTCTTCAAGTTGCGGGGTTTCTTCGCGGGCGTTGTCGGCCTCTGCAGCTCGAAGAAGGTACTGGGTGACGACTCTTGCGAACCATTGTCGGTCCTGCGTGACCGGAAATCAGCCACGAAGGACGTCGCAGTCTTCGCAACCGGGGATTCGGGCGACGGGCCTGGCGATGGGTCTGTTACCGAAGATGAGTCCATTGTGGATATCGTCGTTGTGGGCGAGTTATCCGACGAGGCAGTCGAGGTGCTGTCCCGGCTGTCGCGGTGGACGTGGAACGAAGAGAAAGGGACTGCGCTCCCACTCGTATGCGGCCTGGTTAGGGTTCCATGTGCGCTTGTGCCGTCTGCGCTGGGCAATGGTTTCAGGTGAGTGTTGCGTGCGTCTTCTCCAAAAACCGCGCCAAACGAGGGCATCGCAAAGGACCTTGGACTTGTTTGCATGCTGGGTCTGCGGGCTCCGTCAGGCGGCCCCGACCTGGGCGAGCGACTGCTTGTTCTAGTAGGCCACGGTGGTAGACTGGGCGTGTAGTGCGGGAGGATCTGGCACGGAGGTGTGCGTTTGAGCCGTTTCGAGGCGAAGCAATGATTAGGTGTAAGAAGTGCCCTTTTGAGTGATGCATCGTTAGCATTATGAGAAACTAAAATGGTCGCCATGTCGCGAAGTCGACATCGCATGAGCGAGAAGGTGCACGGATGAGCCGAAGGTAGAAGAAACGGCTATGTACACTCGCCGCCAAAGTGCGGAAGCGTATCGGCCATGATGACAGCTGACAGTGGAAATACACAGGGCGCAGCGGCAGGTACGCCTCGCGTCGAGTTTGCAGACAAAGAGAAAACACGAGCGGGTGCAGCAGCGCCCGACGAGAGGCAGAGACAGCGGCCGCAGCAGCAGAGGCAGACGTACCGACGACCAACAGCAGAATAGACCTGTGTGGTGGACTTGAAACGAGAATACCAGATTCTCAGCTAGCGCAGTAGGGAGCGACTGGGGACAAAGAGCCCCGGAGGTGCGTGGGTGAAGCAGAAGCGGCGTTGGCGGGCCGTGTGCTCAGCGTCGTGGGAGCGGTCGTCGGTTGTCGCGATGCGATGGTTGTGGACGGCAAGGCAGGAGCGCAAGAATCCGCAGGGACGACGGGGGCAGGTACGACCGACGGGGGCGCGAAAGTCGGCCTGGCGCCGTGGGTGTTGTTGTGAGGGGCTGCGCGGCGGCGCTTTCGCTGTGGTTGAAGAGGATGGGCGACGGGCGTCGCTCGCTGGTCGCTGGAGCAGACAGTCTCCAGGGCTGGCGGCAATTGGAGAGGACACCCCTTCGCCTCGGCCAATCGCAGCGCGCAGCTTGTGGAGGACTGTCCAAAAATAGACGGCAAGGGGCGTCTGTGCGCTGGAGCGTTCGGCCTGGCAACTGTCGCTGCACGCACGCAAGTCGGTGCAGCCGTGCTCAAATTGCTCTCGAGTCTCGCCGCCGTGCGACGCCGTTTGCGACGACGCTGCAGCTCAGTGTCCAGCTTCGCGATGCTTGCGACGAGCGTCGTCTTTGTCCATATGCGCCGATGCCGTCTAATTTTAGCAGCCGCCCTGGGGCATGTTCGCTGCTGTGGTGGCAAGACCACCGAACTCTGGCCTGCATCAGCAGCGACCTCGCTTTGTTGTTGCAGCACAATGCCCAGATGCACAACGCACGGCATGCATCTCCACGTCCCCGGGTGATAATGCGGGCGACCACGTCAGCGACAGTCCATTGTCTTCTTCCTGGCCGTGCGCCTTGAGGCTCTGCGCACGGAGCCGTCAGCCTGGTTGGCCTAGTCTGGACTCCGTGCCAACGGTGACCAAACCATGGTACGCTCGTCCCGCGTCGGCCCTCGGACTCTCATTCGACTCTGCCATGTCGCTGTCGTCTCCAGAAAACTGTCCGACAGTACAGGTGATTGTGAAACACGCGGCTGGTTGGCGGGGTGAGCACGCGAAACTTGCGACGGCAACACTGTCGATCCACTTGTTTCAGATGCTTTTTGGAAGACATCTGTCGCGCAAATTGACATCTCTCGTCGCCGGACCCCAATCAGTAGGCCAACCAGATTTCTCACCAGTCACAGCCAGCCAGATGCGGCCTCTGAGTGTGTCAGCTGCGAAGCCTTGCAACACTCCATATCGCTTCGCAGCTACTCCGTACATGCTGTGTAGCTCTCTTGCAACCGTGTCATTCGCTAGTAACCTAAGGCCCTTTGAAGCTACAAGCACCGCCAACCACGATTCCGAAACTCTCCATCTCAACGCCGGCATTCTGGCAGCACCCGTTGAAACACGCAGGACACTGGAGCACAGACATAGTGCTTAGGGGACGCGTAAGAGGAGCAGAAGCAGAAGGTGCGGGACATGTAGGCGTTCCCAAAATTTGATCATCTGCTTTGGGGACTGCCGGTGTCCGAGGACCTACAGATAATTACACTATGCGCCCACACCTTCTCAAGCAAGTCTTCGCTAACTTGTTCTCGCGAGGAAAACGAAGATCAGTGGATTTTGATGCCCACAAATGCTCAAATTATTCATGCATGTAAGCGAGTGCGGTATATCCCGAGGTAACACGGGGGAGGATTACTGAGAAGGTAAGCCTTACTAGACAACGTAGCCCTTCACTCTCATTTACGGCAGCTTCGTCTCGTCTCAACTTGTATCTTGATGAAATGCCCCCGTGTCTCAAACTAACCCTCGACTCGGTGCGGCACATATGTTCAGGGATAATGATCGTAGTCTAAGTAATTTCGTTTTGACCATGCCCATCAAGTTCAGTCAATGTCTTACAGCATTCCTGATGAGAAAGGCGGTATGGGTGTAAAGTGGCACATTCACTGGGTAGTTGACCTCTACATAGGGATGGTTCCATGACTCCGCTTGGCAACTTCATCCTCCCAACTATTTCTGTACTTAGCAATTCCAAGTTCACACGGCTATGGTTGGATTAACCGTACTGGAATGAACTCAAAACAGGATTATAAACTACTCCCCACAAATCTTGACATTATCTCATCAGCATACTCAAACATTCACGCACTCAGCGGCTATCTCAAGACTAACGCCCTCGCTTCAATCTATTGCTCCAATCTATTAGCAGTGTTGCCATGCGCAGACAGAAGACGGTTAATGCAGCGCCCCGTTTCGTGCATTCGAAACTATTACACGAAAACCACCCGAAGGAATTCCTCCTCCGTGTCTAAAGTAGCAGAAACACGGAATAGATCCCCGCATGCATGTTCTCAATGGCATCATGCAACTCAGGCTGAATCCACACAATTGGTGAGGTGTTTACAACAATGTGCCCCAGCCGTCTACGGTAATCTCTGTCAAACCATCTCGGTGACAGCAGCAACGCCACTCTGTGGACCGCCTGCCCGTCTATCCATGACCATCGCCCTCCAATAATCGGTACGCGTCATCCTCTCGATCGTCAGTGCCAACAACCGCGGCATAATCGTGTCCAAACTTGTTGCCAGAGGGTCCCGCTAGCGCGATGGCACTGACGCTAATGCTCGCTTAGCTTTTCGGGCTGCCGCGATCTTGGCGCACACCGAAAAATCACACTGCGACTTCAGAACTTCGACTTCAACACAGCGTACTAACCCGCAGCACAAGACGTCGCCATGTCTCGGCCTACCGTTACCATCATCTCCGCGTCCGGAGAGGCGTCTAAGGACACTGCTCCTATCCCCAATGTCTTCAAGGCAAGTTCCATGACGGTCTCGCAATTGCAGCTCTGCTCGAATCGCACGCCCCGCCTCGCAACGACTACCGAACCCGCGCATATCAGGCAGTCGATGGCTAGGAGAATGGCTCAACGGGAGATGACCATAATTCTCAATAAGACTTCGAATAGACGTCGACGGCCAGCCATGCGCGGATGAGGATCTGGCGAAACGCGGCCACTGGGGGCACACCGCACTTTTGAATCTCCAAGGATAAACGCACTCATCAGTGTTTCCTCGGGATCTGAATACTGCGTGCCTACGCATTCGCGGAGCTGCAGTAGTTTCAGTATCGAAGCTCAATCGCTGACTTGCAAACAGAGCCCCATCCGCCCGGACATTGTCCACTCGGTGCACACTGGCATGAACAAGAACAAGCGCCAGCCGTACGCTGTGTAAGTCTCGTCAGGTCCGTCCAATGCGTTCTTAGCTGACTTGCACAGCTCCGAGAAGGCTGGTCACCAGACCTCTGCTGAGTCTTGGGGTACTGGTCGTGCCGTCGCCCGTATTCCTCGTGTCTCGGGTGGTGGTACTCACCGCGCCGGTCAGGCTGCTTTCGGTAACATGTGCCGCTCCGGTCGCATGTTCGCTCCCACCAAGGTCTGGAGGAAGTGGCACCAGAAGATCAACCTGAACCAGAAGCGCTTCGCGACCGCCTCGGCTCTCGCTGCGTCTTCCAGCGCTGCTCTTCTCCTTGCCCGTGGTCACAACATCGCCACCGTCCCGGAAGTTCCCCTCGTCGTTTCCTCGACCGCTTTCGCCGACGCTGCTATCGCCAAGACCTCCGCCGCCCTTGCTCTGCTCAAGGCCGTCGGTGCTGGCGCTGACGTCGAGAAGGTCAAGAAGTCCCGCAAGGTTCGCGCCGGTAAGGGTAAGCTCCGTGGCCGCCGTTACAGGCAGCGCCGTGGTCCCCTCGTCATCTACAACCCTGATGAGGATGGCAAGGAGCTTGTCGGTGCTTTCCGCAACCTGGCTGGTGTCGAGACCTCTTCCGTCTACTCCCTCAACCTTCTCCAGCTCGCCCCTGGTGGTCACCTTGGACGTTTCATCGTCTGGACCTCCTCCGCTTTCTCTGCCCTTGACAAGGTCTACGGCTCCACCACCGAGCCTTCGGCCCTCAAGAAGGACTTCCTCCTCCCCTCTGCTCTCATGAAGCAGCCCGACCTCAGCAAGATCATCAACTCGAGCGACGTCCAGAAGGTCCTCCGACCCGTCCGTGGCGGTGCCATCAGCAAGCGCACCAACGTACAGAAGAAGAACCCCCTCAAGAACTTCCAGGTGCAGCTCCGCCTCAACCCTTACGCGGCTGCTTTCGCCAAAGAGAAGCAGGGTCAGAAGGAGCTCAACGCTGGCAAGCCCGAGCGTGTTGGCGAGAGCTTCACCGAGCAGCTTCACGAGAACTAGATCTAGGCGCTTGGGTTTGGTTCTGGGTTTTCTTTCAAGGTTTCTTCACGACACTGAATGGCTGGTGTACACGGTGATGGTTTTATGTAGCTGTCCCAAAAACATACCCGAGAAGGGTTTCCTCCCTTTCAGATCCGTCGTTTGTGCCCTTGATGACTGTGACCATTTCACCCGACACGACGAGTCCATCGCATCCTAGTCTATGTCTTTCTCCTAGCCCATAAGTCCAGTCCAGGCGAGCCAAAGATATGGCGGATTGCTGCAAGCTATTGTGCCGATTTATCACGCGTCGACTTCGTCTTCCTAACCCACGCGTCAAATTACCAGCCAAACACACATAATGGTTCAGGCAGGTGTGCCTACTCATAGACTCATGCATGGGGCCATGCTGTCAGTAGCCCGCGTAAAAAATCCTTGCGCAGTCGAGTTGAGCTACTGCTATAAGACTCACAAAAGCAACCCAGAAAGACATGTGAGATGTTCAAGGGTCGGTTTCTAGAGAGTACTCGAATGCAGATGGTATTTATTCTCTCCTCTAATATGTGGATAGGCCAGCGTTCTTGCACTAGACGTTCGCCACAATGTTCGACCGGTACCCTGTCGCTCAAGTGTTTCTAGAGATTTTGACTACTTCATATTTCCAGAAGAATCTTTATGCCACCAGACTTTAGCTTCCACCTATCCACACAGCGATATTTGAATCGTGATCCTTGTGCTATAATGCATCACCCCTCTTTGCTTTGTCAGTGTTGCATACGGCCGGCGGGTAGATATCTTCAGTACATCTACAGGCAGGTGGTTGTGCAGGCAGCATCCTGGGGTTTAGAGAAGTACTATAACAAAGCAGAAAAGGTCTATTAACCTAGTATGCATCGATAGATGACTCAATACATGGCCGGACTAATCTTCTAGGTGAGAATATACAGAAAATGAGAAGTGGTGAACGTGAGTAGGTACCAGCAGATAGTGTCACGTGCGCTTCTGGATCACTAGCGTCCTTTTCGCGAACGGCGCGCCTTTGCTTGAAGCTTCCACTTTCAAGACTTCAACACAACGCTCTCGACTCTCACGTCACGATCCCTTGAGTACACCGAAACTGAAATCAGCCACCCATATAACAATTAGAGTCCACGCGTGGTCAATATGGCGTCACCGCCGCCACCACAAATCATCGTTCCCAACCCTCGCAAACGCGGCTCCATATCGAGCGTCTCGTCACAAGCAAAGAAACGCAAACCCTCAAACCTCCGCAACTCGTTCGACCCAGATAATGAATCTGCCATAGCATCACCGATGCGCCATAGCCGATCACCGTCAGTCGGCAGCGTGGACACGGCCTCACTCGTGAATGGAGCAGGCGGCGGCAGAAAGAGGAAGCGCAAGGGCGATGACGGCGCCAGCATCGCCGGTAGCTCAGTCCGCGGCGGCGCGCGCCCAGAAGACCCCTCGGTGAACGGAGCCGCGGGCGCCGAAGAAGAAGAGGACGACGACTACGGCGAGGACGAAGATGAGGGCACGAAGCTGGAAGGCGAGCGCCCCTCCGAAGCCGCTAAACAACAAGCCGCGCACAACGAGCGCATGCTCGTGCTGGCTATGGACGACTCGCAGCAGAACGCCTACTCCGTGTACCGTCGCGTCAAGCTCAAGACCTCGATGGTGCGCAAGTTGGTCAACCAGACACTGTCGCAGTCCGTCCCTCCGAACGTCATTATCGCCGTGACGTCGTACAGCAAGGCGTTCGTCGGCGAGCTGATCGACCGCGCGCTCATCGTGCGCGACGAGTGGGCTGCTGCGCGCACGCACCTGCCGAATCCGAATCTCCCTCCCGCTGTCCTGCAGCAAGGTCTTCAAGAGCCTTTTGGTCATCGGCCGGCTAGTAAACCGTCGAACCAGCACATCCAGAACGCCGGCCTGTATCTCGACCAGGTCAACCGTGAAGAAGGGTTCTGGAAGGAGATACCGCGGGATGCGAGTCTGAAGGATCGATTGAAGGAAGAGGATAAGGGTCCGTTGACGCCAGCGCACTTGAGAGAGGCGTTGAGGCGGTATAAGAGGGATCGGGAAGGTGGAGGTGCTGGGTTCGCGGGGTTGAGTCTGGAGGGCCCAGAGAGGACGTTGGCCAGGACTGGTGGTCGGAGGTTGTTCCGTTGACGGTGTTCACAACTGCTCTTGGTGGACTGGGACAAGAGCATCTGCTCCAGAATCTCCTGTGGCTTACACATCTTATCGAGCGTCACTACAACGGTGTCGCTGCTTGCATGTTCCAACGTCTTGCGGCACCTCTCCGCCGCTGCACCGGAATTCCTCTCTTCAAAGCGTGGCGTTCGAAGCTACTTTCACAGCCGTGAAAATCGAACGCTACGGTAGAATGAGCGACATCCTACAACCGAAGCTGGAATGGGATGCCTACGCATTAGCTTTACTCCGATTTCTGTATGTTCCCAAAAGCTTGAGATGTGTCTCTCTCCAGTCAACGGTGGCGGCGATGCTCAGCATGGCGTTCAGGTTTACTGTTTATTAGATACCCAATACATTATTGAATCGTTCAGGCACAAAATTACATCAGAAGTCGCGTCGAAAGTTGTGAGGGAATGTCGTTGACATGTTCCTTGGCTGGGTATCCGATCTGATATGTAGAATAGAACATGTGATGTCACGTCCGAGAAGCCAACTCGACACCTCACGAACCGAAGCCAAAACGCCACCGGCAATGCAAACACGCAAATGTATGCCCTCAATCCAGTCCATCCTAATCGCTGTCATCCTCGACCCTCGCGCGCTTCGCAGACCGACTCTCGCCGTCCTCCCCACCCCTCTTCTCCCCCGCCTTCTCCCCCCTCACCTCCTTGATCATCTTCTCAATCTGAAACGGATCCTCCTTCTCCTTCTCAAACTGCACCGGCCCATCCCTCTGCTCCTGCAGATCCGCGCCCTTGAACCCCTCCTTGGGTCGTCCCAGCACCTCAAACCGGCTGCCTTTAGTAATGCGATCGTACGTCTCGCCCGCGTCCTCGCCGTCGTCCTGCGTGACGTTGGGTCGGTAGATACTCGCGATGGCGTCCTGTGCCGCGAAGAGTGGCTTGTCGTACGCCTGGTCTTCGTTGAAGCCGGCGTCGAAGCCCGAGGACTGGTTGAACAGGCGCGAGTCGTACATGGCTTCGGCGGACTGCGTGGGCTTGGCGAGCCCAAGGGCGACTTTTTCGCTGATGTCGCGGTTTTGTTCGCGCGCGAGCATTTGGAGCTTGCGCTCTGTGCCCATGCGGGATTGGCGGAGCTCGCGCTGGAACTCCTGGCGGCGCTCTTTGCGGGCTTCTTCGCGGCGGCGAACAGCTTCGTCTTCGGAGTCGGAGTGCGACGAGGCGGACGAGTAGCTCGCGGAGCGGCGGCGGGTGTGTGTCGCGCGGTCTTCGCGGGCTTGCCGTGCGAGATTGCGGAGATGCTCTTCTTTTTGGAGTTTTTCTTTCTCGGCGAGACGTTGTTGCATGAGCGCGCGTTGCTTTACTTCCTCGCGGGCGTGTCGGTCGGCGGCTTGCAGGGCCTCGCCAAACTGCGCGAATTTGTCGTTGATGGTCACGTCTTGGAGTCCGCGGCCGTCGGCGGCGAGACGCTTGTCTAGCGGAACGGTGTAGCCCTTGGGGTTCTTCCAGTTGGAGATGGGAGGGGGGATCTTCCACATTTCCTGGTCCTCGGCTGTGAGCTTTCGGGGAGGAGAGTGGAGGACTGGCGGCGGAGGGGAGGGTGGTCCACGTGGGATGCGCTTGTGCTTGAACTTTGGCGGCTCCATGGGATCCATCTGGCGCTGCTGGATCTTGAGAATGCGCGTCTTGCCTTGTGCCTCGCCCATCTGCGCGGTAGGCGTGTACCGAACAAAAGTAGGCTCGTCTTTCCCTCTCCCCTTGACGTTCTTCGGCTTTTGTGCTGCCGTCTGTCCGGCGATCAGCGCATTGAGCGCCGCCGCCGTCTTCTCCTTGGTTGCCTGCACCATCTCCTGGCTTGGCCGTTCCAAGTCCAGCTCGCCTGCATTCGCCTGCTGCCGCAACGGAATCAGATCCTTGAAACTAGCCTGTACTATTCGATTCTCGGCGTGCCCACGTCGGGCGATCTCGTCGTACTTGGTCTTGCCCTCCTGATCTACGCGCATTGCTAGCGCATTCGACGTGCTCGCGGTGCCTTTCCTCCCCATATCCAGCGGATATTGCGCGACGTGTATCTCAGGAAACGCGCCACCCTCTCCGTAATCCTCTGCGGTGCGCGGTCTCCATCCTGTGCGCTGCCCGTACGGGGGCGGTCCGTTCTGCCGCTTGGCTAGTTGCGTCGAATGCTCTGGGAGCACGCGCGCGTTCCGTGAAGTATCGAGCTCTTCGACGTCGCCCACATATTTCGGCTTCGGTAGGGCCTTTGAGAGGGTCGCGACGGACATGGCGGGTGTTGTAGTGAGAGGTCCTGGTAGTTGATGTCAAGTGACGGCGAAACTTTCAGCCTAACGATGGGCATTCGGATTATCAGTTTCACCGGCAGATATACATCACGTGATATGTAGGACGGGGTGGATGAAGCGCCAAGGCGCGAGTCCAGCCCCCGAATTTCACCAAACGCAAGCGAGACGCTCCCGTTCGCGCGACTCGCCTCGTGGTAGGTAGCTATGGCGCTGGTTGCCCACTGCGCAAACTCAGTGCTGGAGCTACATTGATCTGCTTGATCACAGTGGTGTGCTCAAGATAGGATGTGTGCGACTATAAGACGTATTTTACAACCATGTCAAAGGAAGATGCGACACAGTACCACGTGCAGTGCCCCTGTGCCCTAGATGCAGAGATCGACGCATTAGTAGTGCTCGGTTGTGTGTAAGGGAGGCGAGTTGTTAGTGCTCCATTGTCATCCGACGTGTATGCGCATTGTCCCTGAAGCCATTGCTCAAAGGACTCGAGGCAGCATGCTTCAAGGGTACCAAAGCTTCCAGAACAACCATTAGGATAGACGTTTATCGAGCCAGTCTAGTGTGAAGCTGCGCGTCACCGTCGGAACGATGGCGACAGTAGCTTATGATGTGACATAGCGTGCATGGACGGCGCGTCCTAGCTCGTTCGAAAGGCGATGGCTGGGGACTGTCGCTCGACTCGCGGGCTTGATACACGAGTAGTCTCTTATCAAAATAGACGTCGCGCCGCGTGCCTTTTCTGAAGCCCAAACGGTGGTTCTGCTGACAGTTGAGAGTATGGTATTCTGCACGCTGCAGTAGAGCTGAGAAACTTGGAACATAGCCATCCATGTACACACGCCAACGCAGCTCGACCGGCGCTATGGATACCGGCCCGCCAGCCTCTCGATTGACGCGCCCGACTGCTGACGCGCAGACGACGACACCTAAACATTCGCAGCCTCAGTCACCTCCCGACCGACCTTCGCTTTTGCGCCTGCCTTCCTCTGCAAGCTCGGTCGCGACGTCCATTCGCTCGCGCAGGGTGTCCAACCCCGCTGCCGCGCGCACACCGACAACCTCAGCGACGGCGACGCCTGCAACCACGCCCTCGTACTTTTCGCCCCAGCAAGCTTCAGCCGGCAAGGAAGTGCGTTCTCCGGGGACCGGCCGCCCACCCGCCTCCTTCAGCTCCTTTGGCAAGGCCTATGGCGATACGTCGCGCGGCCCTCCAATAAGCGCGTCTGGCACCTGGCCCAAACAACACACACCCACCCGCTCGTTCTCAGTCTCTGCGGACCGCATGGCTGGCCCCAGCGACGCCTCTTCTTCTTTCGACTCGGCCGCGCGCCCGCGGATGCAGACGCGGCGCACCGGCGAGAGCCGCTATGGGGACAACGATACCTCTGGCGCTGAAGACGGCGAGGATTTGTTCCTGAACATTGCCGAAGACAGTGCGAAGGACCCCACTACAAACGCCATATCGCGATCCGACAGAGTACGGGTAGGTTGCACTTCCCTTTGCCGGCCTTGATGCCCTCGCCATCATCCTGCACTCTCCTGTAACAGCACGCTGACCCTGTCCCAACAGTCCCGCATAGCCCGTAGCAACCGACAATCGTTACCTTCATCCATACCCTCATCCTCTCCAGCGGTCGCTAGCTCAACCAGGCCGAATGGCGCCAGAATCCCCACGGCCATTGATACCTCAGCAGGCAACCAATACCGCCGCTCATCGCTCCTTCCCTCTGCGACAAGATCTACACGGGAAGTGTCCCCATTGACACCGTCCAATCCCGTCTTCGCACCACGTACGCGCGTTCAAGAACTCTCGCCTGGGACGCGACGCTCGACTACATCGTTGGCACAGAACCAAGATCAGGAATCGCAACCTCACTCGGCGCGCGCCGATGCAGGCTCCAGCTTCTCTCCCAAAGAGTATGCACCACAGGTCGACACGGTGAAGACGCGGCAGCAAGACTCCACTCTGTCACCAAAGGACTTCTTGGCACAGCTCGAATCAGGCAGGCGGCGTCCTTCATATCCAGATGCGCTGCAGACCCCACCCAACAATCGCAACGGCCCGTTCAAACCCTCGAACCTTCATTTCCATTCCTCTTCGCGTGACAATGCTACGATACCACATATCGACACACCTCCCGAAGCGCGGTCACGGTACGATGGCACAGAGGTTTCAGGCAGCTCGGCAGCTGCTACTTCAATGTGGGATGAGTTGGACGAGCTGAAGTCAAGAATGAAGAAGCTGGAGATGGGCGGAAAAATGCCAGCTACCTCAGGCGCCGCAATCGCTCAGGCTTCCGCAGAACGTCCACGAACGGCGAATACTGCGGCCACTACAGTGTCCTCTTCTCCTAAACAAGAGCGAAAACCAGCATCAGCCGAGTCTACCGTGCCCCTTTCTACTTCGAAGAAAATTCACCCTCTGCTGCATGATGCCTTAGCCAAAGTGAAATCGCACGCCGCACCTGCCGTTTATCGCACGCTTGAAGCTACCGCCCAAGAAGCGCTCGCTTTGGCTGAGATGGCGGGAAGCGGTGGCCCGCAAGGAACATTCCACTCAACAAGTTCGATCCTGGGCGGGCACGCTCTGCCTGATCGGCAGGTTCGACGAAAAGCAGACCACATCTGCCGAAATTTGACTGAACTATGCATTGAACTTTCCAACAGTAGTAAACCGTTCACCTTTTCCAGCCCGGCGCTCCAGAGAACATCGACTGCAGCGGTATCCCGTCGACCTAGTCTGCAGTTAAATGGTGATTCACCCACTATTCGCAAAAGCATTGAACCGGAGAGCGATGTACACCCTCGATCGAGTCCCAGCAGGGCAATGAGTCGCATCGAAGCGCGTCGAACCAGTGTATTGGGTAGGCGCGAGGCAAGTCAAGAGCCACCGACTCCATCACAGTCCCAAGCTCCGTCGCGCCTAGACGCTCGTCTGGACCGAACGAGCACCAGCCTGTATCGTCGCCATGAGCGTACGCCAGGTGACGACGACGATCCAACCTTGACCTTGCGGGCACCTTCGCGTGCGATGACCGACTTCAGGGAGACGCGTGCCGCACACAAGTCGCGCTATAGCAGAGAATACACCTCACAAGAGCCCATGCCAGATTTGCAGCCTTCCCCTGCTTTGCCGACACCAATACCCTCATCGCGACGGACAACTCTGACCGGCAACGAGAACAACCTTCTTTACCGGGATAGAGACAATACGCAAAGTGCTCTCGGTGCCACTCGTCGGTACGGACTTACTAGCCAGAACTTTCCTGCAACAGAGAAACATCCGGTGGCCAGAACCCAATTCGCCTCGAACAGGAACTCAGTAGGGGGCAGCTTCCCGCTTGGGCGCAGCGCCAGTCTCAGCCGCAGGCGTGTTAACGCAGACTGAAGACCATTTAGCGGACGATTAAAGACTTTCTTCTCCCGGCGTATTATGAGGATGGCATGCTATACATATACCCTTCGACTTTCTCTTACGTGGCATGGATCGTCTTCGATACGGGTAGGACGTTCGGAGCGGCGCGCTAGCGTCGAGCAACACCCTATGGTGTACGTATCTTGCTGGTGTGGTCAGTTTTCATCAGCCAGCCCTTTAGCTGGGGTGTCACGGTACTTCGTTCCGAAGTATTCAACTCAGCTTGTTGTTCACTTCGCAGCAGCATCGCCAGCTGTTTGGGCTCGCATTTTCCATTCTCAACGCTTCTACGATTCAAGAACGAGGAACAGCGTCTGTGGGTTCTTTGTTTTTTTGTTCTTCAGCATTGTCCACGGCGTTTCAATTAGCGTGTGCATACTCGGGAGTTGGGGCCAAAAAGGATTTAGCATCACAGGTGTCTGGGTATGTGGGCTATGCTAGGTGCAACAGCGAGCTGTACAATATTTTCAACCTATATATATTGCAATGCTTCTTGTAAATTCGTTGGAACGTGAGTTGTGGGATGTTGGCGTAACCATCACCGCTCGCCTCCCCCTGCATGTCCGAACTTCTACTTTCCATCAAACACCTCTGGCGATTGGCAACGCAGATTCTACTACCAACTCCCTCGTAGGATGCGGTCCAAGACCTTCGGTTGTGGGCCTTGGCGTGTCGTCTCGCTCACGAATGCAGAATGGATACTATGTGCCGGTATAGGTCTCCGGCGTTGAAACGCTCCAAACGCGTTCCACGTTCTAGAACTATTTGCCAGAGCAAGCCTATAGTGTACGATAATGAGTTGGAGACACGATCATGAGACGATGTCTCTTGCGTGCTGGTGAGAGAGAGAAAGAGAGAGAGAGAGATGTCGGAACGTTTAAAGATACGAGTTCACAAGACGAGGAGAGAGTGTGCCCGTTCGCTTAAGCACTGACAATGGACCCGTGGGGAAGCAAAGATCTCTCGGCATTGGAAAGGTAGATGAAAGTTGCGCAAGAGCGAATTTCCCACTGGATGTAGCTTCCCGCTGCGCAACGCAGAAGTGAATCGCATCTGCCACGACGCTTCCAGGTTGGTATTGGTTGATTGCAATGTCTTCTCTGCGTGGTAGGTAGCGAGCGAGACCGTAGCTGCAATGAGCCGGTTCTTTTGAGCGTTTTGGCGTTCGGTCAGGCAGCGCTGTAGAAGATGATGTATCTGAAGAGGGATGGGCGTTGAGGTGATGAACCCGTGTAGTCTTTCCAGAGCTCGATTATACCTCGTGTTCGATTCTCACGGCCAATATCTGTCGAACCGAAGACTGTGATGAGAAACGCGTCAGGAGCTAACATTCACATTACTTCGACTTTTGTCAGTGCAGCTAGTCCCAAACTTTGCGAGAAGTGTACGATCTGCATGACTACGCCACTGCTTGCGCGTTTGCATGGTTCAAGTGATTTTCCTTCAGCTGCTCAGTATCATAGGAGCTTTGCTTTTGCCTAACACATGACTGTTCAATTTCAGAGGAACTTTTGGCTCAACCGAATAATCATTCTGGCATCGTCACCAAGCAGGATATGATTTTGAACCTTTAAGCATGGGCATTTTGCTCCTTCTCAAGACTTGAGGTCAAAATATCCGCAGATAACACGGGAGCCCGCTTGAAACTTCCACTTGCGAGGATATGCGACAACAGCGCCACATCCATATCTCCGCTCCATTGACTTGATTTACACATCCTTGAACGCGCTATCGAGATCGCCCGCGCCGATGCATTGGAGAGGTCGGCACAAAAGACGTCGACATCTCACGATGTGGCGTAGAGTACGCTGAGCCCAAGTAGATGGAAAGCCAGGACACAAATCCTGTGCGTGAAAGTCGTAATGGAAATCAAAACGATAGCAGAGTACGCCTGACTACACACTAACCACGGAGTCTCCGCACGTAGACGTTACCATAAGTAGTATATGCTCTGAACAGCAGATCTCCGCATACGGTGCCTGCTGCCTAGCGTGTAAGATGTAGTGCAAGATGGCGGTCTGCACGTCGATGACAGACTAGGCTTATTGCGGGTGTGGCTTGCGAATGGGACGGATAGCTAATGTGCTCTGGTAAGCATTGGATTCAGTTCAGGTGTTGGGTTTGTGCGTGCTACCGCACGATGAGTAGAACGGGGGTTGATGTTCACTTGCCCATGACAATTTTCAACGAGCAGAGGTCCTGCAGTTTGCAAAACAGTAATTCGAAGGCGAATCGTATACGCGTCGTGCGAGGATGCCGCCGCACGAACTCCTCACAGAGTGTGCAGTTCACCACTCTATTCGTGACGGCCGTGCTTGAATACCCTTTACCCCCATCGTTAGTATTTCGAGTTCGCTTTCAAACAGACACCATTCGGTCGGCCACTCAAACCGAGAGCAATTTCCCTTTCTGGAAACTGTAGAAGGATTGCGACTTTTCAAACACAAGACAGGGGACACAGCTCCATGTTTCGCATAGCACGTAGCGCCTACTAAGTCTTTATATAGACTCCCATTCTTGGAAGTCGCTGTAATAAGATTCAGGTGTTCGGATTCGCATAGCTCGCGTTCGCTCCCGTTGTACCGGTAAGTTGGTGCATCGGGGGGGATTCTCGTGGACGATTCGACGGCTTTAACCGTTCGCTTGAGGGCCCCGAGCTGGACTACGGTGACTCGGACTGGGAGGTCTTGGTCGGTGATGAAAGTCGCCGCGTTGCCGTGAGTGAGGAGGCTGCAGATCTCGCGTTCGCTTTCTTTGTATCGGTCAGCTAGTACACTGGGCCCCAGCACAAGCAACGGTATTGCCTGTCCGCTCAGACACCCGCATGCTGTGTTTGGTTCCTGCGCGCATGCAAATCATTCCCTCGTCGCGTATCATGGACACCGCACAGAATTCTGATACATTCAGCGGATGGACGAAGTCTTACGCTTTCGACCCCACCCCGTTGTACACCAAAAATTGCGCCCCGGCCCCGAAATTTACATGACCTTCCTTCCCGGCGAGACGTACTTTCGTGCTGCATCCTCCCAGCGCGTGCATAGCCGAGGTTTCGTACCCTGCTGCAAGACTGCCGTAGGTACCTATGGTACTTTCCAAGGGGTGGGGGCATGTCCACGTACGAATAGTGCGGCACTGGGTGAGATTTTCGGTGGAACTCAGTAGGATGGTGGCAGCCCTATGTGTCTGTCCGCGCGTCGGTGCACATGCCGGACTTGTTTCCTTTTTTAGTGGGATTCTGGTACCAGTGGGCCTTGGTGTTTTGGGCGTTCATTCTAGCAATTTAGTATCTTATCAGCTGGTAAATACGCACCGACACACGCCTCGCTAAAGGAAGACGCCGTATTGACTGCTTGTCGCTAGTGATGCGACTGATGAAATTGCGGGCCATTCCATGGCATTTGAGGTTGGGGTATTGCTGGTAGCGCGAGTCGGTATCGATCGGATGCGGGAGTGTCCTGACTCTTTCGTTTTCTTTTTTTTTTTTGCCTTAATACAGCGTTCTAGAACATGACGTAACGTCGTTCCATTCTAGAAGATATCGACTGATTTGCCAGCTCGTTCTTGAAAGACACCAGCGTGGTGCGGGACGCAATGTGATATTGCGCATAGCGCGCTACACGCTCTCGCGTCTCGCTATGCAGGACGCGCTATCTCCCTTCTTCAGGTTCATTGCCCTCGTACTGCTGGGCTGACTCCTGCTATCAATTCGTGTTGGGAGTCTTAATTCGCTAAAAACTTTCTGAACCGAAACATATCCATTTAGCAGTACCCGGAGATAATACAGAAGCCCATGCATGACGACAGGTTCTTGTAAGCTTCCGTCAAAGGACTAGGCCTCGCGGGTGGTCGGGAATGCTCACGGCGCTTCGGCATATCCCGCTTGTCCCCGGCCCCCACTCTATCCTCATCTCCAACCAGTAGTGCAAAGCACAAGTCCCGGCCATACAAACTCGAGTGCGGCCGCCCGGCAGCCTGACATCGGTCAAGGCAGCAGCGTGTGGATACAGTAAGCTGGCTCACTTAGCGCTCCATTTGAGAATCTCAGACATCGAGTGCGCTCTAAGTGTCAAGTGTACTGGTGCTTGGACATGTTTCCGGTGATCATGGTAGAGTGTCTTAGAGAAGGGCGGTCTGATGCACGCCTTGCTGGAAGGGCATGGGATGGCACGATCAGGACTGTAAGTGGAGACACCAACGCGCCTCGACAGTAAATTTTCTCGGCGATGGCAAGGCGAGGCAGACCCAAGGCGGATCGATTCGACCACTCCCTCGTGGCGCCCGATAGGATCAAACGCCTCTACGTACATGAGTCATCGCGGCAACGTAGGCAGTGTCTTGAGCAGCATAGCTGCTCTGGGCAGTGGAGGTGACACGTCTAGAAGGGAGGGTGAGTATCATGTGTCGGGCCATTGAACGGGCGCTCCATACTCAGGCGAGTAGGACGTTGCGTGCAGATCATATCAAGACGCGACGCTCCGGGCGGAATATTCTTAAGCTTTTATCGATCGTAAGGATCCGAACCCGAATCTATGGCAGATGTGATTGATGTGCGGAGGTAACGCCGGCGCAGGAACCGCATGGTTGCTTTAAGATGCGGTTCTAACTGTAAGGCTGTAGAAACATCAGGCTGCTTACTGGATTCGACTTCTTAACACAGATAACCTCGAAGTTTCATATCAGATGAGCTAAGGCATGCAGCAAGCGCTGCCTTGCTGGATGGAGAAAAGTACGATGGCATTCAGTGTGTGAAGAAGCTTGCTGTTCCTTGATACGGGAGCGTCGGGAATGATTGAGGCGGTGCTTGGATCAACAAATTCGGAGTACATTTGTGCAGTCAGTAGCCGAAAGCTATGGTGCCGAAGACCCAGCGTGCTGTAATAGGTTGCGATGAGCACGGAGCCCTGTGCGCAGCTCTTGCACTAGACCCGGAGTCGTATGTCGGTTCTCTCTGTACCAGCTCTCCCTCTGGAACGTAACATGTTGGACCATGAACCTGACCATTGCAAGTGATGTTACAATGCTCCAAATATGGGATGGTTTATGCAGTGCATTGATATCTGCTGCTTTAATTCCGTGGGAAGTCGGCTACGCTGTACGCAAAAGCCGCTACCCGTACTCTGTCGACCTCAAAACCTAATGTAGCCAGGTCCTGAACTAGCTTTTGTGTCCATTTTCGTGACCCTACCGACGTTTTTCGGCGAATTAATATTGCACTGTTCCAAGAGGACGCGTAGCAACCGACTGAGAACTGCCTCGCGGACCTGCGTACGTTTGACATGCACGTTTGCCAGGGAGGTTCAAATTGGTTTCCGTCGGAACTGGCAAGCTAAGATAACTGGACCTGCATCGCCGCGGTGCGGACAAAGTTGCAGGCATTGTGCACTGTCGTAGGAAGCGTTCATGGCAGGGTCATGCGTAGTTCGCACAAATGAGCGAGTATCGCAGGTGTCTGCATTTCCATTGTTTCTGGGCTATGTCAAATGACAAAACATACCGACGCCATATCTGCGAAGGTTGCTGCTAATTGGTGAGCCACATTCCGAGGCTGGTGATTGGGGGCTGTTCTGAAGTCATTGGTCTGAGGGACTTGCATAACACCGGCAGGAGGAACGTGGTTATGCTTAATTCACCGCGATGCTCTCTCGAAAGCTATAGTGGCGAGATCCGCCCCAGGATATGTGCTGCCAAGCCCAGATTGCTGCCTTGAACAGGCTAAGCGCAGAGGATTTGGCGAGCATGACAGCCGAACGGACGTATCATACTGTGGCCAGCCAGGTACTGCTGGTGCCAATCAAAGTAGAACATCCGGGACAGGTAAGCCCTCCGATGGGCCCAGTCTAGGGTGGGGATTATGTTAGAAGAACGGGAGATCAAAGATGCCGCGCCGTCGGCGGCGTGAGTACAGTACATGCGCCCTTGGGTTTGTAATCGGTTATGCTAGGATCCTCCAACAGCTGCGGACTCAGCATCGTGAAGAGGCGGCGGGAAAGCTGAGGCCAGTTTGCGACGATTCCAGGGCCGCGTACTACTGCAGCTTCCGAAAGCTGCGCGATTCGTATCCCACTTCCAGCCCTCATATCCTACAAGCTCGTAGATAAATCAGTGTAGGACCAATCGTTAGGTCAGCCCTGCGCCAGATCACCTACACACATTGCCCCGTCTACAGAAGTATTACCCGACTTGAGTTTGCGGTTTTCTGTTTCGGGCACTCTCCCTACACCGTTCATTGATACTTTAGAGCGAGAGAGGAGTGGAGCAGAACTGTCATGTGAAGGCATGAACGCGCCCATAGCGAAGAGTAATTGCTGGACGTGCAAAGGTATGTCGTTCCGCTTTTGTTGTTCTTCGCCTGTCCCTGAGGTGACGCTGGACCGGGGCAACCGGGTGAGTGCTCACGGCCGCATATAGCGAAAGGTATACATGAACGATTGACCCCGCCTCGTACACCTATTGTCATACCATGGTCCGCTTGTCCACTTTGGCTGACCAGTTATAGAACGCAAAGTTGGCTGTGATCGCGCCCTGCCACACTGTGCTAATTGTACCCGCGCGAAGAGGGAATGTAAAGGCTACGGCTTAAAGCTTGCATGGCCCGATAAGTATGATGGGCGGAGGAAGCAAAAGAAATATCAAGCGGACCCCGACAACAGTGCGACCAACTATGTGACCAAGTTTGGCGAATTCTCCTTCCTTAATACCGGCAATGGGGATGTCGAAGGGCAGAAATACACTGTACGAGATCTGGCCGCGAGAGGCTGTCCGGCAATCGATTTTGGCGTGTCGAGAAGCGTGTCGAGAAGCGTGTCGCCGGGCCTACATGTCTGGAAACTGGATTTGTGTGAGCGGGAGGGATCGCTTTTATCTTATTGTAAGTGTCCAAACTGTTCTGTATTCGTACTCGTCGGATGCGAGGATCCGCATGCGTGATGAAGCCGAGCTCGCGTTTCATTTCCTTGACACGGCGGAATCAGTCCGAGGTTGTTCGTTTAATTACCCATTGGCTTCTGAGCGATACCAAAGTGGATCGACGTTGACAGAATCTTTGATAGACGACTCGGTAGTTGCCCGGATGATTACAACGATTGACGATAGTACGAACGGTTTTCGACTCCAGATAATGCCTATGGCATTAACGTCGACAGACGCATCCGCAACAAGCCTTCTACAGGCCACATTAGCTTTGGCGTCTTTCCATTTAGGAAGTCGCGAAGAGGCCCTTACCCACAAAGTCAAGGCTATCAAGGCGCTTGCGGAGAGTATCCACTGTGCGTCGCCTCTGGATGAAAGGAGTCGCCAGACACAGTTCGCGTCGTGTTTGATGCTTTGTGTATATAGTGTAAGTGTACTAAGTGTGGGTATAATTAGGGGAGAGCAGATCAATCCACGCACGTCTTTCCGACTACTTGAACTTCTTCTGACCTACATTCAGGTCTTTGACACCTCCGACACAAGCTGGTACACCCATCTCCAAGGCGCCCGCAACGTCATCAACAGCTGTCGCTCGGCCATTGCTGCGCACCAGCACGGATGTAATCCTTTCCTGGAGGAATGGTACGAATATCACAATACTTTCTCAGCGTTCACCTACCCATACCAATTTGAAACGCCGACACCATCCATCCGTGACATTTTGATTCCCGAGAGTCTCGCCAATGATCGAAGAGTACGTGGATTTCGCAATTCGAGCTACGTGCGCCATGTCGAGACTGACACTGAAGATAAGATCGTTGGTCTGCTGGGATGTTCGACTGAGCTGTTACGGTTGATATCGTGCATCAACCAGTTGCGTACTCTCCTCCTGGGAATGTGTCCATCTGAGTCCGATATGATGGCGCTGGCTGTCCATATCCGGCTGCGTTTGCTCAATTTGCGCCAAGAAATATTCGTCTACCCCGATGAGACTTCCGGTCGCATTTCGCACACACGTATCCACCGCACGGCAGAGTTCTACCGTGTTGCAGCCATGCTGTACTTGTATGATACGTACCCGGCCGCTGCTCCATCTTCTTCTACGTCAAGTTCGTCAGATTCGCCGCTTCCATTCCCAAGCGTCCCCGAACTCGTTAGCCAGGCTTTCATGCTGCTTGATCAGATGGAAGTGTGTAGTTCGCCTTGGCCACTGTTTGTGGTTGCCTGTAATGTGACAGAGGACAGGGATCGCATTGAAATCATGAGAATATTCGAAGAAGCGTCCCAGATTCGAAAAGTTGGAAATTATGACGTTATCATGGGCTTGGTGAAAACAGTGTGGAGTAGAGTGGATCTGAGAACTGACGATGGAAGGGACGGAAATACAAAGATATCGGACTGGCGGGAGCTGATCGACGAAAAGACGGGCATGCCTTCCTTCATATGAGATAATGAGCCCGCGATGATCCAACAGAGTGCAAAAAAAGAAACCCAGAGCAATGAGTCAAAAACAAGCTACCGATTCGGTAGAGATTCGAAATTGGTCAGCCAGACCACGGTTGGGATTCACCAGAGTCGGTAAAATCAAGGTCGAGATGGTCTATAAAGGTCGGACGAAAGAGTTGGAAATTAGTGGTCACCGACACATAAGCCCTGATATCTGGAGTGAAGAATGGCTGAGGACGACACATATTAATTCGTTTCTAGGCTCACACGGCAGCGCAAAAAAACTTTCAAGTCGTAGCGGAATGATAGGACACCGAAGGATCACGGACATTGCTGTGCCATTGTCGACGAGTGGAGTTAGCCCGACTACGAGCAAACGAAGGATGTGCGTAAGCAGAAGTAGAGGCTTCCGTGTGGAATGATACTAGACTGGCAATGAGCCTGCCTCCGGGCACCGGATGTGTACGGCGTGATCGCAGCTCGCCAAGAGATGGATCGCCCCAAATTTCAAGCAGGGGCCCGGAATCGTTACACTTGCAGGCAGGGTCAATCGAAAGAGCCTGGATATCAATTCTCGAAGTGCGTTCCGCACATGGTTTCAGATCTTGATGAAGTTATGTCCGGAAGACGTGTGGAATGGCGTGTGGTGCACCAATGTGGGTATGATTAGTATCGTAAGAGGGAAACGCTTCCTTGGGTCCCTGAGAAGGAAACGAGATCTGAGGCGAATCTTGGTTGTATCGTGGAGGTGCTCAGTAGCGAGGGCTGAGGAGGCCGCTGCGACCAAAGCGTTGAGCTCAAGTTGAAAAGAAGATGCAGACATCGGTAAAGCATTTTCGTCGGCAGGTACGCTAGTCCCCCAAGTAGGTCGGACGCTTGAAGCTGGCTAGAATTTGGTGAGCTGGAGGTACCTCGGCACCTCGAAGGGCAAACTTTCGACACACCCCGCAGTAGGCGGAAGAAGTGCATCGTCGAGTGGAGACACGGTTACTGGGATGCCGTGGAATGTTTGCATCTTGGCGATGGGGTTGGCAACGTCGTGCGAGCTGTGGTGTTCACGCACGGCGTTGCAAGGGATGAATTGTGTTGGAGCAAGTTCCCCTCTCGAGAGACTCTGTCTATACGATACACGCGAAAGACAAAGTGAAGACCAAGCGCTCAGCCCTTCCGGTCCATCACGGTGTTCAATGGTGAGCTTGCGGTATGGTGACGTGAGTGCTATTGGTCCCACCTTCCTTATTTGCAGCATCCACCGGGATAAAGAAAACGAGTAGTGCCTCGCCGTGGGCAGCACGGGATGGAAGCCGAAGAAACAGCGCTGCAAGGCCCGCTCGTCAGCGTCGATCCCGCATTGAGCGACTGCAGAGAGAGAAAACAGGGAATCGATGCCGGAAGGCTGGTAGAATACTGTGACAATGGACCAGCAACCAGGCGTGGCGTTGGAAGACTGCACAGCTAGCAAATCAGCGGCACGCGCCAATGCGGCACCTCAAGGCAAAGGCGACGCTGGTGTGCGACGTCAACCCCGCCTCTCTTGATGTTTTGCACACTATTGTCGATGGCGGCGCGCTATATTGACGTCCGGGGAGCCAGAGGAGGGCCGCGGCTGGGGCTTCGCCAGGCGGCTGGGCAGCTGGGCGTTTCTGGGGGAGCCACGCACGGTCGTGCGGGAAATGATGATGTGCCGTGAGAGATGACGCAGCAAACATCGTGGTTCCGCGGCTGTGAGGAAAGGGGAGGCGTGCGAGGCTTAGCGACGACAAGTGAGAAGGCATCATGGACGCAAGGACACGGCAGAGAGAGATGGCGGGTGCAGCGAACGAGTGCAAGCGCAGCGCATCGCGTCGTGAAGACATCCGCGGCGGCCGTTCAGCGCCGTTTGTGCATGCAAGCCTCGATCGGGGTGGCGGAGAAACTAGACTGGCCGACGATCAGCTGGTGCCTGAGCGTGCAGCTAGCCCCCGCAGGCTACGACAAGGGTCCGCGCGTGTTCCGGGGTCGAAGCTTGGGGGAGCTTGGAGAGCTCTGAATAAGAACCCGATGTGCTCGCCTTGCCACTGCTTTTCTGCGAGCGCCCTCACGTTGAACCGTAGTCCTAGCTTTCGGTATCTTATCCCTCAATCGTCGCCCAGGGCCTGTCAATTAAAGCTCCGCGCTTGTGAAGAGCATTCTTAGCCGCCATGGTCCGCGCGTGGCTTGCTCCCTTCCTGCATGTGGCTTTCGCCCAAGCCCAGGTACGTCTACTCTCTTTCCACATCACCAAAATTGTGCACACATGAGAAATATCGGGAGAAGCTGCAGCCATGACTCCCGGTTTGGCGCACTTCTTTCTGTCGCTTTTCCCGTTTCTCAGAGTAACCGACGTCTGATGTCTGCTCTTGTTGACACACATGCGCTGACTGTAAACAAAGTACTCCACAACGCCAGTCGGGCCCAACAGCACCACTCCGGGTGATCTGAATAACGCCTACAGCCCTCCATACTATCCTAGCCCATGGGTAGATAGCTCCGCCGAAGGATGGCAAGATGCCGTCACCCGCGCGAGGGCCTTCGTCTCGCAGCTGACACTGCTCGAGAAGGTGAATCTCACCACTGGTGTTGGCTGGGAAGGCGAGGCTTGGTAAGTTAGAATCTGTCAATACTCGACTATCCGCTGATCCGCAAAGTGTTGGTAATACTGGAGCCATCCCGCGTCTGGGCTTCCCGGGCTTCTGCGCGCAGGATAGCCCTCTGGGCGTTCGATTCGCCGACTATGTGTCCGCATTTCCCGCTGGTGGCACCATTGCGGCGTCCTGGGACAGGGGTGAGTTCTACCGTCGAGGGTACCAGATGGGTGTTGAGCACCGCGGCAAAGGCGTGGATGTTCAGCTCGGACCCGTCGTTGGGCCTCTTGGTCGCAACCCCAAGGGTGGACGTAACTGGGAAGGCTTCTCCCCTGACCCAGTCCTCAGCGGAATTGCCGTCGCCGAGACCGTAAAGGGTATCCAAGATGCTGGTGTCATTGCTTGCACCAAGCATTACATCCTGAACGAGCAGGAGCACTTCCGCTCGCCAGGCCAATTCGAGGATTTCGGCTTCGTGGACGCTATTAGCTCCAACGTGGACGACAAGACCCTCCATGAGTTGTACTTGTGGCCATTTGCCGACGCGGTCCGCGCCGGTACTGGTAGTATCATGTGCTCTTACAACAAGGCGAACAACTCTCAAGTCTGCCAGAACTCGTACCTCCAGAACTACATCCTCAAAGGCGAGCTCGGCTTCCAGGGCTTCATCATGTCAGATTGGGATGCTCAGCACTCTGGTGTTGCTTCTACGCTTGCCGGTCTCGATATGACTATGCCTGTAAGCACTCAATCCCTTTTCCTAGCCTAGTGCAACACTTACCGAACATTGTAGGGTGACTCCGACTTCGACAGCGGCTTCTCCTTCTGGGGCGCGAACCTGACCCTCTCCATCATCAACGGGACCGTTCCAGAATGGCGCCTCGACGACGCGGCGACGCGCATCATGGCCGCTTACTACCTTGTCGGCCGCGATAAACACGCTGTTCCTGTCAACTTCAACAGCTGGTCGCGCGATACCTATGGATACCAGCATGCCTTTGCCGAGACCGGTTATGGCTTGATCAACCAGCACGTCGATGTTCGAGCCGACCATTACAAGGCCATCCGCGTTGCATCAGCCAAGTCCACTGTCCTCTTGAAGAACTTGAATGGCGCCCTTCCGCTCAAGGGCAACGAGAAGAACACGGCCATCTTCGGTCAAGACGCTGGAGACAGCCAGTACGGTCCCAATGGCTGTGCTGACCGCGGCTGTGACAACGGTACCCTTGCCATGGGCTGGGGATCTGGAACAGCTGACTTCCCTTACTTGGTAACTCCTCTTGACGCCATCAAGAACGAGCTTGCTGGCAATGGTGGCATCGTGCAGTCCGTCACTGACAACTATGCTTGGGCTCAGATCATGTCGCTCGCTAAGCAGGCCAGCACCGCCATTGTCTTCGTGAACGCAGACTCTGGTGAAGGTTACATTACCGTCGACGGCAATGCAGGGGACCGCAACAACCTCACCATCTGGCAAGGCGGCGAGACGCTTGTGCAGAACGTCTCTGCATACTGCAACAACACCATTGTCGTTATCCACTCCGTTGGCCCTGTGCTTATCGACTCCTTCTCCAACAGCGAGAACGTCACTGCCATCCTTTGGGCTGGTCTTCCTGGCCAGGAGTCTGGCAACGCTATTGCTGACGTCTTGTACGGTCGAGTCAACCCAGGCGGCAAGTTGCCATTCACCTTTGGCACCAATGCTTCTGAGTATGGCCCTGACCTGATATACGCGCCCACAAACGGTAACGAGAGCCCTCAAGACAACTTCGAAGAGGGTGTGTTCATCGACTACCGCGCATTCGACCAGAAGAACATCACACCTGTGTACGAATTCGGGTTTGGACTGTCGTACACGACCTTCTCTTACTCCAACCTGACAGTCACCAAGGTCGCCGCTCAAGCTTACACTCCTAACTCTGGTCTCACTGAGCCAGCACCGGTCCTCGGCAACTCCAGTACCGATCCTTCTCAGTACCAGTGGCCTTCCAACCTGACCTACGTCAATAAGTACATCTACCCATACCTCAACTCGACCGACCTCAAGGAAGCATCGTTCGACCCCGAGTATGGCCTAAACTACACGTACCCTGAAGGCGCCACCGACGGCTCAGCGCAGCCCAAGATCGCCGCCGGGGGAGGACCCGGAGGCAACCCGCAGCTATGGGACGTTCTCTTCACCGTGACAGCCACCATCACCAACAACGGCACCGTCGCTGGAGACGAGGTACCTCAGCTGTACATCTCGCTGGGCGGACCCACGGACCCCGTCGTTGCCCTCCGCAACTTCGAGCGTCTGAGCATCGCCCCTGGCAAGACGGCGACCTTCTATGCGGACGTCACGCGCCGCGATGTGTCCAACTGGGACACTGCCAGCCAGAACTGGGTCGTCACCAACTACACCAAGACGGTGCACGTTGGCTCGTCGTCGCGGAAGTTGCCCCTCAGCGCGAAGCTGTCTTTCTAGATCCCTAGGATGTTGCTTATTGACTAATGTTTTGCTCAGGTCTGGGTGATAGGTTATGAATTACGGCATTGGTATCGGGTCTTAGCATAGCATATAATGGCAAATTCCTAATCTCATGACGTGGCGACTGCCATGGCAATATCATGAATTACAACTGGTTATTTCTGCGTGGATACGTTCGGGGACGCGTGTGATACGCGTCCGACTAGGACAGAGCGGAATGGCTCTGGTGCGCTCTGTAAATGCGGTGGTTGGGGTGATGATGTCATGCAGGTGTGGGTCGCAGGATCACGCACCGTGGCTGAGATTTTTGTTTACGTTGTGTAGCGCGAGGCGCACGAGGGAAAAGTTTTCCTCGCGCAGGATTAGAGAAGGTGTGAAATTCAAGTGCGAACGGCTGAGTTGTTTGATCGACCGATAACGATGGGCTCGCTTCTCGCTTGTTGATGGGCTCGCTGCGAACTGTCAGTGGGCCGCAGGGCGCATCGACTCTTCGCGCGTTTGATGACGAAGCGCGCTTGGCCGGGTGCGTTTGGCTACAATAACAATGGGCGTCATCGTCCACACAGGCGATCGCAGCGTGTTTGTAGGAATGCAACACCCTGGAGCGATGGCAAAAGCGCACCGCCTGCAGAATGGATGCTTCTGCCCCCGAAGAATGCGCAGACAGGTGCAGATAATGGCAGCTGGGTGTGTAGAGTGCTGCATGGGTAGACGCGCCCGGCCCGTCACGTGCAGCTGACCCGCGCACGGCCAAGGCTAGACGAGGCCATTGAGCCGCGATGGTCCTTTCTGCACGTCTTCGTGATCTTGGATGGCCGAGACGTCTTGTCTTCCTCTGCGTCCACGACTCCCGCCGGCCGTTGCCGTACCGTCCCGCCCAACACTCCAACGCAGCGCCCCCGTTCGGTCGCGCATGGGCGAAAAACAAACAAGACCACCCTGGGCCAAACACGCGCCGCTTCCGCTACCTTCACACCACCACTGCTGAACCGGCAACCAGCCTCCCGCTTCCCACAACGCCGCTGCCCCCACCGAGCAGCTGCACCCAAGCACCGCCGAAGAGGCACTCTCGACCGGACGCGACAGGCAGCGCATCCCGCTCGAGTCTGGGTGGGGCGCAGGAACCACCCAACACCGCCCTCTGGCTTAAGTCGCCTTCTCCGCTCGCTCTCTCGCACGCCCCGCGACCGCACTCAATACGAACACGCACGCAGCGCCTTTGCCTCCGTCCGGCTCCCGCCCGCCTACGATGCCGCCCTCGGCGACCAGGCGAACCGGTCTGCGCTCTCGCCGCGATGCCGACGCCCAGCACTCGGACGCAGACACGCCAGATTCCATCGCCACGCCTTCCCGCAAGCGCAGAAAGGTCGGCAGCGCCCATGCCTCTCCCGCAAAGCTGAACTCCCAGTTTGCGCCGCTGAACGGTGCCGACCAAGCCGCGCCGGCCACCCACCTGGCCCGCAACCGCAGAGAGTCAGTCGGCAGCAACGACTCTAACGCAACCCTGCCCGAGGCAGAAGCAGACGAGCCCATGGACCCCATTGAGCGCCAGAACCATCTTATCAACCACTTGCGCATACCCGGCTACACCACCAATGCCTCAATCGACTTTGCCAACGACCTGCAGATGCGCAAAGCCATCGGCAACAATGTAGCGGCTTTTGCAAAGGTCGCAGCCCGCGACTGGTGCTTCTTCGCCCAAAAGACGCGCTTCATCATCGGCCGCGCAGATGCTGCTACTCGTTCGCAAACCCGTCCGCCGGTCGCAAATGGCCAATACAGCGAAATGAGCGAGCCGAATGCGTGGGGAGTAGACATCGACCTGGGTCCCGAACGACAAGTCTCTCGCGTCCATGCCGACATTGAGTATGACAGCGATGACCAGGTCTGGTACCTCACCTGCAATAGCCGTAATGGGCTCAAGCTGGACGACCGGAGTTTGCAAAAAGGACAACGCGAACCGCTACATTCTGGCATCTGCATCCAGGTTATGGGCACCCAGATGCTGTTCCTTTTAGCGAATGGGGACGATGTATTCCACCCGATGATCTGGCGCCAGACAATGAACAACCACAATGCGGGTCTGTCGGACGACGAAGACGGCCAACCTCATTCGCGCAATGCGCCGCCACACGCTCACCCGAACGGACCAACTCCCAAGCGCGAGCCATATGACCCTTTCCCACCTACATCAGCACGCAGCCGACAGGCGCATCCATACAGCAGCCAGTTGACGTCAACCCCCGGCCGCCCAATGCCTGGCACACCAGTTACATTCTCTCGCAGCAAAGGCTCGCCCTCGACGTACCCGCGTGGCATGATGCTGGACTCGACGGAAGATATCGACTACAGCCAGGACTCGGCCAAAGATATCAAGCCACCTCATAGCTATGCTCAATTGATTGGCCAGGCCATCCTGCAAAGCGAGGAGCAGATGCTTACTCTTGCCAATATCTACGAGTACATCAAGGAACACTATGCTTTCTTTCGGGTCACGAACAGTGGTTGGCAAAACAGTATTCGTCACAACCTGTCACTGAACAAATGCTTCGAGAAGGTTGCCCGTCGCACTGACGAGCCTGGAAAGGGCATGAAATGGAAGATCACCGACAGCGAGAAGGAAGACTTCATGAAGAAACAGATGCTCAACCCACGTAAAGGCGGTGGGGCATTCCGAATGGATACTTCTGGCCCAAGCTCACCCGCTATAGGCCAGTTTCGTGATCCGCGAGAAACTCCCTTGCAAACCTCCGAACGGCTGCAGGGTGCGATCGGCCAACATGATGCTTTCCGCAGACAGGAGACGGGGGGCCGCATAAAGTCCCCGCCACGCTCAACAACGCCTCCGCTGTCGTCTGTTCCGATGGCGAATGAGTCCTACACCCCTGACCGTGGTTCCAGGGCGCCCAATCAACCAATAGGTCTAAAACAATCTCCAAAGTTTACCAGCGATCGCTTCGTGACACCAGCCAAGAGGCTTATGTATGGAGAAGATGAATCCCGTGGACCGTCTTTCATCAAAGGTGCCGAGGATGCTCACCGTGGATTGGAGTCTTCACCGTCTGTGGATCCGGTCAAGCCCAATGTAAGTGGTCTACGTGGTGATGCAGCCAACTCGCCGCCCACACTCTACTCGGACGTCACGGCCAACAACTCCAACGGAGGACAAGACTCGTCCAGGATGAACCCGCTAGTCACGCCCCTTGTCACCCGCCATGCTCCGCGTCTCGCACCCCCTTCCACGGCTCAGGTTCCAAGCCAGTACATGAACTTCTCCAGCCCGGCCCCCTTCTGGAAGTACATCGACCTGCCCAGCACTCCTGCCAAGCCATTGCTCGATCTTAGCCCGATCAAGCTAAGGCCTAGCAACGAGAAGGACGGTGAGGATGAGGTGCCACAGCCTAGTTCGCCGCCGCTCATCCAGGACGAGGAGGAGGAGCGCAGCGGCGAGTCAGAAGAGAAGGACGCTGAAGAGAAAGCCGACGAAGATGAGGATGCGCCGCCAGATAGCCCGAGCCGTACCGTGTCGCGACCCGTGAGCCGCCGCGAGCTCACCTCCCAGCGCTCTCGGTCCAACTCCAACGTCAACGGCTTCGATGCCAAGCCTGGTATGGTTCGAGGTGCCAGTCTGGGTTCTTTCGAGGAGGAGCCTGAGGAGGAAGGGTTCGACTTGTCAAAGTAAGTATCATCACCGTCTTAAGTCGAGTACTCACTAATGCGCATCAAGGGGATTCCAAAAGATTGGATCTTTCCACAGGAGCATCGCACAGGCTCATGGCGTCGTCGGCCCGCGCTCATCGCAGAGCCAAGAGCCGGTGTCAGCCAGAACCAGTGTTACGACGAACATGTAGGAAGTGGATCATCGTCATACATCCGGCCCCGACATTGCGCGCCGCGCGCGGACGGATTTCTACGAGGCGTTCAACTCGCGGCCTTTTGAAGCTATCCACGAAATGGAGGAGTATTGATACAGCCATTGCATGACTTTGGACTCGGTCACTGCGTTACGATCTTTGTGTTGGGTATGAGTTTACGAGGCCGTCATCGGCTTCAACCAAAAGAGAGAAGAGAGATCCATACATGTGTTTTCTTATGCTACTGCATGCATGTTTTTGGCGGGTATGGTCTTCTGATCTGGTGTGTTCTAAACACGATGTTATGAATCTTTGATCACGACTATGCGGGCGAAGATGGGTGTGCTTCGGGCCGCGTTTAGGTGTGTTTTGCTTGTGGGTTTCGTGTAGCTATAGGGGCGGCTGAGTCCGTTTTGTCAGGCTGTGGGTTTTGCGATAGCGGCGGCGTAGGATAGGCGCTGGTATCTATGATGAAATGCATGAAAAGTATCATCAATTATGGATCATGAGTGTTGATGTCTGCGTTGTGAGGCTGGTTAGCTGGCACCGGTCGTGGGACATCACACGTCAGCGAGCATGGCACACTGGTTGGTTTGTTCATCGCTCGCTTTCCTATTCACAGCCTGGCTTATCCTACCCTATCCGCACCGTCCGGATCTTCATCTCAGGTAATGCCATGCCCACTCCCACACAGGCTCTCTCCTCATCTGAGCTCCACCCGAAAGACCAGTCTAGTTTATCTCCCTGTGCGGGAACCACTTGCTCGGCTTGAGGTTCTTCTCCTCGAGCGGCGCATCCAGCACGCCGAGCCGCCGTATCTCGCCCGCGGACGGCGCGTCGTCGCGCTTGATGTTGGCTTCGGCCTTGCGGTAGGCGGCTTGGAGGGCGAGGGTGCGTGCGGCCTGTTCGTTCACGCATCAGTACACAGCCACCTGGTCAGAGGGGACAAGGCGGCGCACCTCCTTCTTGTGGTGCAGGCACTCGTAGTAGTCCTCGAGCACGGGCTGGCACTTGATCTTGCCGGCGTCGCTCTCGGGGGACGTGTTTGTGACGTAGCAGGCGAGGACTTCCTGCCAGAAGGGGAAGCAGCGGGAGGGGCCTGGAGGGGTCTGTTAGCGAACTGTGGGGGAACAATTGCTTGGGATGGTGCGGAAGATGGGTGGAAGCGGTAAGGAGACTGGCTAGATGAACTGTGAGGAGTTGCGGGACGGCTGGTGCGGAGCGGAACGTGGGTAGGCTGAATGGCGTGTCGCGGGACCGTTGCGCGGGGCGTTTATGGTCGTATATCGAGTCGTTTGAACGGAGCACTGCATATTGTAGTGTTTCGAAGCTTCATCGTCGGAGTTGGTGCTGTTGTCCGCGTACGCATCGTCCGTCGCATCCTCGTCGTCGCCCTCCATTGCCGCCGCTACCGTCCTCGCAGCTGCTTCCCGCTCTCCTCCAGGTGCGATTGGTGTGTATGGGTGTACGTACCGCCGGCCAATCCGTATCCAGAAGCCATGGTCGCGGTGTAGGTGTGGGGTTTCGCGGTCCGGAGGTAGCTTTGCGAGACCTGAGGTTGAGCTAGATCGCATGACTAAGCTGTCGAGCGCCGAACTTCATCTCTTGGCGGGCACCACAATGCCCACCATGCTGATAGGGCATCAAGCCCACGCCGTAGCATGTCTTAGGTCAGGCGATGCGGCTTCGGATGATGCCCAAGTACTCACAGTGGCTGGTTTGCCCATCTGCGTTTCTGCGGCGTAGTCTGGCTGCTGCGCCCGTTTGCGCGCACACCGCCTCAGTTGCTAGTGGGGTTGGTGTGCCTCTCTACATTCCCGCTTGGAACGGCGGAGCGCCAGGACGAATATGGTCCCCACGTATGGCCAGTGTAGCTTGGTGGCCTGGTGTGGGGCTTGCGAGGCGTGCAGATAAATAGCCATGTGTCCGTAACTTTGGCGTCGATTGCTCTACCAGCACTGAAGTCTGCCCTCCTGCCTGTCTGGGAACATTGTCGCTCTAGACTACATACACGAATACTCTCGTCTCGTGAGAAACTCTGCCATGTCTGGGAAGACTAACACTAACACCAACAGTCACATTCTATCTCCCTTCCAGCACCATGGCACCACCAGGACCCCCCACCATCCAGACGGCATTCCTTTCCGTCAAGCCCTTTGAGCCTGTCATGGTCTTCAACTCTGCCGATGAGGCTTTCTGGTTCCAGGACAAGGTCCGACAGGGTCGTGTATTACCTGACCATAGTCAAAAATGGGTATACCTTCCTATGCCGGAGGGTTTACTGAGAGTGCGGACGGCAAAAGATGGGGACATCGCCTTCGATTTTGATAGCTCTTCCCACGCAGACAAATTCAATGAGAGCATCAAGAAGCTCGGCAGAGTATTCCAGAGGACGCACGACAAGCCGAAGTGGGACTGTACAGTATATATCGGGAAGACTTCAAAATGAAGAGCATGGATGTGTTTGGGGCTTCCAAAGGGACAAGATGCATTGCGTGAAGGCGAGAGTGTTGTATTGTTTGGAGGTGAAGCCTTCTCCGAAAGTCCGGCCACCTCACTCTTCACCTCATCACCAAGGCGACGCAGCTGTGGCCTTCGTAGAAATCTTTGTCTTCCAAATTCGACCACCCTCTTCTTCTTCCATCCGAATCACGATCTCGCACGTGCCGCACTGTCTCGTTCGATCTCTTGTACAAAATAACCACTGCTGAATCCTTAGCCATGTCTGACAGGTCTGTCTCGCCCTTCACGGTCAACCCCAATCCCAACCCGGCCGCTGCTCCGCCCACGCCCGCGCACGACCTCCCAGTTCTACCCCAGATCGACGATATCGATCCCGATAACGAGTACCTCCACAGCCTTCGCAGCATTTTCGCACCGTCCTTCGACATGAGCAACCCCTTCGCACAGAGCAGCCGCCGCCGTCACGTGCCGTTCACCGTCGCCTCCGTCCTCCCCCGTACCGACTACAAGGAAGAGTGGGAGCCCAAGGAGCGCCGCTCCGACGACTACCTCGCCATGCAGAGTGAGTTGATCCATCTCTCCTCATCAGCAGTATCAATGTTCCAGTTATACAAGGCTGGGCCGTACTACCGCGCGCAGAGCTCACAATCTGGACTTTCAGGGCGCCTGTATAGCTCAGGCTGGATAAACCCAGCACCCTCAAAGATTTTCGGCTTTGGACTCCTTCATAGCGTATCCTGTATGAACTCAGCTGACTTTTCACGCAGTCGACATCCTCAACTTCCTCACCACCCACGCCGCCGACGAGCTACATCCAGCCCAAGCGCACTTCTTCACCGAGAACGCGGGCACCAAGCCCCACGCCCCAAACGCAAAGCAGGCCGTCGAGCTGTGCTACTTCATGCGCTCCCACAGCTTTGACACGTACGTAAAGCTAGATCCGCGCGGCGAGAAGATCCAGCTCTTCGTCGCCAACCGCGACACTGGGGAGTATCGCGGTCATGACAATTTGTATTGGGTACGTAAAGAGTGGTTAGTGTTAATTTGGAGAGGAAGTACTAATGCGTGATGTTTAGGAGCAGGATATGAAGACTGGGGCAGTGGTGCCGATGGAGGAGCTGGCGAGGGTTGGGGTGAGGGGACGGAGGAACGCCGTACCGCACATCTTTCAGAATGTGTAGGCTGTCTGGAGAAGAGTAGTTGAGGTTCATCCGGGCTGATGTTTGGCGTTTGGGTTTGCTTGCGTTCTGGATGATACCCTGGATTTGCAGGCCCTGTGTTTGAGACAGAGGTCTGGGGGAGTTCAAGGATGTGGGTTGTCACAGGAAGGGTTATGTAGGAATAAATCGTCTTGCATTGCTTGCTTCGTCTGATTGCTAGATTCCGTATACGGTGAGTTCGCTGTTCATGCCCCTTTTCGTCCACACTACACCCTGCACGCCTCCAAACTCTTTCAAAGTATGGATCCCTCGATTCTCGAACCCCAAGCTCCTGAATACACCCTTAGAACCTTCGTTCGACGGATCATGCAGCCCTAGCACGTCATATACGCCCCTCTCCTTCTCTGCCCACGCCAGCAACCCAGCGGAAGCCTCTCGAGCATACCCCTTGCGGTTCTCCTCAGGCAATATCGCAAAGCCTAGATCCGGAGCAGAATACGCAGTCGGTGATGACCCACGCATGAGCGAAACAGTGCCAATGTGCTTACACGCGGATAGGCGTTCAGGAAACGGCGTGGTCTCGTCCTCGGGCTCGTTCAGCGTGGACGGTGGCCGGAGGCTGACCAGATAGGTGCCGTAGCCGTTGCGGGCGTGCTCATCGCGGAAGCGACCAGAAAGGCATTTCTCGGCTGCGCTGCGGGTGGTGATAGAGGTGGCACCGGAGGAGGCGATGAAGGAAGGTGTGTTGTAGAGGGTGACGAGGAAGTCACAGTGGGTGGGAATGGAAGGCTGGAAGTAGGACAGGTACAAACGCGGGGTGGTAATGTGGAAGTTCGGATCTGTCATATTGAGGGAGGTTGGTTGCTCGTTGTTGTGTTGGACTGGTCTGTTGATAAGACGATTTTCAAGGGCTCATAAGTGCTAGAGAGCAATTGAGTGATAGCGTGGTGATTTCATAACGTTTGTTGAGTCACGCGATATCATATAGTCCTCGGAGGATTTGGGTTTGTACATTACATGTTTAGTCGGAAATGCCTGAAGATCTCTTGGTGAGTCAGAGGATCCCGCCAGGGGCATACGAGGCGATAAGCGCTAGATGATACCATAGGCAAGTCAATTAGCCTACGCCGTACCGCGTACATTTCAGTACTACAGCCGCACATCGCATACTGGGGTACAAAATGGGAAGGTCACTGGGGATTGCTATGTACAGAAGGTGAAAAAGATCACGTCGAGGTCGTTAACTCTGCGACTGCGTTAGCATCTATGTCAAAAGGGCACGCGCATGCATCCGTATGTAAGAACTTACGGTAATTCCAAACCACTTCAATGCCTCCGTCTCATTCGTGGGTACGACGTGTCCGATTCCGTGGCCCCAAATTCCCTGCAACCGATCTCCATAGGTGTATCTCGTAAGTTTTGCGCCAGGGTTGTTAGCTTGCGTCTTCGTGGGATTTCCAGAGTAACCAAAAATTCCAGACCACTCCTTAATCGATTCATTGAAGCTGGCAATGTTGAGAGTTGTGTCCACGTCGCCGTGGTAGATCTGCATCCGCGGATACTGGCCGGTGTAGCTAGGGTACATAGCATGCACTTGCTTCGCCCACTCGGCAGGTGTCTTGTGCAGCTGTCCGCCAGCACACTGACTGTTCCAGCCTCGGACTGTGCCAGTGTAGAAGCAGCCCGCGGGCTCGCCGCTGAACTCGGACGCTGCAGCGAACATATCCGGATAGACTGCGGACATTACTTGCTATAAGTTTATCAGCGAGATTCAACACCAAACTTGGATGATCCATATAGACTAACCGTCATCATTGCTCCTGAAGACTCTCCAGTAACGTAAACCTTGCTGGCATCGCCATTGTACTTTTGCAGCGCGTAACGGACCATATTCGCCAAACCCGTGCTGTCGCTACCTCCATCATGCGTCAAAGTCTGTGTGGAAGATACGTCCCAACATGCGCCATCCGTAGGTGTTTGACCGTAGATCAGCACATATCCGTGTTGGTCGGCGAGCTGTCCGTATTTCGTCGTTGCGAAGAAGTTTCCTGCTGTCCATGCACACGCATGTAGGACCAATACAACGGGTGGCTTCGCTTGTAGCTTTTGGGGGACGTAGATGAACATCTTGATACCGGACGGGTTGTTGCCAAAATTCTGGACCTGCGTGAGTGACGCTCGTTTGATGATCTGGTGATCTGTGCCGACGCTTGCGCCCTGCACGCCCGCGAAGGCGGCCAGACCTGTGATGAGCTCCAAAAGTCGCATCCCGTCGGTAGGAAACGACAATACGAAAGTACGCGGTGCAATGAAAGAGTTGACTTGCGAAGCCTCAAATGCGCATCTGTTTACGCATTCAACAAGTATATATAGTGCAGTTGCTTTAAGGTTGCAGTACGAAAAATGGCGTTTCCCCGGAATTTGATATTAGACGGTGGCACACTCAATCGTGGGGAACTAATAAACCTGGCACTAGATTTACCACGACTCATCGAATTTTCACACCAATCCCGGTTTCAATTTAGGAGATTATGGAAAAACTTGTTGATTCCCGACAAGCATTGATTGTTCGCTGCCACCAATGCTTAACTTAGCTCAACACTATAGATTGAAACATTCCAATACTGTAGGACAAAATGAATAGGGCCGATCGAATAGTCACATAGTGCCCGTTCTTAGCGATAAACCGAGCTATACCCATGAACTAAATCAGAAAGGTCGCCGCTGCGTCCGTAAAGCATCCGTATTTGAGGTCATCAATATAACCGGCGGGCGGCACCACTATCACCACCGCCGCCACAGGTTTGCTTCAGAGTGACACAAGACCGTCTCTTTTGGTGAACTGGCCGTCACATATACGTTATATCTTGAACGAATCGCCGAGGAAACTCTCTCCAATGACTGTGGAAACAAGGTGGTGAAGGGAAACAGGTTGCGGTCAACTTGTCCTTCAGATATCAATACCCATGTTAAAAACAACGACTATTGCGCTCGATCTTTGACATGAGGTTTCTCGCTCTGAAATTGTCCAGATTTTCAACCAAAGCAAGACCTACTGGCATACAGTATCGCAGGGATCTTACAAGTCAGCCACAGGCTGATTCTCACGTGACCCACGCGGCAAACTATTGAACACGTGGAACTGGTTTTGATTGAATCTTTATTTCGAATCTCCTGATGTAACTACAGTCGTAAGACGACAGTACGTGCCTTGATCGGCTGGTGCCAGATTGTCCGTAAGTTCGAAATGAGTGTCGTGATGAACTTAAATCGTGGGTTAGGATTGCTGAAACGAATCACTAGACGATGCTCCCAAAGCAATACACCAAAACATGGACTACCATTTCCGCCAAACATTAACACGAAATGGGCAATAGTAAGCAATAATGTAAGAACGCAAGTACGCCTTCATATTGCGTCAGCGGTTAGCGCCTTGGCAACATTTCTTCCTTTGCCAATTCTAACTCCCTCTAGAAAGTCTTTCTTAGATCCAGCTTGCGTACATATTAGTGAATCCGCATTCGCGCGTTTGACTCTAAGTGTTGGCCAAACGTTGTCTGGCGTTCGAGATGTAGAGGTGACCAGGATGATGTCACCGCTTGAATTCTCGACCTCGGCATCTGCTGGCTGCCCACATCGTGCGGCAGAACGCACATTTCCTCGGCAAATTCAAAGAGCGGTGGCATGGATACTCAGTGGAGCACCGAAGAACCTCGAAATGTTCGACAATCGTTGCATTGCACTGCCAAACCTCACGGATAGCTCTGATTGACCGTAAACGAGCCGACTCTCTGCCGAGCCGTATGGGCTGGAGTCTTCTCGTCGCTTCTTCGCGATCTGCATGGAACAGTTTTTCACAAATGCCTAAGCGATCCCCTGGTATGGCCTAGGCTACGAGTTGTTTTTGACACTGCAGGTGCCGAGCGAATCGGTCCGTCCTCGCACCTGCCAGTTTGCCATTGAGCTAGCTGAACAGCGTGGTCCCTGCGAGTCAGCATGGACACGGTAGTGGGGTAGGACTATGTATATCTGTCCCACCACTGAATTCTTCTCTCGACCACAACGCACCCCGCAACAGCTCTTCAACAACACATTTCAAGATTTCCAAACCTCAATTATCCAAACATGGCCTCATTTTATGACACCACCATTCCCCAGCTCCGCAAGATCAACGATGCGGCAATCAACATCCTCACCACCGCGCAGACCGAAATCTCCAATGGCCTCGCCGTCACTGAATCTGAAATGCTCGACGCTTCGTTCAGCGACATGCTCCCATTCCGCATGCAGCCCATCCTCCTTGGAAAATTCGAATGTGCACCCTTGACCAAGCTCAACCTCTCCAGCGCCGACCTCCCCAGCATGGATCCCAGCAGTTTCACTTCCTTCAGTTCTATTATCGACTTCTTCAAGGCCTTGAACGCGGTCCTTGATTCTGTGTCCCAGGATGCCTGGAACGACGCGGCGGATAAGGGATTTGAGATTCAGATGGGTGCTAAGACGCTGAACATTACCGCACTGAAGGATTTTACAGAGGGATTCATGGTGCCGCATTGCTGGTTCCATCTGAATGCTATATACATGTTGTTGAGGAGTAAGGGTTTCAAGTTGGGCAAGGGTGTGTTCGTGGGTGCGTGGGTTTCGGAAACTCTGAAGAAGGATTTTGCGCCATTGAGGGAGTAGGATGATGAAATGAAGGTTGAACAGGGGAGGAAGTGATTAAAAAAACCGATGAAAATAGAGTGGATTATGAAAGAAGGCGAAAAACTAGGTGGAATGGAACATGCAGGTATCATACCCCAAATCATAAAATGTAAATATGCCATTCACAAAAACAACTTCACCTCCCAGCTCGCAAAGGTGAATCACCCAAGGAAACCACTTTGGCGTCCGTCAATGAATAGACATCGTGTCTCAAGTACACATCTCTATGTAATTGGATTGGAACATACCAGGCACATCTCGCAGATGATACAATAGCAGGTAAATTCGCTACTGTCGAGGATGCTCTCAGACGCCATTTCCGGTGAACATATTTCTCCTCAGAAGTAGTCCCGGCGCGCGGCTTCAGAACAAGATGGAGAGCACAATGATAACCGCGCTAGTGCGGGTGTAGGCAACTGATTATAAGTCATGTCACCGCACATCTCGATAGACCTTCTCCAGTACAAGTTCACACTGATGTGACACAAGAAGAGTGTAGGCGCGCACGTCAAAGTGCATATAGCTGTGAACTGAAGGCACAATCATCTAGAGTGCTCGCTCGCCGCCGAAGGGTCCGCCACAAAGGCTCCAGTTTCCAATCGCAGCCACCGCAGCTGTTTAGTGCGGTCTGTTGTTGAATGTAATCTTCTTGCGCATGCCAGCTTGTAGTGCCATCTCAGTCGGGCCGTCACTTTGGCCAAGCTCAGAGAACGATGGAGTAAACGTTAATTCTCCGCCCCACTCGAAGTCTGCGTCGCCCGGTGGATTTCTGCTAAAGAGCGGCAAGCCACTCTCGGAGATGGGTTAGGAAGTGCGGTTGATGAGGGAAGGAGCCTGGCCACCTGTACGACGCATCGTGAATCCGGAACTCATTGATCTTATAGAACATTTGGTCGGCTTGACAAGCATATGCCGGCAGGCAAACAAAACCCACACCACGAGTGCTTGTCGAGACAGAAGGCGAGAAAGTGTGTATGTTACGCACAAACAACAATCTTCCCTTGATCGCAAGATTGTTACCATGACTGCTACCGCCAGCACTGACACCATAAGCGCCTAATAAAATTCTGTAAAACGGGACGACCTCGATAGAGCTTCGACATGAACCCTGAATCCCCGAATATGCGTGACTATTTAAATGATTTTCCCATCACAAACCCAACTGTCACACGGCACAAAAGTCAAAAGTCGAACATGCACACACTCCTCAATTCTAATGCCGACGCACCGCCTGCGGCCAATCACCTATCTACCTAGTACAGTCAAAGTCACCCGCCAAGCTGTCGGGCTAAGAACCTGTCGGGGTAACAAGTGGAAAGTGAAGCAACCCTCCAACGCCATGCTAATACCAAACAATGCCAGTACAGACACACGCACACATACACAGGGCCTCGCAAAGCAAGCCAACAGCCTAGCCCAACCAGGCGGCCGTGATTCCACCAACGCCAAATTGCCCATCCCTAAAATAACCATACAGTGAAAGTGAAGAGGGGAAGCTGCTAAGTCTTCATCTTGCCCAAGAAGCCCTCCAGGTCGAACTCCTCCTCGTACTGGCTCTCGTCCCAAAGCTCGCCAATCTCATCCAGGAAGCCCTTCTTGCCCTTCTCCCGGAGATTACCCTCTGCGTCCACGGCGTCGTTCTCGTTGATGCCCGATACACCGTCTTTGTCGTTTGATGGCGGAGGCGGAAGCGCGGAAGGATCTGCAGAATCGGCGGAGACATTGAACAGGTCGAGAATCTGGTCTGTTTGCATGGAGCCCAGGCCTGCGTTTTGTTGGTTGACAACGGTCGAGGCAACGTCAATCTTGAAGCGTTGGAGACTGGCGATGATGTTAATATTTGCTTGAAACGATATGAGAATTGCGGTGTATACGTACTTGAGAATCTTCTCCTCTAGGGTACCGCGCGTGATGATGCGGTAGACGTTGACGACCTTTTTCTGGCCGATACGATGCGCGCGGTCCATAGCCTGGATGTCCTTTTGAGGGTTCCAGTCGTGCTCAACGAAGATTACAGTGTCAGCTCCAGTCAAATTGAGACCGAGCCCACCAACGCTGGTCGTGAGGAGCAGGACGTCGTAGGAGGGATCGGAATTGAACTTGTTGACAATGTCTTGGCGCTTGGTCGCATCCACGCTACCGTCCAAACGCATGAATTGCACAGAAGGCAAGCACTTCTGCAGGACTTGCGTCTGCACTGCATCAAGCATCTCCTTCATTTGACAGAAGACAAGGGCGCGATGTTGCGAGACGGCTTCAGGAAGGTCACCGTTGGTGGTCATACCCTTATCCTTTTCCACATCTGCAGCCCCGATGCCGCAATCAACGAGAAGGTCCTTGAGGGCGCCTAGTTTAGGTGCATGCGCAATATCCTCAAGGGAAGTGTTGTTCTTCTTAAGATAAGCTTGAGTGGCGTCGTACTGCTTGTGATTCGGCTTGATCACCATAGAAGGTCCGTTGCAAAGCTTTCTCATGTACTGTAGAGCCTGGAAGATGTGCTGTTTACTGTCGCGATCAGCGCTGCCGGCTTTAGCCTGTATCTCTTTGCCCTCCTTCTTTGTGAACTCGTCGAAGAGCTTGCGCTGTAGATCGGAAAGATCGCAGTAGTAGTTCTGGAGAATCTTTGGTGGAAGGTCGTCCAGAACCTCTTCCTTCAGACGACGCAGCAAGAAGGGCAGAACTTGCTTGTGCAGGGCCTCGATGGCGAGAGCACCTCGTTCTTGCTCTTTGGAAGAAGACTTGGCAAAACGAGATGCAGCGATAGGTTTGGCAAAACGCTCCTGGAAGACCTTCTCGCTACCAAGGAAACCGGGCATGAGGAAGTCGAAGAGGGACCACAGCTCGAGCACGTTGTTCTGGATGGGCGTACCGGAGAGAATCAGGCGATGGTTGGATTGGAAATTCTTGACAGCCTGACTGGTCTTTGACTTGGCATTCTTGATCAGATGACCTTCATCGAGAACGACATAATTCCAGCTGAAGGGCTTCAACAGTTCGTTGTCGTTGCGGCAAATATCGTACGAGGTGATGACAATGTCGACCTTGTCAAGCTGATCCCTATACTGGCCACGGATGGCGGGCGATCCTACATATGCAACACAAGAGAGGAAGGGTGCATATTGACGGATTTCTTGCTGCCAATGCCCGGAAAGTGTGGGCGGGCAGACAATGAGCGACGGTACGCGGCGGAAGTTGGGATCCTGGGTCTTCGCAAACTCCTCAGCGCGCAAGTGATGGTCAGAGGCAACCATGCAGAGGGTCTGCAAGGTTTTACCAAGACCCATGTCGTCGCAGAGTATGCCGTGGAGATTGTACCGGTTCAGGAAAGCCAGCCAGTTGACGCCATCTTGTTGGTACGAACGTAGAGTTGCTTTGATACCGACAGGAATCTCAAACGGCTCAACCTTCTTGGCGTCTAGCATTTGCGCGACGAACTTCCGCTCCTTCTCCCTTCCTTGAAGTAACGACTCTGGCAATCCAGGCGGGTCGGGTATACCTGCTTCAAGCGGAACCAGTTTGACTAGAGTGGCGAAGCTGGTTGTCGCGAGGAGACGTACGTCGTTGTCGGAGTCGCTCATCCGTCCAAGAACTGGGGTAATCAAGAAGATGACATATGGGAGAATACTATCCTCCATGACATGGATAAGATGATACACGCATTCAATGGCACCTTGACGAGCATGTAAGTGGTCAGATCTACTGATGGATGGGAGCACATTTTCGACCAGCATCGTGATACCCTCAACGGACATGACGCTGCATATCGTCGCAAAGCACTTGGCCGCGACGTATCGCAGAACGTACAGCCTTGACTGTATAGCTTTGGCGACGAGTGGGAGGAGTTCTTTGACGAAGTGGTGGACCTCAGGGTGTAGGCTTCCGACCAGTGCTCGAAGCGTTGAGAAGGCATCGACTACCTCTTGTCCGAACACGCCGTCTTCTTCGTCCATTTCCGATGGCAGCGCAGCTTCGGTGAACGCTTCTCGGATAGGCTTCTCGATCAAGTCTTTCAGGATTGGTACTTTCTCGAAAATCTGGGCACCAAAGCTTTGAACAACCTGCTCGAGACCCTCACGAGCACCGCGTTTGGTAATGCGAGCCGCCTTGGATTCTTCGGCAAACTTGGCGGCGTCTGGATGGTCGCGGATGTCCTCGTCCTTCTTAAGCGTGAGGATTCCATCTTCCACGTGTGCGTGTGCCGGGAACTCGGGCGTCTCGGCGGTCTCCATGCAGTAGAACTTGACGAGATTACCGACAACCTTCTTAACAACACCCATCTTGTTCTTGTCGACGAGGTGTACAATGAAGCCCGCAACAGCGCTGGCCGAGCGTTTCTGGAGCTCAACGTTTTCCTCCTTCTTGATGCTGTCCATCATCGCTTTGATCGCAAAGGATGGTTTTCCGGGAGGTGACTTGAGAGATATGAGCGCTCCAGCGGCAGCAGCCTTGATTCGGACGTCGCGCTCCTCTTTGATCTCCTTGGCTTCTCGCAACGTGGTTTCCACCTCAGACTTCGTGGTCTCCAAGTTCGCGATAGCCATCATCCGCGCTGCCGGCGTCATGGCTTTCTTCAACTTCTCGTACGAAACGCTCAAAATCTTCTCAGCGTCCGCCACAGAAAACGCGTATTGGCTTGCTTCGGGTTGACCTTGAACGACTATTGCGATGTTGGGCAGGTTCTGCACGTGATGGTCGCGGAAGACGTTCAACAATGCGGTGCATTGCGTTCGAACGATTTGCAGCTTCGGAACGAGATCCTCGTATGCGGTGGGTCTCTCGCCTTCTACTATGTCCGAGAGAGATTTGACAAAGGCTTCCGCAAGCTCGTCCTTGGCCGAAAGACACTTGCCGAACTCCTCAATGATCATGGCTGCCGTCAATTGCGTTGTGGAGTTTGTAGATGTGAGCGGAGGGGTCAATACGGATTTGAATGTCTGCAATCGTGTATCGACGGGCCATATCGCGATGGCCTTTCCAAGTGCTTGTGCAGCAGAGATTCTGGATCGGGTCATGACTTCCGAGCCAACGAGCTCCAGATCGCCATTGACCATCGGTCCGTCAACATTGTGCGAGGAGGTACTGGCCAACGCCGGTGTTTCTTCCCTGCCAACACGAGATTGCTTCCGCCTCTTGTTGGCACGCTCGCCGTTCTGTGGCGGTGTTGAACGTCGGGAAGGTTGTTGATTTGCGGGAGGACCAAAGGCTTGACCAGATGGTTTGATGAGTAGAGACTGATCCATCTGTATTGGGTGGCGAGGTACACCGATAGGTGTCAATGATAGAGGGATGAGACTTCCGAGGATGGGCCCAAGATGCAAAGGAAGCTGCGCACTGCCGAGCACTTCGATAAGTGAGTTCCAGAGCTGCATAGAAAGTCGAAGCACTCCCTCGTTCCGCTCCAACAGGATGTTTTGGAAGACTAGTTGTAGAGCCTTGCTGTCGATCCAACCATCCTTTCCTGCATCCTGGATGTCGAGGAATGTGCTCAGCGCACGAAGAACGGCGGCACGTACACTTGTGATGGTGTGACGCAGGAAGGGGAAGAGGCGCGGTACCAGCTCGTGGAAGGACTGCGATTCGTCCCTTTGAGCGTTGGCTTGCATCGCTTCCAAGACCTTGGGGAAACTACACAACTTCGCCAAGAGATCCATGATGAAACCAGTACTGGCGCTGAGGTCGTCAGTCAAACTAGAGAGACACGCCCAGACTTCATTGATGAGCTCCTTGAGTCTATCAGGTCGCATCTCGACAAACTCATTGGCGACAGGAATAAGGGTTGCAGCGCTAATGGCACGGACATCGTCGTCGGAATCGCCGAGCCCCTTTATGACAGCGTTGAGCACTCCGTCCATGAGGACGTCGTCCTGGAGAAGGAGGTCGCTTCTCACAGCGACCAGGTACCGCAAACCCATCATGCCGCCTTGTGCTATTTGCCATAGCGCGTGTGTGGGGGCATTCTCCTGTGATATCAAGCGATTGAGAACGTGGAATGTAGCGAGGACGTTTTCTGACGAGAGGTGCTGAAGCAGCGCACCAAGGGCTTGTCCAGTAGTTTCGCGTACGGGAGCGACGGCATTGTCGCCCGTGTAGTCGGCAAATCTGTCCAGCATGAAAACACAGCAGAAGCGACATGCAAGATCGTTGAGCCATCTTTGATTGAGTTTGTCGTTCTGCGAGCGAGTCTTGCCCTTCACCCGTCCGGCTCCTGCGCCATGCACGCGAAGTATCTCTCGAAGTCCCATGGCGGCACCGTGCCGCACTTCCCAGACATGATCAAACAGCTCTACACTCAGGTAGTCGCAGACACGCTCAAATGGCCATTCCAGCCCTTGCTCTTCTGCTTCTGTCTGGAAGGATGACTTCTCCGGGACCTGTTCGCCCTTGAACTCTTTCACCATCTTCTGATCGTCATCAACACCATTTCGTTCCAGAGAGAAGTAGTCGTCGGTGGCTGCGGCGTCCGGATCCTCTTTTGACTCCTGCTTGATGGCTTGGGGATGTGCACTGATGGGCGTCTGGGGAACATCGTGCGAGCTCTTGCGTTGGGCAGTACCAAAGTCGACAATGTGTACTTTGCTCGCCTGTTTCTGGTTATCCTTTTTCGCTTTGCGTTTCAATGCATTGATTTGACGCTTGCTGAGCCCTGACTGATCGCCATTGGGGGTACCGGCGGGTGGAGGGGAGAGGGCGGATGCAGAAGCCATGCTATCTGATCGCTGCACGGTGGTGTCTATGCGATGGGGCGCCGGGGTACGGACGCCTGGGGTTTGTACTGGTAGATCATGTTCAGTAACGAGCTCTTCTTCCATGTATTCCCCAGCAAGACCAAGCCTCTGGGACAGGGTCTTCTTCTGGTGCGCAAGTCTTGACGCGGCATCCATGCCAGCGAGCTTGTAATCATATTCCTTGCCACCGCTACCCAACAGCTGCCTACCGAATTTCAGGATGGAGCCCATATCCATGGTCTGAAGCTCGAGAAGGTCTTCGTCGAGCACGTCGCTCTCGGCGCCATTCTCCTCTTTCTTGACGGTGCCATTGCTGTTCTCGTCCTTGACGTGGCCATTGGTCTCAGACTTGACGTCGTCCTTGACGGGCTCATCCTCGGCATTGGGGTCGAACTTCTCTGCATTGGCGATGATGCCGCCCAAGGCCCTGGCGGCAGCGACCCTGGTCTCCCAACTCCTGGAGCGCAGATACGGGATGACTCGAGTGAGTAAATTAAAGAGATCTTCCGGGTGCTGCTTCTGAACGTCGGCCAACTGATCTGCAGCGGTATTCCGGATTAATGCTGTGCTCCCGGTCTCGAGTAGTCTGGCAGCGCGTCAGTCGAGCAGCGCTGCGAAGCAGCAGCGAGCCAAGTACGGTGCGGTGTCGCACGCAAACCGAAAACATGGACTGCAACCGAGGAGGATGCGACGGCGAGGGTGGTACTCACGTGACGAGCCTGTCAAGCCGGCTGGAGCCACTGTGCATTGTTAGCGGGCAATCTTGCGACGGCATGCAGGCGCATTCTAGGACGACGTACCTCATGATGGCGGCGTGCGCGGACGCACAAGCGGGGATTATTATAAATTACGAGGACCAGTCACGGCGCCATGGGCGCACGGGGGGTGGGGCAGGGTGTGCAGTGTGGCAGGTCACGTGCGTCGGGGCAAAATTGGCCGTCGAGCTCACGGGCAGGTTGCGAGGGGGAGGCCGAGCTATTTACTCGTTCAATAAATACATCGCGTCGCCTTAGTTGACGGCGCACGGGCCCCTCCCAGCACGGCCGTTTCAGGGAACAGTTTTCAGATTTTCGCACGCCGTCTCCCTCGCGGCCTCGCGCGTTGGCATCGATTCCATTTCGCATCTGCGGTCGCGGCGCTGCAGCGATGCCCATCGTCCTCTGGTCGTCGCCCTGCGATCGTGCCGGGCGCCGTACGCTGCGTCGCACCTGCTTTGAGAGACTGGACAGGTAGTCACCATGCGCACGCTAACCGCAAATCATCAGAGCTTGGGGCGCTCCTTCCGCTTCACACGGTGGTCAATCCATCGTCTGCACCGACGCGTCGCAGCAAGAACCGACAAGTCGTGCTCCGCCCGTTTCTGTGCTGCCTGTCTGCAGTCCCGGTGAGCGCGCGCAGCTGCACTGTGCCAATCGTATGCGGCACGACCCCGGATCGTCTACGCGAGATCCAGGCACCCATGGTGCGCCCCCATCAGATGTCGATACTCTTACCGTGTCGCCGCATCTCTCCACCGTAAATCACGACGAGCAAAGCGCGTCGCCATCGATGCGACGGCGCGCAGTGCCCCCGACGCGTGGTTCGACGTGTCTGCGTTGGAACCCACGGCGCGTCAAACGGCCGCCTGCGTAGATCCTCCCAGTCTTTGGCAGCTTGGCGGCCCCGGCACCGAATCCGCCGTTGATCTACTGCGGCTGACCGCTAGTGCATCGCGTTCACTCCACGTCCCCTGGCGCCATTGCTGCATTTCCTGTCTCCCTGCACCTCTCTGCATCCGCTGCTCGTGCTGCACCCTCGTTACAGCGACGAGTCGTCGTCTGGGAACCTGGAAGTATTGCGTTTCTGCCTTGTGACAACCATCGACCCCTGAGGCTTTGCACATCCGCATACGGCACAGCGCAGATGAGGCGCGGGAAGGTGCAGTCTTTTCATTTACTACACTTGGCCCATGAGCCATGCCTTACACTTTCCGCCGCCAAAGGTGACAGGCGTGGAGATGGGCTAACGCGCAGGATAGTGTGGAAATCCGATAGGCCTAGCAGGATAGTGTGGAGATCTGATAGGCCCAACAGGGGTCTCTACAAACCAGCGCGAATTACCTCGCCCTGTCGTGTTTTTGTAGTTATTCCTTTACGACCTGGCAACGATATCTGATGACTGGTCTCTTGACTCTTGAGACCCAGTAGGGTATGAGATTACGATCGCCCCCGCGATGACTTTTGCTAGGCCGGGCATGTGATCGGCGTGCCCCAACTTTCCGATGCGAACCTGGAACATGGACCTCGTCAGCAACGTATCTCTACATTAATCGACCACGTGTCCAATGATTGGCATACACCTTGACTTTGTGATTCTGTTGCCGGCATCGTTCGTCTTCGCTGAATTGCTGGACGAGTACTTCCGTCGTGGAACCCTTCAATTACTACCTGAAGAGGCTTTGCTCTCCAAACTCCCATTTGTCGACAGATGAAGGCTTTTCTTTTCAGACTCTGCTCGTCGGCGTGCTAGTAACAAAGTTTCAATGTGGCCCTTTCTCCCATCCTAAGAATTATCCAATAATCTTTGTATTCTTCATAATCACGCAGAGACTACTAGCAATTTTTCTGAGCCATTACTTGATGGGACGTTGTTCAAACATGTTTCGCATATGTTTATTTGACTTATCTTGTCAACCTTCCGAACCTCCTACGATGCGTTGTGAGACTATTAGAATGCACTTGTGGTCACCTTCTCTTTTACCAGTCCTTCTTCGTAAAGAGGGATAACAGTGAGCACTCAGATAAAAGCTGTGCCGAGCCATATATGTCCGAGGAACCACTCAAACCAGAGGTAATGCCAACTTGCAGAAGTGCATAGAAGTACTGTGCCACAGTGCACAACTCAGAAGCAGCAACGTTTCTCCATAGACAGTCCGAAGGGGTGCCATCCACATACCCCAGGAGCTGCAGCGTGGACCAATCTTGCTTAAGCGGTACACCATACACTCATCGTCAGATTCTTGGCGCAACTTTCAAAACCAGCCTCGCCAGCAATGACTCCGAAACCTAGCGATTGCGTAGATCTAGCCCCCGCTCGAGTCTTGCAATTTTTGACTGTAGAGGCTGTCCAGACGGTCTGCTACATAGAAGAAGCCTACTTCAAGGAGGATACCTCCTTCGACCTCGATACGCTAACACGGGCACACCTCCATGTGTCGAAGTATAAGCCTGTCGTGTTCAAGTACGCAGGGGCTGTGACATATGCCTGCAGCCTGATACAACCCCGCTGGGATATTCCGAAGGATTCTAAGAAGGAAACTTTCGTTGGTCAGATGGCGAATTTATTGCGAAAGGAGATTACCTTCACGCCGTAGGGAAAACCAGAATCGGTTGAGGGCATGATGTCGCGGATGGTTTGAGACCTTCCTTTTGAGAGCGGGTGTTGTAGAGCATTGGATGTTCGGTTGATCTGTGAACGCCTCCTCGTAGCGTGGTTTGTAACCATCCCACCTGTTAGTACATCACCTGTCGAAATGATATAGAGGGCGTGGCTAATGCATTCAACTGAGAAACTTCGATGCCACATATCACGTTCATTCTCCCAAATGTCTTCTTCCATCCCATCAGGTGGTTCGCCTCGGCAAAACCGTGGTATGAGAGGGCATTCTTCGCAACAAATATATATAATTATGCAAGGCGTTGTCGAGCACCGTGTATGATCGTAGGAGGCCGATGATGTTGATAACGCGCTAATACCAATGAAGAAAGGTCTCACTTTTCCTCAAAGCTAGCGCACCGGGCATTGTGGCTCCTGTCCAGCAGGTTTGATACCTCATGGTGGGTACCTCCGCTTGCTCAAATTTCAGGCTTTTGCAAAGTCCTCTTTCCACTGCACGTACAGTTTGTTTTTCAAAAAACAGTTGCAAACTTCCGCTTCCGTGTTCTGGACCTCTACAGAGCTGACGTCATAGAGCACTGCATTGTCTTTGGCATAAACCATGTCTGGCGCGCAACCCTTAAAGATCCTCATTACAGGCGGAGCACGTGGGATCGGCCGCGGTCTCTTCCGACACTTCCTGCGCGCTGGGCATTCTGTATACGTGCTCGATTCGAACACCACCGAGCTCGAACACGTCAGGAAGACAGCGGAAGCCTGGACAACTTCTTCATCCCCAAGCGTATGGAAAGCATCACTGTGCGACTTGCGAGACCGATCCAACATCAAAACAGCTGTAGAAGATGTGAAACGCACCTTTGACGGGAAACTCGATGTTCTCATCAACAATGCCATGGCCACAGAAGGCGTCGGAGCTGGCAGACCCATGGAAGACGACAGCGACGAGATCATGGATGACTGGGATACAAAGATCGCCGTCGGATTGACCGCCCCGTATCTGCTCGGTCGTCTTTGCGTGCCCTTGTTGAAGGCCGGGTCGAGCGCCCCGGGTTCGCCGGGCACCATCATCAACATCTCATCGACGCGTGCGTATCAGGCTGAAGATAACCACGAGGCTTATTCGGCGGCTAAAGCCGGTATTCTGGGGTTGACACAGTCGATGAGCGTGTCGCTAGGCCACAGGCACAAGATTCGCGTGAATGCTATCTTGCCGGGCTGGATCCATGTGATGAATGAACGGGCGGAGGCCGATGGCTCTTCGGCTGCTTGGGAAGAAGGCCTCACCCAGGAAGACGCTGATTGGCATCCAGCCGGGAGAGTGGGGAAGGTGGACGATATTGCCAAGGCGGTTGAGTACCTGATTGGTAGCGGTTTCGTGACGGGTCAAGAGGTGGTGGTGGATGGAGGTGTTGGCCGGAAGATGGTGTATCCGGAGGAGTAGGCTGTTTGTGTAGAAGCTGTAAATAGGCGACCTAGGTCAACCACAATCACATATTTGTAAATCACAGAAGATGCTACTCCGGTCCCAAAGACAGTAGCGGTTAAGCTATCAGAATCAGATCGACACAGTATTTGAAAAGATTCATTTACAAGCTCGGAAGTCAATTGCTGTATCTGAAGCAGAAAGCTACTAAGATAGTGTTTGACCCAATGTAGGCTACTTTCTACTGGTCGATGCGTAGGCATGTACCATTCACTCATGGCGCATCATCATGGGGTTGAATAGGCGATATACGCTGATAGGCCTGAATGTACCCGCATGAGCACGACGAGAATTGTATACACGAATGCGAGTACAATTGCGACCACCACTACAGATGCTCACAACCACAGCAGTTTTGGAGAATGTACCACAAGGATTGTCAGGGTATACGTGAACGCGAATTCGATTACAGACGGGAGCCCGACTTCGTGTCAGATTACCCTATTGAATAGGCATACAAGTACACCGACAAAGAGGATAACGAGGATGATGGCCCAAAACAAAGGAACTACAGGTCCGATGAGGACTTCTACTTTGCTCTTGTCTAATGGGCCCCGCTATCAGAGGGCGGGTACAAAGCCATCAGTTCGCGGACCATGGTCGAAGGCACAGGCGGAGCTACGAGACGACGGAGCATCCAGACAAGCAGATCTGCTTCGCATGAAAGTCCTTGGCACTCGGCGAGACGGTCGCAGGCAACTTTGAGGACAAAAGAAACGAGACAATAACGTGCGAGAGGCGGAATTTCACGATGGGCCTGGATTTCTGATGACGACGAATGCGACGATCGTTGGTGGATTTTGACGAGCGATATGAACGATGAGTACGATGACATGGTGCATCATCATCTGTCGCAACAGGAGGCATATTTTGAGGAAGTGGAGAGTGGGAGGATCAGAATGGCGCTGATGGAGAAAGAGCTTGGCAGAGCCGATGAAGAGTGACGATGTGGTATCGCGCAGCGGTTCAATTGAGGGGTTGTACTGTCTTGGACGTTTTTGAAAGTGAATGAGATATGTTTGCAGTCTCGGCTAGAACATCCCTTGCAAACGCGAAATGTCTCTGAGAGGAACAAGCCTCAGATGAACAAATCAAATCAATGTGTATGCCAGGATATCGAGCTTGATTTGAAAGCAGTGAAGGAAAGCAGTCGAATGGTGAACTAAAGAAGCGATCCTGATGATCAAAGACCGCTCAATCTGTGGAGGATATGCTTGAGGCTGACCTGTACTAGTGGCATGGATACTTCGTAGTAACAATCAGAGTAAATGACTCTTAGAAGGTGAGACATATGCGCGGGATATGAATGGGTTGCTTCGTGTGGTACAATGCCTATAAACGCTCTCAGGAAGCGGATGCGTCAAGTAAAGCCCGAAGGAAACGTGAGCGCTGGACGGGTGACTATGCCCGATTCGGAAAACAGGTGTTGCGTGTCAAGCATTAGTGTTGGTAGTACAACCCCCGCCAACCTGAGCTGGAGCGCTTGCCCACAGCCTCGCAGTATCAAAACAACAATCTCGCTGCTGCTGTCAACTTTGGTGTTGAGCAGTCGCTCAGCACGAGCGGCGCAGACGAGAAGGCATCTGTTTCTCGCCACCTCATTTTCCCCAATCACGATCTCATTTGATCAATCGCCATCGATCCAGTTCAGCACCGTAACGACGGCACACGCATTAAACACGAGGACTTCGCTCCTCCGCTTTAAAGTGTTTGTCCTTCACTTTCACGTCAGAAGCAAACGCGCCTTCCCACTTGGGTAAACCAGCACCCTCAACTCACGCTCTGATTCACCCATTGTAGTTGCCAGAGCTCAACGCTCAGCAGTCCAAACATACTTGGATCCAGTCACCCAGCGTGTCTTGTTAGAGGACAACGACACTGTCATTATGGAGGTGTTCCTGCGAAACATGCCCCCAGACCTTACGGACCACGGGTTTCGCAATCATCTGGCGCCCTTCATGAAGACACTGCACATCAATGACTGGCACTGTCTGAAACCGCGAAAGAAGTCTTTTGGCACTATCACTTTTCTGCTATACCCGGATGGCCAGCGATTCCTACAGCAGCACGGAGAAGAAGCTATGCCTTTCACAATTCTCTCGAAGCCCCAGTTCAAAGCTCGTTTGACGATCATGGGCCGGCTCGTCTATTGCAACCTCAGCAAGAAGCAAGCCGATCCATTCCTGTTGAAGTCCTTGGCGAAGTCAGCCGAGGATCGATGTACAGCCAACGAGTAGGTCCTACCCCCCTTATTTTGAATGGTAGCTGATGAATGCAGGCTTCCTGTTTCAACCGAAGATGAAAAGATCGCCTTCCACTCACAGACGTTCTCATGTGGAGTCTGCGAATATCTGAATGGCCAGCTGGTCTATTCTCCCGAGGTGGAATGGCCATTCGCAGCTGGGATAGCGAAATTTGTCAAGAAGGCTTTCATCCTCGAATACAAAGATGGGAACGGCGCCACGAGAATCGAGATACCATATAGGACAATCGAGAACATAGTCGCTACTTCTCGACCTACTGCCCTAGTATTGACCCTATGGGAGACACCTCGATTCTTCGGTACACAAGCACCGGACATAGCGGATCTTATGGCTGGACTCATGCAAAATATAAATAAGGCAACAAAGCGACGGCTCACTGGACTCCCGGGGACCGCCTCTTCATATCAGAAGATCATTGGTCAAGCATTGGTGTACCGTATCTGCGTGTCGCCAGTCGATTTCTACGAATTATCAAACCGGTTGGTGAAGCGAGACGTCTTGACTGTAATACGACACGATCTGGCTGTCTTGCCATCTTACCGCCGTCGTAGCTTGCAGACCGGATTCAAGCTCTTGAATCAGACCATCCAAGAAATGAGCCATACGGTTCCGTTTGCGGTTATATTTCAGCTGGAAGCATTAGCAAGGAACGGCTTCTTACCCCCATGGACTGTCCAGGAACTTTTGCTGAAGATCGCTGCGCGAATCACAGAGGTTCATAGTCCCGAATTGAACGATACCCAGAAGGTAGGTCTCACCACAATGAAAACATTGCAGCGCTGTCACAGCGCAAGGAGATTATCGAGTCTAAGCACATATATCAAGAAGAAGTATTTCCAGCAGCTGACAAGGCCTGTACAGAAACTTCTCATTTCGGCCGAAGCTGTCAGAAAGCTGATTTCTCAAGTACCATTCCCAGGTATCGATATTGACGCTTCCGTTTTCGACATAGAAGAGATCTGGAAGTACCTAGAGCAGAATGAGCAAGAGCTCCAGAATGGGTTCCACAAAGAACTCATATCCGTAAGGCTGCCATTCGTTGTCGTTGTTAGCCTTGTTTGCTCACAGCCAGTCAGGAACGAGGCCGAGAGAATCTTACCATGGTACACAAAGTCAACGTGACACCTACTGGTATCACCCTCCATGGACCTGACCCTGAAGCAAAAAACCGCATCTTACGGCGGTTTCCAACAGACACGGAGTATTTCGTACGAGTGCAATTTTCAGATGAAGACGGAAGCGCCCTCCAGTTCAACTCTAGAGTGTCTAATGAAGATGTCTATGATAGGTTTCGACAGGTCATGAACAACGGAGTCGCAATCTGTGGTAGAGTATATGGGTTTCTCGGGTACTCACACTCTTCTCTGCGAAGCCATTCGGCTTGGTTTATGGCGCCTTTCTGGCGCAGAGAGCGTCTAGAAACTTACCTTACGGTCATACCGCAACTTGGAAGGTTTGAAGACATCACCTCCCCGGCTCGCTGTGCGGCGCGGATTGGCCAAGCATTCTCCGAAACCCCATTCGCGATTTCGCTCTACTATAATGGAGTGCAGCACAATCGCATACCGGACGTTATGACTAGAGATGGAGATCACATGTTCAGTGATGGAGTAGGAACGATTTCTCGTAGAGCTCTCGAAGCAATTCGTGATGCAGTCCTGCGGGGAAAGGCCGCCGCTACCTGTTTCCAAATCCGATGGGGTGGAGCTAAAGGTATGCTTGCACTGGACGAACGCCTCGAAGGGACAACCATGAATATCCGGGAATCCATGGTCAAATTCGAGAGTAATGACATTGAGAACCTGGAGATTTGCGATGCTGCCAACAAGCCTATTCAGATGGTACTGAATCGACAGGTACGTCTTTAATGCGGTCACACTTCTAGGATAAAAGTTTGAGTGTAGTCGACCTACGTATCCCGACCCTCGGGTGATACAGTGTACTCAAACTTTTGTGATTGCCCTATGGTCTTAAACTGGGCCTCAAATATTGTCTTAGAGCCACTGACGTTAATAGTTGATAAAAATTCTCGAAGACATGAGGGTGCCGGCAGCTTGGTTCCTGAAGCAACAAGATGCCACATTACGATATGTTACAGCACACATTTCCAACACCGCAGGATTCCTCAAACGTCAAAATATCGCCGACCGCCTTGGCTTTCCACAACTCATCAGATACTTAGAGTCTATTGGGATTGACTACAAGAGAGATCGGTTTATGCGCTCTGTTGTGGAGACAGCTGTTCTTCGCGAGCTGCGCCTGATGAAATACAAGGCGCGAATTCCTATTGAGCAGGGTGTCACACTCTTTGGAATTATGGACGAGACAGGGTACTGCTGAGAACTTGCTTTACTGGCACTTCGGATAAACGTAGGAACGCTAACTTTGCAACAGGTACTTGGAGGAAGGTGAGATCTTTGTCACATTCGACGAGGCGCAGTTCATCGGCTGTCACCCATTAGTTCTAGACAACCGTCGAATGCTGGTTACAAGATCACCAGCACTACATCCTGGCGATATACAAATGGCGACTAACATCATTCCTCCTGAACATCACCCGCTCAGGGCCTTACGAAATTGCATCGTGTTCTCGCAAAAAGGAGAACGCGATTTACCAAGTTGCCTTAGTGGTGGGGATTTAGATGGTGACGTTTACAGTGTCATATGGGATCCCGAAGCTGTCTCTGGATGTCCGCGTATATCTCAGCCAGCGGGGTATGAACGTGTCGATCCAGTCAACATCGGACGTAGGGTGGAAAAGAAAGACATGACGAACTTCTTCATACAATTCATGGCCACAGATCAGCTCGGCCTTATCGCAACTCGGCACATGATCTTGGCGGATCAACGATCTGAAGGAACAGCTGATCCAGGTAACTTCTTTCATGCTTCACTGCAGTACGTATACTGACTCAATTCAGACTGCGTGATCCTCGCCGAACTGCATTCCACAGGTGTGGACTACTCCAAAACGGGAATACCGGTCAGTATGGATAAGTTCAAAAACATCAGAACAAATAGATATCGACCTCATTTGTAAGTACCTGCCCTGGAGAATGGCTACCTCTTAATCTTCTCATGACGATAAATTACTAACAGATCTACAGTCTGGCTCCTGCGGGATTCACCTACATCAAGGATAGAACCCAAATTGAGTTCGATGTTCCTACGCGCCCGCGTGAAGATGAAGTGCAAGACGAAGACGACAATAGTGGGCCGCAATACCTCTACTACCGTTCTAAAAAAATCAATGGCGTGCTTTTTGATGCAATTGATGAGCGGAACATATGGTACAAAGACATAAAAGGCGACATCAAAACCGACGGAGCGGTGTGGGCGGATTTCTTGAAGCTGATGACACGCGAGTGCAAAGCCAGGCTCGGTGGTATTCGCTGGGCTCACTTGAAGGACGAGGCTTTCAGCATTCGGGGCGAGTGAGTCGAAGCTAAGACCCACTTGACCGAGATTTAAGCTTACACTGTGCCAGTTACGAAGATGCCATATTTGCCATCACACAAGACTACTCGTCTCATCCGACGCAGCCACTTACCGAACTCGAGGTATTCACTGGTAACATCTTCAGCACGTCCGGTGTGCAGACACGCCGGCAGCGAGATAGATCGCTGCAGCTCAAGGATGAATTCGATCGGATTGCGCGATGGACTGAAAACCTTATCCGAAGGCGTACCACAGCTACTTCCGCCAAGCCGGACGATGCCAGCAATGCTCCTGAAGATCCTATGGAAGCTCTGAAAATGAGTATCGCATGCTTAGAAGCCAGCCAATTGAAAGGCAGTCGTGGCAATAGGTTCACACATGGGCGTTGGACTGAAGCGTATCATAGCTTCAAGATCATATCGGCATGTTGCGTGGTTCGGGAGCTCAATGCGGCAGACAGGCGCGCGGAAGCCGAGGAGTGGTACTAAGGCGTGCCAGAATGCAGAATGACTAACGTCTCGAAGAAGCTGCGCAGCAGGCAGGATATAGGTTACGATCAAAGACTGATGCTCGACGAGGGCAACTGCTACTTTTCTAGTATTGCTACTTCCTTTCTTCGGATCATGGTATTATTAAATTGGGCCTGGAGATGACGGCATCTACCATGAAACGTATTCGATGAAGACATGATGTCTGATGCACTATGTAAAATTGTCTTGGTAGGAGGAAGGTAACGATTGATAAAGATAACAATCCGGAAAGCTTGACCAGTTACAAAGCGTCAAATACATGTGCTGCTCGAGACCGTCTCAAAGTGAGAGTGATGGACGGAGCTGTTTGTTCTGCACCTCGGACAGGACACGGAATTACCAAGGCTGGGTGACCGCGCCGCAGCTTCTTTTTGGGCTTGCTCATCACCACAACCGTGTTCGTCAGTCACCATATGTGTCTCTGAAGTTTGACCCCTTTATAAAATATTTCCTACAGTGTTCTATTCACACAGATGCTTGAGAGGCTTCTGCATCTGCGTCCGCATTCAGACCGGAAGTTCTTTCTAGGATGGCCATCTTCCAATCTCACTACACTCAACAGCCCACATGGATTCCGACTATAAAAGCACATTTGCCCAGGTTGGTAACTTTTCTTGTGCACGAAAGGGACCTGTACACCTTTGGGCGTGTTCCTAGACTCAGGGATAGGCAAGCTATGTTACTGGGATTTATTCCCTTGTTCTTGAACTGATCCAAGCAGACCGCCAACGATAATCGTGCTCCCTACAGCCGGCCATCTAACAGAAATTGTTCTTGATATACAACATGAACCATTGCGCACCGAGAGTGTTTCCGTGCAAAGGCTCATCGATCAGGGCGCGTGGCGCGAGGAAACTCGGAGCGTCGTTCTATGCCATCTTGCCCACTTTCCGCATCTCAAAAAGTTACATGTTTTCGGTGAACTCGTTGTTTGTTTGTCCCGAGCTATCTACCAATGTGATAGAATGCAGCGCACTCCGTTCCCACCCCTTCAAGAGTTCGTTCTAGAGTTTGCTATACAGACTGCGGACGCACGCTGGTCTTATCGACGAGATGAGGAAGCATTTTCCCGTCCCAAAAGCGACCCAGAAGTAAAAGACAACTTCGACGACATTGAAGGTTCTGATGAGGATCCGACTGATCCTGACTTTGATTCCGACGAGGACGGACATGTTCGGCTCTTCGAAGATACCCCGGTCCGAACAGATGTTGTCCGCCATGACAGGTTTTGCACACTTCCAAACAAAGATACATTTGGGGTGTTTCTTGGAACAGCTAGCGGTGCTGTTCTTCGTCTTCCTCGGCTGCAAAAGTTCATATTGACCCTGGCGGACAGATACACGGACACAAGCCACGGAGTTTACTATCCTTGTGTTTGTTCGAAGCTTGAGCTGTGGTGGCTCAAGAGTGGGGAACCTCGATCCCTGCTCAAAGCCTAGCCTGCGTACCTCTGCTATCCAAAGGTAGCTTGCGATGTAAAGTACATCCATCAAAATCGGTTGTATTGGAGGACGGGCAGTGGTATTCCCTGGGAAGAAGTACAAACTGTATGGGCCGAAACGGCCGGCCCAGATGCAAAGATTGTCCTCCCGGAGGAAAAGCACTGGACTGGGGAACCGATCCGCCTTGCATCCTCAATTCACGACGGAGAATTCAAGGTGGAGCTTCCTCAAAAGCATTGCCAACAAAGAGAAGCAGAACCGCAATGTCTATTGCTCAAAAGTGGCGTGCGGCGCTAGATTACAATGGGGAACATCGATCATTCCATTCTCAATTGCTCTGGAGCATCCGAGGTTGACACTGCCAGCCTCAACGCCCAGCAGTGTAAGGCTCCTCCAGGGAACCAGCCTGCCAGGCGTGCTACTCCAAGCACGATATGAAGCTTCATGGACCAAGCACAGAACGAGTGGGCTGCATCAATGGGTATGGACAAAACTCGCATCGAAGGAGACGTGGAGTCCACACCTTCGCCTAAATGCCTACGGATGACATGGCACCAAGCCCTCTACTTCTTCGCTGTACGGTAGGTAGGATACTAGCCGAAGAAGTACGAGATTCCCATGGTCAAGGCATCCCAACTCTCGAACTCCTCGAATACAATGGGATACTATCGTTTATATTGCTCTACTTCTTATATCACTCGTTGCCTCTGCCCGATCCCCTTTTATCTTCTTGTCCTCTCGCTTTCTACCCTCTTACGGTATAATGACCTCTACGCCTTTCCCTCAACAGCACGTCGCGCAATCTCTTTCGCAATCGCATCCTTCGCTGCAGGCACACTCGCAGCCAGCACCTCCGCCGCCACCTTCTTCCCGAACGCCCGCACAGCTGCATAGTACACGTCTGCCAGCCCCTCGCAGATGCTCGTAAAGTTCTGCTTCGCGCATTGATTGTACAGGTCTTTCTTGAAATTGTCGTCGATGCGGAGCTTGTTCGCCTGCATCCAATCCGTCAGTGCCCATTTCTCACTCGTCCTAAATCACAACACAATTGGACAAGGGAGTCTTACATCCGTGAACCTTGCCTGTGCCTTGAAATTGCGGTACCCAAAGTCATGGCGGTAGCACGAGTTGAGGAAGTCAAACCCGAACGGGTTGTCCGGCGACGAACTGCACCCGTCGGACGACCAGTCGAGGGTTGACGGGTTTTTCGCGTTCCTCGCCGTGATAAAGTTCGCGAGCGTTTCGCGGAAGACGAGGCGGTCCGTGGCTTCGACGGCGGTCTCGCGGGCGGCGAGGGTGGGGGCCGCTGCCACGCCCGCGACGAGGACTGCGATCGTGCTGAGGATGCTGAAGCGCATTATCGCGGTGGAGAGGTACGGTGGCGAGGGGAGATGAAGACGATTTTGAAAGAGGGGCTCTGTTTTGATGCAGCTTGTCGTGCGAATCGGATATGTTGCAATAGAATATGAGAGTCAAGCTGAGGGAGGCCTCGTCGGTGTCCAGTACCGTGGCAGTGTGGTTCGCGCCAACGATGCCAGAGATGCTCAACAATCTGTCGTTCTCCCTTCGAGCCTGCTAGGACTTCCAATTTATATTGTCCTCGACCGTTTACACCTGCCCACATGAGCAGGTCCCCGGTCCAGCGATGGCAAACGACCCCTCATTCTGCACTCCAAGTCCGCCGCACCTGCTCGTACCTGCATGCTCACCCTGCTGTGGGTGCCGTTCTGCCCATTCAGCCCCGTCCTGGCGCCTCATTCGCTTTTCGGATTCTCTGCGAGCGAGGTTGCCTCTGGGCGTTTCGTCCCTCTACGCGCTGAGTATGTCATGAGCACGGTCATGGGGGGATTTTGGGATTTGATTGGACGGTGGACACTTGCGCCACAACGAGGAGCTGCATGGTAAGCGAATAACTGCCGGTTCCAGCGCGAATCCGGCTGGGCACGAAGCGTGTATTTTAGGAAGGTCTCTCTTGCCACTGACATCGTGTATTGAGGATGAGTAGGGATTCGAGGACTGCGGTGGGACGCTCGTGTTGAGGCTCGTATGCCAATGTGTAAAGCGCCGACCGTTGAACAAATTGCCGAAGTCCGCTCGTATTGTGGAATCATTATGAAGATCCTGAGTTGCTTGTGATCGGTGTTGGCGGGCAAGTGTCGTATTTGTCGAGTTTAACTCTATCGCCAACGCCCGAGCAATATATGCGTAGCTTCACTAATTTCATCATACGGACTGTCGGAGAAGAAGCGCCAAGTCTCCCCAACGCATGCCTGTGCCGCGGTCACGATCGGTTTGCTCCCGAGCCGGGCGGTATGCTGAAAAGAGGCGTGGGAGAATACCATGGCGATAACAACGGTTAGACAAATTGATGAATCAAAGTGAAGGTTAGTTTGGTAACATGTCTGACCGTTGTGTGCAACGGGCAGACACACGGCTGCAGCAGCACGTTGCGCCTCTGAGCTGACTCAGTGCGCCTCTTCGAATTTTCGAAAAGTGTCGAGCATCTGCTCGTTGCTGCTGCTGCCATGACTGGATCCATCAAATGGCTGTTGGGACTGTCAACTGTGAAGCACTTGGCGAGTAGAGCAGCACCGTGATGACGCTCTGAAGCCAGGCTATACCGCATTCGCACTGTCATCCAGGAACGCGCCGAAGCCACGACGGCACTGAATAAGCAAGCGCGGCCTGGCAACGCTCGTATGCCCTTGGTGCCTGGCTGACCTGTCCAGAAGCACGCGTCTTTCTTGTCACACAGCTCGCGATGCCCCGTCGAGGTCATGCGGCGCGTTGCTTTCGCTCGTGACGACCTCCCCGCTGCGTCTTGGCGGGCCGCTCAGGATGGCTCAGCAGCCGACGGCGGAGGCCGCGGAGGAGCACGAGCTCGATGCGCTCCACGAAACACACACCATGCCACCCGACGATGGGGCAGAGGTCGCCGCGCACGATGAGCAACTGCAACGGCGGACGCTGCGCAAGCTTGACTTCTTGCTTCTGCCGTTTCTTGCGCTGCTGTTCCTGTTCAACAGCCTCGACAAGTCCAACGTCCGTCCGAGCCTGCGCTTGGCTTGTAGCTCCCTGCTAACAGCAGTCAATAGATAGGCAACGCCGAGTCTGCGCACTTCACCACCGACATAGGCCTTCGCCGGTCTGACCTCAACACTGCCGTAGCGCTTTTCTTCGCCTTCTTCGTTGCGCTGCAGCCCGCCGGAGCGGCCCTGGGGAGGAAGTATGGCATGGTCGCATGGGTGCCCACTTGCATGCTGCTCTGGGGCGTCTCTACCGCCCTGCATACGTGGGTGAGGGCGCGGTGGCAGCTGTATGTGCTGAGGATCATCATTGGATGCTTGGAGGGCACGTCGCTTCCTCTCCCAGACGCTTTTTGGAGCCATTGCTGATAGCGCAGGCAGCCGGCTTTTACCCCGTCACCGTCTCCTACCTCTCGCTCTTCTACACACGCTTCGAGTTCGGACGGCGACTGTCCCTTTTTTATGGCCAGGCTGCCGTCGGCGGTGCGCTGGGCGGCGTCATAAGCTACCTTGTCTTCTCGCACTTCCCGGACATCCACCATGAGCATGGTGCGGAAGGTGACCCTGAGCTGAACCATCGATGGCAGAGCTGGCAGGTCCTGTTCCTGCTGGAAGGCAGCCTGACCATCATCGTCGCCGTCGTTGGGTACCTGTGGCTCCCGCACAACGCCGAAACAGCATGGTTCTTGACACCTGAAGAGAGGGCATATGCCTCATCCCGCGTCATCCGCGACCGAATCGCGCAATCCGACTCATCAGCCCTGCCCACCGAAGCTGCAGATGAGGAAAGGGAGTTTGATGAAGAATCCCGCGGCCTCCTGGCTTCGTCGAGACCACGCCCAGTATCTGCAGCGGACCAAGTGACCGATGACCGCGGTCTCACCCCGCACGACGTCGTGTCCGCTTTCCTCAACATCAGGATCTGGCACATTCTCGCCATTAACATTCTAGCCGCAATCCCCGTCTACGCATTCCAGGTATTCCTTCCCCTTGTCCTGGCTCCGCTTATGCCCAATTCCGATCCTTCCGACCCCGAGGCGGACCCAGCCCTAGTGAACTTGCTTACCGCCCCACCCTACATTTTCGGCGCCATAACCCTCTATCTGTTTGCGTCCTGGAGCGACAAGCATCGCTCACGCATTCTTCCCATCCTTTGCGGCCTAGCCATCATGGTGCTTGGCCTCATCTTAGTAGTCATGCTGCCAACCACCGCTGGCTGGGCCGTCCCTCGATACATCGCGCTCAACGTCCTCCTGTCTGGTACCTTCATTGCGAGTCCACTCACAGTGGCCTGGATCTCAGGGAACACACCAAGCCCAGGGAAACGGGCGCTGTTGTTAGGCATCAACGGATGGGGCAATCTCGCGGGCGTGTTATCTGCCATGCTTTTTAGACCCGAGTATGAAGAGTCTGGGTACATTGTCCCCTTCTGGTGGACCCTCGGTTGCGTTACTGCGGCCGCGTTTGGTTACGTCCTTCTCTGGCGCAACCTCAAGGCCGAGAATGCGCAGAGAAGAGACATGTTGAGCAAATGGGATGAGGAAGAAATTGAAAGAGAAAAGGCGGATGGGCGTGGACCTCTGGAGCAGAGCCACCGTATTCCGAAGGCTGCAACTCGGTGGCTGAGGAGCACTGGCAGGTTGCTGTGGGCGGCGGATTGGCTTGAGGAAGCGACGCAAGGTGGTAGAGAGGGCGAGGAGAAGATTACTTTCCTGTATGGCCTGTAATACAGCTACGCACTGCACAGAACTCATACGAAGAACATCTGACCATGCTTCGGGCCATTGGGCCTACGCCGTATACTTTTTCCCGTGCATGGTTACTCCCAATGTGGTGACCAGCAGCTCAAAGGTGCAGATATATCGTACTATTCTCGCTGGCATGGCGTCGTTGCCCAGTGGCTTTATCAAACGTCAATGTGGGTGAGCACGTAAGCTTGCGGCGAATCCGCGGCTACGAGCGGCTGGCGAGGAGCAGGGCATGTGGGGGTAGCCGCTGGGTTGGGTCACGAGAGACCGCCAATCATCCCCTCCGGCACCGAGGAGCCCCCATGCTTGCTTCACAAAGTGCGACTGTGGGGTGCAGGAATGGATGCTAATGCATAACAGGAATGTCACAATCCCTGGCGAAAATTCCCCCACCAGCATCTTCAAGACGAATGCTTTGCCTTGTGATGTCGAATCGGTAGTGGGAGCAGTGCATAGTGGATAATAGACTATCTTAGCATACACGACTTCCTCTCCGCTTTGCCGCGTCCTTGATCGCTAGACAGACCGCAGTCCATGCCATTAAGATCGCTGTGGTGCCTACAGCAATGTTAAAAACAATTATAGCATCTATCGAACTGCCCTCGAGCATCTTGCCAGTATCTTTATTGCTTATCATAAGGACTATGCCTCCCGACACAAGGCATAAACTAGTGACAATTTCCGTGAACGGTCTTTGGGGGCTGTCATCGCTGGGAGGCTTCAGGTATAGAATGCAGTAGGTCGCAATTCTGGCGATGGCAGCTCCCATGAAAAGCTCGCCCCACCTTTTGTGAAGCATGGCTATGACCGTAGAAGCTTGGTGGTGTTCGCCCATGATTGAACCCAGCAGGTAGATCACAATTGCGGGCATTGGGTTCATTGGAAGCTCGTACCGATCGGACTTTGGGCGTGGTGTAGTTGTCACCTTGGGAACTATCCGGGACTCGATGAGCATCCCGAGCTGTGAGTCGATCAGTCCCTCTAATCAGGCAGGCTCAGCGAAAGACGTCAAACTCACCAGTCCTCCTCCGAAAAACTTAACCGTGATAGAGACGTGTTGTATATCAGCCGTTGACCAGTCGCCACCAAGGTTGTTCAGATGCTCGAGCCAGATGTTCGAGGCGCCATACAGACATATCAACAGACACTCTACAAACTCTGCTGAAGGGACACTAGATAACCACAATCTTGTCGACTTGTTGTGTGGCTTCTTGTTCCATGCCCATCCCAACTTTGCAAAGCTTCCCAGCCAGCGCCCAAAGGTGAGGAGCCCACAGAAGACAAAGATCCCGCCTTTGATAAAGTGAGCTAATCCGGTGAATATGTTATGTCCTTGCTAGGCACTGTGAGTCTGGGTAGGTAAAGCGATCATTGAAACTCTTTTGACTTACGAACATCCCGCCGTACACAGCTGCACCAGTGGTAACGCAGGAGAAGCCGAGAAGCAAGATCAGCCAGTCGTTAATGGCTACAGTCACCACGAGAAGACTTTTTATCGACTGCGACGACCGTAGACTGTATTTAGTTCGGGGCGAAAGATCTCGCGCCTTGCAAATGGAGTTTGCCGCATCCATGTCTTCATCGCTGGGGCCAATATCTCGATACTCGAAACTTGATCCTGCCAGCTCGTCAGATAGCAGGGGCGATTGCGATACATCCGAGCTAGGAGAGTAGATGGGATCTTCTGCTTGTATTCTGCGCTTGAGCCGGAGGTACGACAATACCAGACCACAGGCCAGCCATACAGCGGCGAGGAATGTGCTCACCCATCCTAGCAGACCATGTTTCTCATTCTCGTACAAATTAGGCGTTTGGCGATTGTAAGTCACTCCCAGTAAGACTCCGAACAGATTCAAGCTGAAGAAAGTCGCTTGCAGCGGCGTGCGAAGCCACGACTGAGCGATGCTGAGCATGACAACTGTCTCGAATATTAGACAACGAAAGCGTTCCAATGTTTCGTCTCGGGAGGGACTGACCAGCAGGCAAAAGGAAAACCCAAGTTATGATCATGACAAATACATGGGCCAAGATCACGTTGCTGTGCTCTTCCAGGCGGAAGTAGGACATGGGTTGAATTTCAGTGTTGTTGAATGCCATTATTGCTTTTTGGTTATACGAATATATAGGTACCAAGGATATTAGAATTTTGGCCATTGCTTCATAGCAGCAAGCTACCAGTATATATACATGTATACACAGCGCTCTGAGACATTTGCTCAGCTACGCCGACCAGCTCAGCGCCCAGCACCGGGCTGAGAGTACCAATTCTACCATCTAGGATATTTGAGAGACCCGTGATACCAAAAAAAAAAGAGCCAAAGGTCACCCGCGGGAGGCTCGGCAGGCGATACCAACGATAGTGTGCAACCCGGTAGCGCTTACATCATATGCAAAAGGAAAGTCTTTTGCGGGCGATCACTCAGTACTAAGAGAAATCTTACAGCAAACATTCATGTGCCACGTTTCAGGCTATCTCGATTCAAGCCGCAGTGCTTACGTCCTGCAGGCGGGCGACTTTTAAGGATGAAACCTGGAACGTCTGCACGGGGAGTGAGAAACTGAAGGTTTGCCAAGTTTTCTAAGGAAGCAGAATGATGAGACTGCACATCTCCGGGCTGTAGTACCCAGACAAAGCTATCGCACAGATATGCTTCCGGCTGTAGGATCAAATGATAAAGGAAATAACTCATGTGAACGGAATGCAATATCCATAAATCTGTCGCTGAAATTACAAGAGTATGCCCTTTCCATCACGGAACACCTCATCGTACCAAGATTTTTCAGCCTCTCTCCTTGGGTCAGCTTCGCGGCAGATGGCATCCCAATCTGCCGCAGGCGTCAGCGCCCAGTTTCCTGTCTCAGTGTTTCGGACGAACAACATTGCCGGCTTGGGTTCGTCCAACGGCAAATATGGAATGACTTCCAACGGCCCGTCAGCGGCCTCCAGAATCATAAGCGTCTCACGAGCGGCCGACGACTGCATACGTGCTTGCAAGAGCTCACGCAGAAATGGGAACCACCATGTAGCGTCCCACCATGTTTGAAGCCGCCCTTTGAGTCCCTTTCGACGTGTGTTATAGTGAATGGCAATAGGCACGGCTGTTGTCCAAAAGTCCATGTATAGCGCCATTTCAGCCCAAGTCTTCGTACGGAGCTCGTTGTTCGCCAGCTTAGCCAGGGGCGGTTCGGCCTGGAGAATGTCCGCGGGTAGCGTCTGTATCCGAGGGGGGGCCACACCCGCTTTCTGCGACTCTTCATATATCTGATCCGAGGCCTTGAGGGGCACGAAATAGCCCAGCCACTCGTTATAACACGTCTGGAAGGAAATCTCCTGAGTGTAGTCGAGACCGACGTGGTACTCGAGCAACTGCCGCTTCTCGATAGCCGTCTCGCGGTTTGGTGAATCTTCCGCAAAGTCTTCCTTCTTAACAGTGTCGCGCCAAACCTCTTGCTCGCCAAAGATCTCAGCAAAGATGCCCTGGTCGCCCCCAAGAACTTTGGCCTGCGGCCTCCCTGAGGTCTCCACCACGTCGAGGAACTCTTCCATCCTTTCCTTGACGCGTTGGAAGTACCGTCGCATGTCACCAGCAGGTCCCATAAAACTACCACTGTTGAGGATCTTGGGTCGAACATAGACACTCCGGGAAAACCAAAAGTTGTAGTCGGTAAAGAAGCCATACACGCTATCAGGCAGAGTGCTGCCCGGTACGTCGCCACAGTGGAGGTCTGAAATCTCATCGCGAGGGGCTACGCACGCCTTTTGAGACGAGACTACTATGGTCTGTTGCATCAAGTCCTTGTCGAAGAAGCCATATTGTTCGGCGATGCGCTTGTTAGCACGCTGATTGATACTATAGTAGCGTTGAATGAGGACACTCGGAGGCAGCTGTAGCCAAATGTCGTGTGCGTCGATTCCAAAAACGAGGTCTTCTTCGTTCAGGCGTTGCTCGGGAGGAGCGAAGTCGCTAGTTGCCCATTCCAGGAAGTTAAGATAGCCAGTGATTTTGCCAAGCTGAGAGGGCCCGATACCCTTTGTGTCGGTCTCGAAGTCATTGTTCCAATTCACAAGGACTGGGGGTGGATAGCCCACAGCAATGGCGCTAGCGACAACTTTACAAAGATTCTGACTGGACTTGTCGACAGGTAGTACGAGGACGAGCTTCTGCTGCCCTGCGGCGATTGCACTGGGATTGACGGTATGCTCCAGGAGATAGGCACCTTCAGGTCGCCAGAATCGCTCGGTGGTAAGCTACGACAGGTTAGCAACAGGTTAGCTGATAGAAATCGCTGCAAATATGCGGTTCGGTGGGAGATGGATAACTCGAGAGATGGTACTCACATAGTAAAGCAAAGGCAATGCGATAGCTGAGAGCACGAAGATCAATAGCAAACCCTTCTTGATCCTGCGACGAGTGAAGCTTTGCGGGACACAGCAGCGAAGCGGACGCGTTGAGCCTGGCAGCGGCGTGTATGCGTACGATGACAGCGAAGTATCTGAGCCCATGACCGATTTCTACCTGGTCATCAAAGTCCCCTTCTCAATGTGTTCACAAGCATACATGGTTTCGAGTTATAGAGCTCCAGCATCAAACAAAACTGACGCGTTTCCACCATCGACAGCAATCGACGAGCAAATCAGATCGACAATGCGGCGAGAATAGCAACGTAGATAGGCACGCCTGATATGCGACTTGGAATGCCATCCTTCGTAAAACTTGTCTCTCACTGGATAATACTGTGCAGGTTGAGTCAGCGATACGACCATCTTGGGACAAAAGACGCACAGCCAGGGGCCAAGTCACTGTCAAAGCACGATTCCTTCGAGCACTCATGTTACTTCGCCCGCAATAGTGAGAAGCCTGAAATCCTGGTTTTCTCGGACCTTGAAGTCAGCAACTTTCTTGCCGGGCCAGTTGAAGCCTGACCGAGCGTCGACGAAGCTTGGGGCCTGGTTTTCAAAGTGGAGTCTGGCGGTGAGTTCGCGGGGGCCTGAACAGCCTCGCTAGTGGGTCGTAGATCGCAGGGATTTCAATCGCCACTGAAGTGCTAGTGCCTAGGCAATTCATGTCAACGAGTAAGTATATGCGAAGGTGACCGCGATCGTGACCTAGTGTGTCTCGGGATGCGATGAATGATAGTGCTTAGCGCACGGATTGCCAAAGCCAATTTATCTATGGTGCGTTTGGGTTCAGATACCTTGGATATTTGAACACCCACAGCGACAGTGGTCCGAGCCCTGTCTGATAAGTATCTCCCCTCAACGTGTGTATCTAATTTGTATTACATTCCTTGCGACGTTGAGAGCACAATCTGGTTCTCTCTGGACGGACCCCGGGATTTAACACGCTTTGCAGTGTTCGCACTGCCATATCCAGGTGTCCTATAATATACCTCATACGTACTGACAAATGCGTCAGGGGGCCGATTGGGTCGCCTCCCGAGAACCATCGCCCATCACTGTCGTAGAGGTTCATATTCGCGCGAGAAGCTCTCAGATCTATGGTCATCTTCACATTGTGGCCATGTTAGTCTGTCTCAGCATGTTATGACAATGCAGCTTCCGACACGTTGTTCCAGCATGTGTGGCAGTGCAAATCCGCCTCACCGTTGGATAAACGCCTCGCTGCCTCGAGTGCAATTCGACCGTTCATTCGGCAAATAACAGTATGAAAATCACGCGAGCGATGATAAATCGATCGCTTGGGGTTTGGCGATGATATCACCTTTGAGAGTGAAAAACTATGCAGGACGAGCAAGACAAGAAGGAATAATAAGCTGCCGAAGGGTAACTTCTGTAAGGATGTGGCAACAACCTGAACATCAAATTCTAGGTGTGATAGACGGTACCCAGTAGTGCTGTACTGCTGTGATGCTGCGCAATTCATAACTCTCGTCTACAGCACGCGATGCCTGAGGCAACTTTTCACACTTGGCTCTCTAGAGCTGCGCCTCCTTTCTGCCTTTGTTCAGCATCACAGCCAGGTGATGGGAATTTCGAAGAGCGTTGCCTAGACTATCAACGGATTATAAAAATATTCAGAAAGCAGCATCGGGTTCGTCCAACAAACCCTCCTTTTACTTTTGCAGATCAATTCCATCTGGCGGTGCTGCCTGGGTCACATTACGTGCGAAGACACCGATAATCATCTTCCCCTCGTCACTATGTCCCGAAAAACGGAGAAATTCACCCAAAGTATTGGTCTCAATACTGTTCCTGGAGATATCCATCATCTTATCCTCTCGGAGCTTAAGGACTCGCCATCTTCCGCACTTCGAAACGTCTCGCAATCTTCCAAAACTCTACAAGATGCTGGATTCTCGTTCATGTACCGGAATTTGATACTTTGCAAGCCACTCAAGGGTGGCAAAGAATTGTTAGCATATGAAAGTCTTCTCGACAGGTTTCGCGGTGCTACAGCAGGGGATATCGCAAGACATGTTCGCAGTATCACTGTGAAAAACCATATACCCCAAGAAGATTTGATCTTGATTGTTGAGAAGATCGCAGAATTTGGTACACTTCGCGAAGTCAAGTAAGTCATCTGAGCAGAACCTAGTATGTGCAGACTAACCCCCCATAGCTGGAATACCTGTGCTCATATTCCAGAAGAAGTCTTGATTAAGCTTGTGTCTGCTTGGCCCGACTTGGAGATCTCCGCTACTGTTATCGATCGGCACGAGACCCAGGTCGAGGCGCATCGCTCAATGGATTTTAAGCTGCTGTCGTCTCCACTTCTTACTCGGTTGACGTACATCGTGTATGATCACGGCTCCTCAGAGGGAGATCCGTCACGTTCAGAGTGGCCTCAATTGTCCCAGGCTTTGGCTGGAACGAGTAATCTCCGGTACCTTTCCATCCAGAGCGAACCAGATCAAAGGGGACGCTTCGGCAAGATTGTGGAAGACACGGTGCAGGAATCGATACCGCGCCTAGACCTTTCTTTTGGCGCGAACTTCTCCAGACTCGAATATCTCAGCATCCGCACCCTCGGATATACATCCTATGCGTGGGATGAGGAATATTGTCGTACCCTGCGTGACACTACGCATCTATCCCGCTTGCGATCGCTCGACTTCGGGCTCGAAGACCCAGGAGCTTTCTTCACAATCTTCTCAGGACATCTTCCAAAACTCGAAAGCCTGCGATTCGGGGTAACAAGAGCCTCCTCCTTAGAACTGGCTAGAGACTTCATGGATTCACTGAACCCATTGACAAGCCTTCACATTGATAATGCTAAGAGAGGACTCGACGTGCTTTGGCCCGTCATCTACAAGCATAGAGAGACGCTCAGGACTTTGGTTCTTGGACCTAGCTGGGGTCCATACTGTTCTGCCGAGTATACCGACGACTCCTTGCTGGAAACGGTCCCTGTCACGTTTCCGAAGCTTGAGCGACTTGGGTGGTCAATACCCTTCAATGCCATCGTAAGCCTACCTTCTTCCATGTCATGATGCATTTTAAAGCTTACTCCCGTACACAGAATGATGAAGGCACCCTTCCTGTTCTGTCGAAGATGAACCTCCGGAAGCTAGATCTGTACATGGACCTTCCTAGCCAAGCCTCTGAATACAGCGAAGCGCTCCAAGGAGATGCTATGAGCGGTTCGAACAACCCTCCACTAAAAAGGTCTCAGTCGATAGCTGCGGCAACTCGGATTGCGGATAAAATATCGCAAAAGCAGAAAGACCCACTCGAGTGGCTAACAGTTCATATTTCACGGTCGTTTTATATGGATAGATTTCAACCGTACAATGGGTACACAGCATTTCAACTACGGCGACAAGAGCGACCGAGTGCTAAGGAGGAGAAGTACTGCGTCCGTGGAAATATGAATTGGCGATGGAACAAGTCCCCATTCCTTAGCGAAGAGCTTCTTTTTGAGGAAGTGAACTAGACTCACTTTTCTTTATATGCGTATCCCAATTTACAAGGATGAAGTGCATAGACTGTCTCACTCGGGAATAGGGAGTATGGACGTTACCCATGCGTATTCTATCGCTCGTTGTTACGTAATTAGCGGACAGGAAATATACGATTTCTTATCACGCCTAGCATTCCGATCAACCTATACAGAGTGAAGGAAAAACGTTCGAGTGCATATTTCAAGTGTCTGTGCCTATCTTGGGCTACGCATTGATCATAGGATACTACCATGATAGTTATGTCTGCAGCCTACTGGTTGATGTAGGGCTGATCTTCGTTGCTTCGGTATTCACTACAAAGATCTTGATCATAAGCAGTCGTCGGAGCTCTTTGATCGCACGCTCCGCACATGCTTCATAGTTCATATTACCGGAATCGTCAGAATTAGAGCCACAGACAGAATCCACTTCCTCAGATGGGCCGGCAAGGAAATGACTTGCGCGATGTGCCAGATCAGGAAGTACAGCTGTACTCTCTGTTTTTGCCGTTAAGGTTCGAGGCGTGGCGATTCGCTTGAACTCCGGCGCGGCTGTAGAGCTCCTTGGCTGAGAGCAGGTTGCTCAGCTTTGCGCTTTGCCATCGCTGTTGCTCCATTCTATGGAAGTCAGAGAATTTCTTGGAGTCAAAAGTAAGTGTAAGGTAAAATCTGTGAGGGGCAAAGCCTGGCGTTAGGCGTACACCACCTTCCAACACTGACGCGCGATCACGTGCCTCCGGGAAAGTGAAGGCGAATACGATCTGGGCGTGAACGTCTATTGAATTGGACATACTCATATTAGATTGATATTTCAGAGCCAGTGATTCTGAACAGACAGGATTAATGGCGACGCATGTAGATCGCGGCTTGCGAAGAAGCCGCACGAGGTGCTCTTTCAACATACGTAGACTGAAGTAAAAGCTTGCGCCAACACCAATTTCGCCTTGGCATGCTTGCTGTTGCATTGTAAAAGGTTCAGGGCAAACCCTCTCGAGGGCGAACAGATGCACCATGCAGCCTAGCTAGCACTTTGCGTCTGTAGAATTGGACGCTGTCATTCTCTTCTGCAGCTCCTGTGTCGCCACCGGATCCACAAACTCCATGCTCCTCTCCACCTTCGTTCCCTGCGCATCCATCCAGAGCCACCAAACCAGATCGTTCTCCACAGGTTCCTGCCCTGGTGCCTTCATCTGATAGGACACTCTCGCGACCACGGAACCTTGCACCTCGTCTACCGCTAACGCCTTCACCTCGTTTGTCTCGCTCTCCAACTTGAGCGTCATCGATGCCACGCGCATCATGAAGCCTTCGAGGTCGGACGTTCCTTTCATAGGTGGTGTTTGCGAGACGAAGTAGTTGTGGCCGAAAGTGTGAGTGTAATTTGGGGCGCGCGCAGCGCGGATCTTCGCCATATCGAAGCGAAGCTCGTCTAAGGTCGTTGTGTTTGGCATGAGCGAGAGGGAGGTGATGAAGGCAAGAGCCGTGCCTCGGAGAAGGTCGTAAGCGACCATGACGGCAACTTCTTTTGTATGCTTTTGTGGCAACTGAACGTGACAGGAATGTGAGGATCTTCCAGGGACAAGGGCAGGCCAGAAAGAATCTGAGAGCGTGAAGCTGTAATATGGAATGCGCTTAGCGTTTTGTAGCTGTTCTGAATCTCGCGAAAGGAACATATATCTTATACAAATGCAGAGTACTGCACTCACGGTAGCACAGTAAGCACCCTCTCAATCACCGTGAATTCTGCAATCTTGAATCATTGTGGAATGGTGACGACTACACAGGACGCCTGTTAGTTTGCGAAGAAGCTCAAATCTGCGAGGTGCGATTCGGTTTAGTATACGCTGGAAGATTGCCGCAATAGGAAGGCCTCCCCCTTCATTTTGCACTGCGGCTCTGGGGTCGGGAATGCAACGTTGCAAAGCAGATTGGAATCGGACTTGGTGACATCGCAGTGCATACATCGGAAACGAACCAATCTGCTACCCGTAATCTGCTCAGGCACAACTAAATGAGTTTGCTTCTTCACAAATGCGTCATTTGAGGTAAACAATGATGCACAGCAACTCCTTGGATTTCATTTGGTGTGATGGTGTATGGCCAGCTTTTTAGAACTTCGTCCGCCAACCCCACCCTGCAGCTACAATTCGTGTCGATAAGAATGCCAGGAAGGCCGCCATGTAAGAAGCTCCAGCAAACATGATCAACCCAGTAAAGGCACCACCGCTGGCATTTATGATCGCACCTGCGATAGGAATGCTGACAAGCACAGCGAGTGAAGAGATTGAAAACGTCGTACCAGATCGCTTGCCGTAGTCTTCGGTCTTGCAAACTTGTCCAATGCAAACAGGCGTTAAGCTGATAGCAGCCCCTGACCAGAATCCAAAGATCACGGCGAAAGCCGTTATGGCTGCCTCGCTTGCGCCTGATGTGAGCCAGAGCGCAAAGATGAAGGTTGCGCATGTGAAAGAAGTGATACACATGACGTTGAAGTAGCCAAACCGGTCAGCGACATAGCCTGGGAGTGCGCGACCAGGTATCGCGCCTGCATTGAGCAGTGCAGACAATCGGAATGCGTGTTGCGGTTCAACCCCTTGGTAGATGGCGTAGGAGGAGATGTACGTGTACGGTACGAAAACGGCGAATTCGACAAGCCATACTGCTAGCGTAGTGAGAGCGTAGTTCGTGTCCTTCAGAGCCTTCAGGTCGATCGAAGCGCCGGCTTTCTTGTTATGTGGAAGTCTTTTTCGGAGGAGCCAGGAAGCGAGAGCGCCTGCTATCAGGCAGATGAAACCCACGATACGAATCGCCCAGCCGTATCCTATTATTGGAGCAGCGTATAGGATGATCAATGGGAATACGATCCCGCCGATACCGCCCGCGGTGCAAGCAATCCCGGTGGCCAGTGCTCGACGTTTTGTGAACCAGTGTCCAATTGTCGCTATTGCAGGTGTGAATTGGCACGAAGCAGAGAGACCCCCAAGTACCCCAAAAGTGAGGATGAATTGGTAGTATTCTATATTTGACAATAAGCTTCCTCACTTCCAATAAAGGTAAGCCATCATTAACATACCTTCACAAACGCTGAGTAGCATGATAGCAGCCACTATGCCCACAGATCCGGGAATCATCAACAACCGCACATCGTGTGCATCGAAGATTGGCCCTACAAACTGATTAGCATTGGACGCACTAAGAGATGCTGAGTTACTCACCGACTTGTGCACCTGTGAAGTAAAGGAAGAACGCATATACGCCAAATATCCACCCAATGTCAAATTCCGTGTAGTCGCGTAACTGATGTGTCCACACCCAAGCCTGGAGCACACCAACGGTGTTGAGCAACCCCATGCTCGGGATCATAGCACACCAAGCACCAAATACCACCGTCCATGCCTCTCGTCCACCATCAGGATATTCATCTAAGTCATCGAACAAACCCAAGGCTCCTGTTTCCGGAGAGTTCTGTTGTACGACTTCTTGCTGTCCGTTCAATACTGAAGGATTGGGAATTACACCAGTGGAGGTCTTATTCGTCATTGTAAGTATTTCCTTCAATTTCAGCGCTTATCCAGAGCTATCGAAGTACCTCAGAGTTGAGGTAGGTAAGATCTCTTGAAGGAGTGTATCACTTGGAGGTATTCGATGAAGAGAACTTGAGTTCAGGAGATCTAGGCGCACAGAAACGCCATCCTGAATGACTGACAAACGAATGGCAACGATTGATTTTGTCGGTTTCGCGATCGAAGAGTCCGCGGGGCGGAGGAAGGGTTTAGCGAGTTAAACCATCCTTGGTAAAGCTTAGTGTGAATAGGAGAAAACTAGAGTTCGGCTCGGCGCATTCCGATGGAAAACCATGCGGCCAAGATTGTTCCCTCGGCTGGCGCAACTGGTCGAACGACCGGATGTCTATTGTTCCTCGCTGTTGACGATGTAAGAAGATGTTCAGATATCTCTTGACCGTGGCGTATGGTGAAGAGCCAGTCGTTGAATCTGGTATATCCCAGTTCGTCGAAGTCTGGATCGTAATGATGAGGGATACTCCAGGGCACACTACTCTCACCAGCGTGAAGTTCGCCCAGTAATCCAACACGTGAGCTGGATAAGCCCTTAGCATTGCCGAAAGTGGAAATTTTCACATCTCTGTGGAAAATAGATTAAATTCTGGGCTTGGCGCACGGACAACTCACTGGCATACGCTACCTTGTACGGTAAGTTGGCAGATGGTCTATCGGTAGGCCATTGCTGGGAAAAGCAGCACGAGTAAACCGCCTTCGTATCAGGCGAAGGTGTTTTGTTTGATCGCGTACACGGGTAGTGCAATATTAAAGCCTGGACTACTGCCATGGATATCTCCCGTGTCCAGAGGGTGAGCAAGCAAGAGTCGAACAATAGCAAAGGTGGCTATATTGTTGACCAAGCAGGGCGAGTGCCGGGAAACAATCTAAGGTCTTGCCTTGACCTTGCGTATGATCGACTTCTACTAAGACACAGCACGACGACGGGTAACAGTCATTCGAAAGGAGGCTGGATCTCCTGGTCAATTTTGGAGGAAAATCCAATAAATACCGCAGGGTACATTTCAGGTGGAGGCATAAGTTATCCTCGCTGAATAACAGCCGCTCATGCGCGTAGCCGGTAATATAGGCTCGATGGTGATTTCGCAACTCCATCGATGGATCGAGATGCGCCTGACACGGCGAAGAATTTCATCGCTCCCTGTCCCGGGTAATATCCTCGAATCATTTCGAAGAAGCCTTTCGAGATCGGATAAAATACAAATGGTATGGAGGCAACGAGCTTGGCAGATGGTCAAATCTGAGTTCTGGAAAGGATAACTTCACCGCCAAGCAGATCGCTAATCCATATATAGATTAGCCCGCTTTAAGCGACCTTCCCACATTCCCCATAGTGATACCAACATCGGTCCACATGCATAAGTCTACGAACATCATCTAAACCCATCCACAAGATATTCGCAGTCAAAATTCAAGAAATCAACACCCAGTCTCACAAAAACACAATGACCACTCAAAACTTCTCAAAGCACTACCCTGCGGAGGATGAGGCGCAGATGAAGAAGGTGAGCACGACTAACGCGTGACCTGCGGACATTGAGTGCGATTACATGACCTATACGATGCTGATTACATCGAAGGCCCGCAAGACGGCTCACCCGACCAAGTACCGTGGCTCTCTCCAGCCTGGGACGGTACTCATTCTCCTGGCCGGTCGCTTTAGGGGCAAGCGTGTGGTCCTTCTTCGACAGCTTTCTCAGGGAGTCCTCCTCATCACGGGTCCGTTCAAGTCAAATGGAGTTCCACTACGACGCGTCAACCATCGCTACGTCATTGCAACTTCCACCACTGTCGACATTACCGGAGCCGATAATGAGGTCCTGGACCGTGTGAGCGAAGATGAGTACTGGGCGCGAGAGAAGAAGGAGGGCAAAGGTGAGGATGAGTTCTTCCAGAACGGTGAGGCCCCGTCAAAGAAAGAGACGGACCCTCAGCGTATCGAGGATCAGAAGAAGGTCGACAAGGCCATCATGAGCAACATCCGCAAGGTTCCGGATCTGGAGTCGTACTTGGCTGCCACTTTCAGTCTCAGGGGTGACGAAAAGCCCCACGAGATGGTCTTTTAAGCGGTAGATGGCATCAAAGATACGAGTTTCCATCCTATAGGGTTCAGGAGGTTCTAGAGATACCCAGCCATGTTTAGTTGCAATGCAACACGAGGCGCGAGCACGAATACATGCACGAAACAAATAAATAACCCGTTTCCTCCGATCTTGTAACGCCTAGGCGGAAAGGCTTCCAATTCAAACTAGCCGTTACATGTGCATCGAAAGACTATCCATAAAATAGTGGCTGATTCACACACGACGTCACCAGACCGTGATTGGTATTGCAGCCCTAATATTCACAGAGACTTACATGGAAGTTTAGTTGGCAATCGTGTCGATCCAAGCCCATACAAGAGTGGAAAACAGCTTGACTCCAAAGATCTGCGGTTCGGCCAGACGAGGCCTACCTATGGTTACGAGGGCGACAGTTGTGACGCGTCTGATTGGTTGGAGCGAAAGATGAGGCTGAATGCGCAGCCCTGGTGAAACACGAACACCTTGTGCCGGGCGACCATACTCGCCAACCCAGCATCACCAACATCAACCACTCCAGCGTGTCCTTCGGAGCTTTGAGACACCGTTAAGCGAATCCACGAGCTTTGTTCATCTTCACTAGGAGACACTGGCGAATGGTGTAATAGGACGTGGCAACCTCGATTGGGACGCAAATTGCCTATGAACGTGTCAGCCTGGCACTGGGGCTTTCATTCATAGCCGCAGCTTTCGCCCTGCATTTACATCTCGACTTGCCATCGATATCACGATGGGCAGTCATCACAGCCGTGAGGTTGCCCGATTCTGGTACGATTATACAACAAAAGGTCAGTATTTTCACGGTAGCTTTCCTGGTGTTGGGTGTCGCTGGGTGATCTGACATTGATGCAGAGAGTCTGTGGACTGTCACAGATCCCTCAGGCTTTGTGGTCGTGGCGATAGCAACGGTCTGGCTCTCTTTGGCTGTAAAGTACATTAAAATGATATTGGGAAACCTAGCTTCGAAGACTCTACTTCACTGGGGTACAGGTCGACGCAATGCGGATCCAGAACAAAGATACCTGTTGGGTCCTGGTCAAACCTCGAGTGGGAGCACTTCGCCGCTTGCGAGTATTTTGAAAGAGACGAGCGGGATACGAGATCTCTCCGAGCAAGTGCTTCTGAACAAGAGAAGGTTAAGCTGTAAAGAAAGGCTGACATTAGCCGTTTTTACACTCGTAGTGGCTGGCTTTGGAACTGGGATGATTGTTGGGGGAATTCGAGCAGCCGGAATAAGATCAGTCGGCCCAGTGCTGTTGCATTCCGATGTATGTGGACTCTGGTTGTTTGATGGAGAGACTCGCTCAGACCTTGCAACGCGAGCTGCTCTCAATGACTTGGCAAAGGAAGAAAGAGCTGCCCAGTATGCCGACAACTGTTACCGCCAACAATTCGGGACAGACAAAAGACGCTGCACATTCTATTATCGGGACCGTCTTCAATACGGCTCAGCAGATTTCTCGAGACCGTGTCCATTTAAGGGGAACATGTGCAGTAACAACATTACGGTCACTTTTGAATCTCCGATCATTGACGCGAGCCAACTGGGCATCAACAGCCAGACAACTCACAAGTTCCGCCGTATCACACAGTGTGCACCACTGCGTATGGATCAGCGCTTTATCCAAGCTTCCACAGAGAACGGAACCACGACGTACCGCTACTTCTACGGAGAAAAACCTGGCGCAGATCCTCCAGTCAACTACACCTTCTTAACAGTTGGAGATCCTTGGGATCGTTTGGCGCCAGTATATGACATCTTGTAAGTTAATGATATATCGATTGACTGCCGTCTGACCCCTTCAGCGCGTATAGCACGGCTTCAGAGCCTCCTCTGTGGCAACCAATCCCTGAGTTAGTGCCGCCTAACTATAGTACTGTGACACTACTATTCGTCTCCTCGCTACGGATACTTTACAGTGAAAGCAGCGATGATCCAATATTTCCGGCAGACCAGGCAGTACCTGTGACAGGTGACTCAAAAAGATGGTTTAGAAATTCGGACCCTCGCGCTCGCCCGCTCGCTTGCTTGAACCAAATCGAGATCTGTACGCCAGACGAACGACTGTGTTTACCATTTCGAAAGCCTGACGACGACACCAACTGGGAATGGACACCCGAGTTTACGCTACTCTACACATCCTTATTCCAGACAGACATCTTTGATTCGATCAAGATGCGCCAAGGTCGAGCACTCAAAGCGCAAGAAGCAGTTGCAGGATACTTCTCTACTTCGCTAGGCCATGAACCTTGGGCTAACGAGGTGGAGAATCTGGTCGCCATCGCGCATGCTCGCAGCCAGATCAACGCATGGAGTGTGGCTAGTGGTGAAGACTCCATCCACGAAACAGAAAGATACAAACTTGTGAACGGCACTCAAAACACATGCGGATTATTTAAATACAGACCACAAGGCTATGCAACCCTGAAGGGGGTGCCTCTTCTTCTTGTTCTATTTTTGACCGTTGTGCTGTGGGTACTGAGTCTGGAATCAGAGGTATTCGGCCCCGGTGGTGCTTTTCGAAAATTCTTCATAAGCGTCTGGCAATTTATCACTAGAAGTCACGATTCGGCGACGATCTCACCATCATCTAGTGCCACACAAGAGACGGATACAAGGAATCGTGCAGAAAATTCACCAACGAATAATCAGCTGCCAGTGGTACAGCCTGGGGACAGACAGCGACCGCCTCAATCCACAACATCCTCCGAATCTAGAACGCCGTCTCACACCGATACATCTAATGTTCGCGTCCCGAGCCCGACTCCACCTAGTGATGCAGCGACACCATCGGCAGCTAGCATGCCTTCGAGCAATACGCAAGAGAGTGTAGAAGCAGCGCAGTTGACGAGCACGGCTCCTGTGAGAGATTCAAACATAGGCGTGAGAGAGGACATTCCGAATGATACGGATGAGGCCGAAGTCGAGTGGAAACCACTTGTCTACTACTATCTCTTCTGGGAAGGCCCGCGATCTCTCCTCCGAAAAGCACCCATGAACCCTGCGGGAAGGAGGGAGTCAAACCCCGGCCCTACTAATTATGGTACCATTCAAGCTTAGATCTTGAACGATCGTTCAAGCGACGACGGACGATGCAGAACCCCTACTCAAGATGGGATTGTTTGACAGACTTCGCCAACTCTTGAGGCTCTGCTTTCGCTACCAATATATAGTGGTCAAGACACGGCTCGATGATAAGCCGGTTGATTGGTGGACGCCAGGCGCGCATGACTTGAATCCGGTAAAGATGTCTGGTTTTTGCCCAGTCATTGGTCACGCCTGCATGCAGTACAACGCATGTGCATATACGAGGCACACTGAATGCATCAGGCTGAACACCTCAATTGAAGTTAACTCTGCTTTACCGCTCCCTACGTGTTGTTCCATATCGCAGCCTTCTTTTCGCCTTTTTGCAACTCGCACTGGACGAGTTTCCGCATCATGTCCAGTACAGAGTCACCATGGATATGGAGCGCTGAACATCGCGACTATTACCAGGCTGTAAAAAGCCTTGATGGAACTTGGCGCTACATCTGGAGACGCGATCAGATACCGTCTGGAAGCACAGTACAGTAAGCTTAAACTTCGATGTACACACGATCCAATCACAAGCTGAGAGCACATCGCAGAACTTCTTCCAACCAAGGTCCCTACGACCAACAACAACGCAGCATTACAAGCCAGCAAGATAGCTCTGCCATATCAAACGGATACACGCCTTCTCAAGGGCCCACCTACGTACAAGCCCAGCCTAGCTCAACATTACCGTATGGACCTTCAAGCACGAGCCCATACACCACGATATACCCTTATTCCGGACCTGCCATGCCTTCGCTTGGCACACCAAATGGCACAGTACGTACCGCAGGGCCTGGCGATGAGCTGCGTCGCCACAACGACCAAGGAAATCACGATGGGATGAAACATGGGGACCAGGTCGGTGGGCACAGAGCAGAGCGAGGCGATCACTATGGATACGGCTACGGATATGGTGGTTGAAAACCAGACCATGAAGCAACGCTGCAGCTGCAAGCTTGTATGCCTACAAGATGATCTGCTCTGAAGATTTCGGGAATGGCTTTGGACCCTGAGTGAAGACATCGACCCATGCTCGAGATGCATAGCCGCGCTTCGGCGCCTGCACACATCATGTCCCTGGTGCCACTTCAGAGGATTCAAGTCGCGGTTCCAACAACGGCGTAAATCGGGTTCATAACTCCACTGAGTTCGCGGACGCTTGCCGCTACTATCATCTGCGCGGACTATTCGTTACGACCAAATCTCAGACCCACGATTCACGCGCTACTCATCCCAACAACGGCCCTCATAATCTCTCCTCCCCGTGGGCGGCCCAGGGGCACCCTCGGGTGCCTCCCTGCTATCTGCCACCACTCCGGAATCCGCACATGTCAATCGCTTAGCGGGAGCTACAATCCGTTCGCGCCACGGCCCCGAGGAGTTTGGGAAGTTGTGGAGACGGCGACATCCGAAGAAGCAGAACGGTCGGGCAACGCTTCGAGGACGCCTTTTGGCATCTCGTCACTCAAAGAGGGGAAGATATTGGAAAAGAGGAAGAAAGACGTTCCAAGCGGCACATGCGTAGGCGCGAACACCACGTTACATTTTCCAGCGAATAGGACCATGGTGGTTCACTCTAGGGTTTTGCGTTGCACCAACATGGCCCGTCGGTGCAAGTGTGACCAGGCGCAACACAACGTACAGAAATAAGGTTGGAATGGCTATTGAGCCTCTCGTTGGCGAGGCCGAAAGCCCGTCATTCCGCGATTCAGCATACAGCAACTATACAATAAACATTCATCATGCGCAGGCCCCTGACCTTGGTCCGCGTTCGACGCCAACGTTTTCCACCAGCTCCTTCTCCTGCCTGATCGGGGTATCATAGCTCCTCAATTCTGCTTCTTCTCAACCATGCCCGCCTTCTCGACCGCAGTGTCCATCGCGCTCCACCTTCTCAACAACGCCTGTATGCCCACTGGAAGCGCGCCCAGGCTCTCTGTGTACTTTGCGTACAACGGCAGCGCTACCTCGCCGCTCTCGCCTTTCTCAACCAGTCCGATTATGCTCTTCGCGACCTCAGCCGGGGAGACGACCGGACCGAAGAAGTTGCTCGGCGTCTTGAGGTTCTGGAACATCTTCGTGCCCATCTGGCCCGGCGTGACGAGTATGGTCTTGATCTCCTTGGCATCTGGGTTCTGGGAGAGCTCGGCGCGGAGAGATTGGTGGAGAGCGAGGAGCGCGGCTTTAGAGGCGCTGTAGGAGGAAAGATTGGCGGCGCCGAGGCGGCCGAGGACTGAGGAGACGGTTACGATGGTTCCGCGGCGTTCGCGGAGCATATGAGGGAGAACGGCGCGGAGGGTATTGAAGTGCGAGAGGGTGTTTGTGCGGAAGGTCCTGTCGGGTGTCAGTAGATGTAGTGGGTTGGAGAGGGAGTGACATACTGCTCGACATCTTCGGGGGTGGAATCGAGGATCGACTTTGCGCGGACCATGCCAGCGTTGTTGATGAGGATAGTTGGGGCACCGAGCTGCATGTGATCAGTATTCAAAATCGAGTTCATGGATTTGGGGACATACGTCTTCCACAATCTCAGCAACAGCCGCCTCGACCTGCTTCGCATCGCCCACGTCGCACTGGTAGTAGAGCACGCCCTTCTCCTCGGCCTCTTCGTCGTCTACCTTCTTCATGTCCAAAACAGCCACGTTGGCGTTGCGCATGCCGTACGTCTCGGCTAGCAGGCCACCCAAGCCTTCCACGCCGCCCGTGACTACAATAACCTCCTCGCTCAGATCAACCTCCCTCGGCGCACCGTACGCGAGCCTGTCGCTGAAGATGTTGAAGATGCCAACCGAGCACATGAGCAAGGCCCATGCGATTGCAATGCGCATCTCAAGCGCGTGCCACGCCGTGTACTGCGCGCGCAAACATAGAACGAGCACGCACGACACAAAGGGATGGAAGACGGTGTAGCCCAGCACATAGTGGAGCAGGTCGACGGTAACATAGCGATGCCATGGCTCGTCGGGGGTGTCGAACTTGCGCGGAAGCGACACGTTGACTTCCTTGAGCTTTGGGGCGCTCATGGTGGGCGAGCTGCAGGAGGTGTGCTGGATCATGTCCGAGGTTTGGCGGGGCGCGTAGCTGCGTCTTGGAGGGGCCGGGCCAATTGCGATGATGTAGGCAAATGGAAAAGCGAGTGAAGCTATCCGGGAGCTGTGGAGGAGGCAAGAGAACGGTCTGCAGAACGAGACTGCGACAAGGGAGACATTGGCGCTCTTATTCTCTGCCGTTGGCGTGGTGTCCTGAGGTGCAGTGCGTTTCATCCTCAGGCATAACCCGAGGGTCCCTGCTCCCCATCACATCGCTCCGAATGGCACTCCAACTACACGACCTTGCGACCTTCACTCACTTCACATTAACTGTTGAATTGGTCGCATGCGCCACAAACACTTGCCAATCAAAATCTCGCGACCTCTACATTGCCTCGTCTGTCACTCTGGAGTCGCGCTGCCATACTACTGCTGTGTGCGAGCTTTGTAGCAACGAGGCAACGCAAAATGACCGGAATCGTCACTACGTCGCAGCTTTCGCATTCGTTCTATCACTTAGCTAATCTCTCAATGAAGCTTGCTTACAGTGCAATATCCATGATGGTACCTCGCTGCAGGTCTCCTACATGCGTGCCCGACGCCGTTTCCCAATGTGTGTGAGCGCGTGTTGGTTCTTACCCTTCGAGTCAACACCACCTGCCATGGGAATTAGCATGACGATGCAAGGCTGCCATCGCTCTCCGATTCAGGGAGCCACGCGTAGCGCTCGGAAACATTCCATGCCCCTGCTTGCACTCTTCCCCACCCACATTGTCTCCCGGACAGCAGTTCTGACGATCAGTTGTTTCCACGACATACGTACCCCGGCATCGTCTTTCATCCGTCTTTGCTTTCTTGCTTCCTCCTGTCAATACGGCAGTGTCTGCCAGCCGTCAGAACATGCTTGGGCGAGTTCTCGCTCTCAGCGCCCTCGTGGCCATTGGCCATTCAAAGGCCATCATCACCAACAACTGCCGGAAGGACGTCTACATTTGGTCAGTGCCCGAGAAGGCAGACCTTGCCAACAACCTCTCCATCAGCCCTGGAAAGCGGTATGAAGAGCCATGGCGGTCCGGCACCTCCACCAATCCTGGCGTCGCAATAAAGGTCTCCACCGAGCATGACGGCATCTATACGGGTAAGAGCGAGATCAATTTCCAGTACGACGTCGATGCTTCTGATTCGACCAAGATCTGGGTCAACCTTGCCACTGTTCGCGGGAGCGACTTAGATACCGCTACGCTAAACACCTGCCACGGTGCTTACAAAAGCGCAAATGTGCCCACCGAACAGTGTTCTAGTACCGATGATATCGAGCTCGTTCTTTGCGGTTCTGAGCGTACAGTTCCATCTCGGGACAGCACCCCGATTCGTGTCATCTCTAACTGTATCGGTCTTTTGTTCGAACACGATGATCCGCTCCACCCCCGCATGTGCAGCGGTCGCGTTGTGGGTCCCAAGCGAATTCCAATGTTGCCCGACGAGCACGAGGATGACTGGCTGGCTGAATTCATCGCCACAGTACCTCTCAAGACTGTGATGCGCCGCGAAGCTGCCAAACATGCTTCCTCACAGGATGCCGAAGCTCACAACACTCCTAGTGCCCCAAACACCGCTGCTGGTGCACCGGAAAAGACTACGGAGAAATCAATGAGCTCAGGACCTATGTGCAATCTTCTTCACGAGGCATGGCCCGACGCTCATTGCGATGAGAAAATGGCCCAACACAATGCGAAACTTTTCTATCGGGACAACTGTGGGGATAAGACAAAGAACATGTTCCCCGGTGCCAGCTGCGAAGCGATCCGACGCCAGATGGAGCAAATCTATCCAGGTGTAGTGGCCAACCAGGACCACGTCGCCATGTGCATTACTCCATACTACGAACGATTCTGGCAATTATGGGGCCAAGATGTTGTGACCAAGGCCATTCTCAACAATGAAGGTTTCGTCGACCAGAGTTTTCTCCCAGGGGTTTCCTGGACTTCAGACGATGAGGTGTGCCGTAATGCATACAAGAGGATCCTACCTATTCGCAAAGCCGGAAGGCGTTGTGTAAAACCTTTCTGTGATGGCTTCCCCGGGGGTTGCAGCGACGTTGAGGACGAGCTCGAGCGCCTCTCCAAAGATGCTGGTCTCGAGATCGACTGGACTTCTTCGGATGATGAGTGTTTTTACAAGCGTGCTGTGACCGAGAACCGCGATGTCAACACCATTGTCACAACACAGCGCGACATCAACCCGCGAGTCGTTTGCATCCACCAAGCATACGACAAGCTCCTCCGTTTCCCTCTGTGGCAAGATAAGTTCGAAGTCAAAAGTTTCCTCCGGCGGGGTGGCCCGTACCACATGTACAACGATGCAGGTATTATCTGGACGTCGGACGAGGAACGATGCCAACGCCGCAGCAACCCCGTATCCCCGATTCAGACACCGTGGAAGCGGCCCTGCGTTACACCGTATTGCTCCCACGACTGCAGTGATCTCGAGGACGCGTTTAATACCATTTATGCACAAGCTGGCTTTTATGACGTCGACTGGACAACCGGTGATGAAGCTGACTTTGACCCATATCACCAGTGCGTAGAACCAAAGCATTCAACGCTCGCACCGCGTCAAGATGTCAATGTCAGCGTTGGTACTGATCACCGCTGGAATGACGTCCGCAAAGTTTGCATCACTACGGCCAACGAGAAGCTCGGCAAATACTGGGGAGCGAACCAGACTGAAGAATGGATTCCCCAGATTTTCTCGCGCGTCACCTGGACTGAGAATCTCGACGATTGCTCACCACAGGCCATCGCTGAGTCTCGAGCCTATCACCATAAGCTCATCGACAAGAAACAAAAGAAAGAAAAGAAGTGTGTTGTGGGCTGCCAGGGCAAAACTTGCAAGCGCGTCAAGAAGGAACTCAACAAGCTTTCGAACGACGTTGGCGAGATCTGGAGCTGGACCGACGACGAAAAGGTCTGCGCAAGCAACATCACCTTCGGCCCGGAAGGTCCCAAAGTGGATCGATGCATTATGGGCGAAAATGCGATCAACAGACTCTGGGGCTCCTGGGGCAATGCCCACAGCGATATGATGAATGAAATTTTCCCGGGAACCATTTGGACGGATGATGAATGCAATCTCCCCTACGATCTTGCCGCGAAGAAGTGGTTCAACGATCGCCATGTGAAGGAAAGGCGTGTACAACGCTGTGTTAAACCTTACTGCCAACCCTTCAATGCAGATTGCAGCGATGTTGAGGACCAACTTGAAGAGGTATCTAAGAACCTTGGTCGCGCGTTTGACTGGACAACGGATGATGACGCCTGTCCAGAAGATGGGGTACGCAACACTGACCAGGTCGCGCTCAACAGGATCGGATTCATTGAATCCAGTGAAGAGGAGCCCGACCTGTGCAAGAGCCTTCTTGGAGAAGCTTCTGTCGAGAAGCTTCAGAGATATTGGGGCAAGGAGTACCAGAACATGCTGGCAGATGATATCTTTTCAGACCTTCCTATTGCGACCGATTTCGATACAGATTGCGACGACCAACGATTTGAGACCGGAAAGAGATGGATCCATGATCACCGCGCAAAGAGGGGCAGGCGTTGCGTCAAGCCATACTGCCAGCCGTACAACGCAGACTGCAGCGATGTTGAGGACGCGCTTGAGAAGGTCTCCAAGAACATCGGCCAGGACATTGACTGGACAACGGATGACGACGTCTGCCCCAAAAACGCTATATATCCCGTCAATCACGTCTTGAACAATCACGATCAACACTTCTCTCCAGAGTACTGCATCCTAGCGACTTGCCAACTCCTAACTTATTCAACGAAAGAATGTGCGGAAAACCTTGACTTGTTGGAAGAGGCACTCTTCGGACAGAGTGGTGTACGTGTCAAGCTGACGGTTGACGGACCGGCGTGCAAGGGAACGAGGATGAACGAAGTCCCCCATTTTCCCCCGTCCATTCAAGCAAAGCGCCGTTCCCACAAGGTCTGTCGCCAGGATCTCTGTCGTCGCTACAGCCAGTCGGACCATGACTGCCAGAAGGTCGAGCGCAAGGTCCGAAGCTTCCTCAACAAGACGATGCAGATCGATGTGGATTTTGCAGATAGCCCCGACATCTGTGATCCTACACTTGGGCGCGCATCCTTTGAGGAGCCTATGACTTACGCCTCCAACACTTCGATCGCTCATTGAAACACCTTCTTCCAGACACGCGTCGAAGATAATCGAGATGGTTGAGTTGGGGAGCCTGGTTTTCCGGATGGCAGGGAGATGGTTCTATTTTTTTAGGAAAGGGTCACATGACAACGAGAAGGGTTTCGCACCGAGGCGATCTGTTGAGCGGGACGAATAAGATATGATTGGTAGCGTTTTGTTTCTTTACGTGTTTTTTTTTATGCGGATAGAATTTTACCAAGAGTTCTGCTTCTGCGGTATACTATCACCGGTGTCTTGTGGTTGTGTTAAAGCGACGTGCACTACCTGTTGATACTTATATCACACCACGCTCCAGCCCCATGCCTGTTTAAATCAGCACGACTTGTATCCTCGTGAAGTCGCGGCCTCGCTGTGAATGTGTCTCTACAGTATCAACCACAAGGAACAGTAGACTCGACTTATGTCCACAATAGAAACACGCACATGTCACACACGCTTCGGGCATCGAATGGTTTGCGAATCCACACTTTGTATTCAGAGACGTCATGACCAAGTGACTGACGGATGGAAATGCAAACGCCCACAAATGCTATATCCCCAATGCATGAACTAAACCAAGAGGCGCCTGGCCACCACTGTGTGGCCATGCCAACATATATGAAATCCGAAACGCCGAAGCACAAGAAGGACGCCAGTCGGAGGGTATATAACGCGAGAAGAAGGCGGCACCTGGGCAGCATAGTAGAGTAGAGAAGAGACGGAGCGAATGGACGGACTGTTGGAGCGCGTCTATCCACCTCTCCGCCCGCCCCTTCGCCCACTTCCACTCGCTGTCCTAGCCATGCTCACGCCCCCCAGCGCAGCGGCTAGACTGCCCTCGCCGTAGCGTCCCATTGGCGTGTTCCCGCCTACATCGCTGTATCCGCCCATGCTGCTCTGCGCGCTCATCGGGACACCGCCAAGCACAGGCCCATTCCCGACTTCCAAATGCGGCACCAGTGTCCTGACCAGACTCGTCGTCTCGTTGGCCGGCTCGCGGTATTCCGGCGGCTGTATCGCGTACTCCCTCGCGCGCACGGGATGGACCGCCGCCTGGAGCAACTTCTCGTTGAGCTCGTCGTCGGGACGAGCATCGCGCAGCATGAGCTTGAGATCCTGCTCCACGTCTGCGGGGGCGAGGGGCGGGGGCGCAGGGGCTGACGCATTGGGTTTCTGGAAGATTTTGGCGTCGAGGATGAAGGGCGGCGTGTACAGCGTGGGGATGGTGCCGGTCGCGAGGTTGAAGTTGGGGTGCGAGCGTGTGGCGCCGCGGGTCGCGTGCGGGTTCGACGAGACCTGGCGGCCCATATCGACGGCGCCGGGTATGTCGTCGGAGTCTTGCTCGTCGGGGGCGTCGTCGCCGGTGTCGAGGGTACGGTCGCCGTTGGTGGTGGCGCCGTTTGTACCGTTGGTAGTGGGCTCCGTGTTATCCGGCGTCTTCATCTTGGCGAAGAAGTTGGAGGCGGCGGTCGTGGCTTGGTTCATGGCCATGTTGAGCTCCTTCTCGGTGAAGAGGCGCTCGAGGGAGTAGGCCGAGGCCTCGAACTGCGTGTGCATGGTGCGGGCTTTGGCTTCGCGGAAGGGCGACGCGGCGCCGAATTCGACATTGCGGCCGGAGGGACCCGGCGAGTCGTTGTCGTCGGCCTCGAAGAGCTTCCGCTTGCGCTTGTTCTCCTGTGCGATATCCTCTGCGTCGCCAAACTTGTGGCCTGTCCTGCGCGTCTTGCGCGGCGCCTGGGGTCCGCCTGGGCTGGCGGGGTGACCAATGCTGAACTGATTGGGGTGCAGCAGCATGGCGTTACTATCCGAAAGGTCCAGTTGCTCCTTCTCGCGCTTCAGACGCATGGTGCGTGTCTGTATCGTGGCCATAAGGCGCTCGCGGATGGTGGCAGCGAGCAGCTTGTGTTCTTCTTCAGCGATCTGCACCTTGTAGAAGTGTGCGTTCTCGATCTCGTTCTTGGTGTTCTGGTGCTTGTTCTGTACGATGACAAAGTCAGGAAAATACTGCATGTGGACCGGGAGGCTTACGAAGAGCATGGTGAGATCGCGGTCGCGGTCCTCTATAGCATCATTGACGCTGTCCACGAAGCGCCCGTAGTATTTTCCGCACTGCGCAACATAGTCGGTGCCTGCACTTGGTGCGGTGAGCGCAGTGTTGCCCATAATGGACGTAATGAGCTCAGACGCCTCCTCGCCCGCATCCTCGAGCGGCTTGTTTGTGTAAGGGTCGGCCTTTAGGATGAGATTGATGTCTGCTTGCAGCGCAGCCAGCTGGGCGCGGTAGTGGCTGTCCCTGTTGTCGGAGAAGGATGCCATCATCTCGGAGAGCTTGTCGGCTAGCATGTTGCGCCGCTTGTCGCGCTTCGATACCGCAGGCTGCGGCGAGCCGGCGTGATCTAAGGCCATCGCGGGCGATGGGCTGCGATTGCGAGCCATGGTGTGTTGTAGGGGCAATCGGGCGGCTGTGGGGAGTGGTGCGTCTGCGAAGGAGCTGGAAGCTGTGGTAGCGAGCCGGGCGAGCGCTGGGAGCTTGTCCGAACGATGCAAATCTGCGCAGAAGGGAAGAAGATGTGGGCAGTGATGTCGGCGCTTCAGCACGAGGTCGCTAAAGCGTGGGCAACATGGGGGAGGGTGAGGGAGCACGGTGACGGTGAATCGTCTTGGACGAGTGAATTGCATTTGCGACCACAATCGGCGGCTGATCCCGGCGAACAGGGTTTAGCGCGCTTTTGCTATCGCCGGTTGCCGATTCGATTGCTGACACAGCGACGCCTTGGCAGGTACCACGACACTCACTCGCGACACGTACTTAAGACGGAGAATGCGATCCAGCATTTTGGATAGGTTGAATTGGATCGTAAAGTGGGACCACATTACAAATTCCATGGGACCTCGCAAGAATCATCTACACATCCTTGCCCCGCCCCTACTTCCATCCTCATCAGCTTCCCGCTGGTTCCGAATTCGCAGCTTTCACGCTACCTGAAGATGAGGCATAAATAATCCCGGGCTTGACTTTACAATTTTCTTCAGCCCTCTTCTGTCTGACCACTTATGTATGTCGTGTATCTGTGACACGGCATGTGGCTGAGATGCACAAGCTTCCAACTACGAATGCGTGCCTGTAGAAAAGTGGTCTCAGGGATGCTGTTCTGGTGTGTTGGAGATTCCAAGCTGAGGGTCTGAACTTGAGTAACGCAAGCTGCTATGGATTTGCAGGGCGTGGATATTTGGAATGTGGAATTGCGTAGAGCGATATTCAAGCGGATGCATTTCACTACCACGTAAACGACCAAACTCGAGCTACATGCATCATGCCACGTCAATCCCGTCGGAATCTCCTTACAAACTACCCACAGTCTTTCATCCTCACGAACTACTCAGCGTCCAGGTGTGCTTTTACGGACCAATGTCGAGGTACAGATGCCCGTATCCTTGATACCCAATAGTATGTGGGGGATGCTCATTGCCATCGTGCCAGTCGTTATCTCCGCCAGGACCACCCAGCTTAAGCGGCACGCCTGGAAAGGGGGAATAGTTGTGGAAGAATAGGTCGTAGTAGATCCAACCCGGTGGCGACCTGGTGTAGGCAAGGGTAAGCACGCCCTTACCTTCGATGTCAATGTCCGTTTCAAGAGGACTGATCTTGATCGCGACGCCCGGATTATCGCTCTGGGGCAGGGACACCGTTCCGTAGGGAGCTATGGCTGTAGTTTCGCTGCGATAACCGGCTTGATCGACTTGAGAGTACCACACAGGGTAGGCAAGGTGATTCTTGATAATGACTTGCTCAGCGGCGAGAGTGAGGGTAGTAAGGGCCGCGAGGGCAGAGCAAAGGGTTTGAAGGCGCATGACCGCCGTTTGAGTCCGTCGACGGCAGGGTGTTGATATCGTCGAAAGGCACAGCAGACAGGCGAGGAATAGCAGTATCGAAACCAAATGTCGAAGCTTCGAAAGGTTGAAACTGAGCTTACGGGTCGGTATCCTGGGCTTTCGTCGTCTTCTTATATCTCATCAGTCCGGGCCAGTGTATCCACGACGCAGCCCCAGGAACCTAGGAACGGCATCGTATACCAAACGGATACCATTAACACCAGTCATTAGTGTGGAACTAATGGAGGTTTATTGGGTGGCTGTACGCCAGAGCATTCTCAGAAGGTTTTGCGCCAAGCTGGCACTGCCAGTCAGTCTGGACGTATAATGCAAGAGCCCACCTTCCCCCCGGGAATGTAAGTGGGACAAAAGCGTTTAGTGTGGAGCTGTAGCACGGATGGTGGCGCTGATAGGCGAAAAGTGTCCTAGGTCGCACTGAGCCGTTTACTGAATGTCTCTGTTGCCGTATGCAAGTTTGAGTGTATCTGGACATTCGGTTGGTGCTTGAATATCTGTCAGACCAATCATTCGCACCCAGCATACACCCTGTTACACTTGATAAGTTTGATGTCCAAACATCCAGACACAGTGAAGCGTCATGCGGACAACGTCGGTGAGTAAATTATCGTCGTTGAACCTCGAAATTGGGTAGATTGCCTGTTCATTGACCGGTGCACCGTTCAAATTTGCAATGGACCTGTCAACTGTCAACATCGTGCTTACTGTGGTATCCGAGGTCTCGCAGCGAGCTGTGCTGCGTATCGTGGTCCACAATGAGCCTCATAGTATACATGAGATAATCAATAAATGAATAAGTCAATGAGGCACAATCTTTCGCCGATTGTCATCGGTATTCCTGAGTTCGTACACGTGTAAGGTGGTTCATTGTGACGGAACGCGTGCGTTCAGTATTGAGCGCAGCATGATGCGCTGCATGGCAGATCGATAGTTCTAGAACCATCAAGAATGACAAGACTATTTCTCATTTTTGAAGAGTCTTCCGACAAGCTTGTTGAAGTTATACCGTGACCAGGCGTGGCCACGGCGCACCATACTAAGTTGTTCCCCGCGTATGTGCATCATCTCCGAAGAATCGCCGCCATCACCGAAAGGTCTCCACGGGACTGGCGCCGTTAAGCCGCAGAGGACCGATGTCATACCTCGGCCCAAGCCGGCCGACTCCGCATCCTCCACATTCCGACCAACAAGAGGCAGAGCGGCGGCAATTCCGCCATGTGACAACCTTCCAGACATCTCGTTTCTGAATCCCTTTCCTTGTCCGACAACCTTTTCCGCGTGATTTGTGTTCTCAACAGCCATGTCTGCTGCTGTTCGCACATCTATGAAGATGGCATCGCGGCCACAGCAGCGCCTTGCTAGCATACAGAGACAGTTCAGCTCGTCGGCGCGGCAAAAGAAGGAAGTTAGAGATGCATACATCCTGAGCGCAAGTCGGACACCTACGGGTGTGGTAAGAATCGTGCAACTTCTGAGCACAGCATAAGCATTGACATGTGACAGTTTAACGGCGCATTTACAACCGTCTCCGCAACCCAGCTCGGTGCCACTGCGATCAGGTCAGCCCTCGAGAAGTCCAAAGTTCCCGTATCCTCAATCGATGCCGTATACATGGGCAACGTTCTCAGCGCGGGCGTTGGGCAAGCTCCCGCTCGACAAGCCGCCATCTTCGCAGGCCTGCCTACCAACATTGAAGCTACAACCGTGAACAAGGTCTGCGCATCCGGTCTGAAGGCAGTCAACCTCGCTGCCCAGAGCATTGAGCTCGGTCAGGCGGAAGCGCAGGTCGCTGGAGGATTCGAGAACATGACCCGAGTGCCATACTACCTGAACCGTGCCAGCCAGCAACCGCCGTTCGGCCACCAGCAGCTGCAGGATGGCCTCATCGGAGATGGGCTTTGGGATGTATACAACCAGATCCACATGGGCAATTGCGCAGAGAACACCGTGAAGAAGTATGGCATCTCTCGTGAAGAGCAGGACGAATTCGCCATCCTGACCTACAAGCGCGCACAAGCAGCATGGAAGGACGGCCTGTTCAAGGATGAAGTCGCGCCGGTGACAGTCAAGTCTAAGAAGGGTGAGGTTGTAGTGTCTGAAGATGAAGGCTACAACAAGCTCAAGCTGGAGAAGGTGCCGACCCTTAAGCCAGCCTTCGTGCGCGATGGCAGCGGCAGCGTCACAGCGGCCAACAGCTCCGCATTCAGCGATGGCGGATCCGCACTGGTGCTCGGTAGCAAGGACATCGCCCAGCAGTACGGCAAGGACAGCCGTGTTCTCGCGAAGATCATCACATACGCCGACGCCGCGATGGACCCCATCGACTTCCCCATCGCACCCGCCGCCGTGGTCGATAAACTCCTCCAGCAATCCGGTCTTTCCAAGTCCGACATCGCCGTGTGGGAATTCAACGAGGCGTTCGCCGCAGTCATCAAGGCCAACGCCAAGATCCTCGGTCTAGGTGTGGACAACGTGAACCCCAGAGGTGGAGCTATTGCGCTCGGCCACGCGCTGGGGAGCTCTGGCAGTAGGATATTAGTTACACTTCTGCACCAGCTTGAAGTAGGACAGTACGGCGCGGCCGCGATCTGCAACGGTGGGGGTGCTGCCACGGGCATCATCGTGCAAAGAGTTTCGCCTGACCAGCTTTGAGTGACGGAAAAGAACTGTGATACCAGCACGGCGTTGTATGCATGGGACTTAGCCAGGCAAAATGTAAATATAGGAATTGAATGTCACAAATTTCCTCCTACCGCGCTCGACTTCTGTTGTTACCCCTATCTGTCCGCTCTTAGCCATCATGAACAAGACATATCCTTGCCAAAAAGCAGATGAAAGTCATCGACGTGGGCCAGATTCGAACTGACGATCCCAAAGGAACAAGATTTCAAGTCTTGCGCGATAACCACTCCGCCACCACGCCGTCGCTATGCTATCGGACGCTTTCCTCCAGTGCTAATACATATATCCATGCCCCCAGGTTGCGAGATGACTCAGTTTGTGGTTGTCAAAGCGGTGTGGAAGGTTGGAAACGAAGAGGTGGTACAAGACGGGTAGGCGCAGTGTTGGGTGGCAGCGTGCATGCCTGACGCTACGTGGTTGACAATGCGGTACACGTTAAAGGGGCTGTGGATGTTGTGTTCAAAGGATTTGTGGACGGGAGGTTACATGGGTGGATTTGCAGTTTTGAGGCTCAGACCGGTGAATTTGTGGTTTCGGGCTTGGTGTGCTGAGGTGATTATCATCGTCTCGGCTGGCACTCGGTGCGCAAAGTCCATAAGTGAAGCTTGGGCGAAATTCAAAGCAGACTTGGTTATCTCAGACGCAGTAGAACGCTGGAGCGAAGGGCAAAGATATAAAGGTCACCTGCAAACCACAATCTCATATCAAGCTTTGCGTAAGACAAGATAATGTAGTAGCCAGGATGAATTCGAACCAGCCCATACAGATAGCAACACACCCCCACTGAGCCTACACCTTAAGCCCGCACTCACTCGACATACTATGAGCTTCTAGCGGCTCAGTCACTTTCTGGATGAATCTAAGCATTCGCTAATCTAAATTTGTGAGTATCCAGGGACTACCAGAATGCTCTAATGATGCGCAGTCCACCTGCACAGGAACGCCGCCGGATAGCGGACCCCATGTGAGGATACAGTTTACATGTACCTTGAGAAGTGAGGTGCTAGGCTGACAAGACTCTACTGTCCCGAATCACAGTACTGTTCTAGCATCCTAACATGATTCCATCTTAGGCACCACCGACCAGCGCGCGCACCACTACTCAACACCGCTTCAAGTCAGCCATCGCGAATATACGCACGTTACCTCACAGCACGTTTCAAAGCTATAAAAGTGATAACTCACGATCCTATTTGCAAATCGTCAAAAAGTTCAAATCGAGAATTTAGCTTCTCATATTGCTCCCTGTGCAGACTCTTCAAAGGCTTGAGTACGTTCCTGATGCAGCCTTTCGGGGACACGTATGGGTGTTGTTTTTTGGGGGTTGTTAGCGGGAGTATGCGTCCGTAAAATGATGGCCAAGATAGACTGCGACGACTGCCTCCCAATAGTAAACAAAAGAGAAGTGTTGGAGATGGTCAGACGGAGGTTGTATAAGCACGCTACGCTTAGTATCCTTGGCCACTTCTAGTTAACGTAATAGCAATAGAGATGAATAGTCTACAGGTCTCTAGCTACCTATATGTCTACACTACCATAAATAAACATTGAAGCAATCAACACCATGGATACCATAGGTACTACAACACTTGAGGTCTGTAGTCGAAATAAACGCTGTAGTATCATACTGGAGTTAATCTAGCATTCGTGCCGCGCATATGGCAATCAATGCCGATTGGCTCGTCGCGAACACGCACCGGGGGAAACCAAACCAAAAGCAGCCCAAGCGCACTTCCTTCGGGAGTCCACCTGGAGGCAACGTACCTGGGTAAACCCTTCCAAGGCGCCAGCCTTGATTAGACGACCATCAGACGCAAGTGCGTACTCGAGACAGTCGAAGGAGCACCATGGACGCATATGCAATCTCCAGATCGGACGTTTTCGATGTCCGCGCCCTGTTAGCAGCTAAGAGACTCCCAAATGAGCTTGTCCTTGCTATCCTCGACCATGCCCGATACTGGGTGGAGGTGCGACATGAGAAAGCCGTTCTCGACGCCCTCGTGCACGACGAACATTCTTTGGAATTCTCTGCTGCATATCCATACATGGTGATACCGACGACGACAAGTACGCACGGTCCTTCTTCAGAGGTCTCGAAGCTCAGGGAAATTGAGATCATTCTAGTCAGCCATGGTACGCTCTGGTCACCGATGACATTCAAGATTTGCCTGAACAGCTGACTGATGGTCACAGATCAAGGATGGTCGACCACAGGCACGCGCCACACCTACCAGCAGTCGTCGTCATTCTGGGAAGCATCTATACTCAGACCAATCGCGAACGATGATGTAAACCATGTTCCTAGGCTGATGACTAAATTCGAGGAGGATCGTTCACGCAACGGAAACTACCGCAGCGTTGAGTCAGCGGCACAGGCCATAACCCCAGAGAACTGTACCATTTGCTACGTCGACCTGACCAGGACATGGAACCGCAGCGACTTCACTGTCGCGAGATGATAGATCTGACCATGGATGAAAAGGATCCAAACGACAAATATCTTGAAGCTACTCAAGAAGGGGAGCATGCGTGGTTTCTGCAGTGCAATGTGGTCGCGCGGGGCGTGTCATTGTTTCACGGTGAGATGGTACCGAGACACCACATCATCTGGAGCTGTAAGAACCACCCGCGCTGGGTTGGAAATGATGGGTCAGGACAAGGTGAGGGTTTCGTTGATGCAGTAAAGCCTGGTGACTGCATTGTACTCTGGACGAGGATCAAGGTAAGTGTCCAGTCGAAACACAACGACGACTGGCTTGGCAGACCTTTCCAGCTGACACCACGAGCAGAGACAATTTTGGGAGAATCATGCTTACGGTGTTCACGTGAAGCATCGGTATACTATCTAGCATTTAATCACAGCCTACTGCTCCCTAAATGCTACTTGCGGAAGCAAGCACGCAGCATATTTCGTGCGGAAAAGCGCATCGACTCTCGAATATGCTCATCCAAGCTCGAGGGTGGCGCACCCGATACGACTTGCAAGAACGACCCATATTCATCCTTACCGACCTCGACGGCTTGCATGATGCACTTCTGCCAGTCGAAAAAATCCCGTGTTCGAAACCGCACGTGCCTTGGAAGGTTTGCACATGCGACTGGGTCTCAGCTCGATCGATGGTTTCCGGGAGCGCACTCCGTTCGCTTCAAATCCAGTAACTCGAGGTCTTCCAGACCATTTGGTCGTCTCTCAGAACGATCTTCAACCAACCTCTCGCAAGCCTATGTCAGGCTGTATTTTGTACCAGGAGCGGTAGCTCGCGTGCAACACCAGCTACCAGTGTTATACTGTTAGAGAAGACTCGCATCACTTTTCTCTGCTGCACCTTAGGAGAATGACTCGTAAGATTCCAGACCCAAAGGATTCATCCTTTATCGCCGTGCTGGTCGCAAGCTCATAAGCATATGACCGGGAATTCCTTGTTGCTTTTGTTTCGGCAAATGACTTGGTAGAGTGAACTTGTGATGTCGACCGAGTAGAGAGGACAACTTTTCATACGGATTTCAGCCGACTTCGATTAGCGACCCAGTTGCAAGTGGATGGTATGTGATGCTTCACAAGAAGAAATTTGGTACAAGGAGTCGATCAAGATGCTCACAGCCATAGGCTGTCTCTGTGCGCTCTCTTACCTCGCCATAGCGCCTTCTGACAGGCTTTATGGACAACACTGTGGGTAATGCATGCATCGTATCCATCTTTATAACGTCGAGGAGATTTCATCTTGTCTTCTTGCAACCGACAAGCCATTCCTAAACCGGCCACATCTTTGGTCACAAGAACTCTCCGCTTCCCTTCACACATAACTGCTGAAACTTAGGTACTCACAAAGTGTATTCAGAGCATACGCCTTCCGCTAAGCTCTAAACCCATAAAATTGGAGAGTGTGCATTGTGGAGGTCCATTCAGAGGAGATGGAATGACTGTGTGCCCTGCTAGTTGCAGAACAGCGACCCTTTACACCTTCCCCGCTTCATCCAGCGGAATGTGCAGACTTCCTTGGAACATGGAGGTCCTTTTCTGCACTGCGCCCGATCGGAGACGCATGGGGTGGGCGGCGAAACCCCGATGTTCGTCGTCTTCGAATAGCCATCAAGCTGGCCAGATCACGAGGCTTAACGGAATTTGGAAGTTGGAGGTCAGCTTGCCATGGCGGCTGTGCATTGCAACATACACTAACTCAAGGAATCACCACTGCAATCCCTCCAAGATATACATATATATATTTTACATTTCAACGTCGCTACCTTCCCTCCAACCTCAAGCGGTCCAATGTCCTCCCCTCGTCCCTCCTCGCGACCAAAAACCACAGACAGCTAATCCAGCATAGCACGACGCCGGTCCAGGAATGGCTCGGCATTTTGAACAAGCTGAGCATAACGAGCTGGAACGCGCTCCTCGGGACCGCCACAAACGTCGCTGTAAGCGGGCTCGTGGCCTTGATCAACAGCAGGGTGGATACAAACACGGCGAAGCTGCCCAGCGCGCCGCACCAGATCATCAGCCAGAAGAAGGGCACGTCGAGGAAGGGTATGTTGCGGATGATGTGGGGGATGCCGCCGGAGAAAAGGACGATGGGGGTGAGAAGCGTGATGGAGAGGAGCGAGGTGTAGTGCAGGACGCGGTAGTAGGCGCGTGTCTCCTCACGATTGGAGGACGAGTCGTCGGCGGAGGAGGGGTAGCCGGTGAGGACGTCGCCCTGGGGGACGAGGTTGGAGACGAGGGTGCGGTAGGTGCGTAGGAGCATGATGGGGTAGAGGGCGACGAAGAAGGAGGAGAAGACGCCGGCGACGATGGAGTCGGGGGTGACGCGCTGGTGGGAGCGGTAGGAGGCGAAGGAGAGGAAGAGAGTTGCGATGAGCGCGGAGGAGAGGGTGGAGCCGCTGTGGTTTTCTTTCTGGATGACGGCGGAGAAGATGAGGGCGAAGGGCACGACAGGTATACGGGCGAGCTGGTAGACTGGCAGGGGAGCATAGCTGTGTCGTGTTAGAGGCATCAGCGCAAGCATAGGGAATCCTTACGCAAAGGAAACGTTGCTCAGCAACACTTTGAAGCAAAAGACAACGGCGAGCGGAAGCACCTGCTTCGCTACTTGCCAATCGAATTCGAAGAGACCGCCACCAGCGATTCCTCCAGAACCGTTGGTCAGCCACTTGGTGATGCTCAGGAGTGTGCCCTGTGGCTTGGGTGGATTTCTGAACGAGGCGCCGGCGGGTGCTAGTGGAAAAGCAGGCGCAACTGCGGCTCCAAGACCTAGCCGCCGGAGAGGACTTCCGAGGCCGCGCGTGAGGCTAGAGAAGCCTATGAGAAGAAGATGCGTGAGGACCAGCTGGACGTATGTCCCAGTGAGCGGGAACGGAAATCTGCCCTTGTCAGCATGCGCGTCAACCAACCGGCAGGCATGGCTTACTTGTAGACGCCCGTCAGCATGATGAAGCGGTTCATGAGCAGCAGCCCGAAGCCGCACCCGCCGACCCAGAAGACCAGCAATGCCACATAGACCTGCCAGCCCATCCAGGTGCCATAGAAGAAGCCGCCGAGCCCCCCTTCGCTCCACAGCCCTCTGCGCAGGCTTCCTCTCCCGACATTGGGATTGACCAGCGGGCGGATGCTATCGGCGGGCTCGAAGTCGTCGTCCTCGTCCTCGCTCTGGACTGCGCTGCGACTGCGCGGGTAGGGCGAGTTGGAGCGGCTGCTGATGTCTATGAGGGGCACCGCGGGCTGCAGCTCCGAGAGCGAGTTCTTGCTCGAGTGGCTGAGGCGTGAGGCGTCCATTTGGGCGTATTGTTCTATGTCTGAATGGTCCGTATCATCGAGCGAGCTTGCGCTGTTCTTGCGACGGGCCGCGTACGCGTCTGGCTTGGTGGGTTTGTCGCGGGCGACGTTGTTCAGGTAGGAGAAGGCGGGGCGGAAGATGTTGTTGGCGGTGCGGGTGAAGGGGCGCGAGGAATTCATGGCGTCCGCATGGCCGCGGAGAGGGAGGAAGGCATGGTCGTCTGGAGGCTGAATTAATTGTCGTTTATCGCGCCGGAAGGAGTAGCCTAGGGTTGTGCTGCAGGGAGGCTTGGCGCCAGGGGTCCGGCGATCTTCATCACGACAGGAACCATCGACCAGCTTGTGTGCAACATGGACGGGCGGGATGGGAACTATGTTCGACATGGAGAGGAACCGGGCTTGTATTCCGTGAACAATTCCCCGTCATATCTCGTGACGCTCACGCAATCTGATCCATCTCTCAAATTCGCCTTGCAACATCCTGCGCCGCGTGGCATTCTCTCTCAGGGACGACATGGCACTCTCGCGAGCCAGAACGACTCCAAGACAAGTCTGCACCCCTCAACGTCAAAGTGCACGTCAATTCTCCGTCAAGGAGGCGGCAGAACTGACAGGGATGGAGCCTAAGCGCGCGGCAGCCCGAGCTTCTGGCCCCACCCGCTCTCGCCATCAGCGCCAGGAACAACGGACGAAAGCCGTACATGATGCTGCTTTTCCGCCGTGTCCGCGTGCTGCAGATGCACTAGCGTGTGGCCGAAGCTGGTTGCTTAAGGAGAGTCCAAGGCTGTCACGCTGTAATGCGCGTTGCAAGTGTGGAGCAACGAAACGAAACGCGTGTAGACCCTGGCTGCTGCGAGTGGCCGCATGACATAACTGGCCATACATCTTTTCGGCCGCCTCACCTCCGCCCGCGCCCTCTGTTGCTGTGACCGAGCCAATCTGCTCGACTTCTCTGATACAAGCCAAGTGATCGCTCGAATACGAGGCACGCTGCCCAGAGTTGTCCTCGCCATATGCGCCAGCAGCTGCCGCCAGCCCATCGCTGCAGCGAGGCGTTCGGCCGCGCAGCTTGAGCTATGGCGAAAGGTCCAGACGTTGTCATCGTCGCCCGGTATGCTTTTTCCCTCACCCCACGCACCCCTCCCAATCAGCTCCGACTAACACGTCCGCAATCCAGACACGGTGCCCGCCTCGACGCTGCCGACAAGCAATGGCATCTCACCTCGCCCACCCCCTACGACCCTCCCCTCACCTACGGCGGCTGGTCCCAAGGCAAGGCCCTCGGTCTGCGCATCGCTTCGCTGCTCCATGCGCGCGAACTGGAGAAAGCCAAGGATACGAGTAATGGCCCAGAGCCAGGCACGGCGTGTGTCAGCTCTGGTGCATCCAAGAGTGCCAACGGAGCTTCTTCGGGCACCATGAAGCGGAAGCACAAGATCATCATTCACTCGAGTCCCTTCCTGCGATGTGTGCAGACAAGCACAGCCATCGCGGCTGGTATTTCCCAGTTTAGACCTCCAAAGGACGAGCCTCCACCATCAGCCCCGACATTGAAGGTGCCCCACCACTCCAAGGAGAAGAGCCCCTTAGGAAAAGACCCCTCCACGTCGCCAGCCGTACAAACAGTTAGCGGCAGGCGAGCAGAAAAGTCCGAGCCTGACTCTCCCCCAAAACCACGCAAGTCCGGCTGGCTGCGATTGAACAATCCTGCAGTCAACACAAAACCGTACATCGGGCCCGAGAAGATACTGCTGCGCATCGATGCTTTCCTCGGCGAGTGGTTGTCCCCAGACTACTACGAGGACATCACACCCCCGCCAAACTCTACCATGATGGTTGCAGGCGCAAAGGCAGATTTACTGAGGAGGAGCGACTACGTTGAAGCCCCGCCCAACAAACCTACCAGCGTGGGTCATTTCCCTGGTGGCTGGGTTAGGAGCAATGTGGCGTCTACGGCTAGCAATCGTACGAACCCAGGCGAAGGCACGTTTCCGTCAATGGGAAGCTTGGCCAGAGCGCTGCCTCGTGAGCGCTCCAATAGCCAAGGGGCCATGCTCAGCAGACAGCGCTCGAGATCGGAAGATCCTCACGCCCCGGCCGAGCTTACAGTAACACACGAACCCAACGGTCGTCTTTACGATGCTCCTGTCCCATCGTATGCCGTTTCACCAGCGGAGCCCATACCTCGGGGATATGCCACCCATGCTCGAGACGCTTGTCTCAAAGTAGACTTCCAATGGGACAGCATGAGGGAACCGCAACAGTGGGGTGACGGCGGCGAGTTTGGTGACGAGTGGAGCACCATGCACAAGCGCTTCCGGCGAGGGCTCGCTGGCATGATGCAGTGGTACAGGGAGCATGGCACAAAAACGCTGCCGCCTCAGAACATGTTTCCTGGATTTACCTTTTCCGAGCGCACTACTTCTGCGCCTCAGAAGGCTGAACCAACACCGTTGATGCTGAAGCAAAACGAAAAGGAGAAGGGCGAGGAAGGGGATGATGACGAAGAGCTCGTGCTGGTGCTGGTAACCCATGGTGCGGGCTGCAATGCACTCATCGGTGCCATCACCAATCAGCCAGTGCTCATGGACATCAGCCTTGCAGCGCTTTCGATGGCGGTGCGAAGAGAGGTGCCGCGAACAACATCATCAAACAATATCTACGCCCGCCGGTCATCCGTCGTGGATCCAGGTATGGCCGATACATACGAGATGAAGCTGCTCGCCTCCATCGACCACCTTCGTCCTGGCGTCGACCCATCCAAACCCCCACGATCCCAAACACCGACCGCAGCCGCCAGTCCAACCATCGGCCTCGACTACCGACCGCCGCGCCGCACGGGAACGGGAACAAGCGGGACTAGCACTTCCACCAGCCAGCTCGACTCCCTCGCCCTAGGTCCCTCGGCTCGTTCAGGCTGGAACAGTTCCCTCGGCAGCATCCGACGCACTTCCACTTCAGGTTCGGGCTCGTTCATGACATCGAACACTCCGAGCGGCTCAGTGTCTCCGAGCACGCCCAGCGGCTCGGGCCTGTGGGGCGGCAGTCTGCGCTCTATTTCCTTGAACGACACTCAGGCCGACGGCCGCGCCAGCCCTGGCGCCGAAATGGTCGAAGCATTCCAGAGATCGCAGCCGAGACAGACACCGAGACCGCCTCCGCCCACTTCGACTCCCAACGTCGACGGCGCGGCATCCCCCGAGGCTGCTGCGGAGAACGCACACGAAGAGATCGAGAAGCACGATGACGTTGCGCCGCTGAGTATACCCAAGCGGACACCGAGTGCGGCAAGCAAGCCTAGCGGCGCTGCCGCAGGCGGGCTTTGGGGCGCGCCGAAGAAACAGGAGAGTGGGAATGGACTGTGGAAGAATAGCTCTGTCATGTGGGGCCCGCCGAAGCTGGATGAGGTATATGAGCACATCGCAGGGCCGAAGAGGAGGTGGACGATGACAGAGAGGGAGTAAGGACTGTACTGTTTGGATGGAAAAAGTTGAGTCTTATTGGTACGAGCATATAGCGATGACGGGAAGCTTTCACGATGACGAGACAGGGGAGTCTCACTTGTGTAATTACTGGGCATTGCTACGGTGTTTGAGACCGGGTGGGAAAGGCCCCGGCACTTTTGTTTCTTTCTTGGTGGAAGGAAAAGTTTATGATACCACTGAAAACCATCTATATCCCTTGCGGTCGACGTTGTGCGAAGCCGGCCGCGAGGGACATCAAGTCAAGTCCAGTTTCCTTTTCGAACACACACGCCGAGACCAATTTCCTATTCCGTATCGAATGACAATCATAGTCTTGGTTCAAGGATTCATTTAAGGAGTTCAGCTCGAGAACAGAGCGCAGGAACATGAACGTCAGCGTGCAGCCTTTGAGTTGGGTTATAGACGACCAAGTCCGAGAGCAGGGAATGCATCGATGGTTCTTGTATGGTTTTTTGAAAGTGGGGACCACGCCATGGTGGTGCTGATCCTGGACTTAAGGAGACATCTGGGGACACACAATGTCGATTAGGATCATCGTCTGGGAAGTCATCCGCTGGACACATTCTGTAAAACTGCGATGAATTGGTATGAGCTGGGAGATGCGAGAACGGCGTCAACAGCATGGACAAAGGGATGAACGTTTGAGATACCGGCCGCAGAGGGAGGAGCAGCAGGTCTCGTGAAAATATGATAACCCGTTTATCACGTGAGTTTCTGGAAGTGGCTTTGGCATATGTGAGCTCTCATTCAGAGAACGAGTTTAGGGCGATTCGCATGTATCTTCCGCACTAGAATTGCGAGAAGCCAGAGCGGGAAACATCATATTTTGGTGGTAGGACTTCGAGAGCATAGGCACAGCCATATCTTGCTTGTACTCGGTGGTTTCGTTCAAACGAGTCTGACGCTTTGGCAAGGTAGTTCAAATCCGGAATATATGTTGGAAATCAGAATGAGTCCAAAATGTGGCGTACCAGAGACATAATAACGCTGACCCAGTATTCTTTCAGAAAACCAAGTTCAGCGGCATTTTCGGGACCTCTTCGGGTTTCTCGTGAAAATCCTCTTGTTACGAATCGTAGGGGAAAGAGACGGAGGAACAGTAGAGCGCCAAAAGACAATATCAAGCCCGTGAGTGCCAACTTGTGTGAATAAGAAGAGTAAGGGCACACTGTTCATCGAAGAACACGCAATCTTTGTCTCTTCATGGTGCTGTTGATGGCCGAGCAGCAGACATGGTCCGTTTGGTATGAAGCGTTCTCTCCAATGTATCGCTCCGCGAGAGCAAAGGAGAGAAATCCGACAACGTTGATTAGTTCTTGCTAGATAATGAACACGTTTGAATTTCTGGAAAGAGCTGAAACTCCCATGTAAGGCTCTTGCGTGTCTCTGAGTGCCATCAATAGAGGACCGAGCGGCTCAGAGATGCCATTCCGAGCTATTGTGAATGTGGTCGGAGCACAGGAGATGTAGTTCCTAGCCGAATTGATATCTCAAGAGGAGAAAAATGAATAAGACACTCATGAGCTTCACTCAGTCGAGATTTCTCGAGAAAAATGTTCTTGTGTGCACTTGAGCGTTGGTTTCCATGAACAAATACGACCCATATATGGCATCCATGGCAATGTTGTTTTGATGGACGCGCGGTAAGGGCGATCAGCAGGGCATGGAGAACTTGCCTTTGCAAATGTAGACCTAAGAAAGAGGGGAACACCCAAACTCAACGCCTAAAAATGTCTGGCGTTCCATGGCTCTTAGTGGCGCGTTTTTGGGGTGTCTTTTGGGTGCAGCGGACCAGAGCTCCAGGGATATCAAAGCCAAAGAAGCGCTTTGAATTTGTAAAGGCATGAGTCTGCCCAAGGAACATTTTGTGGTCATACAGTGGATGTGAAAGACACGAAACAACAACGTCATGTACTATCTCGTTCTTTTTTTTTCATCACTAGGTGCTTCTTTGAGAAAATTCTTTAGGTCTGAAATGACAAGATAAAAATATTATATGTGCAAAACCGTCGATGCAACGTTCCCATTCCATGACAGCGTCTTCACACCCGATCGTCAGCCCTCATGTTTGTGTGGCCCATGTCATCAGAATTAATGTCCAGCGAGGCATTGCGTAGATCATCTTCATCGTCCTTGATGCCGGTTAACTTGGTGACGATGACAGCGGCAAAGGTATCACAGCTGACATTGACGGCCGTCCTGAAACGGTCCAAGAACCAATCAATGGCCACGACGACCGCATACATGCCCGTTACTTCAACACCAATGCTTCCAGCAATCATAACCGTAAGCACCAGACTTGAGCTCGGAATCGGAGTAGTACCGATGGACGCCATAGTCGATAGCAAAACCACTATGATGTAGTCGATAGCATTGAGAGTGATGCCTTGAGTCGCGGCAAGGAACACAACGACGATGGGGAAGTATATGGCTGTTCCATCCATGTTGATGAGACAACCGAGAGGTACGGCAAACTTGGTGATAATTACTGGGACGCCTTGTGCAAGCACGCAGCGGAGGGTGACTGGCAATGTCGCAGCACTCGAGGCGGTCCCCCATGCAGTAATCCAGGCGGGGCTGCATCGAAGCCACAAGGCATAGGGGTTCTTGCGCGTAAAAGCGAAGAAAATGATCGGTATGATGATGAAGAGATGCAAGAACATGCCGACCAGAGTACCGCCAATCAGAATGCCAAGATTGAGTCCAATTTCAGCCAAGTCGAGCTTGAAGAGGTTTGGCATGATAAGAAAAAATACACCCATAGGCGCAAAGTAAATCAAGATAGTGATGACGCGGATGATGATCTGTTCGACCTCCTCAACGGCGCGCATGAGTGATCCATTTGGTTTGATGACGTATCCCAGAACGATGGCAGTGACTAAGACAGCGAGGAGACTGTCAGTAGCGAGGGCATCGACGATGTTTTGTGGAATGAGCGAGTTGAACATGTCGACAACGACTTCGTGGATTTCAAGATCTGCTCTTTCTTCAAAGGTTTCCTTGTCCTTGTCGTCAATGCCCAACTGCTGATCGCTCACTTTAACCATGAGCTTAGACCAGACTAGACCGACGAGCAGGCATGAGTGCGCAACAGCGATGATGGTGGTGATAATGTAGTAACCAATCGTCCACAGAGCAAGCTGAGCTGCTTTGCCACCACCTTGGCTCAAGTTGCGTAAGCGCTTGATTGCCAAGATCATCGCGGTCACGATCATGGGCAAAACGACCGCTCTCAAGGCACGCAGCCACAGGGTACCTGGGATGGCGAGAAGGGCGATTGCTGCTTGAGGAACTTCGTCGACTTGTGTGGTAACGATGAGACCAATAGCAATGGCTAACAGTGCAGCAAAGATGATTTGCCATACTGATCCGGGCTCAAGAACGCGCTGCATGAAGGTCTTCTTGGGCGGCGGTACTTCCTCTATGACGGTCGTCTCGGGCGTAAGGCTGGATGAAGTCTCTTGTGCTGATGGCGCCTGAGCGGCTTTGGTGTCTTTTGGTTCTTCCATTCTCATCAAGACAATCGGCCTCTGCAAAGTATAGTTTCGATGCTCTGAAGAATATCAGCGATGAATAACAAAGGCACCATCGCAGTCGCACGCAGCAAGCCATCTTATACTACATCAACTCTCACCACGCCAAGCGCGTTTACGGTAGCCCAGAGATAACAATCTTGCTCCTGCTCTCTTCATACTCAGTCTTCATTTTGACCTGGTCGGCCGCCCCGCGCATCAAGGATCTCAGTGTCTTGGGCGGCTTGAGTTTCGCCTTGGTATGTCCGCAACATCTAGATTTTTTTCACACCCTTGGGGGACTAACTTGGTATCCGATTGCCGGTTTCCGACTTGTCGAATGCTTGGGGGCGTGCTCTGGCGCAGAAGCGAGAAAGCACGACTAGCTCAAGAGAAAAACGGCCTTGGAGTGAGGAGTGGAGAGTCTTGGCCTGTGGCGCGGAGGACTGGGCGGGCATGGCGCTGGTACCCGGCAATAGGCAAGGAAAGCGAAAATTAAAGATGAATGCATGGACACGAAAAGGAGAATAGAAGAGGAGACGCGACTTTGATATTCGGCTACGATCAGCTGCTGAATTTACTTGGTCCCGATGCGTCGCTTACCCTACGTGATGCCTTTTTGACAGCGGTGCGTGTTCGCATAATGGCGATTATATAATGATGATGATGAACACTACGTCGTGCAATAAAAGTGAGATGGAATGAGAGGCTGTGACGTGTGTGGTTGTTGAGGTGTCAGCATGCAGGAGATGGAGGTAGCGAAATGTTTGCTTCCTACAATGACGCCCTGCTCCAAACGATTGGCATCCAAACGCATCAAAACCATATTCAATTATCCAAAATCCCGACGCCACCCGATAATAATCGTAGGTACGGAGGAGATATAGTGTCTTCTAAAGCTCATTCTCATGACCTTTTCGCTTCTTTCTACCAGCAACAGCTCTCTCAGGAAGCTCTTAAGAGCTCATTTCCAGTCCCATCAAATCAAAGATGGATCCTTCGGCTCCTTGGTCCAGTTTCCGCTGAGTCTAAACTCACCTCTGAATCTGGTTGGACGTCTGATAGATCTGCAAACTCCGAGAGAAGTTCAGGCATTACAGTGTCCAGACCTGACTCCTGCCCTAACGACTGATACCCAGAATCGTAGCCTTGGTATACGCCGTATTGGCTTGGTTCAGGCTGTTGCTATCGTTGATCTCAAGCAATCCTTCCGTTAGCCATTGTTTGAAACTGGAAGTTGTATGGGTTTCAAGGTTGAAGACATAGCCATCTGGAATGCCGGGCGGATTCTGGCATCGCTGCTGCTACATTGCGCCCAGTCTGGAGATATGAGCAGCGCAAACGACTATTTGACTGGCTTACGGTGCTGGAGCTTTCCCCTAGATTATTCGCAGTGCTAGTTATTGATAGCTTCAATCCAGAAGCAGCATCGGCCAGATGTCGAAGCTGCACTTTGTTGCCATTGAACGGAGGGTTGAAGTGGTGACGGGGTTTTGAAATTCCATAGTCTGGTAGCAGATCAGCAAGTAGTGTTGTGTTGGCAGGCTGCAGTGAGGGAAAATTAGGAAACAATACATTGAGTTGCGATTCCAGTCTATTTAATATCCGATTACCTATCACTGCGTCGTCCAGTGTGTGTCTAGATTCTTCCCCTCCTCGTACAACCAATTTATTACCTCTCCTCACCCTCGGCCTCTTCCAATTGCCTCTCAGACCTCTTAGCGCCTAGCCTTACTAACCGCATTCATATGCCTCGGTATTTCATCAACTGTCCAATCCTTACACCACAATAGTCGGGTTTCCCCCACCGTGTAAGAACTTACAGGGATCTGGTACAGGGGCGCCTTCTGTGAGGGCAAATTTATGACGGTAAATGCATCGCCACCTATCTTTTGCGGAAATCTTCTGCCCTACTGTCACAGAATTTGCGAATGGTGAGTCCCGCTCATATTTCATCCACTCTGATTCTGACTAGTCCGACTCTCTTGGCTAATAATTGCCAATACTAGCATAGAACTGCTGAACACGTCCCAAAACGGCCTTGGTCTTCCCGCTGAATCTCTGTTTCAATGTAACACAACAGGGTACTCGTAGTGAGTAATCTGTTTCGAAATGCTCACTTGAGCTCTTGTCAGTGCTCAATTATAGAAGACGGTGAATAATTCGATACCTTTAGATACGCACAATAGCCTCGCTGGTGATTTGAAGCCAAAACGTTCTGTGCAGGCGTTTGCTACCTAATCGTATCGTCCTGGATTGTGTTCTGCAGAAGGAAAAGCTAGGTTAACCACAAAACGTGACGCAGGATCAACATGGTGTCCTGCAAAGTTGTTGTTGCTCTCACTCTCTTACATCGAGACTTGAGACGAGTCGGATCTACATGCGTCGTTGCGACATCTCCCTCGAGGAACTTTAGAAGTACTTGCCGCATTGGGAAGGCTAGCGTATTTGTCTGCAGTGTGGGTTGGACCCTCTTGTTTGTTGTCTTATCACTGATCTTGTGCCAGCTGCCAGCGTGCTATCGGCGTCCAGGAAACTTTTCTCAAAACTTTCCTCTGGATCAACTTCTAGCCCAAAACGCTGATTTCAGACGTCGCAAAGTTGTAAAGCGAGGGGAAGTGCTAAGAGTCGCAGCTGCGATGCACACTAGATACATGCCATCAGTCGTATGACTGAGATCAAGAAGCACTTACCCAAATCGAAGCACGGAATATGAGGTCTCAGCCTTCCTCCCTACGGGTATGCAAAAGTGGGACAGGTCCCGTAGCTTGTGCACTGCCTACAGCGCATGCAGGAATGAGAGGCGTCAATTGATTTAGATTCCAGTGGATGAAGTTCCATATTAGCTATATATTGCAAGATCAGATTAGCATTGCAGGTGCGAAGGTAGGGGATTGTAGGATCGCGTCCGCGATTGCTGTAAAACCGGTCCTGTAAGCATCGCAGGCGCGACGGCACTAACTCAGAGCATCGCGGCCGCGATCGATGCATGGAAGGCCATTGAGGAAGCGAGTTTGGTAGTTCGATATGGCTTGAATGTCTATTGCCACGTTCAACAGTACGTTTCTTTCCTTTCTTAGTTCTCTTTCCCGGCCCACCATCCAATGGATACTACGAATGTGATCAACTCAGTCCGTACGACTTAGCTCGATGTTGTCGTTCGAAACCAGAAGGGCAGATTGTATTTGCATCATCTTACAATGTGAAGTGATGCTTCATCGGAAGAAACGTTGCTCCGGATACGGAAATTGAACATCAATGAACTTGGCCGATTTTACGCACTGTGTAGGTGAGGATTCGGTCTACGACGACAAGTGACATGCAAAGGATGCCTTTTCATGGGAGGATTTGACCACGAGCATGTGTTCAATGCTGGCGCTTGATGAAGAGCTAGCACATCCAGTCAATAACTTACAGCACCATCTCGTCTCATCCCTTTGAAATTGCCATCGTTTTCATGGTCCGATCCGCTGCCTTCCATTGCCCTCATCTTCTTCGATATTGCGGACCCTTCAGACTTAGCGGCCCGGAGGTGTTTTCAGCTACTTCGTTAAAGCAAGCGATTGCAATCAACCACGAGCCCGATAAAAAGGTTGTTGCGTGGCTTCCATGCATCACGCTTATCGCTTCGGTCCTTAATTGAGTTGTTATTTGAGTTCAAGTTGAACTGCGCTGAACTTGGAAATAGCTATCACTGCTGATCTCTTCATTATGATATCCATAATTGAGATGCTTGCGATATGGCTATGTAGCTAAATGCATGTATGAGCGAGAGCGTGTAGATGTCCAGTGGTGTTAGAATATCGTGGTATAGACGTTTGAGCCTGTGAATCTCGCTTTGCTTTTACAACTGGGTCCAAAAATGCATTACCCATTATTTGTACATATCATGTCGCAAGTACGGCTCCATGAGCTGCGTTTTTCGTTGTCCGTGGCCTGCGGATCTGCTTCCCTGTACCAGTGCCAACAACTGCTTGGTAGAGCTCGAGAGTCAAAGAACAGCTCGACAATCCCATCATTATGGCAGCGTGTCGAATTTACGGTCATCAAGCGCATGCCTGCTACCGCTTCGCGCTCTAAGTGAGGCGTTCATTTCTCGTCATTCTCCAAACTCCAGCGGGGGCTCTGCATTCACCTGAAAGGTTGACACGATTCTACGCGTTTCCCTAGTATCAAAACAAACCGCGCCTTCCTCACGTGGTTTCCAGGAGCGGTATAAATCCCACCAGGACTGGAGATTCTGCCGCGTTGGCATGACGCGACAGTATTCAACCCGCACAGAATTTCGGCACCTGCCCTTTCGCACAGCACATCACTCTCGCCGCAATTTTCGAATTGTCTTTACTGTCGCGATCACAAGCACTATTTCTTAGCAAACTCGCTGCAGCCGTCGTCGCCCTCACTACAGTCACATCACGCTCCACGACTGTACCTAAACCTCCGTACTGACCACAGTCACACCAACCCTCCTTCGGTATGGCTCCCAAGCGCAAAGCTTCAGAACAACCCTCCGTCCATGGAGGCACTGCTATTAAGAAGCCACGAGTCACCGGCAAAGGCGCCGTCTCTTCGCTCGTCCCTATCGGTGAGCGCAAGATGGCTAAGAAAGGCGTTGTCGAGCCAGACATGCTTCGGATGCTTTGCGAGGATCGAGACAAGAACAATGAGCGCAAGGAGCTGCACTTCAAGAAGATCATTCACGCCGATATAGACTGGGACAACAAGGAGCACATCGACAAGATCAATGCGTGGCGCAACCAGATCTACGGCCGTGCCGGCATTAAGAACAAGACTGTCTTGATGTGGCACAAGGACGAGGAGGCATGGATCGAGCTGTTCTATCAGCTTCTTGTCGTCGAGGCGCAGGAGCGCGAGTGCGGCATCGAGCCGCCGAAGCCAAAGACCATCCGAGAAAAGTTCAACGAGTTCTTCGTCGGCAAGGTGCTCCTCTCTGCGGGTGGTGAAGAGCTCGATCCGCGCGTCGAACGGGGCCCGGGCCCGTTCACATCAAAGCTAGGCAGGTTGGTTAGGGCGCTGAGGCCCTACTTGGACGAGAAGTTGACCAGCAAGAACGGTAGCATGTTCGTTCCTAAGATTAACCAAGAGATGATCGAGGAGTACCAGAAGCTCAAAGCGAAGCTGATTGAGCTTGGATGCAATGACGAGAAGATCATTCCATGGGAAGAGGTTCAGGACGAAGCCAACGACAAGAATTATGTTGTGCGCTGCCGCGAGTACATCGCGAGCTTGCCTGAACAGGACTTTATTGAGATGGAGGATGCGGTGGAGGAAGATAGCACCCTTGTTGAGTCCGAACAGCTTGACAAGGATTTGCTAGAGCTGGCGACCGAGACTGAAAAAGTGAAGGTGGAGCGTACGAACACCGACAAACTCGCGACGACCAAAGCGCCATCTTGGGCCACGGTTGGAACCGGCTCATTTGGCTCATCTCGTGAGGCTTCTCCTTCTAGGGCTTTGGGAGACCACTCTCTTGTCGCCGAGGGTATGCATGCCCATGAAAATGTTGTTAGGGCAGTCTACTAACATATATGCAGACATCGCATCTCCGCGCAAGAAGCGCGCCGATTCAGTTGCTTCAAGCAACGCTGCTGCCGACGACGATTTCAGCGAGCTCACGCTTGTCGGTGAGGAGGGCGCTGTAGACGAAGCCAAAGGTTAGTAACTTTGCAAATAACGCGGCGAAGTATTGTTGACAATATCACAGGCTGCCCCGTTGCTGACACTGAGGAGATTGGTGTCCAAGAGAAGGACAAGACTACCGCCGAGAGCGAAGGTGAGACTGACCTTTTCCTCTTGAGAATGAAGCTGACGTTCGTAAAGCCGCTGCTACCCTTCTATCTCTCGGTCGCTTTTAACTGCCTGCCCGCTTCGCTCTGCTCCATGCAATCCATCCTAAAACCTAACTCTTGACTGTTGGTTGTACAAGCACCGACACGACTCTTCCTTGCGGTCCTGCACACCTTTGGACCTTTGGTGACATCTCTGGCCTGTCCGTACATTCACAGCACGGCTATGGCGAAACTAGGACCGTTTTGGACTGAGACCTTACGGCGCTTTCGGATTATTCGTGCAGCCTCGAACCAATGTTGGGGATAGGATATGTACGAGTAAGAGGGGACAATGGTGTTTTATGCATCTCTACAGGGCGTTTGAAACCCTTTTGCATTGTGGAGTTTAGTGCTCAGGGCGTTGGGCTACGGATGGCTCGATGATGTGTGTGTTTCAGATAGCTCTTTTCTTGTGGAACAATAGCTGGGAAGAGCATTCACACTGTAGCCTAGCAATGGTCCTTCGGTGTAACGATGGCTATTAAACACATGACATATTCGCCACCAGGCAGCGACAATATAGGATCAACACTCTCATGGTCAGCTGCAAAGGATTATGAATGCAGTCCAAACCTCTCGAGGTGGTGATGCAAGATTTTAGGTAGGCGCAAGGCTTTCAAAGAACTGTGATGCCTGCAGAGATTTTACGGGAGGCGCGACGAGCCAACCCCGCAGCTCCCCACAAACCAAGTTCACTTTTGACGTGGAACACGACAAAATTGCACGCCTTGCACTGCAACACGCTGTGAAATAGGAACGGCAAAGATTACCAATCCACGCGATCAAGGAATTGAGGCCATGTCGGACACAGACTCAGATACCGCAAGCTCCGTGGGCGAGATTCTCGAAGACGTTAGCGAGGCCGATACCACCACATTCAAATGCCTGTTCTGCGACGAGCAATGGAGTCGCGTTCCGGACATGTTTTCGCATTGCCACAAGGAGCATGATTTCGACGTCGAAAACACCATCAAGAAGCTCGGACAAGGTCAGTCACATCAGTACACCTTGCCTGATTTGTATGCTGATCACGTGCTGCAGACATCGATGAGTTGAGCATCATCAAGCTCATCAACTACCTCAGGCTAGAGGCACAAAAAGGCATAGCGCCCAAGGAAATCAAAGTTGATTCTGAGACGCTGGCCGACGACAAGTACCTGCATCCGACCCTTCCAGACGATGCTCTGCTTTTCGAACTGGGTGACTTTATGCCGGATGCAGACTCCAAGGCGATCGACTACGACGAGTACGAGGCGGCCTTGCAGAAGAATGTTGGCGGAAATGTCGAGAAGCTCAGCTTGGACAACGATCGAGACACCGATTACTTCGAATCTTACAAGGGCAATGCTATCCACCGCGAGATGATAGAGGATCGCGTACGAACGGAGGGGTACCGGGACTTCATTGAGAAGAACGCCGAGCTATTCAAAGGCAAGACGGTGCTAGACGTTGGCTGTGGCACGGGCATCCTATCATTGTTTTGCGCCAGAGCTGGAGCAAAGCGTGTGTTGGCTGTCGACAATTCAGATATCGCCAACCGCGCCCGAGACAACATTGCTCGGAACGGATTCTCAGACAAGATCGAAGTGATTCAAGGCCGGATAGAGGATTTCCACATGCAGAGGAAGATTGGAAAAGAGAAGGTTGACATCATCATTTCTGAGTGGATGGGATACGGCCTGCTGTTCGAAGGCATGCTCGACTCTGTGCTGCGGGCGCGAGATCTCTATCTCAAGGAAGACGGCTTGATGGTCCCATCACACTGCACGATGCGAATAGCGCCCATCTCGGACAAGGAATGGATTGCAGACGCGAGTGGGGAGAAGTTCTGGAAAGATGTGTACGGTTTCGACTTCACATCCATGATCCCGGGCGGCATCCTCAACGATCGCGAGATTGGCGTTTTTGACGTCCCGAGCAAGTCGATAGGCGGTGAGGCCTCTACCTTCTACGAGCTCGACTTGAAGAACATCCAGATACGCGACCTTGACTTCACAGCGTCTTTCTCTTCAAAGCTAGGATCCAGTAGCGCATCTATAGATGCGTTTGCGATATGGTTCGATACGTTCTTCCTACCAGGTGAGAAGTCACAAGATGCGACGGCGATCGACGTAGCAAAATGGGGAAACAATGGCGAGGCTGGGCTTGGGTTTTCTACTGGTCCGTATTCCACATACACACACTGGCACCAGGCAGTGCTGCTACTGGGCGACGAGGACCGGAAGAAGGAGGTGAAGGGAGGCAGCACGCTGAAAGGCAAGGTGACCTATAAGAAGCCAAGGAAGGATGACAGAGGAATTGACGTTACGGTGGAGTGGGAAGCAGAGAGCACGCAGGGCCCGGTATCGGGAAGTTCGAAGCGCACCATGGGGGCTTGAAGAAGAGAGATGATGCAGAGGTAGCATGCACCGACCGATGACAGGCGAAATACCTTTGTCAACGACGTTACTACTATCGAAGTGCTTATGGCGTAACCAACGTAGCTCCGCTTTCAGGGATACAAGAAACCTTTCATATTGGATGGCTATATTTCACTCAAGCACCCGTAATTGCCCAGGTACCGCATATCTGCTGTTCTACATCTAAGACGCAGACGCAGCAATCTAAATGTTGTGGTGTGATTCCGGGGAAGAGGCGCTACTGACGGGAGCTCTGACGACATGACGCGGGGCCGTGCGCGTGAGCTCCTGCATGGTACCCTGGTCCATAGCGTCGAGTGCTCGGATGCGCTGCTTCAGGCCACCGCGACTCGAACACGTCTGCGCTGCATCTTTGCAATCTATATCAACGCCTTCCCGCCATGTGTAACCGGTAGGAACGCCGCGACCGCAACTTCCCATGCGCGACATCCTCCCCGGACGGCCGCAGGCAAAGCTGCAAGCTGTCACACACGGATTATGGGAAAACCAGCAGGTCATTGTACGCCACTGCCTACAGCACCTACTCGGATTGGAAGGGGAGCTGACTGCGTCTGCAGGCCTACATCTCAGGCAATGCGCTGATCATCCTTGATGCGCCGAACCATGTCCTCCAGACAACCTACATCGACGAGGAATCGGAGCTCGAAGCTGTTGCCCTCGACGAGAACACAGGCAAGCTCGCTGCTTGTTCGACGCGAAACATATACATATACCAGCCGTACGGGCAAGATGAGGGCGCTGTCAAGGTGGGGCGAAGCCACCAGAAGCTCCGGAGACACGCTGACTGGCGCAGTGGTCGCTGCAGGGTACCATGTCGCTGCCCGACGCCGACGACTCGATAACGACGCTGTCGTGGGGCATGCCCGACGAATTGCTCGCCGGCAGTGCATCCCTGACGTTGTTCAGCACCCGCGGCACGCCCGAGCAGACATGGACAAAGCAGCTGGCGAACCCGGTCAAGTTCGCCCACTTCTCAGCAGACGCCGAGATGATTGCTTCGACCGGCAGATACGACAGGCTGCTGAAGGTGTGGCGGCGCATCTCTTTTGGCTCGGCGGACCAGCGCTTCGACTACTTCTACCTCCCGCATCCAAACGCCATCACCGGCATACACTGGCGCAAGCCGTTCCACAAGGACCAGACGGCCGACAATGTCCTGTACACTATCTGCGCCGACTACAAGGTACGGATATGGACCAGCGACCATCACGGGATAGACGGACTGGGGTTGTGGAACGAGGTGGACTTGATGGGATCGATCCAGCCGCGGTCGCTGGACCAGCAATCGGACAAGAGATATGCCTTCTTCATTGATGGGCGGGACTTTACACATGCGACAGAAAGAGCCGTGGAGCAGGCTACAACTGTGGAGAAGGACCAGATGGCGCTGCACCATCTCGTCGAGGTTGCCAATCGCAACCCCGAGATATGCGTGGTCTTGGACGACCGTGGCAACATGTCGGCGTGGGGCTTCGAGAATGTTGGCTCCAAAGTGAAGAAAGTGACGGACGTGTTCAATGTCGCCCATATGGAGGGGCTGCACCTACACTTTGCCAGTGGCGCTAGCGGCCTGCAGGATAATGTTCAATTCTACGCGTTCTGCCACAATAAACCAGACTCGGTCTTTACTGTCCTCTCGCATCATTTTGACGGCCGGCTAGAATGGCTGCAGTCCCGGATCGATCACTTCTTTGATCCCTCGCCCTCCCAGAAGAATCGGATTGAGCGTAAAGCTACCTGGACCGGTCACTCTCATGCTATCAAGAAGGTCAACCGCACAGCCAGTGGTCGAGCCCTAGTTTCGCGAACAGTCACGGACGAATGCGTCGTTTGGGTACAGCGACCGGCCAGAATTGGCATGACGTTGCATCGCCATAGCACCGTCAGTGTAAAGGAACACATCCACCGAACAGCGCTGCTTCAGGACGGTAACTTCCTAGTGTTCCTTCACCACGACCACATCGCTCTTTGGGACACGAGAGGCCCTATGGCTGTCGAGATTAACCGCCTTGAGTATAAGCTGCGAGGCAAACCTCTCTGTTTGATAGTAGTGCCAGAAACGCAACTCGGGAGCCATCTGGTGCACATAGCTACGATCAGTTCGGAGATGAAGAGCATTTGCTGGGAGGTACGGCTCCCAATGCCTGACAAAGAACTAACTACAGGCCGCACGTCTTCGTATATAAATGGCCACACAAATGGGCATCCAGAAGCCGGAATCGAAGAGTACTCTACCTTTGATCTAGGATCTGGCGATGACCTCGCTTTTGTCCTACCCGTTGACCCTGCAGGCTCGGCTCCAGTCATCTCCGGCTTTCTTGATACCTTTGCCCGCGATATCGCCATTTCTTACACCAAGTCGGGAGTCATAAGGTCATGGACAGCAAGGGTGAACAAGGGTCAGCATCAACTCGAATGGCTAGAGACATCGACTGTGGATACCAGTGTCGAAAACCCCTCACTTGCGAGCGGTACCTCAATACGGAAAGCGGCCCTTGTAGATGCAGAGCAGACCACGCTCACGATCTGGAACACAAGAAGCGCGCAGCTAGAATATCAAGAAACCTTCGAAGGCAACGGCAGCATCCAGGATCTCGATTGGTCTTCAACGCCAGACAATCAGTCCATTCTTGCTGTCGGCTTCCCACACCGCGTTGTGATCTATGCGCAATTGAGGTACGATTATTTGAATGCCGGGCCTTCGTGGGTGCAGATCCGCGATGTACGCATTCGAGACATAACACCCCATCCCATCGGCGATTCGGTATGGCTGGGTAGCGGAAATCTCGTCATCGGTGCTGGCAACCAGCTCTTCATCCAGGATGAGCACGTCCAAGTCTCGGAAGGCTTGTTTCCCAGTCTTCGCATGATCTCACGCAAGAAAGCCTCCATTGACATCTTTACTGCTGTCAGCAGGCTCAATGGGCCTTTGCCTGTCTATCACCCACAGCTGCTGTCGCAATGCGTTCTGGCCGGAAAGCTGCTGCTGGTGCAGCGGATCTTGATACGACTTTTTCAGAAACTGAAGTTCTGGACCGAAGGGGAGGAGCTTGAGAGTTCGCTAGGCTGCTCACCGGAAGAGTTCTCGGAAGATGCTGAGGTAAGCTACTGAGCAAAACGCTTCCAACACATACTGATAACGTGCAGACGCAAATGACGACCTCACGCCGGGACATAAACTCGTCGTACGCCGATTTCTCAGACGATGGAGAACCCCAGGCAGTCACTGAGGAGGTCGCCGTTCAGCTCAATGAACTCGTCCAAACGAAACAAATACCACTTCTTTCAAGCCGCGAGCAATTTCTCTTGGCCGACATCATAGAATGCGTGGGCATGGTGGAGAAACACCGCCGTTCGATCGATGACAATGCTGGTCGCTTCCTTCTCTTTTTCCGTGCACGCGCTTTGAGCGATGCACAAGCCCCGATCTCGTGGCGAGAGATCATTTGGGCGTTCCACTCACAGAGCCAGGACATCTTGTTGGATTTGGTCTCGCGGCATTTCAATGGGAAGATGCTTTGGCCGCACGCGAAGGAGAGTGGCGTCTTCATGTGGATGTCCGATCTCACGGCATTGGTACGTCTCTTCTCCCAGTCCCAGTAACATAACGAACTGATGATGAAAAATAGCGTGCACAATTCGAGGTAGTTGCTCGCAACGAATACACCAAGACAGACGAAAAGAATCCCGTGGATTGCGCGCTCTACTATCTTGCCCTCAAGAAGAAGCCTGTCCTACTCGGCCTGTGGCGAATGGCCACTTGGAGCAGAGAGCAACCTGCAACCCATCGCCTGCTCTCCAACAACTTTAACGAAGAGCGGTGGAAAACCGCCGCCTTGAAGAATGCCTACGCACTGATGGGCAAGCGCCGCTTCGAATACGCAGCCTCCTTCTTCCTCCTCGCAGACCATCTCCAAGACGCCATGAACGTCTTGCACAACCAGTTAGGTGACACCCAGCTAGCCATCGCAGTGGGCCGCGTCTACGGCGGCGACGACTCCCCCGTCCTCCTCAAATTCCTCCGCGAGAAGATTCTCCCACAAGCAGCCCGAGACGGCAACCGCTGGCTTGCAACTTGGGCGTTCTGGCTCCTCAACCGGCGAGACAACGCCGTGCGCTGTCTGGTAACTCCCCTCTCGACGCTGCTCAGTCCGCCCGAAACGCCAAACTTGCAGAGTAAGAGCTACCTCACCGATGACCCGGCGCTGGTCGTGCTGTACAAGCAGCTCCGCGAAAAGAGTCTGCAAACGCTGCGCGGCGCATCTATGGTTGGCATGAGGGAAGAGTGGGATTTTGTGCTGCACACTGCGGGCTTGTACGAGCGCATGGGCTGCGATCTCCTCGCCCTCGATCTTGGTACGTCGCTCTCTCCTTCTCGCTTGCCTCCCTCTCTTCTTCGTGTGCTAATGTGAACGAACAGTCAAAACATGGGAGTTTCTCACACCCCCGCCCGCGTCTCTCAAAGTCGCCAACCGACCGCCCCTTAGCCCCGCGCTCCCGCGCACATCTTTCCACGCGCGTAATGCGAATCAATCTTCGGCCGACTTCGACTTTGATCCTCGGAAGTTGCTGAGGAGGAGGAGTTCGCTCGTCGTTGCGGATTTGCCGACGAGGGAGCATGTGGCGAATGCCTTAACGGAGAGCAAAGGCACGATTGACGAAGTGGGTGATGAGAGTGAGGAGGACGAGGAGGAGTTGGGTGGAGGGAAGAAAGAGGGCGGGAAAGAGGATGGGAGGGACAAGGCTGGAAGGGAGGGAAGGAGGGAGACGAAGAAGCCACCGCCGCCGACGCAGTTTCAGGAGCCGGAGGCTAGTAGTTTGTTGGATGCTTTTGGGTTTTAGATGGTAAAATTGGTGGGCGAAGATGAGGGTGAGGAAAGTATATGTATGGTTTCCTGTAGCGTAGCATGGGATGGATTTGTGCATAGCATGGTGCTGTGGGCGTTGGGAGAGGGTGGAAGTAGATATCGTTCGCACAGCAACGCAATGAGGCCGCCCGTAGCCTGATCGACCGTTAAAAAATGTGGACGAATGGCGAGTCTGTCTGGAATTTTGTGTGCTTCACAGCCCCAAACTCGTTTGTGTAAGGAAACATTGAAGCTGAACGTGGTTCTAGAGGATTAAAGTATGAACATCATGATTATGGGCTAGAACGAGTAGTGCTGCACTATCGCTGTTTCCAAATCCTGCGCACGTTTTTTCGTGCAATCCACTGTACAATACCAATGGCCCTCCCCTTGATGTTTCCTTCCTCATTTCCGGCCATCATTTAGGCCCAGCAAAATTTCGTACTCGATGTCAGTCGGCATCGTGTTTCCGACAACATTGCTCATCACCAAAACGCTCACGAGACAGATGTCATCTCGACTCGTTATAATTTCGAGCGTAGTCCGCTGCGGTTGCTGTATCCCAACCCCAGAAGGCAGTCGATGATTTTTCCATACTTACGCCCGAAGGAGCTAGCCGCCCACTAGTGTCCGCGTGTTTACACCCGGCCGTCTTAGCTGCCGCCACTTAGGAACTCAATTGCAACACCAGTAACATGCTTAGCGACTTCAGGTATGCGATGTCGGCTGCTGCTTGACAAGGGTCTCTTGGAAAACCCTTTTGGAGAAACTCATAGAGTTGAGAAGTGCGCTTGCGAGGCGAGACAAGGCGAAGCCGCAGCGGGGTTACAAGGAAGCGCAAGGTGCAAGGGGAGACGCACGAGCATCTTGAATCTGGTACACTGGGAAACATCTGTGAGTATGAGGGAAATGCGTCGCGCAGGTATAGAGTTGGTCAGCATAGGGTGTCGTTCGTTTCTATCGTCTGCGTGGTATGTACCACGTATCAATGCTGGTGCCATGCATCCCAACACCATCATTTAACAAAATCGAAAGTCGTATGTAATGACCAAAGGAGAATGCTCACCCCCATATTCTACCCTCAGCGAAAGGCAGCCCACCCGATCGATTGTATCTCGGCGTTAGCAAATTCCATCTCTCATTCCCCGCGGCTTGAAACTCCAACCCCTTCGCATACAACCTCATCGACTCACTATTGCACTGCTTCATCGCCTCCTCCAAAAGGACAAAGTGCTGCTTCTCCAGCTCCCGCGACATCTCCCACATGATGCGCATCGCGCTGAGCTCGTTGACACCACACGCCGTCATGACGATCGGGACCGCCGAGCACAACTGCCCGAGCGCAAAGCCCTTGCCCGCAGCGAGCACTTCTTTCTCGTACGATGCGATGTCATTGACGAGTGTGACGTGGCGCATGACGTTCATCTCGAGGGGCTGGACAAGGGCGAGTTCGTCGGGCTTCATGTGGAGGCCCATAGAGAAGCACATTACACCGGACATGAAGCTGTGAAGTGCAAGTTAGCGGTGTGCTGCACACAAAGTGGGTGATATGAGGAACGGCCTACCCTTTGCCCAGATCCGCATGCCGGTACTCAAAGTAGTCCTTCAAGCTTTTCGGCTTCGACCGATCGGCGTCTGTCTGCGCCTCGAAGAAGTCGATGGTATACCCAAGCAGCATATCCGCAAGCTCCTTGTCGATCTCACGGAACTCCTCGAACAGGTCGTACATGATCCACTGCGCAGGCTTCTTGCGATCTGGTAACCGCTCGCCGCGTGAGCACGCGATGACAACCGCGTTGTGTGCCTTGCCGTCCTCCACTGACATGCGGTCGAGCATGTCGTCAATAAGGAAGCCGGTGGTGAGAAATTTGCACACGCCAACCATGCGGTCGTCTAGGCCGTCTGGGCAGAGAATGCAGTTGAACCATGCGTAGCCCTCGTCGCAGAAGCGCTTTCTGTGCTTGTCTGATGGGAAAGGCCAATGCTCTAGGAAGAAAGCGTGGCACTCTGTGACAATCTCTCTAGTACGTGGGTGTAGTTTGGCCTCTAGGATGGTAGGACGTATGTCCCTCGGGAGATAGGGGAGATCTGTCGGTGCGAGCGGAGGTATCGTGGAGCCATCTGTGCTTGTGAGGACGGGCCCATCTGACACTCCGGCCACAGCAGCGGGTCGCCCTATAGGGAGAATATCACGGAAGGCGCGAACTAATTGCGAGTATAGAGGGGTCTCCAACAATGCCATGACTGAGGTATCCAGAAATTCGTAGAAAAATTGAAATCAGGAGAAGAGATGGCCCGACCAACAGCACCACTGGGAGGGATTGCTCAAGAAGCGGTCTGGGACAACTTTGCTTTATGGCACGGCCCAGGGAGATTTGTGGATTCGAGGCTCTGGGCGGCTGAGCTCTTCCATCCGCAACTACAAATTTACATGGTTCATGGGAGTAAAAAGCACTTGATCAGGCGCTACGTCCGGGTATGGACAGTTGTACGAGGTCTGCGCGCATGCGTAGATGCGGCGTAGGTATTCGCGTAGAAAGCCTGATACATGATGCCTGTAGCTGTACTGATGAAATCTTTCTGGGGACAGCCCATATTGGAAATTGGTCTTGAATCCCAGACAACGTACCATCCGAGCCACACGGTCCATCCACAATAGAGCCAATATCGACGAGAATTGGGAGAAAGAGCTGAGTATCAAGTCCGTGGCACTGTAGGCACAGTCCAGCTCTATTCGCGCCGCCGCTGCAAATGCCGACCAGCGGGACCTAGGTTAAACGCATGGATCTTACTAGGTCATAACTGTCTTCCCATCATGTAATTTTGCAGCTAAATTCCCAGGTTGTCATCCAGCAGGTGCTACTGGAAAGTCGCGCTGTTGCCCGTCGGTCAGATTCTCGTCTGATACCGTCATTCAATTCCCGACTTCGGATTAGATGCAATGCTCCCTATGTTGGTGAGCACAATGCCGCAGGCCGTAAATATCGAAATACTAGTCAAAATCCTTGCTCTCGTGGTAAGAGCTAGACGGAGCCATCAGTAAGCGCAGTGACCATGGGATTGGCGTATCCTCTCAGAGACACCGGCTCCCGCGGCACATTCCTGGACCGTAGCCCAAAAATGCGAATGCATACAAATTCAAGTATTTCCAGGATGCATCATCGTCAGCAGATAAAGTTGACGGTATCTGTGACTTCACCTCGCAATAGTATCCACCCATGCGTGACCCGCTCTCGCCTACACGGCAGACGTATCAGGGGAAATTCCTGAGGGTTCTTCCGGTATCTCATATGGTGCGCTTCATGTATGTAAGCGCCTGCGTTAACGGCGGTTGCGTCTATAGTCGCATGTGCGCTGAGGATGGCCGTGCACCTCGATGGAGTCGTTGCCTGTATGCAGAGACGCCCAACCCAATCCTATGGTTGGCCTTATTCTAGGTCTATTGATATGCAGGAGCAATCGGAAATGGAACTTGACCTCACGGCAATGCTTCGAGATATCTGGGTCTGCGTGCACCGGTGGAGATACCCGTTCTTGCCGATTGGCTAACAGTAGCAATGGCGAATCCCGAGGGGAATATTGCCGTAGGCCTCGTTCCGTGTACGCCCTCAAAACGGTTTCCCCCACGGTCCCTGAGGTGGGAACATGTGGATACCAGGTTCCTGAATCATAGGTCTGTTGGGGGACGTGCTTCAAGCTGCACACCGCACTATACACCAATTTCTAATACGATCTTTGCTTCAGACCAATTTGCTGAAACTTAGGCCGAGGCCGGCCTCTTCCCACGATTTGTCCGAGAACGTCGCATGCCGGGAAGGGGTCTGCTATAGTTGGATGTTACCGAGACGCACAGCAGCTAACCGTAATGTGGAGGGATTTACTCGCAAGCGAGCGGAAGGCGGCTATTACCCGACGAATACGAGTCTCACGTTCAGGTTCGGCTGCATTATAAGACTTCCGCAGGCGAGACGGGAAGGGATCGGACCACCCTAGCCATGCTGAGCCGCATACGTTCACCCTGGCATTTTGGACGATGATCTTGCCCAGTCGCCCACCTCTTACCAGGTTTGAACGAGGAAAGGATTTACTCAGGATTGCTATCGATGCAAAGTCCGCAGCACCGTAGCTGCATTAGGAGAAATGCGTATCTGTCTCGCGGTTCGAGTCTTGGGATAGCAGGTGATGTTGATACAATTGGACAGTGGGGACCGGAGCCAGTCGCCGACTGAGCACAGGCGGAAGCCTATTTGCTGGATTTCAGGAATTCTGTCCCCTAAGCCGCCGGTATTTGTGGGGTCTTCAAGGGCCCGATTCCTCCCGTAAGCCCCAGACTCTCATGTCGTACAGCGGCGTAAGATTTTTCAGCATCGGCACGCGCGTCAAGGCCACGCAAATTACACGTGGAGTGAGATAAGCGCGTGCAATGTGTGAAACTGTGCGCAAGGATAAGTTTGGAGAGATGTCCAATTTCCTCGGCGACAGGGCCCTATGCAGGTGTGCGGCGAGGGGTCGAACGTCCCTGCCCGCATCGTCTCATGCTTGCTTTTGAAATCCCAGCTCCCGCTGTTAGCGTTAGGGATGCTCAAAGTTCTCGTTACGGCCCGCAGCGGCACGAGATGATGGTGTGAACTAGGTAGATCCGTTGTGCCAATGCATGCGAGGGTGTAAATTTGGCCAAATATACACCATCATAGTGTCAACTCCTCCCCAATCGAAAGGTTATTGTGTAGTTGAACAGCTCCTTCTTCTGCATTTCGGATTTATAACGGACACAATGGATATCTCGCAAAATACCTCAGTGCCGTGGCATGGTGGAACTTGGCAAGAAGGACATTCGGGTGGCTCTCTCTTGTTGCGCGCCATTCTAGCTTTGGTGATTTAGACCTGTGCCTTGGTTTCATAATGCACTGTCGCTGATACGCACACAGTTAGTTGCCTCTAGTATCGGTCAAGTTATATACAACTTGTATTTGCATCCTCTGAAAGATATCCCTGGACCATTGTTGGCGAGATGTTCGTTGTTGTGGCGCTTCCGATATTGCATGGGTGGCTACTGGCAGTAAGTGTGAGCGAGGTGCATATGCAGGAGTCCGACTGACTATGTTCTTCTACCCGTAGTCTCCACATCCAGAAAGCACATAAGCACTACGGTGTGTATGGGCATCGTCTGTTTCTGCTCGAACTAATAGTTCCTCAGGAGACGTAATACGTGTAAGCCCGAACGAGCTATCCTTCGCCAGCGCCAAAGCTTGGAAGTCCGTGTACGGCGTCCAAAAAGGCGCACCTATCACGAAAAATGAATTCTGGGATATGATAGGTCTTGGATTCGATGAAGGTTCGATCGGTTCAGAGCGAGACTATCATCTTGCCGCACAGAAGCGTGACTTGTTTGCGGATGCCATGTCCAATCGAAACGTGGCACAGCAGGAGCCGATCTTACAGGCCTTCGTCAGTCTGTTCCTCGATAAGATGGGAAAGTTAGGAAATACCGAACAGGGCTTGGACATGGGCCAGTGGTTCTTGTACTTCGGCTTCGACGTAGGCACGAAGATGGCTTTTGGGGAATCATTTGAATGTCTCGTCAGAGGTTGGTACTCTGACTCGAATGCCTGAGGTAACTGACATCTTGGTACAGAGACTGCACACGAATGGCTTACTCTTGTCCTGCCACTTTTCTTTTTTATAAACATCGCAGATAATTTTAGGCGAATCCCGTTGGTTGTGCCCTTGCTCAAGTTGATTCCCATGGGATGGCTGCGGGGAGTCCGCGGGAAGATTGTGAAGTATTCCAAAGACCAGACTGCAAAGTGCGTTCCACAATCCCGCTGGATTAAAAAGGTTGCTTGGCTAACAGCTGAGAACAGGCGCCTTTTAAGATCGGGTCCGCAGAATGACTTTTTTGACAATTGTGTTGAAAAGGTTCAGCAAGGCGATGTAACCGAAGAGGAAATGGCGTCCCACCTGTTTACGTTTAGGTATGTAGATGTCGACTTCGAGATTGCTGGGACGTTGTTGAAGAGATTATAGTGTTGCAGCAGGCGAGACCCAAGCGACTTCCATGACTGGGATCCTGTACAACTTGCTCGCAAATCCGGAGAAGCGCGATGAGCTTCAGCGTGAAGTCCGGGGGGCATACAAGAACACTCATGATATGGATGTTGCCACGCTACTCAAGCTACCGTACCTCCAGGCGGTGCTCAAGGAAGGTATGAGGATCCATCCCGCCGTGCCACAGGGTCTCCCTCGTGCCTCACCCGGGACCATGATCGAGGGCGTCTATGTTCCTCAAGGAGTAATGGAAACTCTTTCTTAATGCATTTAAGCCTAAGCTAACGGCTTTCAGACCGAAGTGTACGTGTCTGCGTGGTCGACGAGCCATGATGAGCGGTATTTCCACGATCCGGACACATTCAAACCGGAGCGCTGGATCGACCCAGCATGCCAGGATGTAAAGGAAGCCAGCCAGCCGTTTGGTCTTGGGCCTCGAGTATGTCCAGGAAAGCGGTAAGTAAATTGGTCTTCATCCAACACGTCGCTAATATTCTTAGTCTTGCGTATGCTCAAATGTCGATACAACTAGCGAAGATGATATATACTTATGACATGGAGCTCCTGGACAGTAGCCGAGATTGGAATTCTGGTTGCAAGACCCACTACTTCTGGTGGATGCCACCTCTGAACGTGCGCTTCCGACCACGCGCGAGTCTTGGCGCGTGAGCAATGTTCAGCATGTCGTCTTCAATAATAGAGGTGGAAATATTACTTTCAAGATTGCAAGACATACGACATCAATGATATATAGCTTTGCTTTGATCGTGTTAAATAGACTCAGACGAATATCTAAAGCGGCAATGTATGTCTCTTGTTGCACAATCGATTAACTGCAGAGTCGTGGCCTTTGTAAGTAATTAACTCTACTTTGTCGAAGTCATTCAACTCGTCGCTGTATCCGTGGCGAATGACGTGATGAAAATTAATGCCTGGTAAGGAACAAGCTAAGTCAGCTCACAGAGCATCATCGCAAAGCACATAATGCTATGGTCGATCCACGTCGCAAGACTATGAACGTAAGCACATACCTGGAGTCGAGAAGCGATCGTGACTTGCCTCCTCGCGCCCATTCAAGTGGGTCAGTAGCGTCTCAGTATTAGCTGAGACGTGCAAGGATACGCGGAAGGCCGTTGACCTGAAATTTAGTCGCCGTTCTTGATAAGAAGATCCCGGACAAAAGAACGCTCTTAGTGCTATGTAAAATCATTCAGCATGCTAGAGGAAATTTCTCATATAGTAGTGTACATCCAAATGCCTAATTCTCCAAATTATCATAGGTAACTAGGGTTGCCAAATCGCATCCTCTCCTACAGCGCTGCCCAATCCCATATGTAGAGCAGCCTAGCGGAGTATCGATATGACTCCACTTATTTTATTGTTCTCTAGCCTCCTTGCATGTCCGAGTAGGCAGCGCTTCATAGGAGGTAATGTGATTGAAAGAGTCGCGGGCGTGGATGATCAGGGAGTTCAGGCACAAGTTCCAAAGCTATTTTCTGTGTATCCTTCAAGAGTCCATGAAGATTGCATCGCCCCTCGTCAACAACTTTCGCTCCCTAGCTCATCTTCATCTTCACTACTCAGCTGCTGTACAAGAGGTGAAAGTGAGTGATGACGCGCCAGTCCTTAAAGGGTTAGCGCACAGCTTAGCGTGGATCCTAGCGCTCTACGATTCGTTCGTCGCGGCAACAACACGAACCAAAACACAAGAGCGCGATCCAAACACGCCAGCAGCGTCTCCTTCTCCCACCCCCGTCACCCCGACTCTCTTTGCTACGCCTGCCACGTCGCTTGCTGGCTTGGGCGCGACTGTTCTTTCGCTCTTTTTCTGTCCTGCGGGACTTTTCCTTTTCGCCTTCACACAATGGACGACTCGCTCCTCGAATCCGACTTCGACGACGGCGCCAGCTCTGACTTCGCCCCGCCTGCCAAACCCGCGAAGGCGATCAAAGCGAAGCCTGCAGCACCCAAGAAGGCTGCTGCTCCCGCAAAGGCCCGAGGTCGACCGCCGAAGGACCCCTCCGCACCACCCAAAGCCAAAGCACCCGCGAAGGCGAAGGCAGCACCCAAGAAGAAGCGCAAAGATGACTCAGATGACGAGAACTCGGACATAGATATGCACGACGATGTTGTTGACGACGATGATGACTCACTGCTCGCCGACACACCCCCGAAACAGAAGAAGGCTCCAGCAGCGAAGAAATCGAGCGGCAAACCCCTGGCGAGCATTGCCAACGAGAGCTTTGACATGATGGACGGCATAGACGATTCGGCGCCGAGTGGCAAGGCGAAAGCCGGCGGTGCGAGCAGCAAATACCAGATGGTGAGTATACTGTCTGTTCATTACGCTGACCCAGGCTGACAACGCGGCAGCTTACCCACCTGGAACACATCATGAAGCGGCCTGACACGTACATTGGCTCTGTCGAGCGCACCTCGGACAAGATGTGGGTGTACAATTCCTCTACAGAGGCCATGGAGTTCCGCGAGGTTTCCTACGTTCCCGGTCTATACAAAATCTTCGACGAGATCCTCGTAAATGCGGCCGACAACAAGCAGAATGACAAGAACATGAGCGAGATCCGAGTGACGTTGGACCGCGAGACCGGCGAGATCTCCGTGAAGAACGATGGCAAGGGTATCCCTATCGAGATCCATAAGGAACACGGCATTTATGTACCTGAGATGATCTTCGGTCACCTCCTTACTTCTTCGAACTATGACGACAATCAGGCCAAGGTTACGGGTGGTCGCAACGGTTACGGTGCGAAGCTTTGCAACGTCTTCAGTAAAGAGTTCACCCTGGAGACAGTCGACTCGAAACAGAAGAAGAAATACCGACAGACGTGGACGGAGAACATGAGCAAGATGGGCAAAGCCAAGATCACCGACATCAAGACCGATGACTACACCAAGGTATCATACAAAGCCGATTACGAGAAGTTCGGCATGTCAGGGATCGACGACGACTTCGAAGCTCTTGTCAAGCGCCGGACGTACGACATGGCTGGTACTCTTCGCGGCATCAAGGTGTACCTCAACGGTGATCGCGTCAAAGTTGCCAGCTTTTCCAAGTACATGGAGATGTATACCAAAGCCATCCGACTTGAACAAGGCAAATCCGAAGAGGACAAGGACATTATCATCACTGACCGCCATGATCGCTGGGACATCGGTTTCGCTGTATCGGATGGAGCCTTCAACCAGGTGTCTTTTGTGAACTCGATCGCCACGACGTCCGGTGGTACGCACGTCAACTACATCGCCGACCAAATTGTCGAAAAACTGCTTGCAATCGTCAACAAGAAGAATAAAGGTGGCGTCAAGCTCAAGCCAGCTCAGATCAAAAACCACATATTTCTCTTCGTTAATTGTTCGATTGTGAACCCCGCCTTCACGTCGCAGACGAAAGAGCAGCTGACGACCAAGGCGAGCCAGTTCGGCAGCAAACCCGTCTTGAGTGATAAATTTATGAAGGCAATCGAGAAGACCGAGGTCATTCAGAACATCATGCATTTTGCTGCGCAAAAGGCCGACCAACTACTCAAGAAGACGGATGGCAACAAGCGGAGTCGAATGAGCAACGCTAAGCTCACCGATGCGAACAAGGCAGGCACTAAGGATGGTTATAGGTGCACTCTCATCTTGACCGAAGGTGATTCTGCAGCTCTCCTCGCCTTGGCCGGGCGTGCAGTGGTCGACCCCGACTATTTCGGTGTTTTCCCTCTCCGTGGTAAACTTCTCAATGTCCGCGACGCTTCCATCGATCAGATCTCCAAAAACCAGGAGATTCAAAATATCAAGAAGTTCATCGGCCTTCAACACAAGAAAGAATACACCGACACGAGGGGCCTCCGATATGGTCACATCATGATCATGACGGATCAGGATCACGATGGTAGTCATATCAAGGGGTTATTGATCAATTTCCTGCAGTGCCAATTTCCTAGCTTGCTGAAGATCCCGAGCTTCCTAATGGAGTTCATCACTCCTATCGTCAAGGTGTGGAAGGGTGACCCGAAGCATCCTCGACAGCTGAAGAGCTTCTTCTCCATGCCGGAATACGAGGAGTGGAAAGAACAGCATAGGAACGAGAAGGGTTGGGATCATAAGTACTACAAGGGACTAGGCACCAGCGGTCCGGATGATGCACAGATTTATTTCCGAGATCTCGACACTCACATGAAGGCCTTCCACACCATGCGAGCGCAAGAAGAGGAGCTTATTGAGCTCGCCTTCTCCAAGAAGAAAGCTGACGCCCGTAAGGAGTGGCTGCGCGATTTTGTACCTGGCAATCATTTGGATTTGACGACGAAAGAGATAACTTACGACGACTTCGTCAACAAAGAACTGATATTGTTCAGTATGGCTGATAACCTACGCTCAATCCCTTCGATTATCGACGGGTTCAAGCCTGGTCAGCGTAAAGTCCTCTACACGTGTTTTCGCCGCAACCTCAAGAAGGATGTCAAAGTAGTCGATCTCGCTGGTTCCGTTTCTGGTACTACGGATTATGCCTATGGTGAGGCCTCCATGCAAGGAACCATTGTTGGTCTTGCTCAGAACTTCGTGGGCTCGAATAACATCAACTGCTTGGAACCTAGTGGGAATTTTGGATCACGACTTCAGGGCGGCAAGGATGCTGCCTCCGCCAGGTACATCTATACCCGTCTCTCCCCCTTTGCTCGCCGAATTTTCCATCCCCAAGACGATGCACTTCTCAAGTATGGTGAATCGGATGGGAACAAGATCGAGCCAGAGATGTACGTGCCCATCTTGCCCATGGTACTTGTGAATGGCTCGGACGGTATCGGAACTGGCTGGAGTTCCACCATTCCCAACTATAACCCTCTCGAGATCGTGGAAAATCTAAGGATCCGCATGCGGGACGGTGCCTCGAAAGAGGACATGCAGCCGATGGCTCCCTGGTTCCGCGGATTCACCGGACAGACCGAAGAGCTACCCAACGATCGTTACAAATTCACTGGCATCATTCGAGAGACTGGCGAAAATGAGCTTGAGATCACAGAATTGCCGGTGCGTTACTGGTCGCAAGACTTCAAAGAGAAACTGGAGGACATTATCAAGGCAGAGAAGGTGCCGTCAATCATCAAGGATTATGTCGACTACAACACACCGGACAAGGTTCACTTCATCATAAAGATGGAAGACAAGCACATGCAGGCCGCCCGAGCCAAAGGTTTCGAGGATACTTTCAAGCTCTCATCTACCATGGCTACCACCAACTTGGTTGCCTTCGATTCGCAAGGTCGCATTCACAAGTATGCCACCGTCCTTGACATCATGGAGGAGTTCTACCATATCCGTCTGAAGTATTATGAGAAGCGCAAAGTAAGGGTTTTACCGCTTTCACATGACCCTCAGCTAATCCTTTGTAGGCCCATCAACTCGAGCAGTTGCACAAGGAGCTCGCGAAAATGACCAACCAAGCTCGCTTCATTCAAATGATCATAGACGGCAAGCTTGTCGTGTCGAAGAAGAAGAAGGCTGTCCTAGTCGACGAGCTGAGGAAACTCGGCTTCACGCCCTTCCCCAAGGTTGCAGATGCCAAGACAGCTGGGGAGCAAGAAGAAGCGCAGGAGGATGATGAAGAAAGTGATCGCGATGCTGGTGGCGCGGGCGACTACGACTACCTTCTTGGTGTAAGTACACCAGCATCCCTGGTAAACAGACCACGTCTAACGAATTGCAGATGGCTATTTGGTCTCTTACGCAGGAACGTGTCGAGAAGCTCCAGAGGCAGATCGGAGACAAGGAGTTGGAGATCGACGCTCTCCAGAAGCTGACGCCCAGGGATCTGTGGACGCGAGACCTTGATGATTTTGTGGAGGAGTGGAACCTTCAGCTTGACGACGAAGCTAAGCGCAAGAAGAAGATTGCGGGCATGAGCCGTCGCGTATCTAACAAGCTCGGGGGAGTTGGCGCCGCCAAAGGTGGCAAGCGTAAGAAGAAGAGGGCAGGATCTGACTCTGATTCCGACGAGTTCTCCGACTACGGCCCTGCTAAGAAGAAGGCCAAACCCAAGACCGGCGGTCTACTTAGTTATCTTAAGAAGGAGCCTGATGAGCCCAAGCAGCCGGAGGTTCCGAAGCCCGCCGCGAAGCCCGTCGCCACAAAGCAGAGTGGTATGCTGTCCTATCTTAAGAAGAGCCCGCCTGTGGAAGAGGCAGACGCCATGGACTTGGACCATCCGGCACCGGCAGCTTCTGCAACCACTGCTGCTGCTGCTTCGAAACGTGGCCGCCCGGTTAGTACAAAGAACGCCAAGAAGCCAACGCCTGTGCCGGTCGACTCAGAATCGGACTCTGATGTCTTCGCTGCTGTCGCTAAGGAGGTGACCAAAAAGAAGCCTGCCGAGACGACGATTACCAAGGGTCGGATTGCCCGAGGTGCCGCGAAGAAGGCTACCAGTTACGCAGTAGACAAGGACAGCGACAGCGATGGCTTGAGCGACGACGACTTCGACGTCAGCATGATGGTGAAGACTATCGGCGCGAGTGGAAATGATCGTCCGCTCTTCTCGGCTCCCGCCGCTCGCGCAAGCAGTGCTACAGGCACCGGGTCGAAGCCCAACGGCCGTGCCACTGCACAAAAGCCAGCAGTCTTTATCGACGATGACGATATGGATGAGACAAATTACGAGGCGCTTGCCCAAGGTTCTCCAGAGAAACGTAATATGGATGCAGGCATGGATTCTGATATCTCGGACGATGACCTGCTTCTTAGCGTCAAGAAAAAGGCACCTATCAAGGCTATTCCCAAAGCCAAGGCTGCGCCGAAGCCCAAAGCTGCTGCCGCATCCACTGTGGTAGCTAAAAAGACGACGCAGCTAAGCCCTGCTGCAAAGGCCTACGCCGCCCGCTTGGGCAAGACCAAAGACTTGGCCTCTAAGGCTTCTAAAAAGCCCATCACTATCGATTCTGACGATGACGAGGATGAGCTGATGGATGACGATGCCGACAAGCTAGCCAACGACATCCTGTCCGACGACGAGGACGACGTACCAGTCGCAAAGTCCATGCGTGCCGCAGCACGCCCTGGTCGTAGAGCAGCAGCTAAGCCCGCGAAGTACGTGGTTAGCGACGATGAGGATGAAGATGACGAGCCTAGCGAGGCGAGTTTCGACGATGACAGCGAGTAGTTGCGCGTTCGGTGCTGCGGTTGGCGTTTAAGGGACGGAGATACCCGGGCTTGGTGCTGGGCGTTTGGAATCGGACGGCTGTGATTACAAGGGGTTCTTAATAGGAGCGTTTCAACGTCACGTCATGGGACTGGGTTTTCAATGGTGGTTTTGGACATGACGTGCGCGCGATGAGCGTGCGCGTGGGTCTCGCGGTCCTTGCGAGTATACCTTTCCGCGGATCATCTTAATGTGAATATATACGGATTTTGTCTCGTCAAATCTGGTCGTGAGTGTCACTTGTCTGCAATTTCGCTGATGTCCCTTGCCCCTGACAAGAACATATACCACGACTGCCAGTTCATCTTCACGTGCTTGAACACTCCTCTGGCCCTGTTCATTGAGAACAAGTAGCTCAATCATCTGCTACAGCTGAGCCTACAGATTCCAGACCTCAGCCGGCACGATCCGACATCGGAACCTTCACGTACGATCAGGTGTGATCAGATCAGATCGGACCAGCAGTGTGAGGCTGGCTGGTTGGCGGTGCGCAGCTCCGCCCTTGTGCGACGCGATGTGCTGGCAGACGCGTCTGCACCGCGGAGCTGCGCGAGGTACCGACGGTGGATGGTTTGTACATTGCTCATGAGTGTGCGCAGTACCCCTACCATGACATAACGATGGGTTGAAGCAGGGTACTGAAGAGTGGGCTCGAACGCCCGCTCGTGGCACCTTAGTAGACGGTGCGGGACCAAGGCTGCGGTTGGGACGTGACTGAAAGGTGCGTTTGTACGAGGATGGCCGGGGAAGCAGTATTTGTCATTGTACGAGTTTGGGCTTGTAGAAGGAACGTGTGGCAATGATATGGAACGTGGTCTTGCAAGACGGGAGCTCATTTAGCCTACAGAAGGAGGTTCACACAGCGAGGGAAGGAAACAAGATGACCGCGATAAGGTGTGGGGATCAACGTGACAGCACGTCCGGGCTTACTTGATCTCAGAATCTACGTTTCTGTTCGCTCACTTTTCTGCTCAAGCCCTCGAAGTCGTTGTTGGGCTAGCTTTCTCTGTTTCTACCCTTGACCGGTTCTGACGATGTCTGGTCTCACAGACACCACCACGGCCCGTCTCACCCTCCCATCGACTCGAAGAGCCCGCTACCAGGAACGAGAGACAACACACTAAAAAGTGCTAAAAGCAAGCGTGAGACTAGGAGTGTGTTCCTCACGCGACTCGGCGGAGTAGTGACCCTTTTTCGAATCCATCCCCGTCCTGTCCGACATAGTCAAAAGCGCCACAAAGCTTGACACCATCCACGACAGCTGTCAAGCAGACGTCATGAGCGGCCGCCCTCGAATGGTACGTCCTATGCAATCGCCGTGCGACCACACGCGGTCTTTTGTGTACCGTGCCCGCAAAGCCCCCACAGCGATAAACACCCCGCACTGAACGACGAGGATATACATCGATAGACTTTGCCACCCTGCCGTACATCCGAATCCAGATCAAAGTGATAGAGCTGTGGGACGTAGCGGCTGCAACGAGGGCGTTGTGCGTTGCCGTGTGGGTGCTGTGCGCGTTTGGGGTAACGCAGCCTGCGCGGAGATTTTGACAACCTGGGCGCACTGCGCGTACATGGTTCGCTGGGTTTCGATGCTGGCGTCTCGAGGTCTCTGTACCTCTTTCTAAGGGGTCGTATGGAATTGCGCTGTACAGATCGCCTGTCTATCGTTGGAGAAGTGCAGTGCGGTGCGGTGCGATACGGAGGGGTGTGCAATCGACAGGTCTATGCAGCTATCGGTGCCAGAGCGGTGAGGCAGGACAACATACGGCCATATACCATAAGACCCCGAATGGTATATATGATGGCGTATACATGTTCGTGGTTTGTTTCCTATCAACGAGCGTCAGCGGGTGTGCCATCGTACAGGTGTTAGCATGCAATCGAGCTAAGCTCTTCACTGGCACGCTCCGACGAATGATCGCCAGGCGGTCCCTGGGGAAGAGCACCGGAATAACCACTTAACCAAAAGATTGGGCAGAGATAGGGAGATAGCGTAAAAACTATGTCCTACTAAAGTGATAAGGCACCTGTCGGGCGAGATCAATTTCGCAGACCCGTACGCATAACGAGCGCACGTTGCAGTGTTCTTGACATGCTCTGAGACTGCATTCGAGAAACCCTGCATGCGCTCGGCGAGAATCGTCATGCCCCTGGTAAACTTTGTTCATAGCTGCTGGCCTGTTAATGTGCCGGTCTGTGGTACGCATGCAACACGACAGCGGAAGGAAGCCATTAGCGATTTCTTGACGTCGCGTACGCTTGTGGGGAACCATGCTTCGGAAGCATACTCCAGATCTTGACAGCTCCGTTGCACCGGACATGTTGAACGACATTATTGTGCGGTCGGTCAAGGAGGCCGCCGTCCATGTGCGCGCAACAATGTCCATTTGCAGGCGTCGATATGATCATCCAGAACACAGCGAATGAAGCACTGAAGAGTGTACTTGCTAGTCAGTTACTGGGCCCCACAAGCTTCTAGTGAAAGGGAAAAGCAGTCCTAGACATACAATTCCGCTACATTGTCGCCGCGCAGCATGTCGCTTTGTGCCACTTTTCATACAATACTCACCGCCGAATGAGCCATCACGATTTACTGTGGGCCAGTGCAACGCACGCTAGAATCAACATGCCTGAAGGGTCCGCCTATCCAGTTCGATGGGCTCGTGGAGCGACTGTGGCAGCGGGACAATACTAAGTAGCTAGTGAACAGAACTGTGGTCGATCGATGACTATACTCACCATCATTGCTTAGTCCCATCATGCTCGCGTTTTTACGGCCTCAAACAAGCGGCAGTGAGTATTTCGTATTCGAGCGCTTTCAAACATCTTTCTTTTCTTCGTCACTGTCTTGCATGACACCATTGAACGACCCAAAGTTTCAGTGGCACAGATGCAAGGACCGTGAGGATTATTGGGAGTGGTGGGCTCATGACCCAATGCCTCAGTCGAGATCAATGAGCTGAAGGCAATGCAGGGTACTTCGAAACAAGCACATGCATTCACCGGACGAGGGTGCAGTCGAACAGACCTCAAGCGGGCCAGTGCATCGACATCGGCACGTAAATAACTCTGTAGCTGTACGCATGACTACGCCTTCAACGCCAACTTCTTGTAGCATGAGCCTCAATGTTGTCTGGCTTCTCCACTCGAGCCTCTTTGGTGGATCATGTTCCAGTTCGCCATCGTTCCAGGATTGTGCAGAAGCACTGCTCGAAGCAATGCTCACTCATTGCTCGTGGAGTGGGGCCAGCGAGGAGTACCCGTCTGGGACCCGCCATGCAGTTTGAACGCTCATCTTTAGGCGGTCAAGACTGAGACATGCCGCCGCTTTTGCATTCTGAGACAGCTTCATCGTTCTTGAGCACACGATGAAGGTGACCTCTGGGTTGAGTGTTGGCCATTGCAGTAGGCAGGATGCAAGCTCGCGACAAGTCGCCAATGTCGGTTTTCTGAAGGCCAAAGATGAGATAATCAACTTTCCAGGCGTCATGCTTGGTATCGCAGTGACAAGCCTGCTCGTGTGTCGTGTCGGATCGAGAAGCAATCGGCCAGGATGGGGGGACTTCGAGTACCCACCCCCACCACTTGAGTTCTCGGAAAGGCCATTACCGACACAATTTCGAGCCAATTAATTGCTTCTCCGGGCGCGCAGTTAGGCAGCGAACAGAAAGGTGCGGCTCGCAAGGGAAGAGCGACCACGTTTGCCCGTGCGGGTCCGGCCAAGATAGGTACGTGCGCTTGTACTCACGGATGGCTGCAGAAGGATATCGTACCGATCCGTCCTGCACATACGGTACGGAGAGGGAGCATGACTAGATCGGATGTGACGGCATTTGCCATACACGATGTTAAGACTCCTGTATTATCCCCTCTTGTTCGCGCATGTATGCGATGAGAGTCCTCGATGCCGAGTGTAAGATTGGAAGAACTCAAGAAGTCCACAATACAGCTTGGAGCTTCTTTGAAGAACCGATCAAGGGATAGAGCATCTCTCTGATGTGCGGTGCATAGACACGAGCTGTACAGAAGCACGCCAAAGAGCGGCTCCATCAGCCATGTCCCCACCTGGCGCCCCTTTCCACAGTTGCTCCATTTCTGTTTTTTGTTTTTCTTAGGTTGCCCAGGACAAAGAAAATGTTGTGGAGGACCCGATCCAGATACAGGGTTTAAGGCGAAGAGCGTTTGACGCCGTGAAACCAGGCTGCAATGTCCTCGATCCCCTGCTGGCTACGGCACGCTCGACGATTCTAGCTGCATATAGCAACGACTGTTTGACCTCCAGGATAGACCTTGCTTTCCGTGCTTTGACAGTTGTATCGAGCCACATAGACCGCTTACTGAGACAGCCTGCATCGCTCGCTTCTGCGCACTGTGCTTGCGTCCGCAAAGCTCGGGCGGACTAGGTGACCGTGTGGTCGGTAGAGTAGCATTTAGTGGCCGACGGGATCATACAAGAACGACCCAGAACCAGAGCTTAGAGCCGATCTGGTATACCAGTGGTAGCCTTTGCCTGCCTCGCTGTTCCCTTGACACTTCCTGCCGTTCGCAAATGTCCGCTTGGCTAACAAGATACAACAAGACACCATCTGACAATATCGTGAGGTAGATACAGTCACTGTGAGGAAAGGCCGCTCATTCGAATCGCTTTCGACCTTGACGTGGACAGTCCCGTCATCATAACCCCACACCCAGAGGTTCACTAGCCAAGGCAAAGCAGACAATCCGTTGGATATCAAGCGAGAACGCAAATTATTGCCACGGGAGCTTTCCGTTTGTTGGACAGCCATTTGTGATCTGGGTCGACGCTCTGTCGCGACCTGCCATCTTTCTGGAGGAGGCTGAAACTCCTGATTCCCTACCTGATCACTTCTCTGCAGATACATTGCGTAAGTCATAGCTTTCAAAACCCTGCATCTTTCAAAAACTTACAGAGAACGGTAGGTCATATCGCCTGGTGATCTGGAGAGCTTATCTGGCGAGATCGCTTGCGCGTATAAGCTGTTCGTTTCGTCCTCGTGGCCAATAGCGCAAACACTGTGAGAAGCAGCCTTTTTTCTTTCGACTGTTGCCCCAAGCTTCCTGCTGCCCAAACTACACGGATGTTCCACAGCAGCTAAGCTCCCTTCTGTTCCTGGGTTCTGGTTCAAGTCCAACCTTGACGAGCACATCGCGACGAAACTGCAAAAATAGTCCGGCGCCCTGCCTCATATCTCAGTGCATCTTTTTTTGAGCGATGAAGATACACTCTCTGCTCAACCCGTGTCGGGGCGATGAGGGAAATGGGCATCGCAGCTCAACGTCTCCGACACCAGCACCTACGCCGCGTCCGGTGGCTCCATACGCATCAGTCCCAAAACGACAGAAGATTCCCAAAGACGCACCCGTCTTCTCTGAGGGTACCAAGGTCGTTGGACATGTGAATTATCCCCCTTACGAAGGTGATGAAGATGGCACCCTCCTTCTCCAGCATCGTCGGTTCCAGTTGTTTCCAATGAGAGAGATCAAGAAGAAGGGGGTTCGTCATATCCCTTATAATAGCGACAAGAAAGATTTCCTGTACAAGACAGGACGGGAGGCTTTCGAAAGCAAGTCAGCATTTCCAAAGGAGAAACCACTACTGACTTGTTGGCAGTGTTCCAGTACATTTATAAAGTGCCAGGCGAAGACAAGGAATACGTTGTTGTCTGGGACTACAACGTTGGCTTAGTCCGCATGACGCCGTTCTTCAAGTCGCTGAAACATTCGAAGGTCGGTCAAATATTCCTGCTTGCCTTCTGATGTGGATACTAATCTCCTCAGACGGTACCCGCAAAAGCTCTGAGGGAGAACGCCGGGCTGAAAGACATCAGCTACAGCATCACGGGAGGAGCCCTGGTATGCCAAGGTAAATTTCTCCTTAAATACTGTAGACAAGTTCCTTACCAATCCAGGATACTGGATGCCCTATCAGGCCGCCAAAGCCATTGCTGCGACATTCTGTTGGCACATCCGCTGGGTTCTCACGCCTGTGTTCGGATACGACTTTCCCGAGACGTGCCTCCAACCGGACGATCCGGGATACGGCAAATTTCTCATCGCTCCTGAGATCGTGCAGGGATGCGCCGACGAGACGAACCGCTTCAGACAGGAGGGATACGACTATCAGATCTCAGACCCATTAGGAGTGGCTACGTTGCAGACGCCACAGCTACCAACTTTGAACACGCCGTGGGAGCCTATGTCGCATCGCCCAAGAAAGTCTGAAGAAAGCGGCTATTACACCGGTGGCGATCAGAACGAGAGATCGACCATATCGCCACAAGTATCACCACGAGGCTCAGCGTGGATATCTGCTTGGACGTCAATTAACGGCTCAAAGTCCCCTTCATCGTCGCCAATCGTTCACTCTCCGACTTTCGATCGTGTGGCGAGCGAACTTCCGTCTCTCCACCAGCACTTGCGCGAGCATGGGGTGCCCTTGCATCGACAGCCGACTTCTGTTCAGCGAGGTCATTACCATGAGCATCTTTCCGCGAAGAGACCACATTCAGAAATCAACGTTTACGATTGCCGAGTCAAAAACTCGAATCCCCCTCACAATCTGACGTCAAGGCCTGAAGTAATCGGAAGCACTGCAGTGAGCGACATCCGTAACCGCGACCGCACCAAGAAGGAGCTCGAAGCAGCAAAGATCATCCTTCAGCTTAGTGCGGCTGATCAAGATCTTCCGGACACGAAGCGCACGCGTCGCGGTTCGCAATACTGAAAAGTAAAATCTACTTCACAAACTGGGACGGTCAGTGATAACCGTGTCAGATACTTTGCTTATGTGCACGCATGTTGGGTCCTTCCTTGGGATATGACATTGGGTCAGGGTTCTGGAGTTTTAGATGGGTTGGAGGTGCTTCATTGCTCAAGGACATTCATCATTCATTTCGCGGGTTTCCTGTCTGTTTGTAAGTCTGCAAGTCAAAGATCGCAATCTTCTGCAGTCTCAGTCAAGGGTAGTTGCATTTCCACAAGAATAGCATAGTGACAGATATCTCATGGCAAGTTTAAAAGTGTATTTTGCCGAGTGGTGCTCATCAGCTCCACATACCGACGTGAATTACTATACATGTCCTAAGCCTTCTTTGCCTGTGCCTTGAGTGAAGCAAATTTCTTTTTGCTGCCTTCCAATGTCTTCTCTTCGTCCCAGATGTATGTTACACTGTCGTGTTTGATAACCTCAGCAGCCCACTTGGAGAAATTCGGGAGTCTGTCGAGCCCGTCGGTGACTGACTTCGGAAGCAGACCGTGCTTGGCGAAAGCGTACAGACGCAGGATGAATGGTGCAACGATGGCTTCGGCAAAGGTCAACTTTGAGCTCCCGCCAAAAAATGGCGCCGCATCTTTGAGCAGGGGCTCGATCTCTTTGTTGACGACGCCGATCAATTCTTGGGTCAGCTTCTCCTTCTCCTCCTCGGAGTCCTCTAGTGCGATTTTGAACCAGAAGCTACCAGCTTTGGTCGTCCACGTGTCCGTGAAGAAGTTGATGCGAGCGCGCTTGAGGGCATTATCCACTGAGTCAGATGGTGGGAGGAGATGTGACGGGTAGGCGTCAGCCAAGAATTGAGAGACAATAGCGGACTCAGTGATGATTTCGCCATTGAAATTTATCGAAGGGACGAGGCCACGCTGGTTGGGGAGAGACGATTAGCGAGAGCCAGTTTTTAGTGTGTCGTTTTGTTGTCGTACGATAAGGATTAGTGGTAACAGCACGCTCGAGTCGAAGAAAGGACGATGACCAGTCCTCGTCGCATAACAGGTCATATTTATGAAGGCGCAACTTACTGGGTTGACTTCAAGATACCAAGGTTCTCTTGGTTTGGCCAAATCAATGATGACTTCGTCATATTGCAATCCTAGCTCTTTTACCACGATATGCGCGCGATGCGCGTAAGGACAACCGTGGTTGGTGTACAGAGTGATTTTTGGTGCGTCTCCGTTAAGGACTGCCATCTTGTTGTGGTCGTCAGATTTGCGAGGAAGCGGGAATTGGAAAGGCGATGGGCGATGCTTAGCGACACTGTGCGATGAGTGATGAGATCACAGGTTTATCTGGGAATAAGGCAACTTGGAGGAGATTAAGTATGCCGGTTCTCCACACACGGTATGCTGTAGAGCTGTGATGCTAAGCATGCTGCTTAGAAATGCAGCGTCTAGTGAGATGGCGTCAACTGGGTTGGCGGTGATACGGCAGAAGCTTCCCCGCAGCTGCCACGCTAACACCATATGGTCTCATGAGCTGTACCACGGCGGACCAGTATTGATCCGGTAGGTCTCAAGCATCGGACGAAGTGATGGAGTCTTGATGCCTCCGACATGGTTTCTTGAATTTGACACTTTGCGCCTTTTCACAAGCCGCGACAAAACTGCCAAAACACAAATAGTTCAAGTTGCAAGGGAATTACTTTCTACGATCCCGAGAGCAGGCACACGAAGGCCAATAAGTCAGAGATGCTCAGAAACATGTATCATAGATGGCTTTACAGGTAAAATATGCTGATATGCCGGGGTATCTTCGATTTCCAACCTTAACGCCAATTGCCTCTCTCGATCTGATCCTTGACCCTTCCAGTACAATGTGTATGCTCGCTATTCAAAATCCATCCCAATCATCCTTCTTCGCCCGCCTCTTCTCATTTCTTTTCTGCCGCTTCGCCTCCCGCTCCTTATCCTCCGCCTCTCTCCGCTGATCCAGCCTCTTATCCAGATCCAGCTCTTCTTTCTGCATTGCCTCTCGCCTCTTCCGACTGAGATACCTTAACCTCTCCCTGACCTCCTCTAGCGTCGCCCTCTTGACATCCATGCTCTGCCCCGTGTTGCTCAAGTGCTGCTTCGAGTTCAGATGCTCTATCCAACTCGGACTATCCCTCAGCGTAATGTCGCAGGCCTCGCAGTAAAACCCTGCGGATTTTCCACGCTTTCCTACGCCTGAGCCAGCGGGGACGAGCATGGTTTTCCCGACCAACGAGGCAACGTCGACGCGCGAAGTGCGCACTTCGGCCATCCTGAGATCCTCAGGTGTAGAGGCGCGACGCCGGTAGGAGCGCCCTTCTTGTTTGGCTTCATAGCGGGCTTTCCCTTCATCGCGCTCGCGCTGTTCGCGTTCTTTGGCAAGTACCGCGTACTTTTCGCGGTCGTACGTTTTACGAAAGTCGGTATCGCCTCCGCCTGCTGCACCGCCGTAAGCGCCGCCCTTCTTATCCATCGCAGTGGTGTGAGGTGTGCGCCGTGACGATCGAAAATGTGGTATGCGTCGTGGAATTCTCAAATGACCGATGAGGTTGGAGGGTATGTAGTATCGCTTAGAATGCGCGCGAGTATGAACAGCGAGTGCTGGCTGACCATAGAGGGTTCGTGTGCGTGCAGTCGCTGTGAATAGTCTTGAGTAAACTTTGGGAAGCCGGCAGCTCGAAAGCTTGATGTGGAACTAACCTACTTCGGCTTCCCTCATGCTTAGTCACATTATCTTGGCATAGAAGTCGCGGACAGGGTAACGTCCGGACTGTGGTAGGCCCGTGGAAATATTTAACATGGGATACATGATCACTATCATATGAGCATCTGTATATGGCTATTTACATGCGTGCGGAGCGGAAATATTAAGTCAAGAACGCAGCAGAAACCGCAACTCCGTGCTATGCTTGAAATGTTGGTACCCGAAAACAACAGAACCGCCAACGGCCTTGCAGCGTTGAGAAGCTTGCAGTGGGTGGGGATAGAACGCCAAATATGCTAGTCATGAAAGTCGTTTCTTTCGTGTTGCGAGAATGATACGGGTAGGGAAGAAATATGATGTCGAGCCTGCGAGCAGCGTTGTGGCGCACCAGCGCGGGCAGCAGTCTGTCGGCCGATGAGACTCTTGTGCTCCGCTGATCGGGTTCAGGCATGTGGGGCATCCAGGATCGTGGTAATGACCTACTTAGTACCCAGGATACATGGGTGGTGGACGAGGGTACCCTCCGCCGATGGGAGGAGTCGGTGCAGCGGGCGGGCCTCTCACTCGCCCTAGGACTGCATGCATGGGCGGTTCATCCCTATGTCTCCCTCTTTCCACAGGTGCCAGCGAGCTGTCCCTTCTCTTCTTTTTCTTCTCCTTTGCTATTTGACCCGCAAATCCTCTGTCCGCATATCCCGCAGCGGCAAACGGAGGCTCCACAACCCGGGGTGAGCGTTCGTCTGGTAGTTTCAGCTGTACCAAGCCGTAAAAGTAATCGAGGACGTCTGGATAGCGGAGCACAGAGGCGCGCCAGTCAGCATCGATGCCCCGCTTCAACTCAGCGTGCGCCTCGGCAATCTGGCGCTGGAGGTTCTCGATGTAGATGGGATGAATCGGCGGGTGCCCTGAATACTGCATGTAGATGGTGTAGTTGGGCAGGGTCGCAAGATAGGCCGAATGCTGGGCTTTGCGCGTCGACGTAAGGCGCTCGAACTGATTCAAGATGTGCTGTCGTGCGTGCGAAATCACCCAGTCCCTGTCCTCAATGAGCAACCATCGTCGAGCTAAGCATAGAGCATATGTGGTACTGCGCACCGTATCTCGGTCAGCTTCTCCTCCATGGCGCGGTTTTCAGCCTGCTTGACCGCGATCTGCAGGCGCTCCGACTCGCAGGGACATTCTGGATAGGCGGGCGCATTACAAATGGCACAATTCGGAGCCGCATCCATCTCAGCACGTAGTCATGAATCAGTCGCTGCTGGCATTATTACCGAACATCCAGTGGGCAAAGTAAAGCTTGTGATTGCGATGTCCCCCGCGATGGTGGGGTTACGAGAGGGGTGAGCCGGGGCGCCGCGTTCGGTGAGGCTTCGTGTGCTTCTGTGCCGTTTCACAGCACTCGAGGCGGTTCAATGCCCTTAAGCAGAGCGAAGGCGGTGACAGAGAACATGCTACACGATGCTGTGGACACTGCACGCCTGCGGGTCTGGCTAGCTTTGCATGTATTGGGCCGCTTGACAACGGTGCGATGCGTGCAGTGATGCGTTGGCATTCGTCGCTAGTTCGCGCGGATCTTTGGCGGGACAGCCTTGTCCGGGTCTCTCATCGTGCGCGTACCTGTTCTATGATCGATGAAACTGCCGCGAGCGGCTGTATCCGAGACAGGGCACCATGGTTCGCGGCTTCTGTGATGGGGCCAGGTAAAACTGTGGATATGAGCGACCCTACCATGGATGGGATTGGGGCGGAGTGGCAGACCATCGAAACACAGCACGCATTCTGCAATGCACGTTCGTCCTCCGACTGACCAGCCAACGGGCATGCACGCGTTGGCAATATCGGAAGCTCCACATCAAATGCAAGCAAGAGCAAGTCCAAGATGATTTCAGCGAACAGTGCGCAGCGGTCCTCTTATCACAGATCGTCACCTGGGCCAGGCATCAATGTTTAGGAGGACCCAGCCACGCTGCGCCTGAGGCCGCACTTTCGATTGCAACTTTGACTGCGTCTTCCGTATTTTGCTTAATTCTATCCGAGGTTCACAACTGCATCATCGAAACGGGGTAGGCGAGTATCGTGAAGCAGCCCCTTCCGCATTGGTCCAGCTTACTAGGGTACTCAAGTGCTCTTCTTCTTGCAGTTGTTCAGCAATGCCAGGCATGCCTTCATACTTCGAAACTCCTCGAGGACTTGCCTTGGGCACGGCGTATTTACACTCAATAGCGTTGATACCGAGAAGCGGCCCTCAAAGGGCCTGAAGTCAGTCGGTCGTTCTATTGGCTACAACCGGAATATGCGATGGGTAGGGACAAGAAGCTGAATCTACCATTATCGCTGCCACGTTATATAATGTCGAGCGAAGCACCACTTTCTGTAGATTACGAACAATATCGCTATATATCGCTGAAAGGCTTCACAAGGTCTGAAATGCTAGACATGCATTGCTTTTGCTGAAACGCACGTGTCTCTGTACCTTGAGCACGCAAGCGCGAGCATAAATGATGTAAACCGTGTCTGATCACGAAGCCCACCTGGGCACCAGTCGACGTTCTACATGACCCAGTAGACTCTGGCACATGAGACAAAGGTGCGATATTAGCTTCGAACGCATCATTGATGCTTTTGGGGGTACTTAACTATCATCGTGCGCAAATGTCGCATGATGGACGGAAATGCGGCGATCCATTTGGACGTGGATATCCCATTGCGCACCATGTCGAATACAAAACATGGCGAGGAGAGTACCTCTCCAATCAGAGACTCTTCATCGCCTATCCTGAACGACGCCACGGACAATTATGACACTTTTCAGGACGGCATAGAAGAGGATGACTATTCGGCGGCAACAACATTGCTAGGAGATGGCAAGTCGTCGGCGCTCGCGTTACCGAACAGTGAGAAGAGGTTCTGGTTCCAGAGGTCTCATGGTCTATACAATCCAGAACAAATAGCGACTCAGCCATCTGTCTTCGACGATCCGGAAACTTTGCAGGAGTACAGACCACCACCTACGTGGGAAAATGCGCATCGCTTTGATCCGAGCGCGCGATGGACTTGGGGCGAAGAACATTCCTTAGTGCGCAAGATCGATCTTCGTATCATGACGTTTACTGCCATTATGTTTATGGCCCTCGAGTTGGACAGATCCAATCTGAGCCAAGCTCTAGCAGACAATATTCTTGAAGATCTGCAAATGACTACGAACGGTAGGAGTGGTACGATAGAAAGTGGTGTTCATTGCTGATAGAATCAGATTACAACCTCGGGAATACTGTCTTCAAGCTGGCTTTTCTCTGTGCCGAGCTTCCCTCGCAGCTCGTAGCAAAATGGGTCGGACCTGACATCTGGGTGCCCACACAAATGGTAGTCTGGTCCTTGGTCGGCTCGTTGCAGTTCTACCTGAAGGGAAGGACATCGTTTCTTTGGTGCAGGGCGCTGCTTGGTATGCTTCAGGGCGGGTTTATCCCGGAGGTTATATCCCACCCAAGCTCGATGCATGATTTCAGACTGATCGGCAGCAGGTGATATTGTATCTTTCGTATTTTTACAAGCACCATGAGCTTTCTCTACGCCTTGGCTTCTTCTGGACTGCCTCCGCGTTGGCTGATGTGCTTGGAGGCTTCCTGGCATTCGGAATATTGCACCTTCGTGACGTGGATAACCAGGCTGGTTGGAGGTGGCTTTTTCTCATAGAGGTAAGCGTTTTATCTGATTGTCGTGGATTGCAACTTAATTAGGCAGGGTTTACTCACTCTTGTTGTTGGCCTTCTGGCCTTCCTCCTTATGCCATCCAGCCCAACCAGCACTTCTGGCTGGCTACGCGGCCGCAAGGGCTGGTTCACCAAGCGCGAAGAAGTCATCATGGTTAATCGAATTCTACGCGAAGACCCTAGCAAGAGTTCCATGCATAACCGCGAGGCCCTCACCCCGAAGCTTCTCTGGCAAAGCATGAAAGATTACGACCTTTGGCCAATCTACATCTTGGGATTGACGTTTCAAACACCCATGACGCCTACGAACAACTATCTTACTCTCATACTTCGGGATATCGGCTTTGATACATTCAAAACCAATCTCTTAATAGTGCCGAGTAAAGTGCTTCACGTGGTGACGATGCTCGGCCTCACATATGCAGCGGAGATTTTTCGCGAGCTCACTTTGACGTCTCTCATCGGTCAGCTATGGGCGCTGCCGTTCATCATCATCTTGAATGTTTATGATCTGACGGAGATCAATAAATGGCTGGCATGGACGGTTATGACGCTCCTTCTCTGCTATCCAAATGGTAGGCATCCACCGCGTGATGCGACGTGGCAGAAACTGACAAGATCACGTATAGCACATCCCATTCAAGTGGGCTGGAATTCCCGGAACGCAAACAACGTTCGCGCACGCACAGTGTCTGCTGCAATATACAACATGTCTGTTCAGACGTCCGGTATCATCGCGGCGAACATCTATCGCGAGGACGATGCGCCCAAGTATAGGCGTGGAAACCGTGTTGTCCTTATTTTATGCATAGTTAACATCTTCTTGTACTTGGCAACCAAGGCTTGGTATGTGTGGAGGAACAGGCAAAGACAGAGGGTCTGGCATGGTATGAGTGAGGCAGAGAAGCTGAGGTATCTGAGAGGAACGAAAGATGACGGGAACAAGCGACTAGAGTTCCGATTTGACCATTGATAGACTAGATCTCTGTTGAAGGAGCAGTGCATAGAAGTTCAGTGGACTTTGGATCGTCTAGGTAAGGGACATCTAATTGTTGTCAACCAAGAATATTGACTTAACCAACCTATGAGTGCAAGTGTTGTCGGCCTTGTCCGAGTGGAACACCAGCTGGAGCAATCCTTGGATGCCAAGCGTTGCACCTCTTTTTTTTTTTTTTTTTTCGGGTTACCGCGAACCCGCTGTTCACCAACACCCCCAACGTGAGCTTTATCGTCAGACCTCACGGCACATGAATCACCTCTTCCTCTCCGTGAATGTCTCATCACACGACAAAGATATTTCGTAGCCCTGCCTGCAGATGATGATGATGATGATGATGTTGCTGCTGACAGACGCGTGCAGTTACTGGTTCTGGCCACGATGCAGGGTCGCTAACGTGTGGTCCACCGCTTTTCGAGATGGTGGGCGGGCGAATCGGAGGGATAAAGGAGAGGTGCTGTGGGGCTTGTCAGCCGATGAACTGCCATGGTGCGATGCGCTAGCTAGGTTTCGTGGTAAGAGAAAATACGACTGTAAGCTTCCACGTAAGTATGAAAGGCTGCCGAGGCACTGAAGATAGTGCGCGATAGATTTTCCATGGTGCATATCCGCTACCTTCAGTGGTAAGTATGGTATCTTCCGCACTTGTTGGCATGCGGCAGTATGCAGGTCACAGTGGCTGACACAAAAAAACAGGTGTCGGCGCACTTCATCCTGTGCTAACTTAAAACACTACACAATTGTGAACTGTACACCCATGGCAGTGTGCCTCACAGATGCCCTTTTTTAGACCACTGTGAGTGATGGCATCGACTAATCAACTTCTGTAGGAAAGAAGCAACATAGTCTCTCCAAACTTTGAGAGGATCATGTATACGCCAACATTGAATACACAGAACGCCTGACTCAGCCGAAAGAAATATTTGACGCCGATATCCGGAAAGCCGAAAGGATGCCCCAACTCCGCACTCTAAGCTGCGCACAGGCCGCTTGTCAATTCCACGCCCTGCGGTTGTCGTCTCTGGACAGAACGAGCCTAGCGTCTTCGTCTCGAGGCAGTCGTGACTCCAATACAGGACTCTTTTCTTACTCACATCGCACGTAGCTCTGCGACATCTCCTCCATGCCTTGAGCCTACTTTCACGCCCTATTGTCAATCCTGTAGATTCGGAGGGCGTATTATCCTTCCAGACTGATTCGCTAGTCCATCCTCACTCTCATGCCACGGCCGAGGAAAGTTTGCTCAACATGACCACGCCCAACGCTCAATCCGATATGGCCCAATTTTTCGATTTCGGAGAGGCCTCTTCGATATTTCAGGAACTTGGATCTCCGCTCCCGAGCCGGCCGGCGTCACGTGTCAGCAAGCATCGCGTTGGTTGTCCTGCTTACGGCCAGGAAGACGATGAGGGGTAAGCGCAACTTTCACACTTCAACACCCTGCTTGGAAGATGCAATGGAATTTGTTATAACTTGATTACGTATGGAAGGTCCGGGGTCTTGCAAAATACGGTCTGGAGGCTGTTGTGTTCCACCGGCTCCAACTAGGTTTATCCACGATGCCCATGACTTCTTACCACAGCGACTAGCAGTCCTCCGAAGATCATTGCATCCCTGGCCTTGGTATTGAAGGAAGCTCCAAGATGAATCTTGTAGGAACAATTGCTGATGAGGTCCAGGTGCCTTTGTGCTTCCTTCAACCAGGACGTATCACTCCCGGACGCGCTACATGATGACATCGTTCCTGAAGAGGAGTTCAACACCGACTTCTCAAGTTGGTGAGTTCAAAATCCCGCACTATATCTTGATCACCTATTCATTACCTCAGGCTCCCTAGATATCAAAAAGCACCACATCCATGCGATTACTGCCGATTAAAATCACTCGAGTGTTTCATGTACGACGTTGGTAAGGGCAAGTCATCTGGATGCTCGCCCTGTAATGCTTTATTCCGCCCCTGCAGCTTCACCAATCCCGAGAAGATGCCTATGCAAATGAAGCGGACAGCCTTGGACACACTGCATAGTGTGGCTGAGGTTAGCGAGAGGACGTTCGGCGGCTTCACTGGAAAGAAACCCATGCGTTCCCTCGGTCATCAAGGGCCGATTGAGGAAGGTGAGGCCGACGGCCAGGGACCAAAGAAGGGTGCTGCAGCTGCCCGCTTTCCACGTGCGGCGACCAAGATTCTGAAAGATTGGATGATCGCGCACATCGACCACCCTTACCCAACCGAAGAAGAAAAAGAAGCTTTAGGCCAGCAGACTGGTCTGTCTTTGGGCCAGATCTCAAACTGGATGGCGAACACGAGGCGAAGGCATAAGGCGCGACCGAAGCGAACATCATCCCCTAGCTTGCGGCCAGTGACCGAGCCGGTCAACGTTCCCCCGGGGCGAACCTGGGAGTCGCTGAGTCAGTATACCCCTTCTACCTCTTCCTCTAACAGTCACGGCCGGTTCTTTAAATACCGCCTGGACGATCCGAGCCAGCACACACCGTCCCCAGCTGCGGTTCAGCAGCAAATGAGTCAGAATTGACCTCAGACAGATCCTTTCGAACGATGGAAGCACTCTCCTCCTGAGAACGAACCGGCTCCTCTGCTTGCTATTGCTCGCAACGTTGAGACTTTCGACTTCCCTAACGATGGCGATCGAAGCAATGCGAGTAGTTACAGGAAGGAGAACTCGAACGATAGCACCGGCAGTTTCTCCGTATTCCGTGCACCCTCGATCACCTCTCTAGACACTGTCCCCACGATTCTATCTTCAGGATCTATCGGCTCGTCTACTTCCGCAACTTACTCACAAAGCTCGCGACACTCTCTCGGTTCGTTCAACAGCTTGAAGTCGAAGGAGAGGCGCAGGCGACGACGGATGCCAACTCGAACGCCGAAACACGACGCGGAAAGTGACACGCGCCTTTTCCAATGTAAGCTGTCCTCTTCTGCACACTTATTTTTAAGGTTTTTGCGAGGCTTTTGTTTTCGACAGCGCCAAGCCACCCTTCCTTTACTTACATCAGGCAGGCACCTTTTGCACTGATCGCTTCAAAAACAAATATGACTGGACCCGCCACGAGAAGACTCTCCATCTATCTCTCGAAAAGTGGATATGCGCTCCACTTGGCGACGTGATCACCTGTTCGTCTTCTGGACAACGCAAGTGCGTCTTCTGCGACGAGATCAATCCCAGCGATGCCCACCTGGAGTCACACAATCACCGTGCATGCGAAGAGAAGGGCATGGAAGCACGTACTTTCTATCGTAAAGACCACCTGAGGCAACATCTTCGCTTGATGTAAGCACCTCTATCGGACATTGCATCCTCAAGCTAGAACCCGTACTGACTCTTGACCTAAGGCACGGCTGTAAAATGACCCCCAGCATGGAAGCTTGGAAGGCGGAAGCTCAAGTCATCAACTCGCGCTGTGGCTTCTGCGCCAAAACGTTCGAAAAATGGCAAGATCGGTGTGATCACCTCGCGAAAGAGTTCCGCAATGGAGCAACCATGAAGAACTGGAAGGGCTGCAGGGGCTTCGACCCACATGTTGCCCAATATGTCACCAATGCCATGCCACCCTACCTGATCGCGAATGAGAGCAAATCTCCCTTCCCTTTCTCCGCCTCGAACTCATCCTCTATGAAACATCCCAGCATGGACTTAGGCCAAACCGACCTTGAAGTCCTCCTACCCAACGGTAACGACATTTCTCCGAAGACAAGCAGCTTCACCGTGAACAACTCTTCCAGGTCGGGAACAACGCAGCAGCCTTCGCCCTATACAACTTCACCCAAGTCTCCTCATCCGTACGCGACCTGCTGGGAGATACTCACGCTGCGGCTCGGTCAATTTGCGCGTGAGAGTATGGAGCGCAATGGACCCGGTTCGGTCACGGATGCAATGCTTCAGAGTGAAGCACGGCGCATCCTATATGACACAGACGACGCATGGGAGCAGACGGCAGCTGACAACCCGGAATGGCTCAATCTCTTCAGGAAAGCTCACGGCATGGACCTCACCCAACCGAAAGCAATCGCGGGCCATTATTCCAGCCATGAGGTCTTGGAAGATCTAGGCTTGACGCCTAATGCACAGCTCGACCAGAGCTTCGATCTCAACAACTTCCACTGTATCACAAAAAGGTTCAGCGACCCTGTAGCACGCGCGCGTGCGTTCGAGTGCACATTGGCTGGCAGCATGGCGATATCGAAAGCGGGAGAGATGTCGGTCCCGATCACACACATGCCCGGTCTCACTACCTCTGCCACTACATCGGGTGCTTCTAACCTTCCCATACCTAGCTTCCCCGACTTTGGGAATTCAAACGTAGCCACAGACGATTTGGAAGGCACCGGAGCTGGCGGTTTCTGCATCGGCTCCGATGGCGAGTTCCATGCCACTTCGGCGCCTCTTTCGAAGAGCTACGCAGCCTTCATGACGCCTATAAAAGAGATGTCGTGCAATGCTGCTGGTGAGGCAATTGAACCTAGCTATGGCTTCCCTGCTTTCACGACAGCTGAATTTGACTTCGATATGGCGACGACGACGGCAGGGTTAGGAGCGAACTTGACTGCAACATCGGGCTTTGGCGATTTCGACGTGAGCGCTGGTACGACGATGGATAATTCGCAAATGCTGCCGTGGGATGACAGCGATTTGACGTTCAACATGGACATGGACATGGATATGGATCTTGGTATGCCTGCCACCTCGGGAGCGTGACTTCGTGTGGAGCACAATGGGAGACTACTGTGAATATGTTTGCTTTTACATTCTAATGGATCTGGAGTTGGCGGTTTCGGGATTTTACTGGCAGCTTTCAGCTTTCGGGGATCACACAAAATGCGACGGCCTTCTATACACGCCATGTCATCGAATAGATAATGATAAACCTAATGATGCACACGGCTACTGTCAGACCTCGTCTTCCTGCGATCTGTTCACACAACTTAGCCTCATAATAATCTGTAAAGCTTGCGTAAAATGTACTGCATTGAGGATTTTGAATGGAGTGCTGTATAAAAAGAGGACATTTCTTATCGAGCAGTCTTCCATAAGTCCGGGCCAATTCTGACCGATAAAAGAACCAGCGACATTCGTATGGTGCTTTTATGGAATCCCCTCCCAAAAGAAAAAAAACTAAAAACCTAAAACTGACCATGTCTCTCCATGTGGGCAGAAGTTTCCGAGTGGCTGCAGGGCGACAGATAACAGACACTTAAAATGATGGAAGAGAGATTTGTGCTGGGCTTGTATTGTCTAATAAATACAGCATCGTCTATCATAGTGGTAGAAGCCATGGAGCATCACAGCCTCATTCACAGCCAGTTTCAGTCACTGAAACTTCTTGGAGAGATAGCGAATGATGGTTTCGCGTCTGTCAATGAGGTTTCTCTTCGGACGGTACTGGCTTGGGATCTTTCGTCGCGCTTTCGACCTCGCCCGCAAACTGCCTCTACTACCGAAATACAAGCTCCTGTATCCTATGGGGTCTCCGCGTCGGGCCAAAATCGGTTACAGATGCGAATCCTTTTGCGGCACGCTGGATCAATGAATCATTCTTGTATTGAAACAACGATATCTTGTCGAAGTATGCGTTTCATACCACGCAGCGGTGGCATGAATCCTCTCGCCCTGCTGCTGTTCGAAAATATCACCAACAAAGGCTCTATGGAAGTTCTCCCTATTGGACCAACACCACTTCGCACCCATGCTGTTCTGTGGAGGCTCACGTACAAATCAATCTTGCGAAGGGTTTGCAACTCAGAAAAGGTTTTGTGTCCAGGGCTGAAACTTAGGAACAAACGCCTTGATGGCGCGTCGGTTCCGAAAGACTTACTCTAGCTACATCATGGGGGATGTTTGGGCTCCCGCTAAGAGAGATCTCGTACCATCCAGATCGACACACTCAGAGCTTTCTGTCTTTCTAATATAGAGCTTATGCTCGTGTGTCTTACAAAAGAGACAGTTGTAGACCTAATGGTGGCGTGCTGGAGTTACTCCAAAGGAATCTAAATCCACATATGCGTCCTGTGGGCACTCGCTACCTGCACGAACTCTCATGAACAAGGCCAATGACAAGATTTTGATTGACCATGGAGATCGCGTGCCGGGTGCAGAAAGCTCAAGAGTATGATCCATTCTCTGTAGTCCGTGGGAGCTCCGAGAAGGTATTCATGCATGCAATCGCCGTGCGAGTATTGCCTCGCAAATTGGCCAAGAAGGGCCTTGATGTGATTTGCTGGTCGTGTTCCATATCCATGTATGCATATGTCTCGTATTATAGACATTGTGAACTGAGAGAAAGATCATGAGACTGGGCTGACCAAAGTGTGCTGGAAAGCCGCTGGTCGTCGCAAACAAGATGTCGTTGAATGCACACGGCACTGGCGGACGGTTGCTGAAGCTATCGGCTTCTAAGAGGAATTCATATTACTACATGAAACGCTAGTGTTGCGCACTGTACTCGCCGAAATATGATTGTTACTTGAACACATGATTTACTAATCGGGTATAGTAATTTTTCGGATCGATCTGTGGGGACAGCTTGTGGGAATGAATCGTTGTCTAGCTCACCTCCAGATGACTGCGAAGCATATCAAGATACAGAAATATTTGCCGGTGTTCAGCAAGACCAAACAGCCCAGATCACAAACCTATTCCATGGCTCCCAGGTCCCAATCCTCCCAGACCTTTAACCCCTCTCAGCACTTCCCTTACGCTGCGCCACCCTCTCCGCATGCTCATTCCAAACCATATCCATCTCCCCATCATCTACCTTCGCGCCCTCCAAAACTACCAAATCTACCAGCCCCTCCCTCACCCACCACCACGTCGGCAGGACCTCCATGCTCGCTAGCACCCTCAACCACTCCTCCGGCCACGCGATTACCTCCTCTCCGATGTGCGTCCAAAGCTGCGCACCATGCACTTTCAGGGAGAATTCGGAGAGCGCATCCTTGCACAGCGCAGTCCAGATGCTCTCTGTCATGGAATTGAGACGCGCGGATGTGTACGTTGTGGTCAAGTCAACGGACATTGATTGGGCGGCCATGAGGTTGGATATAACGCGCAATTCGTCCAAAGATAGTAATGGCTCCGAAGTATTGGTGGCGTGTGAGGGGCTGAGGGCAGGCCATGGCGCGGCGAGAGAGTTTGTGGACAGTATTTCCGTGGGCATGTGATGCTGGCGGATTGTTAATCGAGGATTTGCACGGAAGCATGATACGTACCTGCTCTACAGAATCTAGATCAACAGAAGACGATGCTTTCAACGCCTTGCGGGCACGTTTTCGCGGTGGCAAGACTTGCGTAGCTCTCTCGCGCTTCCTTCTTTCGCGTTCTGCGGCGCGCTCTGCGAGAACTTGCTTTGCGTCGCGAAGTTCAACATTTGCCTGCTCTGTTGAGGGCAGCGGAGTGTCTTCTTGGAGCTCGCCATTGATGTCGGGCGCGATTCTGCAGTTGGTGGCATTTTCGGAACGAGTATCTGTCCGATCGTCCGTGTCTAGGCCAGATATTGCAGATCTCTTGTGTGGAGGCGCGAGAGCCTCCGGATGCAGAACCTCTCGTCCAGCATCTAAACCGGCAGGCGCCGGGAGTGGACCATTTGAAGGCATAGATAAGTACGCAGGCCAGCCATCCTCCTCTTTCATATGCCCCAGCTGGATGCTGTCTTCCGCTCGACCCCAAGCCGCGGCGTTGTTGAGGCTGAAGTGGAGCTGACCTTCGATATCCGCCTACTTTGGTCAGTCTGCTAGGTTGAACATGTTGCGTGGCAGATGGCTACTTGCCTCGCGACCTGGGAGTAGTGTGTCCGTGGAGTATTGTAGTTTGTCATCCATTTCCTTCAGTTGTGGATCGACGATCGCCTGTTCTTGTCCGAACAATTCTCTTTGTTATGCACGGGGTGAAGCCAACGTCGGATACGGGTAAAGGGACGGTGTTGAAAGACTTTTCTCAGCTTCGAATCTTGCTAGTGTTGTCGTGGAATAACCAAAATGTCTGGAGCCAGGAGCAAGAGAGAGGTGACTCAGTGTTCTTGCAAGCTATGAGTGACCATGACACACACGATTTGTTGTAGGTATTGACGCATAAGAGGTGCGCCGTCAGTGGTTAGTGGAAGGTCTTATTAGCCTGCGGTAGGATCTTTCTCGACAAGGTCCACTTTTGCTCCACTTTTAACCCTAAGCTGGCTCTCGTGTTAGCCTTATGTAGAAAGCGGCCGCACCTCTTATAGGTACGTGAATACCTACGGTATACCCAGGAGGCAACGTCGATACATAAAGCTCATGGAAATGGATGATGCGCATTCCTCAATTCTGCATAAGAGTAAAATGGGTATATCTACGGTTCCTTTGAACCACCAACAAGTCCCTCAAACGCCCCGAACTCATGCAATACACAAACGACCCGTAGACTCAATTGTCTTATGACTGTAGGGCCATTCGATTAAGCAGCGGCCTTTCCCCTCTTCGCGCGCGGCTTTGCAGCCTTTCTAGACTTGCGTGGCGCCTCCTCTTCCTCTTCATCCTCAGACCCACCTAAATCTTCTTCCGCAAGGTCTGCGTCCGCATCAGCCTTTGCCTTGTTCGAGCGGGTGCTGGTCTTTTGCTTCTTCCTCGCGGCCATGGCCTCGAACATCTCCTCGGGCGGTTCGTCCATAGGAGAAGTGCGCTTGCCTTCTCGTCCCTTAGGCGCGTACTTGGCTTCGAGGTGATCGAAGAAGTTGCCGTGCCGGGACTTTTGTCGCTGTGCGATAAGTGCAGCAAGGTCTCCCATGCCGCCGCCATCCTTCTTCTTGCTCTTTGGCTTCGGCTTGCCGGCCGTCTTCGCTGCCGCTTCCTCCTTGGCGTGCTTCTTGGCTTCCTTCTTGTCGAAATCGTCTCTCCTCTTCTTTTCCGCTGCTTTGGCCTTGTTGCGGGCTGCATGTGTGTTTTCGCGCTCGTACGCCTCGTACGACTCAATTGTACCCTTGGCAATCTCTTCATCCAGGATGCGCCTGAACCGGTCATCGTCGTCCAGAATGTCTGACAGCAGCACGTTCTCGTAGATGGCGTCAAGCCGGCCCTTGTACTTGGTGTACACATTCAGCAGGTCGCGCCTCTCCTCGGCGCTGTCTTTGTATGAGCTCGAGATCTTGTCGATGTTCTCCTGGTTCACCACGTCCTCAAACTGCTCGCGGTAGAACTTGAGCCAGTCAAACTCGCCGTCGTCCTCGAGCGTCTCGGCGGTGCTACCGGTGACATCGTAGCGATTGCGGCGGCGGTCGTCGGACAGAACGGCGTAGGCGAAGGCAATCTCTTGGAAAGCTTTGTTCGCGGCTTCCTTCTGGTCTGCGGGCGCCTTGTCTGCGGCCGTCAGCAATAGCTTTACTATGTCTGGCCCGGTGCCTACCTGGGTGGTGCTTGAGCGCCATCTTCCTGTATGCCTTTTTCACATCGTCGGCTGTTGCATCCCTCTCAAGACCCAGAACGGCATACGGGTCGATGCTGGGCGGGCCATCAGCCTCGAGGTCGGCATCTCCGTCCTCTTCCTCTTCGCCGTCATGGATGAACGGCTCCTCTTTGGGCTCTTCCTTGCGCGAATTTCTCTTTGGACGCGGCGCCATGTTGTGTGAGTCTGCGTGGCTAATTTACGTGGTAGCGAGAAAAGCCGGAAGTCAGCGCGCGTCGAGTCGACAACGCGTCGCGTCACGCAGTGAGGCGAGCACGGAGTTTGACCGGATCTAAGCCTTGGCCATTATACCGCCACACCAGGCATCACCGCATTTTCCCCTCACCGTCCACACCTTTTGACTTCTGATTCAGACTTCACTACCAGCCTTCACCATGTGCCTGCAAGATTCAGAATCTGCACTGGGGCCGCAAGAAACAGTCGAAATTGTCGTAGACCACAAGGCGCTGATGCAGGAAGCCCTGCAGGAAGCCCGACAGTCCCCACCAAAGCCATCCAATTTCTGCGTCGGCGCTCTGCTTGTGGACATGGATACAGGCGAAGTACTGTCACGTGGTTATACATTGGAAGTTGAGGGTAACACGCATGCCGAGCAATGTTGTCTCATTAAGCTCGCACAAGCGTACCGCCTGCCCGAAGAGCGAGTTGGCGAGGTGCTACCGCCCAGTACCGCCATCTACACCACCATGGAACCCTGCAACATGAGACTCAGCGGAAGTCTACCCTGTGTCGACAGGATCATCAGGACAAAGACCACGGATGGCAAGACTGCCATCAAGAAAGTTTATCTTGGCGTCAAGGAACCAGAAAAGTTCGTCGGCGAAAATCAAGGTCGGACTAAACTTGAAGAGCATGGCATTGAGTGTATTCATGTGCCCGGACTGGAAGAAGAGATATTGAAGGTTGCGACAGCTGGACACGAGAAATGAGATGCTTCGCGACCGGCGTTGTACCCAACTTTGATGTTCCGAACGACCTCTCTGGACCCGTATTGTTCAAAGCGACTTGCGGTCGGCACTGTCTATACATACAAAGGTCTCAACTCGCCAGAATCGCTAGGTCGAAAGCTTGCTAGGCGGACTCCGCCCTTGCTGCATGGTGTAGGCCGAGGTGGTCGCGTTCGGATGGCGCCTGAAAGCTTCGGAGATGGTCTGAGATCCATGCCAGGTTCTATTGTGTCCATTCGCCAACAATAAGCCTTTCCACATCCTGCATGAGGCCCTTCACTAAAACGTGCGTCACGAAAACTATATGTGGGGTGCCCAGAGTATTTGGATGAGTCTAGCGGGGCTTAACTCGATACGGCACGTCGCTTCGGGGGTCATCATAAAGGTCTATTGTCCAAAAGCAATTGCGATCACCAGCGTGATGCATATATAGGATGAGTAGGTCGATTATAATGGAAAGAAACTTCTCACCTTAAGATTTGTTTCAAGATGTCTCTAGAGAATTCGTATTTGGGTGCACTTCTCGCTGGTTTCTCGACCAATGTGTCCGGTTTATCTTGGGGATACTACAGCACTGCGCTGAACTTTGACATCAACAGAACAGGTCAGCCAGCAAAGGGATTGGCGCAAATCGCACAGTTGAAAGCTCACATCTGCGTCAGCTATCGAGCCACCATGCCAGGTGAACATGACAGATCCGAAGCTCGAAAAAGAGTACCTACATCCATACTACGACCATTTGGATTTATACTTCTGGGCTAAAGTAACGCCTATTTGCACTCAGCCGGCTTCGTAGCATTTGGACCCTCCTCCTTCGACATCATCGGACCCAACGCAAAGAGCGAACACGTCCAGCACCTCCTCCACGCCGAAACCTACGAGTCGCGCAATATCACGACCTCGCCGCCCATCACCCAAGCACATGGATGTAGTTACCGTAACGGCTCGCTGTACATCGCTACAGCTGGCAGCAACGGCACCTGCACCTCGATCTTTAAAGTAAACCCCGACAGCAACGTCGACGTCGACGTCACGTCTATCAACTTGGGCCGCCTGAAATCCACATCTGCACTCCGCCCGCCACCATCCACGCCTTCTCCACCACCTCCAGCTCCCCCATCCTGCGCGACCAGCGGCTGTTTGCGTATCCGATCTCGCGCTTCTACGACAGGGTGCGGGTCAGTCGGAACAGGTATGTGTTGTTTGCAGCGAGCAGTCATAGAGTGGATTTTATTGATGGGGGGAGGCGGGGGGTCATGGGGCGGTGATTGTGGCGTTGGGTGACCATATGTTGTGGACTGTGGGGAGGGGGAGGTGTATGGAGGGTTGGTGGTATCAAAGAACAGCTAAAGAGGGCGTGGTAAAGGCGGCCTCGAGAGCGCTTCTTGGCTAGGAGTGACATAGATTGGCAATCAAGATGAACGCGAGTTGGTCCTTCCAAAGGGTCATGTTGAACAGAGCATGAATCATAGGGTATCGATGTGGATATTTGGACCTTAAACCCGTTCTCCCATTCTCCTAGACTCTGTTGACTCCTCAAATGAGGAACTAGAATCTAGGAATAAGCATGGGCGTCTCCTTCTTCCACTTCTGGTAGTCCTTCCTATCACCATACTTCTTATCATACTTGTTCTCGCTCAGCGGAATCCCGCTCACCTTGAGCAGGAGAAACGCCACAAACGCCGGGCTTGCAGCGCACATGCCCGCAACCAGCATCTTCCCGCTCGCGCCGCTCAGTCCCAAACCCGCCTGCGCTGGCTGACGCAACAGAAGCCCTGACGCCGCAATCGCGAGGCCGCTCCACAGCGTGATCTCGCCAAAGTAGTTGGGATGGCGGGACTTGGACCACAGCCCGCGCGTGAGAAACTCCTCGGAGTGCTTCTTTTCTTTCTTCTCTTTGCTCCACTGAGACTTTTGGCGGTCGGCGATGACCTCGAAGGTAAGGCCGAAGACGAAGACGGCGAGGCCGAGGAGCTCGACGGGGTACGGCTTTGCTGATACGACCGGGGGGACGTGGGAGGTGACGTTGGCGAGGCGAGAGAGGGCGAAGGCAGAGCGGGGGAGACTGTTGACGAGGACCACGGGGAGCGTGCAGAGGGAGACCCAGGTTGCTTGGGCGAAGAAGGCGCCGTAGAATTTTGCGGGCGAGGTGCGGATGTTGTCGAAGCGCGAGTCTGTACCTTGGTCTTCGGTGATGCGTTTAAAGAGGAAAGACCCCACTAAGATCGTCAATTTTTGCTCTTGGGGGGGTTGTAGGGGGTGCATACATCGCGTAGCCCAGATTCCCACCGCAGCGCTCAGCATGGCGTGTCTCCACCACCACAAGCCCTGGCCCGGCGCAGGCGCACTCAAGTACTCTGACAAGCTACCGGCGAAAGCTCCCGTGCTCTTTGCGCGCAGATACGGCATGAAGAATGAAAGGGCTGTGCAGGAGAGATACGTCAGGCTGCCGCTGAGGTCATAGAACCGTTCCGTCTGTGCCGCAATCGAAGGTACGGCTACGGCGGTCTGAATGCCATATGCAAGCGCGACTGAAGGTACCAACGTCCTCAGAAGCGGGGTGCGAAACGCCGTCGCGTGGAGGAGGGACTGGAGAAGCGGCATTGTCAATGTCGCGTGCCTCTCGCGTGTGAAATGGATTAGAGGGTGTAACGAAGTAGGTTGTCTGTACTTGCGGCAGACGCCCGACCTTATGTATTATCGCTCGGACAGTTGTAAGCACCGGTTCCGTGATGCGCTGTTTCCATTCATGCCGGTCGTCCTTCTGGAACGCTGAGATTCGCTTGGGTCTGATAATTAGGGCCTAGATGCGCGACGCGGATCGATGACCTCATCATGCCAGCTTGGCCCACTACATGGTAAACACCGAATTCACCTTCTCGGTATACACTTCGCGCCGTCGATGTGTAAACTATAAGTGAAGGAAAATCCAACTTTTAATTATTTCCGCATTCACGTGGCTGGACCACAGAATTCCTACGTAGATTCAATAGTGCGCTGGCTGACGGAGAATGAGTCAACTACGCCGGTCCACGGTCAAGACAGAACAAAAAGCAGCAATTCCCTACACCAAGGACAATAATGAAAACTCCATGCTGTACATTATATACATCCTCATAGAACATCTCCAACCATGGCCCACCAGGCGCACGCTATCCCCTGGCACACCCTAACATCCAACCTCGTCTACCTCCACCGAACCCCCTGCAACCAAGGCACCACAAACCTCTACCTCCGCAAAACCAAAGATCCGAACCAAGTAAAGCAAATCCGGCACTTCGTCCGCGGCTTCGCCCGCGCGCTGTCCGCCTACGCCACCATCGAGCGCACGAAATATACCCCGGATCCAACGCCTCCAGATGACCTGGATGAGATACTCATATCCGACGCTGCTGTCAGAAAGATGGCAAAGACAGTGCTGAAGTACAAGACCGACGACAATTGGAGCTTCAGGGGCCCAAGCGAGAACACCTTCACGCCCCCTCCCTCGCTCCCTCTCGACTCCATCCTAACCCCCTACGAGCGCTCCGCCAAATCCTTCGTCTGGAACACCATGCCTGGCGAAGGCGACATGTTCCCCGAGCTGCGCGAGACCTGCGAGCAGACGAAAGCTTTACTGATGTACGGCGAGATGGACACGCTTTTCCGCCTCGCTGCCCACGCCGACGTGTGGTTCTCCAGGATGTGGTGCGAAGAGGGGTGGGCGAACTCGCACGGCTTCGGGCTTTCCAAACTGCTCGATTCCACACTCCAATCATATATCGTTCTCAACGTTATCTCTTTGCGGCCGGAATTGTACGACAGAGCCAGCAGATCCGCATATATTGCGAAGGAGAAGGCGGCGCGCCGGACCACGTATGCCGAAGCCGACTATGACTACCGCCTGACAGCCGCGTACCAGGGGATGCTGCTGTCCTGCACGGGTGTGCCGTACGGCTTCTGCTCCGACGCGCATACGTTCCCGCACCGGGAGTTTTTTGGCGTAAAGCGTGGGATGTACCGGCACAATTACTCCGACACGCCCTTTGAGCGGTGGCAGAAGACCCATCTCGGGACGCAGCGCGTGGAGGAACTCGTGTGCAGTGCGTTCAAGGGCGTGCATGTCCCCGGCAAGGGGGACGTCGCAGCCGTAATCAACATGCTGGGCTCGAAAGGTCTGCCCGTTGAACTCGCGCTACAGATCCTTGCTACAGCAGAGTACGAACCAGTAGGCAGGCTGCCCATCAGGGACGACCCATTTCACGCAGCCAACGCAGAGGAGCTGAAAAAGTATATAAGCTACTGCTGGAAGCTGCTCGTCCGTCTCGAGATGCTGTACAAAGAGAGTGTCCACGGCCTGACGCTCGACTGGGAAGCTGAAGTGAGCCACGCGCTGTACAGGTTGTTCAACATGGGAGGGCCTTCGCTTTTCACGAATGTGTTCCCCGAGGACCACTACTATTTTTCCTCAGTACGTCCTAGGATACTTCTTGCAACCTGATGGCGGGGAGGAAAAAAGACCATGGCTCATTGTGTGTTCATCTTCATCGAAGCGTTAAGTCATTCCGGCTGGAAAGTATGTCGAAAGTGACGGGAAGATGGAGCTCCCTAATTGGGATTGAGATCATCGTTTCACCTACTTTGGCGCTCGTCTTGGAACGATAGACCAAGCTCAAAATTAGAGAAGCGTAAAGGTCAGACAGAGCATGGACGGCGAGATCTGACGGGATACGCAAAGTCTGACCGAGAAGAGATCGAGGTTAGGATAGCAATATCGATTCAAACGTAAATGTCACGATTAACCTTCATGATACATCCATCAATACGATCAAATACCTTCAAGTATACACCTCATCCAGACACTCGTAAAATAGCATGATATCTCACGCCGGCCATGAACAGAGAGCGCTTAGTAACATTTTTCGCCACATGCCCAACTCCCAAGACGCCAGGCTAACTACCACCCGAACCACCGCAACTCGATATGCAAGCAACGTTGACTTCAAAAATATACACATACGCATCCAGATAAAACCGGGCAAAGCTTAAAAACTTTACCTCCTAAAAGCGGTGGAAACATCGTTCAAAGTCCAGTCCATTTCCACCTCTCCTGAATACACGTCCTGGTTGATGTGGACGGCGCGGTCGTAGACGTTGTCGTACTTTTTCTCGCACTCTTTGAGGACTTTGAAGACGAGGTCGCGGCTGATGGTAGGGTCATCGGCGTCGCCGAAATGTTTGTCAACACGCTTCTTAAGGGCCTCGATACCCTTGCGGATCTCCTTGGCGTCGAAGGAGTGCACCAACTTCTTGAAGACAGAGCGGGAGTGGGACGATCGTTGCGCGATCGCCGGTGCGTTTGCGCCGGGCTGAGCGAGAAGGGTTTCTGTTGATTCGATAAACTCCAGAAGTTTACCCAGTGGTCGTCGGATAACGGCGTCCACATAGAGGTCCATGTGCTCCTTCCATTCTTCTTGGGCCTTCACTTTCCAGCCTATCAGCACTGGGTCGGACCGTGCATCGACTTCCTCGATGTAATGGTTCATGTTTTCGATGAGGAGAATGTGGTAGTTGAGCGCTTCCTTATCTTCAGGATCAGCTTGCCCCTGGGTAGCCATGACCGCCGGTGACTCCTTGGCGATCACCTTCAAGCTCTCGAACATTGCTTTATTAATTTTTTGATACGCGTCGTCAACCATACGACGTATCTCGAGGTGTTCGTGTTCGTCTGCCGCGGGCAGCATGTTCTCAATCGCCACGGAGAAGTGAGGGAAAGTCTTCATGAATGAGATAACGCCCTTGCGCTTCTTGATCTTCACCTTAGTGTCTTCAATAGCTCGGATTTGCTCGTCCACAAAACGGCTGAAAAGACCAGTCAGACGCTCGTGAACCTTCTGCAGGTTTCTAGTGAGGAAATCCTGGTTGGACTCCTCAATCTCGACCAATTTGCGATCGACAGCGCAAAGGATACCAACACCTTGCCTGGAGCGGTGTTAGCTAAAGCACCCATCATACGAGAGGAGTGTACATACAATGGATCAGCGTTGACGGCCCACTCCACAAGGTTCTGGATCTCGGTAGGCCAGAATGAGAAGATATCCTCCATGACTTCGGCCACACGTTTGGCCATTGCTCTGTCGGCCTCGTACTGCTTACGGACCCAAAGGTTTGGTCCGCGACGGTTTTCGGGCGATGCTCTCGCAACAGCCTCTGGGAAATCGACTGAGTCAGTTGAGGTTGCATGGAAGAATTCTGTAACGAAATTTTGCTCAGTCAGGAGCACAGGCCCAATATCCTCGAGAACCCGAGCGAACACATCAAACGCAAACAGCTTCCCATCCTGAGTCTTATTCGCCTTGACTTCTTTATCGCCTGAAGCTGCTCGGAGACCACGAGCTAGAGTTTGGCTTCGTTTGACGGTGAGTTTTCGAGCGGCACCAGTGATACTTTCGGGCTCCTTCTCCTGAGCGGTGAACAGGAGCTCCTGCTCATCCCCTGTGGGTTTACGGGCGAAACGTTTCCAGGACATGATATTGTCCCGGACCTCATTCTGGTAAGCCGTGCTGGCTTGGGTCTGGTACATGCGGATCAGAGTATCCCAGGAGGCTCGATCAATTTCCTTTGCGAACAGGGTCACTGGGCTGAGCATCCACAAAGTATCTCGACCAGCATCATGCGCCGCAATATTGGCTTTCGTCGATGGCATAGATGTGGTGTCAATACGTTCCAGAGTCTCCTTCGTCTGCAGGAACGCGGCGCCGAAAGTGATTTCCATATGTTTCTTAAGCCGATCCAAAAACACAGCACCTTCATTGAGGTATCGATCCTTCTTTTCCTGTAGCGCTTGCATTGAGGCAAGCTCGCTGTTGCCGAAGCCTGAGTTGGTGATCTTGTTGAGACTGTCTGCACCCACGGCACGGCTGCTATCAACGAAAGCGGGGTCAATAGTGATTAAGGCCTTATAAAGTAGGACCAAAGAGCTCTCAATGGCGCGCAGACCATTCACCTTGCCAATAGGTTCACGTCTAAGCGGTGTGAGCTGGTCTTCAGTTATAGATATCGTGTCGACAAGTTGCTTGAGCTCGTTTTGCAATAATCGCTGATTGGCTGTCTGGACTTGCAGGCCCTGGCTCTGGGCTTCGATGAAAGCGATATCGTCGTTCAGACTCTGTAGCGATAATTAGCAATGCTGCAATGTACAAAAAGATGGCACGTATTACTTACGCTTAATTCCACATTATAAAGGGTAAGAAGACCTTCAAGTTCATCGCACTCGGCAATTGCACGATCTAGGAGTTTTTCGACCGCCTCAACACGGTCATCCTTTTGCTCAAGGTGGTTTAACCAGCTGCCCGCTTCTACGCGGGCAATCTCGCGTTTAATGTCAGATTCTAGAGACTCGATGTTCTTCGCAGAGAGTTCACTGCTGCCCCATCCAAACTCGGATAAGAGAGTCTCAAATTCGAGTCCTCGTTCATCCAGAATATTAGGATCAATGCCCAGTCTGGAGATGTTGGTCATCTGTTGATTGGACCGTCGTCTCTTGCGCCGCACTTCGGGTTCGGTCTGGGGCTTCGATGCAGGTTGCTCGTCCTCGGCGCTGGGTGACGCAGCACGCTCGGGCAACGTTGGTCCCGAATCTTTGAGAGTCACGGGCGTGGGTGATAGTGGTGCAGAGATCTTAACTTCAGGAACAACTTCGGTTTGTATCGACAGGCGGTCCTTCGACGACCGGTCTGCTTCAGCCTTGGGCTTAGCGTCTTCTTCCTTCGGTTTGGGCTCTTCTTTTGGTACGTTACGTTGTGGAACAAACACTGCACTAATGCCATCAGGCTCATCAGACTTCTTCTCGTCTGGTTGCAATCGCTTCGCTGCAGCGCCACCAGCACGAGGCACGAAACCGCCAGCGTTGAAGGCGCCTGCAGCTTTGGCTATCTTGCGGAAAGCATTCGCCGTGCCGACTTTGCCCAGCTTGCTCTCCACAGGTTTCGCAGTGGAATCCGACGTAGGCTCCTTGGCTTCTTCTGCTGTAGGTGAAATTGGCTTAACTTCTGGTGCGACCTCAGGTTCTTTCTCGATTGCTTGGGCACCGTTCTTGAGCGGCTCCGGAATAGGTATGTCATCCACCGGAGAAGGTTGAACACGTGACTCTGCTACAGGAGATTGCTCCTTTTGCTCGAGAGCCTTGGGTATCTGCGGGAGTGGAGAAGTGGGTGGTGGTGGAGGTTGCGCAGGCGGCAATGTTTGCGCAGGGGAAGGTTCAGAGTGTAAGCGATTAGAAAGAAGTGCTTGAAGCGGTGCACCAAAAGTAGCGGGCGGTGCCTCGGCTGGAGATGGTCTGGGTCTCTCGGGTATTTCTTGCGGTCTCCTTCTAGGTGGAGGTTCCAGAGGCACTCGTTCCGTGGGCGCTGGAGACTGAGCCGGCGTATGAAATTCAGTGTTGGGACCACTGGCTCCGCTTTCGTAACTTGCCTTCGACAACTGGGCTGGTCGCTCCATTGGCGGCCTTCTGCGCTCTGGAGGAGCAGTCCTTTGCCCGACCTCTTCAGCAGCGGAATCTTCATTTCGAGACTGGAAAGAGCTGGCAGTACTTTGGGCGGTTCCGGGACGGAGACCCCTGGGAGATGGGTCACGTCGCACCGGTGGTGGCGGGTATCCATTCGCGCCCGGCCTAAGGTCTTCGACAGGAGACGGTCTCGAACCGGTCCCATCGAATGAAGGTCGCTCCATGGATTTCCCTGACCTTTGCGACCGAGAATCATCTGCGAATGACGGTCTTCCCGGGCTAAGGCTGGGAGGAATAGATGAAGCACTTGCTGTGGTGTCTGGAGTCTTTGGACGTAGTTCAGACCGCGATGTTTGAGGATCTAATCGCGCTGGTGACGGAATGGGCACCGGCGGTATCGATCCAGGTGTTGGTTGTAGACGTTCTCGGCTGGCTGAGGGTCGCAGCGCCATATTTTCTCTGCTTGGACGACCGCGCATGTTCTGGTCTATGGACGGTCGTCGTCCACGACCAGCTTGAAGCCCTGGAGGAGGTGGCGTGCCCATACCAGGGGGCGCAAATCGGGGAGAAACAGGGAGCATCCGTCCATCTCCTGGTGACGCACTAAAGATGGCGGGATCTGCCCTATCTGAAATTGGAGGTGGCCCCGGCCGTCTTTGGCGTGGCTCACCGTCGGCAGTTGGAGGGCGGGGCGGACCACGTGGTGGAGGAGGCCTTCTGTCTCCTGGCGGCGGTGGCCGTCTCATATCTCTTTCTCCTAGTGGCGGCATGCGCCTCGGGTCCCTTTCTTCTGACGGATTGCGGTTCATTTCTCTGTCTTGAGGAGGAATCATGCGCCTCGCGTCTCCTGGCAGTGGGACGTTTTGTGGCCGAGGAGGCGGACCAGGTCTAGCTTGGGGCTGTCTCGCCCTTTCCCAACGAGCATATGGACCAGGGTCCTCTGGCGGTGGCTTCTCATTGTCACGGTTGGTATAGGGCGCCATCCATGCGTCGTGGGCTGCGCGGCCTTCTTCGGTAGCAGCATAGGGGCGATGCTCTGTGAGCGTATCTAACTCAGTGTCCGAGAAGCCAGTCAATACAGGGAATTTGCCTTGTTTACGATCGAATCTGTCCGTGAACTTTGTGTAGACTTTGACCATACTGCCGATGAAGAACTCTTTCTCTTTCGAAGTATGCGCCTCCCAATAATACGGCTTGACTATCGTGACCAGAAACCCCGTATCCTTGGCCCAGAGCTTGTGTTGCTTCCCCTCGGGCGTTTGCGGGTTCGAGTGTACATAGTTTTCAACAGCAGACAGCTCATACATCTCCCATGATTTGCCAATGGAGAAGCTTCCGTTCGCATTCTCTCGGCCTTTGTGGATGCGCACCAACTTGGTCTTGTGCACAGAGATGACAATGACACGCTGTTTCTTGTTCTTCGGGTCTGAGTCGGGAGGGGCGGGCGACTGCGGATATGCGGCGTCTTCCTGTATGCGAATGTGAGTTATGTAGGATTCGAGCACTAGGAGCTGTTAGCGAAAGGAGCCCATCGTCAGCGCCGCTGGTGCACTATGTCACTACGTACGCTGGCCGTCCTCTGAATCTATCTTGGAGAAGCAGCTCGCTGTGATTCTTCGCCGCTCGTCCTCGAATCGTTCGGCGCGCGACATGGCGGCTCCTGCCCGCGCCGAAGAGCGCTCGGAAGGAGGTGGCCCCCCAGGAGCTCCAGGCGGGCGACGGCTCTCATTGCTGGGTCGTCCCGTGCTCCCAGTGCCGTTGGAGTAGTTGCGGCCCCGCGCATCCATAGCGTTCTAGGACGAGCACACAATAACCGGAAAGAAGGGTCCTCCAAGTGTGCGAACCATATGCGAGGCAAGCCAGCTGGCCGATGCCTCTATATGCGGGCGGATGTGCTGCAGGGTACAGCCATCAATGGGACGGCGCGCGGGACCGAAGGAACGCAGGCGTTGGCAATCGGTGTCGCGGTTGTTCCAGCTCGAGACGGATTGCGCGAGTCTTCGCAATCGTGAGTAGTGTCGTGCGTGGAGGCGGACGCGGTGAATGGTGGGCGCTCCTCGTGACAGCTCGAGGGGAGGTGTGGACGTCTGTCGTGTATGAGACGGCCCGCAGCCACACGGATGGCGCCCTAGCGCGGGAAGAGCCTAGCGTGCCCCGCCACAGCTGCGGCTTGGGACTCAAAAAAGTGATCCAAACTTTTTCGACCTTGTATCGACACCGCCGAACACCCTCGCACCCCACAACGCACGCCAATTGACACCATGGCAGCGGGCAAGAAGGTCGCAAAGACCTCTCGCGACAAGAAGCAGCCTGCTTCAAACAAAGTCGCCACCGGGCGCGTTGGCAAGACCAAGAAGGCAGCCGCCAAAGCTCCCGGCCCACTGCTGAACCTCGTTCAGTCCTTCCTGAACGAGCACGGCTATACGGAAGCCGCGAGCAAGCTTCAGGCTGAGGCTCCCGCCGCCGCAAGCGCAGCGTCTCCGAAAGACCTGCCCGCTCTTACCACGCTCTACGAGCAATGGGAGAAGAACGCCAAGGATGCGTCTGGTGCCATGGACGTCGACGACAACAGCGCGGCTGGCAGCGACGACAGCAGCAGTGCTTCCGAAAGCGATTCGAGCGACGACAGCAGCGACTCCGAAGACGAGAAGAAGGCACCCAGGAAGGAGGCAGCCGCGAAGGACTCAGACTCTGATTCCGACTCTGACTCTGGCTCTGATTCTGATTCTGATTCTGATTCTGATTCTGATTCTTCCAGCTCGAGCTCGAGCTCTGATTCGGAATCAGAAGATGAGAAGGCCAAGCCTGTCAAGAAGAGCAAGCGCGCTGCCTCTGTTGCTTCTTCGTCTGCTTCGTCCTCGTCGGACAGTGACTCGGATAGCGACTCTGATGCCGAGCCCGCCAACATCCCGCTCCCCGAATCCGACTCTTCAGACTCCTCTGATTCTTCGGATTCATCGGATTCCTCAGATTCCTCCGACTCTTCAGACTCCTCCGACAGCGACAGCGACTCCAGCTCCGATTCCGAGGCCGAAGTGAAGACCACACAGACTAAGAAGGCTAAGAAGGCGGCTTCTATCTCTTCATCTTCGTCTTCGAGCTCCTCCTCTTCTAGCGACTCTGACTCCTCTTCTTCCGACGAGTCGGACGTTGCCCCTGAGAAGAAGGCGAAGATCACCAAGAAGGCCGCGAAGAAGGATGACTCTTCGTCCAGCAGCGACTCCAGCTCTTCTGACAGCGACTCGTCCGACTCCGACAAGGAGGAGAAGAGCGACTCAAGCGCAACTGTTGGACGTGCTTCTCCCGTACCTGCTGCTGGCAATAAGCGCAAGCAGTCTGACTCCGACTCAGCCGCCGTTGACGGCCCAGCTAAGAAGAAAAACCACGTCGAGAATCGATTCCAGCGTATTAAGCCCGACACGGCCGTGGATCCTCGTTTCGCTAGCAACGATTATGTGTCTTATGACTATGCCGACCGCGCTCATGCCGACTTGGTCGTGACCAAGGGCAAGGGCTTCACAAAGGAGAAGAACAAGAAGAAGCGGGGATCTTACAGGGGCGGCATGATTGACACGTCGGGTGGCAAAGGTATCAAGTTTGAGGATTAAATTGCCTCTGCACGAGTCGTGAAGAATGTTTTCGATGGAACCAGGTCGCTAATCTTCTTTGGATTTTGCAGGACGTGAACAAGAGCATGTGCAAGATCATGGACGCAAAGACACTCGAGATGATGGTGGACGTGGTGGACGATGTGGCCGGGGGGGTGGTGTTGGACGAGGTCGCGGTCGGGGAACCAGTCGTCGCAGTTTCGGCAGCCGTAAAACCCCCTTCCACTGAGGCAGAGCAGTTTATGCTTGAACTCATCACGATGGCATGGTTGAAGTGGGAGCAGCAGGATCTGAATTTGATTTCGGCGTTCGGTGGAAAAGCAGCATACCCTTTCATCGGCGGCATGTGCCTTCCTTGCAGCACCTGTCTTCGCAGCGGATAGATCAACGGGCTTGCCAGGCCCACATTATGTAGTTTAGCTATTCCATGATACTGTACATTGGTATACACGTAGGTCCTCCAGATTTTGTACCCTTGCTGCTGTATGCAGTGCTACGCACCTCCTCGCATTTCCCCCCTCACTCCTGCCCCTTGACAAATTCCACCGGTAAATTGATACCCACCCTCCTCGCGCTCAATCGGACTCTCTCCTCCTCGCTCATTCCCATCCCAGGATTGTATCGCTCAATCAGTGTGCAGTACGTCCTCTGCGCCTGCACGTATTGAATGAACTGCTCTGCTTGTGCCATTTGGCTCTCGCTGTTCGCCTTTGAGATTGTGTCGCGTATGCGTTGTTGGAGCGCAGAGGGCGCCGAGAGTTTCTGGTGCGAGCTCGAACGGAACGCGGGTGGGGTGCTCTGGGACCGGGCAGACGGGGTCGGAGACCCAGGCGAGGGGAGTTCACGGAGCAGGCGTCGGTAGATGGAGCGGACTTGGGGCGCCGATGAAGCCATTGTGGGTGGTTGCGAGGTTGATGGGGCTGGTATGGTGTGTGTTGCGATGGTTGGCCGCAGGGTCGGATGGTGGTGAAGATGCGGAGGTGCTGCGGCGAAAAGTTGCGGGAGAGCGCTCGGACCCACCGTGAACTTTGCGACGAGCTGCGGACGACCAGCTGTGCGATTTACACCAACGATGCTTTCGTCGCCCGCGAGAAGACAGTATATATGTCGGGGCTGCATAGAGAGTATCCTGTCATGTCCGAAGTCTACCAATTTTCCTGCTCTACGCGCGCAAACGCGGTACAAATCGACCGACGCACCCTTTCGTGTCAAGAAACATTACGGGAAGCTGGGCGAGGGGGACAACGCGATGGCGCAACAACACGGTCTGCCGAGCACATCCAAGAAAGCAACGTGGAAGTCCGGCCTGAAATTTAGTACCGATGATGGCCAAGATGCCCTGCGACCAAGGAAAAGGCCACCCAAAAGCGACATCAGGTCGAGAGATACAGTAGAAATGCTTCCAGAGATACGACGGACAGAAGCCGGCAAGCGATCCCACGCCACAGCTAGTACGAAGACACCGTCGTTCATACGCGGAAGACAACTGCCCAAGACGAGGATTGAGGAAGCGGAATTCGAATTTCTCAAGCCATCGGAACCTTCAGCACCGCCGCCGCCAGTGAAGATATGGTCGCCCGAGAAGCCTTTGAACCACATGTCACTGCATTTTGGTAAACTCGGAGATTTCAATTGGTATTGGGAGACGCTCCCTCCTACCATAGCACAAAAGACGCAAGCACAGCACTTCTTCACAAAGGGCGCATCACCGAAGTTCCTCCAGTCAGTGGGGTTCTTTCGCAGCTTTCCCGAGAGCGACGTCCCCGAGATAGCATTCGTGGGCCGGAGCAACGTGGGGAAGAGCAGCCTGCTGAACGCCATCGTGAATGCGGACACCAAGGCTTTGCTCGCGCGCACGTCTGCCACGCCAGGCTTCACCAAGACGATGAACCTGTATGGTCTCGGCCCACAGCAGGGCGTACATTACAAAAAGCAGCCCAACGGACACGGCAAGATCGTGGGCAAGGGCGGCATCACCATCGTGGACATGCCAGGGTATGGAGAGGGCTCGCTCATCGAATGGGGCACGGAGATCATGAAATATCTCCAAGGACGCAAGCAGCTGCGCCGCGTCTTCGTATTAATCGACGCAATGCACGGCATTAAAGACAAAGATCGCTCTCTTCTCGCGTCCTTGCGTCTGGGTGGCATCTCGCATCAAGTCATCCTCTCCAAGGTGGACAAAATCTACCTGCCCGAAGCCAAGTCCATCAAGCGCTTCGACGGCAAACGCCTGGACAAGCTACGCCCAAAAGGTACACTGCAAGACCTGCGCCAAACTATGGAGAAGCTGCGTGAGGAGATCCAGCCGCCTATCGGCGCCGGCGCAATCGGCGAGATCCTGGCCTGCAGCTCCGAAGCCCTGGTCGACGAGCGGCGACTCGGCATCGACGCCGTGCGCTTCGCCATGCTGCAGGCGATCAATTTCCCGTTCCGGAACGATCAGAGTGCGGTGGAGCTGGCGAAGAAAGAGGGCCCGAGGATTAGAGCGATGAAGACTGATGCGCCGACACATGTGGAGAAGCAGATCAAGGTTAGGACGGTCGAGACGGATAAGCCTGAGAAGCCGACGCCGACAATGACTGCTAGAGAGATGAGGGCTGCGAGGAGAGCAGGACGGGCGCGGGGTCCGTCGGCCATAGAAATGTTGGAGAGGTTGAGTGGGAAGGTAGTGTAGGATAGGATGTGACAGATACCCAGGCTTCACCGTGTACAACAAGTTACGTTCCTTCTCTTGGCAGAGCTATTGATACGCTGCATGGGTACCATGAATATTGCTGTTGTCAATAAAGTCTTAGTATTTGCAGACCCATACACATGCGGCCGCGACACCAGCACAAGCAGTCACCCAGTTCTGCACGATATCATTGATCAGAGGTTCAGCTTCAGCTACGGTTTCTCGAAAGTTGTTAACGGTAGTCCGGGTTCATTGTTTTGAGAACATTGTCTATTGTCATCGATACTACATGCAGGCAGGGTATTGCACAGTTTGACTCCCACCTACCTCCATCAATCTATCTATCGGGAACGTCTACTCCTAGAAGTTCTCCCACTCGTCAGGATAAGCTGGATCCTCATTTTTAGGCATAGCAACAACATTCTGCACGCGGCCAACATGCTTCTTACAATTATTATAAAAGTAGCTGTACGTCTTGTGCTTCTCGATGATATCCTTGGCTGCATTGACTGTTAGCGAAACACTTCCACACAAAAAGCTAAAGGCCCATAACTCACCAGTCTCTTTGAACACTTCCGGATCCGCAAACTCAGGCCTCGCGCTCCCCGCAAACTTATAGCTCCCATGCTTGTGCTTCGCAATCGAGTACTCGCACTTATACGGCTCGATCTTGTGGTGCTCGCACCGCGCCCCGTAAAGCTGCGTGCACTTCGCCAGAAGATCGTTCTTGACGTCGGTATCCCACTCGAGGTCGATGCCTGTGGCTTCGAAGTCAAGCTGGCCCTGCAAGTTCTTCTTGACTTTGCCCATGACGAGGACCTTGTGCGTCATGGGCGTGCGCGAGTCGCGGTGGACGAGGAGGTAGGATTGCCCGATGGAGAGGTGGCGGACGCCAGCGCGCTTTGCGGCTGCGAGCGCGGTTTTGTAGTTTACAGTCTCTTTCTCCTTGGTTTGGAGTTGGCAGGAGGCGCCCGCAGCGGGTTCGACGCGCTTGCAGTTTTTACCTTTGCAGGGCTTGGGTTTTTTGCACTGGGGCTTTGCGGACTTGGTAGGTTTTTTGGGTTTGGTGGTGGTCGGCTTCTTGGGCTTGGTCGGCCTCTTGCTCTTAGGCTTCTTGATGGGTTTCTTTTTGGTTGGCTTCTTCTTTGTGGGCCTCTTGGTCTTCTTTTTCTTCGTCCGTGTCTTCTTGGGCCGCCTAGTGGCTCGGCTGCCACCACTACGTCCACGTCGTTTTTCCAGATCATGGGTGTCGGCAGCGCCTAGATCGAGATTTTTGGCGGTCAGTCCAACATCGACACCATGGGGAATGTCGATGACTTTGACAACGCCATTGTCTCCGGTGTTCGATCGACTGGGAGCAGAGACCGCAAGGAGACCCAGCAGGCCGAGGAGAAGGAGGGTGAAGCTGTTGAACCGCATCTTGGGCCAGTTATGATGATCGAAACAGTCGATGGTCGTAATGAACGTGAATATAGAATGTGAGTGGGTGGTCAAAAGAATGGCACGCAGGAAGCAAGAAAGCACTCTTTCCGAATCAAGGCCAGTTGATCGAAGGACTGGTAGAGAGAATGTAACGACTAGGGCCGACAGCGTCCATTACGATGGTGAGTTCAGCCATATTTGAACTACAACTTTAGATGACAATGGGTGGGCATTAAGCCTTTAGGGAAGTCCGAATGGCTGTGCGGCTCTCGGAGGAAACATAAAACCAATACAGCCCTGTAGGTGCAGAAAGTTAAGGAAGTGTAGAGAGAGGCCTGAGAGTTGACCAGATTAGATGGTCGTGCACAGGCCAGCGCTGGACCCGCTGAACGCCACAAAGTCGGCTCGGGCATTGCGATGATTGGTGTGGGCCTGTAGCCTCCCTCAGGCGGGCGATCCGTCTAGTCTACTGATCTCCGCCGATGCTACTCGTACGAAGATTTAGCTCGCGTACCCGTTGCGATGTCCCTGAAACACTGATTTCCGGACTTGGCTGGGTACCCTAAGCACGCTTTCGACCTTCCCATTCGCCCCTCCATGATCACGCTACGCCCCACAGTGCATAGTTTGAAGAACGACTCCGGAAGGCAGAGATAAATCTTCATTGGCACATTTCCTCGCCTTCGACGAGTGTACAGGCTCACTGTTCCTCTGTCACGTGAGAATTGCAGAACACGAGGGTGGAACAGCACCGCCCCAGAACCGCCGAAAGATATAGGCAACAGGCAGAGCACATTTTGCATATTCTTCGTTGGCACCTTTTGCGGCCACTTTCTCCCATCACTCTTCGCCCATATCAGTATCTGCTGCTATTTCAGCTCTATTGCAATCAAACGGCGTTTACGATGAGCGTTAGTTTACGATGGCGCAGATTCTGGCAGTCCGACAAGGCGAATGCAGCGGAAGATCTTGAACAATGGATGCAGAGGATCACGCAGGGTACGTTATCTCATCATCAGCCGCCAGGCTTATAATTCAACTAACTTCCTGCAGATGAAATTCGACTTCTCTTTCTCAAGTGTTTCATAGAAGGCAACAACCTTTGGTCCCCCGTAGTCAGATCTGTCGAGCTGCAGTACTTCCAGACTGCTGTTTCACGTCTAGAAGTCACCCCCGATGGCCAGATACAGATGTCGTCAATTATATGTCATCTTGAGCAGATGCATAAACCTAAATCGAGTGTCATACGATCTGCAGCTTCTTTGATCGAGGCGTTGATTACTGCCCACGCACATTTCCCATTTTCGGCTCCCGTCAAGCTCACAGAAGAATCCTTTTGTCGCTCTATCCTTCTACTGACCAACCGGGCTCAAGATCTGTTCGAACAATCGGAGAGTGGAACCATCGGGGGTATAGAATCGGACTATATCTGCAAACGACCCGGCGAAAGACGGCTTATGTTCATTCACTCCGCCTTGCTGATAGAGCCTGCCGGTAAATCAACGCCAGATGCAGGCATAACAACGCAAGACGATGTCCTCGATGTGCTATGTAGAGTGGAGTATCCTGCCATTGTTCGTGGCAAGGATCGAGTTCAGCGCCGTCCAGTGTCCGAATTTGTACCCCTAGCCGAACGTCTGGAGCCTGCAACAGAGTGCAAGCGAGAGCACGAGGTGCCTAAGTCGCAGGTAGCGCTTCTCCGGGATCTCATTACTATAATTCAGCCTCGGTGGACTAAGCATCCGGTTGAACTAGGTTATGTGGAGCATGACAGTCTCACTTCTGAAGAATTCGTATTATGGGCGACGAAGGTAAGTCGAAGTACTATTGGCGGGTGATGTGGATTGCTAATATCGCACAGGTCCAATTGCTTGATACGCTTGATCAGCTTTTTAGTGTATTTCTTCGTCCGCCATATGCACAAGGAAAAGCGGTGATTGATCACTAGCATTCGATTCCCATCCGCCGCGGAAGCGTATCCGTGCAGTATCAACAATTCCGGGCCACATTTTATTTTTCTTTAGAGCTAGACTGGTGCAGCGTCAAAGTCAATCATGATATGGTTAATGATGGCTGTTCTCTCGGTGCTGGTTCCAAGTTGCCTGTCTGTGTTCAGCCCTGGAGGAAAATGCGGATTACACATCAATACAGCGACCCAAACTGCTGAAATGCTTTGAATTCTTAGGTAATTGTCCGTGTAGGACTCTATAGCGACGACGCCATCGGGGCCAGGACACTCTGCTTCCAAAGCATAGGACTTGTCTCAGCATCTCCCACTCTCTTCTTTCACAACCTGGAATTGATCTGGCTCTCCTATTCACAAACCTTTTACCTGTCAACTTTATTTGCTCACGTATTTTCAACGTGCTGCCCGGGCGAGCGATAGGAGACATTAGGCTGAGCGCGCGATTATGCATGTCGATCACTGTCCTTCACGCCTTATGCAGTATGCAGTTTTTCGGCAGCACATACACTTCAGCTCATGAATACGATGGTGACGTTGACCTTTTTTGGCTGGATCGGCAGCTTTGACAGTATATATGCGATCGATTTTTTCGCTATCTTGCATGCAGTGGGCGATCCAATCCAAGACTCACTGCGGGTTTTATAGGGTGGGAGACGCCGTGCGATAAGTTTTAATTATTCCCTATCTCTGTAAGTTTTAGTCTGAGCTTGATTAACGATAAGTCGAGTCACTCCGTGGCCCCCTTTTTGGCTTCGAGAACCCGTGGAATACCGCCAAATGAACGTCTACAGCGTATGTAGCGGGCGGCGGCACTTTGATATCTGTGCTATTGGTTATAAACAGATATACTTTCTATGCAGAGGCTCGTAATTAGGATGCGAGATCAGGATGGAGATGAAGACGTCGATGAAATTTTGCATGATGCGGAACAAATCAACAAACCAGGCTCAAATGTAAGGTCATCTATGAATGTATCTTCCTGCCTTGCTACATACATCCTCTGAAGTTTTCTAAAAGTTGTACCCCCGTACATTGATCAACTTTTCTCCTTGGCGTTAGATAGTTCCGTAGGGATTATGTCTGCAGCTTTTCGCCCAGCGCATAAACGATGGCCTGGTAGTGAGTCATGATTGGCAGAGGGAACACGCTTGCGTCCACTATGCGAAGACCCTTCACACCAATAACCTTCAAAGTCAGTGTCCACCACGTTCCCCATGGCTATGGAGCCTGCTGCGTGACAGAAAGTATTGCCGACGCGAGCTATACGCGCATCCATATCTTCATCGCTAGAGTCTTTCGTCAGAGGCTCGACGCCGTCGGGAGCCCGCTCAGACTCAATAACCTCCTTTATGGCCGGCATGTTCTGCAGCATTCCCATGAAACTTCTGGCTCAAGCAAGTAATGACCTTCGACTTGCTCTCCGTCGGCCTTGATTACTTCACCTAATTCTTCAGGCGCGGAATGGTGCGTTGCAACTCAGTCTGCAAGTAGTCTCTTGTAGAATCCTGGGTCTGTCCACTCAGAAGTCCCGATAGCGAGCCCCAACTCGCATATTTTCCACCATTGGCACACCGCCAAATGGTTGTGTGCATTGCGTCCAACTTCTGGGGCGTCGAGCACTACCGGAATGTTGTGTTCCCTCAGTAAATCTGCCGGCCAGATGCCCGAGAGCTGCATAAGCTGAGGTGTCCTGTACGCTCTAGTCGAGACGATAACCTCTTTAGAAGCCAGGTATTGTGCCCCATCCGCAGTTCCGATACTAGTGGCTGTTTTCCTACCGTAGTGGTCTTTGAACAGAACGCGTTTGATCAGTTTGTCTGTCAGGATCTCAACATTCTTCAAAGCACCCAGACCATAAGCTTCACTGGCGAGTTGACGCTTTCCGCCCTTGAAACTTTCAATCAGCTCCCTTAGCACAACCGGTTGCCCGTTGTTCCTGTCCAGGCATCCGTATACGCCGACGCGACTCCACACCGCCTTCAATGGTTCGCGTAAGGGATTTTCCCGATTAGGACTTAACCTGGTCTCGTCTTCCAAGAGCTCAAATACAGTCCGGTACCCATCGGCCTAGATGGCCAGCAGCATGAAAGGTACGAAGCGCTGTCGTACACCTGCGGCGCATACTACTACGACCGGCTAGTCCAAGCCAAAGCGTTTGAAGACCTTAAGCACGTTCCGAACACCATAGTGTGAAACAACGTGTGGAAGCAAGTGATGAAGTCGCTTGCACATTTGCTGTTCCACTTCTGCCAAAGCGACCGCCCGAGATACTTATGGGCGGACGCGCTGTGCATAAACAAGAATGATGAAGCCGAGAAAGGTGTCCAAATAGCTCTCATATAGAAGATATACCAACAAGCGAAAGAAGCCCCGGCATGGGCTGGATGGCGCTCCGATGCCGCAGTCGAGCATCGAATGAATTTGGTGTGCTTATCTAGCGAACCAAGAGTGCGGGATCGAGGAAAAGCATGGCGAAAGAATGATATTGTATATTATAGTATGACGAGGGGACACCAAATGAAACGGCGCGCATCAGCAGTCGCCCATCGTCTGCGAATTCGTGGTGTTGCGACGAAGATCCTGCGGATACAGCTATGGTTCCTTTCGTCCCGACATCGTTGACTCCGCTCGTCCCGTTGTGTGAAGCTTGTTACTTTAGACGACTGTGGGTGTTTTAAGAGGTGGCTCTGTCGCCACTGGCAGCAATGTTCCGGGGTTCGGGCACGCATTAGATATGAATGGGTGACCCTAGTTTCAAGGCTGGAATCAGAGAAATACGTGGCCGAGTTTGCGGTGTACGACGATACGCTAGCAGACTTGCAAATGTTCGCGAAGATGTACCGTGCATGGAGTGGCGCGAACCGGTGAACACTAAATTGGCGCAACTCTAAGCTCTATTGGGTCTGCCAGAGAGAAGACTGCAGACTGCATACAAGTTCTTTGAAGCCAGTGCAATTGCGATGAACAAGACATGCCTCCTGAAATCAAAGGGAGAATACCGTGCCGCTGGACCCGGAAACGCACAAATTGGCGATGCCGTTGTGACACTATGCGGGGCCAATGTCCCATTCGTGTTAAGGCCGGAGGGCGACCACTATAGACTCATCGGCCAGAGTTATGTGCACGGCTTGATGGAAGGGCAAGCAACGGAAGCGCGGCGAAAAGGTGACAAAGTGGCTAATAATATCCATATATTGTGATTTGGATTAACTGGTCAGGCATCATATCAAAGCTCCTGCATTCATTATGATCTCTTCCTTTCGACGCCGCATCTCATACTTGGCCTCCTTCTGCGCCACATACTCTGCGCGCGCTTTCCTCTGTTCTATCTTCTTAGCCTCGTGCACCGCCCTTTGCCGCTCGTACTCTCTTGCTTTCCTCTGCTCGAACTTCAACCGTTTCTTGAGTTTCTCACCCTCAGTACTACTGAGGTGCCATGGCTTGCCCAAAGTTTCCTTTTTGAACGTAGCAAGAGCTTTCCAGAATTTCACCTCTTCGTCGGTCGTCGACACAACCCATATTCTCTTCAGCTCTAGCTGCTTCAAGCCCCGAAACTCAGAGATCGTGCCTTTGACCTTGATGACGGTACCAACATCCACGGTGTGGCCGTCTACGGTGACATCGAACCGCCCCAGCCCGCTGAGGACGTCTAGGTTATCAACTTCGGTGTTTGATGGGCTGTCGACGGGGTTGTATAGCTCTGGTGGGAGGCGTTTTATCTTGACTTCGAGGGTGTCGCCGCTTCCATCGTCGAGGGTGAGTGTGGTGTATCTCAGGTTGATCTCATTTACAGCTACAACGACTCCAATAAGGTAGATGTAACGGACAGGGTGGTTCAAATAAAAATACTCTGCTCACGTCAGCGAGCATGTCGGTAGGAAGCGTGTGGCGAACATGCCAGTGAATCCGGGTTCCTTCCGTAGCAGCTGCACATCGGCAGCTGTTATTTTCACCCACTCGTTGTGGGTGGGCGACACCTGGAAGCACCAGGCCGGGTATAATCGGTAGCTACGCGCGGAGTGCAGTGTTGACATGACATGTTGTGATAGTGTTGCTGGTGGGATGGAAGCGGGCGGACGCGTCGCGAAGTAGCGCTCTCGCGAAGGAACGTGACGTCTGTATCGGGGTTAGTACACGGGTAAGCGCACCAGTGCGGGAAGGCCCACCTGAGCACGCTCCTGCAAGATGACCACAGCACATGTGCGACAACATGCGCGCAGACTTGGCCTTGCATATCCGTTTGAGCCGCTCCAAGGATCGCTGCCAGCTTGGCAAACGAAAAGCAAGGCATTCGATGGAAGCCATCCACGATGGAACTCGTTTCCGGTGACAGCTTGAGGGGTTGCAGTAGCCGCAGGCCAGGCTTCCTGGTCAACAGCAGCTCCATTCCACCTCAACACTGCTTACTTATTCCTGTTCTCCATGATCCAACTGGCTGCCTCCCTCTAGTTTGCCGTGCAGCTCGGCTCGCAACGTGCCGGCTACCAAGATACCACCTGGCTAAGTGCCATTTCGATACAGCTATCGAGTACAAGTGTGCAGGTTTGCTAACATGTCAACGGTCACCCCACCAGCCGGCGTCGAGTGGTCATGACCTACGAGGCTGACCACCTTTCTGGAGCTGTCGGCTAGCCATGCCAGCTGTGTCAAGCTCACAAAGTCACCGATCGAGGTCATAAGACGCAGCACCCACCGCGACTTCCCGTCCGAAGCCCCCAGTACCTACCCTGAAACCCGATCGCCTTCCGCAGCCCAGAAGAGACATCTTAGCTGTTGCGAGCTGAGAGGGCTTCATCTTCCAGCTTTTCTCGAGCGTGTATCACTGTTCGTTTCGAATCAATCTTTACGTTGACCCTACAATATGCGATTGCGACTAGTTGTTTCCGCCTTGCCGTTCGTACTTATATGTATCGCACACGCTGCTCCCGAGCCTCGGCCTGAAGCAAAAGCGGACCCAGAAGCATTCCCAGAAGCGCAAAGCTATGTGAACAATGCGCCGTTTTCAGGCGCTATCTACATCGTCAGTCCAGATGGCCAACCGGCGCAAGGCTCATGTCCAGCCGTGGCTTCTCTGAGCTGCGGTGACCAAGGCCACCCAAGCTGGTGAGCGAATTCAAAGTCTTCTAGTGCTGCCGCGACTGACTGACATCAGGTGTTGCCCAGGAGGATGCTCGTGCGTGCAGCAACAAGGAGGTTATGTGGGCTGCTGCCCTGCGGGAAGCAATTGCGCCGGTCCCGTAACATACTCAACCGTGACGGTGACCGCACAAGCGCAACAAACTGTCCCGGTCGTAGTCCCGCAGCAATTCACAACGACAGCGTACTGCCCTACCTGCTACTCACCGCCGCCTGTTGCGGCCGGCTTTTGCCAAACATTGACTATGCATGGGCCTGGTCTTCCTGTAGTCACACAAGGAGAATGCGGCACGATTTTGATAGTGAACGAGAGCTCGAGCTTGAAGCCAGTCGGGTTTGGACTTGTTGGGATATTCCTTACAATTCAACTGGTTATTGTGCGGATGTTTCGTTGGATATGACATTAACGCCATTACCAGTTATTAGATTTACGAATGTTACGATTTGCGAGTTCGTATATACAATGCGAACGATCACGGTGACAGTTGCGCCTCAATAACTCCACACTCGTCATGTCGGTCAACGACATAATAGACCGAAATTCTAACATGGGCCATAGTTCGATCCTTTAGTTTCCCTTCTTCGCATCCTCTTCTGCGTTCTTCGGCACGGATACAAACTTCGGGACCGTCACCGCGTTCAAATGCCGGAAAGCCTGCGTATCGGAGTTAGCATTGACATTCTTCCACTCTCAAGCACAATTGTAGACCGCAACACGGAGAGCACACCCACCCTCCAAACCCTTGTCTCCCACGCGAAGCTCCATAGCCAGAATGCCCACGCAATCCAGTACTTCACCCACCACATCGGCCGCAAAAAATCAAGGACAGAACTCACATTCGCAATGCTCCCCTCGGGCAACTTCCCATTCCACTTGTCCTCAACCTTCTTGATCTTGCCGTGGTCATCCAAATGCACCGCCACCACGCTGGTAATCGTCTGCTCCTTGCCAATCCCCTTGATCACATATCTTGTCTTCAAGTCCATCAAAATCGGGTTCCCCGCATCGGTGACTTCATGGTGCAGTCTCTCGATCTCGGAGAACGCCGCCTGCAGCCCGTACCACTGCGCGGCGAAGCGGTCGCGACCTTCAGCGATGGTGATGGGATCTGCGAAGGTGGCGTCGTCGCGCCAGAGAGCAAGTTTGGGCAGACTGGGCTTGCCGGCGAAGAGGTCGAGGACGGAGCGCAGGATGGTGGACTGGTTCTCGTTTAGGCTGACGCCCGGCGCGGTCTTGAGATCTTTAGTCTGGAGGTTGAGGTTTGACGTGACGTTGGGGATGCCGGTGGACATGTTTGCGGTTGCTGCGAACGTCCTGGATACGGGGCGCGTGGTTGCTCGGAGGGTACTTGCGCAGGTTCGGGGTAAGAGAGATTGCATTTGTAGGGGTGCGTTGGGGAGGATTCGATGTATGGTGCGATCCCAGTTGCGCCATACTTTATTATTCGCTTTGTTTTTGACGTGACCGCGCGCTGACGCGCTCTGCTCTGGCTGTATGGAGTCATGACGTTATCAGGGTCTGCGTCGAGACGCCAAGCGATCGCGCGGGTCCCCAGACGCGGGTGAATCGAACGTACGGCTCGTTGCGCGCGGGTTTAGGTAAGCTGTTGTATGCCTATCACTTGGGAAGTGAGGTTTTAGGAATTGTCTGATCTAGCATGGCAAGATAGGGCGATCTCTCGTGTAAGCGTATACTGTGTCAGTCAGGATCCGAATACGTCTAGCACCCTAATATGCGTTCGAATCGACTGTTGATATAAGCCTGGCGAAGGCTCAACGTGCATCTGGGTTTTACGTTGCTACCAGAGTGTGAAATCGACAGAACGTTGCCGCAACGAAAATGGCGAGATTAGGAAAATCAGCATGTATTTGGATATCTTTGGTCATTCAACCATTCTATGGACATACTTCCCCAAACCTCTAGCCACATTTTCATTGGCCATCCAAAGCCTGTCTTGCCAATGCATGAAACAGCACACATGTTGCTTGTTTATTCTTGCTCAGACAATTCATCTAAGCGATAGCGCTACCCCTGGGCCTGACATTGTGTCTCGGGCGCGGGTTCGCCTTGTGGCTATCAAACTGTTAATACCCTATCACGACCAAAACTTCATAGCAAAACTTACTTCTTGACGATCCTCTCAATGGAATCCATACCCTTGGCCAGGACATCCATCCTGGGGCCGTAGCTCAACCTCACAAAGTGGTGGCACGGCGAGTCAAACAGATCCCTACGCTTACTCGGGTTCAAGTCGAAGAAGATACCCGGTACAACAATGACCTTCTCCTCGAGACACGCCTGGAAGAAGTTGAGTCCGTCGGCGATGCTGTCGGGCAGGTCTGACAGGTCGAGCCAGATGTAGAACGTCGAGTTTGGCATGAAGGGAAACTTGAAGCCCATTTCCTGGAGACGGCCGATAACGAAATCGCGCTTGGTGCGGAAGTGCATCTGCAGCGCGCGCATCTCGTTACGGACACGCGGCGGCTCGAGCATGCTGACGGCGGCCTCCTGGAAGGGCACGTTGCAGCCGCCGTCGAGATAGGACCCGCAGCTGCCAATGGCCTGGATGAACTCTTTGGGACCCAGGATCCAGGCAACGCGCCAGCCGGGCAGGCGGAACCGCTTGGTAAGCCCGTCGATGATGAGCACGTCGTCCTCGTCGACGTCTTCGACGTTGTCGGCCGCCGATATGACGGTGCCGTCGCAGTTAGTCGTGTAGTTGTAACCGCAGTAGAACTCGTCCATGATGAGGGTTGCGCGGTCGCGGCAGATGTTTTGGATCTGGGCGAGCTCCGGGTTCGTGATCATCTGGCCGGTGGGGTTGCGCGGGTTGGAGGTCAAGATGACGGAGGTACCACGGGCGATTTCAGTTGCGATGAGGTCGGGCGTCATGTGGTAATTGTCGTCTTCTCCGAGGGGAATGGGAATGGCCGCGATGTTACGGAAAAGCGACAACATCTCGTTGTACGCAGTGTAGTCTGTATTTGTTAATATTTGATCTACATGCAACGTTCTTAGAAAGATGGTGCTCACCAGGAATGAAGAATCCCAAGTAGCAGTTGCCCAGCACCGCCGCAATACGGATCAAACCCGCACGTCCACCAGGCACGATGCAAACATTCTCCCAGGTGTATTGCGACTTCCTCCACTTGCGATGATGCTCATTGTACAGTTTGGCAACAGCTTCACGGAGCGGCTTGATACCAGCGGTAGGGCCGTATTCACGCCCATGGCTCGAAATGTCGACCTCCTTAGGCCTCTCGAAGCATCCCTTGATCTCGTCGTCGACTTCGGGCGCACCCTGGCCTAAGTTTGCCCACTGGTCGGGATTTTCGAGGTAGCCGTGCTCGTAGGCGCGTTCAGAGGTCCATACCACACCAGTGGAGGCACGTGTAGGGTCGAGACCAGCGTGAGGCTTGTGTCCTTCGTGGGAATCGCGAAATTGTCGGTGGATCTTGGAGGTGAGCTCTAGAGGGTAGTTGGTCAGCTTCTAGTCTGTAAGTTTTGAAGAAGCAAGAACATCTCCCGAACGATTGCAGTGCTTCGGGCAGGCTTCATGCTCTGCTGCATGGCGTCCAATAGCATGATGTGGCTGCCGATCATCACAGCACGAGGTATAATGTACAGGTTCCACGAAAACCAAGGAATCCTGTGCCTCAAGCCTCATGCTATGCTCACAATCCTCAACGCCAGCTCGAACCAGACCCTGGCTCTCTTCCCGCACGGCAGCAAAACTCCCCGCGCAATGACGTAGCCCTGGAGTGCTTCCACAACAACAAGCGGGAAGCGGCAACTTACCGTTCTCCGTGGGATCCTTGGTCGACGAGAACCGCCTGTTGCTGAAGGTCCCCGAGCGCTGTAGAATAGGCAATTTGTCCGCCGAGAACGACATTGTAGTGTTTGTGTGTACGAGGCGGGTAGGTAGGCCCAGTTAAGCTTTTCTAGCGCAGACTTGAGTGGAGATCGGTCTTGCACGTTCAACTGTCACTGTTGCAAGCGGCGACGGGCAAGCAATGTTGGGGAGTATGTAAGTAGAGAAGACGAGACGAGGAGGAGGCAGGTTGTCCCGCCGCCACGCACGCTATATAAAAGATGGATGCACGCGCCGACACCGACCATCGTGGGTACTGCCGCACGCCTGCGCCCAAGCTCCCTCCACGCTGCAGCCATCGCCGGCCCAATATCGTGCCCGTCTCACCCTGGGCCCAATCACTGGCCCATGCCCTTGAGCCATCCCCAGCACGAGCTCACCGCCGCCACAGCATCCCCGCTTGACGTGCATCCGCTAGCCTTTGCGCCCATGAATTGCGGTCAAGATGCGCGCTTCCTCTTGCTTTTGCCTTGCCTTGATGGTCGGACTATCACTCAGCAGTTGGCTTTATTCAATCGAGACGGAGGGGAGAACAGATGGGTACTACGACGTGGGACGCCGCACGATACCGCGCCGCCACCCTCGCGCGCGCTGTATTCACCTTGTGGCACTTGCACCCTCAGAGCTTCTGGAATAATGCCTCATTCTACCCAATAAGTTCCTTCTTTCACCCAAAATGAGCGTTTCGGAGCAACAGGGCGACGTTGCCGCAATCAACCAAGCCTGCCTGGGCCCTTCCCACCATCGCCCGTTCCGAATCCAAGCCCACCCACGCTTCCGATTCCGAACCCTACGCACCCTCAGTGCAGTTAGCGGATCGCTGCTGACGTACTCGCATCGCGTTCCCACCTTCCTCCGATCCCACAAGGTGACATTGCGATACCGACAAGGCTAGGATCGGGCTTCAACAGGCGTGCACGCTGTGTGCTCCTTGAACAGTGCTCTGCAACGTGTTACCGGCAAGCCCGAAGCTGCGCGATTAATCTTGACATCCGACACAGACAAAAGGAAAGCAAGCATATCAACGTCCGTGTACAATTGTTGTTATATACAAGGCAAAGCGTCGCCACAGTGACACATAGCCTAGGCTGCGTGCGTGCGCTGCGCCCCTTGCTATCCTACAATATGCGAAAACAAAACAGAAAGAAATCTAGAGCTACTCAACCGGATCTTCCTCGAGTAGCTTCTCAAAGCTGAAAGGCTCAAAGGCAATACCGTCACCGATGAAATGCTTGCTCATCGCTTCGACCCAGTGCAGACGGAGGGAGTGCAACATGGCACTCGTGCCCTCCATCACGCAGAGCACAGCAACTGTGAGCATGAACCACATGTAGAAGACGACGACCATGATAATGGCTCCGCCAATACCAGTGAAGGCGAATGCATTCTTCATGGTCATTTCCCAGAGCACAATGGAGAGACGCTGATGCGCAAGCGAGAGAGCCCAGAGACGTAGGTACGAAGCAGTGTGGGAGACGCAGTTGAGGCAGAATTCTGAGCATCATTAGCAGGGAACTGAGAAATGGGTTCAGGTGGAAATTACCGATAGTGTGGATGACCTGGTGGATCATGATCTCGGAAAACTCGAATTCTTCGTGCTCTTCGCCGTGACCAATGTCTTGTGTGATCATAGCAATGCCGTCTTCATCGTCGCCGAAGCTCTCGCGTCCACCGTTAAGTGTACGACTCTCCTCTTCATCATCATCGTCAAGAGCACTAACACGAGTGCTCTCGCCAATGCCACGGTATCCCAGGGCACGAGCCTTGTTGTGCTCCCATCTGAGGTAGAAAGGCTTCAGGAACAGCAGAATAGGAACGCAGCTCAAAGCCATGACCACAAGCAACTTCTGGATGATGATCTGATGTGGGAAGAGAGGATCCTGGCCAAGATCGCCGGGCTTGAGGAACATGTAGATCAACATGTTCAAAAGACTGGGTGGATCGCTGCCACGGGCTGCCCAATCAACCGACCATTTGTAAACGATGGTGAAGGAAAGGTATCCGAAGATAGACTGGAAGAAGATCATGCCAGGAACGAAGTTGCCCCAGATGTCGATAGGCGTCTTGAAGTAGCGGGCGTTGACGAGCGACCACATCAGGGAGAAGGTCATGTGGCACCAACCAAGAAGAATACTGAGCTTCATCTTGTAACTGTTTGAAAAAAGCAGATCGTTGTCGGTTTCGTGCCATCTCCAGTCCAGTCCGAAGGGATATGTGTGGCCTTCCACTCGGGTTGCTCGCGGTCCAAGAGTCTTGCCGTCCGTCTCCCACTCCCACATCGATTTGAACCAGGGCAGCTCCTTCGAGAAGACATCGCAGTAGAGGAGACCAGTGTAAATGGAGAAGATACCCATCATGAGGACGATGTAACGACCGTAGAAAATCATGGAGAACAATTCGTCCAGCTTGCTACGCTGCAGCTTACGTTCATAATAGATCATAGCAAGAGCAGCAGAAAGAAGGATGATACCGTGACCGGCATCACCGAACATCACTGCGAACATGAAGGGGAAGGTAACGATGGCAGGGAGAGCCGGGTTGACTTCGCGGTACTTGATCGTTCCGTATGCGTCGATAATAGTCTGGAAAGCCAGTGTGAAGCGGTTCGTTTTAAAGTATGTCGGTGGGGTCTTCGAGGTCTTCACCTGGTTGACAATAGTGGGAACAGAGAGCCCAGCCCGATCGTTGACATCTTGAAGGGTGGACTTGACTAGACCCAGGGAGCTGGTGGGAGCCCAGGCTTCAGCAATGAGCGTCTTCCTCTGGTGGTCATACGAGAACTTGTTCAGTGTCTCATACGTGCCCTTCTCTTTCTTTACAACAACCATCCAGGCCGCAAGGTTACGCCCGATGGCTGTTAATTCCGCATCCAAGGTCGATTTGGTGTTCCTTAGAACACTGGCCAGGTCGCTCAGACGCTCGTTGACTTCGCGGATCTGATCACGGCGCAGTTCGCTGTTTTCGTCGACGCTGTACAGATCGGCACCCATGGACTCGGAAATTTTGCGGATCTTGGCGATGATCTCCTTGCCGTGGGCGAAGATTATGAAAACGTTCTTGTTCGACTCTTCGTTGGTCTCAGGGTTGACAATCGGCTCCGGAATCTCAGACTGGTTCATGTACAAGTTACCGCGGAGCGTTCTCCACAGGATCCTTTCAAAGGCCGCAATGCGCTCGCGAGGGATAACACCAGCAACGAACCCAATGTTCATGACGGAGAAAGAACGATCCGCACCAGTGTCTCCCTGTCCGTTCTGTTCAACATCCTGCAGCAAAGGGGCATCGTCGTCATCGAGCGAGTGGCGGATCTCCTCGGTTTGTCCGCGGGCCCTGTCAAAAAACCCGCCAGCCTCCCTTAGAACCCAACGCCACTCTGTAAGCTCCACCTCGCGCTTCTTCAAAGTCTCATAGCTCTCATTCAGTGAAGAGATCCTGTCTTCGAGCTGGTGGCTCTTGTCGGCAAGCTCGTCGATCTCAGAGGCGGAAGGCGAGGTGAACGGGTTATCGAAGTCGTAAATCGACCGCATCGGGATGCTAGACTTGTCCATTTGTCCTCGGAAGTAGCGTAGCTGGCGCTCTACGTTGTCCAGCCGGCGGATCTCTTGCGTGAAGGTACGTTGGAAGGCGGTCGTCTCCGCGTTGAGCTGCATTGACATCATCAGCAGTTCGCCCGGTGCCGAAGCTTCAATGCCCCATCTTCCGAGTGCTTGGATCCACATACATCTCTGAAGTCCATGATGCCGAGCTCTCCAAGAGCGGAAACAACTTCGCGCCCGATCTCGTTGGCAATGTAGAGCTGCGTCAAGGACATGTCAGCCGAGCGGAACATGGTGTCCTTTTGCGGCGCCATGCTGGCAGCTCTTGTAGCAAGTGCGCCGGCAGTGGAGGACTTGTTACGCGAGTTGCGGTGTGGTGGCGGTTCGTGATGAAGGATGGATGCAGCTGCCTCGACGATGATGCGGCAGCCAAGGATGGCTGCTGCTTGCCTTGGAACTTGCTTATGTCAACGATCACGTGATAGACTGAACCCCATGGCCCTGTGGACCTCGACGTTTTTCGATTTGACGACTCCCAGCGGTGCAAAAAAAATCGTCGTTGATTGTATCGGTCATGGATTTATGCTTTTGGGTATCAATTCGGTGCATTATATGCCTGATGTAACTCTATCGCTCCCCCGTGGAGAAATCTCCATGATTACCAAGCTCGTTCGAAGCTTCCCATGTCATAGACAGCATATATGTGCAGACGAGCCCTCTTTGCATGTTGAACTTGACGATAAACATTTCCTCATGTTGGTTTTCGTCGAGACGACCAAATGTAGAGTATATCTGCGATAGTTTGCGTTGCTCAGTCGACGATTTCCACAATGTCACCGAATTCATGGAACAACCACGGCTCGAGACCTTGGTAAGGTTCTAGAATGGGTTCGTCATTGACGGTCACTTCCTCCTCTCCCTTTGTGAAAATTTCAGGTTCCGTCTTTTCTGGATATTTTATTTCCGCGTCAGAAGACCTCGCATTGTTCTCGAAGAATTTGCTCACTCTCGTAGGGTTCTCGTGATAGCTTTCGCTCTCGCGTTCGCAGTGCTCCGCCTTGGAGCTTTCCACAATCGGATAAGTCGTTTCAAAGTTCCGCGTTTGAGAGCTGCTGGAGTCATTTAGGAAGAGAGATTGACCCTTCTCCCGTGGCACAATGGAGTCATTTAGGAAGAGAGATTGACCCTTCTCCCGTGGCACAATGGAATCCTTGATGGGAGACAAGTCAGACACATTCTGTTCGACATTGACCTTTGAGTTAGAAACAGAGTCGGCAGGTGGGGAAAATCGGTGCTCCACGTAGCTCATATCGTAGCCAACGTGTTTATGTGGATCGGATACCTCCTCGCCGATCTCGTCTTTATTGGCAGGTCCTTGGAGGTCCTCGAAATCAGCCATGCCCAGCAAAATGTCCTCCAGCATCGAGTCTTCCTCGCCGAAAGGATCCATCTCGCGATCCACATCAGTCTGGTCAGCCGTAATTCCCATGGACATACCACCTCGTGTATTATTTGATATTCGGTCCACTCCGGACTGTTCCGAGAAATCGTCGAGCCCCAAATCACCGTAGTCGCTTGAAAGCACCGATCCCGGTCGCTCAAACGAGCTCTGCATACCATGGGACGATAGATCAGGTGTGCCGCCTTGGCCGTAGCAGTATGAGGGTTTCTGGTGCATTGCCACTGAGACTGACGTCGGAAGATTCTTCTTCTGAATGCTTTTGTGAAGTTTGTTGAGCTCTCTGAAGTCCTTCGGGCCGGTTCTCGCGTATTCGGCTTTCTTTCTCTTCTCTTGCCGGGTCATGTCTAACTCCTCGACCATGGCAGAGCTCTTCCGTTTCGACGCCGTCAGTTGCAACTTGGTCTGAGTCTTTTTGCCTGTTTCTTTGGCCAGCACAAAGCCCGGCTCATGATGATTGGTGCGGTCTTCCTGGAAAGCAACGCGCTTCGGTCCGGCTTTCTTGGGCGGTTTATCCATCCCGTGCTTGCAACATAGGTGCTTACATGCATCTTTGTCCTTGCAAGGATGATTGCAGGCCCATTTTCCATTCTCCAGCTGTCGGGGCTCGTGATCGACTTGCTCTCGAGGTTCGGATGGCTCTTGTGCACGACCCTTGGTCTTTGCCGCATTCTTTGCTGTATTTGGTCGCGTGATTACATCCGTAGGGTTCGCATAGTTGCTAATATGATTGAAGTCTAGATCATTCAAAGAGACCTTGACAAGTTCGTCATCGTCGATGCCGTCATCAAACTCGTCCGCGGGTTTCTGTGAGAGTGAGGGTGTCTCAGTACGGCGTCTGGAGATATTTGAGCCAGGACGCTCTTGCTCCTGTGGCGCCGTTGATTCAGGCTTCGGCGGCGGGAACATCGACGCAGCAATCTTTGGTGTGACAGAGGCAGTCCGCATAGTTCCAGCTACCAAGGTTCAGTAGAGCTCCTGATAGTAGGTGCACCCTAGAAACGTACCGATGCCGTCACACATGATGTGGCAATTGATGCTCAAATTCGGTGACGTTAGTAAAGCAGGAATTGTTAGCGACTGTCCGTTTCCGAGTTTATTTGCACTGAACAGGGTCAGAGAATATCTTGGCGATCTGTTCGTTAGCCTTACCTAAGGCGAGCGAAGTGAACTTTGCGACCATCAGAAGTCTCTGCCAATAAGCACACGTAAACCGCCTTGCCCGCAAATCTATCCGGTGGTCTCTCGTTGATAAAGCCGATGTCAGTCTTAATGAGGACTTTCACGCCTTCAGGAGTCTTCGTAATCTTCACAAGTTTAGCCAATGGCATATGAGATGTGTGAATACTTACTGCTGGCGGTTGCAGCTGCAGCGAAACTCGCAACTTCGGGAAGACCTTCATTTTCTCAAGGATTTTCAGGCCGAATGGCGGATTGCGACCAAGCAGGTGCTCAATACGGTGAGCCTCGGTACACTCGAGCTCTTCCAGTGACCTGATTCCAGCTTGGGCCAGTTTTCTGCATCCAACAATACCCAGTGTGTCGATCTGCTTCATTTGAATCGGACTGTCATCCCATACCCGTGCAGCCAGGCTTCGCTCCAAAATCAGAGCATTGTTGATGCTCACTGAATCGCCAGCATATATTTGACAGGCGATGATGCAACGTATGAGACGATTGATCTGCTTGAATATCACTACTGCTTCGGTGTTGTATTGCGTCCGGTGCTTTACATTTTCGCCATCCCAGGAGATGTCTGCGCCACCTAGAATGGATTGAATCAACAACGACACTTTATGCGCGGGCAGGTCCAGGTTCACTGGGATGGGAAATCGAATGTATGGCGAGCTGTTGATGCTCTTATACAATGATTTCTCACCACTCCTGAAACGAATATTTGCGAACTCAGATGCCTGTGCAATGGCCGAAAGCTGATTGTGTTAATGCTACCCTCGCCATGGGCCCGGATAAAGGTACTTACAATCTCAGAGATTGTCGCCTTCGGCGGAAGACCCATAAACACCTGCATGCTGTCGAATTGGACATAGTACTGGGCCATAGCATGGCCATAGTCAGTACTGCAAAAGAAGTCTTCACCTGTCATCAGATTGTGCTGGCGAAGCAGTGTAATATCCCGGAAACAGATATCATCAAGTTGCTCATCGATGCTTTGCCCGCTCCGCGACCCTTCCAACTTGTAATGCGCTGGGTTTCTTCTGATGCGAACGTAGAGAAACGTACTTGCAAGCCACTTTCGTGCCGAATATAGATCTCGTATGGTACCAAGGCCTATTTCGGCGTTCAAATGGTCGATAAGGCCTAAATGAAGTGTACTCTCTAGGATTTCTTGTCCTGTCACCATAAGCTCATACTTGCGAACTTTTTTTTGTCGGGTCATGATCACAGCGACTGCAGTGTCATCGAATTGGGGTCGCCCAGCACGCCCAAGCATCTGCAAAATCTCGAGGTCCGAATATTCCTGGATCCCGTTCTGCGTGAAGCTGACAGTATTTTTGATGATAACGAGGTGACAAGGCAGGTTCACACCTACCGCTAGGGTAGAAGTGCAGCATATCACACTAAGCTCCCCTTCCAGGTATGCTTTCTCGACTTTGATTCTGTCCTTAGAGTCGATGCCAGCATGATGGAACGCCACACCGGAAGCAGCACATTCACGAAGGTCGCGGTCTCGAAAGGACAAGGGTTTGGTGGGTGGCTTCCAGGCCCGGTCCTTTGCATGCCGGGTGATCCACCAGTTTGCAAGTACTTTCGCCGTGGCTATGGCAGATTTGCGAGTGAAACAGAAGACCATGATGGGCTTCCCTCCCGAAAAGTTTTTAACAACATCCAGTAGCTTTGTATCAAGGATTTTCTCGAACGCGAAGTCGTTGGCACTCGACTGATAGCCGCATACATGCTTTCGTAACTTGACTGGACGGAACTCTTCGCCAAACTTCTCATTGGTGGCCGGTTCGTAAGGCTCGGCCGCGCTCTTGCCAAGCCAGGTTGCTACATCCAGGAAATTTGGCACTGTTGCAGACAGAGCAACAAATCGAACATCGGTGCCGGTAGACTTCATCCGTGACACGACAACTTCTAGGGTAGCACCACGATTTTCCTTCAATAAATGGACTTCGTCAATAAGAAACAGATTGACGAGTCGCATCAACTTCTCGTGGTCTTTCCATTTCCGCGTAATACTGTCCCACTTTTCTGGAGTAGTGATGATGATATTGGCGCTCTGGATGTTTCGCAAGTCAGCTGACTCGGAGTCGCCCGTAAGCTCAACGCAATCGAGCTCAAGTGGACCGAACTTCCATTGCCAATCCCGCTGACGTTCAGAGCATAGCGCCTTGGTTGGGGCTTGGTAGACAATCTTGTACTGGCCAGTGGAGTTCTTGGAGATGGCTCGACATATGGCGAGCTCCAACACAGCAGTTTTCCCACTTCCGGTCGGTGACGACAGCACAAAGTTTTCATCGGTCCTATAAACGGCATCGAAACACTTGGACTGAACAGCGTTGAAGATCGGATACGGGAAAATTGTGCGGAGCCTATCCGGGAGCTCTGATACAGGCACCTGCTGTATGCCTTGCGTGATCGGTGCACTAGAGCAAGCACTCGGACGTGAAGCTTCCGCTGCTACAGAGGCATGGTGCTGAGGATGTGGAAATTCTGCTTGTAGGTACGGAGTGCCGAACATGTCCTCCTGCTTGTAGTGACGCGGCTGTAGCGTTGGTTGGGCGAACTTCTGGGTGGCCCCGGCGTGTCTTTTGGCAGCCATGAACGATGGGCTGGATGAAACACCCAACGGGACATCCGAGCTCGACTCTGGAGGGGGCTGCGCTGGCTTGTAATCAAATTGGCCTACGTAGCGTAAGCAAGGTTGCCGTTGAAAGATGTATAGAGATACATACTGAGACCACGTCGCGGTGGTGGCATGGAACAGCCATCTTGGTCTACCTTACGGTCAACAATCACGCGAGATCGGATCCATCGGAACTCATACCACAAACATCATCTCTGGGTTCAGTCTTGGGATGATACAAATCCGGGTTTTGCGACGAAGATACAGCAGTAGCGCATAATATGCCGGATTGTGGTAAAAACGAGAGTCGTGCTTGGCCTCTGGCCGCTTTACTCTGGCGATCTACATGTGGGTGGGGCAGCATTCTTTCATCTGCATGGTATCAGTGGGCCATCTAGGATGCACCTTCCTGCTCAGAACACTCACCAATAGATTTGAGTGACTGCTCTAGTCTGAAGGCATCGTCATCCTCCACCCCATCGTGATGAACACTGGGGCGAGCGCGATACCGGTCGCGAGGAGGGTCTGCATGCAAAGGAGCCGGCTGTTTGGATTGTGGCTGCAGAATGGGATACTGGCGCGCGTCAGACTCAGTCCCTCGCCCCCCAAGATGATCGCGGAAGGGGACGCTCATAGTCGCAACATGGGGAGGGGATTCAGCTGAAACAAGGTGAAACGAGCATCAAGAATAGATTGCAGAGGAATGGAAATGGGAGACTGTGGAGTGTCATTGAACAGAGGCAGGTGGAGTCAGGCCAGGTGAGGTTCAGGAGGAAGTCGCGATCTGGTTCCGCCACATGTGCCAACAGCAACACCACAGCAGCTGTTTGCAAACATCAGCACTTTCACATGGCTGTGATTATGATAGCTGTCATATATCTGAATGGTTCTTTTCCTGATCATGGTGGCTTTCGCCCTTCGCAGTGGCTCGGCAAACTGGGATCATCGTGGACGCAGCATTAAGCCTCCGTTGCTCTTTCCAGCGGATGGCAAAGTTCTCATCGACCTTGGAGAAGATCTAGGCATACGCGACCACCAATCCGAGTTCGTAGAGCAATGGTACAGTGTTCAACACCGGAGACCAACATCCTAGCAAATAAAAAACTCCCGCCCTCCTTCGTCTTTTCATGCTCCTGAAGGCTATCCAAAAACCCCGCAGTTCGTGTTCGTAAATGGCGACTTCATTACACGTTTTGGCGAAGACTGCACACTAATACATACTCATGAATGATGGTCTTTCAACAATGAACTTTCGTCTTTCCATCCACGCAGTAAGAGCCGCGCGTCTATCGCAATCGGTCTATAAGAACTGGCAAGAACACCAAACGATGACGCTTACAAAATGTGCCGCTTGAATTTAGGGATGTGGAAAAACAGGCTTGAGCCCATGTGCGTTTCACTCAGGCTTCTCAGCTGGCCGCATGTGGTCCGAGGACTCTCTATCAGAGCTGGGTCGGCCTCTTGTCATCAACGGAACGGCTTGCTCGGAGTCGCCGGTCGTGGTTCCCTCGAGAGGCGCGATTGTAGTTTGCTTCGGCGCGTCTGGCTGCGTGTACAAATAGGTTGCTGCCAGAACAACACCAGTTCCCACAGCGAACTACTTTGAGTTAGCAAACGTAGATTTGAGCAAGAACGGCAGAAACTTACCGCTAAGGTGATCTCAAAATCAAAGAAGTACGCACTCGCTACACAACTGACGATGATCGACAGACTTGTGGCAAAATTCTTGGCAATATTATCCGCGTAATTGATGACAAGGGCGACAATTATGCCACCTGCGGCCTGGAAGCCAATTGCAGTCCACACAATCCAGTTGTAACCCGCGAAGAAGCCGTCCGTCGCGATATTCTGACCATCAACCCAGACGATGCCAATGAAGAAGGCAGGGAACAGAGACCAGAACGAGAGCTGGCAGTTACGGATCCAGAGTGATGCCTGCTTTGTTGATGAGGACTGCTTGAGGATCTTTTCGAAGGTTACACCGGCGAGCCCAGAAAGAGCGCAGGCAATCAAAACAGCCATCAGGCCGACGGACTTGTTCATAATCGGTCCCTCGTCCTCGCCAATGCCCTGGTAGGTTGCGGAGCGCCCGGCAATGGCGTGGAGCCAGCGTTTGGCCTCGGCTGCTTTGCTCTCCTGGACAGCTGGTTCCGGGGTATATTGGGGCAGCTGTACTATAGCCACACCGGCCATGAGCAAGCCCAAGGCCGCCCATTTCTTGACCGAAAGTACTCGTCCAAGCATTATGACGCTGAAGATAGCCGTCGTAAGGATCTTCAGCTGGTATGTGACCTGGAAAGTGGCAGCGTCCAGGTTGCTCACAGCGACGTACTGTAGCGAGTTCTGGAGGGTGTACATTGCGGCGGGAATGGCGAGCTTCCAGCTATCGCCAGCGAATACGTTCGAAAAAAGGGTGCTGAAAAGAGTGGTCGCAGGCGTGCCCGGGGGCAGGTTCTTCGCAATATCGTACAGGGCAACAGTCGCGCTGATGCTAAGCTTGATGACTTCGTTGAGGAACACCGAGGTCGAGGTATGGTAGCGGACGCCGTCAACCGCGGGCATGATGCGCGAATAGTGCATGATCTGGAGATGGTCAGCAGCGGTCTCGAGGACGCCTTGCCTTCACCCCTGCGCGGGGCATGCGAACGTACCAGAATCAGCATTGAGTTTTGGAAGACCAGCTGCGTGCAACCATTAGCGGGCGGGCTTGCGATGGGTTTGGAGCGGGCGTACTGTGACCAGCGAGAGGTGCTTCAAGGGCACCCCTCTGAACGTCGCATTGGGGTTCGACATGATGGTGTATAGGGGTGCGATGTCGTAAGAGATGCGGGCTAGATGCGACAAAGACAAATGAGCCAGAGGCGACGCTGCAGGTACCGCACGCTGCGCGCTGTGCCGGATGTTAAAGAGCGTGGAAAGTTGGAGGCGTGGCAGGAACACAAGCAGGAGAGGGCTGAGCTGGGCAGGCGATCTTTACTTAGTATCCATCCAGCCCGATCCCTTAGTCCCCAGGTTCGAATGTTGTCAGCCGCAGCTAGTGCCCCTGTCCCTTTCGCTTCCGTAGCCTCATCTCCACAACCTTGTTCGCAGTTCGCCGTCTTGCGCCCTTGCGCAGCTGGCCATGTCCAAACTCATCCTCGCATGCTCATGACCAAGGTTGCGCATTCTTCGGTGGATTTCCTGCGCTTCTGGCTGCCCTCTGTGTTGGCGGACACTCTCTGTACTCGGGGTTCTTTCTTTTGCCCTTGACTGAAAGCGTCAGGGAGCCACTAGGGTGCATCTGATAGTTTCCAAGCATCATGCGCTTCTGGCCCCTCCAGCCAATCGCATCGCATCGCCAGCGCATTTGCCTCCGATCCTCCAAGCCCTTTCTCCAGAAATCATCTAAACTCTATGGGTGCGCAGAAGCTTGTTTTGTAACGTGTTTCTTTACAACGTGACTGACGTCTCACGCCAGCCATGTGTGCCTTCAACTTGGTTTTCAGACAATGTCTCCAGCCATTGCTGTCTATAATGTCATAGTGTCATAGGTTGTTGGCACGAACCAAAAAATAGTGTTTTGCACATAACAACCCAGTACATACTGCCATTCAAAAGTAAGGCATACACCAGTGCTTCCCAGCCCATGTCATTCGCATACAAATCCACAATCAACCCAACACATCACACATTACTCACCAACCCTCGCTACAGTTGCAACAATTACGAGCCCGAAGTCCTCGATTAGTCTTGCTATGATACATATACACGCTCATCCGAGCCCTCTTTTTGCACACCCCGTACCATCAATATACCCATATGATAACGTGCAGCAAACCAAAGAATCGACTGACTGGAAAGAAAAAATCCCTCTCCATATCGAACATATGAAATCATATCATCTCGCAACAAGTACCTCCATTACTCTGCGGCTGCTCCGTCGCCTCCCGCTCCACCCCCGCCACGTCCACCCCGATGGCGCTTCTTCCCGTGCTGCTGCTGTTGCTGCTGGGTACCATCGTCCTCAGGGCCGCGCTTCTGTCCTTTGTTGCCAGGACCCCCAGGTACAAACAGATTTGCACCCGGATTCATAGGACTGCCGGGTTGCTGACCGCGTCCTCGGCCTCCCTGTCCTCGACCGGCGCTGCCACCACGTCCAGACTGTTGTTGGTTGGCCTGCGCACCGGCATTTGGTATAACCATGGGCATCTGTGGGCCACCCCGACCCCGACCACCGCCTGGAACAGGAATGCCGGACCCAGGACGCGGAATGTTTGATTGACCGCGAGAGTTCTGGCCACCCCGGGGAGCCTGGTACGGCTGCATAGTCTGTTGCTGTTGCATCGGCTGCTGCATTTGCGGCTGCATCTGCGGTTGCAACTGCCCGAACGGCGAGTTGGGCCGGCTGTTATGCTGGCTCAGGAACGGATTTGGTGCACCAAATCCGCTCTGCTGTTGCGAGCCGAAGCCAAACTGACTCTGATTCAGTCCCTGGTTCATACCTTGGTTGAGAGATTGAGAGAATGGTTGGCCGAAACCAGGCTGGTTGTTGCCCAACTGCCCCAAGGCGCTTGTGTTCGAGCCATTGCCTTGAGAACCCGCACCTGGAGGACCCTGCAGTTGTTGTGGTCCTGATGTTGCGGAACCGGGTGCGGTTATTGTACCAGTTGTATGCTGGGTTGATGCGGGCTGTGCAGTCGCAGCGGATGCCTGGGGTTGTACATTCCCTACAGTTGTCGATGTTGTGGTAGGCTCGGTCTTTGTTACTTCAGTTGGGGGTTTGGTGGCCACGCTCGCTACATCAAAGACCTCCTTGATGGGCTTCTCAGGCGTTTCTTTCGCGGCTGCCACAACCACGTTCCATTTGGCAGTCATGTTGTCAAGCCTGTTCTTGGACATGCTCAATTTGACGGTGTTCCTCGAGTCGCTCAGGCTCTTTTCGGCTGCTTTCGCCTCTTCAATTTTCTGTGCCATCGTCTGCTGCTCCTCGGCACGGATGCTGGCAGTGACTTCCTCTATCTTCTGCTCCACTTTGGTCCTGACGTTTCTTTGTATAATCTCCTGTACCACTTTGTTTTGGTGAATGAAGTTCTTGACCTCGAGATCAGGGGCGTCATATCCGGGCAGCGCGGAGGCTGGTGCTTCTTGTTTCAGTTGCTCGACCTCTGCCTGCAATTGCTCGACCTCTTTCCGAAGTCGATTCACCTCCTCCTGGAGGACGTTCTTCTCTTCCAGAGCCTTCTTCTCCTCCTCCCTGGCAGCCCTGACCATGTCGTTCGCCTTTTGTTTCAACTTGTCCATCTTTGCCTTCGTTGCCGCCTTATCTTCTTCTTGGGAAGGATCAGCCAATTGAGTGGCTTCAATCTCAGCTTTGCGTTGCTGCAGTTCAGCTTCGGCCTTTGCTAGTGCAGCCTCGCGCTCTTCCAAGGCAGACTTTCGCTCTTCCAGAGCAGCCTTCTCGGTAGCAAGTTGCTCCGTAGGCTGCTCTACATCTAGTTTTGCGCCAGCTTCCTCAGCATTGTCAACGTGCGATTCTGCTATCTCTGCTTGGGTGCGGAGATCCTCCACTTCCTTCTCCCGTGCAGCAAGCTCTTCCTTCAACTTCTCAAGCTCAGAAGACGATGTTGTTTCTACAGCTTGTGCATGCTCTGCAGGAGCTTGCTGGGATCGCAACTGTGCGACTTGCGCATCGGCGCGCGCTTTTTCGTCGCGTACATCTTGAGCTTCTTTGGCAAGGTCATCAACGCGCTGTTGCAACTCCGCCTGGTGATGGATTAGCGATGTCGACGCAGTAGTTGCGAACGAGAAACTCACAATTTGGCCTTCGAGCGTGCGCTCCCGTGTTCGCGTCTCTTCAAGCTGAATGCCAAGATTGGCTGCCTCGTTTGACTGCTGCCGTTCGCGATCTTCGGCCTCCCTGACCCGAGCTTCCAACTGCTCCTTGTCCTCAACGGACAAGCCAGTGTTGCTTTCAGCGATCTGACCTTCTTCTTCCATCACAACATCGACGCTGGCAGTGATCTTTGCCTGTAGCTCGTCACGTTCTTGGCGTGTTGACAGCAGTTCCTCTCGTACCGCTGCAAGTTCTGATTGTGAATTTGCAAACTGTTCCTTGGCCTCTTTAATTTCGGCTCTGAGCTTTGCCAAACTCTCCCTCGCATCCTGAACAACTTTCGCTCTCCGTTTGTCGAACGCCTCTGCCTCTGCTTTGTACTTCGCAGCCTCCTCCTCGGCAGTTTTAAGGCGTTCTTCGAGCCCCTCACCGACCTGTTGAGAGGCTTGGTCGCGCTCAATCTTCAAGGTCTCGATCTGTTGCTTCAAGTCTTCCAACTCTTTGGGGTCGATGCGGTCATATCGCTGGAGCACGTCCTGGTGACGCTTCTGCCAGCGCTCGCGGTCTTCTTCAACTGTCTTCAGCTGACCGCTCGTAAGCTCCAGTTCACCCTCAAGTTCCAAGACGCGGGACTGCAAAGGTTGAAGCTGTGCACGAAGGTCTTCGAGCTCCTTGTCCTTCTGGGTACGTTCAACTTCCAAGCGCTGAATGTCGTTGCGAAGGGTGGTGTTGCTCTCGCGGTAGAGATTGAGTTGCCCTACACTCTCTTCCAGTGCCTTGAACTTTGCATCGCTTGGCCGATTCTGAGACTGAGACTGAGCCTGGAGCAACTTCTCGTTCGCTCGCTCGAGCTGCTCATGCTTTGTAGCGAGTTCTTGGCGGACACGCTGTACTTCGAGTTCCATACCGTTAACCTTGAGCTGCAAGATATCCTTGTCATTGCGGAGTGATCGATTGAGTTCTTGTAGACCACTGAGACTGGAATCGAGATTGATGGTGTCCGCTTGTCCTCCACCGATAGAAAGGCGGTTATTCTGGAGGGTTTTGATCGTTTTGTTGAGAGTATCGATCTGCTCGTAAAGTGTCTTGTTCTGTCCATTCAACCCGTCTTTTTCTTCTCGAATCTCGCGAAGTTCACGGTCCTGGCGCTCCTTGACTGCCGTCCAATGTTCTTCGTTCTGCGACAACGAAACCCGGGCAGCCTCTGCTTCTGTCTTGTACTGCGTGACCTCGGTGCTGAGTGTGTTGTATTGGTCACGGATCGCTCGCAGAGTCTTCATCGTCTCGCCGTGCTTCGAAAGCTCGTTCTCGTAATCGGCTTGTGCTCGCTTCGCGATTTCTGCTTGCGAGACAACGAGCTGTTTCTGGGTCTCCATAGCAGCCTCGTACTCGTTCACATCACTCTGGATACGAGCAATATCGGCCTCGAGTGCTTCCTTCTGTTGGGTGAGCCCCAGTCTTTCGTGCTCTTGGGTGCTTCGGAGGGTAGAAAGCTCTGCGCTGGTAGTGGCGAGCTCCGACGAGAATTCTTCAACCCGCTTCTTGAGATCCGCAATCTCACTCTCCTTCTCTTGTAGCGTCCGGTTAAGGTCCTGTTCCATCTGGTCATGAGCTTCCACGAAGTTTTCCAACTGCTCCTCCTTCTCTTGAGCGATGTTCTTGTAGGTCTCGATATGCGTTTCGGCAGTCTCCAACTTCTCTTTCGCGCGGTCGTAGTCGCGTTGGAGATCGGCGAGTTGGACTTGGAGCTGTTCCTCGTGGCTGATGCCGTTCTCTCCCTCTCCAACCTCAACAGTACTGTTAACGTGCGATGTCTGTTGAGCACGTTCCTCGGCAAGTCGCAAGTCGGTCTGCAATTCGTTCACACGCACTTGCAGTTGATCGCGAGCAGTTCGAACGGACGAAAGCTCCTGGCGAACTTCGTTGGCTACTTTGAGCAAATCATCAATCTTCCTCTGTTTGTCCGTTTGGTCCAATTCGAGTCGCATCGTGATTCGTTTGTGTTCATCCATTTCATCCTGAAGCTTGCGATGTGCGTTAGATAGTTCAACCTCCAGTGAGCTGGCTCGCGACTCAAGCAACCGACGGTTCTCAGCTTGCATCAAACTCTGCTCATTATAATCGTTCCGCTTCTCTTCCAATGATTTGCTCAGGAGAGTCTTAGCTTCGTTGAGTGTCCTGATTTCGCCCTCCAGACGGTTCCTGGTTGTCTCCCATAGGGACTGCGAAGCCTTCAAGTTAGTGTTGGCGCGCTCCAGACTTTCGAGTTGACCCCTGCATTCGATGTTCTCTTCCATGACCTGTTGAAACTTGAGATCACTATTCGCAAGCTGATCTTGTGCGGCATCCAGGCGTTTCTGCAACAATTCCTTTTGCGACTCCAAAGCATCGATACGATGCTGTTGTTGATCGTGCCACTGTTGGGCAACCGTTTGCTTGCTTTCCAAGCGCACATTCTCGTATTGTAACTTGCGAATTGCATTGGTCAGGTCGTCCTTCTCCTTCTTGAGCGCGGCACGATCAGTGTTAGATTCCTCCCTTATCATGTTTAACGAGTTTTGAAGCTCTTTGATAACACTGCTATTCTGGACCATTTCGGCAGACTCCATATGAGAGATATTGCTCCCTGGTGGTGGTGTTCCGTCAAACATGGATGCTGAGTCAGAACCTGCATGTCGGTGGCCTTGGTTTTGTGTCGCGGCACGACGCCACATGTCGCGCTCTTTCGTCAATAGAGACTCGGTACCTTTGAGCGAGTTGATCCTATCTTTGTACTGCTCAGCCATTTCTCGACACTCTTCAAGTTCTCGCTTAATACGTTCCTGCTCTTCCAGTTTTTCTTGCGCTTGCCTCCCTTCATACACTTGAGTAAAATTGGCCACTTGCTCCAGCAGGTCCCGGTTACGCTGGACTAGTTCGGCCACGTTCTTGTAGAGGACAAGGTTCTGGGTCAGGGAACGACTCGTGGGCGTGTCATTCTGATCTAGGTAATGATCGGGAATTGTGTTGTCCTTGGTCTCCTCGAGGAACCGCAGCTCGTCCGGAGAAAGGGCTTCCAAGCCGACCTCTACACGCTGTTGTTCAAGAAGCAAGAGCTTGTTCTGAAATGTGATATCAGTGATGACCTGACGGTTAATCTCGAGTCGCTGCTTGAGGCCCTGGATTTCGCCATCCTTCTTCCGAGCCTCCTTTCGGGCAGCTTCCTTTTCTGCATGGGCATCGGTCAAATCCCCGGACATGTTGTCAAACTCAGCGTTCAATCGCTCATTGTCATTCTTTAGCTCCTCCAATTGCGGGCTGAGTTTCTCAATTTCATCAAGCATCTCGTTTTGCAATGCACGTAGATCTTTGGCTGCGTCTTCGGCCTTGCGAAGATCGGACTTAAGCTTGACATTCTCGGCGTAAAGTTGAGTCATGGTCAAGCCGCTCTTCTTCGATCCTCCCGGTGTAGATATCATTGGGGAGCCAGCTCGTGCTGGGGTGCTGAAGGCACCATTCATACCGCGACGGGGAGTCTGCGGTGCATGAACAGGATTCCGCAGCTCAGAAAGCTGGCTTTCTTGGGTCTCTACCAGCAGCTCGAGTTCGGCGACCTTTTCTTCATATTGAACCGCCTTGCTCTTTTCGGAATCGCATTCAGCCTGGAGCTTACCGACCTCGAAGGCCGCGGCATCCTTCACATCTTGGAGCTCAGCATTGACCTCGTCGAGGCGCTTCTTGATGGTTTTCTCCTTCTCTCCACTGAGCTCAACCAGGCGACGGCTGTTGTCAAGCTCGGCGCGGAACGATTGTTGCGTCTGCGCTGCCTCTTCCTGGAGCTGCTGAGTGCGGAGAAGTGACTGTTCGATGCGCTGTTCAAGCTCTTCGATACGCTTGGTCTGTGATGCTTCTTTGCTGCGGAGCGAGTCTATAGTCTGAGTCGCATCGGCGTTGACACGCTGCAGCTCCGCAATCTGCGCATTCTTTTCCTTGCGGAATCGAGTATTGTCTGCGGAGCGCGTCTTGAGTTCACCCTCATACCACTCGTTGCTGGAGCGGAGCTGGTCGATTTCCTGGCGCAGGTTGTTTTCACGGAAAGTCACGTCCTTGGCGCCTGCCTCAAGCTCTTGCTTCTTGTCTTCCAACTCAGACACTTGCTTGCGGAGGGCGACGAGCTTCTGGTGCTGAGCCGACAGCTCTTCGGCGAGGCGGTCATAGGCGGCGGATTTCGCTTCGTGCAGAGCAACGGTATCGCGGTTCTGGCTTTCGAGGCTTCGCACGCGGGCTTCTAGCACATCGACCTGGGACGACGTGCTGGAGGTATTCGCCTGGATCGTCTGCAGCTGCGCCTCGAGCTGCTGATGGGCTGTTTCTGTAGCCCTGTCAGTATGCACGGCAACACCAATGGGCGGGGCTGTCGCGCGTACCTTTCCGCGCCAGTTGCTGGCGCAGCTCCTCTGCATCTTTGACGGCTTTGTCGGCCGTGGCCTGGAGCGTGCGTGCGCGGGCTTCTCCAGCGCGGACGGCGGCCTCATTTTCAATGTCGGCGCGGAGCTTCTCTGACTGCAGGTCGTCATATTCGCGTGCCTTTGCCTCGATCTGCACGAGCAGCGACTGGACAAGCTCGACGGTGGGCTCGGAAAGCAGTGACTGGATGTTTGTTTCTGGCACCGCGTAGGACGCGGCAATGTAGCCGACGTCAACTGCAGGCGCAGCCATGGTGGACGGAGGGATGCGGTCGAGTCCTAGCACATTCTCGAGGGGGAAGTTGCGCCCGAACAACGGGCGGAGGGCAAACAAAGAAAAGAGCGTGGGTGCGCGGTCGTGTGGCCTGCGTTGCTTTGGAGCCTCCGTCCAAAGTCGCGGCGTTTGTTAGAGGCGTGGCTTGGCGCGGCCGCATTGACGCATTCAATGGCCGCCATCGCGCAGCTGCCTCCGCCTCCACTTCACCCAGCGACCAGGCGCCAGCGCTTCTTGGTCCTAGCCTGGCACAAAAGTCCGGAACCGCAGACACACCGTATAAATCGCCTGCGCGGCCCTTTTGCTAGACGCCGCCTGCCTGCGCACCTCCGACAACCCACCCACCTCGGTCTGCAGCCCTCAAGCTGCCACCATGTCCACCCTCAAGGCCAGCAGCCTCGCGCCAAACGCGCCGTCGCCGACGCCCTCGAACGCCTCCGCGAATGGCACCAAGCGCAAGCGCCCCGAGGAGGGCTCCAAGGTCGTGTACTCGCAGCCGCTCGACACGGAGGAGCGCAGCCATCTCTACACCCAAGTCACCTACGCCATCGAGCACCTGCGCGAGCAGCCCGACAAGTGGTTCACCTTCAAGGATATCATGAACTATCTCAACATCCGGGAAGACAACATCTCTCTCCGCAAGCACATGAAGGCCTTCTTCCATGCCGCCAACGCAGGCAACAAGATCGAGTACAACCCTGACACGAAGAAGTATCGCTTCAAGCCCAAGTACGACATCCGCAATAACGCCGAGCTCCGCCAGTATCTCCAGAACCAGAAGTCTGCTCAGGGCTTGGCGGTCAAGGACCTGAAGGAGGGCTGGCTCAACGTGCAGGATGACCTGCGCATTCTGGAGGCTAGAAAGCAGATTCTTGTAAAGCATAACCAGAAGGACCAGAATGCGAAGACTGTGTATGTCATCCGCGAGTAAGTATCTGGCGCGTGCTAATGCCCATCAAGGTGGAACAATGACTCGACGCTCATGTACGACGTTGATCCCGAATTCAAAGAGGAGTGGCACAGCACGACGGTCCCGCAGACCCAGGACGAACTACGCAAGGCGCTCCTAGCTGCTGGTCTCAAGCCGGCAAGCGCCCCTCGTCTCCCCACTGTCACCAAGCCCAAGGAGAAAAAGCGCAAGACCGTCCGTCGCGGCGGCAAGATGACCAACACGCACATGGCGAGCATTCTCAAGGACTTTTCGCATTTGCGCAAGTAGTCCTCTTCTTAATGGCATAGCGTCGGCGTTTGGGTGGGTAAAACTTTTCACGGTTCCGGATGGTGTTCCAAGTTCGCTCTGATTCGAGGAGCTGGCGACGGTAAGATAAGCTGTACAACAGGCGTAGGGTCTCTAGATGATTTGCTTCCTTTGGGGAAGTTTGACTGCAGTTGCACAAAACCTGACACCTTATTCGTGTCTACTTGTCAACCCCAATAATACAGCTCACATGGCCAAATGCAAGTAAAAGGTTGAGTAGGCCCGTATCAAATATCAAATTCACTTGTTACACGAAGACCTGTTTGTAATCATCTAACGCACAAATCATAAAACCCCCAGCTCCATGAATCAATCCCCCCAGCCTATGTCATCTCTGCCGTTAAGATGCTTGCTAGACGTGCATAAAGCGATCTGCATGAACTGGTTGGTCCGTGCAACAAAAGTTAGTGGTGACATCAATTACACCAACGCCCAAGACGCACATTACACTGTACCACACCCAGCATAGAAAGCCATGAAGCCTTCAGATTCGCTGCGGGCGATCCGCCCCATTCAAAGACATTTGACCACCCCATCATACCGCCTAATACCCGCACGACCCGCACAAGCACAAGCTCCGCTCTTCGCATCCGCAACGACACCCGTATCGCCAATCCGCTTCTCCTCCACAGCCTCGTCTCAGCCAAAAGAATCCTCCAAATCCACTGTCGACCCAACAGAAGTATCGCACTTCAATGCGCTCGCCTCAAGCTGGTGGGACCCTGTTGGTCCTTCGCGCCTCCTCCACCTCATGAACCCGCTCCGCCACACCTTCATCTCGCGCTGCCGGGCCGCTTCTTCTTCCGTGTCGTCCAACTCCAACCTCCGCTACCTCGACATAGGCTGCGGCGGCGGCATCTTCGCCGAGTCCGCCGCCCGTCTGGCGCACACGGCCTCCGTCACCGCCATCGACCCCACGCCCGAAGTTCTCAAGATCGCGGAGGCGCACAAAAGGCGCGATCCTACGCTTGCGGCGCCGGGGAAGCTGACGTATATCAACACGTCGATTGAGGATCTTCCGCAGCCCAAGACACCGCAGGAGGGATATGATATTGTGAGCTTGTTTGAGGTGCTGGAGCATGTTAATGCGCCGGGGCCGTTCCTCGAGCACATTATGCCGCATGTCAAGCCGGGAGGGTGGCTGGTGCTGAGCACGATTTCGAGGACGTGGACCAGTTGGCTAGTGACGAATGTTATGGCCGAGGACGTGCTAGGTATAGTGCCAAAGGGGACACATGATTGGGCGAAATACGTGAATGAGTCCGAGCTGCGGGACTGGTTCTATGGGAAACCGGGGTGGGGGGAGCTGAAGACGATGGGCGTCATGTACGTGCCGGGGTTCGGGTGGAAAGAGGTTACGGGAAGCGAAGGCTGGGGTAACTACTTCTTTGCTGTGCGGAGAGCAGAGTAAGGAGTAGATGACGGGATGTGTAAGGTATGGTGTGAAAAATTGATAGTACATATGATACCCAGGGTGAAATGTACAGTATGTATATTTACAATCGTCGCAGGATCCTCGACCGCGCTATTCAAACATCCGTTGCGTATCGTACCAGGCTCCTTTTCCAGTGCCACAGGTCCACGAAAGGGGCGGCATTCCCTTCAATGTCTTTCAACGCCCTCGAATGCGGTATTTTACTCCAAATGCATCCCCCTTCTTGCATGACAACTTCTCAGATGTCCTCATGACCCATCTCACTTCTGCCAGAACTTCTTATCGCTCTTCTGCGGCGGCGCTTCCCACACCTCGGGCATCTGCTGCTCTTGTGCCTTCGAACGGCGCGGCGCATCGACAACATCGTGACCACCTTCTGCCTTCCACCGCTCCAAGTATTCCTCGCCCGTCATCGGCTCCGGCACTGTGGCCCACTTCCTCCTGCCCACTTGTACGTTCTTCGGCGTGCGTTCGCTTACGAATGGCGTCAACTAGATTCTCGTCAGTTCCCTTTCTTCGTGCGCAGAGACCCGTCTTCCGACAGCAGCTCTGGCGACATGCTGACCTCAAAGTCTTCTACGCCCTTCGCAGGATAGACAAATGTCCGTATCTTGGTGTAGTCGGGGTGGAAGCGCCCATATTTATCGATCGTGCCCAGGGTCCCCGTCTTGTTGCCCTTGTAGTACTCTCTTCCGGCCTGCTTCGGGGAGAGCGGGAGGCGCCGCAGCGTCTTCTGCAGGCATGGCGTAGGTTTGAACATGTTGGCGGACGGCCCGTCTTGGGCACTTTGGATCAGAACGACGCACGGCGCGCTGCTTTGACAATGGCTTGATGGGAGGTGCAGTGCGATGCGATGCGGAGGTGTCGCGCGGAGAAACTCCGGCGGGATCCCTTCCGTTCAGGCAACTTTTTTGTGTCGCCAAGAGTTCGACCCACCACATTTTCGCTGCGAGAAGAGGGCTGCAGAACAGCACACACCACGCGATCATGCCTCCCCGAATTTCTCGAGGCTCGCTCCAGAGCACAAAGCCTGCTAGAGGCAGACCTCAGTCCGGACCCCGAAACTCCGGAAAGGCGCAACGCCGCGCGCAGAATGCTTTCGCCATCGCCGGCCACGATGCTTCAGATCGCACCAAGATTCGCAAGAATCGGCTTGGCGAAGTTGAAGGCGCTACCCACCGAAAACGGCCCCGTGATGAAGAGGAAGAGGAGGATGAGGGCGAGGAAGAACAAGATGGAAAACGGGGGAAGCGCAGACGAGCCGGGGACGACAGCTTCGATGAGGGTAGCGATTCCGAGGGCAATACTTGGACGATGGGCCACGTAGAAGACGATGACGATAGCGACATTGACAGTGACGAAGCTTTCGGAGAAAGCGACGAGGAGAGGTTCGAAGGGTGGACATTCCGCGGAAGCTCGAGCAACCAGAAGGGTGGGAAGCCGAAGAAGGTGAAACCCGTGAAAGAAATGGAGGACGATGATGAGGACATTGATCTGGATGAAGGAGAGAGCGCCGATGGCGAAGACGAAGACGACGACGATCTGGGAGACGATGCGATCGATCTTGCCACCGCCCTGGATCAGTACGAGGAGGAGAAGCGAGAGAAGCAGAAGAAGCAGAAGAAACAGAAGAAGGCATCTGCTTTCGACGACAGTGATAGTGATGAGGCCCCCAGTGAGGTCGGTGATCTCGCCGCAGACGGTGCCTCCGACTTTTCCTCTGACGATGATGATGATGAAGAGGAAGCCGATCGAATAGCGCAGCTGAAAGACCTCATTTCTTCCATGGCAGCAGAAGATGAGCGAAGCGCTCCCACACCCCGGAAAGTGGACATTCACGAGAACGCTGCCCCATCGGAGTTCGGCGTCATGCGGAAGGTTGACCTCGCAGGCTTCAAATCAAAGATCACGGATCCAGAGAGGAGGAAAGCGTTGAAATTGTTGCAAGATGACCAGTCTACAAAGCGCAACGATATCGCCCGAAAACTTGACGCGCCTCTACCCAAACGACAACAAGATAAGCTTGACCGAGCTGCTGCTGCTGCCAAGGCCAAGGAGACGTTGGACAGATGGACGGATACCGTGAAGCACAATCGCCGCGCCGAACATCTGCATTTCGGTCCGGACCAACCAGAAGCAGGCTCTCGGATGGGAGAAAATCGCCTATTGCCTACTACGACAGCCGCGCCGGCGACCGACCTCGAAAGCACCATTCAGTCTATCCTGCAACAAAGTGGGCTTTCGAACGGCAAGGAAGACGAAGACAAGATCCAGAAATGGGAAGAACTTCAGACCAACAAGCTTCCTCTAGAAGAAGTGCAGAAACGTCGTGCTCAGCTTCGTCTGGAGAGGGAACTCATGTTCCGCGAGGAGGTGCGTGCGAAACGCATCAAGAAGATCAAGAGCAAGTCTTACCGCCGGGTTCATCGCAGAGAGCGCGATCGATTGATGGAAAAGGAACGCGAACAACTCAAGGCCGATGGTATCGATATCTCGGAAGACGAGCGCGAACACAACGACCGTCGAAGAGCGGAGGAACGAATGGGTGCCAAGCACCGTGAGAGCAAGTGGGCTAAGGGTGTCAAGGCCTCCGGTAAAGGAGCTTGGGACGATGACGCTCGTGCTGGAGTGACAGAGATGGCTCGCCGCAATGAGGAGCTTCGCCGTCGCATCGAAGGCAAAGAGGTGCGCGAGGAGGGCGATGATGCATCCGACTTTTCAAGTGAAGATGATGAAGACCTGGACGACGAGGATGGGACCGAGGCCGTCAAGCGCCAGCTCGGGCGCTTGAAGCAGAATCCGTTTTCTTCTGATCAGTCTAAGCTGGGGTCGATGGCCTTCATGCAGAAAGCGGAAGCTGCTCGAAGGGCTCGCAATGACGAGGATGTCGAGCGCTTACGGAAGGAACTAGCGGGCGAAGAGAGCAACAGCGACGGAGACGACGACAACGCAGCCAAGGTCGGTCGCCGGAAGTTCGGACCCGGTACTAACATGGCACCGCCAGCCATCCAGCCTCGCAGCGAATTTGAAGAACGTGAAGAACCAGAAAGCGATGCAGAGAACGGTACAAAGGCTGCAGATGAAGACTTCGCAGTCAACGGCAAATCTAGCTCCACCTCCAAGAGCGGGAATAATACTGTAAACCCTTACCTCGTGGCAAAGAAGACCAGGAAAGTTGAGGCAGGACCTGACCTAGTACCGATGGCGTACGATACCATTACCACGGCACAGATCCAGGAGGAGACCCCCAAGAAGTCGAAGAAGAAGTCAAAGTCAAAACAGTCCTCGGACGAGTCGCTCAAGGGCGTGTTCGCCGACAATCCTATCATTAGCAAGCCCGATGACGATGGTTTCCGGACTGTAACCTACGATGAAGACGATGAAGACGATGCTGGTTGGGGAGATGAGAATACCGAGTTCGATTCGACCGGTCTACAGCGCAACCAACGACTCACAGCCAGTGCCTTCGCTGGTGACAACGTCGAAGCGGACTTCGCCAGCGAAAAGAAGCAGACCATCGATGAAGAAGACGAGCGCATCGTGGAGAACGTCTTGCCCGGCTGGGGTGCATGGACAGGCGACGGTCTTACCGCATTGGAGCAGAAAAACAGAGGCCAAATTACACGCACTAAGAAGCCAGGCATTGCGCCAGGCAAGCGGAAAGATGCGAAGCTGGCCCGTGTCATCATCAACGAGAAGCGCGTCAAAGCCAACACCAAGTACATGTCTGCGCAACTCCCGTTCCCGTTCGAGACGAAGGAGCAATACGAGAGGAGTCTTAGGTTACCCAAGGGCCCGGAATGGACGACTAAGAAGACGTTCCAGCAGGCAACGAAGCCGAGGGTCATGGTCAAACAAGGTGTCATCAAGCCGATGCATAAGCCGCTTATGTAGGTCTTCACATCGGAAAGGACAGGCATTCAGGTGCGTAGCTAGAATATATAGACATGTACTATACCCCCGGGACGGACAAATTGAGTGTGTACGGCAGGCGAACCTTGACATTGTGACAGCCGAAGAATGTGAGGCGTTGTGCTACAATTCCAGAAATCTCGCAGGGCGTGAGGTGTGACCGAAGGGAGAGAAGCGGGCCGTAAATGGATCCCAGCACTTGACCTTCATCCGTCACTGCCATAGCACGCGCGATCTCTTCAGGTGAGTCGGTCTTAAGCCTGACTTCATTTGTGGCTATCTACGATCCTGTCTGATGAACGTTTCCGCATCTGTCAACCATCGAACGACACCGTGACCCACTGGCGCATGTAGCAAGCCGAGGTCTGCAACTCTACATAGGCAGATGTCCCAGTCTGTGGTACATGGTCTGTCTTGCATTATTCTCTTCGACATCGTCAACCTACCATCTCGCCCGATCTGACCCGACATCTCCCCGTGACTTCTGGTGGCTTTCTTCATTACAAGCTATCGCTGGAGCCTCTTTACTCCATCCATCAGCTGCACGTGAGAGCTTTCTGGCACACCATCTGCAGGCATCCAAGATGGGAAGATGCGGCTGACCGTAATATTTCCATATCGCACGGGGGCAACACATAAGAGTCTCGAACATAACAGGAACTCTAGATGGTCAGAAGGCACGCAAGTCTGTCACATCAAAGCAATTCGCTTCACCAACCTGAACGTTCTACGCCTTCTTTGCTTCGACCATACACAGCAATACTTCCTCACACTTACTGATTTTACGGCTTTCATATGTTCAGTCACTTTTCTGTTCACTCTCGCAGTGCCCCGTTCGACCTATGTTCAGCATGATACTTACGCGCTTTGTCCCAGTTCTGAGTTTCTGTGTGCTAGTATCGTTGACAAGGCTCGTTGACTCAGCCCCTCTAGAGAACGGGGTCCACCCAAGACAACCATGGAAGCCGATGTATTCCGCAGAGACTGCGATACTCTGCAACTCGACCGCATGCCAGTATCTGGTCAACTTTACGTATCAAACCTCGATGAATACAACCAAGATTCGTTCAACAAGAAACATCGACCAAACGCTCACGAGTGCTTCACCAAGCCACGATGCCGAAGAGTATCCAGAGGTTGCTACGATGCAATCGTTCGTAAGTGCAAACCATCGCAACTGCCTTGCAAACAACCGGCCTTTGCTCGTCACTTCTCAAACACCTGAAATGCCACTATCAAACCTTCGCTTCACAACATACCCAAAATTCACAAACACTACTTCCGTTCTCAGTATGCGCTGGCCTTGGCCATTGGAATCTTTACTGACGAAACGCTCCTGCTCAAGGTATATCCTCAATTGCCCTTGCGCACGACTCTTGCATCTACCACATACATTTCACGCGCGAAACCTACACCTACTTCTATAAAATCTGTTACCGCTCCTACGCCTGCTGTTCAACCGTATCCTATTATCGCCCTAGGTACCTCTTTCGCGCTGGGCGCGCATCACTCTTCTCCGGCCGCAAAACCGCTGCCCAAAGCCCCGAGCAGTTTTGCGCAGCCTTTCTCAGTCTCCATCCTAACGTCTATGGGCCAGTCGTCATCCCTTGTTCGGCCCACTCTCCGGCCGTCCTCATCATCGCGGAGACGCAGCACGCTCTCTTCTACCTTCCGTTTGACGCCCACCGCTACACCGACTACGAAAGCGATCCCTACTGACAACATTTTCGTTCCTATCCAAGCGGACGACGTACTCGGGCAAATTCCGATTCACATCAAGCACCCCCTGCCTCGGCTCGGGATCGAAGATAGCCAGGACAAGCCGATTCAAACGAACAGGTTCTACGCGAACGCGTTCCTGGGCAAGCAAGATCAGCCGATATGGACGCAGCCGTACTTCATGTGGTGGGGCAAAGGTGGTTCGAATCCGCATCAGTTTCCGACATGGGGGATGAATATCGGGCATGACGAGAGTGGAGACTATGAATTTGGACCTGGAAATCCCCCCAAAGTATGCTGATGTAGCTTTTTCATATAGACGGTGGACGCGCCGATCTTTCTCAGAGCTAATGCAATGCAGTATTATGTTGCTCCGCGAAAACAGCCAGTCATCATTGGCGCGAGGGAGCTCGATGGCGAGACTGTTCTCTCTACGGATTCACATCTCCCGCATTCAGTGAACATAAACCTGAGGTCCGTCTTCATATGTTGAAGGTTTGAAAAGCTTATTCAGATTATATTTTACAGGCGCGGAACTACTGCCAACTCCCCAAAAGTCACATTCTTCATTGTCCAGGGCATGAGCTTTGTCACAGCAGGCTATGCAAATGCCTCGCCCCTAATCCAAACATCTGGAACAGGTTTCCAAGGAGAGATAAGTGCACCGATACTGATTGGAAGATCGACCAAGTACCGTTTCAAGGATTGTGATGGGCGTGACTGGCTTATGTACATCAATCCTGCTAGCGATATTGAATACGACGCTACGAAGATGACCAAGATAGACGCGAACACGATCATCTTCCCACAAAACTTCAAGGGCACGATACAGGTGGCCAAGTGTCCACCTGGGACAGACGCCGAAGCCCTCTACGACAAGACGTACGGAACCTTTGTAACTGAAGCCAGAATCTACGCCACTGTCAATGATACTCGCGGGTCCTACGGTTTCCTGTACAAGAAGATTGGCTTTGGCCCTCTACTTATGTTCCTCCTTCCCCACCACATTCAGTCGCTCGATGCCGAGCTCAAGTCAAGCGTCACAAAGTTGCAGCTACAGACGACAACAAGAGGTGTAGCAATAGCCGTCTGGGCCTCCGCCGACAGTCTCTCCTTCACTGAAACAAATCTTCCCACGAGCATGGCATTCGCCCCTTGGACGCCCATCTCGACCACTGCACGTACCAAGTTCCCACCTGACTTTCTCCTCTTTCTGTCGTCCGTCGCAGAACTCGACCTCCGCCGCGTAATGTCCGGCCCCATACCTCAGGACTCATACTACTACGCGGGAAAGTACCTCTCTAAATTCGCGACGCTCCTATGGGTAATCAAAGAGGTTCTTAACAACACTGAGTGGGTTGAACAAGGGCTCGAAAAACTTAAGCAAGAGATGGCGCGGTATATCGATAATGTGGCCAAGTTTCCGCTGTACTATGACGATACGTGGAAGGGGCTCGTAAGCAAAGCGGGCCTCGATGGCGATCAGGGAAGCGATTTTGGGAATACGTTTTACAATGATCACCATTTCCATTTTGGATACTTCATTCACACGGCGGCGGTGATTGGGGCGTTGGACCCGGGATGGTTGGAGCAGGGAGTCAACAAGAAATTTATTAACATGATCGTGAAGGTGAGCTGCACCTGCAACTTTTAGATCGGAGAGTCTACTAACACGAATCAATCTAGGATATCGCAGAAAGTGAGTACGCAGGAAGGGACTTCCCGTTCCAGCGGTGCTTCGACTGGTACGCCGGCCACAGCTGGGCGAAGGGCCTCTTCGAGAGCGCAGACGGCAAAGATGAAGAGTCTACAAGCGAAGACGGCTTCGCAAGCTACGCGATCAAGATGTGGGGGAAAGTCATCGGAGACACGAACATGGAGAAGAGAGGTACTGTACTGCCACCTCCTAACCTCTTACTCATCGCGCCACAGCTCCAGCCACGATATCGTACTGACCCACCGTAGGCAACCTCATGCTCGCGGTCCAAGCCCGCGCGTTCAACTCCTACTTCTATATGATGTCTACGAACACGAATCAACCGCCGCAGTTTGTCCCGCACAAGGTCTCGGGCATCTTGTTTGAGAACAAGGTCGATTACACGACGTATTTTGGCGATGCGCCACACCTTGTGCATGGAATACACATGCTACCCCTCGCACCACCCAGCGCGTACCTGCGTCCCCGCGCCTTCGTAAAAGAGGAGTGGGACGCTTTCTTCGCGCTGCCGCCCGCAGCGTCCTCCGCTCCCCAGTCGCCCCCCAAGACACCACAGCCTACGAGCTCTAGGCCTGTCCTCTCGCCCAAACCGTCTTCAGCGACGACGGTACCCAAAGCAGACCCGCCGACCGGGGGACCGTACGTTGACGGCGGGTGGCGCGGCGTCTTGTTTGCGAATCTCGCGCTGATAGATGCGAAGACTGCGTATGGGTTCTTCAGGGATGGGGTGGGTGGGGTTTGGGATGAGAGATGGGTGGACGATGGAGCGTCGAGGAGCTGGTATTTGGTTTGGTGTGCGAGTCTGGGGGGTGTTGGGATGAAGTAGGGGACGGAAGGAACGGGCGGAAGAGGCGAGGGGTCGCTGGCGCGGGCAGGGAGTCAGAGGTGGCTGGATGTGTTGCCGTGCTTGGTTGGCCTTGTAGCGTGGAAGAGGGGAAGCGTGGGAGCTTGACCATGCTTGTAACATGTGCCGAGTCGAGCCTGACTGTGTGCACATGTGTTCCGGGTACGCGGCGCGGTTGCAGTTGCTCTGCTGCTGAGAGGCGCTAGTAGGTCCCCGTTACTCACCGTCGATGCCTCAGAACAAGCACCGCCTATTCTTCGGGACCGAAGCGCATTCTGATGCTGTGGACATTGCACTGCGAGGTAGAACCGAATGCACTCTTTCCAGAAAAGTCAGGTTCAGGGTGCCATGATGCTTTCAGCAACCAATTATGCATTCTGTATCTTGCTCGAGGTTATCGCCCATGCCATTGCCTCCCTTAACCAAGAATCTCGTTACTTTTCAACTCAGCGTCCACAAGAGGACGTCGAAAGCCAACGCCGGAAGTGAAATTCGGGAATCGAAATCGCCGGTACATGATATCGTACAATCTTCTTCCTTACTTACTCGCACAGCAATGAAAACAACAGATACATGGGATGGTAGGAAAGGGGACGGAGGAAACCGTACGCAGGTGGTGCGTCGTCAGCTCAGCGCAGCTGGCGTGCAATCACAGGGTAAACAAAACTCGACACTATGTACAGAAAAGGAAGGATAGGACGAGGGCAATTGGAAAATGCGCGGTACGCCTTCGCGTGGACCTGCACGCCGCGGGCGTCGGCACGACCATTGTTCACTTGGTCTGCCGGTTTGGGGCAAGCCACACTTGCGGCGAAGGTGTGGCCGCGGATTTTGGTGCCAGTGCGTTGGGGGCTGCAGCGGTGTGGGGCCGCTGCCGCAGCATCCATTCCGCGTATCCGAGACTTAGAAGAGCTTCGCAAAGAAGCTGCCGAGATTGCCGGACGCGTCTTCGGGCTTGACGTAAAAAGCTAGGGCGATGATGGTGTACCTTAAAACCAGTGTCAGCGCCACATTTCTGCTTGCACGGCCACCTTCACCTTCGTTTCGCTATATTACGCTTTTCTCACCCTTTGTCGACGAGATTCGCCAGTTCGTGGTGGGAAGGGACGAGATGCGCTTCCCGGAGATGCTGAAACCCGTGACGTCATACTGTCACGGCTTCCGCGTGTCTCTGAAAAGCGCACTCTGGGAGGAGACGTGGGTGCGGGGGTTTGTTACTTACATCCCAAGGCACATGCAGCCCTCAAGGTAGTTTGACTTTCCGTCCTGGATAAGGTAGTTGACGACCAAGACCGAGAGGAAGAAGATGACCGTCTCGAAGGTCTCAAAGTGCAGCGTCATGTTGCGGCCCATGATCCAACCGAGGATGACGAGGAAGGGGGTCACGAAAAGCGTAATCTGCAGACTGCTGCCAATGGCTACGTTGACAGCAAGGTCCATCTTACCCTTGAGCGCAACCACCACGGCGGTCACATGTTCGGCGGCGTTTCCGACAATAGGGATCAGTATCAGACCGATGAACGTCTTATTGATGTGGGCCGTCTCCACGATGGCGTCGATGCTGTCGACCAGGTAGTCGGCGCAGAAGGCAATCACGACGGTCACCAGGATAAGTGCGACCATGGCAGCAATGGGACCGAGGGTGTCGCCATCCTTGGGACCATCCTCATCGGCGCCTTCTTGCGCCTCGGCGTCTGCGAACATCTCGTGATGGGTGAAGAGCTGGAAGATGATGTAAAGAATGTAGAGGAGGAGGAGGATGATGGAGGTGCCGCGAGACAACAGCTGGATGTTCGGGTCATCTTCCGGGATCTTGTGCTCGCTCTGCTCAGAGATGGCTGAGTAGAGGGTCGCCGGAATTATCAGCGCCGCTGAACCAACAGCCATCAAAGAAGACATGGTTGAGGCCACAGTCGCGTTGAATTCACGCTCATTCGCGCGGATTCCACCTGCGAGGAAGCAGCAACCGAGGACCTAGTTTCACGTCAGCGCTGCGCGATGTGTGCACACCAGTCTTGCGCCACCGTAATCGACTGTATTGCCTCGAGATCAATGTCGTGCATAGGGGTTGTGAGATTTATGGCAAGACTGCACGACAATCGATTCACATCCTTCTTCAATGCACAGAGGGGATGCCGTTGCACGCCGTCTTGGAGTGGGGTACCTTACAAGAAGCATGTTGGATAGGATACTGCCCAGCATACTAGCCTGGACAACACGAATCTGATCCGCCCGGAGCGCAACGATGGACACCTGTCGGAGTTAGAAATCGATTTCGGAGCGGGATACCACGTGCAGCCAAAAGAGAGGACCGGCCATTGGGTGCATCTCGTACACTTTATTCCATGTTTCCAACACCCACACGCGCAGCATATGACGCTACACGGCTGGGTCTGATGGGTGCGCATTTCGGAATAAAGCGCACAGAGATGCTCGCGATGGTGTTCCATTTCCTCCATCACCCGCAGCGGATATGCGCGGATGCTTACAATAAGTTCGACGGCGTTTCCGAATGTCGCATTGCACAGGCCACCCAGTGTCTGTCCCAGCTTCGCCGACAGCTCCTCGGTCGCGAAGCTCAGCAGGGCGGCCAGGGGCATGATGGCGATGAAGTTGAGGATGAAGACGGCAGTGGGGGACCACTGCAGCTTGCCGGCGATGATGCCGAGCGGGACGAAGACGAGCAGCACGTTGACATAGTTGCTGCAGAGGGTGCCCCAGACCATCTTGCCCACGCTCTTGGAGTACGACTTCCACTTGGGCTCGTTCTCGCGGCGCGAGCCGAGCAGCGGAGTCGACTCGCCGAGCGAGCCGTTGGTGGGTGCGGGCATGTTGGATCGTGAGTTCTCGGGAAAGCTTTTGTGACGGCCGTGGCGATGGAATTGGGCCCTTAAGTTGTCTGAGAGAGCGCCAAGCGCGTGGAATTAGCCAAGGTATCGCGGCGACAGGACTACGTTGGGAGTTGTGGCTGCGCCGGGCAGGTGAACGGTGGGCGGTCCAGCACCGGCGGATGGCGATGGTGTTGAGAAGATTGCCGAGCACCAAGACCAGTGACAAAGGCGGCAGGGCAGGGCGACCACGGCTCAGTTGGGACTTGGGCACCGGGAACGGGTAGGGTAGTACTCACTCATTGCTCCGCGTGTGTACGGGAGTCAGAGTCTGCGTGCAGCGGGACTGTCGGTCGCTACCAGTGCGTGGATCCGGGCAGTGTGCGTGCGCGTCCAAGCAATTGGTCGATGAGCTTGATAGAGCGCCGGGCACAAATCAAAGCACTAAGAAAATGAATGCGTTTTGACTGTGACTAGGCGGCAGGCGATGAGAGCAGCAACAGACAGCGGGCGGGGAAAGGGAGCGCCCAGCAGACAGACAGGCCGCCCGGCGAGTGCGATGACGGCGTGCATCCAGCGCTCCCAGCCATCTTGCCAATTGCGCTGCGAGCACTGCCCCTTTGCCAAGCCGAGGGCTAAACGTGCCGCCCACGCTGTTGCAGCCGGCGACCTGGCCATCGCGCACGCTAGGCCACACGATGCGCCGATCCTGCCAGCGCGGACAAGCTCTGGGAAGCTCTTCGAGCTGCGTGCCTGTGGTGCTCTCGTGCGCGAGGCAAAAGCGCGCTGCGACAGCCGCAAAATGCACCCCGGGAGGTGCGCGCACGGCGCCGTGGTGCAGCACATGGCGCTGACGTCGACGTGGGCCCAAGCTCCACAGCGCGCCGCGGAGCACCCGTCCAAGACTATCGATGCCAGCGCACGGCGGAACAGCAACCTGAGGCAAAACGCCAAGGTGTGATTGCGCTAGAGTTCTACAGAGGGTATATGTAAACACAGCCCGCCGCTGCCCCCCACGTGACATCGTATCCAGAAAGCCAAGGAAGACACAAATCGACAAGAGCAATTGCGCCTGATGAACAACGCCGGCGCCTTCCGCTTCCGCTAACCAAAACTCCGTGCCTGACATGCATGCTTTGTCTATGCCTTTCGCTATGCTCTGCTTCGTAGTAATCATCACAAACGACTAGTACACCCTGGTCGCAGCATCTTGATCGCCAGCTCAGTACTCCGCCTCTTCATCGTCGTCTCGACCGGTGGTAATCGATATGGCTGGGCGGCTGGGCGCGGCGAACAGCTGCTTCGTGAATTTGTGTTTCTGCGTGTCACGGATCCCTTGCAGGAAGTCATGCGTGGCCACCACGTCTTCGAGCTGCTTCTCGATGCTGTACGAGTCTGACTGGGCGCCTCGTATGACCGGTGATATCAGGCTCTTCCGCGCCACCACGAGCTGGTCCTGGACCGCCCGGATGATTTGGATGTTGTTCTTGAGCTCAGACTTGTTCGCGAGTGCACTTGAGCGCAAAGTCTTCAGAAGCTTAAGATTCCTCTCGTACTTTTTCAGTCTGAGCTTGTTGGTGATCGTAGTGCGCCACATGGAGGCCAAGAACTCGTCTTTCTGCGCAGCGAGTGTGTCTTCTTCCTTGGCGACTGTCCGGTGGAGGTTGTGGAATTGCAAGTCCACATTGTCGAACATCTGGAACAGGCTGTCCGCGCGGCTGAGTTCGTTTTGCAGGTTCTCTTCCAATGTCGAGAGGACGAAATCGAACGATCTTTGCAGAGCCGCTTTTGCCTTCTGCTGCGTTGTTGATCCCATCAAGCCAGTGACTACAGCTCCGACAGCGCTGGGTTGGTCGTCTGATCCTAATACCCCAATCTTGTTCAGTCCACCATGGACGTTGCCGATGACAGTATCTATTACACCGGCGCGTGAGCCCTGTATTCCCTCAAGCTGGCGCGTAGCCCAGCCGATGGCGCTGATGGTGCTGGGGGCTGTCAATACTTGTACATGCTAACTGAGCACTCCCACTCACCCATCCATGTCACCGTCAACGTGAACAAAGAAGGTCTGAATTTGTTGTGAAAGCGTTTTCAAGTTTTCGCTCAGATCGTCCAGCTGAGTCACGATGATCTTCGATCCAGACATATTGCTAGCCCTGATACTCTCGCCGAGGTCTTCTACCGCAATCGATGCGTCGCTGAGCTCGCGCGACCGCGGTATGACATTCTCTGATGCGTACAAAAGTGGCTCGAATCGCCTCACCATGCTTACTAGATGGGCGACGTTGGGTCCCGGGCTACCGGTTTCGACACCCCAGGGGTGCATTAGTAGCCAGGCTAGGACAAGAAAGACCAAACTGCTAACCACTCTTGCCTTGGACATGCCGCGGGTAATGGACGAAATGCGCTCCTCGAGGGGCCCCATATTCACGAGACTCTCAGACTTGAACACTACACGGATGACTGGACATGGTAAGACTAAGTTTTATGTGGGCATCATAGGACGAACGGGGCGTGAAAGTACCGTAAGAGAGAAGGGACCTACATCCGTCGCGCTTGGGCGATTCTTGCTCTTCTGGGTGCTGTTGCGCACCTGCAGTCATCTCAGGTTCAGCTTCGGGGCTCTGAAGCCTTGACGCGATAGTGTCGGGAGTGAAGTGGCGCTGCTCCACGGGCTCTGGACTCGTGCGTGGTGTGCCTTTGCGCGGCGACTCTGGAAGCGGTATGCGTGATGGTGTGACCTCCCGATCGAAGCGCTGATCGTACGGACTGGCAGTGCGAGACTTGGACGGGCTTGACTCTTGTAAATACGATTTGCGATACCACTTGTTGTTATGATTCTGCCAGGCTGGGGGTGCCCAAGGTCCTTCCGACTCTGCTTCCGAATCTTCCTCGGCCGGGGGAGGAGCGCTCCAGCGAGACGAATGCATGGTAGAGTGCGCGCTATACGCGGAATTATGCATGCTGCGCTCTGGATCGAAGTCTCTCAGCGACGCGCTTAGTGACATATCAGAGTAGATGGAATCGCGGTCCATGGGTTCCGTCATTCGGCTGATGGCTGGTCGAAATGAGTAGGCGCAAAGTTGCGGAAAGGTGCAGTGGGAGGGGTAGGTGGCTGGGAACTGAGGTTGGCTGCCGTTCACGATGGAGCGGTACAATGGAGCACGCGCGGAGGCGCTGGCCGGCACATGGAAAGATCTCGTGATGCGTTTGGAGTAAGATGCGACGGAGCCAGCCGGGAAACGAGGAACACGGTTAAGAGCTCTAGGAGATGTAAGAGTGTCGCAGCGCGCCGGCCTCTCGTGGACGCACGGGCTTCTATATCGCGGGGAGCGCCAGCGAACCCACCAGGGCTAGGGGTGAATAGTGAAACGCAAAAGGCGAGTGGCTGGGCGAGTGGTTGGGCGTCGTGTAACGCGACCCTTGCTGCTGCCTCTGGCCCATGCGTGCAAGCGCGGGGGGGCGAACGCGATTGCCCCACTCGCAGGCAGTCGCAGCTCGATAGCAGCCTTACATGGAAACGGACGCCTCGTCCGCAAGTATTCCAGTCTGGACCTGCTGTTCAACTGTCCAGTGTGTCGTGGCTTCTGCTATACTGTGTTTGCTTCTCGGTACGAAAGCACTGCCTGAAAGTAGAGATCCGAGGTATTAATGGCCTCACCTCGTGAAAGGGACGAGGGAATCAATCTCTGCTGAACTTCCACAAGCCGTGTCCGAAAATCCAAACATCACTTGCGGCCAGCCTTTGGAACTTGTGTCCTGATGTTACGTACCAGGAACCCCTACCGCAGTTTGCATTGTCGTGGATGCGGATATCGAGGGGAGAGACTGTCGCGGTCGCGGCGAGCCCGAGAATGACTTGAACGAAGTGCCTGGTGACTATGTGCTGTTGACAATCGAGATTCGAGTGTTGATCAGACTGATGGAGTGAAGACGCATTCAGAGGGCGCGTTCTGCTTGCCTTTATGCACGATATTCCCTGGCCAAGGCACTCGGGTTCGATCGTGCTGCTTGTCCTAGTTTGGACACAGCAGGACAGTTCCAGATACCCGTCCAGTAGGATCATGATCCTTCATGACAGTTGGCAAGCCTGGTAGTTGTCTCCTATGAGGTATAGTGACGCTCATAGGCTGTACGAGAAGCTGCGTTACTGATCAATATCCTCGCAGCTTGATCCTATTGTCTAAGCAACGTATCTTGATCATCAACAGTTTCTGTATATCTGTGAGAAGCTGTGCAACTGGGCGGCTCCTTGAACATTGAATGTCTTTCTCCATGAGCACATGCAGGTGGCGAGCATGAGGGCTTATTGCTGCTCAGGCATGTTTTGCAAGTAGCCTGGATGATAGTACTTGTTGAACGTCCCATACTTTGCTTGGAGCGATCGCCATATGTTGCAGAGCTAGCCTGTGCCTTGTTAGTCGCAAGACCAAGAAGAGATTTTTGAAGCAATTTCCACACATCTTTCTCCTTTTAAGGTCTTTCCTTTCCAGCGCTTTGCGTTCACACTTGCGCACGCGTATGTTACTCCACAAAGCACGACTCTATGAAGTAAGCGCGAGGAAAAGCTCACCTTCGTGCCGAGAGGTTAAGCAGCTGGCTAACATTATTTCCCATGTCCAAGTTCATCCCTTGTCCAAGATGAACGACCAGTGGATGGTGACGTTACCGAGACGAGAGGTACCCGTTCGCGCACCCAGGACTTGTCACCAGTTCTGATCATCGGCCTAAGACGGTTAGATTTAGGAGTGAATGGTTCGCGGCGAGACCTCCGTCATGATAGATTGTGGTTTGTAGAGTATTCGGTGCGGTCAGGGCGGGACACGAAGATGCATAGTACGTATGTTGATATCCACACGACAGAATCCTATGAAAGTGCGCGACGTTCTGCATCAAGAGCGCAGTGGCAAGCTCAATGGCCATCTTGCCTGCTGGCTAAGCATGTGTGCGTGTTACGACAGTATATCCATGAGTACAGTTGAGAACGCCGAACGCAGAAATTGCATCAAAGTCTATCTTTGGTCGGCATGCCAGGCGAAATTTACTTCCTGCTCTTGAAAAGTACATCAGAGGTCATAAAACCCGCAGCTTAATATCCTATCGTCCCATAGATACGTGTTGTGCTCATAGTGAACGTATCAAAATCTACGTGGTCCACTGGGCTTTCGCGAGGATAACATAGTGGATTGCTTATGTTGCCAGCCCGGCCGTCGTAATCTTCACTGTTTTGTCGCATTGGAAGTTGAGTCCTTCGAAGTTGACGACGTAATTGCAATCCCCTGAGCAAGGAGAGGTCGACTCTGGGACAGCACCAGCAACGAGCACCCCATGCGTAGGCGTAGTAATTTCGCATTGGCGTACATGCAGGTAATGTGAACACCCATCGTGTACTAGATTTTGACAATCCTACGATTAAAACATAGTGCTCGCACTGGGCTCCTATATGATCAAGGGTGGACATTCCTATACCATAAAGACCGTCAAAGTCTCGGCCATACTCAGCATCGAAAGTTGGCACCAGCAATGATCTACTGTTGAAAGAACGCAAAGTGATGGTGAGAGCGGAAGGCGGGAAAAGAACGGCGATAGTAAGCAACCATATTACCACAACTATCCCATACAGTATTAGAGTTGCTACAAACACTCACCAACTCCCAAGTGGAAGGGGATTGTACCAAACATAGTGTAGAGACTCGATCCATGACACCCGAAGTGCTTTGCGCCGCAAAACCCTCCACATATGCTGTGTAAAGGCCGCCGCTGACGAAGCACCGAGAGAGTATCTCACATAGCGACTAAGAGTAGGGAAAGCCAGGTCACATGTTGTTGAGTCTGGCAAGTCCTGTTATCGGTTGGTTTTCCGTTAAGATAGTACATCATTGCGAAATGTAATATGGCAACCATCAAGACTGGAAGTTGATCAGTATGTAGGACCAGTATGTAGAATTGTTGAATATACTTGATACATACCGAAAGCATACCTGCCAAACAGTAGAGTGATTGTCTACCAGCTTGCTGCACTCCCTTGTTGGCGTTCCGCGGATTCATCAGTGGAGGATCCTTTGGAGGCTTTCGGCTGGTGTGCGTCGTCGTCTGACGCGGGCACAGCTGGGTGTGAAGATCGATCATCTTGTATGTCGATCTCTTGCGCATGGGAAAGGAGACATGATGATGATGATGATGATGATGATGCTATGTATCCATGACGGGGCTGATGCCTCATACCCGCCGATTGCAACTCAAATTCCCAGGTCCATCGTATCGAATACTTGGTGAGAGGGAATTGTACTTTGGATGGGATCCGGGTGACATTGAAAACCGTACAAATCTAGATCATAGAAGCGCTGAGTAGGCAGGTGGTCAGCCCAAAAAGAGGTGAATTTGGCTTTGTACTTGCTGTTATGAGTGCTCTTCCAACATGTCTGTGCTTCTCTGCCTAAGATCTCTAGGAGTGACGATTATTTCGTAGGTTCCCCAATCGGACGGCCTTGGTCCGTTTCAGCATTGCATACAGCTCTAAGCCTGCTTGATCAGCCGTGAGCCGCAACTTGACGCTGGCGCCTGAAACTATACCCTATCTGTTTTTGGTTCACCTACAACTATAGAGTCCCGTAAGTTCATGATTGCTACGAAGCCAGCGGCACCTTAGTTACAGATGAAGCTAGTTCGACGTATATAGATAAAGGAGTCATAGGTTGGGGTGCGGCTCTCGTCGAGGATCGAGCCTCTTGATCGGGCATCCACATAACCCCGTACGATATTTGTTCTGTTGGACTGGCATTGGTTCGAGATATCAATCCAATTGGCACTTCCAAATTGCATCTCGAGGAGACTCGTCACTGGCTTCAAACGCCTGCACAAGAATTACTGAGTATTTGATACTTGTCGAGGTCCTATTGCACCACGCACTTTATGGTCTGTTTGAGTTACTATCTGCGCATTGTTCAGATGGTCGTATGTGTTCTCTGCTTCTTCGGTGAAAATTCCAACCGTGTGGAAGGCATCCAAAACCTTGTCAGTGACTGCTATATCAGAAACTGCAGTGGAAACGCGAGCTAATTGAGGCACTCTGCGCAGATGAATCCTTCGCTGCGTCTGGTTATAAATTCAACCCAAATGGTCGGAATGAGTGTGAGCCTAAATGTTGTTCACGCATTGAGCGACCACCTGTTAGGTTGGGGATCAAAAATGCTCCCAAGCGTTTTGGCAGGTAATGCTCTCCCATGCAATTATTTTGTAAGGTGAATAAAGCAGACTAAGACTGAGAGCATTGTCTCTAATGCCGTGGATGACGGGCGACAAGCGACATTATGCAGGCATGGCCACGTGACTGCGCTAGTACGGGTGCGCCCAGTCTATCTCCGCATTTTCGAAGTGTGAAGAATGCGCGCCCCTTCGACTCGATTGAATCACCGCAACCATCAACATGCCCCCCAGATTGAATGTCCTCAGCTTGGCGCGCGCAATTCCATACAGGCCAAAAGGACAAGCCCAATGGCTTTCTCGACCTGCCGCGCGACTCGCACCGACGCAGACCCGAACCTATTCCGATGCGAAAGACGAAGACAAAGTTCCCGCGGCGGACCGCTCGAAGCGGATCGACGCGAAGCCTCTTGGCCATGTTAGCGAAGAAGCATCCGCGATGGCAGACATCACAGGTGGTGAAGGTCCGGATCTGAGTCAAGGCACACCCGTTCAAGATATCGTTAGGGGCGACAAAAAGGCCGAGGAGAAGCTGCCCAAGGTCATGAAAGAGCAGCTCAAGTCGAATGCAAGCTCGGCCCCGAAAGGCTCGCGATCGTACTCGACATCAACGACACCAATTGGCGGTGGAAGCGGCGCGTTCGACATGGGCCTCATGAGCATGACATCGCCGCCGGCCGAGGCCGTGGCACCGGGCCTGAAGTTCGAAATGCCTGTGTTGCCTCTTCCCAAGGATGGGCATCTCAAGCATAGGTACGACCCGGTGGTTGACCAAGTCACCAACCTCTTGATGCGGCATGGAATGAAGAGCGTTGCTCAGAGGGTACGTCATGATGTCGAAATATGGCAGAGTTTGGGTTTGACTAGGAATACAGAATATGGCGCTCATACTACAACAACTTCGTACAGCTTCTGTTCCCACGATTAACCCACAGCGACCGCTTCTACCTGGCGCACCGCCGCCATCGCACCTCCCGCTCAACCCCGTCCTCTACCTTACCCTTGCCATCGATTCGGTATCGCCCCTACTTAGGATCCGAAATATGAAAGGTGCTGCGGGTGGTGGTGTGGCTTTACCGATCCCTGTTCCTCTTGGCCAGAGGCAGCGACGAAGGACCGCAATCCAGTGGATCTTGGGGGCGGCTTCGAAGAGAAAGACCAACACCAGTGGCAAGACTGGCTACGCGCAACGAGTGGCATCAGAGATCATCTCGGTTATCGAAGGTCGCAGCAGTGTGTGGGACAGGAGGAACATGGTGCACAAGGCAGGTATCTCCGCTCGTGCCAACATCGTCTTGCCGCGCAAGCGATAAGCGAACGCAGAGTCGGGACTAGCAATGCGGAACTGACTTTCTGCTCATGTATTATGTACTGTGACACCATTTGTGCATTTTTCCGATACTCAACACGGCTTCATGCCGCGAAAGCATCCGCACGCTGCACGGGGCGGTCCCAATATGGGTTGAAGTAGAATAAGCCATAATTTACCTCGAGAATACTCTCTGCACAAGACACTTTCATATATTCGATACGATTGTACAAGCACAAACTGCCATGAATATAGCGGTCGGTCGTCGTGGATGCATGGCACATGCCTCGCATGTCCGTTCCGAATGCTTCCGACCACAGCCGACGTATCCATCTCGTGCGCCTGGGCTTCTCAGCAACACGTGAACCGGGGGCAACGCGGAGGTGATGCAATCATCATGTGATTATTAGTCTTGGCAGTATTAAATCGATGATGCCCGCCTCTTTAGTAAATTGTGGATTCGGCCGTAGAGGCCCAATTCTTATCCCTCGCTTTTCCAGCAGTTCATACAGCCCAAAGGTACTCCACAGTTCGTCCACTTACCCCCAGAGGCTTGGCATCATCATCATACGAGAAATGCGTGCCAAGCGATGCAGCGCGGCGCGCATCCTCACTAAACCCCCTCCGCCCGCCGGCCTCCACTAGCACTCAGACCCATCGTCTCTTCCGCGCTTACTGCTCCGGACCCTGCACATCATCGGCTGCTCAAGTGCACACACGCTTCCTTATGTCGTCCACCACCGCCCTGAAGAACAATCTGTTCTCCGACAGCGGCTAACGACACTCCAGCCCTTCGCCAGCCCCGCGTGTGCCTCTCCCATATTTTACCCCGCTGCGACTATTGCTCCTGCGCATCACGCGACAAAGCCGCGGCGATTGAAACGTCGGTTCACCTTCACTTGCAACATTTGAGTGCTCGCAGATGATGCTATAAAGCCCCACTAGCCACCCGCACCAAACGACGCACCCCACGACTACACCAAACGCCCCCAGGCAACCCGCGTTCGCTCCGAGCAATTGCTTGTGCTGCTGTGCAGTGACACCGCCGCTTTTGTGCACTTTCTACTGGGCCACCGCGACGCCAGACCCACGCTGGCATACACGCACACTCGAATAGCCCAACCCGCCACCGCGAGAACCCGCTATGTCTTTGGAAGCCGCGCTGGACGATGAGCGGAAGGAGGTGCTGGCCTTACTCGAAGCCAATACCCGAGCAAACTCAGGGCGCTCCGGGAGTCCTCATGTGGGCGGCCGCGCGATGAGCCCCGGCATGTCGCCCGTCCGCAGTATGCTGGATGTTGGCGGTCCGCACGTAGCAGATTGGTCGCATCTTGGGAAGAAGAAGCGGAACAGCAGTCGCGGCAGCAATCCTTCGTCTCCACCGCCTTCCGCCCGCAGCTTTGGGGGCTCTTCTGTCGACCCGGAATCGCAATACCAATTCTCAATGCTGCCCACCATAGAAGCGCACTCTATGCCCAAGCGCGTGTCGCAAGGCGGCAAGGCGAGCAATACGGTGAAACCTCGAGCAATGTCATCTGTCTTCGGCGACCAATCTGGGAAGGCAGTGTCGAACAGAGACCGGGATCGACACGGTTCGTTCAACGGGCCTTACCAGAGCAAGAAGGCCAGTAGCCCTGGACCGGGCCGATCGCAGTCTCCGGGTGGTCGCATGCTTAACACAAATTCTATGAACTTAATGGCCTCTCCAAACAAGTATGTGACCGATTCTGGCAAAGTCATCGACATGTCATCCGCATATCGTAAACTTTCAGATGCAAATCTCAGCCGATCAGGCGGAAGTCTCTCATCTCTTCCAAATCGCAAAGGCTCTAGCTCTACCAAGGGACAAAGTCTGGCTCCTGGAGGCGGCGTCCGCTTAGCTACAGACGACTTTGGTGACGACGAGGCTGCAGTCGAATCCAGTGACAACGATGACTCTGAAGACTCGGATGTTGATGGCTGGGGAGGTGCCAAGAGACGAGGCAGACAACGTCGAAGGAGCGACGGTAGCGAGGGCAAAGGCCCGAAAAGTTTGCTAGCAGCCGCTGAAGAAGAACGTGAGTAGAACAAACCTGAAACTTGACATACAAAGTATTGACCCAAGTAGGCAAAGACGTTTCCTCCTCTCGCAGGGTGCGATCCATGTTGGAACCGGACGTAACCATCACTGGTCCAGACGGTACTCCTTTAGCTGGTGAAAAAATGTCGAACAAGAAATCAGGAGTGCACCCGCATACGAATTTTGATCAGGGCGGATCTGCTGTGTCCACCCCTTACAATTCAGACACGGAGGCAGACCTGTCTGAGCTCAAGTCGGCTCAGTTGCTGTCCATGAACATCTCCCCTATCCAATCAAGCCCAGAAGCCCACCGCTGCGTCCGTCAAATCGTCCGTGGCAATTATGGAAAGTTTCTGAGAGATGCCGAGAACGGTCTGCGACGACAGCGGGTTTACTTGGTAGCAACTGACATAAGCGAAGAAGCAGCTTATGCTTTAGAATGGACGATAGGGACAGTGCTTCGGGATGGCGATACCCTGCTCGCAGTTTATGCCGTGGACGAGGAGGTTGGTGTTGGGGGAACGGACACCCCCGGGGGCAGCGTTCCTATGACGGCGCAACAAGAGTCGGATAGTCTGCTGAAGACGCTCTCAAACCATCAAGGCTTTGAAGCGGAAGGACCAGGGCCATCGCCCTTGTCCAATAGCGTGTCAGCATCAGAAACAGACACGAATACCATGAACAAAGCGGAGAAGGACCGATACCAGGCGGCTGTTGAAGTGTCCGATCGCTGCGTCAAACTCCTACGAAAGACCCGCTTGCAAGTTCGGGTGGTAGTGGAAGTATTTCATTGCAAGAGTCCTAAACACATGCTCACAGAAGTGGTAAGTATGAAACAGCCTCGACACCTATGGCGTGCTACTGACAGCTGATTGACAGATCGACTTCCTAGACCCCACATTGGTGATCCTGGGGTCTAGAGGGCGCAACGCATTGAAAGGGTGAGTCTACCTTCCGCAATACATTTCGGCCGGGTTGCTAATCCCTGGTTAGTGTCCTGCTGGGTTCTTTCAGCAACTACCTTGTGACAAAATCTTCCGTTCCAGTGATGGTAGCAAGGAAACGGCTCCGCAAGCACAGCAAGTACAAGCGCAAGAATTTGCGGCTATCCAACGTCATTTCACCGTCTAACAACGGCCGGCTCGTCAACGCTAAAATTGACTAAACTTTCTGTATGGAGATTTGTCAAATGGTATCACATTTCATCGGTGTTTAGTCTAGTGTGGGGTCGAGAGAAGGGCACGATGAGGTGCGAGATCGCGTGGCGAAACGTAAACAGTTTACGATCGCTTGGTTTGGCACGAAACACTGTTTCTCCCTGGACAGGATTCGCATTTTTCAAGCTTTTCTATTTTCCTCCCTGTACTGCAATCCTCGTGCAGCAGCTGCTTCAGACTGTCAAGCGCTTCGGGCGATGTTTCCGACATGTCTGTTTCTGACTGTTAGTTAGCGTCCAATACCACTGAGCGCACGCGACTTAGAACCCACATCATTTTGCTTGTTTATTCGGAAAAGACGCCATTGTAATCTATTTACGTCGTGCAGGAACCATGCAGCTTCCATGTCGCTTCACATTTGTTTTGGCGCTCACGGCGGCACATCATCTGCCTAGTCTACCTCCATAAACGTCAGCATACAACGATATCTGCAAGGTCCAGCCCCTTTCAAAATTTTGACATCTCGGAGGCCCGGCAGACAGGCTCGCGTTTTCGACCCTCCCTTGAGGCCGATGGCTCGGGTCACTTGCGCACCCTGCCTGCCCTGCTCATACAGGAGTGGCGTCCGAACGATAATGCGAGAGCCTCCTGGGCGGGACTAGTTCCCGTCTATGTGGTCATGTTTGGACGAGAAGAAAATGGACATCATTGAAAAGCACAGTGTTTGTCATAGTATGGTACGAATGATAATGGTGCTGGGTAGTTCACTCCCACGTGCGTGATGGTTGCCCAGCATATACCTTATGACATGTCAGCATACACAGTGCAGTCGCCACATAGCCTGAGAGCAGGGCACTGCGAATTCCTCGAGGTCGACGAGCTTGACTTCGATACATCGAGCGTCCACGCACATCTTGTCAGCCCCAGGGTGAAGCAGGCTTTATTTTACCCACAGCAACAGCAGTACCCGCATGGAAATCACGACGAAGCAGGAACTTCTCTCCTCGTTGATCTCCACCGTCTCGCACCATCCGTTGCCAAAGATTTCCTACCGAGACTTTCTATCCGGGATGATGCTACCTTTCGTCTCATCAACGACGCGTACCCGGAAGTTGAAGAAAAGTCTTACATAGCTATAAGCTACGTTTGGTACAAAATCAGCCGAGACACCCCAAAGAAGCTCATATCGCCTGTCGGCGATCTGCCGTTCGGATGGGTTCAGACTGTCGAGCAGGTTCCCCTTCCCACCACAAAAGGAATGTTCCAGGCTGTGTTGAATGAGAGAAGGGCAGGTGAGGGCTTGTGGTTTGACCAAGTGTGCATCAATCAAGAAGATGAGATCGAGAAAGCTTTGGCAATTGGAGCCATGGACTCCATCTACAAGAATGCTCGGCTTGTGGTTGCAGCTTTGGATGATGTCTCCGTCACGCTGGAGGAGTTACAGTATCTCGAGCAATACTACCATAAGTACGTTCTCTCGGACTTACCACTGGATCAACACCCTAATCTGGGATTGGATCCGCCGGTCATGCAGCAGTATCCATGGTTACGGTCCTTCGTGGAGCGGATCCTCGGTTCGATGTGGTTTGAACGAGCTTGGTGCGCCCATGAGCTACGCATGGGACGCAGCCATGTCTTTCTTATGCCCTGCGATATGGAATATGGAGAAAATACCGCCTATACAGTAATCCGGCTCACCGGAGCTTTCTTCGTTCATATGCTGGTACTTGCCAGTGAAGTCATCATATCCTCCGCAACGCAACAACAGATCAGGTCTCTACTACGAATATTTTCGGACTCTTGCCCATACTATGATCAAGAGACTCTGGGTTTGCGAGAGCCTTATCGTAGACCGGGATCACTGTCGCGATCACTAGTGCCTACAGTCTCAGAGATTTTCAACATGAAAGCTGGAGGAAATCCGCGGCTTCCGGAGTACATGAGAAGACTGGATGCGAATCGGGACAAGACGTCTATCGTATTGAACGTGACCGGCATACCTTTGGTCCTTAAACCGCCTTCACCCTTGCAACGGCCCGCAATCGAGGATGAGTGTCTCCGCCAGCTTCTCCTCGTAGGAATAGCTGCAAAAGATCCGGTCACACTCTGCACAACCGGTGCACCATTACAGCTCCACGACGGCTCTATATCATGGCTCTGCAAGCCTACACCACTGGATCAGCCATCTTCGTACTCGGCTCAACCTCCGCCTTTCCCACTAACAGCGAACACAATCACGCAAGGCTCAGACGGACGAGCAGAGTATGTCCAGCTCGATCTTATCTTCCTCGACCTCCCGCACCGCACGCTGCCGAACCCCAGCTTCCCCGCCATTGTCCGCCGTGCTCGCGAATTTATCGACCTCTGCATCCAATGCCAAGTGCAGAGCCATACCCTCTGGAACCTTGCACAAACACCAGCGCATCCGCGAAGCCCAGCCATGCGCAACATCTTCATACAGACACTAGCGTGCATGTTCGAGTGCGGTGCAGCCTGGCTGCTGGACGTGGTCTCCCAACCTTCGTTCTCACAGAGTATCGCTGGCCTAGACCCCGCAGCGTTGGAGCTCTTATTCAATCCCCAGGTCGTCCTCCACACCTATGTCAACATTCCCTTCTTCTCCGCGCTGCTGTACATGCTCGGGACGTTAATCGCACACGGGGTCCCCTGGGCCTCTTCCGCGAGCGAACGCACACACGGCCCGCTCATTGTGTCCGCGCCCTCACCTCCCTCCGCGCACAACCCCCTGCCGCCTGCGAGCGGAAAATCTCTCATCTTTGCACCCTTCGCGCACTCAAAGACGCTCCTCGTCGCTGTCCCAGCCGCTGTGAAGAGCCCTGACTACGCCGCGCTGGCTCGCGGCTGGATTCTCACGCCGAGTAATCCGTATACGGGGTCGGGCACGGGGAGCCCGAAGGCGGCGGTGAGCTGGGTGCTGAGGGGGAAGGGAACCGTATTTGGGGAGGGGGCATTTAATCTAGGGTTGGGGGAGAGTGGAAGCGAGAGTGTGCGGAATCATAGGGTTTATGGGCCGGGGGTTGGGAGTGTGTAATCGGGGAATGCTTTGGGGGGTTAGGAACATATGGGATAGACATTAGATTTGGGATTTTCATATAGACGGGCTTGGTGTCTGATAGAGAAGTTTGGCGGTTACGATACACAGGGCTCCTGGCTGGCACAGTGAGCATCACGATCATAATCCATCGCGTCCATCCTACCAAAAATTGCTGTATCAACACTTTTTTTTTTGAACAGATAAACTCAGAGACACGCTATCGTACATAACCTGCGCCTACCTTTGACAGATGCCACCCCCTCCCATGACGCCATCCCGCGGAGCCACGCCTCCACCTCTTGATTACGCCATTGCTTTTGACAGCTGCCTTACCTCTGCTGCAGAGCCCTCTCGATCCGGCACGCAGGACCGACGGATGAGTCCTGTGCATCGCACGGTGCGTCCTTCTAGAAGCACGTTCGCATGCAGTGCCACCGCAGCCACCTCTTCCCCTTCTTTGCTTTGTCTATGCTTTTTCGTTTGATCGTCGTATAGAAACAGGCGAGTAGATATTGATTACGCTGTTTGCTCCGCGCGATGCGTCGCATTTCGGAAGGCTCCGAGAAGGTTTTCACGGCTCCGAGTCAGAGGCTGCTGGCTCGGGCTGCGGGCGGACCCGGTTTGGGAGGGGCTGAGGGAATGTTTGGCAGCGGGCAGGGCGGTGAAACCCAGGGATGGCGCTACTACAATACAGGCGAATATACGTTGGATGGAATACGGGAGTACGTCAACTGGGGTGAGGGTCTATATTGTTGCATTTTGCATATGCATTGTATCTTATATTGTGGCGGAGACGCTCGGCACCGACCGGGCTTATGAGGTCTCCTTGCCTAACATCGCGAGGTCTGTGGTGACAAACTCGGTCGCGGAGAGTATCGCTGTGGACCCGTATATTACTCTCCTCTTCTGGCCTGTGCCTGCTGCGCCGCCTGCGCTCGTCCGCTTTGCCCACTCCTGCAGGTTGCCGTATTCGCTGTGGACAGTCAATTTCGGGATCGTGTATGGGTGACTTGGGAGGGACTTACTCCATGCTGCCGCCGCCGACGGAGAAAACAATGGCCTCAGAGAAGGCTTGCCGGCGCTGTCCGAACGTAGCTTCGATGCCGATCCGCGTGCCTTGCTGGTTGCGGGCTTGGCTTGCAGGAGGTAGTGTACCTCGAGCGTTCGCAGACCGTGGGTCGAAGTAGAGGTAGTTCTCTGTCTTCTGGATTGCACTCGACGATGCATTTGCAGGGTCCATGAGTGATTCCGTGATCTTGGTCAAAGTGAGATCCTTGTTCGCGGGCAAGAAGTTCTTGACACCTTCGAGAAGACCGCCAATGTTGGCGCCCAAACCAGCTTCCTTGAACTTGTCCGTAACACGAGATGAGAGACCACTGAAACCACCGAACAGTTGAGAAGCAGTGTTTTGTGCTGGTTGTGTTGGGGCAGAGGAAATCATGGTCATGCGGGTAAGTTGTCGAACGGTTCTGACGTATTTAATGGACGTTGTGTCGGCACCTGCGACTTCTAAGGCTTGTGTGAAGCTGTCTAGGTCTGTTCTGGTGAGTTCTGTCTCAGTTGTAAGATACCTGGCGGATGTGAGTACGTTGTCAAGACATGAGTGAGCAGCTGTCGTACCATTGGAGGAATAACCTTAGCTTATCGAGCGGTTCGTTGCCTTTGTCGGATGCTTTGATCAGATCTAGCACCTGGGCTTTAGTCTGCTTGGAGAGTTCTTCTTCCAGCTGGAAGTACTCATCGAGCTTGCGATCTTCAATCAGTCAGTAACCTGGCCAGCCTTCAGTGCATAGTAAGATGTTGTACCCTTGATTCCTCTCATGAGCGCTTCGAGAATCTCCATATGCATTGTGATGGTCGCTTTCCGCTCCTTCAACTCAGGCAGAGCTGCCATGGCACCTTTTAAATGTGCTGCAAATGAATTCGTATCACCCGAGAGGTCATCTATTGATGAAGTGCCTGTCTTTTTCGTAATTTCATTGGCGTCCTCTTGGTATTTGTTCCATTCTGTTGACACGTTTTCGGCTACTTCTGGGAATGGAAGGGAAGAATTGCGGAGCCAGAAATTATCTGAAGCGGTGAGGTCGTAGGATTGTTTTTTGGTCCCCCTCTCAGGATGGTCGCTATCGACTGGCACGTTCATGGTGATTTTGTTGAGATGCATCGATAGAACATCATAGATTAGAGACTGGTAAACCCAGCTATGACTGAGCATGGCTGTCAAGTCGACGTTTCGATCCACGAGAACGAGCACGGGTCTGGAACTTGTGGCGGATGACTTTTGGTCGCCAGAGAAGAGATTTGTCTTCGAGTTTAGGATGTGGTCTCGCAGCTTCCTGTCTAGCTTCGCCGCAACAAGCTCAGCCGGACCACCCTTGCTGGAGCGAATGATGGGGATGGTGCCCATGGTCACAACGACGGAGAAAAGCCCAGACACAATGCGGTCCACGAGCGCGTCTAGTTCCTGGTCGGAGACGTTCGCGCTGTTCAAGGTGCCGTATGCACCCTTCATGCCCAGGGAAAACAGATCAGGTTCGGAAACGATGAAGTTCAGGTACTGGTCGTATATTTGGGCAATGTGCTCTGCAGTGCTAGAGGCCACTGTCTGCTGGGCGAAGTCCTCGAGGAGGGGTCTCGGCACCGAGGATAGAAAGTTTATGTAGGCGGGAGAGTATAGGCTGCGCGAAAGGTCGCTCGTGATGACTTGGAGATTCGCGGCGGTGGGTTCTACGAGGTAGATGACAGGCACATCGGGAATCATGTGTCTTGTGGTGTTGATAGACAGGTATATCGTCACGCCCCAGGCCCGCAGGTCGTTGACGCGCAGGACCGAGGAGACGACATCCCGCGAGAAGTCGTCGAACACCAGGACTTTCCATATCGGCTCGCCTGTTTCGGAGAGAATTGGGGTGTTGGCGGCGGGCAGAGCATGGTTGGCGTCGTCATCAGAGGGCTGCTTCGGGGCGTTCAGATTGAGGATACGCTGGATGGACGCTGGGCACTGCTGTTAGCTTCGGCAACCTGGGTGACTCATAGCTAAAGAATAACATAGGAGAGCGCAATGCGCGGTACTTACCGATCTGGCGATCGCGGAGAGAAGCCATGGTGATGGTCGTGCTGGTAGAGGAGTGATGTGTGGCGCCCGCCCGTCGTGCGATGACCTCATGCGCGGGTCGGCGGAGTCGCAAAGAGGGCACAAATGCAGTGCAGCAGCGGGAAAGGCGCAGAAAGCTACAGCGACGGCGGAATTGCGCTGCCTGACGCTCTGCGAAATTCACAGCTACACCTGGCAACTGCATCACTGCTGCGCGCGAGCCCGCGTCGGGACTAGCGCGCCAAGCGGCGTCCTCGTTCGCGCCTGCCGCCGGCCTGCCCCCGCCCTGCCGCTGAAAAAGAGGCCTGCCCTCGTCGCACCTCCTCTCCCCTTACACTCATCACATCTCCTCACCCACCGACATCACCCAACTTCTTCCCTTCTCCGCTTCATGCCACTTCTCAGTGACCCTTTGCCCACTTAATAAGGGCGTTTGGATTTCAGTCTAGATTCATTTTCCTCGCCGTGCGCGAGTCGTGCTTTCAGGTCTGGCTGGTGGCGGCTTGGTTGGGCGCAGGACGCAGGAAGGGCAGGGCAGCAGTGACACTCAACCCAGCGTCTGTACTAATACAGCTGCGTCGACACCTCGCGGGCTTCCCCGACGTCTAGCGGGCCATCACACAAAGCGTAGAGCAGCTCTGAGCGAGCGACAAACAGCGTGCGTGTCTCGTTCGCGCCGTGCTGTGCTGGGTGCGATACGTCAAGTGACGTACCCGCCGTGCACGCTTCGCCATAGCAGGCTTACGTGCCGCCTAATAAAATCCAAAAGGCTACGACTTCGTGGACCACGGGTTACGGCAGCGTGCGTTGGACAGTTCAGTTGGACAGCCAGCAAGCGCCTGCGCGTCTCACCTCTGCTGCCGCTCCGACTCAAGAGCGCAGGACTCTGCAGCAGACCCCGACAGACTCAGCAACACTGCGCTACCGCCCAGTTCGGAAGTATTACGGGCCTTTCGCAGAGCGCATTCCCCGAACTGGCTCTCCTCCACCCCTGTGAGTCAGCGCGAGGCCGATTGTCGCCTAGTGCCCTTTTCATTGTCGCATAATTCCCCTTTGCCGGATCCAGACCTCTGCTGTGGCACAGTGTGGGGCCGGCCAATAAGGCTGATCGACAAGGTCAATCGTTGCCCACACCATGGCGCCCACTCACGTGCCTGGTGAACAGCTGCCGCCGCAGGGGCAGAACCTGTACACCAATTCGCCATACCCAAACATCTACTCTGTTGACCAGTACGATGCGCAATCGTGGAACGGTCAGCTCCAACATGCCGCTCTGGTGCCCGATAATTCACAGGCCCAGACGCAGACATGGCACCACAACACCTACCCGGCCCAGCCATACAGCCAAATAAACTCGCCGTATGGGAATCAGGGTCTGACAAACCGGACCGCCTCACCATACCAATACGGCCAGTTTGGTAGTCATAACGCTCCCGCAAGCTATGGGCACGCGGCAAACGTCGACCCCTCGTTGAGCGTCAACCCAAATGTAATGCGCCAACAACCACAATCGCCGTATCAACCGCAGCCACAAGGTCGACCGAACATCGTAACACCGCAGTCTCTGCAGCACGGGCAAGACCCACGTGCGGCAACCTCTTACCAAGTAAGTCAGCACTGTTTGCTCACACGATTCTTCACTTACTAACGTCACAGGTACCTAAATCAACAGCAGAGACATTTGTCCAGCGTCCTGTTCAAACACCATTTGTTCAGCCCATAGCTGTCCCGGACTACGAAATTCCAAAGGCCAAAACATCTGGCTCGTTCTACGTTTTTGATCAGGCAGCGTTGATTAAGGCTACAAAGTCAATTGCTCTGAATAAATTCGTGACTTTGGGCACTGAACCTTTCCACCTACCGACCAATAGAAGTAAGATAAATTGCCTTTTGAAAGTGATAAGACCATGTCTGACCCCCTCAGCTGCTCTCCCTATATACACACCCCGCCAGTCTGTGAAAGACCTCAAGAAAGTGGGGGCCCACAGCAAGAAGCTGGCTAAAAAGGCTCCGACCAAACAGTTGTCTGCTGGAAGAGTACTCAAACGGGAGTTCAGTGAAAGCGACAGCTACGACGACTCGTCCGACGATGACAGTGATTATTCGGACGAGGAGGATGAGCCTTCACCTTTACCAGCAACAAAACCAGAGGAACCACAGGGAGCATTTCGCTATGACATCATCAAAGTGTCTTGGTATCCTCATCGATCTCCGCCAAGTACTGAGAAGATCAAGACGAGCGTGAGACAATTGTGGGAAATCTTCAACACCATCCAGAACCGCTGGCGCTCGGATAGCAAACTGTTGAAGGAGGCCGAAGATCAGAAGAAGACGGGTGAGCTCCCCGTGCTCAAGCGTCGTGTGGCTGAACAGCGTGATCTGCTGCAGTCTGCCTTGAGGTCCTCGCTGGAATTTAGTCACCCCGATGTCGTGTCCTATCTCGGTCAGGTCAAGCCTTTCCTTTATCTCTGTTACCTATTTCTAGCCAATCGGGTCAAGGTCTTAGATTACGACGGAGAGTTGACTGCTGCTATCCTCGAGATGCTATCGCGGTGCTCGGGCACCACAACTACTGAAGTGCTTGAGGAAACCAAGCTTTCTAAAGCACTTAACGTTCTCAAGAAGAAAGTGAATGATAACCACAAGACACTTATTCAGAAGATTGAGGATGGTGCTGCCGCCGGCTCCAAGAAGGCGAAAGTAGGCTCGCCGCCTGAGGTGGATGTGACAGCAGAAGCGAAACCTGCTAAGCGACCTGCGCTACAACCTGCGGGCCGCCCATCCAGCGAGGGCCCTTCGAAAAAATTAAAGCCCACGGAGCCCACGACCAACGGTGACAAGAAGCCTTCTACCGCTACAGGAGCTTCAAAGGTCGTTCCAGCAACACAACAGAAACGACCTGGTGATAAACCCATCCCGGCCCCTGTCCGAACTCAAGGCATCAAAATCACGAACAAACCGTCTTCACTTTTTGCCTCACTCAATGCCGCCGGTAAGAAGCCCAGTGGCGCGGCCGCTTCTACATCTGCTGCGAAGCCTGTTGTCAAGTCTACAGTATCAGTTCTCGCAGCAAAGAAGCCTGCTGCATCTGCTACAAAGCCCACATTCTCTTTCAAGGACACAATGGCCGAACTGTTGAAGCCCAAAGAAGAGAAGTCGGCGGCGCCATCCAAGACGGAGAAACAGTTACCACCAGAGACGCCCGAGGAAAAGGCCAAACGCCTGCGTAAGGAATCGCGACGTCATCTGCGGGTGAAGTTTCGTCCCGGTGACGCACTTGTCAGCATCAAATATTTTCATCACGACCCAGAGGAAGAAACCGGCCATGATGAGAACTTTGTCCGGGATGCTGGGGACATTGGTGGCGAAGGTCGTATGTTCAAGCAACACAAGGAGATGGATGATGAAGACGACGAGGAAGAAAAGGAGATCGATTACCTCCCTTGGAAGGAACCTTCTCCAGTCGACTTCAGTGTTGTCAGTGAAGGGGAGCGCAAACGGAACTATGCGCCTTATGGAGGCGGTGAGCTTCAGCCCACCTGTCCTGAGCGGGATGCCAATATTGCACATGACAACGCGACATTGGAGATCTTCTACTCTCGCCCGGCCGACATTCCGACCTCACCACGCGAGCCACTGCTCGAGCAAATGCAACCCTCGGACACACCAGTGGTCACGTTCGGTTCGCCGCCCGACTACGTCCTGAGCAGGCTACCCGAGTCTACGACTTATGCGCCCACCGCACTGTCGGTCCCGCCTATCGATATGAACAATATAACCAATATCGTGCAACAGTTGGCGGGGCAATCGAATTCGAATCAGGCCAACTACCTACCAGCACCAGCACCGGCTCCTGCCACTCCTGTTGCTCTCGCGGCACCCACTGCGACACCCGATATAAGCAGCATACTGAGCTTGCTCGGCCAGGGTCAAAGTCAAAATCCGATTCAAGCTCCCATGGTCGCACCTCCGGCGCAACCTGCCGCTCTGCCTCCAATGGACATGGCACAAATATTGGCCATGGCCCAACAACTCACGCAGCAAGGCGGCGCAGCTTTTCCGCCGCCTCCGCCGAATTGGCCTGGGTTTCCTCCCATGCCGCAACAACAACAACCCGACATGGCTTCCATGTACTCGGCCCAGGGCTCGCAGCAACCTAGCCAGCATGGAAACTCGTCTGGCAAACGGCAACGGTCTGATGACGGCTCTGAAGCGCATGGCCGTGACAAGCGCGGCAAGCATGAGAAAGGTCCATACAAAGTCATCCCATGCAAGTTCTTTGAGATGGGCAAATGCAATAAAGGGGCCAAATGCACCTTCATTCACCCACAGCAATAAGCCGCTTCGTACACCAAAGGATGGTGTTTTGTAGTCTTTCTTCTTTCTTTCAACTTGTAAAATACCCTCAGCTTCTTTCTTTCGCATCCCGGTTTTGGACAGACAGTCCTCTGCATATCCGGTGGGCTCTTTCATATCGCATGCATGCATCAGAAGGCGTCTTTTTCAGTCGGGGGCTTTGGCCTCGATGGTAGCATTTCGTGGCGTTGGTGGGCGGCAGTCATAGGCAAGGCATATAGCGAGTCTCTTCGGAGGGGTTTATCGTCGAATCAGCGTGGATGGGAGCATGAAAAGCAAGTGCTCGTATCAACAACTACTACATTGTAATATCTCATTCTACTTCTCGATGACATTGCGTGTGTGTTCGTATTGTGATTCCGACCTTTACGTAGACGTGCATGTGGTAATGAAACCCAGCTAGAGACGCTCACGTGGATCAACATCAAGACGCGACGCGAACACACACGAATGTACGTGTGCGACTGCCAGCTGGCCCAAAGGCAAAGTACTGCTCTGGTCGTTCACTGGCACCGACCCAGGACGGGCCGACCCCCGTGCCCCAACGGTCGTTGGGTGTTGGTGCGGGCACGGAATTTGCCGCTGCGCGACAACAGACATGGTCTGAGCGCCATCATTCTCTGTCGATGCCTGAGAAATCACCATCATACACTCACCCCCCAGCCCGAGCCCTCGCTACATCGCCGCTGCATCACGGCCGCCGATACCGCGCTTGCACACGCAGCAGCCCTCCCGCACCTGGATTCTCCCCATTCCCGGGCCTCCCCCGCCGAGCCGTCAGCTCATCGCACGTTCGCCGCCCTTAAGCCGGCCGAATATACGTACCACGCCGCTCATCGCCGCCACTACCCCACCCAACACTCTTTCTCCCCGGGACTATGGCCGGCATTAGGAAGAGGCAGACTGGCATTGCGCGTCGCAGGAGACTAGACGACGAGGACAGCCGCTCTGTGGCGACGGAGGGCGCCGAGGACTCCCAGAGCGACATTTCGGTGCCCAGCGACGTGGACGAGGATGCCGACGCAGACAACAGCGACCTGAGCGAGGTGGACAGCTCTGCCTCGCTCACAGACGGCAAGGCCAAGCGGAAAGCAAATGGTGCCCGAGACGCAAAACCGCGGGCAGACGTCACCACTCGGCGGGTGCCTTCCCCGCCCATTGCAAGGTCTGACGCAACCTTCACGGCAACCAAGGACACGGAGATAATGCTGAATGGCCTTGCCATCGCAGACAAGGCCGCCGAAGATGAAGTGCTAGATTTCGAGACAGGCCAAGCCGTGGGCGCTTCAGCACCTGCGGTCGCTGCTCCAGATCGCTCTGAAACGTTTGCAGAACGGAAGAGAAGGGAGCACGAAGAGTACAAAAAGAAAAGGGATTCGGATCCGGCCTTCATCCCAAACCGTGGCGCCTTCTTCATGCACGACCAGCGATCCGCGCCTGCCCAGAACGGCTTCAGACAATTTGGCGGGAGAGGCGGGAGGGGAGGCGGCATGGGTGGGCCCTTTGCACCGGCGAGCATGAGGAAACCAGGTGCAGAAGCAACCGATTCGCCGTGGCAGCACGATCTGCACGAAACCGTCAACGAGGCCAACGCCCAGAACCCCCCTTCACAAGCTCAGCCTGCACACTCTGGCGGATCTGTACAACAAGGGCTGGCTCCTATGCAACAATATGGGAGAGTGCAAGCACAGCCGGCGCCGAAACCGCCGCAGACGCGCAACTTCTCTACTACGCGGCATACCCACAATGCGCTTGTCCGAGTATTCCTGCCAACGATGAAGGAGCCGATCCTGTTCCAGAATGTTCCCATCAAACAACACACACGTCTGCCCAACCACCGGCCGCCCCTTCGCCGCGACAAGCCTGTGCGCATCTCGTTACCCCCTTCTGCACCACGATACATCTTCCCGACGGTCGAACGATCCTTCATATTCATACCACGAGCGCTCAGGCCCAACCAGCAAGGCTTTGGACGAGGAAGGGGGCGCGGTTTTGGTTCCTTTGGCGGTGGCTTCTCCAGCCGAAGGACCAGTGCATATGGTGGCAGCGTTTACTCGCCAAGCGTAGCAATGAGCAGACGGTCATCCATGGCCCGCGAGATGGGTCGAGATAGTCTGGTCTCCCCGGCCGGGTCTATCATGTCTCGCGGAGGTTACGATCCTTCGCGCCCGGTTGTTCGACTCCCGCCTGGAGGCCCCAAACTTCCCAATGCACCACCCGTTATCTCACCGCAAAGTGCAACCCCGTCGGGCGGGTTTCAGCAATCCTACCCGCTTCCCCAGAAGCCGACCTTCCGCGAGAACTGGACTCAAGGCCAAATTCCCATGCACCAGCCCCGTCCTCAGAAGACTGTCTCAGTCGCCGGCATCGAGTCGCCGGCGTCGATGACTTTCAATCCGCCGCAGCAACAAGAGCAGCAGCCATTCCACCAGCAGATTCCTGCACACGCACATGGAGGAGCGCCGCCCACCGAGCCCCAACCTTTTTATCCTCACACCCGCCAGCCATCGTTTCCCACTCAGACTTCGACCGGCACACCATTGTCCAACATCCCGGAAAGGGCTATTCACGCTCCAGCCTTCCAGCCGTTCCAGCCTGGGTACCAGCCGCAAAACTTTGCGGTGCCTCAGGGCTACTACTACCCGCAGAACGCTCAACCTCCGTACATGCCTCCCGGCGGTATGGTGCCTATGTTCGTGCCGAACGCGCAACAAGGTGGCTACGTCATGCCTATGGCTGCACCTCCTGCACCTGCTGCTCCAGCGCCTGCTCCCGCGCCTGCTCCCGCACCCGCTCCTGCTGTCCAGCCTAGTCAAGTGGCCTATGAGTCGAACGGCATGACTTACTATGTTGATCCTACGCAGCTATACACTTCGCCCATGGAAGGCTATCCACAAGCCAGCTACGCAGTTCCCGGCATGGGTGGAATGATGACACCTGGTCCTCCCGATGCTGCATACTACTACCCACAGCAGATGCAGCCAGCACCTTTCTACCAACCCCAGTAGTGCGGGGACTCTGCCGCGCTAGAGCCGAAGGTACAACTTGGGACGCATTGGGCCTTGAGACGTTTCCCGCCGACAGAAGAGGATTGGAACATCGCATCTCGCGTTGTGGATGTTCGCCCTCCTCACGTCACGATCGCACCCTATTTGACCAAGCGCTTATATCACCTCCTCTATCCAGAAATCTTGGAAGCCCCAGAGAGCGGAGAGACCACCGAACAACTCAAAAAGCTCAGTCTCCATGCGCCGTAATGTCGGTAACAAGGTTCCTAGGTCAACCAGGCCGTGGCTGGTATTGCCCTCACTACCCTCCATTTTTCGCGCCCAGACCCTTCGTTTGTTCTGGTCCGCTCGAACTATATCTCCGCCATCACCCTTTTCATTTGATTCCTCGTTTCCTGCGGCGTTCCGGCGAGCGTAACAGCGACCTTCGGCATCGACCGATGTATTCCAGCGTCACAAAATATCTAATCACGAATTACCCATGGGAGGCAGGCCATTTCACATCCCTCCCCTTCCACTTCGTTATGCCGGCTCTTGCTTGTCGTCTTTGTTTCTCCGGTTAGGTGGGATGGACGGTGATGAGGCGTATCCATTACACGTACGGTACGGTTATCGCTTTGTTAGTTGGTCTAATGTCTTTGTTTTGAAGGCGATTTTGCTTTGTCTTTGCTTTTTGGATTCCCCCATAGCTAGTCGCTGTTTGGCAGGTACGGTCGGCAGGGAGGGAGAGCCAGGGTTATCTTTCTTGTACTATGGGTTGAGGAAGGGATGGGTATCTTTCTTTTGGACGGGGCGATGAGGAGCGGGAGAGGGTGAGGTTGCGTAGCCAGGGGAATATCATACTGGTGCTAGCCAGGATGTCGGAGTCTTGAGACTTGATATGAATCGAAATCTAGGCTTTTGCGACACCCTGACCACGGGCTATACAGCATCAGCTAAAAACCATAGAGACGTATAGTTACCCTAGGTTCTACTACTTCCGGTCTTTTTGTTGTCGCCAGAGCCTAGTGTGCACGTTGAAGTCACAACATTAACCCGCGCATACCAACAGTCGAGTTGAAGTCCCATGAATGTATTGCACGCTCGCTTGCTAGAAAATGTGTAGAGCACTTGTTTCCTACCATGCAGTTACCAATCCGCGTCAGTGACGCGCCAAAAATATTCCATATCTGGATCCGGGCCCTGGTCATGATCCGATGCCACCGTCTTGCCACTTTGTGCCTTGATCGAGGCTCTTGCCATCTCATATCATAACATATCACATTCGATCCGCCCGCACCCTCTCGCGCATGCTACTCAAACTCCAAGCTATCCCGCACACACTTCCGCACACGCTTCTTGAACTCTGGCAGATTCTCGCGCCACAGGCTGGCGGCCTCGACGTTGGCGGGCGACTCGTCATTGGGGCTGCTCAGCATGGAGATGACGGAGAGCAGGATGGTTTCGGGTGTCTGGACGGGGCTCCAGCGCTCGGCGGCCGACTCGTAGCCGTACTTGTCTTCCTCGGGCGGGTGCAGGATCGAGATGCAGACGTCGCCGTTGGGGTAGATGTTTGGATGGAACAGCGGGGTTTCGAAGCGCATTTTGGGTGGCAGGAGCGGGTATTCGGTGGGGAAGGTGAGGCGCGCGCGGAAGAAGCCGCCTGCGAGATGTTAGTGTCAGAAGCTGGCAGGGCATGTGAGAGAGAAGGGAGGAAAAGTCGTACCGCCGTAGTACTTTGTCTCGTCATTGATCATGAGCATAACTTCCCACTCGAAGACATTGTTGTCGACTAGCCCGCACGATATCCCCGGGATGTCCTTGTCGTTCTGCATCTGCTTGAGCTGGCGGGCTAGCAAACCCGCGGCGGCGGAGGACGAGGCCATGGTATGTGTGTTTCGGAACCAAGATATGGGAATTGAGAACTCGAATGCTGCGAAGGAATGGGTGGCTATTAAAGAGGCGCCCGCGGGCTTTTTCTAAGGTTCGCAGTCGGTAGGCGCAAGTCTATGTGTTTGTCGAATCACTCTTTCATTAAATGCTCGAGGTCGTGTGCTATACGCGGGGCACTCGAGGGCAAAGCGGGGTGGGTATAGCTTAATATCAGGGTATTATTCTTGCGGTGAAAAGGTCGCCAGGAGCCGAGGCACGAGCTGGAAATTTTGAGAAACGTGGCGCGCGGGTTTGGTGTGCGTGGTGTGGTAGAAGCAAAGTGTCGACTGGTCAAGTCTCAGTGAGCTCTCCCAAGTGGCGGGACGCGCTAAGGAATCGGGCCGCTCACCGCTTGCATCCGAGGCATGTCCGGAAAGTTAGCTCGAGTCTCCGCATGCCTATCCTTCCGCCATAAATGTCTTACACCATGCTAGAGATGGCGCTACGACACAATCACCTTCGACGCAGGTTCCTTTTCCAACGACGATGCGAGATCGAGTTGCAAGCTATTTCCACTAGTCCAGCGTACCTGCCGAGCATTGCCAGAGGTCTCCACTGCAATACATGAACAAACAATTCACACGAGAACAATTGTGACACAAGATACCGTTCAGAGCTCATTCCAATTGATGTTTATAACGATGGCAGCTCGTTCCCATCGCGATCCGGGTCGAGTTACTTACGATCACCAAGCATCTCCGCTTCGCAAGTGGCCACTGTCGAAACATATTTCCTTTGCTTGTGCGCCTGTCACTATCTCTGCTCCATTTACGAATTGATCACGCAATGGCGGGCAGCTGAAGTACACCTAGACTGAAAGGCTTCCTCATCCCACGAAGTTGCATCCCACGAAGTTGCATCCCACGAAGTTGCATCACACGTTGGATCTGAAAAGGTACTGCATATCAGACGCACCACGCCCCCTTCCCCACATCTGTCACAAACCTCCCTCGACATGTTGTAGTCTCAATACATCGGATTCTGCCGATACTCAAGCTCTCGCAAGCAATGCGTAGTCAGGCTGCCTGAACACACGCATTCACCGCCTGATTGACAGCTTTTCCAGTGTCCCTAAAGACGTTCGTCGAATTTAATTGCTTTCTGATCGGTCTGCGCTTTGTTGAAATGATTGGACGGCACTTTGATTGGTACCCGACTGGAGACCTTTCGCGATGCAAATCTTTAGTTCGCGGAGCTCTGCATCGGTATGGTAGAGACGTAAAGCTTGACTAGTGGAGCAATTGAAACATAGCTGCTAACTGTATTTCTAGATACCTTACAGTTTACCGAAGAGCTGCCCCACACCGGTGACACTACCGGTAGAGCATTCTATCGGATGGCTCCCTCGACATAACTTGAGGCAATGCCTTTTGCGCCTGAGGTATTATGCCGGCAGTTTAGACCAAGAGACCTCATGGTGTCACTCTAGTTTTCTTCAGGACAACTTCAAAAGGGCTGAACCTACGATCGTCGCAACTTAAACTTCACAAGAATCTATGCGAAAGGTTACTGGACTATCTTTCCCTGAGCCAGGTCTTCCGAACTCTCACATAGATTTCTCAAGCAGTCAGTGCATAGACTCGTCGGGAGCGTCAGAAACTGCATCTGCAAACTGGCCACTAACGGACCTATAACGGGACCGCTTGTCTCTCATGATCCATGGCCGATCCTTACGCGGATGCGAAACTCAATCATTGAAGCCGCGAGTTCCGGCTCGTGCAAGTGCTTCCTGGAGCAGAGACAGAACCCATCAGATGCAATTTCCGGCCCTACGCCTTTCACGACCATCCACAATATACCGCATTATCCTTCCTGTGGGGTGAGAACCTGAGCCACAAGACTGTAGAGATCAATGGAATAAAATTGAAGGCTTGATGAAACCAGTAGAACTTCCTGGACAAGATGCAAACGCAAGGCTACGATGGCCTGCTTCGGATAGATACTATCTGAATCAAACAAGGAAAGGTTCTCGAGGTGCATCATCAAGTGATGCGACATATCTATGGAGGCACTGATTTCGTTCTCGTATGGCTGTGCAAAGCAGATGAGACCAGCGACATCGCTATGCGATCATTGGCAAAGTAAATGCCCTTCATAGCAGGGCAAGTTAAGGAAATGTGCAGCCCCAGTAGGACGTAGTGTCCTCGCACTGTGCAATAAGAGATACTGGGGAAGGACAGGATCATTCAAGAGAAATTGATGGCGAGGGACGCTGTGATCCATTGTGGCTCGAACCGACTCGGATGGAATAGATTTGTGCAGGTATCTGAGAGCGTTCGGGAAAAGGTTTCTGCGCTTCTAGGCATCGCGTACGACGGCTACGTTGTGACTATTGACCACCATAAGTCCGCGAAAGAGGTCCTTCTGGATGTTTTCATCCAGTAGGGGTATCGCATGGGATGGTGCTCAGGGACTAGAATGAGGCTGGCCCAGTTCGGCAGAATTTAGGGAATCATCTTTGAAAGTCAAGTTTTTTGCTGATGAGATCGATTCCATAATCGCAAAGGGCAACGATCTACAAGAATACGATTGCATTCTCAAATAAATTACAACGAATAGGGAAAACTATAGAAGACATTGCCGGAATCATTTCAGGCCCTCCCCAGAACCTCCTAGATCCATCTTGACCACTCCACACTCACCAGATTTTCTGATGTTTTATAGTAGATTTGGGAATGGATGAAGTGCTTTGGATATCCTCGTCGATCACGCAATCGATAGGGGCCATAACCTTCGCCTCCATTTGGACCTCGACCTCTACTGGATTATACATTTGTGGCATAAGCGGATGGTAGATGACCTTGATCTGGAAGAGCTTACTATGCGCCTCCACAAACCTTTTGGGTGCCTCTAGCATTTATGGTCTCGCTGTGCCTCCTGTTTCAAGGATGCTGCGGGATAAAGCATACGCAACAACCTGGGAGAAGCTGACGGAGGCTAGTAAAACTTGCCCTGAAAATGGACCGGCTCCGTCGACCTTCTTGAGACCTATCAATGAAGGACTGCAGAAGGATGCGAGCAGACATTCTTACTTTCTTGAGGATTCATGAAACGAAAGTCCAGGGTGGCTTACCTGGAATACAATATGGTACATCGGCATCGGATAGATGACCGTAGATGTTGGCCAACAGTCCAACAGTCAAAGAACTTGAACCACTAGAACACGTCCAGGCTAGCTTTAGGATGATGCATCGCCGTGCATCCGATAGTACTAATTGCATCTTGCCTGGTCTCGCTTGTAAGAGGGATTGAGTTGCGGGTGATTCGCGCGTGCTGTTCGGAGACTGTATCGTCCCACAGTGTTGAGAGTCGTAGAATGAGTGAAGTCATGTGGCAAGGCACCCCAAGCCATGTCGGCCAAAGCTAATAACAGTAGGTAAGCGTCTCGTGCTAAGATGAATTCAATGTTACTTTTCTTGCAACTCTCAGCTGATGAGTAAAGAATATCTACCTGGCCTCGCAGGTGCTACGATGATGTCTGGCGGTAGCTCCGTCGCAACTTTTTACTGGGGCTGCATACATCTGGCAAGAGGTACCGCACGGAATTGCAATACCGCGCTGCCCCTGACCGCACGCAACATTAGCGCCCCACCTCCACATGTTTTCTCGACCGTCTTCGAAATCCGAACACCTTATTTCATCGGAAGATTTCATGGCGAGGGAGAGTTGCGTGTTGGGGGCCGAAAGGCTCGAGCTTTCAGCCTGCTCGGCAAGCTGATGCACAACGGCGCTTCCCGGCCCACACGATATTGAGTGACGTTTGAAGCAGCGGTCAGTTTTTCTTGTGTCGTCGGAAACAGCGAGGATGATGGAATCACATGGACAAGCCCCTTGCAAAATTTCACTACTTGCAGATGCCACCGCAGCCACCGCAACTATTATACAATTCGTACTCTCGAACTGACCGCATTCGCCAGAGTCTAGAAGCCTTCCGGAGAGCGCCCTGTATGGGGCAGCGCTGCGACCTGCAGCTATGGGCCAGAGGCACCCAATCAATATACGAGACCGCCGTTCGGCCTGGTGACTAAACACCAAAGCTGATTATCTCTTCGAGAACTTCTCAAAGCGGAAGCCAAGCTGTGGCATGGTATTCAGCCTGCGTCAACTCCTCACCGAAATTTGGACGGTCATTTGCTGAGCTGTACGGGAGGCGTTAGCCCAACGACATTTGTCCGCGACGTGTCCCCACCGTCAGGGATGCGGCGCACCAGAATGGTGAATAAGCATATCCCTGTCGACGGATCTGCGGCGGAGTGACCGCACTGTGGATGTTCGTCGAGGTTTTTCCATGGCAGGACTGGGTTTACGGCTCATCCTTTTACTTCACAGACCGGATTTTCTTCGAGTCCGACGTTGTGACATTGAACCGTCAACTTGGCGGGGCTGAAGAGGGCACAGTTGCGACCACTCCATAATGTCGTTCGCTCGCCTATGCACGTATCCGAAAAGAAATTAGTCGCCTATCAAAGCTTTGACGGCAACTCGGTATGCCGACCCTATCATCCTGACCCCCGAGTACAGGGTATAACGCCAGCGGCTTCCTCCTTCCGTTATGATCTGACGACAGCAATGCCCTCGGTGACAGCAGGGTGCAGGCCTGGAAGGCTGAAAACAGCCACAAAATTCAGCGCCCCCGAAGAGTCGTTATTAATTAGTGCAGCTACCGATAGTTTCCCCACTTGCAGACTTCGACACTTCGTCTTCGCGGGCACCTCAAGTGCACACATGTCCAGGTAGCATGGGACTTAGCAGTGGCTGGCTCCCACGTCCGCCAGTTGCGCCTCTTGTACTGATAGCTGTCTGGGCATTTGCTGTAGCGCATGTTGGCGCACAGCAACCACCAAAAAATGCCGGTCCCGATCCAGTCGAGAACTTTTGCATGAGATGGTGGTCACAATGTTAGATTCTTTGCCCTGTCATGTCATTATGTGCTGACGAGACATCAGCTGTCGTAAAGAACAACACCTTGTACATCGACAGTGGTGTTCAGAGATTCAATGACTCGGGCGATGTCTATCTCGGAATCAGTGGGTCTCATCGTTTGCACTACATGAACGATCGGCTGACTTGTCCAGACAACTACCTCTTGACCATTGATATGACCAGAACATGGGATTGGCAGGTACCAAGTAATGAATCTGGAGGTCTGACCATAGATGTCGAGCGCAAGAACGTGACAAGCCCGTCTACGGGCACAGCCGTACCCAATCTCATACGAGGACATCTTTTCCATGGGCCTTACAACAAGAGCGATACGATCTACAACTTTGGTGGAGCGACGTACATGAACAATCAGTCCTTCGAAGGCTACAGGCAACCAGACAGCTCGCAGTATCCTCTCTGGACGTACGACCGCACACTGGACAGTCCGTGGGATAAGCACACTATCCAACAGGTCTGGCAACCAAACCACGGCGCCGCAGCCGAGGATACTGGAAGAGGATTTGGCTTCTATCTAGGCGGGCAAATCGATATGGGAACGTCCACTCTAACTTTGGGACAACCATTCAGAGATCCTACTCAAAACCTATATATGCCACTTGACGGCATGCTGGTCATCAACCTGGTCGATCTCGACGTCCGTGCAGATAACATATCAACTTCTAGCATGAAAAGAAACTCCCCAAGAGTAGGAGGAGCACTGGAATATATTGATGCTGTGGGCGATAGTGGCATATTGGTAGCCCTAGGGGGTCAGATCCAGCCTGGACTCAAGTTTGGCGAAATTGCGAATAGAACGAAGGGAGAGCTTGTAAGTTGTATCTCTCCTCAGTACACCCGGACCTATTGTGAATCGAGATTGTCCATCCCTTCACGCTTCTTACTTGCCACAGATCGACTTCAACACCGTAGATGTGTTCGATCTAGACTCTTACTTCAGCGATACATCGAGTAACGGCACGTGGTACGAACAAGCCACCACCGGAGACATCCCGGCCCCGCGAATCGACTTCTGCACTGTCTATGTTTCCGCGCCAGACAACTCAAGCCACCACATCTATCTCTACAGCGGATTCGACCCCATCAACAACAAAGCCTACGATGACGTCGCCGTTCTCTCGATCCCATCGTTCACGTGGACAACGCTCTTCGACAATGGCGGTGCTCCCCGAATAGGGCACAACTGCCACCGCGTCGGGAAGCGCCAGATGGTCACAGTGGGAGGGAATGTCACAACGCTACCATGTGACTGGGAACTTAAGGGCGTCGCTTTTCTCGAATTATCGACCGTCAAGTGGGGCAGCGTATTTTACAGCAACATCACAGATACGGAGTACGACGTCCCGAACCAGCTGCTCAGCGTAACAGGTGGCAAGGCTAGCGGGGGAGCGACCGCCAGTGAGCCGAAGCAGGGGTGGACGGAGAAGGGGCTCGGCGAGGTTTTTCGCAAGTCGCGGTATACGATTCCTTCAACCTGGCCCACCTCCAACAACTCATCAGGCACAAGGGACTCTACAAGCCCCAAGAAAAACAACGTCGGTGCCATCGCCGGCGGTGTTGTCGGCGGCGTTGCAGCCCTCGCCCTCCTCGCCGGCCTCCTGTTCTTCCGGCACCGCCGCCGCCTCCAAAAAGAAAGCCCCTCCGAACTCCACGGCAACGAAATCCCACGGCCCAGCAACGACGAGGAGAAAGATAACTACGAGCTTAAAGGCGTAAACAGCGACGAACCCGTCGAACTCCCCGGTCCCGAAGCGCAGGAGCTCAGCGCCCCCAGAGAGTTCGTAGAAGCAGACCACGACACCGCCACCTGGGCGTCGGAACTTCCGGGTACGAACACGGTGGCTGGGGGTGTGCACGGCAAGCCGATTGTCCGGACGCCGGGGGACGATTTGCCCGAAATACCGGAATATACGCCGGGGCTGAGGAGGCCGTCTAGTGCGGGTAGACGGAGGAGGAGTTCGAGCTCGAGCGCGGGAAGTAAGAAGGCGGGAGATGGGCCGCAGGTGGATGGGCAGCAACGCGTCGAAGAGAAGGAGGACTACTTCAGCAAGCCTGCCATAGGCCCATCGGCCAAGGTAGAGAGCCCCAGGAGCGAAGATGTCTTCCAGACGCCGCACGAGCGGGTCTCTCCGCCCGAGGCAGGCCCTGTAGCGCAGAACGACGTCGGCTTGTCGCGGGCGCAGGTATCCCCACCTGAGCCTTCGACCAAGCATACCGAGGTGCCCATGGCGCCTGGGACTGCTCTGTAGCCTTTCTCTCTGCGTCACGCATGGAGCTGGGATGGTACGAACACAAAAGGTGTTGGGTTGAGATTGGAGTTTTAGCTCAGGGTGGGCTCTTTTCACGGTCTTTTTCGGAATGCTATATACCCCCTCTTTAGCGTGGGTGCTTGGGTAGAGTGCGACATGCAGGTGCGTGTATGGGGACGAGTAATGCAATGCCTGTGCTTTTGCCATTCCATCAAGGTTTACGAGCACAGTGCGGCATGAGGTCATTCCCGTGGGCATTAGGATAGTTCCAGTAAATGCCCGAGAATTTTCACGTTGGTATCTCTACACATAGTCTATCTAGTTTGTACATGTCCCATGTCCAATAGAGGTGAGATATAGTGCGCTTTCACCCCGTCGGCCAATCCCATGTTCCCTATTCCAACAGTGTCCAACCCGCATGTCCCGCGTTAACCAAGCGCCATGACGTCGTAACCATAAGAAAGCATTGGACATGAAGATATATGGTATCATGGTCTACCATGCAACAAAGAAGTAGAAAAAAATACAAAAGGGTGCGATTAAACAAGGAGAGGTTAAGGGGCGAGAGGAAAAGGGAAAGGAGCTACGCAAACACCTTGATAAACCCCCACAGCCCCACGCCGCACAGCGCGGGGATCGTCAGATTGTCGTCCCAGCCAAACAGATCCACGGCCTCGCTGGCGCTCGCGACGACGCCCGCCCACAGCGACATGGCGCCCAGAGCGAGATAGCCCGTCACGGAGCCCTGCGCGGCCGACGAACCCAGCACCTCCCGGAGCTGCGCGGGAAGCGCAAGGACCCCCTGGAACGCAAACGCATTCACGCCCGTGTTGTACTCGGCGTACAAGGGCGCCAGCCAGCCCCAGAACAGCGCGGCGGTAACCACGCCGGTGACGCACGCAGCGATGGAGCCGGCGAGCGACTTGCCCTTGCGCACACGCGGGGTCAGATGCCCCCAAAGCCGCCCAAACGTCGACGCGGCGGTGTCGCACCAGGACAGCAGGAGCACGCTCATGACGCCGACGTCCTTGGGGAAGAAGCGCAGCACGATCCACGCGCCGAGGAGGTAGCTGATGACGCCGTTCCAGCCGTCGACCTCGCTCTCGCGCATCAGCGCGCCCAGGAACCGGATATAGAGTCGGTTGACCTGCCAATAGCGGTGGCGGATGAAGTCGGCGGCGGCTACCGGGAGCAGCATGGCGAGGAGGACGGGGTGGATCTGGCTGGGCTGCCGGCCGGTGCAGTAGAAGAAGAGGGTTATGAAGCCGATGGAGACGTGCAGGATTTTGCGGGGGACCTCGTGTCGGTGGATCTGGGGGGGTTAGCTGTGCTGCAGAGGGCGCGTGGGGGAGGGGGTTGCGCACGAACGATCTCCACTTCTGGTGGATGGGGATCAGGCCCAGCGGACTGGGACTCCGGCTCATCTCGCGCCAGTAGTTCTTGTTCGCAGCCGCCGGCGAGAGGTGCCCGTTCACGGTCCCGTTCGGCAGCGCAAGGTCCGCCTTCTTCGCCTTTGCGTTGCCGTTCATCTGGCGCTTGGCCGTGAGACCGCTCATGCGGCGCCGCCTGCCCTCCAAGATGGGGCTCCGACTCCTAGCCCTGGCCCTCTTCTCCGGGTCCGAGCCCGAGTCCTCGTCGATGGGCGGCGGGCTCGTGACTTTGTGCTTGCGGGCGGCCGAGCGCGTCACGGGCCCAAAGTAGCCCTCCCGCGAGTTGAGCTCCGAGGGCGTGGGCGACGGCGAAATCACGCGCGGCGTGTGCGGGATCGAGTACTGTCTGGTGGACGCCATGGCTCGCTGCCAGCAGAGAGGAAATGCGGGAAGCGGAGGGTGCCGGATGAGCCCGGTGAAGTGGGCCGACGTCTGTAGATAAAGGTGCGTCAGGCGGGCGAGGAGCGCGACGTCTTCCGGGGGTTGCGGGTGTGCGCTGGGAGAAGGGGCAGGCGCGGGAGCAGGCTGAGCGTCTGGGTGCGCGGCGAGCGCGGTGGGCTGTTCGACATGCGCGGGTGCGTGGTTCGCGGCTACGACTGCCAGGGCTGGGGCTGCGAATGCGAATTCGTCCGGGCGACGCGCATCGTCTGGTGGCGGGGTTGGGGGAGAAGAGGCCACCGTGTCTTGCGGTGAGCCTCGAGAGGATGACGGGGGTGATGTGATAGGGGTGCGGGATTATGATGGTTTGTTGTTCAGCCTGCAGCAGGGTTCACGCGGATATTTTTGCGAGCTGCCTGCTCATGCGCTCATGCGGATCGTGACTGGGGCTACCCGCCTTGGCGGATGAGATCCGGATGCATTTCTTTGATTCTGGGAGATGCACACACGCTCTGCTGGAGTCATGATTTGCGTGGAAGCCGGACTTGCTCTTTGCTGACCGTGGCAAAAGCTTGTTTGGTACGACTCGCAAGTGGCCACATGCATCATCTTACATGGCTTCCAGGATTTGCGGTTCGGGGCGTTCCTCGGGAGAGCACCGCCACACATGCGCAGCGCCACAGCACCCACTTAATTTTTCTGAGCCAAACTTTTGCCGCTCGTGATCGCGAGCTCAGCAACACCAACCGAGCGCGTAGCACAGCAAGAGAAGGAAATTGACCAGGCTGGGGATATATAATCATGGCGCCGCAAACCAAAACTGAACGATCCTGGAGTGCCCTCACCCCACCACTTTCAGAATGGATCCTGGACGCCATCTCCGCCATGGGCTTCACCAAACCGACGCCTGTACAGCACGCTGCGATTCCAATGTTCATGGGCAACAAAGACGTAGTGGTCGAAGCCGTCACGGGATCTGGAAAGACGCTGGCGTTCATGATTCCAATGGTTGAGCGCCTGCTTCGACTGGATGCGCCTCTGAAGAAAAACCATGTCGGAGCTATCATACTCACACCAACGCGAGAACTGGCCACGCAGATACATACAGTTCTCCTTTCGCTGCTCAAGTTTCACGCTCCTTCGGCGGCCGTCATGAAAACCGATGATGAAGACTCTGACATGGAGGATGCGGATGCGCCTCCTCCACCGGCCTTCCCTTCTGGAACCCTCAAAGTTGTCCCTCAGCTTCTTTTGGGTGGGACAGTTACTCCTGCTCAAGACTTGAGCTGGTTCTTAAAGAACTCGCCAAACATTTTGATCGGAACACCAGGTCGTCTGCTGGAGCTACTCTCCTCGCCGCACGTCCACTGCCCACAGTCATCGTTCGATGCGCTAGTCATGGATGAAGCAGATCGACTCCTGGACATGGGCTTCAAAGACGACCTACAAAGGATCCTCTCACGACTACCCAAGCAGCGGCGAACAGGCCTATTCAGCGCTAGCGTCAGCGAAGCCGTTGACCAGCTCATCCGCGTTGGTCTGCGCAACCCCGTCCGCATCGCCGTCAAAGTCAAATCGAGAGCCGCACCAAAGGAAGGCGAAGAAGGCGTAATCGAAGACAAGCGCACTCCAGCCAGTCTCCAGATGTCCTACCTCGTCCTGCCACCCTCGCACAAAATCCCCGCAATCAAGAAACTCCTCGCAACTCTCCAGCCCCAACCACAAAAGGTCATCATGTACCTGGCTACATGCTACTCCGTCGACTACTTCCAACATGTGCTCCCGGAGGTGCTCAAAGGTCACGCAATCATCCCGCTGCACGGCAAACACCCAGACAAAGTCCGCAGAAAAAACTTTGCCAAATTCGTCGACAGCATGGCGCCCTCCATCCTCCTCACCACCGACGTCGCCGCCCGCGGCCTCGACATTCCCGCCGTCGACCTCGTCCTGCAGACCGACCCGCCCAGCGACCCCAAAACCTTCATCCACCGCTGCGGCCGCGCAGGCCGCGCGGGACGCAGAGGTCTCGCACTAACATTCCTCAACCCCGGCCGCGAGGAAGACTACATCGAGTTCCTGCGCATACGACAGACGCCCATCTCACCGCTTACCACGCCGGAACTGACCATCACATCCATCGACGCCGATGCCGCAAGCAAGAAAATGAGGACGGTAGCCAGGTCCGACAGAGCCATATTCGACAAAGCACAGCGCGGTTTTGTCTCCTGGGTGCGCGCTTACAGCAAGCACACCGCCTCCTCCATCTTTCGCGTCGCCGACCTCGACTGGGAAGACTTGGGCCACGCGTGGGGTCTGCTCCGGCTTCCCAGCATGCCCGAGCTCAAGAAATTCGAGGGCGACCGCACGCTCGGGCTCGACTTCGAGCTGGATGCGCTAGCGTACAAGGACAAGGTGCGCGAGAAGCAGCGGCTGGAGGAGCTGGCCGAGGGCGCAAAGAAGAAGCGGTTTGAGAAGCGAGACAAGGAGAAGGATGCGTGGACGTTGAAGAAGGAGCACAGGGCGACAAAGGAGGTGAGGAGGGAGAAGAAGGAGAAGAAGAGGGAGCACGAGAGGGTCGCGAAGATGGACGAGGAGGAGAGGAAAAAGGAGGCGGAGTTGCAAAAAATGATCGCACAGGTCAGGAAAAAGGTGGTTGAGGAAGAAGAGGACGCGTTCGAGGGGTTTAGTGATTGATGAAGAACGTTTGATATCAAGCAGTTTGACAGGAAGAGGTGTTCGGTGTTGAACATATTAACTATACCTATCAACAATTCCCAGCCTCTCAAAGCCAAGACAAGGTCGCCATTGGGCGACACAGTGCAGCGAAACCCTACCCGCGCTCTTCTATAGCATTTTCATCCAATGGCAAGATACTGCCAACTATTGACTCTTCGCGAGCCTTTGAAAGTCACGCACAATGCAGCATAGGAACTTTTTGGTGTGCCAAAGGAAGAAAAAAAAAAAACCAAAGGCATGATATCACTTGCTCCCGAGAAAGTTGCAACAATCTCCGATCTGTATCCATCAGCTGAATGCTCGTCGTCAGTACACCACCCCAATTGTACTTACCGATAACGTCCCGTCTTAGGTCGTGAGACCATCTAATAGACAACTAGACAACGTACCAGGACGACAACAATTCACGGTCCGACATCTTCGCCAGGACCTCGAGCCTGTCCCTGGGCATCAGTGACAGCCTGACCCGCAGTGCACTGATCACGTCAAGACATCTCCGGTCGTACTGTGCGAACCGCAAAGTAACTGTACCAAACGTCCGCTTCACTACCGGCAGCGGATGGCACATCAGGAGCACAGTCAGGACGCGCAACGTCGGAACGTCTTGGTTGCGCCGCATGCTCACCGCATCGCCAAAGATGTAGTCCCAGGACCGCCAGTCTGACGGTTGGTTACTATCGACGTGGCCGTAGTAAACGTAATCCATCACCATGACGAGAGCTTCAGCCGATAAGTACGTGGGATGCATGTGATACACCAAGTTGAAGATTGTCATCATGAAGTCTACGCAGTCGAACAGCGGACCGGAGGCCACAATGTGGTGCGCATGCTCTTCGGTGTGTGCATGATTATGGGTCGGAAGGCGGTCCAGATGGTACAGGTAACCATCAAGGGCGTAAGCATGTTGAGTATTGTCCGCTCGAGCAGCGGCCGAAGCTGGTTGATGGCTTATTGGCAAAGGGCGGAGTGACGGAGCTGATAAAAAGAGGACCTGGAAGGACGGCTCAGGTGAGGTTGGGGAAGCAGCTGCCGCAGGCGCTTGTCGGGGAGAGGTGCTGGACGTTCCTTCCTTTTTGAACAACTCGTGTCGACACTAAACGCAGAAGCACAATGTCAGCCTAATCAACACCCCCCCGAAGTTCGCAAATCTTACATGCGGACACTTGTTATTGTTGACGGCATTGCTGTTGGCCCACTGCTTGATGCCCGGTTCTTACAAGTATCCGATCTCGGATTTCTTCTCGGAGAGAACCTAGCAGGTTCTCCTACAGCTTTTCCGAAACCGCCTTCGCGGATTCAAGAAAGTCAAAGTCCGAGGTCTTGTATCGCGCTCCATTGTCGAAGCTGTTGAGGAAGAACTTACCCAAGACGCCGCATCAGATCCGGACACCGTAATCTCCAGGTTTCAAAGTTTGAAGGATGAAGGCCAAACCCTTTATAGGTCGAAGCAAACAGACGCCGCGAACTTAAAATGGATGGACGCTGCAATCGAGATCGAGCAATTGAGATAGAGCAGTTCATGGTCAGTGCTTACCGAAAAGGTGGCGAACCTTTCGTTGCCCGTATTTCTGAGCTCTACTCTTTGATGAAGCTCAACAATGCTCATATTTACCTTGCAAATCTGCAGAAAGTGGGGTTCATGGCGGACATGATGGCCTCAGACGCTCTGGACATAGCTATCAGGTCAACCAATAGGGATTTTTGGTTGTCCGGCTTTCGCTGGCTGCCAACAGACGTGCACAAGGCCAAATTGGGGTATCAGCGTGCATTATTTTTCAGGCTACAAGGGAATCAGCAATCGATTCCTTGTGCGGTAAATTACATCGAACATGCACCCCGGCTGCTTCCTGATGATGCCGCTATCGCAAAGACACGAGCGACGATTCTGGCATGGAGCGACTCAACGTTATGATGATCCTTGTTGTTTACCGCTGAAGGGTCTGGGATATGGCATCACGATTATTCTAATTGACCTCGGGAGTGGTCTCGTTGGTATCATCCGTTCGTTCGTTCGTTCGCTCCCCCGCAAGAGAGAGCTTTGTCATTCGCATTGGAAAACTGAATGCTGAATGCACTTGGGAATTCGACTTGGGTTCTGGGTCAAGCACAAGCAGACCTGTCCTTGGTTCGGGAAGCTCTCAGTTCCACTCCTTGATAATCAAGTCTGCAACTCAATGTCTTGTCATCTCTACCTATGAGGATCGTCATATTACAGCTCCTGCCAACACCATTAGACAAATCCAGTGCCTGATTGTTATTCCATATTAGCTCCAAGTGGTACAGAGATGCGCTGGACAAAACTTTCGTGTAGTGAGACTCATGGGTCCTGAGCTGAGTCAGGTTGTCATCCAGAGCTCGTTATTGCACTCGAATAGCTGCACAAATTCCACCACAGCCTTGCCCTACTACGATCGACACCCTGAATTGATTTTCTCAACTAGAAGAATTGTGAGAGCAATGTCACGTGCCGACCTCGGTACCTGAATGCTTCCGATTCAGGCTTTGCATGTGAATATCGGGAGGCTCAAAGTCACGTGCTTATGCTCGTCCCGACGCGGACCGAAATTGGAATAGTATCGGCGATAGCACGTCCGGTCGGTAAAGCCGATGCCCTGGAACACAAGACTCTGTAGCACCACAACTGCCAGTGCTGTTCACGGGTCACGGTTTTCAGCCTAGTAACACTGGCGTCGCCCATGCTTGGAATACGGGGTCAGGCGCAATGAGGCATATCTAATCGAATCAGAGCGTGCTGGCGCCGTAATGGCCTGGAGACTCGACTGCACGGCCACTGTGTGACAGGAGCGCGCAAGCAGCGTCTGGGCGAAGCGACGGAGACGGAGCGGATGTGGTGCTTACTGTAGCACCAAACGCCCACTCTGTCGACTTTTTACTCGGTGCACGAGGCGCGGATATCCCTGGCTGGTGCATGCGTGTATGCAAACGTGACTACAGGCTAGCGCTGGAGAACTTGAGGGGGCAGCGATGGGATCCGTGCCCAGATGAGCTCAGCAAGTGCGAGCACCGACGGGTGTGCTGGTAGGTGCGGGCGCGCTGAATCCGGGACGCTGCAACTGTCTGGGACCGGTCGCTCTGATTAGCGGCCGCCGGAAGCTTCTTTGCACCACACCGCGACTCCCCCCATGCCTCGCCCAGGCTGCGCTCCACCGATGGCCCGGTGCCGTGTGCTTCGCCTGAAGCCCAATGAGACCCAATGCGCAGCCTATGCCAACCGTTGGGCTGGGGGCTGGCCTCCCACAATATCACACCGACTCCGAGGCTTCTAGGGAACTGCTGCTGCCCTGTTGAAGCCGATTCCGGTACGTCCTGTTTGCTGCCATTGTAGCCAAGCCGCTGCAGCCAAGGCTTAATTGGCAACCGCGTTGCGCCGTGTCGCCAGCCCCCGGACGGGGCCTTGCTCTGTCGAAGTGCGCGCTCACACGTTCGCGAGGCCCAGCTCAGTGTACCCAAAGGGGATGTGATCGCCACGCAATGACAAGCGCCATGCCCTCCGCTGAAGCTTCTCTCCGTTGACGCACACAGCAGCGCTCTTGCTGGGCGCCGCGATCGATCTCTGCGGAGTCTGCGACCTTGGCCTTGGGCCCTAGCACTGCACACTGTGCGATGTCTCTTTTTGATTGAATAATTATCAATCTTCCGGAGTACGCTTTGGTCTACGTTTCCGGAGACCTTTGACTGCCAGCGGTGTTGTTCCGATTCTCAGCCGGTGACATCAGAAGGCTTGGACGCAGACACGACGCGCTGGATGGCCGGCCGCCCAGGGCTAGATCGCTTGCACGGGGCCAGGTGCAGTGCGAGGATGACGAACGCTCTTTGCTGGCCCAGTGCTGCTGCCGCGGGAGCTGCTGCCGGCGATGCGACTGGAGCTGGTGTGCCTGTGCCTGGACGCGCCATGTGTGATCCCCCATATATCCATCACCAGTCTCCGCTCGCACTACATCTGACCGCCACCCCACCCGCCACCCCACCCGCTGGTCCAAACTGCGCAGCAACCTCTCGTCTTCTGCTCCTCGAGCTCACGCCTTTGCTTCCATTCTTATCCCTCGTTAGCACACAGCATCACCTTCATCTCTTCCTTTCGTTCGAGTATATGTGCAACAGTCCGCGTCTGTGTGCTCGTAAGCAAAGTCGACTCCTACGTCCAATATGGATGAGAGTATGTGTTTCCGACTCATCACCGCTTTGCTCATACCAATCTGACTCTTTCTAGCCACCTTCGAAAACACCATGAGCGACCACGGCGGGTCATCTACTGCCGCCACGGCACAAACATCTACCGTCTTCTCTCGCAATGACGACCCCTGGACTCTCGCGCTGCGTAGCGAGACTGAACATCCTCTCAGCCTAGACGAATTAGTCGACCTCAATCGGACCGAGCCACCTTCGCACGACTTCCCATCCACTGTGGGTACACTCACGACGACCGTGCTCAGTTCCCAAAAGGAATCGAGCATCACCAAACCGACTTCGGCGGGAACAAGCTATATCGTCGATGGCTACACTGGCAAAGGCAAGGGCAAGATCGTGAAGACCTATGCGTCTTCCTTGTCAGCTACTCATGGGTCAGGCTCTGAAGCGGAGGCCGAACAGGACAACGTTCTAATCGGTGTTGGCGGTCAGTTTGAGAGCAGTACTCTTAAAGGTGCTGCAAGAGCTCGCAAACGGCAACAGGCACACAGGATCTCAAGGCCGAAGAAGGTGCCTCTCGTGATCCATTACGATGGCCCTGCACATGTATCTTCTGAAGAGGAGCTGGCTCCTGTCACCAAGCACAGCTCCCGGTGCAGCAACAAAGGTACGTCCAGTCCAAGGGTCGTTTAGCCCATTGGTCCGTCACGCACCGTTTGGCCGTGGTGCACCTGTTTAGAGATCACTACTGACCGTGTTCCAGAAACCAAATACCTTCGTACCCGGAAGGTCAAGAAGTCGGATGCCATCTTCGCTGACGAGGAACGCGTCTCGGCTAATGACGAGCGTAACACTGCACGCCGCCTTTCACGCGCGCGTCTCAACATCGTTATTGGTCTCTGTGTTTTCATCGTTCTCACATTCGTCCTTTCGGTATTCGCAGCGCATCACACTGGCAAGGATCGCCTCGCTTGTACCAAAGGCATCATCTTCTCAGCTACGGTTCTCATTTCCACGTGTACAGTTGTCGCCATGACCTTGGCAAGGCGGGCTCTGCAAGAGGCTTTGCTCGCGGGCTTATTGGAGTTCGTCATCGGCTTCGCTTTGGTTATCGAGATCCGCGAATTTATGGAGCATGTTCCCTGACGCGCATGCACTCTTACTTTTCACTTGCAGACATACTGAACCAGCGCATTCTCGGGCATTATTTCGGATATCCAAATACACGTACAATACGAGCTTTTTGTATACCAAAACCATACGTCTGCTGATTCTACTATGCGCAAATGGCGACAGCCTCGCTCACACGAATCATTGCCAGTCCGGCCTCCGAATCGCCACAGGTGCGCAAATGGCGCCGAACGGCGCCGGCCTGTGTTCGTTGCCTAATTAATGAGCCTCAGGCGGGGCTCGAACCCCATGGTTACGCCAAGTTGTGTGCAGAAGGCAGTGCAAGAGTTGCTCCGCCCCGACGGCAGCATCACTGGCGCGGTGGAATTGGTGCAGCACAGGAGTCTTCGCGCGCTGGGCAAGGTCGATAAAACATGCACTGTCGGCGGTGCAGGTGAAAATTTTTCAAACGCGTGCGCAGAGGCTTGCGCGATGGTTGCCTGCTTTGCATCCCAAAGTGGACGAAGCGAGGATAAGTCATTCGCCAACACTACACAGACAGGATTTAATTGGTAGTTGTCCTATCCTAACTGTCTACATCTTTTTTGTAGGCCTCAGGTGTCTCTCGGCAGGCCGAAACCCAAATCACTTATCCCATCCATCCAATTGATTCTCAACACGCGCCACAAGCGCTCCACTGCGCTGCACTGCGCAAATCAACGCGCAGTCGCCTGACTACTCGGTCGACAACCCGTCCCTCGCACGAGCCTACTTGCAAAAATGAACTCAGGTACCACTGGACCGCTGATTTGATATTGCAGACCTACAATCGCCGTGTTTCGACCCTGTGTTGAGTCAGTGGGGTCCAACTTGCTGATTGCCAAGTACTCGGTGCGTCAGTACATTGATGCCGCCGGATGCAGTCGGTCAGCACGCGCGTCTGAGACGGTAAATTAGCCTGCGTGTTCGACGTACGCGATGATATTGCGACAGAATTGATGGCAGTACTGATGATTATCGATTGGAGTATCCCAATCTAGATAATTTCTCCCATGCAAGCACAGTGATTAGTTGCCTCTGGGCGTACGATGTATGCAGGCCGCCAGACCCATGCTCATGCATGACTTCAGTTCCTGGCAGTTGCAGCCCTGGCTTCCACCTCTGTGCGACCAGACGCGTATCCTCGAATATGAGACCTTCACAGGTGGCCCGGGTTCCGATTGTTTCGTCTTTTGTTTCTCGCCAATAGCGGTAAGCTCAAGCTTCTGCTGCAGGCGAACAATTAAGAAATGCGATAGGCAAACGCAACAGCTGCCACCAAATGCAACCGTCACATGGATGGGCGAGAGGTGTACGTAGATGTAGCAGTGGCAAAGTGGATCTCAGCTTAATTGATCGGCGCCACGCACCCTGGCCGTTGCATGCGGCTTGTGCGCCTCGCAAGGCTCGTTACGCCATCGGTTGGTTTCGGAGAACACCAATGTGCGATGGAGTGTTCGGACATATGCAGCTATTCAGCGTGCGGTTCTAGCTGCAGCGCAACTATCGGCCGACCGCAGCAGGGGCGCTTAACTTGCGTTCACGTCATGCAACACGTTCAGTTATCCCATCGTCCCCAATTTCTCCACTGTACGTGGCCCTAGCGCTGACGCTCGGGATCAATCGATCAAGGTTGTGAGGTAAAGCCCCCCCCCACGGGCCACGCACCGCTGCAGCAGCGAAGATGGCACGGACGCACATCGCGGTGGCCCATCATGAGTGGTTTGCAGGCGTACGTGTGGATAGCAGTGGATGCAGCTAACATGAGCTTGCAGATGCAGGTGCAGATGCGGCGGGTCACGATTATGTGCCTGCGTTGTCTGTGCTTTGGCTCGCGAATCAGTGCTGTCAGTCCTGCACCGGTGAACATGCGGAGGAGAAATGCGATTTGTGGCGTTGTGCTGCCAATGCACGGTCCTTCCCCGTGCACTGCGTGTGCTGAGTCGTCCGCGTCCGTCTGCGCTGGCAGTGGAGAGAGCTGGTGGTTGCACAAGGGGGACCGAGGGTCGTCGCCCCGGCCCTAGGGCGTGGGGATGGTTCGCCCAGTTGATGATGATGAATGGACGCGCGCGGGCCTTCTTCCCAAGGCGCGATGTCGACAGCTGGACCATTCGATCGAAGGATATAAAGCACCGCGTGTGCGCTGTTCCTGTCCCGCTGATGCTGCTTGTCTCTGCCGCTGACGGGACACCCTAATCGTCACCCACGCCCTACCCTCCTCGCGCGCAACCACACGCCCTTCGCCGCTCTTCACCTTTGCTCGAGCGCACGGGAGAGAGTGACTGGCGTCAACACCCTACCTCCCTCACAGTGCAAAACATCATCGTGAGAATCGCCACCGTCAGGTACCATGGCGCGCACTGGTGAGCCGGACCCTGGCGCTTCGTCCCGCTTTTTGTTCCACGTCGCACCCCTGCTTCCCCGCGTTACACCCCTGTCGCTTCACCATCCCTGCCACTCGCCATCATGGTCCTTAGCTAACACAGTGCCCAGCTCCGGCCACCGTCAAGCATCCTCTTCGCCCTTCTCTCTGTTCCATCGGCATTCCTGATGGGCGAGATGTTTTGGCCGTGTACATCTGGTGGCTGAACCAACAACAGCTACGTGCGTTTGTCGCGTCGCATGTGCCGTCGGAGATCGCTTCGTCAGTGCGATCTATCCATGGCGAAGACGAAGAGTGGCGCGAGACTGCGCCCTCATCCTTCGAAAGAATAGCGTTCGACACGCGATCGACGGCTTTTGATTTATGTGGGATCGGCGGCCAGTTTGAGTAGACGACTCAATTTGCGGGCATCTTGTACAACTAGAAGGAAGGTCGGCGTTCGGTAATACCTGGAGACACGGAGGGTGAAAACAGGTGGGCGGCGTCTTGGGGTTCTCATTTTACCTTTGTTACAGGAGAAGGATACCCGCAAGGAAAGTCTGTTTGTGAGCCTTTCTCAGGGTGTGTTGTCGGAATACGTTGCTCTCTTTCGCATTTCTATTTTGGGAAGGCATTCGTGCTCTGAGGTCGCTATGTTACCAACACGACAGGCGATCGTTGGCTTCCATGTGCATATACCCGGACTACTGCACTCTCCAACATACTAGCATCATCTAGGCAGGCAAACAGAATATCAAGCCTCCTCATGCGCGATTGTTTGATGAGGCTTTGGCTAAACCCACACAAGTGCACCTTATCAATCACTGCCGCGCTATCGCCCAATGTGGCAACCTCGCAATCCTCCTTGCCTACTTGGCAATGCCCCTAACATGCTTCTATCTCGACCTATCTCGCACGCCCTGTTCGTCTCACTCATGTAATACGCCGTGCTTCGTTTTCGTTCTGCTATCCCTAAACATATATTGTCTCCCTCTAGTTTGTCTCGTTTCCTGTCTGCTACCAGTTCCAAGGCCAAGCGCATCCTTTTGTTAAGATGTGCACACCGGGTGGACGTACAGCCATCACGCAGCAAACCCGCCCGTCATGGAAACAGTTTCTCAGCACAGTCGACGACCGCGTGCTAGAGAGCGGCTCCGTTCCTTTCCGTCTTCTTGATTCGGCAATAAAATGGGCATTTGACGCGCACTGGCGGAATTTCAAGAACTTTATCCACGACGTCGTCAATAAACATTTCGCTATCGAGCTTGTGGTGTTTTTTGTAGTACTACCGCCATTGGCACTGTTGCTCTATACTGTGGGCGTAGTCGTTGTTGCTTGGGAGGAAGTCGTGGTGGCGGCTAAGTTGGTGAGGCGGTGGGCAAGCGAACCACGGAGACATCTATTGAGCGAGAAGACGATTGCGAAGAGACGGCAAATGAAGGCAAGAAGAGATGAAGTGAAGGCCCTGCCGAAGATGAGGCCGAGGGCACTTACGCTACACTCGGATGGTGGTTCGCCTGTCTTTGAGGAAGAGTTGCACACTCTTGGCCGCAGCCGCGTGAAGCAGAAGACTGTGGATCAGCTTGGAACTTGCGACCTCTGGAAGATCCCTTTTGAGGTTCGTGAGGCTATATTCAGATATGCAGTTGGTGGCAACCACGTGCACATTGTGAAGAGGAGGCAAAGGTGGGGAAGTGTCTACTGTCCTGCCAAGGACCCGACGGACCCGGTGCACAGAGACTTTTGCACAAGAAGAGACAAGGACGGGTACCATGTTATGAGTGCTTGGCCAAAGGACACGAGACCATTGGCGTTGTTGGTGAGCTGTCGGCAAATGTGAGTCTGCTTGTTCGTTTACATGTCTCTTTGCTGACATCAAGGAGATACTCAGAATGCATCGATTTTCTATATTCGCAGAACACGTTCGCATTCGATGATCTCGACTTGTTGCCTGACTTCCTGGGCTCACTGCTTCCTTCCAGGGCCCGTCTCGTTACATCCTTCCATCTGGCTCCTGTGTTCGCGCGCGATTGGGCTGGTTCCAATCACAGAGATTACTTCATCACAAAGCAGCCACCCATAGCATCGGTTCAAAGCTTGAATCGGTTCCTCGACGTCCTCGAGCAACATCCTACAATCCGATCCCTCTCGATCACCCCGAAGCCTCGACTGGACTTCATAGCCACGTGTGACAACCTCGATGTCGCCAGACACATTCTCAAATTTACGAATACGCTCAATCTCGTGAAAACAACTAAGCCAATTACACTCGCCTGGCCCGAGGAACCAATACCGTCCGTTTGGTACACGTCCACGCACATGTCGATCCCGCCCGGCTACTGGGGACGAGAGAAGTACCTGCCCGACGAGGACTCTCGCAAAATCAAACTCAGAGAGATGCCTTGGCAATCTCCGACCGTCCTCATGGCGTTCCTCATCCCTTTCGATGTCCAATGTCTCCACTGCGCATCCCCCACCATAATCCGTCGCGCTACAAGAGGTTTCGCCGAAGCCTCATTTTTACCACTTTCCTTGTCCCCCAGTCCACCTGAAAATGCCACGCTATCCTGTGTGCTCATGCGCTACTGGACATACCACGTTTTTTGTGGTGGGTGGATCGAGTTCCAATATCACGGCGAGCGTGAGGAATGGAGCGTGTCGCAGGGTGCGCAAACAATCTCAAAGGCGGAGGCGGACAGACACCTTGCGGGGAAAGAGGGGTTGGAGAGGCGGTATCCACCACTGGACAATCCGCATGAGAGACTAAGGGGAATCACCGTGAGGGATATGATAAGGCAGACGTCGCAGGACCAGTGGTCTTCGAGGCGGTGGGGGACGAGTAGGGTCATTGATGAGCCGATGCGAGACGCATATTATCAAAATGTTGGATGGGGGACTCCTCGGGCACAAGTGTGGAAGCGAGGTGAACCGATGATGTCATGACGATGTCTCATAGGGTCCATACTGTAGTGTGTGTTGTAAATGCTATACACCTTGCTCTTTCGTAAGACTAGTTGAGACCTGGGGAAAATATACCGTGGGTAGTTCAGTGTCCAAATGTTGGAGGTGGCGTTGAAGCATGCGCTTTGCTTACTGAGGAAGGCGTGTTGCGTTTCGCGTACATGGGGTTGTGCTTCGTACCTCCTTCGTTCACTCACTTCTCTGCACTCGCGCCGAGCGGCCATCCAATGCTCATGTATCCCCGACGAGCTGCAGCACAGCCCTCGAGCGCACATGTCTATTCTGGGGTTGACCTTTAAAAGAGCGGGTAATACCCGATGCTAGTTTGCCTGGTTAGCCTCGTCCCTAAAATAACCACAATCGAGAACGGGTATTATCGAATCAGAAGTGAAGCGCCACGTCCATCACGGCTCCTTCCACCGATCGCCGTTGACCCTTGTCGTTCGCGAAATTTGCGCATCAACGATAGGCCAGGTTCCACCACTCGCAATGCCGCATGGAGAGATTTGGCATCCGTACCTGGCTAAAATATCTGCTAGTAAGCATACTCTCCTAATTATGGCGGGACAAGTATTAGGGGCCACCTAGGCGCTGCTACTTGTGGCCTTTGCGCGCTTTCTGTTATATGCAGCACGGCCTCGGATTGGGGTCTCTGGTTGCTGTGCCGTCTTGTTCTCGCGCGACATTCACTCATCGTCGAACTACCGGGCGGGTACTGCCCCACACTTCCATGGAAGCGCCGAGCGGAAAGTCCATGAGACTAGTGGAGGAGAGGCCAACGACGAAGTCCTCACAAGCGTCAGGAACATCCACCGGGGATTCCTTGAAAGATGTCGAAGCGCAATCGCTCAGCTGCACTAAGAACAGTGGCAGCTCATCAAGGTCTTGGGTGGCAAATCCGTGGAGAGCGCACACTCGCAAGATCTTTTTGGCGTGCGGCATCGTGGTTATTCCTATGATTGCGTTCACGATCGCAATCATCTGGGTCGTCTTTGTCAACCTTATCAATGGTAGGTTGGCTTCCAAGTCAAAGTCCTGTGTGGTACTGCGCATCTTGGCGCGGCCCAATGCAGAACGCATCGCCAGATCCTACTCCTGGCATTCGAACTGACGACCTTACAAACTATTCGGATAGCCCAGTGCGTGTCTGATTTCAATGGCTGACAATTTCGAATTAGAAAACCACTGCCCTTATCCTGAGCTATGTCCGGGTCGGGATATTCTAAATGCATCGAGCAAGCACTACTATTACGTCGACTACCCGGCAGCCCGGCTCATGTTTATATCTTCGTGGTCTTCCACTGTCAGCTTGTCCTTCGTCAGCATGCTGATGACGCTGTTTGGGTACCTGATTGCAAGCCAGATGTTGCACACATCATCGACTGATCAATCGACCCGACTACCCAGTCCATACCAGACGAGCATTCTGATGAGGGTTTTGAATGCAGACCTCTTCGCATTATGGGATCTCGGAACGAACAAAGTAAAAGCCACATTCTGGAAGAAAGCACAATCGAACGACTCGGACAAGGCGCGCTCCCCACCGCTTCTTCGCGCCTCTATTTTGGTGTTCTTGTTCTGTTTATTTGGAAGGTATGCGGTAGAACAGACGACTTCACAATGAGGTCTCATGAACTGACATACTGTAGTATACTTGTACAAGCAGCTGATACGTATTTGCATATCGTTACTGAATCTGCGAACTTTATCCAGCTTTGGGCGCAAGATGGCCAACAGCACCACTACAGCCGAGGCCTCGCTCCATGGTGTCTCGACCGTCCGCGGAAGGGTTCTGGAAATAACGTCAATTACTGGGGATGTGGCATTACCTTCGACGAGCGTAGTCGCTCAGCCGTTATGAGTAACATGACCTCGTGAGTACAGTCAAGCTCGGATGACGGTCACCATGCGTTCGACTGACATCAGGGTCTCAGATACAATGCTCTGGCGTTCGATGGCCCAAAAACGAGAGACTCAATCTATAATTATACTGACTCCAATGGACTGCAATTTGCGCTCGTCGGACCTCATGTACCACCCGCCGAGAACGATTGGAAGGCAACGACGATTGGAGTATCTACGCAATGCTCCGCTATTCCACCTTTAGCATGTACCCAAGGAGCACCTAGCGAGAATGATTTCCAAGAGAGTCGGCAATCTTTCAACTGCAGCATGGCCAAAGGCGCGCCGCTCGATGTCTCTGGAAACATCACGGGATACATGCACGAAATCTACTTCTTTAACTTCCACAAGTACCTCAGTGACGAAAGTCCTTTCAAGGCAAATATTCTTGGATGGAATGATTCGAAAATACATCCAGCAGATATATCAGACGATGACGACGTCTTCAAGAATCCTTGGAAGTCACTCAGCCAGGCAACGATTGAAGTAGACCGCCCAGATTATCCGGAACAACTCAATGACACAAGTCGACTGTGGCCCGATCCCGACAACAATTACGATTACACCATGCTCCTTTGTGATACTACCGGTAAGTAACTTCCGGGCTCGACAGACGCCTAGAAACTAATGTCTCTTCTAGTATGGGATATCGAGTACACCGCAGTCGCCCACGAAGTCACTTCCCTTACAGCGACAAAGAGCAACGGCAGTGTCGCCGGGATCGCCAGCCTGCCCGGCTTGCCAGCGCTCATGTTTATACCTAATCAGTACGACTGGGCGCTACAAATCGCATCCGCCTCTGCAACATCCATGGACGCTTTCATCGACGCTTACGGATTAGGTCTGTCCAAGGTCCGAAGTTACTCCCTAGCAACGCAGATGTCCCCTCGTCCTGCTCTCCTAACGCAGACCCGCACTTCCAAAGTCATCACAAAAGTACCTGTAGCCGCGCTATGGCTCTTGGTCCTCGCAAATGTACTGTATTCCCTGCTTGGTCTGGCGCTAGCTACTATGGCGTTGATCTATACCAATCCGAGCGTGCACCAAGTGTATACGCGGCTGAGCGTCACGGGTATTGTCGCCCAGCTTTTTGAGAGGGAGTACGCGGAGCGAGCTGTGGAGACTGAGATGAAGCTGTTCAGGGAGAACGTGGATAAAGATGCGGAAGTCAAGAGGGTGGGCGTGAGGCGGACGGACACAGGAGGCTCTCTGTTTGCTATAAGTGAGAAAAACTCTTGATGGACATAAGCTATCAACGCAACGCAATCAAGAGTTACTTGAGTCATAAGATGCAAGTTATTTGTGAATGTTCATCCTTTAATGGAGATTGCGGGGATCCTCCATCTATTCACGAAGGAACCGCCTTTGAAAGATGGAGCTGTTCATCCGGTTCTTCACCGTCTCCCAATCGGTCGTCCCTTCTGCGCGATAAAGGAATGGAGAGAAGATCAGTTTATCAGCAGATCATGGCCGACTCTCTTCGATGGTGCCATAGTCTATCTTTCTGATCAGTCCGCCTTCCACAACGGCCCTCGCAAAACTAGAGAAGACACTCATTTGCTTGGGGAACTCTCGCACTCCATCAAACGACGTAACGCGCCTCGAGATGACATTACAGGGAGTCACAAATTCTCAAAAAAAATGTGGAATTAGCCTTTGCCTCACATGAGAACCAGTCACCAAAGCTTTCTTTTGGTAGAGTTTCACAGTTGCCTGGGATACCGTCTTAAGCAGGCGAAGTGACGGAGTGATATAGACGTACATAGTACACTGAGAGTGTCTCAAGCTGTTCGGTATATGATGCAAATGCAAGGTGAGGAGTACGAGTTATGGAGTGTTTGGGGGTGGCGGAACGCCTATATAGGCTAGTGCGCACCTGTCAGCTACCATATCGTACTGAAGGTACTTGAGGGCGCCTGACGCCAACACGATCAACCCCGCGACCTTGGAACACCAGCATCCGCCATGGCACAGCCAACTATCGAGGCATCAACACAGCAACAACCTCGCCCCAATCTCCGTCCCAAGGTTGGCAGCACTGGCATTTTCGTCCTTATTGTCGAAGATAATCACATCAACCGCATTGTCTGCCTCAAAGTGCTCGAGAGGCAGGGCCACACTGTAGCCACAGTTGGCAACGGGCAAGAAGCGCTCGATTTTCTTTGTAAAACATCCGGGAACCGTCAACCCAATCTCGTGTTCATGGACACTTCAATGCCTGTAATGGATGGGTACGAGGCTACTCGCCGGATACGCCGCGACGCAGGCATGTTTGATGAGCGGATGCGCACAGTGCCGATTATTGGACTGACAGCCAACGCATTGCGAGGCGTACGGGAGCAAATCTTGGAGGCTGGCATGGACGATTATATTGCCGCGCCGATACGCCCGCGCGATTTGCAAGTAGCGGTCATGAGATGGATCTCACCAAAAGGACCGTAAATGGCAAAACCATCGCTGAAATGGCGAGACACCAAGCAGAACTCGCACTGGATCGATATAAAACCTGGAAGGGGAATCATGGACTACCTTTAACAGCGTGTAGACTGGTCGGTGTTTCCTAGGCTACTTCATTCCTCGACGCGAACACAACCCTGGGGTACAAGAACCTACATATCCTTTGATTTCATTGCATGCTATACTTTGTACCAACAATTCTTCAGCAGAATGGATCTCGCTTATCTTGCATAGAGGTTAATGTTGATGATACATATCGACGCAGAGTCTCAGACACCCATAATAGCCTGCGCCGTCTTAGAAGACATCATCTAAAGACTACCGACCCCCTGGGGTGTTTCCTGGCATTGGTCTCGACACAAGAGGTGGTGGTGGAGAAATTACGAGTTTGGACATTGCTTCCCGGTTGAATACACGGATGAATGATCTCAACGACGAGCCTCGGGAAAGTTCAGTTCTGGGATCTTCTGCAGCGCAGCGCTCGAACTCTGTTCGCAGCCAAACATATTCATTACGCTATATTGGATAGATCCATCGATCGGGACAGCTAACCGCTTGTCTTGGCAAATGGCCAATGGCGCTCTTGCATCTGGATATGTATAAAACATGGTCTCGAGGATATCCAGATGAGATTGTGAGAGCTCCGGTGTCAGGCTTCTACGATGAAGTCGATTCTTGTAATTGCGGCAGCTGCTGTCGCAGTTGCACAGAATATCGTGACTTCAGGAACGCACAATGCACTCACTAAACGCAACACAACGCTTCCCAGCAGCTTCAAATGGACATCTACCCAGGCCTTGATCTATCCGAAGAACGATAGCAGAGCAATTGCAGGTATCAAAGACCCCTCTATAATCTTGGTCAATGGCACCTACCACGTCTTCGCTAGCACAGCGAAAGTCGAAGATCCCAGCTACTCTCTCGTCTACTTCAACTTCACTTCCTTCGACAAAGCCGGCTCTGCACCATTCACCTATCTTGACCAGTCAGGTATCAGCACGGGCTATCGAGCAGCACCAGAAGTATTCTATTTCGAACCACAGAAACTCTGGTATCTCATCTTCCAAAATGGCAATGCAGCCTACAGCACGAACCCCGACATCAACAATCCACTCGGCTGGTCAGCCCCAACAGACTTCTACAACGGCACGCCTGCGATCATCGAGAACTATCTCCCCGGTGGCTATTGGGTCGACATGTGGGTCATCTGCGACGACGCACATTGTCACCTCTTCTCTTCCGACGACAACGGCCGCCTTTTCCGCAGCCAAACGCCCCTCGTCGACTTCCCCAAAGGCATGAGCGAGCCCGTAATCGCGCTGGAAGAAGCCTCCAAGTACGACCTCTTCGAGGCGTCCAACGTGTACAGCACCGGCAACTCGTCTTACCTGCTTCTTGTAGAGTGCATCGGCGTGGCGGGGCGTTACTTCCGGTCGTGGACGAGTTCAGACATTGCTGGCCCGTGGAGTGCACTTGCTGCGACCGAGGACCATCCTTTCATGGGTGAGAAGAACGTGGTCTTTGAAGGTGCGCAGTGGACGAGGAGCATTAGCCATGGCGAAGTGATTAGGACGGATATTGATCAGCATCTTAGAATTGATACGCATGGAATAAGGTTCCTGTATCAGGGCGTGGATCCGAAAGTGAGCACAGATTATAACAACTTGCCGTGGAGACTCGGGCTTCTGACGCAGGTCGAGGACGCGTAGTGGGATAAGGGAAACGGGACTGCTGAGTGTTACGCAGCTAGTCGTATTGCGTATACAATGGTAAACAACGACTGAGCAGCGCGCGCGGATACAGGAATGTGTCGGTATACTTTATTAGTGGCTATCAGCAGCTTTGTCGTAACACGCGCTGTCGGACTAACTTCGAATATCCATCTCTTGTCCAGTTCATGTGTTTCTCCCCGCGAAACTGTTTACAGGCAGTCCACCTGCCGCATTGCATGTTGAAGCAAAGGAGTCTACCATCTACATCTAGATTCCTGGACATGTGCGTCCGATTACTCTCATCTTCATCTCAGTCCCTCTTACGCAGACCGTTCAATGTCCGGACATATATGTGCGTGTAATGCCGAATGTCCTCCTACCATCACGTAATTGCGCGATCTAGATTACGCAATCAACTTAACACCCAATTATCACGCCCAAAAAGAAAGTATCCATGGCTTTAGTTATACGAGAGATGCGAGTGAGCGCATGAAAGACGCACATGCGCTGACGAAGCGCACGCCGCGACCTCATAGGTCAACTGAGAGTGCCACGCCGGTTTTCGCCAACATGTTGCTGGATTGAGACAGTCATAAAGTTCTGCGGTGATTGCGGATGAGGGCCATCGAGTGGATGTGTAGAGATGCATGACGTGAAGGTAGGCATATAAAAAGCGGACGTGGTAGCGTGGGTCAACACACTATTTCCTACCTCGAACCAACACTTTCAACTCTAGTGCTTCTGCTCCAACGTAAAAAAAATCAAGTCCTCCACACTCTCATCGAATTTCTTCCATGTTTTGAACACGATGTCTCCACACCGCATCCTCCTGACCGGTGCAAACGGCTACATCGCCACGCACATCCTTTCCCAGCTTCTCGCCTCGCCGGACAACCACTTCATCCGCGCAGTCGTGCGCTCCCAGTCCAAAGCTGAAGATGTGCAATCCATCTTTCCCAATGCATCCCCTTCTCGGCTCGAATTTGTGGTTGTGCCCGACATGACGGCGCATGGGGCCTTCGATGAAGCGCTCAAGAGCGAGCTTGTGAGTAGCCCGATTCGTACGTGGTGATCAGGAGGGCGGATAAGAGCTGGTCTTGAGACGACAGCTGACGAGACACAGCCTTTTGACATCGTCATGCACACTGCGAGTCCGTTCAAATACGATGCAGCAGGCAGTCCATCCGATTTCATCGACCCAGCAGTCAAGGGGACGACCGAGATCCTGGCTGGTATCCAGCGCGTCGCAGGGTCCAGCGTGAAGCGCGTCATCCTGACTGCGTCGTTCGCTGCAGTTGGCGCATGGGGTTTGCGTGACGAGAAGAACAAGGTCTACACTGTGAGTATAGATAATGCCACTCAGCACAAGTTTTGAGCGTTTCCTTCCTCACTGCTACCTGGATTATGCTCACGTCAATTAACCCCAGGAAGAAGATTGGTTCCCCGTCACATCCGCTGATGTCGAGGCCAGGGGATCTGACAAAAACTTCGTATACCTCGCATCTAAAACCTTTGCCGAGCAAGCAGCATGGGAGGCGCAGAAAGCCGATAGCGTTACCTGGGATCTCGTTGCTATCAATCCTGTCATAGTGTACGGCCCGCTGCTGCACAAAGTTAAGAGCGTCGACAACGTCAATGAAAGCATGGCGATCATCTGGAACAAATTTCTAAAGGAGGCGAATCCTGAGGGTGAGATCCCGCCGAATGGGGTGCCTTTGTATGTTGATGTCAGGGTACGTTTCATGATTTGAGATTGATGTATGAATGAATGCTAAATGAGATGTCAGGATGTCGCAGAAGCTCACGTCTTGGCCCTTGACAATCCCGAGGCGGCTAACCAGCGCTTTATTCTTGCAGCTGCTCTGGCGGATAGTCAGAAGATTGCTGATATCCTGCGCGCTGTTGTGCCGGGAGCTAACGAGAGGGTGCCGAGGGGAACGCCCGGGAAGAGTACGTTTCCTGCTGATCAATGGAGCGCGGACAACAGTAAGGTGCAGAGGGTGCTAGGGTTGAAGTTCCGGAGCGCGGAGGAGACATTTGGAGATTCCGGCAGGCAGCTATTGGAGTTGATTAAAGCGGTGTAGGGTTGTGGCAGAGCGCAATATCACCTGCAAGGTCTTTTGCCATAATCTGATGCTGCAGTGAAGGAGCGATGTCGGTTCGTGAACTGCGTGCGTTGTCAGGATGTATCAGGTACAACCGCAATACAGTGAACAGGATTCTACAGCTGTTAGTGTTCTGAGAAGCTCCAAGGAAGTATTGGTCGAGCTGGAGGATTCAACACAGCCAGGGCCTGCTGTTGTTCTCAATTATTTTGTCCGCTATCACGCAAGGATGCTTCGGCCGATGCCAAGAAGCGGCTGTGATGGGGCGCATCGCGAAGGTATCCATCCATTGTTCTCGAACCGCTCAATTGTCTACAAGCACATGTTGACTATTTGTACACAATGCTCCATCCTCCACATGCCTTCCGTATGCACCGTCTATAGCTTGCTGATGAACAGGCGGGCCGCGAAGAGGCGGACGCGCTGGGGCAGAATGTACTTGGACATGACATAGATGAGCGTCGGGAGCAGGACGAACGCCATGGTGGTCTCGTTGACGAAGAAAAAGGGGATGAGCTGGGGCATGGCCGACTTGAGGATCGTCTGTTGTTCGTTAGCTTCCCTGTGTCCTGGCTCCGTGGATTGGAAAGGAGCGCACCATCTGCTGAGGGGCGACCTCAGTCTTCTTGCTCTGGGCAGCAGCAAGCGCCGGGCGCGCCATAATGGATGCGCGCGCCATGGCGGGCTGGCGGAAGGCGGCCCTGGCGAACGGGCGGAAAAGACGTGTGGAGTTCATCGTGGGCTCTGTAGGTGGTGTGGGTCAGCGCGCGCTTGCGGGGACTCAATGGGCGCGGAGAGGGTACTCGCAAGGCAATTGGCGTACCGAGTGGGAGTGAGAAAGCCCGGGGAGATGGATTTGGATGGGTGGTGGTCGGGAAAGCTGTTCGGAGGTGTAGGAAAAGCTCTCCGTGATGCTGCCGTCGGGAGATCTTCGGCCATGCTTTGCTTATGTAACACTGCCGATTTGGCGTCTCGTTGACAGCGGATTCCCCACGCACACCAACCACAAACATCACTCAAGTGTTTGTCTTTGAGAGATATGCATTTGGTGTACTACTGTGCACATTTGAACCGATCCCTACAGAGTCTGGCCCTGTCGAATCCGATTCTGCAGCACACAACATGCACGCTCCAGGATGGAGCTTGAATAGAGCTATTGCGCGTCTTACTGCAAGCTAAGTATCGCTGCTAATCCACCGTCTAGCCACGATGCCTCACTACACACAATCCGCACGTTTTCGTTTTTACTCTCGCACGCACGCGCCTTCTTTCGTAGACTGTCGATCGCATGGCTACGACCGCCCATGGCGTTCCCGAGAAGGATATGAGCGCTTGCGATGATGGTAGTTTGTAGCGCAAAAAGTACCATGTTGTCGCCGAAGCGGGCGAAAGAAGTGTTGCGATGGCAATAGCGTGAAGAGCATGATGTTCTTTGGCTGCGGTACCTCCAGGACAACTGCGGATACATGGTACGCTGGCTTATGGACACAGCTATCAAGTTCCTGGCTTCGGTGTTGGTCATCTAGGAGCATTGTGTATAGATTGCACGCGCTACTTCAGCCTAGTATAGTCTTATCGATCCGAACATTTACAGGGAGTCTGTCTCAAGTAGCATGTGAACCGTGTGCTGGATGTGAAATCCACGAATGGGGGCACATCAGTGTATGTTGGAATTGGTAATCGACCAGAATTGACTCTATCCTCAGGTGATGCCTTTTTCAACAATCAGATCCTGGTGTTGAAATGTCTCCTGGGGTAACTTAAACCTCTACGTTGGCATCGCTCAGATTTAATGATAAGATACGGGAATTGCGGAGCGCACCTAGAGCCTACACATCTCTATACGTTCCCAAGTAACAATTATGAAGCTTTTCTTCTGCCAGTTGGTTGCTATCACATGCAGCAAGCACGATCCTCTACACCTTCCTTTGGCTCGGGTTTTCGAGCTATTGCCGCCTCTGCTCGACTAGTATCCACCTGCATCTACTCGAAGAACAATGTGAGCGCTCAGTTCTGGCTAACAGTGTATATGTATGCAGCTCTCGAGAGCGGACCCATCTCATGCGCGGGGTGCAATCCGACAGAAGCCGCAAAGGCTTGGTGGTGTGCATTCTGGAGGCAGGACTGATGCACGATTACGCGAGAGTTTATGGCAGGTGCTCTCGGTAAGACGTACGATGCCCACAATACTACATGGAGAGTTTTGGGTGCAGCGTGGCTCCTATTAGGGTAAAAAAGCACCTATATCTTCGTGTAGTTGTGGTACAAGGTCTACGAAGCGGCAAGGCGGCGGCAAATTTCGGCGCGAGTCTCACGTCTGAGAGCTGAGGGCGACGGCTGAAACCTGTTGGAGGTGAGTCAACAGAAAGGGCGGCGCGGCCTGTATGAAAGGAGTTCAATGATGGTCCAAACCACTTGATGCCCCGCATCAGCGTCAAAGACGAGAATATCGAGATCGAACTTGGAAGGTGCCGCGGCAAAAGTGCATCTAGCATCAGAATCGAGAGTAAAGAGTTTCAGAGGTCAAAGTGGGCTGATGACGCTGGAAGCGCCACAACAGCAAAGACCGTCCATCCCACTGTAGTGGGGCAATGCAAGAGATACCCCGCCAAAAGATTTGGGTCGTCGTTATCACGGGGTTCACCGGCCGCGGGCATGCTTCGCGAAATGGATTGAAGAAACGACGTGTACCGCGCGCACTGGAGATAAAACTCTGGTCAAGCTTAGGCTCTGGCAGAAGTGGTGAGCTAGGAAGGGACGGTGCGGTGCGTAGTTCCTTCATGAAGCAAATGTCCGTCTGTGGCGACTAGATCTGCGGGCGGTGGGCTGAATGGGTCTGTGGGCCAATGACAGGGTGATAATCTGCCGTATCTGGCCTCGAGCGCAGAGTGAGAGAGCCCAACAGCGAGGCTGGGGGCGGTTGCTGTGACACTTTGCAAAATCTGAGTGAAGGTCCGTGCGTCGTTAGGCTGCCCCGCGCCGGCCTTCAGCGTCCCGCCACTCTCTCACGCCTTAAATTCGCACAGATCTTGCAATCTTTTCACACTTTCGTCCTCTCACACCGTCAAACATTAAGCTTTGATATCTGTTAGTCTGCCCTCACACCATCGCCTTGTACGCCTCACTGATTCCCTCTGCAGGAGATCTTAAGACTTTCTTACTTCCACATTTCAAAAAACCGACATCATGGGGTACGTTGACCACTCTCAGCTGCTCGCTGCCACGCAGCAGCCGCACGGCTTTGTCACAGGCATCTGCTAACGAGCACTGCAGTAAAGAGAAGACTCATATCAACGTCGTCGTTATCGGCCACGTCGACTCTGGCAAGTCGACGACCACCGGTCGTAAGCATACCTTCGAACGATAGCGGGGTATGGATATGGGCTCACAACGGATACAGACTTGATCTACAAGTGCGGTGGTATTGACTCCCGTACCATCGAGAAGTTCGAGAAGGTACGCACACACCCTTCACTTTTCTGCGGCATGGCTTTCAGTTGTTTCCGCGATGCGCCGGCCAGCTCTCTGGCTCATCGGGCTGAGGGACAATTTGGGCGCTTAGGTGGGGTTGTGCGAAATTTTCGCGCTAGCCCATTTAGGTAGCTCGCCAACTATGACGCACAGTGGATGGCTTGCAGCAGCAAAATCATCCACAGCGATCATCAGTTGCCGACGCCTTGCTACATTCTTCCTAATGTCTTCCCACCTGCTCATGCCACTGACTCGCCATACAGGAAGCCGCCGAACTCGGCAAGGGTTCCTTCAAGTACGCATGGGTCCTTGACAAGTTGAAGGCTGAGCGTGAGCGTGGTATCACCATCGATATCGCCCTCTGGAAGTTCGAGACGCCCAAGTACTATGTTACTGTCATCGACGCCCCCGGTCACCGTGATTTCATCAAGAACATGATCACTGGTACCTCGCAGGCTGACTGCGCCATTCTCATCATTGCCGCCGGTACTGGTGAGTTCGAGGCTGGTATCTCCAAGGATGGCCAGACCCGTGAGCACGCCCTGCTCGCCTACACCCTCGGTGTCAAGCAGCTCATCGTCGCCATCAACAAGATGGACACCACCAAGTGGTCCGAGGAGCGCTTCAACGAGATCATCAAGGAGACCTCTTCCTTCATCAAGAAGGTCGGCTACAACCCCAAGCACGTTCCCTTCGTGCCCATCTCCGGCTTCAACGGTGACAACATGATCGACGTTTCCTCCAACTGCCCCTGGTACAAGGGTTGGGAGAAGGAGACCAAGACCAAGGCCACCGGAAAGACTCTCCTCGAGGCCATTGATGCCATTGACAACCCCGTCCGTCCCTCCGACAAGCCTCTCCGTCTTCCCCTCCAGGATGTCTACAAGATTGGCGGTATTGGCACGGTCCCTGTCGGTCGTGTTGAGACCGGTGTCATTAAGCCCGGTATGGTCGTCACCTTCGCCCCCGCTGGTGTGACCACTGAGGTCAAGTCCGTCGAGATGCACCACGAGCAGCTCACCGAGGGTGTCCCCGGTGACAACGTCGGCTTCAACGTCAAGAACGTCTCCGTCAAGGAGATCCGTCGTGGCAACGTTGCCGGTGACTCCAAGAACGACCCCCCCAAGGGTGCTGAGTCCTTCAACGCTCAGGTCATCGTCCTCAACCACCCCGGTCAGGTCGGTGCTGGTTACGCTCCCGTTCTTGACTGCCACACTGCCCACATTGCTTGCAAGTTCGCCGAGCTTCTCGAGAAGATTGACCGCCGTACCGGCAAGTCTACCGAGTCCAGCCCCAAGTTCATCAAGTCTGGTGACGCTGCTATCGTCAAGATGATTCCCTCCAAGCCTATGTGCGTTGAGGCTTTCACCGAGTACCCCCCTCTTGGTCGTTTCGCCGTCCGTGACATGCGTCAGACCGTCGCTGTCGGTGTCATCAAGTCCGTCGTCAAGGCCGACAAGGGTGCAGGCAAGGTCACCAAGGCCGCACAGAAGGCTTCCAAGAAATAAGCGATTCCAATACCCATGGCTTGTTTCTTCCTTCAAAAAGTCTCTAGATATCCGATTCTGGGGATGTGGTGGCTGAGGCCACTATGAGTTATGGCTGCAATGATGCATAATGGAATAGGCGGTTCTGGCGTTGTCCTTCCGTAGATTTCATGTCATGATAACAAATGAATCGAATGGGTTGGACAAAATAAATCATATGCCTGGTGCCCTAATGCTGTGATATTATAATGTGAAATTGTCCCATTCTTCGCATCATCGTCATACAATTCTGATCCATGTCTACCACCTTCATCGTGACATGTGTACCTTTGATGTCAATTGTCCTTCTGTGTGCACTTTCTATCTATATATTATATTATGTGGACTGCCAGATATCAAGGCTTATGTAAGATGACGTGAGGACGAGATGGAGAAGTGGTTCAAGAGAAGGGCGGGCTTGAAGGGAAGGCTCGAAGCTGGGTCCCGCAAGTGAGCAGGGCTTGCCTCATGTTACAAGCTCGTATCCATGACCACTGAGCAGTGCACACACATCCATAGATGAACACGGGACACGAGCGACAAGACAGGCAGTCGTAACAGAGTCCTCCTAGCTAGCAGCACGGCTCTCACATCAAGTTTCTGACCTGCTCCTCTCACCACTCGTAAAACTGTGCGCTGACGCTGTTTCCCTTGCCCTCCTTCGCGACTGTGCTCGCATGAATGTGCTCAGAAGATACATTTCCTTTCCTCCCCGGCGGAATCACAAAATCGCCGTCTTCCACACTCGGAGCGATGTCCGCAAAGAGCTCGATATACGCACCTGACGACAGCCATAGTCAGCACACAACCAAGCTGCTCCACAGATAAGTGCACTCATCGTACTTCTCCTTCTTATCCTGCCTGTCTAGATCCAACTTACCGACGCCGGCAGTGTCGTCCTCACGTTCCCGGGATCCACACAAACATACAGCACGTCCGCCGTATTCCTTGATCTCCATCCGTGCTCATCCACCCTGTCTACTGCCTTGTGCCTCATTGCGAATTCATGCGCGAGCAGGTACACATCGGCTTTACTCTGCATGTAACCCCCCATGCCCCTCAGCTGGTCTGGCTGCTACCTTCGCTTCTCTTTCGCAGGGATGAGCTGTACGCTGCCCGGAGGCGTTGGAAACTTGAGAAGGGAGGGCACGTAAATGATGCGGATAGAAGTGTTCACGTGGCAGAAGTGCGTGGCAGTGCGGTGCATTAGTGGGTACAGAAACTACGTCAGGAGGAAGGGCGCGAGGCAATCAGTGCGCATAGTGGGGTCGCCGTCGTTGCTCTCCGCAGTGCCGTCTAGGTTAAGGAAGAGTACATCTAGGCGGTGGTTCTCCTTGCGGAAGCAATCAACGGCGGGTTTGACGGTGGCGAGGTCTGCGAGATTGGCAAGGAAGGGCTTGAGTGTGCCTAGGGAGGTGGGATCGGAGGCGGTGATTGTGTTGCGGGCTGCTTGGAAATTATGGAGGGATATCAGTAGGACTCTTGTGGGAGAGACCGTTTATGGTCGATATATGGGAGCTGCGTACCAAGAGAGAGTTGGCGACCCAATGTAGACGGTGGCATGTAGTCCGTAGAGTATTTTTGCAAGTGCGAGGCCAGTGCCAGATGTTGCGCTGATTGTCATGTAGACCTGCCTTTGGTATTACGATAGCTTGTCGTGTTCACGAATTGAGGTGCATACTCTACCAGAAAGGTCAATTATGCGTTCCTCTGTGAACTTTGGGGCCGGCGGAAACAGTGAAGTATACATGCTTTTAGATGCTGGTGGCTAAACTTCAGCTTGTCTGCAGGTGCATTAAACGCAGCGCAGTCAGGCGATTTGGACCGTATGATATGGAGTCTGACCTGGCTTGATTCGTCGACCACATACATATGTAGCAAGTAGTATGGTAGTTTTGATTATGTCGACTGATCCGTAGAGTATGGAGAGGCGGACGCGCCGCTCGTGAGTTTGTCTTTTCCTAGCCTAGCGCCATTCGCTACTTCCCAGATCCTCCGTCACTCAGTCAACACCACAGCACCCGTGAAGATGTCCGCGGACCTCTTTGCAGAGTTTGGATCTTCATCCAATTCGAGTGCACCTCCGAACCAGCAGGCAAAGCAGCCAGGGAGCCAGGGAGCACCGGCATTCAGCTTTTTCGACGATTTTGCGGCACCACCAGCCCCATCACAGGCGACACATCAGTCCGCAGCACCTACCACACACCCGCAACAAGACGATGGCGACAACGACGACTGGGGTGACTTTGAAGGCAGTGCTTCGTCTTTTGAACCACCTCCACTGGTAAAGCAGGATTCCTTCGCATTCGTAGCTTCCCAAGCCACCAGAGCACGTGCGCCGACATTGCCACCAACATTGGAAAATGTGAGTTTCTGAAGACGAATGTAACTTTGGGGGATATTCACTGAATGTAAATGCAGGATGATTTTTTTCCCTCTTCTACACCACAGCCTGCACAGACAACATGGCAGAGAGCACCTGTTGTGAAAGCGAAGAGGTCCACGGACCCTAGCGTCTTGTTCGATGCAGAAGATGACTTTGGTGAAGACGACTTTGGAGATTTCGAGGAACCGGAAGCATCTGAAACACAGTCCAACACTGCACAGATAGCTTCCGTCGGAGTGAGTCCTTCAGACAGTAAGCATAGTGCATCTGCTCATCCTGTTGCATTCTAGATCGCGGATTTACTCGGAGATCTGGATCTGTCCCAACCGGCGGCTCTATCTAGCAAGCAACAACATGCTGCGAGCCACAAAGCATCAGCATTGACCTCTTTGAAAGGTCCTGCTGGCGGATTTGGCTCGGTAACCCCCAGTCAGCGTTCAAGAGCTACGCCTACCCCTCCAGCATCGAAAGAGGAAGAATCGTGGGACACATTCGACGACTGGGAAGCATCTATACCCACTAAAGCACCTGCAAAGACTTCCGCAAGACCGCCCCAGAAGAGTAAAGACATCACTGTGAGGCCCAAATCTGGTCCTTCACCAGCACCCATCTTATCGCCGACATTCGACGATCCGCAAGCTGGAGAGCTCCCACCTACGAATGTACCACCGCCAGCCGTATTACTTACGCTGTTTCCTCTTCTCTTTGCTGATGCTCAAGAGAAACTCTTCAAGCCCATGGCAGCACAAACGCTTCCGATGCGCAACAAGGTGCTAGCGGAGCCAGCCACAATCACCTACCTGCAGGGCTACATGATGCTAGGCTCGGTCGCAGCACATATCATAGCCGGGCGCAAGCTCCGGTGGAAGCGAGACCAGCATCTCTCGCAGGGAATGCGCATAGGTCCCGCATCGTCCCGCGCCACGTCGGGCATGAAGCTCTCCAGCATCGACAAGAGCGAAAACATGAAGGAGGAACGGGAAGCATCGGACGTGGTGCGAGTGTGGAAAGATCAGGTAGGCAGGCTACGGCATGTTGTCTCAGCCGCAAACCAGATCAGAGCGGGCTCGCTGGGCGCTGTGCCAGATATTCAGGAAACGATGCCTGTCAAGGTGCTGAAACAGGGCGAGGGTGGTGTCCCCGCAAAAGAGCCTTGCATGTTGTGCGGGCTGAAGAGAGACGAGCGGGTTGGAGCTGTAGATCAGGGCGTCGAGGACAGCTTTGGGGAGTGGTGGGTTGATCAGGTCAACATGCATCGTAGTATGTCCATGTTTGTTCTTGACTTTGAAAAGCAGGTGCTGACTTTGGGCAGGCTGTCGGAACTTCTGGGGCGAACATCGAGACCGCCTGAGGCAGCGGTGAACATAGCTTGAGCAATGCATTGATTGCCATGCTACATGGAAATGTATACGAAGCACTGGAAGACGACGGCAGCGTTGAACCACGTGCAAGCTAGTCAACCAATAGCCTGGCGCGGGGAAAGCGGGCGGGCTGCATGGCAAACGCAATCAACAAAATTTGCTGCAGACGCCCAGGCTCGTGAAGACCCGTGAAGACCCTGTGAAGATAGGCTAGATTCTGTTGGTCACGCCCCGCGACTCAACGCATGGTTCGCGGCGCGGGTGGCTTTTTGATGCTGAGCCAAAGCAGGCGTCGAAAAATGTCAATTCGTCAGCATACAGCAGGCTTGCCAAGTAGGTACAGGTCAACGTCGGCGTCGGTGGCATGTTGGGCTGCGGAGGCAAAGAATGCAGCGGAGATGCTGCGGCGCGTCTGGCGCGTGGATAGCAAGAGTGCAGCGGTCATGGCTGCCGAGTGAGAGGGCTCTGGGTCACCTGGTTTGGGTCTTGGACTTTTCCGGCGCGGGATGTCTGTGCGGAAGGACGTGGGCGTAGTGAATATCAGATGGACTAGCTGCAGGGCGGCGGCCACCACAAGCCCCTCCAGCAGAGATCAGACAATTGCGACTGCTGTCTCACTCTCCCGCATTGCACGGTCTGTCTGCCTCTGTCTTGACCTGCCCGCGCGCTTCGAAGCAGGCCCGCCACCCAGCCCGCGCGACTCGGCAGCATCCTTCCCTTCCCCGCGATCTGCTCTGCCACTGCCGCCCTGCATCTGCACCGTAGCCCAAGCGCCAGTACCGCTCGCGACACACTTTTCTCTGCCGCAATTGGAGTTGTGACATTGGCTGAGCACAACGAGCACTGCCGTTACTGTGACTTCTGCGTCCTGCCACTAGACCCGAGGCACAAGCCGGCCGCTGTGAGGCACCCGAGGGAATGAGCCAGCCACGAAGAGATGGTGAGTCGTAAGCGTCTGATGACCCTCCAGGCCCGTCACGCAGCGCGCGCTGCTGTCCTACCATGGCGCGTGGGAGAGCCTGGGGCCTTCACCGCTCCATGGGTGCCCGTTCCGAGCGCGCCGAAAGCGTTCCGTGGACGGACGTGCTATCTATCCCGCTGCATGCACCGCACAAGACGAGGACAAGAAGACGAGTGCCCCGGCACCCGTTGCACCTTCCTCGCCCGCCTCGTTTGACCCGACCCGCACGCGCCTTCCTCCTCCACCTCCCGCCCATTGCTGCACATGAACTTGTCGGCTGATTTCACCCCGCCAGGTCACGAAGAACCACTGTCGTCGCTGCCGGAGCTCACCCGCTTCATCACCGCCCCCGAACATGCCTCGCTGCCCAAGAACAAGAGCACGAGCAACCTGCTCGCACAGCGCTCGCCGGCGAGCCTGTCTGTGAATACCAAACGCATGAGCATCGACGCGGGGCAGCTGGACAGGATGGCCCGGTAGGTGCCTGGCAGTGAATGGCTACGCTGTCCGCCAACATGCTTACACTGCCCAGCTCACCCATCGTCCCCGAACATGAACACGGCCTGGGAGCGTCCGGCCTCCGCCGCATACGCCAGCAGGGCCCAGGCTCCCGCGGCGTCTCTGCACACCGCGCTGCCTCGCTGAACATCAATCCTACGCCGCCCGCGTCGAGACATCCCTCCTCCTCCGCGCCGACCGCCCCAAGCTCCCCCACGCTCGCCTTCGGAGAGGACCTCACCCGCTTCCCCAGCGAGTCGCTGCACTCCTTTTCGTTTGCAACCCAGTCTGACGAGTTCATGCACAATCGCCAGAACGTCCTGAAGCGGTCCATAGACTTCATGCAGAACAAGCTGGGCTGGGCAGCTACCAATCCCGGCATTGCACAGGCCCAGGCAAAGATTAGCGGAGATCAAGAGGTCCAGAGCATGATCGAGCTGCTGACCCGAGCCAACCTGATCGGCAGCGATGCCGCAGGTGCTCATGGTCTGGGAACCCTTGGGCCGATGACTGGGCCTGCTGAGATGGATGGAGAGAACCTGTTCGAGAAGAGCTTCGTCGAAATACAGAGGTCGCAAAGTCCCGTGAGCATCCTAAGCTCTGCCCGGTCACCAACCCTCAAGTCTCCCATGGATATACGAAACGGCGACGCTACCGACGAGAACCTCGACGCAAGAAGCAGTTCTGTCTCTGATCAGACCTCCGAAGCCTCAAGTCAACGAATGGGCGCCTCGCCACCACCGCCGCAAAGACCCCAACGCGCAGCACTGAAGCGAACACTTACCGATGTGGCACCACTTTCGATACAACATCAGCTGAACGATGCCCTGGCCCAGCCCTATCGCCTAGGCGACCAGGATTTTACCAACCAGCTCATGTCTCCGACCGTCCCTACTGCGACACCCATTTCTAGCTTTCCAGGCCCGCATTCAGCAGGCCCCGCTCCCCACGGCCAACACGGCAGTCGCTGGGCCCCAGCTGCGCAAGCAATCTTCACTACCGAGGCCACAGCCCCTTGGACCATCACCGCCGCCAACGACCTCGCATGCCTAGTGTTCGGGGTGACACGAGCGGAGGTTCGGAAGCTGGGCATACTGGAAGTCGTTCGAGAAGAACGGCGGAAATGGCTTGAGGATAAGCTGCGGGACCCACAAGTCGGATCAAAGGCATCCCGGGATCCGCACAATCAAAGTCAGCCATCCCCCCCTGCTCCGACGACCACATTGAAAGTTGGTAACGGCGTTACAGCGAGGCTACTCAGCAAGCCTTCGTCGCGGCAAGTTGCCCAGAATAAGAACCGCCGTGCACAGACTGATGACGGGAGCGGCTCGTCATATGCTCAGAAGCCTACCCCCAAGGCAGTCTCGCACCATGAATCCAAGCCTTCGAGGGGAGTTTTACTGTGCGGTGATGTAGTGCCGATTCAAAAGCGGAACGGCGCGACAGGTAGTGCTAGTTTGTGGGTCAAGGAAAAACGAGGTGGTCTAATCTGGGTACTGGAAGAGATCGCGGAAGACGTCGTGGAAATTAACGTCGATGAAGTAGGATGTGTGGTGAAAGGAGTTGGCGCCATGGAAGCGGTATTTGGCAGCGATCGGTTACGGAGAGGCATGGACCTCAGCCGTCTTATACCGGCAATCCCAAGGGTCCAAGGAGTCTATACCGGGGCTTTGGACTACGACAAAATCGCCGAACTCCGCAACTTCACCGCTCGGACAGCGAACAGCATAAATATACCCGTAACAGTCGAAGCCCTAGTTAGCGAGCCCACCTTCCGTGTCTCGAGCTTTCCTCACATCGCTGGTATAGTCGTGTTATCGGCATCGGACCTTACCATCGGCAGCTCCAATACAGTCTTCACGTCGGCCTTGTTCGGACAGGCAAAGCCTGACGGTCTCCACATCACGCAGCTGATACCCGGCTTTGACAAAATTCTCAATGTGATGACGGATGAAGACAATGTAGAGCTTGTGGATGGAATCGTCATTCCAGAGCATAGTTTCCGGCGGGCGCGAGCACTCTTGGCTATGCGAGAGGGGCGTGGCGATGCAGCGACGCTTTTCCTCAAACCCAGCGGGCTTCCAGCGCTCCACCGGGACGGCACCGACATTATGGTAGACGTGCAGATGAGAGTCGTGAAGAGCGAGAAAAAACCACTGTTCGACGAGCAAGTCATCGAGGAAGAGAATGCCACGCCCAGCCAAACACCAATCGCGGAACTGGTATTTGCGTTGTGGATCACATATTCCAGACAATTGCATGCGGCTAATCAGGGTGTCGGCCCTATTACACCTCTCGTGTCACGACCAGGCACGCCTCCACACCAACCCTCACCCGGACAATCAACCTTAATCAACACTGAGGAAACTGAATTTGAACAAATGACGACCGACACGCACGTCTCTTTGCTAACGCAACAACTCCAACAAGCCAACCAATCTGCTTCTTCCACCGAACCACGCACGACAACACCGCTCGAGGTCGCGAAGGAAGTCGACGAGCCGCCTCAGAAGAAGACCATCAACGACTTCGTGGTGATTGAAGATATGGGACAGGGCGCGTACGGCCAAGTCAAGCTGTGTCGATCCAAGGGGCACAGCAGCAAGAAGTCTGTCATCAAGTACGTGACGAAGCGACGGATCCTTGTCGACACTTGGACGCGCGACCGTCGGCTCGGCACAGTACCCTTGGAGATTCATGTTTTGGATTATCTACGGAGAGACGGCTTCAAACACCCTAACATTGTGGAGATGACCGATTTCTTCGAAGACGATGTCAACTACTACATTGAGATGGTACCGCACGGTCTACCAGGCATGGATCTATTCGACTATATCGAACTTCGCGTCAACATGGAGGAGAAGGAATGCCGAAAGATCTTCGTACAGGTGGCGGATGCGGTGCATCACCTGCACACGAAAGCAAAGGTAGTACATCGCGACATCAAAGACGAGAACGTCATCTTGGACGGAGAGGGCAACATCAAGTTGATCGACTTCGGTAGCGCAGCGTACATCAAGAGCGGGCCCTTTGATGTTTTTGTTGGGACTATTGGTGAGTATTGTGCTCTCCTCACTGTGGCTTGAACTGACTTCCTCGACAGATTACGCTGCTCCCGAAGTTCTCGCTGGCAAGGCATACCGCGGCAAAGAACAGGACGTCTGGGCCCTCGGTATCCTCCTTTACACCATCGTATACAAGGAAAACCCATTCTACAGCATCGACGAGATCATGGATCACGACTTGCGCGTCCCCTACATCATGTCCGAAGAGAATCTCGACTTGATCCGACTCATGCTCGACCGCGACGTCGAGCGACGCATTACTATTTCTCAGGTCTTGGAGCATCCTTGGTGTCAGATGACGGATGGCGCTTCATGAGCGTTTGACCGTGCAAGCACTTAGAGATAGAAGAGGTGGTCTGCAATTTGCAGCTACCGAATGCATGGCGATGAGTGGCGCAGGCATATAGAGAAACGACCAAATGATGAACTGAATGACGATGATTTTCCGGCATTTGAGCACTGGGCTGTTTTGCATGGGTGGGCGGGGTTTGCGCTTGGGTCATGGATGGCCATGACGAGAGGAAAATCATATTCTTGACGGTTGGACGTGGGTGAAAGCTCTTAGACGAAAATGAATACCCGAACGCGTGTATACATGCGGATTGTTTGATTCTCTTCTGAGAGATATCCGCGTGTGCGGCCATGTGGTGGCAACGTGCACCTTTGAAGGATCGTGAGGGAAGGCATATTCGTTGAACTAGTGCCCGTTTTCTTGCTCTGTGAACGCAACAATATTGCATGGTGGTATGCCATTTCACTCCCATGCGCATCTGAACAGGTATGTTCTCGACGTATTTCCACAAATCATAGCTCTCACGCAGCAGCCAAATGCTCGATGTAGCGACCACCGCTAAGTGAACGTACTGACATTGCCTGTTGTGGGTGGCTCGAGACGGACTTGCCATACCGACGACATGGGCGGTGAGGGCTGGTTGCCTTCTTACCGTATCTCGAGAAAACTTCAAAGACCTGTGGATTCCCTAGGGGAATGTCTTGATTCTTCGTCCCTACGTGAGGAAGTAATGGACAGTTGGTAAGGGTTAGTGGCCCTGACCGACGCATCAACTCCACGAAAGCGTGACTGCCTCAAACACCACCCAACATGCCGCCAATGGGCGAATACGACGCCGCCCCGCCACCGTATACCTCGCACTCCATCACCGCAGCCGCTGCAGATGATTCCATTCTCGACAGGTGTGAATGGAGCAGTGCGAAGAACCTGGAACTGCCCACTGCAACGCAGTGTGCGACGCATCTGAAGCTGCTTCATGCGTTTGCGAGATTGAGAAAAGAGGTCGGGTGGTATGAAGGGTTGTATGGGATCAAGTTTGAGGCGGGGACGTAAACGGAGCTCTTGAGGGAGAAGAGGTGAAGTTTGTTTGTAGCGAAGGCGGTGAATAAGTTTGCGAAGTGGTGGGAGAGTTTGCGGAAGGATTGTGAGGTGTGGAATGCGAAGCTTCAGGCGAGCTACTTTGATGTTGCTGCGTTCGTGGAGTCGAAGGAGGCAAGCCGATCACTAGGTGCAAAGTGAAGTTTTGATCCGCCCTTAAGTGGCGAAGTAGCTAACGGAGGGCGTTGAGAAGAATACATAATCGTAAAAGTGCATGCCTCCGCTGGACATGCTGATGGTCTGGAACACCGCGCACACAATCTCCCACTGTACGGAACCATTATGGTTGCCAATGGCGTCTCCGAAGTAACGTACAAAGGCAAGGAGCTCGACAGCTACGATCCTTCTTCACTAAACGAGTGTGCGAGAAGCTGCACAGAATCGACCCCCAATCGCTGCGCAAGGATATCGAACACCTAAACGTCAACTCGGTCAAGAGGGAGTTCAAGAAAATGATGGGGAAGAGGGATATGATTGCTACATTAACTCGTACCAGTACAATACGTTCCACCTCGCACGAGACAGCAAGATCGCGGTCCGCAAGATGCTGAGCCACTACCGTACTGGGACAACTCCAGTCCATTCGTACTCAATCTCATCGGGGAGCCAGCATTAACCAGAGAGATGGTCAAGACGGACTGGCTTCACAGCCTCTCCCTGACCGCCATTATGCACCGCAGCGTCCTGAAGTACCACCGCTCGCTGTGCCCACCCTCAACGTCGACCTCGCCTAGCACACGCACCAGCTCACCGCAAAACCCTACTACAAATATATTCTCTCTGAAATAAACGCTTCGTCAATCACGACGACAAGGTCCCGGGGTCGGACCTCAGTACGGCGTCCATCCGCACGGTGCGGCTCTACGAAAAGAAGTACGGCGCACCATATGCAGAGTGCTTGTGCTGGCACTGCGAGGCTACACGCGAGGAGCGACGCGCCGCGTTGTCCGACCGCGCCCTTGGCCCCCGCCGGACGTCACGCGCATCACAGCGACATTTGAAGTAGCTGCGGCGACTGGTCCGCATACCAGCACACACAATTCCCTCGTCCCAGCTTCAGTGACGCAGCGCCGCACGGAGCTCGACAGGCTCGCCAAGGTGTACACAAAAGTGCGCACACGCTATGAACACAAGAAGCGTGTGGTGCCCGAGAAAGAAACGGATAGCGTGGTATATGTGGGTATCCGGTCGCCCTGCCCGGGTATGTGCGGTACTACAGTGAGTCGACGGCGGCGAGTGACGGGAGTTTGTATGTGGGAGGTGAATGTGTTGCTGGGACGTGCTGTCTGCAGGCGAGTGCTGGCAATTGTGCAGGCGCGGGTAGAACAGTGCCGTTGTGTACGGCGAGCTGTTTTGGGCCGGGGGGTGGTAGGGGGTTAGTTGACGGGTTGTCGATATTGGCTCTCTGAAAGGTGTACAGTACTCCTACGATGTAATAGATTCCCTTTCATAGACCTCGCATTTCTTCTATTTACTCGCGTGGAGCGAGCGCAGTGCAGAGCAACCGAGCTGCATACCATGGATACCATGCAGGACTGTGCCGTCATCCGTGGCTTCCGTATCGACATCCATGCTTCTAGACTTGCAGCACACATTCGTGCGTGCTAATGATCTCACATCGCCTTCTCCACCAAGCATCATGACGTCTCCCCAACTTACCGCCCTGTACCAAAAGCCACACGCCGAGGCGGATGCCCGCGCATGCAGGTCAAGCTTCTATACGGGGCGTCTGCGTCCTGGCATTGTGGCTGCGCAGCACGGGAAGCTTTCTCAGACTTTAGAAATCCAAAGCCCAGGTGCGCGGTGTAATTCCGGTGCTATCAGGTGTAGCGAAACATAGCGAATATGCGGAGACGGGGTTTGAAATAGGAAGTCAGTGGGGGTTGCGCAGCACGTGGCCGTGGACAGGATGAGCATGGTGGCAATGCTGTTTGGTGATGATGCCTGGGTGTGGGAGCGAGAAACGCGAGACGGATCGCCGGTGTTGGCGTTGAGTGCGATTGCGCGTAAGGCTGATCATGGCTGTCTGTGTCTTGCGAAAGAGTACGTGTCTTGGTGCCTTTAGCAGAGTATCGAAGATGAAAGAGATGCGTGTGCACGTTGGCGGACCGTTTGGCTCCGCTGCGGGATGGGTTGGCCCGTGCGAAGAGGTTAGCGGAGAGGAGTCCGGAGTGAACTCTGTGCTGCACGCGGATTGGCTGCCAAGAAAGGAAGTCAGTCGTGAGTACAGGGTTTCCTGGTGAGTGCTGCGAAGTCCCAGTGTAGAGAAAGTGTAGTCGTCTTCGATAAGGGCTTGCATCGCCTGGTCGAATGCATAGCCTAATCAGCTCAGAGTCGTTGGGAAGAGCTGCGCAAGATGGTAGATAGCTCTGCAGGCCAGAGCTCGCAGAAAAGTGGTAGCGACAGAGTCTAGTGAGAATTTTTGTGAACATGTGCAATTGCGATTTACGACAAGCCGACATTTCGCACTGGGGACAGCGCATTGCGCATCAAATGTAGAGCTCGGTTGGGTCTTCGCCAGATTGGCGAGTCGGTCGGAACTCGTTCTGAGACATGGTTAAGGCAGAAGGCTCCCTGGAAGTCACAGTGGGACTATGCAATCTACCGTGATATTCCTTGCGGCCTTCAGGGGCATCCCGTTGCGATCTCAGGCTATTGGGTGCGCTGCCTGACTGTATGCTGACAACATCGTAACCACAGCGTGTAACAGCCCAGCGACAGCATCAGCCATGCTTTCATGGGCAAGTTAGCGCGTTTGGTAAATCTCGTCGAAAACGGAAGTCAGTCTAGAATCCTGGAGTAAGACCGACCAATACACCGTACGATGTCCCAAAATCTCCGGTCGATGCCATGGGCACCTGGCACTTTCAAAGAGTCTGAGAACAGCAGGAAGTGCGCTCAAAGGGGCTTGCGACACACTGCCAGTACATTTTTACCTGCCAATTTGGCCATCCAACAACGGGGACACATGTAGTGCTGAAGGCACGGTGTGTGTAGACCACCAACAGGGTTTGAGACGTGCACAACGTGCGCGATCGACGCCTCCGCGGGACCCACCGCGCAGATCTCTCTTCAACAGCAAACCTACACGCCTCGCCCAGAGCGGTACTCTAGAAGCAGGGTTCTTCGATGGTTGCACGCTGCCCGAGCCAGCTCTGAAATAGCTTCGTTATGATTCGTTGCCTTTTGTCCCGTTTCTTCGAGCTCAGCCTCCACCGCGCGTCTAGCCCAGAATGCCCAGCTACTGCATCATCCCACTGTTCTACAGCATGCGCTCGCATTATTCGCTGCGGTGCAGCCATACCTGAGCCAATGCTGCTCATGACGCGTACATGGGGCTCTGACGTTGGTCAAGCCTCCGTGGAGCGTGGAGAGGGGAGCCGACCGCTTTCGGTTGGAGCACATCGAAAACGGGAACGGAAAATGTCCACGCGTGCAGAGCTCATCTGGAGAAATGCAGTAAATGGCCGGGAACAGAAACGACCTAAGCCCGGGTGGTTGCGTGTGCGCCTGTAAGCCCCGGCGACCGGGGTTGCTTCGGACGGTTATCATTGCTGGGATCGTTTGCGGCAGGTGGATTTAACCAACGGCCACCCCAAATTCAAGTCCTCGCCCGAGGTGCTCGAGCGTTTCAGACGATTTAAAGACCTTTGAGACGCACGTCAATCGTACCCTTACTGTCCATTGTCTTGTCGATTTATCAATTTGGGTTATTCTTATACGACGCTTGGCAAGCCACTTCCTCCTTGTTCTTCAGCTGGGACCTCGGAGTCTTGACCTGCTGTTTTCTTCTCCCAACACCTACCTTGAGATGGGGCACACTAGGAGGAACATGCTGGCTGCTGGGCTTGTAGCCCTAGGTATGTGAGATCCCTTGCACCCTCAATTCCATATGTTGAAAAGTGTACTGACCAATAGCAGCCTCTCGTACCGCAGCTCAGGTGGCCAGTGTCTGCCCCACAACAGATGTCTGCTTTAAACTGAACATCCCTGAGAATACGGCCTCTTCTGGCAATGGAGACATCTTTTTCCAACTTTCCGCTCCAGCCACGTACAACTGGGTCGCTTTGGGCCAGGGCTCAAGCATGTCCGGAGCAAATATATTCGTGGTATATACAGCCGGCAACGGAAACGTGACTATATCACCACGTTTGGGAACTGGACATAGCATGCCACAATTTAACAGCGACGCGCAAGTGGCCTTGCTGGAAGGATCGGGAGTCTCGAATGGGAAAATGGTCGCCAACGTGCGCTGTGAGTACTGTCAGCGCATTCTGGACGCGTGAACTAATCGTTTCGCAGGTTCAAGTTGTAACAGCTGGTCGGGTGGCTCTGCAAGCTTCTCAGGAAGTAACGGTAATTGGATCTACGCCACTAAACAGTCTGGAGGTGCCCAGGATACTACTTCACAGTCTGCAAATATTGATGAGCATGACAACCAATCCACATTTCAATGGTCATACGCCAACGCCAAAGGCGGGAACAGTGTCAACCCTCTCGTAAACGCAGGAAGTTCGGGATCCGGAAATACAAGCGGAGGAAGCGGAGGCGCTACTACGAGCTGTGTACCCCGACAAGCTGGAGCTGTTGGAACTGGGACTGCGACTAAGGGCACCACGACCGGAGGAAGCAGCAGAGCCACATCAACCAAGAGTGTCGACCAAGATGACGACTCGTCCTACGGCCGCTCAACGACTTCCCCATCAGGCTGGACTCGTCCGACTGCCAGACCTACCGGCAACTCATGGGAAGGCAATGACAAGAGGGCATCTCTCGAAGAGCGTCAAACCATCAACTATTGCGATGAGAACGACCCCTCGAACACCGGTTTCACGCCAGTTGCTTCAGACGGTGGAGACAATTCGCAGAAGATGCTGATCGCCCACGGTGTCCTTGGCGCGCTCGCCTTCGTCATCTTCTTCCCTGCTGGCGCCATCGCCATCCGTCTCGCGTCGTTCACTGGTGTCGTTTGGTTCCACGCCGCGTTCCAAGCATTCGCCTACATCGTCTACATAGCATCTTTCGGGTTGGGTGTTTACATCGCTGGCGAAGAAGATTATGTTCGTATCTCGCCTGCTCCATCCCCTTGTAATTATACTGACATTGTGTTAGCTTTCCGAGGCCCACCCCATTATCGGTATCGTCGTCCTCGTCGTCCTCTTCTTCCAACCAATTCTCGGCCTGCTGCATCATGTCATGTACAAGAAGCACCACGCGCGTACCGCTTGGTCACACCTACACTTGTGGTTGGGCCGCGTTGCTATCACACTTGGGATAATCAATGGTGGGCTGGGACTTCAGCTCGCGAATGACGCCCCGAGGGCTGGTTACATTGCGTATGGGGTGATTGCAGGCGTTGTGTGGCTGGTGTGGGTCGCTGCCATAGCCCTTGGGGAGAAAAGAAGGACTCGAGCGGCGAAGGATGCCCATCTGGCCAATGCTGGGCATCCGGCAGCAGGGCACTATGCGCCAAAGGAGAACGGTACCTAAGTTTGAAAGAAGAAAGGGGTTGGATGGTTGAAAAGTGGCCAAGTCGAGCTTGGAGAAAGCTCTGGTACGCTATATTGGGCGCGCGTATGTTACATAGTACCAGATTCTGCCCGCCCTTTCCGGAGCATAGTTCCCGAGCCAATCCGTACATAGAACAAGTCAACATTACACGTACAATTCTTCACCTCGAAACGATTCAATGTCCGCAGCTGAGAGTCGCGCCTGTCATTGGGGTCAAGCGACCCAGTCCGTGCGCGCTAAACTCGATTCAACCGAGGGGCATCCCACGTGATTCATCTCCCGTTGCCAGACGATTTTCGGCGGGCCCTAGGCAGTCAACAAACAACCACACGCTTCCCACTTCACTCACCCGCCGAGGCCACATTTATTGCCGCCACGACTCGACACACTTACAACTGCAACAACTTACGCCACGCACACTTGTGGCTGCATCGATCAAAATGGGAGAATCAAGGTACGGCCGCCACACTGCACATCCGGGCAACATGCACACAGTCGGCGATCTTTCACTAACATTGCGTTCCTTGTAGACAAGAACTCGTCGCATGGCTGAACAACCTCCTCCAGCTCAACATTACCAAGGTCGAACAATGCGGCACTGGGTACGTCACCAGATCGCGGCTCGGAGGGGTCGTGTGCTGGAGCACATGGGATATCGGCAGGAGCGGATGCTGACGGTCGAACAGGGCAGCGTTATGCCAGGTCTTTGACAGCATATTCTGTGAGTCTGCCACTACTGTTTGGTCGCTATACAACAGAGGCTAACGACCCCAGATGACGTGCCCATGGCAAGGGTGAAGTTCAACGCCAACACCGAGTACGCATACCTACAGAATTTCAAGATATTGCAGAGTAGGTCCAGCAGCAGCGAGGAGAGAGGAGACGCGCTAATGTAATGGCCAGACACATTTGCCAAACACCATGTCGACAAGCCAATTCCCGTGCAGCAGCTGGTCAAGTGCAAGATGCAAGACAACCTCGAGTTCCTCCAGTTTGCCAAGAGGTATTGGGACCAGTACTTCCCCGGCCACGAATACGATGCGCTCGCCCGCCGTAACGGACAAGGTGGACTTGCCAGCACTGGCGCACCTGCAGCTCGCGCAGCCCCTGCCGCCGCCGCCCGGAGAGCCCCCGCTGCAAGCAACTCAGCAGCCCCGCGAACCCGGACACCGCTTGGTGGTGGAGGAGCCGCGAGCGCTGCTCTCCGTGAGGAGAATAACGTGTTGAAAGAGACTGTGGCAGGTCTTGAACGTGAGCGGGACTTCTACTTCAGCAAGCTGCGCGACATCGAGCTGCTGATCCAACAAGCAATGGAGGCGGACCCGGAACTCGAGAAGGACGAGGGCTTGCTCAAGCAAATCCAGAACATCTTATACTCGACCGAAGAGGGTTTCGAGATCCCCGCTGAGACTGAGGCTGGCGAAGAAGAGACGTTCTAGGCGGTTTTGATTGATGCATTTGAGCGCGGGGCAAAGGCTGGGATACCATTTCCTTAATGTTTGGTTCGACACGAGTCACGAAAAGAGTTGTGAGGAGGAAGAGGTAGCTTTCGTGAACGAGGTTGATCGTTGATGGAGCAGGGCACGCATCACCTGTCTACAGGTGCCGGATGCTCCGTGCACCAGTAGGCACAAGGCAAGCACATAGTGAGCAAGACTTCTGTGAAAGCGGCGGACTAGTGCATAATTCCAACTCTCACATTTTTCGTTCAAGGTCCTTCCCACCATGCACATTTCGTCATCCCCAGGTCTTACTTCAGCGCTACATTCCTTCTGCCTCCACCTTCTCTTGTCCCCTCAGCAGGTTCCTTTACTTAAAGAGGATCCTGCCGCTACCTATGCCCTTCCCGCCCCCAAAATGGGGGCTCATCAGTCCCATTTAGGGGAACTCCATTAACACCAGTAATATAATCAAGGTCAGATCTCCTCATCTTTTAGAACGTAGGAGGGAATTGTGCAATATCCTGGGTCACTGCAGCACAGCCAACCTTCAGGGAATACACTGGCACAGAAATTGAGATTTTCTTGGAAAGGCTGCGCAACGGCAGCCGGAACACTGTTCCTAGAGAATATAAAGGGGGAGGCGAGCGAATCGAGAGCTCGAGTGCAATACGGGAGAAATCCTTGATCACACTTCAAGTCTTGTGCTGCGATGATCATGACACTCCACAGAAGGGCGATCGTGGTAAGGGCTGCGATAACATTGTCCAGGAGGTGATTGGCACCCGGTGAAGTACTGGTAGATCGTGTTTGCGTTGTTAAGTGATGCGGCAGGAGATTTCATGTATAGCCCACGGAATGGATTCGGGGGGGGGGGGGGGGATAAGGTCAATTTATCTTGTGATCAGGAACATAGTGCAGAGTCAACTGTAGTGTTGTGCTGTGATTTTACATGCGGACGTGATCTGGGTTCTGCGAGTGTAACGACACACCTGCTCCTGTTCCTACAGGGATACTGACAGGATGTCATGATACGGAAACATCAGTACCTTGAGATCCATCTCTAAAGTTATATTCCTCACCATTCCTTCGTCCACGTAACCACTGTGAAGCCTCATGAAGCTAGGTAGTATCCTAAAAGCCACATTTAAAGTTTCGACTTCGCTGTGTTCACGGGCTTTCATAACGCAATGGTAACACATATCCGTGGCCATTCGCGCATTAATTGCGTGTTCAATTCAGGTTTTCGAGTGAGTCCCCGCACAACGCCCCCAGAGATGATGCCCAGACAGCATCTGGCGGAATTGGAGTTCAAGCTGTGGAAAATGTGGCGTTCAGCGTCTTGAGCTAGGCAAGTTCTCCTCTCTTGTCACAATTTTGGACAGTACTGCAGCCCATCTGTTTGGTTTTTCCATGATCCAGGTCTTTTCTTGATCATCGCTGGCTGGTTTGCATAACGCATGGCCAAATACATAACACGGGCGCCGAAAATAGTGCAGTTGAACTTGGTCCTCTCACTGTGGTTGTGAAGATAGCGGAATTGAATGTGTTCAGGCACACCGGCTCCCTCTTTGAGTTCCCTACAGTGCTCGTTAGCAGATGTCGTTTTCAAGGCCTTCGAGACCTCCAGCCCGCGAGAGGCTAACGGGTAACCGGCCTGGTCGTTTCATGATCCCATTGAATTGAGCTACCTGGTACAATGGGCAGACGCGCGTGAAAAGATGCGTTTTGATCAGAGTAATGCGTGCTGTAATGCCAATAGCCGTGATGCCTTGGCATCAACCTTCGGGGCTTAGGAACTCCATGCTACCCTGGGCAAATATATGCCGCGGAAACAGGGTCAAAGGCTTAAGGCGTGTCGTAGTGGGAAAGGAACGGCGTATCACATATCAGAAGTGGACCTCATGGTAGTCTAAGACCTTACCTCTTGAAGACTAGCTAACACCCCAACTACGTCCCCGCAGCGGAGCGCGCTCCATGCCTCACCTATCCTAGAAAGGTCATCAGGGTTTCCTCTCACCACACTCGCCACAATGCTAACAAAGAGCTCCCGGAGCTACCCTCTCCCGTACCGAGCTATTGCTCCACGTGCATACACCCCGCATCTGAAGCCGTCGAGTCTACCCCGCCTGACCTCATAGCTAGCTCTGCGGATGCGGAAGTCAATTTATATGAGCAGACCATCACCCCAGCGTGGTTCCGTTGATCCGCGTCTTCCTACGTTGCCTGCTCCTGCTCCACGGATTTGTGAACAGACCCTCCCGCAACAATTGGCACTCTACGACCGAAACGATGGGTAACTGGTCCGACCTCCCCGAAGCGCTCAAGGGAAGCTTCGACAAATTCACCGAGCTGCTCCAGTCGGATGGCCAGCTTAAAGCATTCACAACCTCTAATGCAATTGACAAGCCGGCAACCTTCGGCATCAAGTCCAGCGGTTCCGACAACACTCTCCTCATTGAAGTCAGCAACGGCTCCGCGAAGGCCAAAGCCGGCTCGTCCAAAGATGCGCTCTTCACGCTTTCCGCTCTCCCGGAGCAGTGGGAGCAATTCTTCAAGGATGTGCCAGTCGCGCCGTACCAGAGCTACTGGGGCATGTTCGGAATGAACATCAAGCAGAAAGGCATCGAGGTACAAGGCGACGAGACTCATTTCGCACACTGGACGCATGTCTGGCGACGCGTGCTCGAGCTTGCGCACGACGCGCAGTGTGGCCCGATGAAGGAGGACACGCAGCCGGAGCCGACGCATGACTACTTGACAGGCAAGTACGTGTTCCTCGAAGCCCCAGTGTGGGGTAAGACCAAGGTCTTCTACGAGTACTCTGGCGAAGGCAAGCAGCCTATTGTGTTTCTCCACACAGCAGGTAGCGACAGTCGACAGTACCATGGCGTGATGAACGACTCGCGGATGCGCTCGAGATGTACGATGTACGCCTTCGATCTACCTGGACACGGAAGGAGCTTCCCGTCGCAGCAGTACTTCCCAGGCGCACACACAAACACTGAGGACAGCTATGTTGGCATCATTGCGGCTTTCGTCAAAACATTGGGTTTGCGACGGCCGATTATTTGTGGCGCCAGTATGGCTGGCCAAGTGTGCTTGGCCGTTGCAATCAGGCACAAGGAAGTCGGAGCCATCGGCACCATTCCACTGCAAGGGTCAGTCTATCACGAGAATCGCGTGGAGAACGTTGCTAACATCGCATAGGTCTGAATACCTCAACATGGAGCGCCAATGGCATGACCGGTCACCATACGTTAATCAGTCGCTGTTCAATCCTGAGTGGGTCTATGGAGTGAGTTTAGACCTTAATCGCGCTGTTCTAATCATGCTAAGCAAGTAAAGATGATGTCGCCAACCGCACCGCTCGTAAACAAACAGCTCATATGGCACCTCTACAGCGCCCAAGCATATGGGGTATGCTCCCACTACCCACCTTCTTTCTCGTTCTCCTCACTAACACCCCACCCAGATCTTCCACGGCGACCTCGACTTCTACTTCGGCGGCTGGGACGGCCGCTCCCGCGTCGCCAACATCGACACGAACCAGTGCCCGGTCTACATGCTGACCGGCGAGTACGACTGGTCCAACACGCCCGAGATGTCGCAGAAGACGGCAGAAAAGATACCGGGCGCAAAGCACAAGGCGATGCCGGAGCTGGGACACTTCCCCGCGACGGAGAACCCGGCGAAGTTTGTGCCGCATCTCATTGAGGCGATTGAACATATTCAGAAGGTGAGGTCTAGGAATTTGAGCACAATGAGGTTGGGGACGGAGTAGGAGGTGAGGTGAACGTGTAGAATATGATGATGGGATCAGTTAACAGTATGGTCGGGTGGCGTGGTACATCCGCCATGTAAGTTCGCCACATGTCTGGTAATGATATTCACGTATCTAGCAAAACCAAGGCACTACACCCTGCTCCATGCAGTTATCTCAACGTGACTAGCAATTACACACCCAGTCCTAGGCCTCTTGCTGTTGATCTAGCAAAGCCGCCAGTGGAAAGCTTCCTACCCTACCTTGTATCCAGCCCCACACCTGCACTAACAATCCGCTCCCACCTCCATGTTGTGATATCCCCTCCCACAGTTGCACTTCTCGCGCGCTGTCACCGGTGCCTTTTGTTTCGACCCGCATCCGCTAACCCTCCGAGTACTTCTTTCTTGGATGAGGGTCACCAAAGACAAGGTATTGTGTCGCGATGCCAACAGAAGGTTTCTACCGCAAATTGTTTGGAACCGATGGAGTGCGTAACATGTTCAGGCTTACGCAGACGAAGCGCGGACCCGACCACAACGCTTTCGTTGTGGGTGGTGCAGACTTACGACGAGCAGAGTAAGGTTTTAGGGAGAATCGCTCGACCATCGTAGGTTTGCCTGAGCTACTCACCCTTGAGTGGAAAACTTATCACCGTATCTCTAGCTTCTCCCGCACAGGGCCTGCATCCCTCCAAGCATGCGTATGCACATGTCCCACAGCCACTCTCTGCCACGTCCCTCTACTCCGTTGCACGCACATAACATTTAGCGTGGACCACCTTGTATCTTCAAAAATCTCATCAAACAGTTTTTCCTTATGCTCATATCCGTTTTCAACCAAGTATGATAAACATGGGCCATGGTAGGAGCCATCTTGCAGCATAGTTTGCCACTCACTGAGTCGCAAGAGCCGGAAGCTGCCCTCGTGGTCGGTGATGTTGTCGATACTCTGCAGACCATAGAAGATACCGCAGCGACCAAATTGGTTGTATACGAAGTGTATGTGCGGTGTCACTGGGAGATTTGCTCGTGTGTTAATGAGTTGTTTCTCGCTCTGTTTCAGGGAGAAGGCGTCCAAGGTGACGACCTCGCCTTCAAAATGTAATACTGCAGATGATTTGGTGTCGATCTCTAGGTTGGATGATTTTCTGAGGAAACTATCTCCTAGCGGTAATCCACCTGGCCAGTTGAGATAAGCCGGGACGTCTTTGTAATGCACGCATCCTATCCAGCCCGACCAGCTCCAACTAGGATGCGGAAGCTCAGTGACCCTGCGGACTACAGAGTTGATGGGTGTCCATAAGAGTGCAAGATCAAAGAGTTGTATTGGCAACCCTGCTGTGAACCTCCAGCCGAAAAGCTTGCTCAGTTGCGTTTGGACCCCAGTGAATGCGTTAATGATATCAGCCGGATACCCCATTTTCCTGGCAGTGTATTCAGGGACAAATTCTTCATACCATTGGAAATCTTCGATGGGACTGTACAATTTGTTCCTTTTCTTTTTATTTTCGCTTGTCAGGCGTACAGATTCAAGTGTGGTTTGGAGATAGGTTCTATCTGCGGCGCTATGAACATAGCTGTCTTCAGAGAGAAGCTCTCTCTTGCACTGGAAATGGACCTGCTCCTCGAGAAAGATGATGCTTCGGTTGGACAATAGTTGTTCCTGGAACGTCCAGGCTCGGGTGTGATAGATGTACTCAGTCTCAGTCGAGTCCAACTTCAAATTCGGTCGCTTTATCACACTGAGACCTGGGGCAATGTAGACAGCCGATTTGTTTCTGGTGGTGGGGGATATTCCTGACAAGCCAGCATCGGCAGAGTTTCCACTAAAGCATATAATTGTGGCGACTGCGCAGCTGTAGATTGAAGACATCTGAGTGATCGCCGTTGCTTTGTTGATCACATCATCTTGAATGATGCACTTTGTCGGTCAGCTTCAAGCAACCTCCGGTCTTTTCGCGTCGTACCATTGTGTCTACCCACAGGTATTGCTCACCCAGACTCCTCACCAAAGTCATCGAGTCTAGGATAGTCTGGGTGATTGGCTGCGTCAACAGGCTGCCCTTTTCCAAAAGTCCTGGATAGTTGCTTTGGAGAGTGAGGAACTGCTGCGAAGTACCCCAGACATAGCTGAGGGCGAAAAAGCGGTCGCTGAAGTGCCCCTGCACGAGACAGTCGTTCTGAACATCAATTAGTAGTAAGGTATTTCGCTCGTTTTTCGCTTCGTCTCGATGCCTGTTGCAACCTTCTTCGATGTGCTGACTTTCGCATTCGTTCAGCCAGCTTTGGATCCTATCGATCTCGACTAAATCACGCTGTATCGATCTGCTGCTTTGACATTTCTTGACCCTGAAATCTCGTAGGACCGTATCGTCTCCGTCGAGATCGGTGCCTTTGTCATGACAGAAAATATTCGCCCCCATCCAGTCCAGTTCTATGTTATCGGGCGTGTTATCAACTATTCCTTTCTCGCTCGCTCGCTCTCGAGCTCTTAGGATGTGTCTGCATAAGCTGCAGTAGTTCAATGGCTCATCCAGGTGCTCGCAGTTGACAAAACCATTGTTCAGCCAGGCTGCTGTACCAATACGGCGATAGTCTCCCTCGTCTACCGCAAGCTGGCAAGGCGTACAGAGCTCCCCGTCCTGAACTCCATCTCGGAGGTGACCCCAGGCGACACGACGCTGGTATGACTCGAGAAATTCAGCTGGCGCTGGTTCGGGCGCATCGGTTGGCATCTTCGATGAGAGACGTGTTGTGGCGTGCGGAAATGCGATGATGCAAAAGCGAAGGTTCAGGGAGTACTTCGTATGAGCACAGGTGGGGCAGCTGCATGAAGCAAGAGCGAGCCTGCAGCCAACGCGTTTGCAGGCCTGACACGGGGTAGAACCCATATTGAGGCTCAGACAGGTTACTGGCGTTTCCGACGGTTCATATGCTTGCATCCCCGACACAGTGGGCTTGCATCATGTAAGAGGGTCGTTGGGCACAGACTTTGTCAGTTGTTCACCTGCAACCATGTTATCAATTAGAAGGAAGGAGCGGACAGACGCGTAGAATCCATGCCGGTATCTCTTCGTATGTATTCACTCCTTACAAAGTCACGTTGATCACAATCCATGTGTTCAGGTTGTTTCATATTCCATTTCATTGATGCCCTACATACAAGCGGAGCGCACACCTGCACTCAACGCCCCCGATTCACTTCCACCCATGTCCACGCTCAACCATCGCACCTCTCTCAACCAACCACATCGCTCCCCGTCGTCGTCATTCAGTGTTATCGTAAATCATATGCAGCGAACGGATAAAAGAGTGACTTCGCAGAATCACGTACTACCAAACCAAAGACGCCTACAAATGATCCGCCATGTAGGCTTGTGGTGGGAGAGCTAAGACAGGTGTAGCAAAGATCAAGGCAGGCTTGATCGCAGAGAGGATAAGAAATACATCATGTACAGGAAGTTCGCTACAGTTCGCAAGCACCAGATTGGCGGTTGCGAGGGTGGTAGGGAGACGGCTAAAAGCACAAAACAAGCAAATCAAGCCTGGTCTCTCGACAAACCGGAACAAAATATGAAAACAAGGACAACAAAACAAGTGAAGCAAATCAACTCCATGTAGCCGTGTCGAGAGCCAGGTATGGGTATCCAGCTGTAAACGTTTACTGTTGTGTATGAGTCGTGTGCTGTTGATAATATCTTTGGTTTGCAATTCAAAGCCTCCAACGCGAGGCATGCACGCCTCTAGAACACATAGGTAGCATGTCTGCCTAACGCAGGCTTCTGGTAGTCTCGATCCCGGTCACGGGCGCTGCCGCTCTGGGGTGCCCACCGAACATCTTCAGGACCGATCTTTCGTGAATAGGACACTTTGTCCGGCGAAAAGCTCGTTTGACGGCGTGCGTTCTCACGTCGCGCCGCGTCAGAGCCAATCTCGCCATAGAGGGGACGAGATCGACCGCGATCCTCGCCCATGTTCATAGTGGTTGCGGAGCGTCCGAGTGGCGGTGGCGGGACCGAGGATTTACTAGGAGTAGCTGCGGTGTATCGTGCGGAGGAAGCTTCGGAAGGTCTGTTGGCACCCATGGGAGGACGAGTGAGTGGAGTGAGTGGCGACGGCGAGCGATGGCGCTGTCGCTCTGGTTCACGTAGCACTGGCTCGCGTAGCACAGTGCGATGACCGTTAGCCAGTCCCATGTCCTCCGGAGCTAGGCTGACACCTCCTCCAGGCGTGGGGTAGTAATAGCGCTTGGTGGAGGCAGGAGGGGGGATGGTAGGGTAGGCCTCCGGGCTGCTAGATCCGGAATCATGCGGTGTGACTGACTCACGGAGCCCGGAGGGGCGAGGCACAGTCGATGTTTTGCGGCTGGTAGGCGAAGCTTGTGGCACGGAAGGCATCGTCTCAGAGCGACGGAACATTGGTGTCGGGGATGTCTCAGACCGGCGGTGGTCGCGCGACGACTCTGTGTAGGATCGATGCGGCGTCACGCGCGGCACGTGTATTTCAGCCGGCGAGGATGACGAGTGCTTGAAGGCCGGAATCTTTCTTTCCTCTGGTTCCCAGTCAACGATTTCGGGAGCTTTGCGGTCTCGGCCTGGTGGTGAGTGGCGATCCCTCGGGCGTGCAGACGAGCGACGAACAGCCTCTGGCCTGTCTCGTCGAGAGCGGCTGTCGCGGCTGTCGTAGTAGTCGCGTGAATCGCGCACGTCTCGGATGTCTCGCGAGGAGTTGGTCCTACTGGGTGAAGGCCGCTCAGCGTCCCCCTTTGCGCTCATGCGAATGTAGCGAACCGCATCGTTTTCTTGTGCGCTCAGCTTCTGCTTGCGATCGTACTTGTCCTCGTACGAGCGCCTGTCTTCTGCCTTACGGCGAAGGTCAGCGGCCGCCTTGCGCGCCTCGTCTTCCTCGGCGCGTCTGCGAGCATCGTCACTGCGTCTCTTGTACTCTGCCTCATAGCGTGCTTTTTCGTCTGCAGAATGGTCGCTCTCACGTTCCCTCTCTGTTGCGACGTGTCTGCGATCTCGGTCTCGCTCCTTGTCGCGCGACTTCTTGTAATCCGATCTCGTTCGGTCGGAGGACTCTCGTGTGGTCTTCTGCGGACTCACCTTCTCGCGAGAGCTACGCGAGGTGGTTTGTTTTGGAGGATATGCTTCGTAGGTATCGTACCTGCGCGAGCGGTCCTCGTAGTACCGGTCGTCGCCGTGTCGCGATGACTTATGGTCGTCGTAGCGTGCGGGTCCGGTGGCCTTGAAGCTCGCACCAGCGGGGGCTTGTGTGCGAACGTCGTAGCGTGCCGTGCGGATGTCTGGTCCACTGCCGCTGGCGCCTCTCGCAGCCTTTTCTTTGCGTAGAGCCTCGAGTTTCACCTCGGCATCGTAGCGAGCACGCGCCTCTTCCTCGCCGACGAGTTCATAGGCCTGCTGGATCTTGTGGAACTCCTCCTGCTTCTGCAGCTTCAACGACGGATCGGTGACCTTGTCGGGGTGGCACTTGAGGACCAATTTCCGGTATGTCTTCTTGATGGTCTCGATGTCGACGTCCTTGGCCAGGCCTAGCGCCAGGTACGGGTCTGGCGGCAGCGGGTCCATGGTGCGCGGCGATGGGGAGTTGGCGTGCCGAGGCGTGTTGTGTCGATGTTATAAATGCTGGAAAGCGGCGAAACAGAGCCGTGGCGCGTCCCTGAAAGGGTGCGGGATAATGCTGGTTCGGGGTGTGGCGAGGTACGTGGCTCGCCTTGGCTCCAGGCACCGTGGCGAGTGCGCTGTTCTGGTCAATGATCGTCAGGACGCGCTCGCATCCGCGGGCTGGTAAGGAGCGTGGAAGATATATGGCCGTGGCCGGGCAGGTTGTTCGAGCGGATGGTCGCTCGCGGCAGGAGCGATGAGGTAAGTGGAAGGTAAGGCGGGAAGGCGGGAAGGTTCCAACGCCAACGCCGTCGCAAGGGAAGCCCGTAGAAGGTAGAAGCCGGACCAGAGACAAGTCCGCAGGCGATGCAGCACTGGATAAGCAAATGTCGCACTCTCCAGCCAGCGTCCGTAATGCGGCTGTGTCTGAAGCACCCTCTTGTCTCGCCCAGACGGTGCTTTGTTATGGCAACGACCCGGAGACGACGATGCGGGTCGTTCTGGCGGTGAGTGACGTACTGCTTGGGGCTTAACACACCCGATGGAGCCAGCCCAGACGCGAGCGTCGAATTGGAATTACAAACGAGCTGAGAATCGAAGGGGATTTCGAAGAGGAGCAGAGGGTAGTGCAGCGTGCAATGGTGTAGGCCGGGCCACGGTAATCAATGGCGGACGCAAGGCTCCGCTGCTGTTGCTCGCTCGAGGCTATCTAGGGACAGTCCAGCAGCACCTTGCTCATTCTCCCACGCATGCGCTGCGCAGCGCACTACATGCTTTCGGCATCTGGGGCTGCAGCAGCCAATGCGCGTCAGCTCCGCCCTGAGGCCGATTCAGCGACTGCGCTCCACCGCTGCTGACGCGAGGTAGTCAGTTGCCAGCTCTTGGGGGATCGCACCCACTGGCCATGGCCAGTCACACGTTGTGAGACCACCATCGATCCACGCCCCGTCCACTGCCAGACGGAGAGCCACAAGCCACCCCAGATCGCACAGACCAGAGACCGACTGCGAGACCTGCTGCATGCACTCTGCGTCGCGGGCACGGCGGCTACAAACACACGCCCAATCACGTCGGGCTGCGGCCACATGAAGCGTTTTGGGACCTGAGACTGCCCACGCTGCCATTGGGCCGACACGCCCTCCTGCGGCATCCAGAACCCCCCGAGCAAGAATCCCAAGAGTCGCCGATAGCACCACGCATGCCCAATCAGATCCAGACGGCCTCGCTTGCAGAGACATTTGCAAGGCATGACCAAGACAAGAGGCTGCGGGAGCAGAGCACATCCAGTGCCTTCTCGCAGCCTCCCGAGCGTTGCCCTGATCGTCCTCACATGAGGTCTTCCCGCCATGCCGAGACAGCGGAGACCTTCGACCACGAGCGAGCCATCACGAGGTCCTGCAGAGCCATTCCACAAGTGGCGTGGCATTCGCCAGGTTGAGAAGTGATGCGTGCAAGCTGCAAGGGATGGCCCTGACACACCGGCGGTTGCATCGCCAGAATCGCCAGGCAGATATTTTATAACTCGATCCGTCCCGGATGACAAGCGTTAGAAGAACAGTAGTCTGCAGTAGACGCTGACCTTGAATGGCCACGGACGACACCATGCGGGGACGGCGCCACAATAAGCGGGGCAATATTCACTACCACTACCAATCGCGACCTGCTCGCATAGAGCGTAGCCCTGTTCAAACACCACTACTGTACACGTACGTGTGAGGACTTGATTGAGCGCATCTTGGACCCGACGCCCTTCACCAGCACAAAGTCCGTCACTGCCCTTGCGGAGCTCGTCCATCTGTACGACTCTGACAACACAGATCGACCCAGATATCCAGATGGGGAACCCCTACATCATTCTGCGTCGTCTTCCGTTGCCCACACTGGAAGATCGACGTCCACAACAATGGGTTTGTTGAACGCGGTCTTGAGATGATGGGGGCCCAAGAAAGCCGCATTGATCATGACAGTCTCCCTCCGCTCATCGGCCTCCACGTCAGGCTCGTGCTCAGGCCTGACCCCGCCTGAGCCCACCCCTTGGCGATGCTCAATTGCTCCTCCAAGCATAAACTTTGCGCCTCTTCTTATCTCGCCGGTTATGCCCTCGAGGTACGAGGTTGAATCAATCTCAGAAGGCTGAGTGACGCCAGGCGGACCTGACAGGCCCCCACCGAGGGGCTTGTCCTGGGCCAAGTGCTTGGGACAGTAGATCTGACGTGTCAACCCACTGCGATTGTCCAAAGGACGACGTCCTCTCGCAGACAAATTGACCATTGATTGCTTCTTGCCGGTGCCTGGGTCCTCCCAAACCTCGACGCCTCGCGTCAGGCTTCCGTTTCGCGGAGAGTCGAGATTCCACCGCACCCTTTCCACACCACGTGCTTCGTGAATATGCCCGAACACACACATCATTGGCCGGACGCGGTGAAGAGCTTGCAGAAGCTCCGCACACCCAGTTCTCTCATCATGAATGGCCTTGTCACAGTGGCCTTTCGGCGGAGTATGTGTTACCACAATATCGGCGTCTGAAGGAATCGCATCCCAAAGCTCGCGACCCGTCCCAGGCTTGTACGCAAAACCCCAGTCCCGATTGTTGGGCACATAGGGACTGCCGTATACCTTGAAGCAGGTATGTGGGCCGTCTTTAGCGTTCAAATAGATGGTCGCAGCCTCGTTCTCCAAATACGTGATCGAGCCCGACTCAGTGAACAGCTTCTTGTTGTCCTCCGAGCTGCGGGTATCCGGCCATCTACTATGACCAGAAGGATGTGCATTATGCTTCTCGAAAAATGGTGCATCAAGTGTCATATCGTGGTTTCCTAGTCCGTATAAGCGGCTAACTCCCTACTCTGGCAATTCGGTGTTCACAAACCAGCAATAACAATCTTAGCCTCGAAATCCGCGGCTTCTAGCCATCTGACCGTCTTCTCTAGTTCGGTTCTGCTTCCCTGCTTCGTCAAATCACCCGCATGGATGAGCACGTCGCCCTGTGGCAGCTTGGGCGTCTGGTTGTGCGTGTCGGAGATGCACACTATGCGGCTTTTGCGCGTTTTGAGGTTGGGCGCTGTGGTCGTCATACTGATCCATATCCGTTCGCAGGCGAGTTCCACTGTGTGAAGATGGCTTTCGTAATCACAAGTCTATGTACAGCTTGTTGCTGCTGACTCCAGGGCTTTTGTAGGCTAAGCCTGAATGAGTGAGTCACGGCCCGGCGAGGACTCTCGCACGCAACTTCATCAAGTGCTAACAGCAGCCCGGTGTGACTCAACAGAGTGGACTGTCTACGCAACATCATCCATTTCGAACGTCGCACAAAGGCTTCTTGGTCCCAAGTTCTAGCGCTAAAGCTCTTAGACCCTTCCTTTCCGTACCTGCGCCACATCCGCCGCACAGCTCCGCCACCCCAACTCCCTCTCGAAGCCTACCTGTCCTCATAACCATCCCTACAGCTCAGTCTACTCAAGCTCACACGATCGATCGGCATAACATACCTCCGCGACTCAAACCTAGCGGGCTTCTAGAATGCGCGCCCGCGTAGTCCAGGTCAGCACACGAGAATGAAGCTGAAAGCGCGCTACGTATCGGGCTAGCCTAGGGCATTCCTCACCGCAATGTGGCGTGCAGGGGTCATGCTTGCTGGTGTATCTGCTGTAAGAGGGTGCGTGTTGCGAGCGAGGCGCGAGGCGAAGTGAGGTGAGATGAGGTGCGAATGTAACGTCGAGGCATAGGGTCGGGATTTGTGATAGGGTACATAGTGTTTAGCCAGGCATTTAATGATCTTCATAGCACTGCAGTAGGATAGGGAACTGAATGCAGTTCCGGTTGGGGTGAGATTGCGGAGTGATGGGCGAGAGGGGCGGGATGAGGCTCTGCCTTGTGGGAATCCAGGCAACAGCTTTTGGGGGTGCTCAGCCTGCCTTCGGACGATATGCTCTTTGATGGTAATGATGCTTCGAATGGCTCGGGGACTATACAATTACCCGTTCATATAACCAAGCGGGGTTCGAGTAGTTCGTGGGTCGCGATTTGGACGTCTGTCCATTGATAGATCTTCGATGTCCGCTGTGGATGTACGAGTCCTCCTTTGATATTTTACGAACAATTCCTCTCCCAAGTCAACATTGGGGAGTGGATGAAGCTAGGAAATTGATCCTATTAGCGACGACAAAGAGATAATCAGCCGTACAGCCTTATAATCAAGGTTGGAACAGACCATGTTAGCTCAAGGTATCTACGAAAGCCAGCACTTACGTTTGTTGTCCTCAGGGTATGGTCTTGAGTGAAGCTTTAAGCAGCAAATAGACCAACGTGCAAAAATGGTGTGGTTATGTCGCACGCCTCGCTCAAAAAGTGCTTCGAAGCTGTGGTGCTGGAATGCGCTGCCCACAGCATCACAGCACTTTTGTTACGTCAGAAGGTTGATTCTCAGTCTAGTAATTGTATGTAAACCGCGAAAATATTGCTGTAGCGCTGTTATTCTGTGCTAGGTACCGAGGATTCTAATTTATAAAAGTGATGTGGAGCTGTGGCACTGGCATTGGCTGTCTGCAGCACCACAGCACTTTTTCAATCTTAGACAATTGTTGCTATCCTACCATCCGCACGTACGGTACTGCCACCATATTCATAACTAGGTGAACTTGGCTTTACAACCTCCACTCGAGAGGCTTCCCAATATCCAGAATGGCATCTTCCATCCACCCTCCCACACTCCACGGCTTGAGTTCCTGCGGAAAGTGCATCCCTTCTTCCTCGCCCCTAGTCTCACTCCGCAACATCTCCACCCAGCATCCGCGAGCCCTCACCACCTTCCCCCCAATATCAAACGAGCACCACCGATCAGTCCCCGCAGCAACCGCAACCTCATTCTTCGCGCTGACATCATATGGATCAATCTCCACGCCATCATCTAGCTCAGCCTGCACCGCACGCCTATGCCCGGCCGGCTCAGGAATCGGCGGCTGCACATGTACCATCTTCAGCGGCACATACTTCATATTAACCGGCACCGGCGGTACCCATCTCCAGGGCGTCAGCCTACATGCAAAAAAAGGCGCCGTACTATCACCCTCCACCGTTCCCGGCGCAAACACCTTCACCGTCAGTTTCTCCGGTGGACTCGCACCCTCCCCTGTCACTGGCGCTGAAAACTCGAATCTCGCAAGGTGCTTCGGGATATTCCAGTTCAAGCGGCCATTATACATTGTCGCGCGCTGGCTCACGTATATCCGCGCTATACGCAGTGCCTTCTTGGGAATCTGGGGCGGACCAGTGGATGGGCGAGGCACGCTGAAGTTGCCTGGAATCAGCATGAGTTCGTCGTAGGGGCCGACGGGCGTGGATGTGTAGCGGACTATCATTATGGCGCCGAGACCGCCGGTGAAGGAGCCTAGAGACTCGTCGGTCCATGCGGATTTGAGAGGGTCGTAGAGGCCCTCAGGGAGGGAACTGAGCTTCAGAAAGAGGAGGTAGGATTCTGCGCGGAGGGTCCAGGGGGCGGGCATACGCTGCATATGGTGGCACGAGGTTTCCATATTGTATGCTGATGGTTGGTGAAATGCTTTTAGTATGGTGGTACGGAAGGTACGAGAGAGGCTTGAGCGGGTTGTCTCGGGTTCGCGATACGCTCACGCTGCGAGATTTTTCAAAGCGATTGAAACGTAGGTAGTATCGCAGCACATTTTGATCGATGGTTTCCTACAAGATAAGAAGGATCACAACTGACGTTGCCTTAATAAGACGTGACGTAAGACTAGACGGGTTCACCTACAGGGGTGTCAAGGTACCGAGGATTCACATGGGATGAGTGTAGCCGAACTTGTCCAAAACGACTATGGGAGGTGTCAGGCAAAGGCGGGTTCTGTTGTTGAAAATATCCTGGGGAAAAAGACTAAATTGTGTTTGTTCTTGATAGTTTCCTGGTTCCCTGCAAGGTGTGGTGGTGTTGTGTTCTGGCTGGTTGTTCGCGTGAGCTAGGCAGTAGCCCAGTCAAATAGTGGTGTTTAGATAGAAGACTCTGAACCCAAACGACTGTATACTTCCCTAGAGAGATACTCACGATCGGTAAGGGCAATTAGTAAAGGTATTAAGGAGATATGATATGCCAGCTTTTTGGATCCAAGTTGGCAATGCTTTTATGTTGACAGGTAAGGTAAGAAGAATTATATTTAAGCAAATTTAAAGGTTATTTGTAAACAGACACAACGCTAACACGATGTTCACACCTCCTTTTACACTAAAAGAGGGATTTCGAATGATATTAATTTGCCAAGAATACAGACACATCATTTTCCTGTCACAGCGCGAACTGTGATTCCAAGCACATGCGAGTGCCTGCTCCTTTCTGGCGATTTATCGGCACATAGGATTCCGTTCGTACTATTCGTAGAAAATGAGCCTGCGGGCCATCTAAGCACTCACATCGATTAGTTTCTTTTAGATACTTAGAACTGGCGCAACTCCATAAGGCCTTTGCGTCAGTAATTTGACTTTGCTACAATGGGTTACCGGTCCAGCCTCGAATCTTCTACAATATCATATGCTCATTGGTATGCTAGTGTTCAGAAGCCACCATACACCCGTTGACCGCCCGGTTTTGAATTCCGAAAGGGGCGCAACGCGAGCCAGCTAACTCACCATGCCTGAATGCTTGTCTGATCTTTCCAGGGCAGTGTCAAAATTCCTCAGACCAAGAAATGAAAGCACCCTTCTGGGGGACGGAAAATCTCTCACCATCAAGAGACTCGGAAAGCGATTCTATCCGTCGCCTGATAGTGAACTTGAGACCGTCGGGGCTCACAATCTTGGGGCACGTATGCACAATGCGATTAGGAACGATCAGGGTGTTTGCAGCTATGAAACATGTCTTCACTTCGACTTGAAGAGTTCTCGCTGATGACCCGGTGCATTTCGCTATGGGACCCGGTGAATAGAGTCGTATCATCCCATGGAGGACGGCCAGAGTCCATTTCAATTGGGGATATCCAGTTGTATAGACCCACTGTTCAGTTTCCGCCGCTGATGATAGATATCATAATGGCAATTATGGGAAACGTTAGCAGAGCGTGCAGAGGTGTGCCGTAGTCACGTTGTCAATATTGTTGGGATGGTGGAATGAGCGATGAGAACAGAAGGTGAGGAGTGGTCAGCACGCATCTCTCCCGAATCGATACATTAGGGTGCCACGTACCACACGGCGTAGTATGGATGTATGGACCATGTGAGACAACAGGCAAATACGCATGAGTTCCGAGATACTAGTAATCCAAGGTCGCCCATTCGGTGCGGTCAGTTATCCATGTCGCACCTGCAGCCACATGATGTAGATTGCGGGGCAGTGTGATACAGCTCAAAAATTGTGTCGTGGGCTGCTACCCTGACTGTCGTTACTGTTCAACTACAAGTCCCATCTGTTCTGACGTTCACTTCATCGTCGATCTCTAAAGAAACACATTTCAATCGTCCCTCGATATGTCCCGACGCCAGAATGTTAGTGAATCGAGGTGCGCCGATGCAAGACCGACTACAAAGCGTTGTCGGATGTAACTTATTCGTGTCAGGTACAATGCAAAAGCACAATCGCTACGCAGGAAGACAGCTTGGATGATGGAGAATGTTGATAGTCTCGTGCACACGGTCTCAGCTAATGAGTTTGCTCTGAATGACGCAATCGTGTCATCAGTGTCCGGATGCGAGACGCTTTGTAGCTATAACTGGTTGAAGGATGGTAGTGGTATCGTTGTACCTGGTAATATGAACTCTAAGAACGGCCTCGAGTTGAAGCTCACAACATCGGCAGGTGGGCCTCCGCAGTGGAATCCTCAGCCATTGCCATGCACCTTGCCAAAAGATGCCGGGTATTCCTTGGAGGATGCGAAGGCTGCAAAACTTCCCACTTATCCGTACGAACCCGCATTCCGGGCATTGGCGACCATGAATCCCAGTACGAAATTCGATGACATCGACATTGTTACACGCCGCAATAGCCTGCGGAAATTGCTCGACTTCGCTGCCGGCAAGGCCATAGACCCTTTTCGTATGGACCTTCACATGGTGAACGATACTCTATTCATCAGTCGAAAGGAGGCGAGTGCTGCGTTCATGATACACGGGGCTCATAATTCCGGACACGGCCATAACTTCGAAACGAGGTTCACAAAACCGGGGAACGGGTTGAACCAATCACACAGCCATCACAGGGTGGTTCGGTATCTGCTTGGTCACCTCAATTGCGTTGTGCAGTTTGAGGTGGATGCGTATTACGATGACGATGATGGTAGACACTCTGGTCCTTCACAGCCTCAAGATCCGGTAGAGGATGCTGTGGCCTCGATGGCGAACCTGTCAACCAGACACGCACGAGGTAGCGCCTTCCTTGCAGGAGCAATCAATGTGATTCATGAAGGAGATCTTGTTGACCCCGCGAAACTCGCGGAACTGAAACTTTACGGGAAGAACAGACGCGATCCGATGCCACAGATATGGTTCAGTCGAACGCCTTACCTCATCGAAGGGAGGCACGTCGAAGGGGAAGTTCGATCAATTCGCTGCACGCACGTTGAAGCGCAGTTTGGGACTTGGGAAAAAGATCATCAGCAGGCGTTGCGCAAGCTTGTGAGCTTGCTTGATTTATTGAAGAGTATCGTGAGTGGGACGGAGAATCGCAGCGCCATTCTCTTGTGCACTGATAAAGGTGCTCCTTTGACAGTCTTTGCTGCGAAGAATCTCGGCGCTGTCTTACCAAACGATATGACGGAAATGTTTTGGACAGTCAAGGATGGAGTAATCTGAATACTTGCGCTATGACAGTGTCGCATCGAGTCTGCTTGATTGACACAGATCCGGATCGTGGGCGCCGGCAGTTAGAAATTCAAAAGTTTTCTTCAAGGACCGACACGTCATAACTGTCACACAATTTTGTTTTGATCCCAGGCAAATGGAAAAGCACCTTCGTTTCCAGAAGTCCACATAGTGTATTTTTATGCGGGGATTGGATTAAAGGCCGGCGGGACAATCTCCCACATTCCGAATTTTTGGTGTCAAACTGGAACAGGAAAGGAGCCACCATGCATCTGGGCGCTCAAAGCTTAGTTTAGACTTGAATATAGCACCTTAGAGAAAGCAAGATCAAGACGGAGGCCGGGAGAGGCTTATAGGTGCTCCTGACTAACTTTGGCCGCCCGCCACCACCATATAACGCGGTGCATCCGGTAGTTTTTGGTCTAGAAACATGCAATATAGGCTGCAATGATTGATTTCCTCTGTCGGTTTGCCTTCATGGACTCAAAGTGAGCCAGCCAGCCTCCCGCGTGCACGCGGGATGCCGTAGATATTAAAATAGGACAGAGCTCACATCGACATAGCGTCCCAATGATTTAGTGATATTGTGGTCCAAAGCGTAAAGAAGACATTGGACTTAGCGCAGGGGATTCTTTAGCAGCAGTGGTGGGACGCTTCAACCAGAACCGACACGACATGCAGTCTTCGAGATGTCTTTTAGATCCCAAGCACACGCAACAAACCATTGTGCACTTATGGAAGTCCCCACGACTCCATTGGCGTGATTTTATAATTCGGAGGCAAGAACCAACTTCCCATGTCAGCATCCTTGCTGTTTTGAACTAGAGCACGCAGAAGTCCACAGAGTGTGTACTTCTTGGATCTCAGACTCGAGTAAGTCGATGCCGTCTCCGCCATGAACATTTCGACCCAAACACAGACAGCCAGACTTCCACATTTCTCCACGACGCTAGGTTTTGAAACAGACAGCGCACTACATGAGCGTCGGCCCGAGATTACTTTTGGTCAGACCATCAACCAAAGCAGTGCGAAGAACAAGGCGCGTCGCACCCAGGAAACCTCTTGTATGCACGCTGATGATGTGGTGTGGTATCAGACGACGATTTGAACAGCAAGCAAGACACATGGGACCGTGTTCTCGTTGTTTTGAGTTTCTCGTTTAGACTGGAAGCTAACATCATGAACGAAGGCGGAAAGCCGAAACCGCACGTTGTCCCCTTCAGAAGACTCTTTCAGAGGAAGCAGGGAACCACACCTGCACATGTGGCTTATCCTCGTGGGCTTTTAGTCAGGCCTTTCAACAATGCAGTGTAAAGAATCAGTCGATTCTCGGCCAGTGGAGCGCTTTCATACGCGCCAATGATGCGGCGTGCGATTGCGTGGCGGTGGCCCGAAAGACGGGCACATTCCAGTCACACGGGTTTGAGCGGATAAGGAGGTACTTTATGGGGGTTAAAACGGACTCTGACCCCCGCGGACCCCTTCAGATGGAGGAGATAGGTTGTAATTACAAGGTATACGGTATGCCGGAGTTTGGCATTCGAACATGTACGTTCAGATATATATACAGCGAAAGAGATCCCATCTTACACAGAAACCCCCAACCCCTCTCACTGTCCCCTCGTACCCCCATAGCCTCACCTGCTCCGCTACCGGTTCTCCAACACGTCGAAAATCCCCTCCATGACGACTGGTGGCGTCTCGCTCCTCACAAACCCAAACCCCTCCACCGGGGTCCCCGGGTTAGAGCCCCTCAGACTCGCCGCCGAAGAACGCCTCAAACTCGCCGCCGACGCCCGCCTCAGACTCGCCGGCGAAGGCGAACCCCTCGGCTCCAGCATCCCCAGCCCAATCTCCTCAACCCCACTCGCATTGCGCTCCGCCTCGAGTGCCATATCCAGGCGTGACGAGTGTCTTCTTAATGTACGACCGCCTGGCGGTGCTGGACTCGCGGATAAAGAAATGGAAGGCGATAGGGAGAGTTGCCCCGGGAAGGCGGATGCTGGGGATGTAGAGATGGGAGATCCACCTGGGTCCAGGGAGGTGGAAGAAAGAAACTCGGCCTCGAGGAGCTGGAGGAGGTCTGGGACAGTGATTCCGGGAGGGAGGTTGAAGTCGGGCCGAGGGATGCGCTTGTACGCTGAGATGGTGCGGATTGAGCTTGTCGTAGGTCGTCTGGCCTTCGCAGTGTTGGTGGTAGTGCTTCCGCGTTTTTGGAGGTGGATCTCCGGCTCTGGAGATGGAGGTGGGAGATTGGTGATCACGGGTTGAATGGGCGAATCGTTTGGAGCAGCAGGTTGCTGTACAGGTGGACTCCGGGGTGTGCCGCGCCTGGGGGTTTCTGTTGCGGCGGCCTGGGCAGGCTTGAGAGAAGCGCGGAAATCGGTCTGTTGTCTCTGCTTCAGGGAAGGTGCTCTCTGGAAGGCTGTTTGCAACCGAAGTTTTCCCTGCTGGGATTTGGATGTCTGTCGTTGAAGGCCTGGTGCACATGGCAGCATGCTCGCCCTGATAGCGCTGAGAGATTCCGGCGGGCTCTGCGAGTCGAAGGCGGATACGGCCTGTGATACTTTTACATTCTGGTGGCCGGTGTGGTTCATTTCCTGGAGGAGATATTCCAGCTGGTTCTCGTCGAGATCGGCCAGAACCTCGTACAGCGACCCGAGTGAGGAGCTAGGCTTGTGCTGTTTGCGCCCATTGGGTGGAGGCGTGGCCGCGACGGCGCTTGCCGCTGTAGCCTTTGCGGAGTCCATGGCGGCGGACTGGAATGCACTGGGTCCCGACAGCCGTCTGATGGGGACGCCGCCAGGGTCGTCAAAGTTCACTGTGCAGTCGTTCGAGATGTCTCTGCAGGGGACGTGGTGGGCGATCGGCCGCCGGGGTGCAGCGGAAATTGGGTGCGAGCAACGCGCGATTGCGCCGTGCTGAACAGGCCGCAGCGAGCGCGGCTCATCTCATGTCAAGCACGAGACGGGATCCAGACGCGACAACTGCAAAAGAGTCTCGAGTGCAGCTGCAGACATCTGCATGGCCGGCTGGCGTCGCGCCCTGTTTAGGTAGGGACCCCTATATGTCCGCGGCCTGACTCGCCCACGCAGCCCCGCCACCGCGCGCTGACTCGCCTGTCTGAATTATTCCCCTCGGCCACGCACTGCTCGCACCTCGCAGCACGCGCAAACATGGCGCCCTCTCTGTGCGCCCAGTGCAGGACCAGCCGCGCCCTCATCCTGCGGCCCAAAGACCACAGCAAGCTCTGCCGCGCCTGCTTCCTGACCACCTTCGAGACCGAGATCCACCACACCATCACGTCTACCGGCCTCTTCGCTCGTGGCGAGCGCATTGCCATCGGCGCATCCGGCGGCAAAGACTCGACCGTCCTCGCTTCCGTGCTGAAGACGCTCAACGAGCGCTACGACTACGGCCTCGACCTGATCTTGCTGAGCATCGACGAGGGCATCAAGGGATACCGAGACGACAGTCTGGAGACGGTGAAGCGCAATGCCGAGCAGTATGGCATGCAGCTGTGCATCCTGGGGTACGACGAGCTGTACGGGTGGACAATGGACCAGGTTGTGGAGCAGGTGGGCAAACGAGGGAACTGCACCTACTGCGGCGTGTTCAGACGGCAGGCGCTCGACCGGGGAGCCGCACGCCTCGGCGTAAAGCACGTCGTGACGGGGCACAACGCAGACGATGTTGCCGAGACGGTGCTGATGAACTGTGAGAGAGCCCCCATCTCCAAGCCCAAAGGCCCATGCTGACAGCACCAGTGCTCCGCGGCGACCTCCCCCGCCTCTCCCGCACAACCTCCATCGTGACCAGCACCCCCAGCCTGACTGCCGACCCCGCCGCAAATACGCACATCAAGCGCTCCAAGCCGCTCAAGTACGCCTACGAAAAGGAAATCGTCCTCTACGCCCACCACAAGAACCTCGACTACTTCAGCACAGAGTGCATCTACTCGCCCGAAGCCTTCCGCGGCAGCGCCCGCGCCCTGATCAAGAACCTCGAGCGCGTCCGGCCCAGCGCCATCTTGGACGTCGTTCGCAGCGGCGAGGACATGGCGAAGCTAGTTCCCGGCAGCGACGAAGGGTGCGGCGGCGTCTGCGCCTCCTCCGTGCCCGCGGGCGACGAAGAAGAAGGTGGCTGCGGTAGTGCCCAGGGTCGGAGTTCAGGCGGCGAGATGGCTACCATGGAGCAAGCCCTCTCTTCCAACGACCGCGCCGCCGACGCCGGGCTCGAGATCGAGATCACGACGTCCAAGATCGCGAAGAGCGCCGCGCCTGTGCCTCTTACTGTGGGCAAGAGCAGGAAAGTCCCCAAGACGCCAAACAATACGCGCAATCAGCCAAAGAAGCAGGTCATGGGCCAGTGCAAGAAGTGCGGCTATCTCTCTAGCCAGGACATCTGCAAGGCATGCGTGCTGCTCGAGGGCTTGAACAAGAACCGCCCCAAGAACCATATCGAGGTTGGCTACGAGCCGGAGAAGGAGGTCAACGGCGTGACGGAGGCGGTCAAGCAGCTCGATGTTGGCGCCGGATGAGTGGGGTTCTGGAAGACACGTAGAATGCGGGAACGGAAAGCCAGCCCAAGCCGCGCTCACAGACGGAAAGCACAGCAAACGGAGAAGGTCGTGTGAGCGCGTGTGCGCCATAGCGGCGGTGCTATGAGGCATGAGGTTGTACCCTCGTGCGACTGGTATCTTCGCACATTGGGAAAGGATGCCTGCTGAAATGGATCTGGGGATTCATACCAGACGCCCTGCAGAACGCGCACAACGGAGCTCCTCGAGAAAGGAAGCCGTACGTGCGGCGAGATCTACACGGCCCCTATACGACGCGCCTTACTTGCCTCCGAGCGAGCCGTTGCTCATCACGCGCTGTCGCCCTCCGCCTGTTCACGGCTACCAAACCACGCCAAGGTACCCGGCAGAGCGGTCTGTAGCGTAGTGTGGTGCGAGTGCAACGGCCGGGCATCCTTGTAGCGCGCGAGTCACGTAGCTAGCCAATACACACTTGTGCACTTGCACCTGTAACTGTTGCTATGTTGGTGCTTATGAACTTGTGACTGGCTCTGTGGCGCGTGGGTCTTGTGCTGCTTGTGGGTAAAGATGACGCGGGAGCGGTGCAGAGTGCAATGACACAGAATGTAGTGTGGGGGCGGGCTGGCGGGACGCTGGGTGCGAAGCTGAATGTGGTGATGGGCAAGATTCTGGGTTTGCTGTTGGAAGTGACGGTGGATGAGACGGTGTATGGAGTTGCCAGTTGGTTAGCTCACGGCAGGGCCAGTGGTCATCAGAGAGGTTCATGATTGTGCAGAGTCTTGATCTACGGGTGTATGATCTAGATCTAGAAGATCCAGTGTCAATCCACGACACGATGTGCGAACAAGCCCCTACCGGATATGCCTATGCAATACCAAGCCAACATGCGCCATCCAATGCAAATGCTCCGTAAACGCCGTTTTCCAACCCAAACCCTTCATGACATGCGTTGATCAGTCGTACATATGGTGTACAAAGTCCAAGGAAAGAAGTGCACTAGATGTGCACCTCAAAGTCCGCATCCAAGTTCCAAGACCCTTGCACTGTGACCGATCCAGACGCCGAATCGAACTTGGAATTCTCACCCAAGTCACCGATTTGGACGTCCTCCTGGCCAAGCACCTTGAAGGACTCGATCTTGATGCTCTCGCCATTGAGTCCAGGATATCCCCATTTGCCTTCGACCTTGATTTTCCCGTTGTCCCAAGTGATGTCGAGCTCGGTTGTCTGCTTCTGCTCGATCTTCTCGCCCTCATCAATGTAAAGGCGACCCTTGGCTTTCCCGTTAGCGTCCGGCGCAACGATGAACACAAAGTTCTCCTTGCGGAGCTCAGCAGTTGTGTTGGCGGAGTTTGCGCGTTGAGGGATGATCGTACCGCCACGGACGTGCACCGGGATGTCAGTCCAGGACACGCCGGTGCGGGTCACGTTGGTGCCGAGACCCTCGACGCGTTGGCCGGTCCAATAGTCGTAGAAGGTGTCTTTGGGCATGTAGAACGTGACGTTCTCGGCCCAGTCGGTAGTCACGGGCGAGATGAGCAGTGCGTCGCCATAGAACCACTGGTCCTGGATGCCGAAGGTGTTCTCGTCTTCGGGGTACAGGAAGAAGAGCGGGTTGATCATTGGGGTGCCCTCAGTTGTCTGGTAGTACAGGGCGGTGTAAGCATAGTCGATCAGCTTATACCGCGTGTCGATGGCCTTCTTGGCCGCCTTGATCGTGAGGGGCCACTGGTAGAATTCTTGCTGAATGGCGTGGATCTCGGCGTGGTTGCGATAGAAAGGCTGGAAGGCACCGAGCAGTGCCCACCGGGCGCACATCTGCTCATTCGCATCGGCGTTGAACCCACAGACGTCTGAGCCAACCATCGGCATTTGGTGCATAGACACCCATGCGAGCATCTGGCGGATAGACAGGCGGTAGTGCTCCCAGATCGAAGCATTGTCGCCGAACCAGTGCGTGGCTTTGCGGCCGCTGCCCGCAAAAGTCGAGCGCGTCAGGACCATGGGTCGGAGACCAGGACGGCGAGCGAGCATGGCGTCATAGGTGACGCGCGACATGGCATGGCCGTGAAGGTTGTGCGTATCATAAACCTTGGTTCCGTCGGCGTTTGTGTTGTTCGTCCAGATAGTGTAGCCAGAGAGATTGCCGCGTTGGTTCACGGGATCGTACTTCGCCACGAACAAGTCCCGACCAGGAAGACCCTTGTACTTGTCTTCTCGGCGGGTGAGCGAGCGACGGCTCGGCTGGAAGTCCTCTGGGAAGCCGGGGATCGGGCGGCCGGTGTTGGGACGCGGGTCATGTTCAACCTTTGGCGGATTGCCCTGGTCGTCGAGAGGGTTGCAGTCGATGTCACTACAGAAGTTGGACGCTTCGTTCATGTCAACCCAGATGCCATCGAGGTCGATCCCGTTGTCGGCGCTGAAAGTCGTTGCGATTTGCTCCGCCCACCACTTCGACGTGTTAGGGTGGAGCCAGTCAGGCCATGCCATGGTGCCGGCCCACTGGACGCCCAAGTAGTCAGATCCATCCTCATTCTTGTAGAAGACACCCATCTCGTGACCCTGCTCATATGGCTTGTAACCTTCTTTGAAGTGAATTGCAGGGTCAAGGATAAGAACGTAGCGCTGGCCGCGAGAGTGGAGAGTGGACACAAGTTCGCGCATCTTAGCGATGGGGAAGCGCTCGGGGTCGGTGGTGAAGTCCTGGCGACCGTCCATGTAGTCAATATCCGTCCACATGACCTCCAAGGGAATGCCTGCAGTGGAGTAGTTGCCGACGACCTCTGCGACCATGTTGACATCCCAGTAACCGTACTTGCACTGGTGGAAGCCGAAGGTCCAGTAGGGGAACATCGCAGAGTAGCCAACGGTGTCGGCATACTGCTTGGATACCTCTGCAGGTTGCTTGCCTGCCAAAAAGTAAAGATCGATGATACCTCCGATGGCGTTGTACTGGAGGTACTGATCACCAGACTCGGTCACGTTCAGGTCAACCTTCATGCCGTTTGCGTTAAGCATGAAGACGCCGTGGGTGCCCTTGTCTCCACGGTGGTCAAAGTAGACTGGGTGAGAGCCGTAGAGATTGACGTTAGTGGGCAGGTTGGGCGACTCTGCGTTGTAGAGCGTGCGATGGTAGTCAACGTTCGGCAGCCGGAAGGGGTCGCTGTGCTCCCCGAACCCGTAGATGTTAGGGTTCTTGGGCAAGCTAGTACGCAGACCTACGTATTGCGACTCGAAGATCAATTGCCGGCCGGATGTGTCGAACAGAACCTCGTCATTCTCCTTGCGAGTGATCTTGAAAGAGAACGGCTTCTCAACCAACTCGAACTCGAGAAGAGCGTCATCGGAAGGTGTCTCGCCGTGTTGGGGACGCGAGACAAGCTCTTCCTGCACTTGGTACACCTGCTCATCCTTATCGAAGATCTTGACGTGCAGGCGGTCCTCTGTTACTATGTTAGTACGATCTTCGGTAACACAAGACGCGCGCTGAATATGCGCCGTGTCACAGAGCATGCAAAGCTGGTTTAGAAACCTGGACACTGTCGCGACCTTCTCTAATCCAGAGTACACAGCATGGTGTCCACGCTTATAACATGCGGGGTAGTAGTAATTGTACTTACTCGACTGGTACTCGACAACGAGTCGCAGGTCCTTGATATCAGGGCTGTACACATTGCAGGCATCGCCAGCAAGGGTAAGATCCGCGGTAATAGTCGAGTCAGTCTTCTCCACGTTCGACGCCTCGTAACCGGGGCAATTGTCCGTAGAGAAGTTGTCACGCACAACAAGATCGAGAGGGGCGGGGGCTGCAATGGTGAAGCCCGTGAAGGCGACCAGGCCGAGAGCAAGTCGCTGAACGCGCATGCCGTCGTTGGAGTGGTGTCAAAGTTTGCGATCTTGGTGGAGAGCGAGGCAAGCCCGCGGATGGGCGAGTTTTTATAAGAATGTGGGGGCGGGACGACTTCGGGCTAGAAAGCGAGGTGAATGAAGGACGTTGCGCAGGCGGCCAGTGACAGGGATCCCGCCTTCACTTTACGCCCCGCTGACCCTGTGCGGGCAGAGGCAGATCATTCAGTTCACTAGTGGCTCCACCCCAGATCGTCGAGCGCCACCGCCGTTGCCCACCTGCTGTATCGTGGAGGGCTAGTGGTGTTGTTTGCCGGCGGCGTCAACATGCAGCTACCGTTCCTGGTCGAAGGTGCGGGGAGGCTGCATGTTTACGATTGCGGCGCACATGCGGGCGATCGTGAGCAGGGATGGGAATCCTGGTGACGCGAACAGTTGTACCCGTACATAGCCTCAGCCACTTCGAGCAGAAGGAGCGCCTGAGGGCGCAGGGTTGGGAGAGTCCTGCACCAACAAACGCCTGATTGCGTTGGTTGAGACCGCTCGATTGCCGCGTATCGACAGCAGCACAAATCACCTCTGAAGAAAGCATCCTAGGATACCGATGCTCTCTTTCGGCGCTAGAGAATAACACTTGCAAGTCCGACATTCTTCTTGGGCGCAGGCCATGGTGACAGACTCGCGCGAGAACGACATTGGAAGAAAGGAGAGAAGGGGGCCATGGAAAACGAGGCCGCCTCAGGAGCCTGGCGGTGTACCGACCAAGAAGGCATCCCGATGGAACATCCAATACTCGCGCGATACGATCGTCGTGAAGTTGGAGGGCATCAGCAGATGAGGCAGGTGTGTTGTAGGGCCGTTCCCTGTGGACGATGTTCATTTAGTCGCTCCGCTAGTCGCCCCTGCATCCGCTGCAGACACATGATTGGTTGTACGACAAGATCGTTCTCCAGCATCTTCCTGTTGTCCTATCGTAGACCGTTGACACGCTTCTTGATTCGACACCATTGCACGAACACGCGGAGATGATGTTGTGATAGCGCATCACGCTCCGAGGGTTGCAGCAGAGGCAGTGCGACGTTACGCTGCACGCGAACCTCAATGCCCCCATTGACCAATTTGAATCGAAGGCAGTGATACCCATAGGAGCAATACTGCCGCGAAGTGTACAGAAGTATATACATCAATGACTGAATTTGTTCGCAGGTATCGTAGTGTCATTTCAATATGGCGAGGCATCGGATCACACTCATATCTTGGAAGACCTTGGGAGACCAAGGAACAATGAGAACGCTGGAATCGTTCTTCAAGCTAGGTTTTATTTACTCAAACGCGACCAAACAGCCATGCTTGTTGGCGCATGTGAACGTCATCAGTCCAGTCCAAGGCTTGTCATCCCTAGCCTCCAGCGTCTCATACTTGCCCGCAAGCTTCGCTAGCAAGTACGCCGCCTCGACTAGACTCTTCTCCCTACCCATGCAGTTTCTTGGTCCTCCACCAAAAGCCATGAACTCCCATTGCGACGGCTTGATGGTCTTCCAGCGATGGGGATCAAACTCCTCCACATTAGGACCGTAGACGGACGGCTCTCGGTGCAGGGCGTAGAACGCGGGCTGCACGCGCCATCCTGATTTCACTATTATGGGAGAAGTGCCGTCTTTACCGCCACCAGTTGGGAGGGTGGTATCACGGACGGCGACGCGGTCAACTGCGGGGAACACAGGGCGGAGGCGGAGCGCTAGGACACCTATCAGAACTGGTAAAGAGAGTACCTCCACTGGGACTCACATTCGGAGAGTATGTTTTGTATGATATCATTACTGCGCAAAGCTTCAAAAGTAAACAGGTCGCCTCCACGCCTCAATACCTCCTCTCGGAGCTCCTTCCAAATTGCCGGGTGGCGCGCAAGCAAATGAATTGTATTGCTGGCAAGCACCGAAGTCGTATCCTGGGCCCCAATGATGCCCTGTACCAGCATATTGCGGACCAGCGTTCGGTCTTCAGTCTGTGCGAGGAGCAATTCTACGCCAACCTGGCTCTTATTCTTCTCAGAATTCGTTTTGAGAGCTTGCTGGATGTGGAACTCCACGAACTGGTGAGCCTGACGACATGCCTGCTTAAACTTTGTCATGGGAAACAGGGAGATGAGGCGGCCAGTCAGGATGCGGAAGGCAATGCCCTGCATGCCATCGGCCCAGATACTTTCGAACTGGTCGCGCGATAACGGGGCGTCTGGGTGCGGGTTCATGGTGTCGTAGCCGAGTGTGAAATTCAGAGCGTTGTTCATGAACTGCGTTTGTTGTATCAGCTCGGGTCTAGGTCTGCTTCGCCGCTACATAACTTACCGCTCCCAGCAGCAGCGGATGCAAATCGACAGTCTTGCCATTGCCAGGTATCTTCTCCATGAAGTCGTCCACCATGCGGCTGTAAAAGTCGAAGTTGGCAATATTGGTCTTCGCAAATGCCGGCCTATACAGCTTCCGCGGAAGACGCCAGCCGTCGCCATCCTCAGTCAATATACCTCGACCGGTGAACGGAACGAAAGGTTCTCTGCGCCAGAAAACACTGTAATCGCCATCCACGCTGCCAAATATTCTCTGGATATTCTCTGGTTCTATGGTGACGATTGACGGCGGTGAGATGAGAGGCTTAATCATAAACGTCTTTCCATACTGGACGCGGTTGCGCTGCATGACCGAAATGTCACCGAACAGCTTCACGACGTAGTCCAGGCCCATGAAAGGATCGAGTGCGCGATATCTGACTGGCGGGGCGAATCCATTTGTGCGATTCTGAGCTTCATTCCGCACGAAGACCGCAACAACGACAAACGTGGTGAAGATTAAGCCGGCAACAACAGTTGGGCTATGAAGCAGGTCGAAGCCCATGGTGATAGCTTACAAGGGCACGAGGCCAGAAGAGAGCTGTTCATGCTCAGCATGGTCTCTTGTATTTATACTATACGCCGCCAGCGCTTACTGCAATCATGCCGCAATCTGCCGCGCAACCCGCTTACATCAGCCGTGCCATCCCATTTCTTGTTACAAGTAATCCTTCGTCTCGACTTGTTGTTGCTTGGCCATGGTTTTTAGCGTCTGTATGGATTATCTGACGAGGACGAAACAAGGCAAAGGTACTTAGGAGGTGAGCACTAGCGCTAGCTTTGTTTTCGACTAAGACTATTTTCTATTCATAGGTATTGTGAACACATGAACACTGCAAAGTATTTGCGAGTAACTAATGCATGGGGAGTAAGTATCTTAGTGCTTTTTGGTACGAGAGGGATGCCAATGATTGAGGTTTCCCTGCGGATCAACGAACCTCACTGAACGAAGACGAAATACAGTGTAGATCAACATGCAGTCTCCTTGAGCTACAACGTGTATGGCGGCGTCAGCGCAAGGAAGCACGCCAACACACCGTAATTTTCAATCCGTGGTCAATACATCATTCTAGATGATTTCGACACACGAATGGCTTTGTCAGCACAGTTATTGGAGCGGGAACGCGTTGTTTAGAGTCAAGGAAGTGAGTACACACTCAGCAAGACATGTTTAATTTTCGTAACTACATCCCCCCACGCCATGCTTCTCTCCTCTTACCACACCCAAGTTCTAAGCGTTTACATACTCGACCTCGTAAACAATAACGCATGATCCAGTGGGGTACGGGACCGCCGAAGGGAACGGCGAGACCGTAGCCGGGGAAGTCGAGATGGCAGTTGCAGACACAGCCGGTACACTTGAAACGGATGCAGAGACAGTAGCTGTAGGAGCGGCAACAGACGAAGAAGAGCTAGAGGCACCGCACAGAGGAGCAGCCGCGTCGACCTTGGCCACCACCCACGACGATGCGTCGTCGGTGTACAGCTCGAAGTAGTTGAGGTGGTCCGCCACCGTCTTTCCACCGGCACAGACCGGGTCACCGGCAGCGCAGTACGAGCGCAGGATAGAGGAGTAGCGGTTCAGGTTGGCGAGGTCGGCCCCAGCACGTGGGTAGGGGCCCTTGCTTGCGCCGTCGAGCACGTTGTAGGGCTGGTTCTCGGTGTGCCTTACGTCGCCCCAGAGGAGAGCGGCGGCGACTTTTCAAATCAGTATGGGTAAAGTCAAAGGCAAGGGTGTTGAGAACTACGTACTTGCTTTGCCGGCAGAAGAGGTGTTGTCGATGCCGGTGGATACAAACGAGCATCCACCTGGTCCACCCAGAACGTCGCCGGCGACATTGGCGCCCTCTGAGTAGCCGTTCACGATGATGTGGGAGCATGGGCACTTCTGGTTGAAAGCGGTGACTTGCTTGATACCGTTGGCAGCTCCCTCAGTAATCTGAGCGCAGTAGTCTCCGCCGAGGGTGACGTCGAACTGAATGTCAATGTAATCACAGCTCTTGCCCTCAGCAGTCAATTTGCTGCAGGTGGCGTCGATGAAGGGGGTCGTGCGGTCGTCGTGATAGGGCGCGTTGTTGCCGCGGGCCATGAAGATGACTACATCGGCGCAGGTGGCGTCGAGTTTGGGGGTGGTGGAGGTCTGGGCAGCAGCAAAGGCGGAGAGAGCGCTCACGGCGAGAGTTTTGCGGATGGAAAACATTGTTGATTAGGTATTAGGTATATGTACGTAGAAGTACTGTGTATATGACGTAACAGTGACCGATGGTACGACAGCTGATATGAGTATTATTATGGTGTTAAAAGAGTGTAGAGTCGTGGTGCTTCTTGACCGAGCACCGCCGCCCAGCTATAAGAACCACATCGATAGCCTTCGTGAGAGATTGATTGTTGTTCGGAAGTAGGCTTCCGCCTGTAGAGACGCTTGATGGAGCCTCGATACTGGGGTTAGGAATCATGGTAGGTGTTTAATGGTTAGGCTGGTCCGGTCTACCTGCCTGCATGAAGGACCAGAGGCGGAGCGTCGGACAATCGGATGATAAATGCGTGAGATGTTGTCGATGTTATCCACGATCGCATGGCTGTCGATGGAGTGTACGGTAAGCGTACCTGGGCTAAAATAAGCACTACCACATTGGGGATTGACTGAGTCGATGTTGTAAGTAAAGTGACCTTCGCGGTGCTCGTGGTTTGTGGGTTGGAGAGGAAGACGACCGATCAAAGACCCGGTCACGGCATTTGCAAAGCCCCAGGCAGGATGGAAAGGTGCAATACTTAGGCTTGCGAGTTGGATTGGAGAGCTTTGAGAAATGCCTCATTGAGATTGTAGTGGGGCGAGTCCCACATTTGTGTCCGCGGGGAACGACTTCCCTTCCCACTCTCAAGACCTTATGCGCGGACTCTTGAAGTGCCCATAATCTCTTGTACCTGTATGGAATTCACTTGACACACCTTTTGCACTTAATTTCCACCATTTGTATTGTTGGCTCATTGATCACAGCTTCAACAACCTCTCAGCATTCTTATATGCAAACATATCCATCTCATCGTCACTCAGAACCTTTGCCTCCGCCAACTTCTCCACGAACGCCCACCCATCCGTATTGGTACTGAATGGATAGTCGACGGAATACATAATCCTCTCCACGGGGCTGACCTGCCTCAGCTGCTGAAATTGTCTCACAGTGAAAAATGCACTCGTCGTGCTCCAGATATTCGTGCTCCAAACCCGATCAAACGTCGTATCATTACGCAGGCCCGTTGAGTCGATCCGATCGATGAACATTGGTAATCCTTCACCGTTGTGGCCGATGATCAGCTTCAGCTTGGGGAACCGATCGAACAAGCCCGCGCTATAGAGGCGCAGGACATGCGTCCCTACATCGACATGCCAGCCCCACGAGTTCGTCCCAAGCCGACCAGCCACGGCAGCGGGATAGTTTCCAGCAAATAGCTTTGCTGCAATGTCTGCGGCTGGTGCAGCAGGATGCAGATAGAGCGGTACGTCGAGCTTCTCCGCCATGGCGAAGACAGGATCGAAGCGTGCATTGTCGTAGTACGTCTGGTCCTTGAGATGGTTCCATATCATGGCGCCCTTGAGTCCAAGCATTGTCACACTGCGATTTAACTCGGCTGCAGCTTCGTCCGGAAGCGACATAGGAAGCACCGCGAAGCCAGCAAAGCGCTTGGGATTGGTGCGGATAGCGGCGCGAACAGCATCATTTGCTTCGCGACATCCTTCGGGGTCCTCCAGACCAGAGGCAGATTGCTGCGCGAGGACCTGCATGGAGAGGTGTCCGGCGTCCATGGCGGCGATGCGACCGGCACCGACGTCCTTGAGTTTCTCGAGGGTGCCGGGAGAGCGCTGGACGATACCTCCGGCGACTACCTCGGCCTCCAGCGATGGCGAGACAACATGCTCTTCAAGTGCGATGAGGCGCTTGGGGAGATGGTGTGGTTTTCGGATGGAAAGAGGCGTGCCATACACGCTGAGGGCTAGGGCGATGAGGGTGCTAAGGTGGGCGATGTGCATATTGGACAGACACGAGGCGGGCGAAGCTATTGGATTAGAAACATTACGCGGGTGTACGAGGGCCTATATATGCATTCGACCAGGGGTTGATTGACTGCTCAAGTAGAACGGGAGTATACTTACCATATCCGTGTCGCACGTGGTAGACATTCCTGGTTACATGTGCGTTAGCGCATCAATCAGCTGTATATAGGGCAGCCTCGTCCATTTTCGTATGGAGGGTGCATGTTGGCGGAACTCCGATTGGCTGAGCTTTTCGTCTTCAGCATGGTGTCTCCAAACAGGGCTTTGGATCAATTCATGGTGGTGAGTCTAGATTGTCGAGTTGTGAGGGCAAGGTTAGCGCTCGCTAACCCTGGGGTGCTTTGATGGAAGGTCCGATACAGAACGTCGCTTCTCTTGTCGAATGAAGTTTGCAAACAGAGAAACAACATAGATCAAAAGCAACAAGTAGAAAGTGTGCAAAAGGAAATTTGGAGGTGCCTCGCATACTGCAAAGCATAACTGACGGTGGTAGCTATTCAACTTGACTCATGACGTAAGGCAGCCCCAGCGCCACAACAACACACCTTGTCGCGATGTCGAATCCTCACCTCGTTACATGAACCCGACACAAGACGCCCTGCGCATACGCTTTACCCTCGCTCTGCTCCTCCTGCTCGCTACACTCCCCTTCTGCCTTGCACGCCACCCTACAATGCCCCGCCGCGGCGCAAATTCGTCGTTCGGCAGCGACGCCATCACGACGACCGCGCTCCCCCAGAAAACTCAATGGCCAGCGACATTCACCGACGGTCTACCCTTACCCAAGATAGTGGTCTTCGATCTGGACTACACACTCTGGCCATTTTGGGTCGACACACATGTCACGGGGCCGCTCAAGGCGCAAGAAGGCGGGCTGAAGGTCAAGGACCGATACGGCGAGGGCTACGGCTTCTATGCTGATGTTGGAGGCATTTTAGACGCGGTAAGGACATGCCATAACTCAAAGCCTGACGCGACGCTTACCATCTTCAGCTCAAGCAAAAAGGCATTCTCATCGGCGCCGCCTCACGCACACACGCACCCGATCTCGGCCGTGAGATGCTCAAGCTCCTCAAGATACCCAGTTCCACTTCCTCCTCATCGTCGCGCGCCATAGACTACTTCGACCACCTGCAAATATACCCCGGAAACAAGACAACCCACTTCGAGCGGATACACAGGGATTCAGGCATTGAGTTTGAGGATATGCTGTTTTTCGATGACGAGAGTCGGAATAAGAATGTCGAGGTGCTTGGGGTAGTCATGCAACTGATACTAGACGGAGTTACAATCAATGAGATCGACGCGGGTGTGAGGAGTTGGAGGAAGAGGCATAACAAGGTGCCCAACTAGAAATCAGACGTGTGATGGGTGTGATCGCTTGGTAATGAAGCATTTTGATGATGTGCAAAGAGTCGTTGCCTTCGGATGGTTGGGAGGAAAATGCTACGTACGGTTTCGATTCCACGTGCATCACGTATGTTCCCACTGGATTCGGAGCAACTTAGACACGGTTCACGATACAGTATAGATAGACACGAAATGCCGGGCACGTTTCTGCCGCCAATGGATCACACACGGTCCCTATATGAGCATATCACACACCCACTTTCGACGATTTCGAATGCGTAATCAACAAACGAACACCAAACTGCTCTCCTCATCGCATAGGTGATGCTGGGAACCTAAAAAAACCCTTGAGGATGGCGTATGTGGAAAGGTAACCGAGCCTACTTTGCACCCCCTTCGACCGCTAATAGCTCTTTGGCATTTGTGCCGAGTACACATTCCCTAAGCCAGGCTCTCTCTCCATCTCCGCAGGAGCTACATTTGATAGAACCTTGTCAGCTTTCCTCCTCCCTATACTCAATCACTTGAGGCCCCACCGCCTTCTTACACCGCGCGGCACTATTTCGCCAAAATCTCATAGATATTCCCCTTGACTCAACGCCAAACGTTCGTCCGTGCGCTGTTCGTTTGCTTCTCCCCTCTCTACATACTTTTACACTGCTCCAGAAACACCCTTCACCATCTTCCCACGTTTCCTCCCGCTCAATCACAGAAACCGCCACCTGGACTCGAACCACCCAACATGCGCGTCCTGACAGCTCTCGTCAGCGCTGTCCCTCTCGCTGGCTCGACGTTTGCCCTTGCCATCCCCGACGTCGGAGTCGCCAACCTCGCTTCCGCCAACGAGGTCTCTCTCGACAACTACACTTGCGGCTACGCCTACGATGAGCGTGACCTGCCGGGCCTGGGCAACTACATTCGTCTCCCGGCCTGGGAGGTGGTCACGTACAACATCAAGGCCTGTTTCGTCTCTCCCGAGTGCGGATGCAGGTTCTGGAACGATGAGAAGGCAGTCATCGCTGGCAGCCGTGCTGAGGCACCGGACATTCCGGAAGGCGATATGAAATACGCCGGGTGCTGGCACGATGGGCACAATGGACATCTCGACGTCAAAAGGTTTCGAGGTCAATGGGATCGCGGTCAACGGAACCCAAATCAAGAGACTGGAAGTCAGGCATGTCGTTGGATCTTCTCCAGAGGCTCGCCTGTCCTCGGCATTGCAGTCCGCACCGGACCTGCCACAGGAGACCTCGGCGCAGCTACACGGAAGTCTTATGTTCCCGCGCTCTCTCACCAAAGCTGGACGAGCCTCGAGATGTTGCTGTCACAGCTCCGGTCCCCGCAAGTGAAGACGCCTTCTACTGCGGCTATGCCTACACTAAGCCCGGCCTCCACGGCACCAGCAGCCCCGCCCTGTAATCCACCCGATCAGAATTGGCGCCGCTCCCCAAAACCTTGAAGAGCTACATCATCTCCGGGTACTGCTGGTGCAAATTCACGTGGCTGACGAGAGATCAAGAAGTCGTTGGACCCACACAGGGAGACCTCCAGGCGGCGTTTGATTCCGTCATCTATCTTCAGACGGCGCCTCCTCCGCGAGATGGCAAGACCAAGCGAAAGGCTGGTGGAGCAGTCGATTTCGTCGACTCCCAAGAACTCACTGTCACAACCCCAGCAGCAGCGCCAGTCAAAAAAGACCCTGTCTACTGTGGTCACGCCTACACCGAGCACAATTTCCGTGGCACCAACCGCACCATCAAAACCGACAAAACATACACTGCGCCACTGCTTAGGCAATTCTGGAGCTACATCATCTCGGGAAACTGCTCATGCAACTTCGGTTCTCAAAGTGTCACCGGACCTGCCCACTGAAACCTCAAGAACGCAGCTGACAACGTGAAGTGCTCGGTTTTTGGGGTCCAGGAAGCAGGAGGAGGGCAGAGCAGTTGCCACGGCCGAAGACATTGCTGCAACACCTCCCGCATCGCTCTCTCCCAAGACACCCTACCGATAGTCCAAATATCCATGGATCTCCAGACAGCCCGAGACCATCTCCAATAGCACAGCACGCCGCCATCCCGGTGCCACGCTGCGCCCAGCAAACGTCGTCATGTAACATAAATCCATCCGCAAGCCACTCACCGCGCCGTAGCTACCTCACGTCACCCGCACATACTCTTTTTGACGCCTTTTTCTATTTTCTTTGATTATCCTACGAACTACTGATACACTCCTCTTCATCCCTCTTCCTTTTTCTAATGATACAAACAAGCGAGGTAAAGTCAAGTCTCGAACATGGAGACAAAAGGGTATAAAAAATGGTAAAGAAAGTGTCGAAGCGAATACGTAAGAAGGGCCAACTGGCAAAGAATCGAACTGTCGCCGTCCCCTCTTACAAAAGTGAAGTAATTATCCCCTGCTCGAGCGGGGGGTATGTCGAAGTAAAGTCTATGTGCTGTGCGCACGTGTCCATCCATCTAGTCCATCCATCCTATCCCATCCGTATATACAAATATCAACCATTAAACCGTCGTAAGTGCAGTCTGTTAGTCCGGGTTCAGTTCGGATCTAGAACTGGGCACGCCCAACCAGCGCCGGATCAGCAAACATCATCTCGCCGCTCCGCTTGCGTTGCACGGTGGGATCATCGCTGAAGTCAGTCTGCGAGGGGGACGGGCTGGGGCTGAGATGTTGATTGCGGGGGACATCGAGCACACCGCTGACGCTATCGTTGCCCATAGGCTTGCGCTTGATGGTCAAGGGAAGGCCTGTGGAAGCGAGGAGGGTCTGGCCTGGACCGGCAAGTGTGGGCTGGCGGCGCAGGGGAAGCGGCTTCTTGGGAAAGAGAGGCCTGGGAACGTCGTCGGGGTTAGACCAATCGGGGTGGTTTATCCCCTTATTGCCCCAGTTGTTGTCAGCATTGGGCGCGGGACCAACGTGGGCGGGAGGCGGCTGGACTAGCGTGCGCTGGCTGTCAGGAGACTCACGCGGCATCGGTGATTGACGTCCCTCCGGAGTGTTGCGGCCAGATAATGTGAGTGGTTCCGGAATCAGAGAGTCGCTGTCTGAGTCACGTCCGGGAAAGTGCGAGCCGAAGGGCGCAGGCGGCGGGCGGAACTCGTAAGGGTTCGGTGAGGGACCACGTGATGGTGCTTGACCTCCAGAGCGAGGCGTAGGCGGTGGCGCTAAGACAGTGATTGAGCTTTCGGTGGCAGTGCGCATATCGACATTCAAGATGAGATCATGTTCGAAAGGATCGGCAAATGGGTCGCTTTGCCTCTCAGAGGCGCGGGCTCTGACAGGGCTAGAGCTGCGGTTTGCAGCTCGTGCGAGACCATAAGGAGACATCGGAGGGTACTCTCGTGCTGCGGGGGTGTTGTTGAAGGCATTAAAGGCATATGGGTTGATCGTGAGCGGGCCCTTGACAGTTCCACCCATTGGAGGTGGATTGGCAACAGGCTTGGGCTCTTCGGGGTCACGGAAGGGGTTCTGTGCAGCCTCATCCTTGTACTGGTTAAGACTGACGCTTGATGCTGCCGCGGCAGCATTCAGCGCCAGCGAGGGATCCCATGGCCCAGTGCTCAGATAGCTACCTGTGCTGTAGCGCGACTCACGAGGGAGAGGGGCAGGCGATGACGTCTGCTCGCGCGCAGTGTACATATGGCCTATCGAGTGGCGATGCGATGAGGCTTTTGACAGAGATCTAGCAAGTCCGCCAGCTGCAGCACCTTGAGGAGCAGGACCATACACGGATGCGCTCGAGAGCGATCGACTAAGCGCACCTCCGGCGGCACCAGACATGGTAGGGGCGGTGGACACAGCACCACCAGCTTCGGCATCATGGCCACCATTGCCTTCAGTTGGAGAATTGTAGTAAGCCTTCTCAGAGTAGTCATCTCCAATGCTGTTGCGCTTGTTGCTCATGTTGGAGTGGTAGCGACGAGCAAGGAAGAGAGCAGCAACGAGAGCAATGAGTAAACATGTTGTGCCTCCAACCGCGATACCGGCTGTCTGCGACTTGGATAGTGGTGGCGGTTTCTCTTCGCCGCCTGCACCTCCCAGAGGAGCCTCAGTCGATGAGGCCGAAGGCCTAGCAGCTGGATCAGCAGAGTCGAAGCCAGTCGGGACGGTGGGTGGAGGTCCAAGCTGTGCTGACGTCTCAGTAGGGACTTCATCGCTAGGACTGTCGGTAGGGTCATCGGAAGGTACATCGGTCTCGGAAGCCGGGTCGCTGCTGGCTTGCGAGGTTGCTTCGTCGGTAACAGTGGGTATAGCTTCAGTAGGGCTGGTCGGAGACTGCTCGACACTGCTCATACTAGTCTCAGGGTTGGTAGTGCTCTCAGAAGTGGGAACTGGGGCATCGATTGGGACCTGCGACTCCAGTGTATCCACCTTGACAGCAGTGCTCACGGTGCTGGCGGCAAGGGCTGGATCAGTTGGGTGAGCAATGGAGGCCGAGCTTGTGACTTCAGTGGGAATAGCTGATCCAGAGGTCATCGACACACCCAGGCCAGAGGTTGGCACCAAGGTTGCTGCATCAGATGATCCACTAGAGATGGCCGCCGACGTCTCGTTCACTGGTGCGAGGGTGGGCTCAACCGTACCGGATGGCACGCCGATCACGGAGGTCTCGCTGGCTGGCACCGAGGTCTCAATTGCGGAAGTCTTACCAACGGAAGTGGTCGGGGGGTCTGTTGCAGTCGGGCTTACTTTGGTTTCGCTTGTGGGTACGTCCGTAGATGCCAAGTCCGAAGGCTCCGTTGAGGCTGAGGTCGGAGTAGCAGAAGGGTCGAAAAGCGACAAGGACGGCAGATCGCTGTCCAACGGAGCTGACAATGGTGGGGTGGTCGTTGCATCAGATACTCCCACAGATGTAGGGTCTGCCGTGGGTATGAAAGTAGAGTCTGCACCATCTGTTGAGGATACGGAACCACCTGTCGGTGTCGCTGAAGGCGCAGGCGTAGCGGCAGTGCCAGATGCGCCGGGAAGAGAAACACCATCGCCTGTAGATGAGAGAGCGGGCACATCCGTGGAAGTCGTAGGAATATCTGAAGCAGTCTCGGATGCAGGAACAGTAGGCTCAACGGGCTTTACGGAGGTCAAGACCTCAGAAACGATGGAAGAGATTGCGCTGCTGACCCCAGTCGGGAGGGTATCCACATCGGATTTGACTGAGGAGATGATGTCGCTGACGTCGGTAGGAAGGGCATCGACGCCTGACTTGACCGAAGATACAACGCTCGATACAATGCTGTTGATCTCAGTAGGGATGGCATTGACATCGGACTTGACCGAGGAGAGAACGCTGCTGATGGCAGACGGTACATTGTTGACGTCAGACTTGACAGAAGATGCTACGCTCTCAATCGCCGAACTAACATCCTCAACGTCGGAAATGATAGACGAGATGGGCAGGAGATCGGGCAAAGAAGGCGCTGCAGTCGTCTCAGGGACATCGGTGCTGGCCTTAGAGCGCGAGGTAACGGCGGCTTCGAAGCTCGTGGTCGTTGGTTCCTCGGTCTGACTGGCCTCGCTGGCTTTCTCTGATTGAGTTCGCGACCTCGTCGGGATTTCGATCTCTGATTCAGTAGTCTCCTGAGTGAGAGTTGAAGATGGAGTGACAGTTTCTTCAGCTGAAGTGGCATTCTCAGCACCACTTGAGGTCGGTACAGTTGTAACGGTTGGCTCGGGTGTAGCTACTGACTCGCTGTGTCGGCTGCGAGTGTGCGATGGGGTGGGCGTCTCGATGGAGCCGGTCAGGGTTGGATCCTCACTCGTGGACTGCGGCACTTCTGAGTTCGCCTCCGATGTTGAAGGCTCCGTGCTTGATCTGACAGTCGTGACATCTTCGGTGGTCTCCGGAATGGCACTCGTGCTGGTATCAGATGCTTCAGCCGATGTAGTTGAGATGGGTGCAGCCGTAGTAGATGGCTCTAGGCTCGAGCTGGCCTCCGACGATACGGCAGCCTCGGCTGTAGACGGCACTGCACTCGAGGTGACAGAAACCGGGACTTCAGTAGATTCAGGAATGACAGAAGAGCTAGGGTCTGTAGTGATTGCCTCGGTACTGGAAATGGTTTTACTTAAGGTAGGTTCCAAAGTAGGAAGCTCTTGAGAAGTGGCGGTTTCCGGACCATTATCTTCAATGGAAGTGGGCTCAGGCTGCTTTGCTGCGGGCTTGCGAGACCTTGATGAGGTTGTGGGGATCGCAGCAGTCTGCTGTGGAGTCTCGGTGAGAAGTGCCTCAGTCGTCGTTGGTGCTTCGGACGTAGTAGACACCTCATCCTGGGATGCTGAGGTAGCTGGAAGGTCGTCTGATGTTGAGACAACAACAACGGAAGTCGGGCTTTCGGGCACTTCTGGCTCCTGAGTTTCTGGTACCTCTGGTACGGTTGTCTGATTTGACCATGGTTGTTGTCGCCTGTTCAGGCGGTTGTACCGTCGAGCGGTAAGGCTGTCCCTCTTACCCAGGACCTCATCTGTCGTGATTGTCAACTAAACTGCATGCAGTGTATTCGAGTGGATGCCTACCTCTGTGCGGAAAAGCTGCATTAGTTGGAGTTACGAGCAACGCCGTATAGGAAAGGACCAAAACACCCTTGAACCACATGGCATTGTCGAAGAAAGGAGTGACTGAATGAACGACAAAACGAGAAAGAGAGCGACAGAGAATGTGAAACGAAAAGACAGGTACTATGTCCTTAAGGAAGGCGCGACGTGGCGAAGGCCGACGGTATATCACTTTGCCGCATGCTGGATTCCATTACATCGGGGGCCACGCTTTGGGACCTGCATCCCTGCTGAGATCTGACCAGGGTGCTGTCGGGGTTGAGGCTTAGCGCGCACCTACCAACGCCCCAGTCCGAGGGGACAACCACGTCAGCTAACAATAGACGGTATACCGCAAACGCATAATTTCGCTCGCAACTTCCTGGCGGACTCGCGACGGACCAAATCTGGTAGTATACCGGTAAGTCAGAAGCTTGAATTATGTTTCAATCCGCCAGCAGCCAAACGGGTTCGTTCCTCACCAAGACTAGGGGGGAGTACCTGCAGGTCTTGCAGCTGGACAAGACGAATGTAAGAAGCGTTACCTGAAACGGCGTCCTGGTTGGTCTCGATATCCAGGTCAATTCTAGACTTTGCTACACCTAAGATCATCTTGGTGAGCTATACCGTCTATTACAAACAAATTTCGGACTAAGGAGCTGCGGGATTCTAGCTAAACAGAGATCGCGGTTCGCGTGGACGTGGATGATCAATAAGAGCCAGCAAGCGTGCAAGACCATTTCGTTCACGACAGGGGTCCGCGTTTCCTCCACATTCTAGTTTCAAGGCTCGCGCTGTGGCTGTCTTGTCCTCAATCAAGAACTTTTCAATACGGCGCTTGTCGCATCTCCAGTGACGATGTGAGCCTGACTGTCGCGTACGAGCTCCTGCAGCCATATTGGCGTTCCGCGCAAGAGTGGTGCAAGCTTTGGACCAAGGACCAATTGGCCGCTCTTGGCCGCAATAATGTGGTCTACCATGATCTTTGCAATGTCCTCAGGTTCTTTCAACATCCCGCCAAGGCGTTTTTGTATCGTGGCGTTCAAGCGTGTCCTGGTCCAATAGGGGTATACAATGGATGTTTTGATCTGTGGACATTTGTATCGATGTTTTAACTCTTGGGTCAAACTCTCGTGAAAAGCTATCAGGCCAGCTTTTGTTGCAGCGTAGTCTCCACCGCCTGCTAAGCCGACGAAACCGGCCATGCTGGAGGTAGCCATTACATGGCCTTTCTTCTTAGCAATCATATCTGGAAGGAACTCTTGCACCGTGTACCAGTGGCTGACCAGATTGAGTCCTATCAGGGTTTGTAGAAGTTTTGGCGAGAGATCGAGAATGCAGCTCGAGTTACCTATCCCAGCATTGTTGATCAAGATGGAGGGAGAACCATGGTCCGAGCGCAATGCAGCAGCAGCCTCGTGGACAGCGTCTCGTGAAGTGAGATCGCATTGGTAGAATGAGACCAGGCTGCCATCTACGTCTAAGGTTAGCGGCGACTGACGGCCTAAGTGTGGGTCAAGATGAAAGCCTGGCGCGCACCATTCTGGACAGCTTCGGACAACGGCTGGATGTCGAGAACGGCGACCTTTACGCCATGCGAGGTGAGCTGGTTCACCACGGCAGCGCCAATGCCATGCGAGCCTCCAGTGACAACGGCGAATTCCTTGTCCCACTGCCAGGAGCTCTTGTCGTTGGTCAACATCCAGCGATTCTCGGCCCACGCATTGAGAAGGCTGTTGATCTCGAGAACGAGACAGCCGGCCAAGACCCACTTCAGTACACGAGCAAGAAGCATGGACCGCGCGCTCGAGAGAGGTAAGAGGGTTGGCGCGCCGTAAGAGGAAGGGGCGGTCGAGAGTGCGATCAAGGCTCCAGCAAGCACTAAACCCCGGATCGCAGCCATGGCGACGCCGCTGGGCAGCAGACTGTCGAATTGCAAACCCGAGCCGCGAGCAGCCTGGGTATCGCACGTGTGGAATGCCAATGTAGGCCTCGCGGTGAGTGAATGTGGAGCCAAGGACGCCTGAATGCTTCTATCCGCGCGCAGACGGTGGGGAGCAGCCGGAGATTGGGCGATTGAAGCAGACAGTGGGCGATGCAGGTACCAGCACTGAGCAGCGTGAGACGGAGAGCACGCTGCCGGGCCTGGCTGAGGGCGACGACGGAGCACTGGGCGGACTTGGACGTGTTAGCCAGGAACGCGCCAGCCTAGCGCCTGCCATACGAACTCCGACGCGTGCTTGGCATTGCCGAATCAGCATCATCAGAATCTTTCGGACATTGTCCTACGCCACCTTTGCACCAGCGATCCCAGGCGCGTTTCAGAGCCTTCGTGCGATTGTCTGGATCACTCTGCTGCATGCCGCCGGCCAGACCCTCGATCCGGCATCTCTGCCTCGGCAGCACCCTGACGCCGTTCCTATATCCCTCCTTGTCCGAAGCCTGCGCGCATTCGTTCGCCCGTCCATTTCTCGTCGGCAGACCATCACGACCGGTAAGATGTAGTTCTTCCACCGCCGAGAGCGCTGGCTCTCACTCCGAATCGCCCGACGACCAACCATCTCATCTCAATCCCACGCCGGACAACTACGCGTTGACGCCCTTCGCCGACCGATGCATCCTGACAGTAGAATCGGGCGCTGGTGGCCACGGCTGTGTGTCGTTCTTGCGTGAGAAGTACATCGAGGAAGGCCCTGCCAACGGCGGAGATGGCGGCAGCGGTGGCAACGTATACATACAGGCAGTGCGCGGCGAGACCTCGCTGCACAAGCTTGCACGGCGGCGGCTCCTGAAAGCGGGAAGGGGCAAGAACGGACAGGGGAAGGTGAAGGGCGGGGAGCGCGGCGCAGACGTGCTCATCACAGTGCCCGTGGGCACCATTGTGCGCGAGATACTGCGGCACGACCCGATAGCAGAGGAGATCGCAGAGCAGGAGCGACTCGAACGCGAGCGCGGCCGCCCGCGCTGGCGCAACAAGAAGACCGAGGAGAAGGAGAGGCAGTTGGAAGAAGATCTAGAGCAAGGCAGCTACAGGAAGGACAAATGGCTGGTGTTCCCTGGAATGGTACCTTCGGAACTCAATAGACTGTCCTTCCCGCCTCTACCACCGCCACGGAAGTCGCACCTGGCCGCACTCCAACCGCAAGCTCCCATATGGCTTGATTTGGATAAGCACATGGAAACCCCCATGCTTCTCGCCGCTGGAGCCATGGGCGGTCTAGGCAATCCTCACTTCGTTCTGCCTAACCAATACCGCCCGATGATGGCGACAAGGGGCGATCCGGGCATGAAGATGTCGCTGCAGCTGGAACTGAAGATACTGGCAGACCTTGGGCTTGTAGGTCTGCCCAATGCGGGAAAGAGCACACTGCTGCGAGCATTGAGCAACAGCCGAGCTCGCGTGGGCAATTGGGCCTTCACGACCTTGCAGCCCAATGTGGGCACCGTGGTCCTGGACGACCACAAGGGCCGGCCCAAGGTCATCAAACGGGGGAGAGATGGCTTGCTGCGCGACAACTTCACGATTGCTGACGTGCCTGGGCTGATCGAAGATGCGCACCTTGACAAAGGTCTGGGTCTCGGTTTCCTGCGCCATGTGGAAAGAGCTGCCGTTCTTGCATTCGTCATTGACCTGTCCGCTGGCGATGCTGTGCAAGCTTTGAAGCTTCTTTGGCGTGAAGTATCCGAGTACGAGACCATGCGAGGCAAAGAGCTCAACGCCGAGACTGAGCGTCGCATGGATCAGATGGTCACCTACGAGCCTCCGACCCGTCGCTCTACGCCCAGCGAACCCGCAGACATGCTTAACTCGCCAGACTTCGACACGCCGCTCGAGCCTCTGGAGTTCATTCCTACCACGCCCATCTCAGCGAAGCCTTGGTTCGTGATTGCAACGAAGGCCGACTTGCCGGGGACTCAAGATAACTACCAGCAGCTGCAACATTATCTGGAGGCTGTGAACAAGAAGGCGGAACAGCACCCTAGTGGGCGCAAGAACGCTTGGAAGAAGGGCATCCAGGCGGTCCCTGTGAGCGCCATCAAGGCCGAGGGAGTTGAGATTATACCCCAGCTGGTGATGGATCTTCTAGAAGAATAAGATACCCCTCTCAATATAATTTCAATTTGTATGAACAGATTCACCACCACTCGTGTCCACCAACTACCTTGCTCCATGTACGGCATCAATCCACACTCAGCCCGCGCCCATATCCCCCATATGTGTCCACCCACTACCACCACCGACCACTTCCCAACCCGGCGACAGCTACGCTTTGCAATCTCCGCTCGCTAAGCTGGCATACGAAGCAACACGCCCCAACGCTGCAGGTACGCGCTTGTTGCCCCCCTTGGCATGCCAAGTGATCTCACGCATCATCTCCGGCGCACCGTTGCGCGCATAGGCGACCTGGGGTCGGCGGAGGGCTAGGCTGGTGAGCCGAAGGAAGATAGAAGAGGGTCTGATGGGTGCGGTATTTCACAATGTGGTGGTGAGGGGGACTCTCTTAAGGGAGAATGTCTTGACAAAAGGGTGCGCTATTGAGAACAGCCCGAGTGCGAGGTTATGCTTGCCATGGGTTTCATACAATTCACATTTTCCAAAGGAGCGCAGCTTAGGTGAGGAGAAGGAATGGAGGCACTGGGTTACAAGATCATCGTGCGAGCCTGTGTATTCAGACGGAAGGAGCTGGGGCTTGTAGAGAGATAGCAAAATCGTGTTGAGGTGTTCTTGAAAGACATCAGTAGATAGCACAGTTTAGAAAATTAAGGATCGATCTACCACTCCGCCATCTAAGCTCTAGCTGACAGCAAAAATATCATCAGAACAAGAGCGGGAAAAAGCAAAAAAGGAAAGCTAGCGAGCAATCGCTTGAATTAACTGTCTATACCAAATTTCCGACACCGGGAATCGAACCCGGGCCACATCGGATCAATTCTGTGAAGGAATGAGAGCGATGTATCCTAGCCACTAGACCATATCGGATGTTGTTTGAATGATGAAAAGGTTTATACTTTATCGTATATATACCAAATAATGTTACATGATTCTTCCCTCACAGAAAGGGGTCTTGCGAAGGCAGGACGGGCTAAACTGTGCAGCGGAACTCAAGCACTACTACTACTTAGCGAGCCGAGGGTGCCGGAGCTGGAAAAGCACGACTGGGCGTCACCCAGCATGACCAAGCTCTGAGGAAAAAGAACCTCTTGGACCTCCATGAGGACTCGTGTCCTTGGAACTTTTTACTCAAGATCGCCTGGCTACTTAAGGGTGTTGTTGAGGAAAGTATGTTGCCCATACTTTTTGTCCATGAAGAGCACCGCTAAATACACAAATAAATCATGACAACAAAGAGAGACATGTTGTGGTACACTGCGCTTTTGAAAAAAGTTTGTTTGAGGTTCTACATGCCATACAACATTTTCAGGTCCATTTCCCTGCAAGTTGCTGTTCGATATGAGCAAGTGCATCTACGACAGATCTACAGCTATCCTCAAGGACAGCGTTGCGCCCTGTAATACATGGATGGAAACACGCCGAACGCTTGATCCTGATCGGAATAGATCCTAGGAGTCACTCATCGACGTTTTGGAAGTGACTCAAAAGATAGGGATGCGAAGGCAAAGCGCGGAGGTGTGACTCTTCCCCGAAGCCGCTACCAAACCCCGCGACATGCTACAAAAAGTTGCCCCGCGCCTTCTAACGCAACACCACATCCTCTGCAACCACACACGCAGCCAACATGTCTTCAAGAACTTCCGCATTCGATCTGTCGAAATGCGCCCGACCAAACATTCTCGCATTGGAGCCATACCGCTGCGCGCGCGAGTACGTCGGCTTTCGAAGCGCTTATCGAGCCACCACTTACACGGCGCAGTGACTACAAAGACGACGGCACAAACATTCTCCTCGACGCGAATGAGAACGCGATGGGCCCAGGGCTCGCGCTCAATAAGGATGGAAAGCTCACAAATGGCACGTCAAATGGCTCTGGGCCCGCCGTTGACATCGACTTGCTCGGTCTCAACCGTTATCCCGATCCGTAAGTGCTCTTACCTCTGCGCACAGCAACGGGAGCTAACAACATGCGCAAGACACCAACTAGAACTCAAGCAAGACCTCTGCAACCTCCGCAATTTTAAAGTCCACACCTCGAAAACTCTCACTCCCGCCTCTCTCTTTGTCGGCGTAGGCTCGGACGAAGCGATCGATGCACTCCTCCGCGCCTTCTGCGTTCCTGGCAAGGACAAGATCCTCGTATGCCCACCCACATACGGCATGTACAGCGTTTCCGCACAAGTGAACGATGTCGCGCTCGTAAAAGTACCCCTGCAGATACCAGGCTTCCAGCTTGACGTGCCTGCGGTAAAGGACGCATTAGCGAAGGATCAGAGCATCAAGCTGGCCTACCTCTGCTCTCCGGGCAACCCCACCGGTGCGATGTTGAAGAAGGAGGATATCAAGCAGATACTGGAGCATGAGAGCTGGAATGGCGTCGTGGTGGTGGACGAGGCGTACGTTGACTTCGCGCCCGACAACGCGAGTCTGGCAGAATGGGTGACGGAGTGGCCGAACTTGGTGGTTATGCAGACACTCTCGAAGGGGTTCGGACTTGCGGGTATACGGTTGGGCGCGGTTTTCACAGATCCCGCGATTGCGCGCATACTCAACTCGTTGAAGGCACCGTACAATATTTCCAATCCGACCAGTCAGCTTGCGCGCGCGGCATTGGACCCGAAACACTTGGAGGTCATGTACAAGAACAAGGATCTGATTGTGAAGCAGAGAGAAAGAATGCTGGCGGAGCTTCCCAAGATACCCGGTGTCGGTAAGTTCCTTGGAGGCGAAGAGTCAAATTTCCTGCTCTACGAGATGCTGGATGCGCCCGCGGATCAGGGTGGCAAACCCTCCAACGAGACGGCGTTGGCTGTTTACGAGGGTTTAGCTGAAGAGAAGGGGGTCGTGGTGCGATTCAGAGGAAAAGAACATGGGTGCTTGGGCTGCTTGAGGATCACGGTTGGCTCGGAGCAAGAGGTAGACCGTTTCTTGGAGGAGATTAAGATCGTTTTACAGAACATCTTCAAAAAGTCTGGGAAGCCAGGGGCAAAGGATGAAGAAAAGAAGGAGGAGGAAGCTAGCGCCATTGTGGCATAGATCCTTTGGATACCATTGACTTCCATCCTGGCTTCTTAAACGACTCATTCAGCATTAGACATCTAGACCAAGCGATAATTACCTTGAACATAACAAGACCACCAACCGCCCCTTTCCTTCCATCGTATCCGTTCATTTTCCAAGACAAATAGAAACAGACCCCAGTATCCGTGCAACAACCTTCTGCTCCTCCTTGCCCGCATTAACACCCGTCCCATCCATCTTCCCCACACTGACACTAACCACACACACCCTCAGATGCAATTTTATTACCTAACTCTCCAAAGGCAACCGTCCCCTATTCCCACATACCTCCACATCCGGGGTCGGCACTCAACCCCTGTCTCAAGTTGCACGCTGAAATCAACATTCGTCAACACAAACCTAAAATTATCCGCGCTCGTACAATTCCCCTTCACCTGTGGGAAATTGACATTGAACCACACACTGGGTGGAAGGAAGGGCTTTACACCCTGTACCAGCGTCTCCACCAGCTTGCTTGCCAGCTCGGCGTAGATCAGACTATGCTTCGGCACAGGCCTATCTCAGCCCACCATCACGCCTTCATGTCCTGGGAATGCGAGTGCAGGGACGCCGTGCCTGGGCGCGTACATGGCTACGTTGTCGGTTCCCGAGCCGTAGACTTGCCACCCGAAATTGTATCCGACATTTACGCCTGAGACGACGAGGTCGGCGAGGGCGGTGGTGCTCCAGGGCGTGGACGCAATTCGTTGTAGGCCGATGCGGACGTTGGTGATAGGGTAGGAATTTACGTAATTGAGGCGTGGGTTGGAAGCATTGTAGCCGATGGCGGGGGAGAGTGATGGGCAAGATTTGTATTCGCAGCCGTGGTACTTGGGGGGAGGTTTGGGGAAGATGTCTATGGAGCCTGGGAAGGCGGGTTAGTGGTGGGCAGTAGTATGTCATGGGGGCGAACCTGAGCCGGAGCGGTCGAGTGAGGGTGCTGAGAGGATGACATCGTGACCAGCGGTTGTAAGGCGGGAGAAGAGAGTGCGAGCATTGTCCTCAAACCAGCCATCTTCGTTCGACTGAAGTATCTTGAGAGATGAAGCGCGTCGCACGGGTGGTGGTGCAGCGGTGGTGCAGCAATGCTGCCACAGAAGAGAGCTGCGGCAACTATTGCCTGGACCTGCAGTTCGGCAGTGAAAGATAGTAGGCCAAAGTATGGAAAGGATCACACCACGAAGTCTGGGTATAATTGACTTATTTTATGGTCCTCACTCTTCTCAACACGCTTTGGAAATGCTTCATTTTTTTTATTGAGCTGTCGAAGATTATAGCTGCAGGGCATTATTAGTCCATCTTCATTGCAAGGTGGACGGCTGTCAAGGCTGGTCTGCGGATGCTCAAGCACACAGTTGGTCTGCTAAAACCTCGTCGTTATTGGGTTTGGGATCTTTGTGGAGGTGAACTGTGTTGGAGTTGATGATGGACTGTCTCTGGTTGGTGCCTTAGGCTTAGTGCCACGGCGTTCCAGTAGACGCGTGCCACCTTCCATTCTAAACGTTCATCGACGCCGTTGATGATACATGTTTGTCAAAAGAGACATAGACAGAATACACCTGCTTCACCATGTGTATGACACTATCCGACATCGGCCAGCGTTCGCCCTTAACGTGCAGGCTCCCATCGAACAGATCCCGACGCATGGACTAGACGAAACCAGCAAGCGTGGAAGCACCAAAAACGAGAACGCATTCTCGTCGGTTCTTTGTTCCAAGTCTAACCGTGCTCACAAGCGAGCTCCAGAAAGAATTTCGCAACAGCGAAATGCTTAAGAAACCCGTTGTGATACTTACGTCACAATCCTGTGCGACATTCATCGCCTATCAAGCAACCTTGAGGTCGTACAACATCGGATCGAGCTGTCTCCCGCATGGCCAGCCCAGAAACTGCGAGGAGGCCACGGCTTCAGACGGTTGTACATGCGCAAAGCGTTCTGACGGATGCAGCGGAGACCCACTCAGGACCAAGGTTCATGACGCCACTAACGTGGACCGATACTACGCTGCGCTAAAGGGCATCTGAATGGGTAATTGCTATCAACTAACGGCTGCCCGCTGCGATCGTTCTGACGGACTGAAACGCTTCTTGTTTTCGCCATAGTATTCCATTTACTGAACGCACCTTACAGCCACTAGGGTGACTCGGAATATTCAAGTACCAATGTTCCTTATCACTCGTCAACAGGGCGTTTTCAGCATCGTTCAAACACTCTTGAAATCATGTTAGATCATAACACCCGGGGTCGGCAGGCCGTCATCCTCTCGAGTGTGTTCAGCGCTTTTGCTACCTTGACGGTGCTTTTGCGATTGTATACTCGCTTATTCGTTATTCGCTATCTTGGGGTTGAAGATTACTTCGTCTCCATTGCTCTGGTAGGGCATCCAGATCTTGAAGGAGCATGGTTAACACAATTCTAGGTATGCTCCATCGGTCTCAATATCTGCATCGGCATTCGTGAGTACCATCGCTATTCTCAGTACAAGAGAGGAACCAACCTTTCATAGAGGCCAAACATGGAATGGGTCTGCACATATGGGAATTGCAGCCTGTGGATTCGCTATACTCCTTGAAGGTACGCACATTGCTACAGTGATACTGCAACCGCTTATTATTTTCGTCAAGGCTTTCTACGCGAGTCTCATCGTTTACTACCTCTCACTCGGCTTCACCAAGGTTTCCATCCTTCTACAATATCGCCGCGTATTCTCCACGAGGAAGTTCCAGATTGCCTGTGATGTCGTCCTGGCGGTCGTCGTGGTCTACGCTTTCTGGACCGTCTTGAGCTCCATCTTCGGATGTAAGCCAATTCAAGCCTTCTGGACGCTGAAGCATCCGTTCAAATGCCTGGACCAGTTCACGGTATGGTTCTTCAACGGCGCCATGAACATCTTGACAGACCTTTCCATCATTGTGCTACCAATGCCGGTCATTCGCAAGCTCAACCTACCCCGAAGGCAGAAGCAGGCGCTCATCGGAATATTTGCCATCGGTGGCTTGTAAGTGGATCCAGTACTTTTCCCACACGTTCTCGGGCGTGCATGTGGCGTGAGCCTCCGTTGAAGTCTGGGCGTTCAAGCTGTGACTGTCATACGATGCACCGTACCACCGGGGCGCTTCAGAAGTGCAGCCCCACACCTCCACCCCAAGCCATCCAGCACCCGATCTTGGCCTTCTCAGCTGACGATACCCATATAGCGTCTGCTTGGTATCCATATTGCGCCTCCAATCGCTTGTCGCGATATCCAACTCACCCGACCCCACTTATAACAACCCACCAGCGGCAACATGGTCCTCCATTGAGACCAACGTTGGTATCATATGCTCCTGCCTCCCCTGCTTGCGTCCTCTTGTGACTCGCTACCTGCCTGGCGTCTTTTCAAACACATCTAGCCGCTCCGAACAGAGCGGCAAATCCAAGGAAGTCCGTCGTGGATCACGCAATACATTCAGTAGGCGTACAGGTGAAGCGAGCACAAACGTCTCCACGGTGAAATCGGAAGACATGTTTGATATGAACCAATTTGACGACCGAGAGTCGATCATCCGCGTTGTGAAGGAAGTCCATATCACTGTGGAAAACAGGCAGACTGGGGCGCATGTGAAAGAAGATGTTTGAGTGCAGGTGCTCTGTTTTGGACTTCTGCAAGCTTTTGGTAGAATGTCCTCCTGTTCATATTCTGATCGCTGCTAGCGGCTTACGATGTTTACGACGATATGATGACATCCTGCTGGTCGGGAATCATGACTGGTATGGTCTGTATCATTTGAGGTCATCAATGAAATATGATGTCCGACTTCAAAGTGCTTGCTTTGGCCTCGACCACGTGAATCTAGCAACGGATGACTCACCTTTCACATCGACTCACCAGCCCTTATCCGCGACCATCTCTCACATGCAAAGGCAACCATCAACAATCTCAGATGGTCAGATACCATAAAGCTCGTTAGCTTTATATCTTGTCGTGCGATTGACCAGAGGCTGCCCTGATGCCCGAACCCGAGTCAACAACACCGCAAGCGACGGCCAATCCTGTGGCGGCCGCCACCCAGCAGCTGCACCCCACGCTTGCCGACCGTATGAAGAAGTACGAAGCTTCTTTCGACTTCACACTTCCTCTTGCAGCATCCACCATCCTGCGACTCGACGGCCATACATTCTCGCGCTTCACGGCGAACTTCCACAAGCCATTCGACCAGCGCATCCATAACGCGATGATAGCCACATGCGTCGACCTCCTTAAATACTTTAACCAAGCGACAGTAGCATACACGCAGTCCGACGAGATAACGCTGGTCTTTCCTTCAGGCGTGCAGACTTTCAATGAGCGCGTGCAGAAGCTGAGCAGCCTCGCAGCGAGCTACTGCTCTGTGAGATTCAACGCGCATCTCGCTGCATACCTGGCTGCGCAGCCCGAACCGAAGGTCAAGGACGCTGCTTACGGTGCGCTGGGAACTGCGCACTTCGACGCGCGGTTCTTCACTGTGCCGTCGGTGGAGGAGGCGCTGAACTGCTTGCTTTGGCGGTGCCGCGGGGATGCGATGAGGAATTCGGTCAATGCGTTTGCTAGGTCGCTCTATGACGACCGGCAGCTGCATAAGAAGACTGTTGTTGAGGTGCTAAATATGTTGCGCAACGAGAAGGGCGTCGAGTATGAGGATGCAGTGCCACGCTGGGCAATTGAGGGAAGTCTGGTAAAGTGGGAGCAGTTTGAGCACGAAGGTGTCAACTTAAAGACGGGTGAGAAGGTGATTGCGATGCGGACAAGGACAAAAGTGAAGGACCGAGGTGTCAGAGAGTTTTCCGAGGGAAATCTTAAGTTGGTGACGCATAAGTTTTGGTAGGGAAGGGTAAGGTTGCCATCAGTACTGGTGACGGCGCACACTGTGAGTTGTCATGCCGCATGCGCCTGGTACCACCTGCCTTCTAGGAATTCCAAAGGGCCACGGAGCAGCTTCCCAAAGGCAATGCACCACCAAAATATCCCATCGAATGAGAATTTGATTCTCTGATGGTATGCTTCGAAGTTCATATTCTGGCACGTGTCGGCCTTTTCTGACACCGTTCCTGAACTTTCTCTCGTTCTTCGTTCATCAGCCGCACTATCTTCTCCCAAGATAAACGCGCTACAACATTTCAAGGAGGACCCTAAATCGTGACTCGCGGCCAGGGGGATATCCGTGGGGGCTGCACGCTCCTAAGCCTTATTTGGGCCGCATCAAGCATGGATCGGTCGCCTTGTGTTCCAGATGAGATCCCCACCCACTAGGCTGCATGATCATCCCGGCTGACATGAGGCTGAACAAAACTGCCAACACCCCCTCGCTTTTCCGTCCCGATTTCACATCAGCGTGTGATCAAGCCGGACCGGCCGCGCGACGAGATGGGGTATACGCGACTTGATGAAATCGTGCAGCCGCTGCCGCAGGAACAGGGACTACATCAGATTAAGAGCTATTCAGATTCACGTGCAACTTTCGAGGGTATACCGCCGGGTTTTAGAGACCACCCTACGCAATATACGGGATATGACCCGATCAACACTCATTTCTACGCGCCACCCACCGGTCCTCCGCCAGGCGGCCCAGAGAAAGGCCCGCCTAGAGAAAGCCAACAATACCTTGGACGACTCCCCTCAGCAAATGTATGGGCAATGAACAAATTGAGATCCTTCATTCTCGCCTTCGATGTAGTCTTCCATTCGTCATCTTTAATGTTCGTTGGTAAGTTGTGGTCTGTTGCGTTCTCGCTTTCTGCTAACACATTCCGAAGCACTCGCTCTCATCGCTGCGCGAATCGATGGCAAAGAGGTATCACAGTACGGACAGCACCTCCAACAAGTGCTTCTTCTGTCGCCGACTATCTTCCCCGTGATCTTCGCTGCACTTATGGGACGGTGTTTCAAGTACCTAGGCTTAAATTTAGCTGAACGTGGTACGACTCTCGGTCGCCTGGAGCAGCTCATCGGTTCGACCTCACTTTTCTCTGCGCTCGAGCGTCAGATATCCTTGCGCGGATTCTCATTGATCGGGTACATATTGATGATCTTATGGCTCCTTTCCCCGCTTGGAGGTCAATCTGCCCTGCGTTTGATGGGAGAAGAAACAAACAGCGTCTTCTCGAACGGCACTATTCAATATTTGAACCCTGATACAGTCGTGGGCACTGCTATGGGCGCGGCAAGCGATATCAACAGTGCAAGAAGTGTATTCTCGCCGATCTTTCTCGCTTCGTTGCTTTCTAGCTCGAAGTATCAAGACACGTCCATGGACCTTTGGGGCAACGTCAAGATGCCGCGGTTTGCATCTGTCGAAAGCAGTACGTCCGACGAGTGGAAGACGATCAAAAGTGACAATAACACAAACATCACGTATGCTTCGTTGATTGGCATTCCCGTGGCTCAGCTTGACAAGATCGGAGCAAGCAACTTCTCCGTCAAGGCACGGCAGTGGGATGTAGACTGCGACAAGAATGAGATGCAGGGAGGAAAACAAGCAGACTTCGGCAGCATGGACGTGTCAACCTGGAAGGTCGCTTACACCCCCGTCAACAGCTCTTGCAGCAAATGGCCATGCTCCATCAGCTTCAAGTCCATGGCCAACAATGATGCTGAAAATAAAGACTACTTTAACTATACCGTCGCCAGCTGCAAGTTATCCTACGATGCGTACGAGACGAGAATCAGTTGCAAAGGGCGATCCTGCATCCCCACTGCGATAAGGAAAGTTGATTCGTACATCGGCGTCAATTACACCCGAGACACTGACGCCTTCTTCCGGAACACCCCCGCATTCAACACCATGATAACCCTGCCGCGCATTGACAACCTGGGTGTAGGCTCAGTAGCCTTCCGCGGCAGCACGAACGCAGAGAAATGGATGGCCGATCCCACAAACTTCGTCGGGCTGAAGACTTACGTCCAGCTCTACGAGTTAAGCCCCGAGGTCCTGTCCAACAGACTCACGATTCTCTGGAACTCCTTCTTCCAGTCCACGTACGCGATGAACACGCTCGGTGGCAATCTCGACCAAACCTTCGACAATACCACTCAGTCGACAGACTCGCAGCTCTTCAACGGGACTGCGTCTACGATTTCGACGCCCATGCCGAGCGTTTGGAAACTCAATTGGAAGTGGTTCACTGCGCTCCTGGTGTCGTCGATTATCCTCCAGATTGCTGCGTATATGGGGTTGTTCTTCAAGTACTATACATGTGTCCCGGACATCATTGGATATGCGAGCAGTATGACGCTATTGAATCCTTATGTGCCTACGCCGACTGGTGGCACGACATTACATGGATTAGAGCGGACCCATATGCTGCAGGACATGAAAGTCATGATAGGGGACGTGTGTGCGAATGAAACTATCGGTGCGGTAGCATTTGCAAAAGCGGATGAGGGGAGAGTCGCACGTTTGACTAGGAGGAGATTATACGTATAGAACCTTGGTTTGTTAGATGGCTTGTGCAGTTAGATGGATACCCATATACTGGATTCCTCGTGTAATCTATGTACAACAACGACGAATGACATATATGAACGCCGATTTACTATGCAGTACCGCTTGCTACTTTGCGCAGAAAAACATGAAACCGCCCAAACAAAATCTTGATCGCTGAAATAGCATGTCTTGCTGCAATCAACGCCAGAATATACTCGAAGCAGATGTCGTAAAGTCGTTAGAATGTCGATACTCTCTCGGCCGTCACGCTGAAAACGCCGCACCAACCAGGTATCAATACTGCAACCATTGAAAGTCGTTGTGCGCAAGAATCAGGTTATGTCCTTCGCCCCATACCACGCCCTCTACCGCGAACTGGAGCGATCCGATTTGGATCAGGGGTGACAACAAGCCGCATTGACTAGCGGCAAATGCTTGAAAAGCTTTCGCGTTCGCTTTGAGGGTTGTCTGCATCGTCTCGAGTAGGTCTTCAGCTTCGTCCGCGTCAACATTGACACGGCGCTGCTCTGCTCGTGGAACCTCCAAACCCGGCACCATGGTGGTCGGTGTGCGGAAGTTGAGAATAAGACTCTCGGTGTACAATAGGTTGAATCTTGAATCGCCATACGAAAGAAGATTTGCCAGCGTCTTAAGTAGGATAGCTATGTAGTCGAACAATTGCTCTGCGAAACTCTCGGATACGTCCTCGATAAGATGGGCAAGCTCGTGGTCGTGCGGGGATTGGAAATGTCCTTCGTAATAGAAAGGTTCCCGGATGCGCAGGTCCACATTGACGACGAGCGAGTTGATAGTGGACGATAATCCGGGAAACCACACCCATGTCAAAGCGAAATATGGCCGGCCGTGGGAAAACGTAATGTCCAGTTCGTACTCTAGCTGCTTTGAAGCCGCCAGATGTTGTATTGCTTGCTTGAACTCGCAGTATGTCTTTCGACAAGTCTGTAAAAGGCCGCGGTAGTTCCGAAGGGGCAGACGCTCTTTGACATATACCTCCGAAACGGCCATAACGGCTCGGAAGTGGGGTTCCAGCTCTTCTCGGAGCAGGAAATCATAGACAACATTGCGAATTTCCAGTGGTAAATCCAAGAAACCGGTCATGATAACAATACAACAGGGAAGGAATGGGGCCGCGGATGGCAGGGATCAGGGTGGTGGCTTGATCGGACGCAGGGTTATCGGTAGGGAGTGGTTGGCGGCAAAGAAGCGCTGTAGACGCACTTTGGGCCCTTTGCAGCGCAGAGAATCACCGCGACATCGTAAAGGCGGTAGTGTCCAAAGTGACAAGGGAGGAATGCGAGGACACTCTAGACGTCGCGCTGTCGGCTGCCGACACAAAGCTGAAGTTTGACACAGCCGGTCTGTGCGCGGAACATGATCGCTGCTGCACGTGTAGGTCTAGGCCTGATCAAGTATCGTGTCTCATCTGGACCAAAGGAAATCCACGGCGCGCCGATCACTCGCCTAGACGCCCATACATCAGATCGTGCGAGCGGTCAACGTCCGACGATATCCTAGTGGCTGCATATACGTAGGAGCTCCCTGCCTCCGTTAAACTTGGCAATCGGTGGGCGAGGCGACAAGGCCTATTCACTTCACTTGATCCAGATGAGCTTTGACGTATCATCCCAACGGGACGCACTATTCACGTTGTTCCTCAATTGACACTCCACAGTACTGAATCCTCACTGGGAGCAGAAGGAGTGATGCTGGTCGATGAGATGGAAACAGTGGAAGACCCGAACTTGTTTCGCATCACGTCCATGGACGATCCTGCACTATCACCCGTCAGTACCTCGCAGCGTCTTCCAGTCAGGCGACTGCGATCTGGCGGACGCGTTAACCAAGTGTCGAAACCACTCGAGGACACATTTGCTGCGGAAGACCCTCCGAGAGTGACTAAATACGATGTCAGTGTGTTCTGAAGTGGGTTGGGTCGTTCGCTGACTCATTATTGCAGGTCGGTTGGCGAAGAATAGTTCGCAATTTCTCTCCGTCATGGTTCGCGGTTACGATGGGTACCGGGATAGTATCTCTGCTATTCATCACCATTCCATTCAAAGCACGCTGGCTATACTGGTTATCTGTCATCTTCTTCTGTCTAAACACGCTTCTCTACTTCACCTTCCTCATCATCTCCGTATTACGGTATACGCTATATCCAGAAAGTATGTAAGAAATTGACATACTGGGGGTTTTACCACCTACGCTAACCACATGTTGAACTCTAGTATGGAAAGTAATGGTAGCCGACCGGACGAACTCGCTATTCCTAGGATGCATCCCAATCGGATTCGCAACTCTCGTCGAGGCCTGGATCTTCCTGTGTGTTCCGTACTGGGGCCGTTGGGCTGTCAACTTTGCATGGGTCTGTTGGATGATTGATAGTATCGTCGCGGTGGCTGTAACCGTCTCCCTTGCAGTGATCCTAACGAGCACACCGCAACAACACCAACTCGATTATATTACCGCGGTTCAGCTATTGCCGATTGCCGCCACGATTGTTGCTTCAGGTACTGGAGCCGAAGGTTCGTGCCTACCTCCTCATCTGTCTCACAACTATGGGCTAATACTCGCCTTTGCATCGTACAGTTGCGAAGGTCTTACCAGACCCTCGTAACGCTCTAGGAACGTTGATCGCATCCTACATCATGTGGGGTCTCTCAGTGCCATTCGCCATGTCAATTCTGGTCATTTACTACCAGCGTCTGGCGCTTCACAAGCTCCCACCTCGAGAAATCGTAGTATCTTCCTTCCTGCCTATGGGCCCTCTAGGCATGGGCGGATACACTATCATTTACCTTGGGAGCGTCAGCCGCACGGTCTTCCCGCAGGTCGAGTTCTTCGACAATCTCACAATAGCTGGCGACATCTTCTACATCAACGGGATTTTCATAGCTCTGATTATGTGGGGGTTTGGACTATTGTGGTTCTGCTTCGCGCTTGCCTCTTGTCAAAAGCTTAGGCCGTTTCCATTCAATATGGGTTGGTGGGGATTCACGTTTCCAATTGGCGTGTTCTCTGTATGCACAATTGAGTTTGGAGTGCAAATGCCGAGCCTGTTCTTTCGAGTTTTGGGCACCATGTTCAGCGTGGCAGTCATCATACTTTGGTGCATTGTCATGGCCGGGACTGTAAGAGGAGCGATTGACGGGCGCTTGTTCTACGCGCCCTGCCTAGCGAATCTGCCCAAGAAGGAAGAGGACATTACGAAACGAAACGAGACCGAACAAGAACCAGGCCATACGGAGGCTTCGTGAGGTACGTGTTTTTGAATATATCATGGTTTGTCATTGGTCATAAAATCCGATCCTGAACATTTGTAGCAGATCCATTCAGCAGAGCCACCTTCGTCATTCGTTATTGCGGAGGTCCAGCCCAGTCGAGATGCCCAACAGGTACATCGGATTCGTCTACATCGGCTCCATCTATATCAGATACTCGACCTGAGCCTTATTAGGCGGCTCCAGCGGCATCGCACTGGTCTATTAGAATGTCAGCTCTGTTCCTCAATAGCAACGTAACGTCTGCGAATCGTCACCTACTCTTTTGCGCAGTGCAGTCCGCGAACGCAACACTCTGGCTACCACCGTTGGCAAGGTTGGCACAAGCGTCTGGAGAGAAGAAAATCAGCGCCGTCTCCAGAAATATGGGAAATGGGCATCACATACTGAACTGCTGATCGCAAGAACGCTGCACGGCGGCGCCGAGGTTGACGAAAGTATCTCCCTTCACGGAAAAAGGGCGCTTCGCATCCCCCGAGTCCTCGATGGGCGTAGCAGCAATGCCGCCAAGCGCACCAGTGAAGGTCTGGGCGTTGCTCTGGCGGATAGCAAGCGCGTTGGTGAGCGCAACAGCGCTGAAGAGAGCGAGAGAAGTGGTGAATTTCATGTTGATAGATGAAATAAATAAAGGATTCTGCGAATATAAATAGGATTTGCGATTAAAGAAAGTATAGATCACGACCCTGCGCGAGTAAAGAGCGAATACAATGAATGATATGATAAGGATGTGGTGAAAGACAGACTGCTTTCATGCCACCGCGCGCAGCAGCAATACTTATATGCCGCCTTCAACGCACCACGTCACCGCTGTGATCAGCAGTCACAGCGTCTTCTTAGATTATGAAGTGGTGTTGCTATGCGGCTGCGTCAGTTTGTGCCTGATCATGCCTGAGCCTGCCTGAAACGGGAAGCGTGCGAGGGACCCCACGGCCACGAATCGCTTGTCGCACAAGGATTTACCCGGCACGAGGCTCCAGGAACGTTGTTCCAGGAGTTCGAATGATGGTCATAGTGTCGTGGATTAACGCGCGGTAGGGAGATTAGAAGGTCTGTGGCGCTTGGCAAGTTTGGCTTGTCACATCGATTGAGTGTGGGGGCCACGTTCTCTCGAGACCCTCTTGTCTGGGTAAAAATTCGTCTACGGGTTACTTCCTAGAGTAGCCGTCATTACGCTGTTGAGAAATGGTAGAACGGTGTTATTGCGCAAGTACACGCATGCAACAAATATCGGTTCCACCATGGAAGATCTTCCATGGTTGATGCTCTAACATGATGAGCAGTTACTTTAAGAGCATATTATGAAGGAAGAAGTTCGCGCGCTTCTGTTATATTACATTCCATCAAGAGGCGGGCCTATTTCAAGTGGATTATAGTACAATCCTTTAAAGCTGAGTGATGTGCTGTCGAAGTTTACTTCAAACCATAGTAAAGCTGATCGGTTGGTTCAAAGACGCAAGCATGCTGTGCGTCCGAACCTCTTGAAGACAACCGCGCTTTGGGGATATCTATGTCATGATCCAAATTGGTGGAAGTGCAGCAACAAACCAATTTTGGCGCCTCGTAAGCTGGCAAGCTTCGCGTACAAATTCTCGAACCTCTCTTGATCCTCAGCCGAGCGAACCAGTTTCGCGCATGATGACCACGACTCCGCCTGGAACTCAATGTTCTCGTAGTGTCGCGAGCAGCTCACTTACGGGGCACCGCAAAGGTCCTTGTGATAACGCCCAGACTGCTTTAAGTACGTCTAGCAATTTTTTGTTTGACGCCGAATCCTTTTCGAAAGTGTCGCGAGGTATCGTCAAAGTGGTCCATTCGCATCCTGGTGCCGGCATGGTCGTGATCTGTGATCGTGAATGCCACGTAGTTTCATGGTGCTTTCGGCGAAATGACGCATTCGAGGGTATATTGTGTCTGTGGAGGAACGCATTGGTTGTTCATGCGTGTTGATCTGATAGCATCCCAGTAATAGACCGGGTAACACCGGGTACGGGAATATGGGTTGACTATTGTGGGACCGGTGCTGGAGAAGCCGTGGATATGGGATACCGGGAACTCCACACTTCGTTTTTCTTCTTCGCATCCACACTCACCGTCATATGGTCACCAACAGCAGCAAACAGAGATGCTCACTTAAAGCAAATGAAAATAGTCTTGGGATATAAAAGCTACCTGGTGACCCACCCAGCAACCCAAACTCCAAGTATGCATCTATCGCGTCGCAGCGCCCAGCGTAATAGTCTTCATGAACGCATTTCCATTCCATACCAATAGTTCTTGGTCGTCTCCTCATAGCGAGACAAACAACCAACCCGTTCTCCCGCCTCTTGCTCGCACCAAACGCCATCACATAAAGTAGAGACATGATAGATATCCAAGATGCAGATCAGATCGCTATGCGTGAGAACTTTCTTTCTACCCCTTGAAGAACCAGCTTGTCCTCTTGCCGCTCTGCTGAGCGCCCGAATCTTGCGCTTGTAGGTTGCTGAGCACGGGGAGCACGGGGCCGTCTTGGACGGGACCGCCGCCACGGATGGGTTTAGCAACGCGCGAGCCGACGGCGCCGCCGAAAGCGAAGGAGGCGCCGGCAGTGGGCGAGCCGAGTCCGCGGGTGGAGCCCTGCTTCGCGGCCTCAAGACGCTCTTTGACCGCTGAAAGTTGGGCTTCGAATCTGGAGCGCTTGTTAACCTCTGTCCACTCGTTCAGGGTAGAGGATGATTCAGAGGAGAAAGAATAGAATGGGTCATCGTGGTGATTCGGGGGGGAATGTTCTCCTTCTCTACAAGACAAGCGGGGTACGATTCCAAGGGGATGAGATCGTTCTTCTTCTTGGGGCTTGACGAAAGGAAAGAGAGGACGTAAGAGGTTTTGTCCACATACCGATGGTTCGCAGCGGTGAGCTTTTCTTGACTGTCTTGCAGGAGCTGCTCTAGACTTTGTATTCGCTCGTTGCGGGCGATGAGCTTACGCTCTGCGATGGCAACTTCCTTCTTCAGACTTGAATTTTGCTCGACGAGTTGACGTTGAACAACAGTAAGTTGTTCCAGATTGCGCTCGAGAAACATCATCTTCTTCTGCTGGGCGCGGTTGTTCGATGTTCGCAAGACGTTGTTGTACTGCTCGCGTGTCTCATCAAGGGAAATCTCCAACTCGACGACCTGTTCATCCAAAGAAATTAACGAATGGAACTTCTGCTAAACCAAGATGAAAGCACTTACCCGCTCACACCTGTTCTGCAGATCCCGCATCAGGTTCTTCTTCATGTTGTCAAATTCGGCGATTTGCTGCTGAACCGATTTGCCGTTGATGCCGTTTGCCACCCCATTAGCAATGGCACCACTCTTGATGCGCTGTTGCAGGGACTCAATCTCAGCTGTCAACTCGGCGTTCTTCTCGGACTTCCGAGCTAGATCCTCCTTGATTTCTTGCAGAAGTGCAATGTTGCCTTCTTGGCGGGACTCGTATGCTTCAGCCAGTCGGCTCTTGATCTCTTCCTTGTCCGCTTCTGAAAGGTTTTTCTCACAGAGCTCTTCGTAGGACTGTTGCAGGTTGGCGAGCCTTTGCTCTAGTGCTTCCCGTCGCTTGTTGTGCACATCATCTTGCTCGTTTCGGTTGTTGAGAGACAGTTCGGCTTGACGCACAATGCCTTGTGTTTCGACAAGCTTCTCGCGGAGTTCTTGTATAGCGTCAGGTGCGATAGCCTCGCCGGACGCACTCAGCTCCTTCAACGAATCCAGCTGTTTTATGATATCTCCTAGAGCGCGTTCGTTGTCACTGAAGACTTCCCCACCAAGATCGAAGCCTGCCATCATTTGCGCCATAGCCTCTGCCTTCTTCTTCTTTTTCTCGTCCATTGCAGCAGTTGTCTCCTTCGCGTTCATACGAGCGTCTAGGAGCTGTTGTTTGACATCATCGAGCTCGGCTGTGAGTTCCGCGTTGGCATCTTTGAGACCGTCCATGGTGATCTGTCCTTCTTTGCCTTCGAAGTTGAGTTTTTCGATCTGCATCTTGAGCTCGTTCAGTTCAGTCGCCATTCTCTCAGTATCCTTGTTCGACTTGGAATCACGCTCCTTGAAGTAGGAAAGCTCCTCTCTTGCAGCTTTCAGCAGCTCGTTCGCTTTTTCGAGCAAACTCTCTTTTTCCGCGACCTGATCCTGAAGCTCGTTCTCTCTTCGCAGAAATTCATCTTTCTCGTCCTTTTCAAGAGGGATGCTAGGTGTGCCAGCTCGTTCGATATCTAATCTTGAGTCCGGTCTCGAAGGTGTCTCTGAGTTCTTTGTAGCGTCTAACCTGGACGGGGTCTGCGCGCGTGGTGTAGAAGGCGGTTTCTTTCCTGACCCTGTCTCAAGAGCAGGTACCCATCGCTCTTTAGGGACGGCATCACCCCCTCGCCAAAGCTGCACCTCGCCTTCAAGGGAAGAAATATAGCCTTCGAACGTCGTAATCTGGCCTTGCGCCTTCTTGAGCATCAATTTGAGCTCCGCCGGACTGAGTTCCGCGTTGACCTTGGCCTTGTTCTTGATAGACTTCGCTCGCATACCAAATCGTAATGTGCTCACCGTTTCCGAATCGTTGTAGCTACTTGGTGAGCAGTTGATAATCAAAGTAGTTCGTGAATTGCCACCGAGCGATTCTTGCAGGATGCGGGTAAGCTTGGAGTCTCGGTAAGGAACATGTGAGGATTTCCCATCCGTGAGCGAATTGATGACCATGCCGAGCGCACTCAAACTCTTATTGATCTTCTTCGCCTCTTCCAATGTCTGTCCACTTGCGCCAGTTTTGCCTACTTTTTCGGAACCAGCGAGATCGACTAGAAAGAGCTGACCGCTTTTGGTTGAGCCAGTGCTGACATTCTTCTGCGCAACAGTAATGACGAAGATCGAATGTGATCGTGAGGACTCTGCATTCATGTTGGTGGCGGAAACGGCTCGCGAGTCTCCACCTCTTCGCATGACCTCGTAAACCTCTTCCACACTCGAGACATAGACTTCTAGTAAACCCTTGACGTATACACCTTTGTTCTTCTCTTCGTGGATCGGTAGATTGTCGTTTTGTGGAACCAGAAGATCTCGGATTCTCTCCATGTAGATTTCCATATATGAAACCCTGACTGTGTACTCGATGTCGCTTGCGGAGGACAAAATGTTGGTGAAGATTTGCTCGACGATTCGCGGGATGATACCCTTGCCCACCTCATCCTCGATGCCGGTACCCATCATCGTGTACGACTTTCCGGCACCCGTCTGACCGTACGCAAACACGGTACCGTTGTATCCGTTAAGAATATCGTCCACAGTGGGTCGGATCGAGTAGTCGAAGACATCGTTCTGTCGCGAGGACATGTCGAAGACCCTGTCGAAGGTGAAGGACCCGGAGGCCTCTTTCGACTATAGTACACATCATCATTAGCCAAAAATGCCATGGGCTAGTTGCTTTAAGAGAAGCCATACCGAGACCGTGCATGTATCATCGCCTTTGAATTCAACGATGGGCTCTCCACCGCTGGCGATTTCGATCTTGTTCTGCGGGCGGAAACGCGCCACCACTATACCAGTGCATTAGTCTTTACTCGTTCGGCGGGCATGTTTGGTAAGCAGAGCAAAGCGCACCTTTAATCGTATTCCTGTGGTGGTGTGTTAGCAAGCACGACCCTAGACATCACCTCACCGCCGAGTCCACTTACGACATGATGGGCAGCACAGTATCGCTCTCGGCCCAGCGGCCACTCCTCAGCCGTTCGTTGCACTCGTTGCTGCAGGCAGCGGTTGTGCGTGCGTCGCTGCGGGCTGCTGCTGTGGTACGTCAAGGCGGAGGGATTTCGAGGCCTCGGCGCGGTCGCGGTACAGCAGGAGATTGAGGCCCCGCCCGCTATCAGGGGGACTCGGCCGCTGCCCGTTTCAGGATAGCGCAGTGCTGCGAAACGACGGTGGAGGTGAGGACCAGGACGAGAGCACGCAGTGAGAGGAAAGTGCAGAGGTCGAGGGAGCCTGACAGACGTTGTGGGTGTGGGCGAGCGTACAGCGTGTGTCTGTTGATGTTCTTAGCGCGATTGTGTCCCCGCCGCGCCGTTCCAGGGTTCACCAGACCAGCAACCGGCCCACGCCCACGTTTCGCTGTCGGTCCGGCGCGGGCAATGCAGTACGTCACAGAGCACGGCAACAGCATAAAAAAGAGCGCAATGTAGATGTATTCCAAGCACAGCAAGAAGCAGAAAGCGTAGATGACGCCGATTCGCCGTGCATTGGATCAAACAAGACCCTAACGCCTTCGCTATGTCAAAGCTCAAAAGCAGACCATGAACAGCCAACCCGAGTGTCGCCCTGCTCCGATACCATATAAACTCCTCTCATGCTTCGTGCCACTATCCCGTCATCCCATGCCCGTCATCGTCATATAGCGCGGTGTACCCCTCTGCCCAGCGCACTAGTCGTCCCAGCTCTTCTCGACAGTCTCGCGCACGCGCTTGGTATATTCCCTGCGGTTATCTTTGTACAGATTCGACGCTTCAACGTTGGCCGGCGACGAAGTATTCGGGTCGTTGAGCAAGCTGCGTACTGTCAGTATGAGCAGCCTCTCGTGGGAACGTACCTTAGCCCACCTCTGAATACTGGTCAAGATAGCCGCCACATCGTACGTTGGACTCCACCGATTCTGTAAGATGTCCAGGCAGAGCTCGCCCGTTCCGTATACGTTAGGGTGGAACATCTGGCTGATGAATTTGACGCCGGGCGGTTTGTTCGGGTAGGCCTCTTCGAAGTGCATAACAAGTCTGAAGGTCCCGTCCTCGAAGGGTGTATCTGCGGGTCCGATGATGACAGCATTCCTGTGACTGGTGAGTGTCGCTGCGGGAGGCAGTGTCGCGTGCGGGGCAGCTACCATGTCATGACATTATCTGCGATGGGAGATGCAGAGACGCCGGCGGGTGGATCTGTTTGCATGCGCTGTAACCGCACGTTAGTATTGCTTTGGCACGGAAAGCTGCACGTTTGCGACGGTCGCTTGCTGCAGGCGGAAGTGAAGCGTCCCTCGGGTGGCGCACCTTGAAGTCTCGCATCAAACGGCGACGAGCAGCAGTAGACATGATCTTCTTGCACGTGAGGCGAAGTAGTAAGCTCCGAGTAAGTCTGGCGAGGTGGTGTGAGTCGTTGCAATCTATACGAGGGGTGTGGAGTTCATGCGCGGGTGTGGCTCGCACTCTAACTCGAAGGCGCGGCGGGAGAGCGTCACCTCACGTGATTCAACTTTGAAACTAGCCCGCGCACTTGTAGTGGGCTGGAGCCAATACGGAGTAGTCCGACTGTCAAACCCAAATCTACCCAGTATCTGACCCCTGAATCACCTGGAACAAGACACACTTGATTCAGTTTTGACATTAACTCATCCCAATCATCTTCTCGACTCGTTATTATGTACCAAAATTTGCTTACGCCTTTACACCATATTCAGATACTCGCTTGAACGCTAGAAATGTAATGGATCGCATGCTCCTGAATATGACAAGTGCAGATTGTGCCGAGCATGGATCCCACTGTGTCGGTGCCAAACGATAACCAAATTACACAAGAGTTACAACATATTCAAGAGAGATCGGGTCATTCTACTCTCCGGCTGCACCAGCGATGCCGTGGTGACTCGCGGCTGCTGACTTCTCACGTCCAAGGTGGTCGACCACGGGGAATCGTGCACGACGCTCCAGATCATCGAGGGGGATGTGCGACCGTATGTAACGGTCTTTTTCAATACCTGGAGGCTGGTAATCCCAAACTTCTTTGCGGCCAATTCGCAAGGCGCTCCAACAGAGCTGGCGCCTGCGTTGGGCAGCCAAGACATCTTGGTGAATTGCCGCAAAGTCCCACTTTTTCTTTGCTTCGGCCTCGAAGGCTGCAAAGGTGTGCGCGTGCTTGGGTGATTCAGCCAGATTGAGGAGCTCTTGAGGATCCTCTACCAAATTAAAGAGTTGCGGAGGGTCGACGAGTGACGTGGTGTACTTCCAGGGGCCACGCCGTATCATGTATACAGGCGTGACAGTTCCTTCTCCCATGTATTCACCAAACACCTCGTCCTTGCCTGGTCCGTCCGAAACGAGGTAATTGTAAAGACTCTTGCCGTCTACGGGCAGGATAGCCGAAGCATCGCCATTCGCTAGATCGACAAAGGTAGGCAGCAGATCCATCGTGGATACAGATTCGGTGACACGCTTCGGTGCGAACTTGGCCGGGTAGTTGATGATCATGGGCACCCGGGCGCTGTTCTCGAACCAGGACATCTTGTACCAGAGATCACGCTCTCCGAGCATATCCCCATGGTCTCCGGAGAACACAATGATCGTATTCTCATCCAGGTAGCAGTTCTTCAGGATCTGGACGAGCTTTCCGATCTGATCGTCGACAAACGAGCACGCACCAAAGTACGCTCGTCGAGCCCGGATGACCGCTTCTTCTGGTATCGGGTTATCCCAGAGATCGACGGTCTTCATCAGGCGCTGGGAATGAGGATCTTGATCCTCGCGGTCAATGTGAATCTTCGGCAATGGGATATCGACACCTTCATATCGATCCCAATAATCTCGAGTCATGGTGTATGGGTCATGTGGATGTGTGAGAGACACCGTCAGGGCGAATGGACGACGAGTGGTAGGGTCTTGACGAGTCCAGTCGTACAACCACTGAGAAGACTAGCGGCAAGGCGTTAGTATGTCCTGATAGGTGAAGCTAGAGACGGGCTGCGGCTGTTGGCCAGCGATTCGTGGAGCAGCTTACCTTGTACATCACGTCTTCATCGTAGTCCAGCTGGTTGGAACGAACACATGGGCCGGCCTGCATCACTGACGACATGTTGTGGTACCATTCCTGTCGCTCCTCAGGCTTGTCCCAGTTCACAGTCCAACCCAAGTCACCAGGATAAATGTCTGAGGTCAGCCTGAAAGATACGTTAGCGACGTTTCAACGACCAGTATTGCTTTCTCATACCTATGCTCAAACCCATGAAGCTGGTCTGGGCCAATGAAGTGCATCTTGCCAGCAAGAACGGTCTCATAACCCTCGCGGCGTAGGTAGTGAGCGTAAGTGGGCACATCGGGGTTGAGGACGGAAGCATTGTCGTAACCACCAATTTTGGATGGTAATTGCCCAGAGACCATCGTGAACCTAGAAGGAGCGCACAGCGGCGAATTGCAGTACGCGGAAGAGAAGACCACACCAGTCTCAGCAAGCTTGTCAAGGTTCGGAGTCTTGATGACCGAATCAGGGTTGTTCATCTTGAGCAAGGGCGCAGCCATCTGATCGGCCATAATGTATAGGATGTTCGGCTTCTTGGAAGTGCCATGGGCGCCTGCATTGGAGGACGCGAAGATCTTTGATTGCTCTAGGAGCGTCTGGGAGGTAATAAAATGTTGTTCCTGGCGCTGGCCTGCAGACACCCCGTTGCCATTCGAAGACCCATGAGTAGCGCGACCATTGCCATTGGCAGAAGGTGAAGACGAAGAAAAAGACAAATTTGAACCAGCAGGCGTATGCACCTCCAGTGACACTGCACCCTCAACACCCAACTTTGGTGCTTGCTTCACAACTGTAGGTGAGTATGGCTGCGACTCTTCCGTGGGCAGCAGAAGACTCGGAGCCATTCTTGTGAGTCTTCAGCCCTCAGCGGCCGGCTGTTTGTAGTGAGAATAAAGAGAGGTTGTGGCAAGAAGGGTGGGAATGGGAACCACGGTTCGCGTGGTCCAGGAACTCGGTTGAAAGAACAGCAGTGAGCGGGAATGCAGGACGACAGCCAAGTTTGAGGTGAGAGAATTATGGAAAGGTGAGGAGGTCGCGTGGCCGGACGCTTTTTCGGGCGCTGTGGGAAATACTTATGGAAGCGACGTTCGGCGTGCCCTTTCGGAAAGAGCGATGGCGCAATCGTCCAAGCACGCAATTCACAGTCATTAGGAGCTAATCTGCGCTAGACGACCACCTCTCTTCCCCACAGTGCGTCTCCCCACATGCATAAAGCGCATATCACCTCTTTGGAACGTCAAGACCGTTACGCTGGCCCAAATATACGATCCCCTTGACTGACAGCTGCTCTTCTGCCCGATGATTGACGATAGCACCCGCTCTACGCCAACGGTCGCAGCCAACGCTAGTAACAAAGACCGGGCCCCATTCTTACTCCCGCGAAGCGGTTGTGAAGATTTTTGACGCAATGTTCGTGAAGCTATTCTAGACATCGTCTTCGCTAGGTTTTCATCTGACTGACCTGCAGCCTAGGTGTGGTCTTGAAGAAGCTCCGGCTGAGTGCCCGGGTACAGTTCCAAAATCCCGCAAAGAGATATGACTGCAGTACATTAGCGTTGGGCACTTATCCCGGTCATGCAATCGTCGCCGAGGGATGGATAAGGCCTGAAGCGGTCGCTGCTCAGAGTCTGAACACGGAGTGAGGTAACGAAGGCTGGGCATCCGCTAACAGCCGCCTAACGATCCCATTCGCCACGCACCTTTCGAATGCTTGACCACGCACGTCCAACCTGCGTTCTCCAGGCATCGGTCAAGGTTCCCGGCATTCTTGGAGTGTCACAGATCCATGTCCGTGACTGTTGGCTGTGTGCGCAGAATCCCTACTCGGTCGTCAAAAAACTTTGGGTTTAGGCCTCGTGACCAGGATGCATCCGATGCAGGGTCTTGACTGTCGTTTCTGCAAATCAAGACTATTCTCCGTCTGCACGTCGCTCTAGCGCGGCTCCTAGCAACACTATTCTTACACCGACTCCTGTAAACGAAAGAATTTCGTCGCCTGTCATAACTGTCTCGAAGCAACAAATGCGTGAAATGGTTGTTTGCGAAGACGGGCTTTCTGGTTTGGGGGAACAATATCAAGATACAGCATGGAGTTCCTCTGCTTCAAAGTCCCGTTCATGCGGAGCCGACGGTGACAACCGTGAGAGATGCGACAGTACGGGATAGCCGACTCGCTAGTCGGATGAGTTGTCTGGCTTCGCTTTCTCTCGGTAAGCTCAACTTCTGAGCCGCTCATCGAAATTCGCCGGTCACAAGGCTTCCAGACCAAAGCAGTCGACCGCTATCAGCCTGCGTATCAATCAGGGAAGTCATAAAGTGCTTCCTTGACACGAGACCACCCCCTTGTGGCCCAACCTCACGGCTCGTCGGGTGCGGCTCGTCGGAGAATGACACATCACGCGCCGTCCCATGGGAATGGGTGCTCAGAGCATCATGAGAGTACACAAGATCGAGATACTTGATTTCATGCGATTCTATCTCGATACCGCTGTAGGAGGTCAGAAGAGCTTCGCGTGCGGTTGACCAGGTCGTTCGCTGGATGCCAAGAGATATCGCGAGCACCATACTGCAACATCAACAGCAATTCAAGCCAAAAAAATATAATTCCGGACCCTTGTCTATCGACAGCTAATAAAATTTAGTGCAACACCCGCAATGGTCGCCACGGATCTTTTGTCCGTCTCAGGAAAAAACCACCGTCGCCGAGCTCAAGATATCGCATACCCCCACTTGCGCTAGCAACGCCGTCTTTCGTGCTCTGGCTGCACTTGATCGAGATCTCACAGCGATGTCAGCTTCAATAACCAGACTCCACATACACTAGACATCACGTCTCCTGATCACTGTAGCATCGGAGAGCCAAGCGTTGCACAAGCGCGACCTCCCGCTACGAAGCAGCCAGGTTCCGGTCGCGAAGCTGTCAGTACTCGAAAAAACGAAACCAGGACGATTTCGCACTCAACTCAAGAGGCTCATGGAAGGTCACTAATGCATGTTTTATAGTAAACTCTATCGATCTGTGGACCCAGGATTGTTTCAAAGGACCTGGGCAAAAAAGTGAACTTGGCCACACGGTTTCTCCCACATACGCTAGACCAACAACCAGAACACCTCTTACGCTCCCCGGGGGCGGCATGTCCGGATGCGCAAGCCGAGACAGCTCGCTATGACTCTATCGGAAATAAGCGCGTTGGCAAAAGCTATAACCTGCTGCTACGATATGTCGATCTCGAGAGCATGCACACCTTTCTTGGGCATCAAGTTCTCCTTTCACACCTGTAGTCGCAACGGCCCGGGAGCGCTTCAGCGTACTAACCATAAGACGTTACGCAGAAGTTTAGATTGCAGCCGTAACCGCAACCTACTGTTTCGGAGGCTGTACTGTAAGCGTCGGGCGGGTCACTTGTCGATCACACGGCCTCTACGACAAGCGCCGCAATGTACATCGTTCAAGAAAACGAAGGACGCGGTTCATTGCCAACCTCCAGCAGTCTCACCGGCCGCTCAACTCTGTCCACACTTGAAATTTCTGCCCATGACCAGGTGTGAGGTCACGGTCAATCCCTTCACCACTATTGTAAGCGCATGGGCAGGCCTTACACAGCTCCAGCCATCGCGGGCATCGAGGACGACCTTGATATAGCGAAGTCCGCAAGCAGTCATTTCACCTCACGTTTATACGCATCATGATGATGCGCTTGTTCTTGTCGAGACTTTGCTGTAGTTGACGTAGCATTCGTACACCGGAGTAAAGGCCTGCAATGCAGACATATCGATGCCAAGGGATCGTTGCACGCAACAAAACGAAGCAATCAGGCTCATAATCAAATAAGAACCCGACGGGCCATCGCAGGTCAACGACAGGCAACTCTAATGCCACACAAGTCTAGTCTTCATTTCATAAATCATCAAATCGTTACAGTTCTCCATTCTCACAACTTTCTACCCTTCGCGCTGCCACCTCTCGCACTCCCCGGCCTCGCCGGCGTCCGTGGCCTTTCCTCATCTCTCCCCAACAATCCAAACCCCTCCTGAATCCCCTGCTGCAAACCCCCTGTAACCCCCCTCACGCACCAGAACATCAAATCGCTCAGCGCAACCCCTACTTTCCCGTCGTTCATCTGGCAAATTGTGTGCGTGAGCTGCATGCCCGTCCTCCGCACTGCATCCGCGCCCATGATCCCGCTGTTAACGAGACGCTGTGCTACGTTGTGCTTTCGCTCGAAGCGGTACGCGTGGCCAAGGAAGAGCTTGATGTAGGGAAGCAAGAATTGGAGGAGGACGAAAGTCTCGAAGACGACGGTTGCGATTATGCGGTGCAGGATAGATGGGTCGGAGGGCGGGGAGGTATCGCGGCTGGAGTTGGCGAATGGGAGATCATGGTCGCAGGGCGTGTTTATAACAAGGTCGGGTGGGAGAGCGGCTTGCAGCGAGATTGCTTCTTCGGGTGAGAGCGCGGTAGGCAGGCCGCGGAGGAGGTAAGTCAGGCTGTGGATGTACATCTGGCGAGTGAGGATGACGGAGGTGTCGTCGAGGTGGGGTGATTGCGATTCAGCGTATGCCTGAGCGGAGAGGCTGACACCTGGGGAGTGTTAGTGGTGTGCTTGAGTTGATGCTGTAAGGCGCGTACCTTGGTTTGCATACTTCCACTTTATGCCCGTGTGTGTTTCTGATACTGCGAACGGCGGCGGTGTGCTTATGGGGGACGCCATGCTCTCCGAGAGCGCCTCCTGGAACATATCTTCATCGTCCCTGGTGTTGTAGATGGAACTGCGATTCGAACTGTGCTGCGATAGAACGGCGCTGGTAGGCCGTGATGTGTAACCCGGCGGTGGACTTCGCGGCAGCGATGTATCAGACGCAGTTCTCGGGTTGTTGAGCGGCCTCGAAGTAGCCCGCATATCGCTGAGAGCTCGTCGGATGGACGGGAGCGTAGGGATGCGATCCTGCACAATCGCAGGCAAAACCGTGTACAGCATCGAGGGCTTCTTCTCGTCCACCTGAAGCGTCGTCTCGGCGTCGAAAAACTCAAGCGCTGAACCCTGCTCTGCGTTCATCTCGGCGGCCTTATATGTATCTGGCATGTGCGTTCAGCGGTGTGACCACTGGATGCTGCCGCATGCGGAAGCGCAAAACGTGGGTTCAGGGAGAAGACAGCGAGCGTACTCGCTGAAAAGAACCGTCCGTCTTTAGCTGGGATGGCATGGCGGGCGGTTTCGAGCGGTTTCTCTCAGACATGGGCGTGGGCGGGCATGTGAAAGCAGTTTGTTGGGAGACGTGCACTCGCTTCTGCGCTGGGAGCCTGGATCCTGGCTGCCGTTAGCGCCTACGTGCGGATCCCGCGCTCAATCACATGCAAGGCTTATGGCAAGTCTTGCATCGGGGCTTCTTTCGTTGAATGTACTCGGAATAGAGCATCGTGTATCTGAAGTACTCGATGCCGTTGTACTACATTGCGCGTGACGGCTACCTAGGTACGACAGACCGAACGTGAACACGCTGGAATGCGGTACAGCTGCACGCGGTCTGTCCACGTTGAACGTTATCATCAGCCCTACGTTATCGCTAGAGCCGAAACACCACTCGAGCTGCAACTGGGAGTCACCACGTGATCATTCACATGATTACGCCAGTTGGTACAATAGAGGAATCTCAACAGAGGGTTGTAGGATGCTCTTCAAAAAAGATCTTCACTTTCATCCAGTGATGATTTTAAATTACACCGTAAGAGCGCTCAGCGGAACTGCAACCGTCAACACCTCTTAGTTTTCGAAAATACTGTGACTGCTGATTGCATCCTAGCCTGGTTCATCAAGCAGAGAATACACGCGCCCAATAATTGGACTAGTCCTCTTCTTCTCAATGGACACCAACTGCACATACCCTTCCTCAATGATATGAGCCACACGATGCCGCGTCTTCAAGACAAATAGCCACCTGATATTGGTCGATTGCTAAACAAGCCATATTCATGGAACTGACCTAACAGTAGCATGGCCAAGGCCCTTTCTCTCAACGAACTGATCAGTTTCCACGCTCCGTGGTTGAGAGATTCTCCAACGGCTTGCGAAAGTGTCTGTCTCACGATATCAGCACACGCACGGTATAATCCGTACTCAGGCCAGTGAACATAAAGCTTATGCACCGACCGAAATTTCCTCCCCATATTCCGTCGTTGGATCTTCGTAGACGTCCCAAGCAATATGCGGTACAAGGTCCTCGCCGCCAGACTTATCGAGGTTCCTGTGCGTGCGACTGTTGAAGTATGCTATGAAGCGAGCCCACCCCTCACTATTCTTGTATATTAGGCGATAAACCACAAAGCCTAGCTTTTGCCGGGAAAGCTTGACAGCTGTTCCCGAAGGAAAATACAATCTTGGTTGGGCATGAGGTCTGAGTCATGTTGAGTATGGGCTTGTATCCATACAATTCTGAGGGTTGGATCCAACCGAGACGTGCGTAGTCTAGAAGGATACTGAGTGAGACGTACTGGACACTCATAACCCGGTGTTGGGTAAAGCCACAATGAAGAGTATCTGGCGTAGTTGGAGGCGCCATCCTAGCTTCAGGGGCTGACACCAGTCACGTGAACAGAAAGAGAGACTTGGAGCGCCGTATTGCAAGAATGCTGAAACGTAGGCTACTCAGCAGATCATTCGCTCACATACAGACACTTTCAGACAAAGGTATCCACAAACTCTCCTTGGCCAATTTCCACGACGCTCTTCTGCTACGAAGAACTAGTATCATTCAACCCCAGATCAACGTGCTCCTTCGGCGCCGGCGCATTCGGACCCCCACCAGCCTGGTTCGTAAAATACTCGATCCCACACCTATCATAGCACGCCTTCGCCCCCTGCGCAAACGCCGTCGGCAGCTGCGTCCGGTACTCGGCGGTGTTCACATCAACAAGCCACTTCGGGTACGCAAGATTCGCGTCGACAACCTCCTGCGGGTTGATGAAGAAGTTCTGCGCTGTGCGGGCGACACCGGGATCTTCGGTGCTGAGGGCAGCTACGAAGACGGCGGACTCGCAGTTGTCGTTGAATTCCCAGTGGAGGGAGCCTTGGGGGCGGATGGTGGTTTGGTAGAGGCCGATTTCGGTGTATATTGGTTGGTCTGGGGGATGTTAGTCGTATGGGGGAGAGGGGTATGGAAGGGTGGCGCACCGTAACCGTCCTCGAGGACGAAGCCGGTCTTGAGGCTGGTGCCTTTGACTAATGTGACGAGTTCGTCGGCCCGGTTGTGTAGGTGGATGCTGTCCAGACCACAGGGATTGAGGTAGCCGATGGCAACGGAGACGCCTGTGCCGATGAGGATAGGGTAGTTCTGCACAAAGGCGAGGTAGCCTTGGCCACCCAATCCGTTGGCAGCGTTCGAAGCGGAGCCGTTCGGTGTCAGGTCAAACTTGAAGTAGTCGTTTGGTGAGCCATAACTCGCCAGTAGTCCTATCTTCTCCGCTGTAGTGTAGGCTGTCTTCAGCGCGAGGAGCTGCTCATCAGTGTATGTCGGATTGGGGCGCGTGAATTTAGTCACAGGTGGAGGATCCACTAAGGTGCCATTCTCCGGATAGATTGGTCCACTTGACTGCCGCGGTAGGATTGCATTTTTGACAGGGTGGGCAGATGCGAGGCTGAGAATTGCGGACGCAATGGTGAGTTTGGTGAGCATCGTGTGCTTAGCAAGAGTAGAGTATTTCAAAAGTGAGGTTGTGCTAAGAGCTGAGCTCGTCAAAAGATACACCGGGCAACCAGATGTTCTATTGCTCACAATCTTCAATCGTTGCAGCAAGTTCCTGTGTTCTTAAAAGCTGTGCACTGTGTGTAGCTAGCTACGCGTAGCTGGCATGCGAATGCTGGTTCTGGACAAGAGATGTAAAGCTCTGCCTTGCATCGGCTAGTACGTCCAATCACCATCGCAGGAACTAAGTGCTTTGAGCACATATTTGGAAGCTTTGCACCTGGAAGCCATATCGAAAGCTTCTCGATCGCAGTCGTGGACGCAGCTGCAGGAATCAGATGGTAGATCTGGCCAATGTGAAGGGGCCGGTCGGCTTGCTGAGCAATCTGTCGCATCGTGAAGTGCTAGGCCGGAGATCGAGACCGTATGTGGCTGAAGCTGTAAGTTGTAGCCGTTCGCTACCGTCCGCTACCGTCCGCATTGCTATTGTGAAAGCGGGGACCCCGCAATTCACTAGCCTAAGCTGCGGCTTCTATACAGTTCTGGGTCACCCGTGGGAGGCCGGCGGCTAACGGACTGTGTTCCGACTTTAGGAAGCAATTCATGCACGTGGTGGTTATGAGTTTGTGAACGCCACTGCGGGACCGGACCGTGGAAGCTGAACGATGCCGCAGACACGCCTTTGTCTTCGACACATCCAAAAAAAGGGTTCCTGTTGTTCAGATTTCCCCCCAGTGGAAATGGGACGGCAAGAGTAACTTTGTAGCCGACATCCTCAATATAAGGCAGTATTTTCTTGACCAAGGCTCTTGATATTTGCAATCAATTCTGTGAGGTCTCCATTACTATTCTGAAGTCCGAACCAACTTCGTGTCACGGACTAATTCTTCTACCCAGACGAGAGTGGGATGGGTACGTGTGTTGACCACTCTGCGAAATTGATATGAAACGCTGCGAAGCTGTGTAGGATCGTAACGAGAGAGCTCGTCCAAATAGTCTAGCGCTATGCTGTGCGACTAGGGAGACAAACGGCCTCGCGCGATGGTTGGTGAAAATCAACCGCTTTAGGAAGTTTGAGACGACGACCACATTGACGCTTGCTTCCCAGTGGCATCGTACGCAAAGTACAGTCGAACCGACGATGCATGCGGGTGCCGTGCGACAGCGATGGAATCGTGACTGCAGACGGTCGGAATTAAGAGCCTGGTGATAGGGTGTTTATCTGCACGTGACGTCGCCGTAGTGTGTTGCTGGTAGGCACGGCCCCCCAAAAAGTTCCTGCACCAAAAAGTCGTGTCGCCTCCTATCACCCATCACTCATTCCTTCATCGCCAATCGCCAGCCTGCGTGCGGCCTTCTTCTCCAGCGATTCTTCCGCCGTTGTATTGATTTAATCCTCCTTCATCCTAGATACCCATTGTAATTGAGCGAAGGAGCCCTCTCTTTTCACCATGTTCAGCGCTCTGCGAAGATGTCCCGCATCACTTGCGAGGAACATCTCCACGACTGCGCTCTCCTCCAGAGTACTACGGCCGTCCCTTCCTCGCTCCAGCGCCGCAATCCGGATAGCGGCACCCCGAGTCCCTGCCGTCGCGACAGCGGCTTTCCACCAGAGCGCGACATGGCAGCAGATTGCGGCGCAAGCCGCCGAGGAGCAGCCAGTGGAGGTCGAGCCTGTCACGCGCTTCGCGGATCTTGCCACGCGAGGGCTAGTCCATCCGAACATCGTCAACATGCTCACTCGGCAGATGAAGCTAGAGGACATGACGGATGTCCAGACGCGGACCATCAACGAGGCCTTAAGTGGCGTCGACGTGTATGTTTATTTCTACCGCTTTCTGTCAAAACGCTGCTAACATGATGCAGAATTGCACAGGCCAAGACCGGTACTGGTAAAACCCTCGGTTTCCTCATCCCCACCGTCCAGAGAATCTTGCGGTCAGACCCCACGCTTGCTGAGCGCGCCCGCGGTAACAAGCGCGCGCGACCGGACGACATCAGGGCCATCATCATCTCGCCCACCCGAGAGTTGGCCGAGCAGATCGCCGTCGAGGCCAAGAAGCTCCTCGCTGGCACAAGCTTGATCGTGCAGACAGCCGTGGGTGGAACCATGAAGAAGGCCATGCTCATGAAGACTCAGCGCGAGGGCTGCCACATCATGGTCGGAACCCCGGGCCGTTTGAACGACATTCTATCCGACCCGTACTCTGGCGTCAAGGCCCCGAAACTGGCCGCGCTTGTCATGGACGAAGCAGATCGCCTTCTCGACCAGGGATTCACCGCAGAGATTGATCAGATCAAGACACACCTGCCCGACCCCGCAGAAGTGGAGCGACAGAACCTCATGTTCTCCGCCACTCTGTCCCGCGATGTCGTCGAGTTGGTCAGGCGCACCATGAGGCCTGGCTTCCATTTCGCCAAGTGCGTTGACGAGAACGAGGCCCCTACACACGAGAGGGTACCGCAAAAGCTCGTTTCCGTGAATGGTTTTGAGAACATCACGCCTGCCCTCTATGAGCTTGTTCTGCGAGAGTACCAGAACGGCAAGACCGCCGACGGCCGTCCGTTTAAGGCCATCGTCTACTTTAACTCCACAGCCGAAGTTACGCTCGCTGCCTCTGTCTTCTATAAGCTCTCTGGTGGATTCAAGAAGGACAAGCCGCTCCATGGCATGCGTTCGTACGAGATCCACTCCAAGCTTTCCCAGGCCCAGCGTACGCGTGCTGCCGACGACTTCCGCTTCTGCCAGTCCGGCATTCTTCTCTCCTCCGATGTCACCGCCCGTGGCATGGACTTTCCCAACGTCACGCACGTCATCCAGATCGGCCTGCCTCGCGACCGTGAGTCATACATTCACCGTATCGGGCGCACTGCACGTGCCGGTAAGGAGGGTGAGGGATGGCTCTTTGTCACACCATACGATCAGCATGAATACCGCAAGCGTCTCCGTGGTCTCGACCTCCAGCCTGACAACACTCTCCAGACCGCTCAGGTCGACATGACTGCCCCGTCAGAGATGCCTGCTAGCGCGGCGAGCCTGATCCAGCAAACAGTTGAGGCACATGCAAAGGTTTACCCTGACCAACTCTCCGACGCTTTCCGTGGACTGTTCGGTAGCTTCCAGTGGTACGGTGACAAGCAAGGTCTTCTCACCGGCGCCAACCGGCTCGCTGAATTCGGCTGGGGCATGGAGCAGCCGCCGCCACCTCCCTCTTCTCTCTTCTCAGGAGGAGGACGCAGGGGCGGTTTCGGCGGTGGCCGATCATCCGGTGGCTTCGGTGGCCGAGGGGGTGACCGCGGTGGCTTCGGTAGCAGACCGTCGGGCGACCGCGGTGGCTTCGGCGGACGTGGAGGTGATCGCGACGGTGGTTTCGGCGGCCGGTCAGGAGGCCGTGACGGCGGCTTCGGAGGCAGGCCAGGCGGCTTCCGCGAGGGTGGCGACAGGCCTCCCCGCACTGGTGGCTTCCGCGAGGGCGGTGACAGGCCTCCCCGTGGCGGCTTCGGCGGCAGGGGCTCCGATCGCCCGCCCAGAAGAGAGTCCAACTTCTTCTAGATTAACAGCGCCAATGTTGTTTCCCAGGAGCTTTTCGAACCTTGTATGACTGACCGGATTTTCGACTTTCCATTTTCTCTTCAGACCTTGTACATTTTTATGCGAAATCTTGTACTATATCGGGATATACCCTCACTCGCCTCCGCCACCTCGCTGTCGTTGGGAACAGAGCTTGGAACATGGGAACTGGATGTGGGTGTGGTTTCTGCTTGCATTCAAGAAGGGGCCTGGCGTTTTTCTCTTTCCACCCACAAAAGGTGGGCTGTACAACGTTGCGCTTTTCATCTCTCCAATCATATCACAGCGGGCGTATGGGTTAGATTGGGCGTGGGAAGGGACAAAAAGATGATGTGTAGGTTTATGTAATGTAAGACGAGCGAAAAGAAAGAAGCCAACTTCAATCTGATGTGCCCGTCTGCCCCGTTCAATGATATGGCTTGATTGAATGTTTTGTATATGTGAGTCTGTCTAATCTGCAACGCCACGCTATGCACGCTAGTTTGAATATTTACTAGACAGGAAGCCAGAATGCCTCTTTGAAGCGGATCTGGGCCTTATCATGTCGTGGTGGGTATAAACGCCAAAATGAACATGAACAACCAATCTACCCAGAAACGCCAACGCCAGCAGCCATGCCATGGCTCTGGAATGATACTGTATTTTCAGCCTCCTTCATCCAGTCTCATTTTCCAACACCGACCCGACACAATTGCGCCCAAAGGACTTTTCTTCGTGTCGCGGGGTATCGCAGACACCCTTTCATACCGAGCTCTTACTCCGCTCATGAACGTCTCCTCCAGGTTTGCCAACCGACAGGTGCCCGGATCCCTCTTCCCTAACCTCAACTTCAGGCCCCAAGCCCTCGGCGCTATCTTCGCTCTTCTCGCCCCTCCCGATATCGTCGACCTTTGCGCCCTCCTCGCTCGTGACCACGCCTTTCAGGACGACCTCCAGGTCCGCCAGGCGCACCGGCTTGATCAAGAAGAGATTGACTCCGCTCGCATGGGCCTCCTGTTGCGCCTCCGAGCTTGCTAGACCTGTTAGTGCAATGATGGTGACCGGCGGAAGGGAATTATCTCGCTCATAGGCGCGAATCTGGCGTGTGGCTTCGAGACCATCCATCTCGGGCATGTTGATGTCCATGAGAATGACATCGACGCGGGACAACTTGAGCACAGCGGTCTCCAGGGTGGAAGCCTTGTATGATACCAAGGCCTCGAGGCCATTCTTGGCAAGTACATGGCGGTGACCGAGCTTCTCCACGAAGCTGCGTAGGAGACGCAGGTTGATTGGGTTGTCATCGACCGCGAGGCAATTGAGAGCGTTGGAGGGAACGTGTATGGGGCTGGCTGGACTTTGGTTGACGGAGCGTATCTCAGGAGCACTAATCGCTGACTTGACATGCGGACGTGGCAGGCTGAGGGATGATGAAATGGGCTTTGTAGAGCTTCGTGCGGCGGCGTTTTCTTTGAGGAGCAGCTGCGATATTCCGGACAGAGATGTATTGTCAGTCTCTGTTGACTCAACCACAAGGCGATTTGCTTGTCGGTCAAGGCATGACACAATAGCCTTCGCAAGCTTGTGTGGACCGCACGGCTGCGCGATGCATTCGAAAATCAGCCCGGGTACGGTAATCGCAGTCGTCGACTGAGCTAAAGCGGCGGCCCGACAGAGTACAATGACTGGTGCGAGAGGGACGGCATTCGGGGTCTTGCTGAATTGCGCTCGTAGTCTTCGCGCTCCGGCTTCAGTCGCCATGATCAAGTTGGGGGCTGGTGCATTGGTAGCAACAGGATCCCAGACGTCTAGACCAAACCAGTCTTTGCACATTTCTTTGAGTGCCTTCTCCCCAATCGCTGAAGCGTTCTTGTTCTTCAGGCTCGTCACTTCCACCTCATCCCCGTCGTCAAAACCCATAAACTGTACAACCTTGCCCGTCGTCCGCTTGAACACATTGGGAATCTCCTGCGCAGGATTCAAAGCGGATACCGTAGGAGATAAGGAGGACGGTTTTAGTGGGCAGCTGACGATGAACTTCGTGCCTCTGTCCTTTTCACTGCGAACCTCGACGTCTCCACCCAATATCTCCACTAGCTGCTTGACGATGCTAAGTCCAAGTCCAGTTCCTTGGCTGAGAGGGTTCTCCTGGGCGAAAGAGTGGAATAGTCTGTTATTGATGTAATCCTCAGACATGCCGATGCCTGAGTCAGTAACAGTGAGCTTCAGCTCCATGTTTTCGTCGGATCTATCAGAGTTCGGTACTACTTGAAGTTTTACCTTGATGAACCCAGCTGGCGTATACTTGAGTGCGTTTCCGAACAGGTTCATGACGATGCGTCGCCAAGCTCCCGGTTGAGTACGGAAAACGTAGCTATCCCACTTGTTGACATCGACAATCACTGACACAGGCGGCGGCTCGTATTTCCGTGGTCCCTGGTCGAGGCTCTCGAAGTTGTTTTTACTGAAGTTAAACCCTGCAAACACAGTCTCAAGCACTTCTTCGATCAGTATACTGAGATCGAAATCGGAGATAATGGTCATGATATCGTTCGTATGTCCCTGACTAGGTGTTATTACGTGCTTTGCGCTCTTCGTTCGGCGCTTGGGACGTCTTTTGGAAGCCCCTCGTGTGAGATTATTGATCTTTGCGTAGTCAAGAACCTGGAGGGTATTAGTGACGGGATTCCACTTCTGCATGCCCCGCTTTTCTCTTACATGATTGATCGTCTCTAGCAAAGTCTTGCCGCAATTCTCGATGGTCTGAATGTGCGACTGCTGCTGGGTATCTATCGAGGTGTCCTTGAGCAGATCCGTCATGCCTAAAATTCCGTGCAGCGGTGAGCGCAGTTCATGGCTGATCGAGGAGATAAAATCTGCCTTCGCGGAGTCGGCGAGCCTAGTATCTAGCCGAGCAACCTCGGCCATTACGCTGTTACTGAAAGCAGAAAGATAGCTGAGCTCTTGCTCGTTGGTGAAAACACGCATGGGATCTGAACTCCAAATAATAAGAGATGAAAACCACCGATCGCGATGCGCGTCCCATAGCGGATATATTATCAGGCTCCGGGCTCGCGGAAAGACCTCCCGAAGTGCCTGTTCGTCATCGGCCGATCTGACAGAATCGGATTTTCGAGAAATCATGAGATCTACGTCGTCTCCTACAACAGCGTCTGCTTGCGCGGTTGGAGAGTAGTCGTCGTCAAAATTAAAAATCTGGCCGTGGGTGTAGTTGCGAAGAAGGTGTTTGAGAACGCTTTCAGTCATGAAGATTTGGCTGGATGGTGACGAGGAGTTCTGGGAGCTCTTGAACCGCGCGGCACCAAGTACCACGCAAGGCTTGTCGGGCTCAGGTGGTTGCTCGGAAGTGAAATCGTCATCGACAAGTCCGCCAAAGGTACTGACTTTGGCATCGAAAAATACGGCGCCTTCGGCTTCGACAGCCTCAGCAATCATCCGCGCAGCTCTTTCAAAGATGGCCTTCGTATCTGATGCCACTGCATCGGGTTTCCCATTGCCAGTAGCAGATGCCATTTTGGACAAGACCTCGGGCTTCACTGGGTCCAGGATCTCCGAGGCAGGTGTACCGACAGTGCTGCTCGGGGCTATACTGGACATGGACGTTTGGCCAGGGCTGTTCACACTTGGGACACTAGATTCGGCGCTATGGTTCCTGGCCAACATCCCAGGCTGGGCGGTTGTTGCAGTGGGCGACATGGCGTTTACGGTCGGACGGCGTTGGCGTTGCATGGGCGTTGTCTCTGACGGTGATGCGGTCGCTTCGGTCTCCTCCCACCAATCGTCGATGGATGATTTGCCATCCGCAAAAGAACCCAAACTCTTAACCATGACTCCACCTCTCTTGTGATCTTCAGCAGCCCGCGAGGTCTCCAAGTGGCGCATAACGGTCCCTGCCATGTCCTTCAGAAACCTCATCTCAGATTGGGATAGACCGTTGCGTGGCTTGTCGTCTAGAACGCAGTAGGTGCCGATGTTGTGGCCGTTTGGGCTACGGATGGGAACGCCTGCATAGAATCGGGAATGGGGCGCGCCTTCCACGAAGGGGTAGTTCTTGAAGCGCTCGTCCCGCGTGAGGTCGTTGACGACCAAGGAAGGATGGTGAGCATACTCATCAAAGGGAGGAGGGTGGCCCCAAGGCAGCTTGACGGTATAATAACAAATGCTCTTGTCCTTTGGAAAGATGGAGGTGCCGAACGCCAGGTCGTCTTCCGGAACTTCAGCTCGTCCTGTGACAAGACATGCCGTTCGTGTAGCTTCGGCGAGAATGAAGCAATTTCGTCGGTCGAAGAAGGATATCAAACAGCGGCGGCAGTTCAGACGCAGCGCACCCAGTTGGGCGAAAGCGGCGAGTGCCGTGTCGTCTGAAGGAATGAGCTGGTCTGGCACTGGCTCTGGGAGGCTTTGTGTTTGGAGAGGCGCAAGGACGGGGGTGCCGTTGGGTCGGCCATGTTCCTGGGGTCGCTGGACGTGGTAGTATCTGCGAAACGCTTAGCAGGGTGCACCTATGCGGTCCTGTGTGTATCCCGGCAGATGGGCGGCAGGGGACAGGCTGAGCCAATCCTCACGGTGCAATGCTCAAGACGACTCACCTGTAGAACTCGCGCTCCTTGGTCCGGTCGGCCTCGTCCATGGGGTCGCGAGGGTTCTGCGAACGCGCAGACGCGGGGCCGCGGTCGACCATGTCCACCTGTCTACAGGGCACGGTCGCAGGCGATGACAGAAAGAATGGTCATGCTACGATGGGCTAGCCGTTGGACAGCGGAAGCGGCTCCCGGTGATCAGCGACGCAGGCTCTGGCTATGCCGGTCCAGAAGACGCTGGCGGGCAATTGGGACCGGGATGGAGGCGCGGGAGAGGGCGAGCAGCAGCGGCTGCCCTCGCCGGCAGTATGATGTCACGCGCCTGGGGATGGAGGAAGGCGCAGGCCTGTGATCTGCGACGCCAGGCACAGCGACAGCTGCTGTTCGCTCCTCAGCAGTTGCTGTGTCTACGTTCACGCACCGTGTGAGGAGTGCATGTGGGCAGATTTCTCGCGCTCGCCGGAAAACAGACGGCGCATCGTCGCCCCGCTCTGATTTGTCGCCGCTGTCACTGGCGGTGGCCGGCGCTCACTAAAAGCAGGGTCCACAACCTGGAACACGCGGGGAGGCGCAATGTGCAGCCTCGCGAGCAGAGTGCCTGTCACCAGACGCGGCCATGGCAAGTGCAGCGTCTCGAGTCCAGCCCGCGGACACGCAGGCGCCAGAAGCACGTCAACAGCCTCGCCACTGCACCTCCAGGGACGCTCTGCGGCTCGCGGGGCCACGGCGCGAGTTTGGTCCAGATCGCCGGGACTCGGCTCGGCATCCTGTGCATCGGCACTGCGGCAGTTTAGGCTGTGCACGTGATTGTGCCGCTAGTGCTGGAAAGAAACAGCTCCCGAAGTCGCGGCCACTACCGCGCTTGGACTCATACCCAGTATCAACCCAACACTTCTTGCTTCTCATGCTTTGGATCCAAGTGCGTACGAGCCCTACGATCCAGACAAAGACCACACTTCTCAGTGTCTGTCCAAGCGTATCACGATTGGTGTTGCACCTTATCGCGAGTCATCCCCCCCAGTGAAACAACAGTTCCCCAATACCAGCACTCAAGATGGGGCGGTTGATGCATGTTGCAACATGCGCTCTCAGTACGCTGTCCCAGTATTGAACCCCACATATGCTCCTTCGCTGACCACCTGTGCAGATCAATGGGCTCTCGATTTCAACGGCAACAAAAACCGCATAGTAGAGTCCATCCGGATCGCAAAGAGCAAAGTAGGCAGTGCCAGTATCATCCAGGTATGGTTTTGCTAACGTTTTCCCAGGGAGCAAAGCTCCGCGTCGGGCCTGAGCTGGAAATCAGTGGTTATGTAAGTTTCTTCAGCAGTGTGACTCAGCTGTAACATACGACTGCAAGCATCATCGCGTTTGTGAGGACGTGCTGACCGTATCAGGGCTGCCTCGACCACTTCCTTGAGGGGGAGATCTACGAGAACTCAATGGCTATGCTCCAACAAATTCTGGAAGACAAGTCCCTCCACGACATCATCATCGACCTTGGCATGCCCATCCTCCATCGCGGCAACCGCTACAACTGCCGCGTGGTCATACTGAACTCCAAAATCCTCATGATTCGACCCAAGATGCATCTCGCCAATGACGGAAACTATCGCGAGATGCGCTACTTCATCCCTTGGAAGAAGCCCCTGAAGGTGGAAGAGTTTGTTTTGCCTGATGAAATCGCTGCCATCCAAGGCGCCAGGAAAGTCTTCATCGGAGACGCTGTGCTGAGTACAAACGATGCTTGCATCGGTGTCGAGAGTTGCGAGGAGCTTTTTGTGCCCGAAAGCCCGCATATCAACATGGGTCTGAACGGTGTAGACATTATTACCAACTCCTCCGGCTCGCACCATGAGCTGCGCAAGCTGGAGACCCGTATCGCATTGATCCTGGAGGCTACGCGCAAGAATGGCGGCGTGTATTTGTACAGCAACCAGAAGGGATGTGATGGCGATCGTCTTTACTATGATGGTTGCGCCATGGTCATTGTCAATGGTCAGATCGTCAACCAGGGAAGTCAGTTCAGCACGACTGACGTCGAGGTTGTGACTGCTATCGTGGACATTGAGGAAGTCAACTCATACCGCACAAGCCCGTCAAGAGGCGCTCAAAGCCAGTCAGCTCCCGAATATAAACGCATTGACGTCGACTTCTCTCTCGGACAAGGCGAGACTGATCTTGATCTAGGCGTGTTTCCCAACAAGCCCCAGCCGCTGCGTATCCACGCCCCAGAGGAGGAGATCGCCCTCGGCCCGGCGTGCTGGCTGTGGGACTACCTGCGTCGGTCCAAATCAGCAGGCTTCTTCATTCCGTTGTCCGGTGGCATAGACAGCTGTTCCACGGCAACACTCGTCTTCTCCATGTGCCGCATAGTATACGCTGCTGTTCAGGAAGGAAACGAGCAGGTCATTGCAGACGTCAAGCGCATATGCGGCCCCTACCACCATGACGACAAATGGCTCCCCAGTTCCCCAAAAGACCTCTGCAACTCAATACTCCACACAGCCTACATGGGTATGGCTAGCCAGTCCTCTACCGAGACTCGCTCTCGCGCCGAACGTCTCGCCAAAGACATCGGCGCATACCACACAGACCTAAATATCGATCTAGCCTTTGACGCGCAACGTCAGATCTTCACACAGGCTACCGGTTTCGACCCCAAATTCAAAGTCCACGGGGGTACCCAGACCGAGAACCTCGCATTACAGAACATCCAAGCCCGCCAGCGCATGGTGACCGCGTACATGCTCGCCCAGCTCCTCCCGACCGTGCGCCAGCGCGACAACGGCGGCGGCCTCCTCGTCCTCGGCAGCGGCAACGTCGATGAATGTCTCCGCGGCTACCTCACCAAGTACGACTGCTCCTCAGCAGACATCAACCCCATCGGCTCCATCTCCAAGACCGACCTCAAGCGCTTCGTCCGCTGGGCCGCCAAGTCATTCGACCTACCCATCCTCGATGAGTTCGTCGACGCCACTCCCACCGCTGAGCTTGAGCCCATCACTGCAGACTACGTGCAGTCCGACGAAGCAGATATGGGCATGACGTACGCAGAGCTGTCTGATTTTGGGCGCCTGCGCAAGGAGAAGAAGGCCGGCCCTTACACGATGTTTTGCCGTCTGGTGCACGACTGGAAGGACCGCGCGAGCCCACGTGAGGTCGCAGATAAGGTGAAGCGGTTCCACCATTTCTATGCGATCAACAGGCACAAAATGACGACTATGACGCCGTCGTATCATGCTGAGGCGTATAGTCCGGATGACAATCGGTTTGACCTTAGGCCGTTTCTTTACCCGTCTTTCTGGGAGTCGTACTCGTTCAAGAAGATTGATGAACGGGTGGCGTTACTGGAGAAGAGGGCGCAGGAGGGTGGAAAGCAGTAGTACGACATCGTACACTGTGATTTTGGCATGTAATAGTTGCTAGAAGCTATGTGTAGAACTGCATGGGAAGTACATATGCAAGCAGCTTTCGACATCCAGCCCACCCCTCCACATTCCTCCACCGCACACGAACCTACATTACGCGGGTCCAACGTAAGTTATTCGCCGTACTCCCGTTGTCAGCCCAACAACAATATCAGCTCACCGATGGGCGCCGGCACTTACTGTAAGCAAGCATGCAGCCAATTAGCGATCGTTTGAATTGCAACCGTTACCCTCCAAACCGTTGCGCTGGTCCCAAGTATTGGAGTCATCAACCGTGCATAACATCCCAAAAGCGGAAAACACGCGGCGGAATCCCTGCTGCGTCAATTCAAGGGTAAAGGTTTCAACTCAAATAAGGAGTGAGCATGGACGGCATTGCTGCCGGGCTTGTGAGCGCTCAATCAGTGTACACGGGGGGCTGCGTGATTACAACCACGATTGAACGACCATTTTACAGCAACAATGTCACCAACAGTCATGTGTGAAAGGACGATTGGCAGCCCGACCAGAGCCGACTCCATCCCAAAAGACCGAGAAGATGGGACTTGCACGGGAAGCACGATCCCACGCAACAACCCCTCCCTCCACACCTCGACGCAAAAGCTCCTCTGGAAGCTCGACACCAGGATCCTCCCACTCTTCATCCTCCTCGTCCTATGCTCGTTCCTAGATCGCACCAACGTCGGCAACGCAAAGCTGTACCACCTAGAAGCCGACCTCCGCATGACCAATGCGCAGTATAATCAGGCGCTGACGGCCTTCTATCCGCTCTATATCGCTGGGGAGATACCGAGTAATTTGGTCTTGAAGAAGGTCACCCCAAGAATATGGATTGGATGTATGGCGTCGCTGTGGGGTTTGATATGCATGTGCATTGGGTTTGTGCATACTTTTGCTCAGTTCGTCAGTCTGCGTGCGGTGCTTGGGCTAGCGGAGGGTGGGTTATTTCCTGGTATGGTCCTATACCTGTCTACCGTCTACACCCGGTCCGAACTTGCGCTGCGAATCGGGGTGTTGTATACAGCGACTTCCCTCTCCAGCGCCTTTGGAGGGCTTCTGGCTCGTGCAGTGGCTGAGATTGGAGATCGTGGCGGGCTGTCTCCGTGGCGGTGGATCTTTGTCATTGAAGGTCTCTTCACTATGTGTGTTGGCGCCGCTGTCTTCCTCATTCTCCCCAACAGCATCGCCGCAGCAAGGTTCTTGCAGGAAGACGAGCGCGCTGTTGCTCTCCAACGACTGGAAGGTGTGGAGCACGGCACTGGGAATAAAGAGATAGAGGAGAAATTCGCATGGTCCGAAGTCCGCAGAGCGATATTCAGTCCTCAAACCTGGCTCTCAGCGAGCGCCTACTTTGGTCTCCTGACAGGAATTTATTCCTTTGGCCTGTTCCTTCCGACAATTCTCGCTGGTATCGGGTACACCGCCAACTCCGCACAGCTATGGTCCGCAATCCCATACAGCATCGCAGCGTGCACAACTCTCGCCGTCGCGTTCCTCTCTGACCGCCTCCAGCTCCGCGGCACCATGATGCTCTGCACCATGCCTGTCGCTATTGTCGGGTACGCCGTCATCGCTAACATCGGCGCCAGTCATCCTCGCGTCAAGTACGGCATGACGTTCCTCATGGCTACAGGGCTATACAGCAGCGTTCCTCCCGTGCTGACCTGGCTCGCAAACAACTCTGCAGGGCACTACAAGAGAGCGACGGCTGCTGCGCTACAGCTGGGGATTGCTAACTGTGGGGGCATTCTGGCCAGCTTTATCTATCCGAACAGTGAGGGGCCACGGTATCACAGGGGCCATACGGTGGTTCTGGGGTTGTTAGTCGCGGGATGGTTTGCGATTCTGGCGAATGTGGTTTATTGCGCGAAGGTGAATAGGGACAAGGCGAGAGGGAGGTATGATCGGTATGGGGGATATGGTGATGATAGGGAACCTGCTTTCAAGATGGTACTGTAGACTAGCAAAGAGTCCTGCGGGACGGGAGTTTAAGTACAACGTACGATGAACAAGCAGTAAGCTGCCACACGGACCAGAGATACTTTCTGTTAACACGCAAGGTGTCGAAAATTAACGGCCGCAACCAGCTCGACTCGGTTGTAAAAGGTACGTGCTTCTCAACGTCCACATGATGTGCACATTCATTCTGAGAGGATCATTTCAACAGATAGCGAAGGACTCCTTGAGGAGGTCGATAGATGAGAGGCAATTTCTTCATAGCTCGGTAGAACTTCAAGAGGTGGAGAGGAATAAGGGAAGAGTTTGTTGAAGACGTCGCCGGTGCCGGAGTTTGAGTTTGTACATCTGAAGGTCGTGGAGGAGTAAGTGGTAGTGAGAGGTCTACTCATATGGCGATTATGCGGTAACATTGCGAATTTAGAGCATAGAAATATGTTTGCTGAGTCGTGGTTACTGTGAAATGTGTGTTGACGGAAGGTACTCCGCAAGAACCTGGCAGGCGCCACGCTAGGCTTACATGGACAGTTGCCATGCCAAATTATCCCATAGCTCCTATACCTCATTTTATTGCTGTCCTTTTCATCAGTCTGGTAATAGCTCAATTCAAATGAGTCGTATTTCGAACTCATCTGGTGATGGTTACTACCTGCAGGGATTACTGGTACCCCGCACGCCGCCATACAGCCTTACCACCTTCTCATTGGACATCTTTCTTTTGGCGCGTGACCTGAGCAACAGCCTGGTCGTCGCCGTGGAAAGTGAAGTAGTTTGACTTTCTCATTGGAAGAGATGCCACAAGGCTGCCTCGTACTAGGTACAGTCTCTTTAGATGCGGCTGTGTGTTCGCTTGCGAGCTGACCGCGAACCAGTATGTAGCTAAGCCACCGCCAACACATCAACAGGCAACCCGCAGCAGACATTAAGATGCTTTCGACACCGCGCAGCCTCTGGCTTGCAATCTCTTTTATCCTCTGTCAGCGATTCCTCATGGAGGCACTGGTGGCCGTTGGTTTGGCCGGCAATGTCGTCCAATTCGTTACTTGCGCGGGCAGCCTCATCGCTCAGGTCAATTACATACGGATGCATGAATCTCCGAAGTCCTTGCCTGAACTCGTGAAACTGTCAAAAACTTTGACAGGCGATGCCGCTACACTCAAGACTCGGTTAAAGGCTTCCACGGCCACGCTCAAAGAAGAAGATCAAGTATGTCCACATGTGAGATCGGCGGGCTTACTAACTCTCGCAGAACCTGCTTGACCTCGCTACGGAATGCGAAGAGTCAGGCATCCGCTTCCTTGATTACCTCAAGAAATGGGATAAAAAGTCATCCGGAATTCTGCACAATGCGAAAACGGCCCTCAAATTCCAATGGAAATTGCACCAGATCGAAGAATTCGCTGGGAAGATTGAGAAACTCCGTGGCTCGCTTACCCTTGCGACTGTATTGGCCTTTCGAACGAGCGTGGAAAGCAATCACGAGGATATCCTGGAACACCTGAAGCAGCTTCAAATAAACGCCCCACCCAAGACCACGGTCAATGACACACATCAACTGCAGTATTTGATTGATGTTCTATCAGACGTAATCGAGCACCATACTGTTGACAGACTGAACGCCATACACAAGCAAATATCGGCCAGCTTGAACAGCATTCTAGCCATTCGGACCCAGCAGATTACTGATGAGAAGAAGCACGGTCACGAGCAGGATATTTTAAGCTGGCTTGACTTCCGTCAAATCCATTGGAGGTACGATGCCGTCGATGATGCCTACCAAGACACATACAACTGGATTTTCGAATCTGCCAACGGCACACAGGAGTGGGATGATCTTGGTTCTCATCTCAGACAGGACGTTAAAGATCCGTACTTCATCGACGGGAAAGCAGGAAGTGGCAAATCGACTTTGATGAAATACATCGTTGATAACCGAAAAACCCGCGAAGCTCTGAAGGAATGGGCTGGGCAGGATCCGCTTCTAATCCTTCCATTCTTCTTCTGGAACATCGGCACAACGCTACAGAAATCTCACATCGGACTTTTGAGAGCGCTACTATATACAGTCCTCTCAAAGCACCCTGAGCTGGTTCCGGCCGTTTTCCCAAAGTTGTTTCACAATTGGAAGGGGTCCGACGCTGAAATTGCACCCGATTATACCGAGCTGAAGAGAGCTTTCGAATTGATGATACAAAAGTCCACCTATTTGAAGCTTGCCATCATGATAGATGGAATTGACGAGTTTGAAGGTGATCATCGGGACATGTCCCTTTTCCTTCGCTCTCTGGGTTCTCCACGTGTGAAACTTATAATCTCGAGCCGGCCGCTCAATTCCTGCTTAGAGGCTCTGGAAGGTTGTCCTACATTGCGTTTACAAGACTTGACGCGGAGAGATATGGCAGCTTTCGTCCAGGGCGAATTAGCGACCCACCACCTGATGATACGTCTGTTGCGCCAATTTCCAGACAGGGCACCGCTATTAGCAGTTGAAGTGGTCGAGAAGGCTGCAGGTGTCTTCCTCTGGGTCAAACTTGTAGTACGACTGCTGATCGAAGGACTGGAAGACGGTGATGATCTCGACGAGCTCGAAGCTCGGCTGAGCTCTTTACCTCCCGATCTACGGGAGCTTTACCGCAGGATGCTCGAAAAGATGAGTACCAAAAATCAGAGACAAGCGTCGGAAGTGTTCCAGATTGTTCAAACGTGGAACAAGAAGGTGAACGACCAACAGATTCCCGGCTTGGTTTTATCATACGCCCTAAAGGCCCCGAAAGAGTGCTTTGATGTTCCTATTGCGCCTATGGACTGCGAAGCATTCGACTCTGAAATGTACGTCCTGAGCAAGCGAATCAGGAGCCGGTGTTGTGGGCTGCTCGAAGTGCACCATGTGAAAATGCGCCGTTTAAGGAGGGAAGCAAAATTGACAGAGGACCAATCGATAGACGACCCTGTTACGCTTGATGAGGCTAACAAGACAGTGGTCACGTACATGCACCGTACTGTAGCAGAATTCCTCGATACGAAGACCACATGGGAGGATATATGTGCGTTCACAAGAGATCGGAATTACGATCCTTCAGTCCGTCTGACGTCCGGGTGTCTTTCCACAATCAAGATGGCTACACACCTCCGCGATGTCTCGTTGCGATGGTTATTGCAACTTACTACGATGTTCTGCGGAAGTGCGACGAAACTACCAATACACGTGTACGCTCGTTACCTCGTCGAGATTGACAACAAAATGTGTGAACTCCAACAGGATCTCCAAGGACCTGATGGCGATACCGACTACAACCCAAAGGACAAGAGAAACGGCGGCCATAGCAACTACAACCCCAAGGACACTGCGCACTGGTCAGTCAGTTGGATTGGTCCAGAGTTGGCGAGACTCAAATACAAATACGTGAGCCTTGAAACCTTCGCAGCGGCAAGGGGCCTCTATTTCTTTTCGATTCCTTCCAACAAGCCGAAAACCGATTACTCATGGTTCGTGAACATTTGGTATGCTATATCCAGCTGGCGCCGGACAGAATTCTCCGAAGACTATCTACCAGATCGCTCCCAGCGGAAACGAACTCTAGAATATCTTGCAAAGCACATGAGAAAATTTGAAGACACTAGCCTTATACATCGCCTATGGCACCAGGTACTTGAGACAAGCACGTGCTTGCAAGAGGAGCGCAAATATCTTGATGCTGCGGAGCTGTTGTATACTTTTCTAAAAGCTCATGGATCGCCACGCAGGTTGTGGGAGCTGAGCAGAGAAGCATATGAGTTAGGTGATGCTGAATATGATCCACAACGCATCTGCCGCGGAATGTTTCACGCATGCAGGAAAGCTGGCTGGGAAGATGATCAGAATCAAGACGATGCTATGCGCGTTCTGAAAGAACTGCACCTGCTTGTGTCGCGCAATCCTGTGCCTGGCAAAAGAATTTTGGATGATGATGACGGTGGAGAGTTCTTATCTGACACAGATGCTTCTAATTTCGAACGAGCTTCAGCTTCAAGTTCTTCGCCGCAACCTTACCTTGCTCTCCAACCGCCTCTGGAATCCAGCATGCGACGTACGAAACATCAAATGTTACCCGACTCAGAGAACTTGGAAAGCTCTGAGCGCACTAAAAGAAGACGTGTTAATCCAGCTGTAGAATGGCATGTACCTGCGCACTGGAACACATCTATAGACTCGAATCAGTGTCCGCTAGAGGAATGGGAGATCCAGGAAGCAGATCATGCTTTAGACATGGAGGAGTAGGCGACTATCTTGCGAGATGTCAATCCGTTGGTCCCCTGAGGGTCGGCGAAGCTGAGTACGGTGCGCTAGGTACGAATATTTATATACGACCACGGAACACTAAGAACAGGGTTTCCCGTCCACTCGCCCAGACATGGCGCCGCAGAACATCGGCTTAGATAGCCTTAATTGTGAACGGATCTGACACGTCGATGGAGATCTTTGCGCTAACACCATTCCACCTCTGCTTCTTCTCTTCCAGTCTACCATTCAACAGCTTCTCTTTCCTCCATCTTCTCCACTGTCAAAACGATCCAAGCAGATCCTCACGACCTGTGCCTTTTCGCAGCTTTCAGGCTCCCGAGCTCATCTCCCTGCGCAGTCGCCGGATCTTTCTTGTCTAACCAAAACGTCCTCTCATACGGCACACCGGGCTTAAATTCCTTCCGAGAGGGTATCATCGGGGAACGGACCATCGTACTCCCAGTATCCAATTCCGTACGGCCATTCCAATTCTTTACCTTCGTTGGTAACATAAGTTATCTCCTCCGGGCCGTGCAATTCCTTGAGTGGAGTTTGGTGTAGACATACGGTGATGATTTCATTGTCGTGCGAAAGGATCTTGAGCTTGAATCCGAGGCGCGGCTCGCCATTCAGGTGGCACACATCCGCTGTTGGCGTCAACGGTAAGGAGAACCGGGGTTGTGCACCGGTGGGGCTAGGACCCGACATGATGCAAATTGTAGGTTTAACTGTGCGGAAGTTCGAGCGCCCCGTGTCCGTGAGTACGATTGAGGCTGGCGCAATCGGGATCTTCGAGCTCCCAAGATTGTTCAGAACGTGAGGTGTCTGTCCAATATTGTCCTCAGTGTTGAGAGAGTGCTCAGGTTGGTGTGATGTTCTGAATTGGTTAATTCTATTGCTGTGTCTGCATGGGCTGCTTTGGTTACTCAGTTCGGAATTATCGAACTCTCTGAGAGCGATTTTTGTTACAGTTATGAAAGAAGCTACGGTACTCGACTAGCCTACCGACCCCATGCTGCTTTTTATACACCCACTTCTTGCCCCTTATTATACTGAGTCCGAAATAAATTTTTAATGCTGACTTTCGAAGCATGTATCGACAGCGAGAAGTTACGAGCATGACGTCGTCTTACTACTCAAGGTACAAGCTGTCAAGCAGTGCCAACTTGCGAATGCTTCACATCCCTCTTCCGACACATAATCACGATCTCAAGCGTCCGGTCCTATAGAGATCCTCCTTTCTTCTCAGACATGAGGCCTTTTGTCGAGACAAGGCAAGATGCCTTTTAGCGACGACCGATCATAGCGAGCTAGGACAGTGAACTCATGGTGGTCTGTTCCAGAACATCGATTGTGCATATAACCAGAATAAATTTGCTATTTTATGCTTCTCCGGCAAATTTTCAACTATAAAGTCCACTTCAAAAGGCTTCATTACATCTATTCTTTCCAACGAGATCTCTCCATCATGCTACAACTTAGTAAACAAGTTTTAGCGCCCGCAGCTGTGCTAGCAGTTGTTCACGCTCATCCTCATGGGTATGTAATCTCCAACGGCACTTGTCAGAGCTTTGGAGTGCTAACGGGTGTGCATTAGTTTCCAACTCAGCAATGTCAACCCAGCCTGAGCCGTGAAGCGAACACTCGTCCACCTCGACGACTTCTCCGACCAAGGCCGCAAAGCGAAAGTGACCCAAGGCCACAAGCATGCTGTCACAATCGCAGCTAAAGCCCTAGAGAAGATGAACGATGACCAATACAGGGGTACCCTCGAAGAACATACCAACGACAATAAGAAGAAAAGCAAGGGCGTTTTCAAGAACTTTTTTGGCGACAATACAGACGGCACCGGCTCTGACACCTGTAAAAAAGCATGTTCTACTTTAGGCAGTGAGTAACGAAAGAAAGTTCTTTCGACAACAAATTCCACGTATGTATTCTTCGCTCGTTCTCCTAATCGTATCCCTAAGTATGGTCCCATCGCTCTATTATATACAGCTTTACAAACAGTGCTTTTATACATGAGAAAGTGTTAGCGTCAGTCACTGCCTTGATCTTACTGTACTTCGGCCAGCAGCATCCGGGGCCATGCCTTTTGACTCTTAATCTTTTCTTCTCTCTCTGCACAATATAAGATGACCGAGACACTCAGCATCATTGCTTCCGTGATTCAAGTCACAAGGGCAGGTCTGAAGCTTTCTCGGACATTTTACCAGCATACGCGCACCAGAATCTCGGCCGACCGGCGCATACAGATGTCGCGAAAGGAACCAAATGTGGGCGAAACTCAAAAGAGCAGAGTACTTACTGTTGCTTAGTACTGCCAGGAGAGTCTAAATGAGTGACACAGCCACAGCTAGAACATCAATTAGGGACCTGAAATCTAGTAGATTAATGCTAGACTTGTGCGCTGAACCCGGGTGGCAATGAGTAAGCTTCATCCTCTCACTGCGAAGAACATGTCTGACCCACACAAGCTATTTAGCTGGGCTTTTGGATGTCGCGTATTCGCGGTGTTTGGGTACTGATGTTTTACGCATGAATATATATTCATTACAAAGGCAGTTATTTCACATACGACCATAGGACACTGAAAACTAGGCTTCCCGTCCGCTCAGCCATATATAAGCAGTGTACCGGCGGATCAGTAGTTGCGTGGGTGACCAGCAGCGAATCCCCGCTGTTGTATGTTTTTTTGCGATGTGTAGGGCGTTGTCGGTGTGTGGTGATGGGGCGCAGGGTGAAGCGGAGCGTCCTCCGACCCGAACACGACCAAGCGTTGCGCTACCAGTCGCTTTTTTCTTCTCCGTAGAAATCTTATCGCGTATTGGGTACGCCAGTGTGTGATAACAGGCGCAGGGGATGGGCTCCAGCGTGGCATGGGCTTGAGATTGCGAGGTATGAATAGAGTGAAGGACCGCGATGCGCTACACTTCAAATGTATATATCAGTCTCACGCTGTGCGAGCTTAGACTATCGCGCGCGCTTTCTGTTTCAGGTGTAACAGAAGACATGCGACGTATTCACAAGAGCGACGTGAAGTCGTTGCATGTAAAGATGTAGGAGGTCATGTACATCGAGCGTGAAGTAAAAGTGACAGGATGACACGGCAAGTTAAGACTTAACAACGTCAACAGGCTTAGACACGAGCACAGTTTGAACTATTTGCAAGGAACAGGGTATCATTTGAACGTCTTCATTCGTGAAAGAGGGCCAACCGTCGTCCTTATTCAGGCGGATTGGCTCACTCCGGCCGGCATGGCCTCGAACCTAAGCTAACTTTTGGACCCAGGTAGTTGACACCATGTGTAACCCAGATAACATCTCTTGCAGAAGCCTAACGCCATCTCAAACAACCAACCTAGTTCATCTGGCGGACAAGGTCGTTGATGAAGAGCTCACGGTTTCCGAGGTCACCGCCCTCAATGAAGTGCTTGAACTTGCGGGTGCGGAAACCACCAGTGGGGGAAGAGAGCTTAAAGGGCCACAGGAAGTTAGAGGCCTGCTTGAAGTTGGGGCCAACGGTGTAGATCTCGTGGATGAGGTCCTCGATGCAGACAATGCCGAACTCGCCGAGGTTCTTCTCGATGATCTCGTTGTCAGAGAGCGGGAGGCGCTGCTTGTTGACCTTTCCGTAGCCGCGCTTGTAGACGAGCTCGCGGACGGTCTTCAAGTTGGGGTATCCGTAGGTGACAAAGGGCTCGACGATCTTGAGCATCTCGGTAGTAGCTTTAGTCAACTTGACGAAGATACCGTTGTTGATCTGGAGGAGACGGAGGAGCTGGAGGGTCTTGCGCTTCTTGGGGTCGATCTTGTTGATACTGGATATAGTTAGTGTGCGTTCTCAAGCTTGGTATTGGATTGCGCTTACCCCTTGATGCGGACGACAAAAGCGAGCTTGGGCTCGGCGGGGACGAAGAAAGAATCATCCTGCTTCGCCTTGCGCTTGGCCTCGATGATGTCGCGCTCGGCTTTGACGTACTCCTGCTGGTACTTCTGGGCGCGCTCGAAGATGACGGAGCGCTTCTTCTTGTTGGCCTAAGACAGTCTTAGCCAACGTTGATACTCCTATCTGCAAAGCAGATCATGGGAGAGTTATTATCGCACCTCACGCTTCTTCTTCAGGTCGGCGGCACGCGACTCGTCGGCCTTAGCGTTGGCCTTCTGCTTCTTGAGGACCGACTCGGGAACCTCGATCGAGGACTTGGAGGGAACACTGGAGCTCACGTTAGCGATGCGCAAGGAAGGGAGAGTAATTGACCTACGTGCTGCCGGCCATTGTGCTGGTTGTTAGTATGAGATTGACGAGTGTCGAGGCTGAAGGTCTGAGGATTAGGAAGCGACGACGTAAAATTCAAAGTGCTCGCTTAGCGCTTGGCCGCCAAGAGTTGGGGCGGGCTGATTGGACGCTGCCCCACCAGCGCCTGCCCCATCGATGGGCAGCTACTGAACTTTTCTGGAGCTCGAGTGTGAAGCAGTTGCAATAACTCGCATTGCGCCCCAATTTCTACCACCCTATTCTTCCTATCACTACAATGGGTCGCGGAGGACGCGTAAGTTCAAATTTCGAGTAGTTGCACCATTATTCTGACAGCTCCAGGGCGGCGGACGCGGACGCTTTCGCGGTAAGAATAAAGGTCGCGGCGGCGGCGGCGGCGGTGCCAGAGACACAAGAACCGAGTCTTGGAACGACATCCAGCGCAAGAATGAGCTTTTCGAGAGCTACTACCGCATGGGCGGATTTCTGGAGGAAGCCGAGTTCGAAGAGATGTGGAAGTACTTAGCCACGGACCTGCCCAACAGCTTTCGCTTCACAGGCACCAAATCCGATGCGCTCGCCGTGCGCGAGATTTTCAAGAAGCGCTATATTCCTGCGATTCAGTCCATGGACTTCGAAGGCGAACCAGTACAGCCGCCGCAAGCGGTCGCAGCCTTTCCTGATGAGCTAGTGTGGGACATGAAGACGCACAAAAAGGTCATCCGGCGATACGCGCCCTTCGCTGAATTCCAGAAGTTCCTCGTTGCAGAGACAACTTCCGGCAACATCAGCAGACAGGAGGTGGTGAGCATGATCCCACCTCACTTCCTGGACGTCAAGCCCGGCATGGTTGTACTGGACATGTGCGCTGCGCCTGGAAGCAAGACGGCACAGCTGGCGGAGATGATTCATGGCGACGAGGAAGAGCGGGTTGCAAAAGCGGCCCGCAACGAAGATCCGAACGTTGACGGCGAAGGCGATTATAGCGACGATGGACGTTCCACCGGGCTGCTAATTGCGAATGACTCCGACTACAAGCGCGCTGGCATGTTAACCCACCAAGTCAAGCGACTCAATTTCCCAAATCTCATCGTGACCAACCATGATGCTGCCATCTTCCCATCTGTCGAGCTTCCTCCCCTGCCAAGTGGCAAAAAACAGTATCTCAAGTACGATCGTATTCTGGCAGACGTTCCTTGCTCAGGAGACGGCACTGCGCGCAAGAATCCCAATGTATGGTCCAAGTGGACTCCCAAGGATGGTCTCGGCCTGCACAACCTACAGCTGCGCATTCTCTTCCGCGGTCTTCAAATGCTCAAAAAGGGCGGTCGCCTTGTTTACTCGACCTGTAGTATGAACCCCGTCGAGAACGAAGCTGTCGTCGCTGCCGCCATCGAAGCATGTGGTGGTATTTCCAAGGTCCAGCTTGCTGACGCCTCCGGATATCTGCCAAACCTGAAGAGAAAACCTGGGCTGAACAAGTGGAAGGTTTATGACACTTCGGCAGTTCCCGGTGGCGAAAAGACTGCGCATCTTTTCAATAGCTGGGATGCATTTGTGAAAGCCAAGCAAAAGTACGATACGGAGGAACCCGAGCGACAATTTTCTAGCAAGATCTCCCCAGGATGCTTCCCTCCTACGGAGACATCCGAGGAAGAGCGCATACCTCTGGAGCGTTGCGTCAGGGTCTACCCTCACTTGCAAGATACGGGAGGCTTCTTCATAGCTATATTGGAGAAGGTCGACGATATCAAGATTGCGCAGATCAGTGCCTCAGACAACACAGAGCTCCTCCGTAAGGCGATGCAGGACTCGGAAGCTACGACACCAACCGCCACAACCGTGGAGCCCTCCGATGCACCTGAACAACCCAACAGCGCCGCGTCCCCATCAAAACGTAAGCTGGACGATGTAGACGTCGAGAAGACCGAGGTAGTGAAAAAGGTGAAGACTGAAGAAGCTCCTCTACAGCAACCCGTGACCGACTCAGACACCAAGGCTGGAGCAGAAACATCCGTTAAGGCTTCAAACGGCGCCGTTACCAAGGCCTCAGGTGACGAGCCCTCTAAATCCAAGGGTGGTCAGCAAAGTAGTAAAGAGTATTTCGAATGGGTGCCCGCCGACGACCCATCGATTGCTCAAATTCTCGATTTCTTTGGTATCTCCTCGCGCTTCCCCCGTGACCGCTTCATGGTCAAGAACAAGGAGGGCCTTCTTCTCAACAAGATCTATTACACGTCTGAGCTTGCAAAGACAGTCATCAACCAGAACAAAAACCGGGGCATGAAGTTCATTCACTGCGGTGTCGTCATGTTCGTCAGCCACAAGATCAAGGATGCCGAGCTCATGAAAGCACCTTGGCGATTACAGAACGAAGGTATCCGTATTCTCGAGCCCTGGGCGGAGCAACGTATCGTCAAGTGCACCAACAAGAGCACGCTATACAAATTGCTCATTGAGATGTTCCCCAAGATGCCCAAGGATGGAAGCCACGACATTGGCGAGGTGGGCGACCAATTGAGTGGTATGGATATTGGATGCTGCTTTGTGCGCATTGAGCAGAGTGAAGGCGAAGATGGATTCCCATTCCGAATGGTTCTACCGCTTTGGAGACATCCTGGAAGCGCAAACTTAATGGTAGATAAGGACGATCGGAAAGCGATGCTCCTCCGCTTGTACAACGAGAAAGACCCTCAGATCAAGAACCACGTCGCTGAAAAGGCAGCTGCCGCGGCCGCAGAAGAGCAGAAGTTGAACGAGCTTGAGGCCAAGGAGGCGGAAGAGGAGGCAAGCAAGGACCCAGCAGAAATCGAGGCCAAGCATGCGATGGAAATCGAAGAGGAGGGAAGTGTGAAGCTTGATGATGCGATGGAATTGAGTTGAGGTGGCTGACCCCAGCTCGCTCGCGCAACTTGGTGTCGTGCGTGTGGGCAAGATGCATGCAAAGCGGTGGGCAAACCGTCAAGCACTACTACTGCTACTTTTCCTGAGTGCAGGACAAGTGGGCTACCGCAATACGAGTTCCTGCGACAGCCCGATGTATTTGAGAACTATTTACACATGATCATGCATTTACACAAGATCAGATCTAGTAATCACAACATACGGGCCATGGCGTTGGGTGTGTTTTGGGAGCAATCCAGATGGGATCAAGGTCTTGAGAAGAGTAGCGTTCCTAGTTCTCATAGGTCCAACTCGAGCTCTGGCCGAGACAGACATCAATTAGTGCAATAAAAAATCCTGCTATCTGATCCACCCATTTTCCTTGTTACTTTGAGGCGCGCAGCATAACAATCTTGCAAATCCTGGAAATCTTGCGCGCGGCGTCGCGTGTTCTTGCTTATTTGGAGCTTGGGGCAACCGCGACCCAACCTCCCAATAACTACCGTTGTCAGGGCCGACGTCATTTGTAAACACGCATGCCATAACCCACGCGTTATATATGTATCGCACGTCGCGCCCATTCTCACGCGGTACCATTGTGACACATTACGACTGCATTCCTCTGTTAATTCCGCAGAGCTCTTACTTCGTAGCTCAACCACTCTTCGTATCTCCCTCCTGCAATGCGCCGCACACAGCTTCGCGATTCAGCTAGCATCGTTCGAGTACAACAAGCTAGTAGACTCCTGGCGGTAGTCACAAGTTGCGAACATCTACTCCCGGCCACAACTACACGATCCCACAATTCAACGTACACATCACCAGCTCTGCACTACTTCACGCAACCTCCTACCTCCGCCTATAATACCACGTATCAAGCCACCTATTATGGCAAACCCTACAATTGAGTGGAGAAGGCGCGTTCTGCTTCCCCTCTGGGCCATACGAATATGCTTGTTGCTTGTTATTGTCATTGGTTTCTCTGTAGCAATGGGTTCCAATTACGACGATGCCCGGCGCATCATCAGGTACCCGTATGTTCTCCGAGGTGATGCGAAATAGTTCAATTGCTGACTTGCAACAGTGCTGCTGTGGCTTTCCTTTTCTTCACGATCGTCGTCCTGTTGCTGGATGTGATACAGATCATCCTTTGGACCCGCGACAGGCTCTATCCCACCTACTTTGCCGGCTTGACTATCTTCCAAGCGTTGTTCTGGGGACTTGTATTGCTCATGGACATTGTTTCGATCGCAAACAGTCAGCAAAGCTCTCGAGCAGTCAGCTTAGTCGTCGTCATATTGTAAGACTGCCTTCACCGCGATAAATTGCCGATCAACGCTAACGCAACTTGCGCAGTCTCTTATACCTTGGCCTCTTCATTTATGCTCTGCGTGGCTTTTTGAAGCAACGCAGGCTTTCGAAACAAGGTCACTACACGCCAGCGAACGATGCAGGGGCGCCCGCTGTCGCAGAGATCCGATACTCAGAGTCGACGTTCGATCGAAACGACGAGCAACACCACTCGCCGATATACCGTGGGGGAGATTTAGGAGAATCAGAGCCGTTGTATGCCGAGGACGAAGGGCTGGTGGATCGTTATGTCGACCGGCCTAAGAAATTTACGACGATGGTGTAAGAGACAATTGTACTAAAGGCATTACTGCAATTTGGGCAGCATTTTGATTGGCATGGAGGAGGCTTCGAACTTCCAACGCAGTTTCGGGACAGTAATTGGCTTCAGGAGTTCTTTGGACGGATAATGGATACCCACAAGATGGTGGGCTAGAATCGGTAAATTTGGCTCCGCTTCAATGACACGGCGTAAGGATTCGAGTTTCGGCAGCGAAGTCCTCCACAATAGGAAACGGGAATGCACAAGTCAATAGTGCTTGTCGATGAACAAAAAGATCGTTTAATTAGATATATGTAATGATAACAGAACCACACCCTAACCGAGCCGAGCTGCGTCGCATACCCAACCTGTCCTAGTACCCGTCTACGCATAGGTAGTTCCCGCGCCAATTTCCCCACACTATCTCCGCACTTCCACCTCCCCCGTCTCAGTGCTCCCATGTCAGCGCTCAAGAACCCCGCAGTACGTCATGATGTGCCACGATGAACCGAGGTAGCCCTCACTGCCCAACCCCCACCTGAGTACAGCAAAGGATCTTCAAAAGTGGATGATTATCACCAGTCCAAGGTCTGACCCACCATGCCTTTACATCAGCAAACCGTTCAATCCCGCGGCATCTATCACGGCCTCCCCGTCTACGATGCATCTGTCAAGGGCCTCACGGCCATAATTACTGGCGCGAATGGCATCTCTGGGTATTACATGCTGCGTGCGCTGGCGCAGGATCCGGAGCGCTGGTCTAAGATATATTGTTTAAGTCGCAGACCGCCTGCAATTCCAGACGGTGAGCAATACCCCTCTCTCCAAGTATGGTAAAGGACGTGATCGATATACTGATAGATGAACTTAGGACTGCCCAGCAACGCCGAACACATCTCCCTAGACTTTCTCAAAGACAAAGAAGAAATTGCAAAAGTGCTGAAGGAGAAGGGCGTAACCGCGGACTATGTCTTCTTCTACAGCTATGTGCAAGTCAAGCCCAAGGAAGGAGGTGGACTCTGGAGCGATGCCGAGGAGATGTGTAGGGTAAATCGTACGTCTCATCCTCCATGTCTCCCTTCCCACTACAGATCACACAGCTAACAACCCACAGTGGCACTTCTTGAAAATTTCCTCTCCGCCCTCCCCCTCGCGAACATCACCCCAAAACGCATCATGCTACAGACTGGCGCCAAAAACTACGGAGTCCACCTCGGCCCCAGCGCCACCCCGCAAGAAGAGCACCACCCCCGCGTCACCCTCGAGCCAAACTTCTACTATCCACAGGAAGACTTCCTCTGGGAGTACTGCCGCATCCACGGCGTAGAATGGAATGTCGTCATGCCGAGCTACATCGTCGGCGCCGTGCCCGACGCAGCCATGAACCTCGTCTATCCCTTGGGCATCTACGCCTCCGTGACCGCGCACCTAGACGACACGCTCGAGTTCCCTAGCGACCTCAAGGCCTGGGAAGCAACCCACGTGGGGTCCTCCAGCATGCTGAACGCGTACCTCGAGGAATGGGCTGTTTTGACACCGCAGGCGAAGAACGAGAAGCTCAATGCTGCGGACTCCTCCCCTTTCGCGTGGGGCACGTTCTGGGAGAAGATGGCGGGCTGGTACGGCGTTCCTTGTGGCCGGCCGTCAATGGAGCCAAAGGACTACACTGCTATCACGACCCCGCACGATCCGCCGCCGAGGGGGTTCGGGCCGCCGGCGACGCACCATGTGCGCTTCACGCTGACGAGCTGGGCGCGACAGCCGCACGTGCAGAAGGCGTGGGCGGAGATCATCGAGCAGCATGGCCTGAAGAATGCACAGAAACTGGAGGATATGGACGTCGACCGCATATTTGCGTTTGCGGATGGGAGTTTGCTGGGCGGGTCGCTGGATCTGAGTATGAACAAGTCGCGGAAGATGGGTTGGCATGGGTTTGTTGACACGAGTGAGAGTATCAAGGAAGTGCTGGGTGAGTTTGTGGAACTGGGAATGCTACCGCCTATCCCAAAGTGAGCGTACAGCACTTCGCAAGTTGAAAAGGCTTGTTTTGGAGCTGGTGTACATCTTCCATGGGGAAGCGTGGAGATGTGATTAATACATTATCGTAACCAAGCGTACCAAAGCTACTCTCGCTGAAAACCAGAGTTCTTGTACACCAATCAAAGGAACCGGCCAACTCGGAAACCCAAAGCGTCTCCATCAGATGGCAGCCATGCCTTTGCGTTTGTCCATCAGCGCATCCAGCATTGCCTGGATATGCCCGTGATGCTCGGCTGACGCGATCTCTACGTGATCAATGAATTAGTGTCATCTTAGTCTGTATGGATCACAAGGTCTTTACCTATTGGCCCAGTACACGAAGGTAGCTTCTGCCGAGACAAAGCCTCATACTCAAGGACTGCGTTATGCCAATGTAATTCTTTCGCCATGCAATGGACGACTTGCTTCAAGTCATCACGGTCATCGGGAATGCCCATAGCTAGGTTCTCCGCTTGTTTCCTTGCCGCTTCATTGTCGAGGCTCTTGAGGTTATGGAAAACACGGCGTTTGAAGACATCCAACCCGAGATCGTGTGGAGGCGCTAGCCTACCGAGCTTTGCAACAGCGACCAAGGGAGCTTCGGTGTATGACCAAGTACCTGGAGGATTCAAGTTGCTCTTGTAGAAGATCTGGACTGAGACGAGATGGGCGAGCTTAGCATCAAGCTTTTTGGTTGCGTATATTTCTTGTCGCAAGTTCGTGGCTTCCAAGCTATGCTGCAGAAGTGGATCCTCAGGGGATTCACAAAGCTCTTGCGTCTGTGCCGGTGCGACACGAAGACGGACAAGAAAGCAAAAGGCTTGTCCAGATCGAAGAGTACTCATTGTAGTAGGACCGTCAATCTCAAGTACCTCACAGCCGCTTTTTGGCCGAAGGTCTATATGTATATCTTTGATATTTTCGACTGGACATTCGGAGCGTGCTTGAAGAATGATCTGCTTGATGCGGCCAGGGATTGATTGGTAATGAGTCCAATTGCTCACAAAGACGTTCCTACAACACGTCTCCCTATGCTCCTCGTTTCGAATGAACGGTAGCACGGCAGAGTTGATCTGGTGGACATACATGTTCGGGAGTGTGTCTGATACGGTATGCAGTACGTCAACGACCGGAGACAAAATGATTACATGACAGCGCTCGTGCTTTGGCAATTCCTTGTCCAAGGACTTTGCGATCGCCAAAATGACGTTGGACATAGGTGGAGTTGGACGCGGCGGATGCCAGGCTTGAGTGCCGCACTTCTCAATGTCCAGGGTCAAATGGCGGAAAATCTCCTCAGTTGCTGAACATACTGGACGTAACGGAAGTAGTTTGTCTGGAACCGTGCTCGCCACTGAGCCATGCGTGCAGTGGGTAGTGTAAAGAGCAACACGATCACCGCGATCAAGCTGGTGAAGCCCTCCAGCAGCTGCTTCGAGGGCACGCGCGAGGCTGTCTTTACTGACATAGTATCCGTTGTCCACAACGAAGACAACATCGATATTCGAGTCCACAAGTCTACGACGATTGTGTAGTACCCCCTCGATTTCGATGCTCGCCCAGAACTCTTGACTCTGTTCTGGCCCAAAAACTTTTATCTCCGACAAGACGTTGATGGTTGTCTTCAGAGTTAACGGCATTCGAGGAGCTTCGTGAGCCTCGATCACGTCCATGTCATGTCGGTTCCCTAGCGGCGAGGGAAGTCCCCGCGCTACCTGCTTGATCATGCAACTTATGCTGGCATCGCTGCTACGTATTAAGTCGGCAACAGATAGGGGCGTCTTGGTGTAAAACTCACTTAGAAGCATCAGTGCTGGGAAGCCCCGAATTATTGCCACCGTCACTATTGCAGTCTTCCGCGCAAGTCGGCAGCTCGGCAGCTTTCGCGTCACTGCTTGATCGCAGAAGTCGAGTGAGACCACCAGGGAATAGACGAGCGCGGGACGAGCGCCGCTTCGCCAATTTTGGTTCTTCAGCATGTTGCACTTCCTCGAGAGCCTGTTGCGCGGGAGTTTGGGCCGGACAGATCGTTAGGTTGAATGAGGTTGGCTCAGGCTCAGGGCGTGAGAGCGCGTCCACCTGCGCCCACGGTGTGGGCGGCGAGGTCAAGTTGGCACATACCTTACTAGAGTCGGAGGCTTCGTTGCCATTGCTACTTCGCGAAATGGCCATGATGGAGTAGGTCGCACTTGATTCCGATGCTGTTGATCTGCTACTCCTGTTTTTCCGTATCGTCAGAGGTTGATTGCTGGGAATACGGCTGACAGGGAGTGGCATCACCGTACTGACAGGGAGTGGCATCACCGTACTGACAGTACAAGTTGACGCTGCTTTCAGTGGATTGTGTCCCTCGAAGTACTTTCCAAGCGGCTCCGCCAGCCCACGTAGCGTTGAATCAAGATTCCACTCAGACGGTGACGCCCAAATGTCGCTTGTTATCTCGGTGATGATGTCGTCTAGAGGACCGTACACGGCTTCATCCTGGAGCTTGTAGAGTGACTTATGGATGATGCGGCGATAAAAGGTCGCTCTGCGCGGCTTTTTTCGGATGTGCAGAGGTGAGGGGAAGAGGTTGGGGTTGGTAACTGGCGGCAACACAACAACTGATTGTTTCGAAGCCATGCCTTCACGCATTGCCTGGCGGGTTCCAATCAAACGGCCTCAAAGCCCCTTCACTCAAGCTCACGCCAGACAGCCGATGAGTCAAGCGTAGCGCTACGGCTATACAGCCAGAATTAGTCCTGTCTCGACGCTCGATTGATGTCCCGCCGTTGTGCCGTCGCCAGATATACCAGAGACCGTAAAGCATGCACAGAGCGTTACCACGAAGAATGTTCCGAGATAGGGATGACGATGACACGCAGTAATGAGAACAAGACGACGCCGCGCTGCAAGTTAAACCATTGCGGTATGAAAATGGTAGATCGAAAGGAAACACTGTTAAGATGGGGATCGGAATAGGGCGAACTTGTCAATGTGTGCAGACATTCATCAGGAAACTACGCTTAGGAGGCTGAAAGTGGGTAGCTACTCGGAACTCACCGTGCCTTCCTATTCCCGCCCATACCCAATGTGCACTCATAAATCGTTCCTTCTGGGGTATCATGCATTGACCGATAATCGGATCGCTCTCAGAGCACTCTTGTCACCCCGAGACAAGCATTGTAGATATCGGTGTTGCACAGAGCCTTTGTAGCACACAGAGCTTGATCGCTGCCTGCTCGTATCTATAATTCTACCGTCCTTGAAGCAACCGCCTCCAGCTGCCTTTGGATTCTCACCGCAGACTCTTCGTCGCTGTTGCGGAAGCGAATCTGTCGTCACGTCAGCGCTATTTGATCATCACACGGTGAGAGATTGACAAACAATATCTTCGCTTGCTGCTCCGCCAAAGAGGACAGGCTCTGAAAGGCTGGCTCTGACGGCTTTCCTAACGCGTTCCTCCCACACACCCTCCCAGTTCCACTCTCCGGGTCGACGATTCCTGACCAGTGTAGAACCTCCAGTTGCCCGTCCTTGCGAGCTCCCTTGAGAGTCCGCTGTGGTTGACGTAGGCGACGAAAGCTGGGTCTGTGGCGCAGATGCGCGGTAGGCGCGCCAAGCATGGTACGCGCTGGGGTTTGCTGCTGCTTCAATTGCGATTGAGTCAAGTACCTGCTCTTCACTGAAGGTGCTACGAATGTAGTCTAGTACCCCCACCATAGACACAGGCTTTGCGGCAAGGCCAGTCAGATCCAACGGGGATGGGGCGCCGTCTCTGCCGTCTGACTGTACAGGCGTGTAACTTTGCGCGGGCGTACCTAGGCCCGACCCGCTTACATTGCGGGAACTTGCTGCGGACCGCCGTGCGCGTCCGAACCACTGCGGGAAGCCGTGTCGAAGACTGAAGCCACCGGGAGGGAGTCGTTCTTCGTCAGTTGCACTCACAGTGTCTGTGTCTGACGATCCGGTGGTGTACGTATACGTGGTGAGTGGCGTGAGCAGTGGGTGAAAAACATCGGTTGAGAAGGTCACGAGGGGGGGCAAAGAAGGGTAGTTGGGCGGAAATGAGATTTGAAAACGCAGCACTGCGGGAGCATAGGGCCCTGTGCATGGTGAACATTTGCCGATGGGTTGGATGGCGAAGACAGCGACATGGGGCCGACTGGCCGGGCAGATATCAAGTACCTTTTCGCACAAAGATGACGCCGACCCACAAGGTAGGGTCGCCGGGCGTGATGCTCACGAAGACACCGTCGAGTTGGGCATGTCGCAGACTGGAGCTGTGCACTGTTAGGCGCCAGCGCAGAATGCCAACGTTGCAACTCACAACTCGACAAGCAGCTGCTGCCGCCGGAAGGAGATGAGCGCTGGTGACGATACGGGTAGAGACATGATGCCAGCGGTGTCGAGAGATGCTAGCGGTGAGGGAGTGTGGGATGGGTTGCGCCTATCCCCGCTGCGTTAGCTTGCAGATCGGCTTGGCGCGTCTTCGGGCCAGTCGCATCGCACACCACCAGCGTCCCCACGCCGGTGTAGAGTTGTCCAAGTTTCCCATCTACGTGAGATCTGTCCAAGACTCAGGCGCTCACCACCGTCGGGCATCTGCGTACAGTACGCCTTGCTAGCTCGACGACGTGGCAGCACGCCCGTGGAGAAGACGCTCGTCTCACCGGAACCATGATGGAGGCGCCCTGTCGTCGAAGCCTGGTTTCTGGTCAGTCGGTCACTTGCAGACACCGTCTTTCACGATAATCGAAACGATGCACCGCGCCCGATACCAGGAACGGCGCTTGTCTACCGGTCGCTTCCATGTTGGGCTCCCGTCGCAGCAAGGCTACCTGCACCGTGGCTGCAGGAACTAGATGAGCAATCTGCCAACAGGCTCGACAATCTGCTGTGTCATGGCGCGCGCCAATCGCCACAGCGCTGCTGTGTGGCACCAAAAAAAGTGATGTATCCTCAAATGCAGGCTACAGGCGAGGTCCTGCGCCTTGGTTGAGCGCTATTGAGACTTGCAACAGCGAGCTGGGGACATTTGTGCCAGGGCCGGTTGCGATAGTCCTGGTCCGCTTGCACGCAACACACGCCGTGTAACTCGCCGCACTCGACGTGCGCGGGTGCGAATGGTCAAATGAAACGAGCGCCCGAAGAAGCAACATGGCAAGCGACCTTCCGCGCACAGGTGCAACGGCTGGGCAGTGGCCGAAATTCAGTCACGTGGCTCGTGAAGAGCTGGCGCACTCGCAGGAGCGCTTGGTGACGTCCGCAATCCACACGAGCCAACGACTCGGAATGGCGGGCCCGCCGACTCGGGTCTGGAGTGAGGTCACCTGCCATCGTCGAGACGTCGGGGCGCGGGCGGCTCCCCTGCCCAGGTGGAGGTCCTCCAGCGTGTCGCGGGCTGGTCACGGTGCGGTGCTGGGGAGCGCGGCGAACGCCCGGCCAGCCCAGCCCCCAGCGTCCGTTTCGTGGCAGGCCGGCCGTGCTTGCCCTCGCACGCGTGCTGAGCAGTCGACCAGCGTCACGATTAGCGCTGCGCCCGTCGGAGGATTCTGGCAGCAATCACACAGCGAGGACCGCGGGCCTGGCGTCGTGGTTTCGAGTCCAGAAGCCGCTAAGAACACTGGCCGTCTCAGTTTCTTCGACGCTAGCCCGCTACCCCTGTGCATCGTGTCAATCTCGCGTGGCCCTGCAAGCAACCCCGGTCCTGCCCTGCAACAGCCAGCCTTACGTCCACACCGCCGCACTGCCGGCTCCACTCGCTGCCAAACAGCCGTTATGCTTACCACTTTGGTCTGTCTCGCCGCGCAAACTCTCCTTGAGAGCTGGTCGCGACCGTCTTGCGACACGCGGCGGAAGACCTTCCGGGCCCCGCGATGACGAGCCGCCCGCAACCCAGGCGACAAGTCCAGCGCCGCCGCACACAGCCAACGCGCACCTGTCAGCTGATGCTATCGTGGGCCGCATCATGGAGTCGTGGTCGCTGATGACGGCTCGGCACGATGGGCAAGCCGTGGCCGTGTCCGCCCTGGTGGCTACGACAACGCGACAGGGCAGACTGCCTGCGGACGACGCTGACCGCGTGCGTGGATAAGACGCAAATCAGGGCGGCGAGACGACACGAGAGGTTCTGAATCCTCCCACGTTGGCTGACAGGAGCGCGACTCGCGTCGCGACCGGCGAAGCTATCCTCCATGGTCATCTGTCACATCACGATGCATAACAACATGCCGCGGGGTTGCCGGCAGCCGTCGTTGGGCACAGTCGTCGAGTCGACAGGTTGGTATACACCGCCATTTTGTATGCTGCCGCGCCCCCTCTGCTGTCACCACCCAAGAGGCAGCATGATCCCGAACCGATTCGCGGGGCATGTTTCTTAATAAAAAAAGAATAAGCCGACTGCTCCGCGCTCTGACTCGCTCGCTGTCAAAGATTTCGATGATCCTGCGCACTGGTGGTTGCCCCTGAGCCAGCTGCAACGCCGCCGGTGGTCTAGTCGAGGAGCGAATAAAGGCCGTCGGACCGTGAGAATTCATGTTTGCCCCCGGGGAAGCTGAAATAGCTTCCGTCTCCGGTTGCGGCTTCAGAGCGGCCAGAGACGGTCGGCACGACGTTCAGTCTTTGTCAGGTAGCGGCAGGGAACCCTTGCATGATGCGTGGTGCGCTGATGGGCCTGCTGCAGCCTAGGAACCTGTCCGCTTCCGCGGGTTTTGACTAGTCCCAGCCTACATGCTTTGCCGGGACGTGCGTGGTGATCTTCTCTTCGCGAGTTCTGTCATGCCACTTCGTCGCTCAACGCTCACACTTGCTACCCTGGTCCACCTTACTCGGTTGCCCGTAGCACCTCCAATGCCTTGGTTCCGCTCAAGCCGGCCCCGGCCCTGTGTGCTAAGAAGCTTCCATGGCCCTGGCCCACGTTCAGGGGCAGCGAGCCCAGTCTTGCCTCATCTCGGGCTCACAGGCGCGCATTCCGTTGGCTTGGAGTCACAAAGCCATGTACGGTGGTATTGGACTGGTCGAGTGCCAGCACAACTTTTCTGGCGCCCTACTGACACGATTATGACCATGCTTTGTCCCAGGCGCAGTTCCGCGCTCGATTACATGTGCTGGTCCTCCCGCTGTTCCTATCCGCCCATTACGACGTATCCACTTCCACAACAATCACCGCCTGCTTCCCCGTTTCCTCCCCGCTGCTGGTATCCTTGTCCCTAGCAGCGGTCTACCCGCTCACACAGCGCCACTTAAATCTTCCTCTTGTCGTATATAACTTCTGACACCCGCCTCATAACACACTGACCCCTTCTAAACACCCCAAGCACTAGTGTCGTCGCCTGACACATTGCATATGTATCGCTGGTCTCTTCAACTGCTTCATACCTATCCTTAGCCCTTGCGCCCCTCTCCTACCTCACCACCTCCGTCGCCCTACAGCGTCTACACAAACACAATGGCTCGCCATGGCGGGGTCTCTACCCATTCCCCAGACAACACACCATTTCCTTATAGGCAATTGGCGATACTGGGCAAGTTTGCATTCGCTTTGCTCCAATAATACATCCTAACATGTCCATAGCCCTGTGCCGGATATGCGAGCCAATTGCATTCATGTCCATCTTCCCGTACGCCTACTACATGGTCAAAGACTTCAAAATCACAGACGATGAGAGCAAGGTCTCCATGTATGTCGGCATGATCACTTCAGCTTTCGCATTCATGGAGTGCATGAGCGGCATCTTCTGGGGCCGGCTCAGCGATCGGATCGGGCGCAAGAAGGTTCTCCTTGGCGGGCTGTTCGGAACCGGCTTGAGCATGCTTCTGTTTGGCTTCGCACAATCGCTGCCCGTTGCCATGCTTGCGCGGGCATTGGGCGGAGCACTCAATGGGTGAGGTCATTTCGCGGGATCGCGTGCCGTAAGCGCTCGCTAACGCGGATGCAGGAACATCGGCGTTCTTCAGACTACCGTCGCAGAACTGGTAACGGTGGAGAAGCACCAGCGTAAGTTTATTGTTTCGGCGATCTGGGATGGCGCGCTGACTCTGGTGCACAGCGCGCGCGTATTCGATAATGCCTTCTGTCTGGTGCCTTGGGTACGTGTTTCCCCTGAACGAGAAATTGGGACGCAACACTGACCGCTCTTCTGTAGCACCATTGTCGGCGCATCGCTCGGCGGAATTCTCGCTCGTCCCGCCCTGTCTCTTCCTGCCTGGTTCGAAGGCACCATTTTCGAGACGTTCCCGTACCTGCTTCCGAACCTTGTCTGCACAGCAGTAGTTGCGTTTGGACTTACCGTGGGCTTCCTATTCCTCGAAGAGACCCACGAGGATCGCAAGTACGACCATGACCGCGGTACCGAGCTGGGCCAGTGGCTTCTCCGCAAAGTGTGGGGACAACCTGCATACGAGCCCTTGAGCGACAAGGATGCATCTTTGGACGAGATGAGCGCCATGTTGGGAGATGACGACGCAACGGCGTACAGGAGCACTGACAGCTCGCCGACGTTGTGCAGCTCACGATCATCCATTTGTGAACCGCCTCCTTTCTCGCTCGAGAAGGAGGTTGTACGCGCGCCCACTGTCCGTGACGCGTTTACGATGCAAACCTGTCTGAACATTGTGTGCTACGGCATACTCGCATTGTGAGTGAAACTCCGATTGGCTGAAGCGTCAACTGACTTTCTTTGCAGCCACACGATATCGTTGGAGCAGCTCCTACCAATCCTTATGTCCCGAGACGAATCAAGAGGGGAAGACCGCAACCTGCCATTCTACTTCACTGGCGGATTCCACTTGTCGACGCAGACGAACGGTCTTATTCTCAGCATCCAAGGTGTCCTGCAGATGTTTGCCCAGCTCATCATTTTCCCCTGGATCAGCAAGAAACTCGGAAGCCTACGAACATTCTGGTTGACCATTGCGCTCTACCCATTTCTGTACATCATGGCACCCTACCTTGCGCTTCTACCGAAGAGCATGCGTATCCCCGGCATCGTGTTGCTCCTTGTGTGGAAGGTGACGGCTCAGGCACTCTCCTACCCATCCTTGGCCATCATGCTTGCCAATGCCTCTCCGTCCAAGAAAGTTCTCGGCACCCTCAACGGCGCTGCGGCTGCGTCTGCCAGCGTGATGAGGGGTTTTGGTCCCACGGTATCGGGCGCAGTTGACTCGGTCGGTGTACAGATTGGCATGTCAGGTCTGGCGTGGTGGACCATCGCAGGTGTTGCCATGATTGGCTGGGCTCCTGCATTTGCGATGCAGGAGAAGCGCAAGAACACGCAATACTCGAGCACCTCGGACGACGAAGAAGCTGGTTTCGGCACCTCTGACACCGACTCGGTTCTCACTCTCACGCTGGACGGCGAGGCTGAAGAACGGCTGCCCAAGTAGCGGCACACGACGACGCACGACGACGACACCTCTTTGCATCTCGCACTATTTAGCACAGGCGTTTATGCTTTCATTACCAAGTACCGGATATTAATACCAGCACCAATGTCATTGTTCAGTTTCAACTAGAAGGGATAGGCCTCTGGGCCCGGCGTTTTTCCTACAGGGGGCAATTTTGTAAAAACAGGGTACGGATCTGGGCGGAATTCTGCGGGACAGCATTTACTAGAGGGATCTCAGGCGATAGACAAGAATCGGCAGCTCACGGAAGCAAGCCCGGCGTTGGCATGAAAAGAAGGATCTACAATACCCCCAGGGCAGTTGGTTCAGTCCAGTTCTGTTTTTAGATAGAAGGATCGCTCCAGGGCAATGCTATGCCTCGTTCATATTTATTACGACATGCGAGCTTGGTCGTGACGTTCACTGCAGGGTCCTGTGACAGGTTGGGGAAACAGTCGGAGGGCGAGCACAACATGACTCGCAAAGGAATCTGACAGCAAGTCACGGTGAGATGAAGTGAGGCTTTCGAGGCTCTGAAGGATCATGTACCTGGGCTGGCGCACTTTGGGGAGCATATCTTCGCTTATTTCGCGAGGAGAGGGCCAAAGAGCCGTCCCATGGTGTCGGCAACTTCTGATCGGTGTGCTGGGTTGCAGGGAGCCACGGTGCGAGTCAGTGTTCCCGCACGAGGCATGGGGCGAACACACCGGTTCGCTGTGCATTTGTGCAGTGAATGTGTTGCTTGGGGACGCGCCCGTGGGGGCAGACTCGAGCCTGGGGCGGCGCTGAGCTGGGCACGGCGGGACTGGACGAGCCGCGGCGTTCCGTCGTGCGCCGGCAGGGAGCAGGACGTCACCTGGCCTGGACGCGCGAAGTCGACCCCCATGGCAGGCTGAGTGGGATGTCGCCTTGGGGTCTGTATCGCGCAGCTCGGGATGCCTCGGCTTTTCCGCCCCTCCGCCGTGTGCGAACATGGTCGCTGATAAGAGATGCAGCCACCACTAGCCTCCTCCCCACACTGCCTTCTCGTTGCCCGTGGCCGCGCAGATGGAAGCATCCCGCGTCCTGCTCCTCCACGCCGCGCGTTCGCTGCACCCCCGTCGTCGTCGCTTACTCCTCCGGCCTTGAGAGTGCATGTGCGGTGCGGGGCTAGCTACCTGAGCGTCGCCGACCGCGAGACCTGGAGTAGCGCCCGCGAGCCCTGCGATGCGCCCTGATGACGGGCCTCAAGCGCGCGCACGATGAGTCTTCTCACGACGGGGACGCTGCCTCGCCTCTCGAAGCCGCAGCGACGGCGAAGCCCGCGTCGCCCGCCCAGACCGCGTCGCCCGCCTCGTCCTTCCGCAACGTCTCTGCCTGCAACAGGTCTGTGCTGCCCCTCGTGCCCATCGCAGCCGTGACATTGCGTGCACTGCGAAAGGGGACGCGCCGCTTACGTGTGCTGTGTGCAGATGCCGCCTGAGGAAGAACCGCTGCGACCAGCGCCTGCCGTCCTGTGCCTCTTGCGACAAGGCGAGCCAGAAATGCGTTGGCTACGACCCCATCACCAAACGCGAGATCCCTCGAAGGTGCGTCGCCCGCCTCTCGTGCCAACTGCGCGGGAACTGAGCCAGCCCGCCGCCGTGCTCTCTCTGGCCCCCGCAGGCTAATCTGTCCCAGCTACGTCTACTATCTGGAGACGCGAGTCGCGTATCTGGAGTCGCTGCTGCAGGACAACTCGATCGCATACGCCGACGCCGAGCAATTCAACCCCAGCTTTCAGCCGGCCAACGGGTCTGCGTCACGACCCCCATCCGCCGCCGGCGCACCGAAACACCACAATGGGGCGCCAACCACGCACACGGGCCTCACAAAGGAAGAACAGGATCGCAATGATCGCGAGAAGCTCACCAAGCTGGTGTCCAACATCGGCATGGTGTCGGTGCAGGGCGCAAGCGATCCCCGCTTCCTGGGATCAACCTCCGGCATATCCTTTGCCAGGGTCGTGTTCGCGGCTGTCAAGAGCTCCGTTTCCGGATCATCTTCTGAGCGAGGGAGTCAAAGAGGCAGTAAACAATTGCCCACAAACGTAGCAGATGGCGGCACCTCCATGCGGGACAGCTTCTTTGGGCTGCACACCAAACCAACCTTTCAACAGGCGCCCTTCCCCGAACGCGACCTCGGCGCTCGGTTGGTCGACCTCTACTTCGAACATGCAAATCCGCAGATTCCCATCCTGCATCGTGGCGAGTTCATGGAGCTCTTCGAGCGTGTATACGCATCGGGCGGAGGGCAGAGAACATCACGCGAATCATACATGCTCAATATCGTCTTCGCTATCGGTGCCGGCATTATCATGGGGAGCTCCGACTCTGGTGAATCGCCGACATCGGACGGTGCAACATCGCCAACAAAATCCAAGCCAATGTCGCCACCCTCAAACAAGAAGCGGCGACTTGCAGGCCAACAGCATCAACCCGAGGAGTATCACGCTTCCGCTATAACACACTTGGAGAATTTCCTTGGCAGTACACCCGCCGCGGAACGACCCGACGGTTTTGGAGGGGGCTTGGAAGAATTGCAGGCCGTGTTACTTCTTGCAGGATTTGCGCTGCTGCGACCTGTTGCGCCAGGTCTGTGGTATATTGTCGGGGTTGCCGTTCGGTTAGGTGTCGATCTTGGGTTACATTACGAAGACGGGGTGGGGATTGACGGCTCAGCGTCGGAGGACCAAGTTGTCGGAAAAGCGGAAGTGAAAGAGGAAGAAGATGCAACTGCGGGTGCAACCGCTGGGAAGATTGATGCCAAGGAGCGTGGTCGCAGAGAGTGGGTTCGTGACCTCCGACGAAGGCTCTGGTGGTGCGTCTATTCTTTCGACAGACTTGTCAGTACTTGCGTCGGACGGCCCTTCGGTATCACTGACCAGGTTGTCACAACGGAGTTCCCATCCATTCTCGATGATCGATACATTACCAAGGAGGGGTTCTTAGATCCGCCCGAACATTTGCGAGGTTCCAGCTACAAGGTCGTGGCGTATCACTATTTCCGGCTCAGGTTGCTCCAGTCCGAGATACTCCAAGTGCTACAACATCGGCAAGCCCAACAAGCAAGGGCGAACGGGACAAACCAGGCTAATCAGTACATGCACACGAAGCTCCCATCGCCGTTCTTGGCCAACTTTAGCTCGTTTCGAAGCTGGCGTGTCGACATCGATAGGCGCCTCTTGGAATGGAAAGACTCGGCGCCGACCCAGCAGGATGCCGGCGTGCAGTTTTCTCCGCTCTTTTTGGAACTCAACTACTGGCAGGCCATCATCATGTTGTACCGGCAAAGTTTGGTGGTTCCAACAGGGCTCGCAGGTGAACTTGGCAGCGCCAACAGTGAGGTGGGAAGCCCATCAGTGATAAGTCTCGACGAGAGGGAAGACGAGGAGCTTGTCTTCTTGAAGGTTGCGGAAGCCGGGCAAAAAGTCCTCAAACTATATCGGCAGTTACATCGCGTGCGCTTAGTCAACTACACGTTTTTGGCCACACATCATCTATTCATGGCTGGCAAGTCCTGTCACTATCCTTGCGTTACTTGGGCTAACTTGTTCAGGGATATCATTCCTGTATGCTGTGTGGCACTCGCCTGCTGTGCGAAGTCTCTTAGTAAGTCTGCATCCCACTGCTGTGGCACCTACTTGCATCACGGCTTGTACTGACGATCTACACTCAACAGTCTCTTGATGATGTCGACTTTACCGTGCTAGCCGCCACATCCGTGCTTGGCGACTTGATCGAAAAGTGCCCACCTGCAGAAGCATGCCGTGACGCTTTCGATCGCATGAGCAAAGCGACCATTCAGATGTGCATGTCAACAACAGGCTTTGGGCCTCAAGCACTGCGCCACCATAGAGGACCGGCTACATCGCCTAACACAGCATACCCACCTGCATCTGATGCGGACACGGAAATGTCAGGCCATCAGCCGACAGGGTATTTCCAGCAAGCCCGCCGTCCTGTACCCCGCTTCGATATGAACCTCAAAGAGCTGTTCTCGGAAGATGAAACGGACCGACGTTCATTCGGCCGTATATCAAACCAGCTGGGTAGCATGCGCCCGCCACCACCACCCCAATCGGTGAAACAGGAACACCAGCAAATGCAGCCTTTCACAGCCGACCTGAAAATCTCTCCACAGATGCGCTCGCATCATCACCAACAACAGCAACAAACCTACTCATACCCGCACCAGAATCTCCCCTCCCCGCAGCACCAACAGTCCTACACACCCACATCCTCGACAACAACAATCTCCCCACTAATGTCGCACACACCTAACCCCAACCCCATGACCTCACCTTACCAGCTCTCGAACCAGCTCCCCTACAATGCGTTCGCACAGAACATCACGGCGACATATCCTGACCTGGGTACCTTCAACGACCTCGACTTCCTCGATTCGTTCCCCGTACAGGGGGCGAGCAGTGGCGCTAACGTCACGGATGCCGCGGGGCCGCTGCAGGATCTGGGCTTTGGCATGGGGTTCGGGGATGGGACGCATGATTGGAGTGATGGAAATGGGTTGGATCTGTTTGATGGGTTTTTCTTTGGGGGTGGGCCTGGGAATGGATAAGGAAGGATACTTATCTGGTATCTTTATGATTACGTGGTGGGTGGTATTAGGAGGAGGTTGGTGGTTGGAAGGGGGAATACGTGGGCATATGCGATATATGGGTGGTATTTGTGCATAGCTTGGGCCGTTTCCTGTGTATAGTCTCGCTGTTCGAGGTTGGGCGCGATGGTGATGCGGGTTCTATAGATTCCCCCTGCTTGTTGAAAATGTTAAGCTTGCCCTTTCCCTCCAAACCCGTTGTTTCCCTATCGCTCTGCTCCAACCTATGCTATCAAACCTGCTTTGCCGAAGCAACATGGCGGCACAGAACATACACAGCTTCTCCTGTTTGCTCAGAGCTTGTTGACTTACTGTCACATTTGAATACACTGACGACCGTCGGTCCCCTGGCGTCACACTTGTTAAATACTTGTGAGCTTACTTGTCGTTGCGCCCGAACGTACTGAGGCACGTACGTATGTTGGGCCAAAGCTCAAAGATTGGATATTTTCGTTGACTCGGGCTCTCAGGACCCAAGCTTCAAGGGAGTCAATTTCGAGAAGATGGGGCCAAGGGAATAGATATATACATTCACATGTACTAACTTAGCGCGAGAGGCTGGGCACACAAGTTGCATAAAAAAAACGTCGCAAGCATCGACACGCTCAGTCCAGTTACCTCGATGCAGCTCGATCGGCATTGGAATCTCGATTTTGCAGCGATTGTCTATTGGTCAAGATGCCACATCTATACAATCGAATGAAGGTCTTGTCACAGCTCCTACGAAACACTACCAGGAGCCTTTTTACGGGCTCAGAGACGGCAATGCTAGCGAATCGCTGTTGACACGACAAAAGTGTGAACATTAACATTTGACTTTTCGCGAGCTTTTGCAATCTGCGGCAACATGTACGACCAGGTCTCTGTAGGATTCTCAAGCGCAGCACCTGAGACAATTATCTTGCTTAAGGATTCTTGTCTAATGGTCAACTGTAGACTCACCGCGATCTATTGTCAGGCACGGAAAAATGCAGTACCGGGAATATATAGGATACCAGAATCACAAAGATTGTTAACGCGTTCGCTCGTTCGCACTAAAAAGACATACTTCGTACAGTGAAGCTCAAGGTCGTAGTGTTATTTGCCTCTGCCAAATGTCTACTCAGAAGCTGTGTGAGGCTCCGTGTCGATCGAGCTTTCAATGCAAACCAATTCGCTTGATCCGCTTTCCGCATTTTAATTTTCTCCGAGCAAATGTCAAGTCTCGTCTACAGATGTGTTCCGAATTGCAGGTATATCTCCCTCTCTCGATTTGCTCCAATGCAATAGCACTGACATATCGAACTATTCTTCCTTGCTCGGTGTTTGTCAGTGTCGTGGCTTGCGTACTTGATATGCTGATATCTCCATGGCCGTTCACTGCTGAAGTCAAACTATACGCCATCGAGTATGGCGGCCAGGAGTTTCCACGTTCCATTATAATCACGAGCAAGGAGCGCAAGCGCAATGTTGAAATAACGCGGGACCGCATCATGGTTCAGTGGGACCATTATCAGAACAAAGAGCCTCTGAGGCAACTCCTGACTCGATGGGCGACTGAGTGGACTTTGTGTTGCTTCCTGCATGTCTCTTAGAAGCAGCAGATCTGATGGAAGAAGAATGGAAAGACCTTCCAATTGATGGTCTTACCGGCTGAGCTCCGGCGCCTTATCTTTCTCTGGATCCCCGGAGGCGATATACGTCCGAAAACTCGCCACGACCCCTGCATCCAAGCATAACGTGTAGTGCTCGGTTCTCTGAGCTACCACCCAGAGTCCAAAGAGTGCGTCCGCCGCATGAGTGACTGTGCATAATACAAAATGCTGGACATCAAGAAGGAGTTTCCGCACCCGAACTACGCCGTCTTCCGGGTTAGCATGCAAGTGCTGGAAGAAGCCCTGAGCGCTGGATGGTCTGGCACGGGGAAAATCTTTCGGTCCTGCTCGACATTTCATGGTGTGCTTGAGTGCCCGAATATTCCGGTGTGGAACTCACTGAGCAAGATCACACTCAAGTTCTCAATCCCAAAGTACTTCAAGTTGCTTGCTCCAGAAGTCACATCAGCTGATCCCGTTGCGTTGACTGGCTCCAATCGTACCGCCCTCGCATTGGTGGCATTGCAACAGGTGCAGTGCATCACTGACTTGGCATTTGTATTTGAGAGACCCTAATCACTGGATGCTAAGAATCCTTGGGAGCCCTTGGAGTGAAAGTGATACTTTGATGACTCGCCGTCGAAGCCCTCCAATGCTTGCTATCGAGTGCTGAGTGACTGGATCTCGATTGCAGCATTCCTTATAGCAAAAGTAACCAAAACATCCACCTCCACGGTGCTCTAAGACAGTCACTAAACACAATTGGGATACAATCTTCTCTACCGAATACAATAATAAGACTGGCAAGCCTTACACAGCCCATAACTTCAACTACGATCAAGCCACGCAAAATATCGTAACTCAGACTCCGACCCTCTTGTAAGGACACTCAATCTTTTTACAAAATAGATTGCATACTGACAAATAATGACAATCCGCCTGCCTGCCATTGTCCAAAGTCATACCATGATCCGCACATCCGAGTTCCGGACGGAACAGCGATCAAGCCAAGCCAGTGGAAGAATTACAAATACTTCTTGCATTATTTCGACCGCGACGACAAGTTCCGGGTCTCGGACTTCGGCCAGTTTCTAGAGGACAAAGACAAGGCTGAGAACGATGCTTTCCTCTTTGAACTTATCTATTCTTGGGAGTAGGGCGTGTCAACTTGGAAGTTTAACATTGATATGCTAACGTGCTGTAGGCTTCAAGTGTTATCCTCGGAGGACGACAGTTCATGGTCTTACTGTCTCAGTGTAGGTTGTTGCTGATCGACCTCTGACACACGTCTCTCTAGCGGCATCATGCATGCTCTGATTGAAAAAGTATTCGGATGGGTACATGTGTTGTACCGCTGACGGACAAGGGTAATCGGCGTCACATGGAGACTCCAATTGACACAAAACGGGTTGCGCAATTGTTGTTCATGAGACATTCAAGCAAAGTTCGGCGACTTCTTCGCAGATTCGAAATGGTTTCGTCATGATAGGTTGCTTCTTGTACTTTGGCTTGAGAGTTTCTTGATAGCACCAAGATCATAGCGCGTGAATCCACCTTCTACGTTGACTGGTGCGATGTGGTGTATTTGTCAATACCGCAATCGCAATGACATTGCTCTGATACACGACCAGCTGACGTAGCAAGCGTTGAGTTATACCACGAACTCTTCTCTCAACCCTACCCTCAAAGCTTCAATTCTAGCAGTGAATCAAGAGAAAGAAAAAAAAATCAGTTTGGCTTACTCGGACTCTAGCGCGATTGAATCGCGAACGTTTCCATCTCTGCACGGACTGCTCGACCACGACGATACCAAAATGGCCAGTATCCCTCTCACGCTTTCAGAATGCGCTACTAACGTTTCGACCGTGTTCAAAAGTTCCAGAGCCCAGCCATGTCTTGCACCGACAAGCTGGACGGGCAAAGACGCGTGGCCCGTGTAAAAGTTCCCACTCGGGGCTGCCGCCGCGGAAACGCATTAGCTCCGATGGCCACCTAGCTGCTGGTCCGGCTCGCACGCTTAACGCTATTCACAAGGGCTGCTAGCGCATCTAGAGCGGGTCTTAATCTCCCTCCCGGAGCCGCGGATTCGACGTGGGTAGCCGTGGTGTGAGGTCCAGCGCGCTGGCACAAAAGGGCGGAGCGACGGCATGTCAAGATCCTTCCGGAACAATTCAAGGAAATTTGGTAGATTGAGATCAGTTTTGCAATCACACAAGATGTTGTACCGATATGAAGTTTACTCTGCGACCCACACAGCGGCCATGCCCATGCCAGTTCCTATGCACATACTGGTGACTCCAATCTGCTTGCCAGTCCGCCTCAGCTCCGTCAGCAGCGTGCTAACCTGCCTCGCACCAGTGACGCCAAGAGGATGACCAAAAGCAATGGCTCCACCCTTGGGATTAATCTTGGCCTGGTCCAAACCGAGGTCGTTGATGCAATACAAGCACTGGCTCGCAAAAGCCTCGTTGATCTCGTAGATATCGACCTCGTCCTTGTTCAGCCCGGTCTTCTGGAGCACGACGGGGATGGCGGCGGCGGGACCGATGCCCATGAGTAGCGGGGGCACGCCAACGACAGAGGCCTGCACGAACTTGCCGATGATCTTCTGGCCGAGGCGCTGCGCGGTGCTGCGCTTCATGAGCAGCACAGCTGCCGCGCCGTCTGAGATCTGCGAAGCATTGCCCGCGTGGATGGACCCGTCCTTCGAGAAGGCGGGCTTGATCTTACCCAGGCTCTCCGCGGTGATGCCCTCTCGCACGCCGTCATCCTTGCTGACCGTAATCGTCTTCTCCTCGTCCGTCTTCGGGTCGGTCCACTTGACGGTCAGCGGGGCAATCTCCTCGTCAAAGAGTCCCTTCTTCTGCGCCTCGATCGCCTTCTGGAAAGACGCCGCGGCAAACTTGTCCTGGTCCGCGCGGGCAATGCCCTTCGCCTTGGCCATCTTCTCGCTCAGCACGCCCATGGGCACCTTGCATTCAGCAGCTGATTTGTGATTTTCGAGCAGCTCGCTGAACTCGGTGACCGCCCCCGGGCCATACTGCTGGCTCATGCTCTCGGCGCCTGCACCGATCCCGACCTCGATCATACCGCTCTTGATTGCGTTTGCAATGTCCACGCATGCTTGTAGACCGCTGGAGCACTGTCTGTTCAGCGACTTGACCGAGGTTGTGACGGGGAAGCCCGCGGCGAGGGCTGCTGCGCGGAATTCGGTGGCGCCGCCGCCGGGAGCGAGCACGGCGCCGACGGCGATGTCTTCGACGAGGGCGGGGTCGATGCCGGAGCGTTGGATGAGCGCCTTGAAAGCGCCGTGGAGGAGGTCTGCTGCTGCCGTGTCTTTGAAGCCACCTTTTCCTCCCTTGGTAATTGGAGTTCGGAGTGCAGCGGTGATGACGATCTGAAGAGTTCCGTTAGTTGACATGCAACGTAGTAGAGGGTATGCGAAGCTCTGCTTGCGTGAGTGGGGAGCGGGCGTATCGCCACTGACACTGCACAGCCTTGGAGAAACGCTGCGTCCGGACGACGGTGGCTGAACGTACATCATCGGGATTCTTCTGAAGCAGCGAGGCCCTGCCTGACTGCTTCACACCGCCCAAATGATCCGCGACCTGTGCAAGGCGGTCTTGTGCTGTCTCGCTGTCAGCATGCAGACCTAGTATCTCGATCACGCAGCCTCTTCACATACCGGACGAGTTGCTTCCTGTTTGGTTGGCCATTACGGAGAGTTAGATGTGTCGTGAAGAATAAAAGAGCAGCGAGCTAGAAGTTAAGAGGCGATCTGCACTGCTTGCCTCGGCGAAGAAGATTGCTTTCTTATGAGGTCCGACGACCTGCGACATCATCGTGTTGCGCCGAGGTAGTTACCGGTTGCAGCTTAGCCGCTCACGTGCGTGTCTTATCATAGTTTAGCGGGAACCGCACCCCAGCTTTTCACATGCGGCTCCACGAGTGTTTCTCTTCACATGCTATGGGGAAGGGACAAGCCCGCTGACGTTGAATATCATGTGTCTGCCTTGGACAACTTTTCACCACCGATTGTTCTACGCGTACTCCTTCGGTCGTTGCTTGTCGCAAGAGAGGGTGAGGCACCAACGACTCCTCAGAGGCACCGTAGCCATCCACCTGCAGGATACACTATGAGTGACGGTCACGTGGTTCTGAGAGACTGACGATTGCTCACAGTGGACGCTTCAAAAGTCCGCAGGCTTATGCTTTCACGAGATGGAAGAACTGAAGCAGTTTGAGCTCGCCGTCCCAGAACGCAACGAGACCTTGACCAGTCGACTGCCAACACTCTTCAATAACGTTCAACGCCAGTGTCGTTGGGAAAACGCAAGCGCATTGTCTGTTTGGTGGAAAATCGCTGGAATACGACACGAGTCTTCCTATGAGAGGATGTGGAGGAAGAGGCAAACACACCCTCACCTGCTTATCTGCATCAGTTACTAGGTGAGTTTTTAAGTGGGTGCGATGTGGGAGCTGCCGGCCATTAGGCCCAGAGACGAGGTATTTTTAGCGCGTCAAGCGTGTCAATAACACGCCATCGGGAGATCACGCTGAACTCCATTGTGTGCAGCAATGCAGCTGCACGCAGATGCGTGCTGCGATGGATGCGGTGTTGTTCTTTGGTGCACCGGTATTCTCAGCCGCTCACTTTCAGCAACGCCACAGACTTCACCACGAGAACACGGAAGAAATCGAAGCTTCGGCTAAGCGGATCAAGATCGCAAATCGCTCTAGCTCATCAACGATGTATTGCTTACTCGGGTCCACCAAACTCATGCACCCAAAATGGCGTGCTGGATTGCTGGTCAGTCTCCTATTCCCGTCAAGTCGGCACAAACGCCAAGTCGGCTCGGTACGAGAGCGATTGCTGACTCAAAAGTTTTCTCCACTACACGCCGACGTTTCAGAGCTGGGCTCAGCTAGCACTAGCCAGCCATCGATAGAAAAAACTGAACGGATCGATGTTCGGCCGTTCACAAATCGAACGCAGCCTCGTGGAGTCGTCTACCCCTGCAGTAGTGAAGAGCTTGCGCCAGGTACCGAGTGAGCTACGTAACAGCTTATGCGCTATGGTCATCTCACGCCCCATCTAGTTCGCAATCGATAAAAGAATGGGCAGACCTGCCCCTATCGAGAGCAGTCTGGCTCGCGTGGCTTGCATGGTAGCCACCGCTAGATAAACATCACTTCCGTATACTCGTAATTTAGTAGGAGCGCATTGTTGCCATCTCCGCACCAGGACACGTCATCTTCCTCGAAGTCCACGTTCAAGAATTGACTCTCATTTATCAGCGCAAAGCTCTCGCGACACTCAGTTGTCCTCGTGAATCTTTGATAACGCAAGAGAAGGTATTGTGTCCGATACGAAACCAACGAAGCGTTCCGTGCCACATTAAATCCGACTGTAGATCCCTGTTCAGCCCCAGCTTCGCGTGAACTGTAAGCATTCCAAAAAGGGGAAAGGGGGCAGCTTCCTAGTCGCCGCTCAACAGCCGGAGGCGCACTCCACAAGTCTTATTTTGGTTCCTCACTAAAAGTTTCGCGTGTCAAGGTACCTTCGTAGCTTCAGCACGAACGATTCGGGCAGTAGCACTGCTGTTGGTCTTAAGAAAAAGCCGTTGCCCACGAAGTTTCTCGATGCCACCTCCTCCCCTCGCTTGAAAGGAGCCGCAACAATGCAGTCATTCGTTTACCTTTTCTTCTTTGCGATTCTTCGCCTTTGCCAGGCCATCACCTCGCCTGACATCTACTCCTTCACTCAGCCCAATGTTGCGACACCAGGTCTTGGAGATGCATCTCTCAGCGCCACTGTTCCTTCGAAGTCGAGGTTTGGCACTGGTCCGGATTCTGGTGTAAACATCTTCCTGCCGAACTACAAGTCGGACCCTAATTGGTAAGATAACACCAAAACGGCGCAATACGTGCATTCAATAACAGAGGTTAGGCTTCCATTGGTGCTGTCGCTCAAGACAGTTGGTCTACAGGTCAAGGTCAGCGAAGCACTCAACATTACTACCCAGACGAGGACCCTCCTTATCTACACATCTCCAAGCGTGTCCTACAGCCCGACCACCGCGGATGTGACTGCCCTCACAAACTTCGTGACCAATGGTGGCAGCCTCATTTTCATGAACCAGGTCCCTACCGCTCTTCGCGCGCTTGCAGGTGTATCTGCGTCAACGATTGACACCACCTACAAGAGGTCCATCCTCCAGCTTTCCAACGCTGCAGATGCCAGTGCCTCAGCTCTACGCGGATTTGACTTCGCCAACTACTACGACATCAGCATGCCGATCTTCGAGAACTACACTGCCAAGGGTCTTGTTAATGTTGGTTACACACCTACGAATGGCTCAATTGCTTTGGGCAACTGGATTGTGCGCAACAATGGAGTTGATAGCCCCGACACCTCAGCTACACATACAGCCTTTGTTAGGAACCAGCCATCCGGTGCCAAAGGTATGGTATACAGTTTTGGTATGGACATTGGATACCTCTACATCCGAGCACTCGACGAGAGCGGTGGTTACTCCGAGAACTACGATGGCTACTACTACCCCGGGTATGACATCGGAACTCGCGTCATCAAGAACATCCACACTTCCGCTGCTCACTATGTCAGCCTCTGGACGGTGCCGTACAACAAGGGCTTAGCCTTCACCACTACCTGGGACATTGATACCTATGTATCTTACCCTCACGGCCAAGGTATGGCTGCTGCTGCCATGGAGCGGGGTGCTTATGGCAATCTGAACCTTCACACCAAGTACGTCACCGACGCCTACGAAAGGGCCTACTTCCAATACGGCGTGCCCTACATCTACCAGATCTCTGGGTTCCCAGTTGCGGCCGATGGCTTCGCTACCATCGACTTCGGCAGCCACTCTGTCAGCCATTCTCCCAATGCTGTGGACTTTCCTTCCGGTACCGGTGCGGAGCGTTACATTCAGGGAACCAGCTCGGGCTACTACCCATACATCCACCAGTGTTCTTCCACCACTCCGGATGGGACGCCTACCAACGGCGAGGACTGTGAACAGGGAGGAACCAGCGGTCTCGCCTTCTGGACCGAGGGTGGTACTGCGTCAGGTGAAGTACGTGCGAGCGGTTACCTTATTCGCCACGTCATGAACGACATCTTCGGAACGAACTACAACCTGACCACCTACCGTCCGGGTAACCTTGCATGGAACAAGTATCAGGCCAACCACTGCGCTTCCAACGGATTCATTGGCGGTTCCTCATGCTCGGGTAACTCTCACCTCAGTCATCTCCCGTTCCAGGTCACGCACAACCGCGAGTCATTCCAAGAGCTTCCGTACTTCGAGTTTCCTCTCCAGTGGTCCGATGGTGATGGCAACATGAGCAGCGCCGATTTCCCTGGTTCAGACTTTAGGAAGCAAGTCAACGATATCAAGAACATGGCACGTTATGGAGGTCACTACAACATCCTGCTTCATCCCTCCGACGCTGTGTTGGACAAGATCCAGATTCAACGTGCTCTGCATGATGCTGTGCGGCCTTTTGGTGTGTACTTCAACCAAACCGGTATCGCTAACTGGTGGACCGTCCGCGACCGTACTGTTGTCACCATCAAGACCGCAACTACCACCTCGGTCACAATGAACGTCCACTTGGAAGGTCGCGTGGAAGGACTCACGCTGCAGGTCCCGAAGACATACACCTTGCAGTCCGCGAGCGGTACGCTCTCGGCCTGCCAGCAAGTCTCGTACGATACTTTCACCAACGCTGTTGTCCTGCGTAACACCGCCAAGGGAGAATACACGCTCACTTTCTCTGTCGGCACTGGCGCTTCTACCGCTTCTACTTGCCCTGACTTCACCGTCCAACCCATGACACAATGCGTGGCTTGGGATGTTGCGGTCGACGACTTCCTTGAGAACTACTTCTATGACAACGGCGTCAACCTGCTCCTTTTGAAGACTCTCGAAACGGGTCTGGGCACCAACCGGGTGAATGGCACTCTGCAGCTGACCTCAACTTCAAGCGTCAACTCGTATTACACTGAGGTCTCGCGTTTTTGCTTCGATGCTACGATTTACACTCACCTGTTCTTTGACACCGTCATTCCTAAGGGTACCACTTTCTCCGTGCAGCTTGTATCTTACGATTCCGGCTGCAACAACGAGAGGGCGAGCACTACGTTCCTCGACATCCGCGATTACGCTGCTGCTGACGGGAAGAACCAAACCGTCACGATTCCTCTGAAGGACTTTGCCGGAGAGAACTTCAACAATGTGCGTGGCGTTCGCCTCGTGAACATTGCACCAACCCAGGTCCCCATCTACATTGACAACATCAAGATCCAGAAGCGATGTGTAACAGCGCCCGGAGAGGACAAGACCCCAGGCCTTTCAATCGACTCCTTCCAGAATGTCGATCGATGGATCACTGGTATCAACAACATCTTCGGGAAGACTGATGATGACGGTACCATGAAGTTCGCCAAGCTCTCGGAGCTGGGTAAGATGCAGTTGTTGCCCGCCAACGCAAACTCCTACATTTACAGCCGAACTGCTGTCAACGGAAATAACCTGAATGCCCAGGGCTACACTGATGTTTCGCTCAATGTCCGTGGCCCCGCTGGTGGCTCCTTTGATGTTGTCGTGACCTCTGGCACTGGCAACAAAAATTCCACTGTCAACACAGCTACATACGCAACCTTGAGTCAGAACAGCTTCTCGAACATCACCATTCCTCTCTCGAAGTTCGCTGGTCTCGACAATAGCTCCATCAGCCAGATCACCCTGCGCAACTTCAACCCGATCAGCACTTCTACTGCTGGTAATTTCACTTTGCGATGGATCTCCCTGCTCGGCAACGGTACCAACACTACTACGCCTTCAACCTGCAGCACTCCTCCTGGTCTTGTGGTATTGAACTTCTGCGACCTGAGCGAATTCACCACGCAAACTAGCGCTCTCGGCACTCCTTTCTCAGACGACAACACGATGAGCTCTTACAACCAGACTGAGAGTGGCTACATTAACCTCGCCCCTCGCGATTCGAGCTCATACTTCTACTCGCTTCTCTCAGCGTCCGGCACTTGCGCAACTGTTAACAGCACCTACAACGCTGTCAGACTTAGGCTCTCAGGCCCACAGGGAGCCACTGCCAACGTCGGTCTCAAGCATGGTGGCAACAGCTGCAACACCAACGTCGTCACTGACTACGTTCCTGTCACCTTCAACACTGCCGTCACCGAAGTGATTCTTCCCTTCGCGCAATTCTCCAGCACCCTCAACCGGGCCTACCTGCAGGCGTTCACAATGTCCGGCTTCAGCGTCGCAGGCGCCACCTACCGCATCCACTCGGTGTCCTTCGTAGGAAACTCCAACACCAAGGGATGCGCGCTTTGCGAGGGAACTGAGGTCGATTCTTGCACGTTCACCTCTGCGGTGCCGCGCACGAACTCGCTCAGTGGTCTAGTGACCGATGAATCTAGTTTGGCCTCCTACACTGTCGACAGTGACGGCTCGCTCAGCCTCGGAAGCAAGGCAGATGCCTACTGGTACTCCCAGTTTGGCGCCAATGCATGCTACGATTCTACCCAGAACAATGCCACCGGCCTGCAGATCTCAGTCGCTGCAGCTGCAGGTACCACTTTCGACCTCGCCTTGCGCTGGAAGACGGATTCTCAGTGCACCACTGTCTCTTCACCGGCATCGGTCCCGATCACCAACTACGTCACCTTCGCCGGCAACACAACGTATAAGGTTGCCAAGATACCATTCTCTGCCTTCCCTGGCATCAATGCCAGCAGGCTCGACAGCGTCGCACTAGCTGGTTTCAATCCTACAAACGCCAACGTCAAGGTCGGGTGTGTGAGTTTGGTGCAAATGGCTGCCGCGACTGTTCCCCAGACGTGCGCTTGCCCAACCAATGCATGGCTCAACTACTGCAGTGGTACTGGTGTCGCGAACCGCAACGCGAACGGTGGTGCTCAGAGTGATGACGGAACGATGAGCACTACGCCTGTTCTCGCCAACGGTGCGCTGGCTCTGAAGCCCGCCGCATCAGGATCTTACTGGTACTCGCTGCTGAGCAACCTCGACGTTTCCTCGAACAGTGCTCTCACTCTCAATGTGTCGGCAAAGGCGGGTGCATCTTTCAACATCCAGCTGCAGAGCAGCGGTCAGCGTAGCAGCCTGTCCAGCAGCGCTTACGGAGCTATGACCGGCAGCCCAGTTCTCCTGAGCATCCCGCTCTCTGACTTCACTGCGAAGACCAGTGCATTGAACCTCAAGGCGATCACTGCTGTTGTCCTTGAATCCTTCAGCGACGCAACGTCCACATACAGCCTCAACTGTGCCTACTTTGGCAGCAGCAGCAGCAGCTCGACGACCACTGCTGCAGTCCAAAGACGCGACTTGTCCGACGATGTTTCAAGCGGTAACGCGACGCTCGTAGCTGGACCGCTCGCTCTCTGGCAACCAAGCTTCGTGTGGCACCACACTGGCAACATCCACAAGCACCAGCACGATAACAAGACAAAAAACCATGCAGTCTTTTTCACGAACTCAACGACGACGCGCGCTAAGTTTGTCTAAGCATATTCCGGCATATTAATGGGGCAATAACGATCTTTCAACACACTTTTCTTTACATAGTGTTCCACTTCGTTCCTTCCTTGTGTTAATACGTAGACGCCAGAGCGGCGGGCCTAGTTACCGGTACAAGATACTTAAAAGTTAATACACACTCTGTCATGATGCAAAGTTGAATTTATCTTTCCGCTTGATCTGGTCTGACGTGAACAATATCGCAGCATCACTAATTAGCCTCTCCAGCCCATTAACTGATCATCATAAGTATTCCGGTGATACGGGGGTGGTTCTTCGAGCCCCTTGTCTCCCCTATCTTTATACTTACTCTTACCCATCAAACTCGCACTCTCATCCAAACTTATCTAGACATCGCGGGATTCGCCCCGCCCAACGCAGCCAAAGCCGCGCGCGTGGGCTGTGGATTTTCCCTCCCATATCTGCACATCTTTACGTCTCAACGATTTCGTGTCATCTCCTTATCCTGGCTATAAGTAGAGTCGAGTATCTTAGCTCAGTCTCATAAGGGAGCATTGTTTAGGTAGAAACAAAGTTAACTTAGCCATTGTGGCATTATATTCGTGTTCATACTTCCCAAGGCTACAACGCTCCCTGCGGTACTCTTACCTATTTCAGTCTTTAATTTCTGGGAATATGTGTGGGAATACAAAATCGTCAAAACACAACAATCACAAGGGCAGTCAGGTAGTGCGATGGCTCATCTCGTACAAAGAAAGATACGCGAGTTCTTCGACAATAGAACTCACACGGCGTTAGCCACCACAGCCGGGCAATGGGACAAGATGTCTAAAAATATTATCTGTTGTTCGGTTGGAGGTGTTCTTCTTCCTGTGGCCGAAAGGCGTAACAAAGCGTTCCACGTGCCTCCCAATCCACTAAGCAGCCAATGGTCAGTGCTGGAAAAAATCGAGGTCCTTACTTGAGAGCCTGCACACTAAACTGCCTCATCTCAAGTGCCCTGAGGTAGTAAAGAAGCACGCTGCGGTAATCTTGATCGCATCTTCGTCGCGCTGGTTCTCCCCCAGGGGTGTCGAGAGACTATTGTACGAACATTGCGTTGTCAGATCCGATACTATATCGCTTAGATACAGATTCTTTATTGCGGTTGATTTTCTTGCTTTGTTTGCATCTGCCAGCTCGTCCACTCGTTGACACGCATGGCGTCCATGCTACGGCAAGCTTTGTTCCAGCAAAGACCAGCAAGCACCGACAAAGCCTATTCCATCCGTCCCTCCGTCCCTCACGTCCTACAGCTTCCGCGTTCTTGCATATATGAATATTCCGTTTCGTCATGTCCTTTTTAACACCTTCTCATTCTGAATCAAAACTCTACAAACTGTGAACACTCTTGACAACTATCACTCCTTGATCAGGAAGACAAAATTAAAGATGTCATCATCCACTCCATCTAGCCCTGCTCGTCGCAAAAGCGGGTCAGTTACCGGTGCTCCGTCACCAGAGCGACGCAGGTCAAACCGGCTCGCCTCTATCAGTAATGCACGCACGGAGCCTGAGGGAGAGGTCGAAGCGGCTCACGCAACTGATGACGCCTCCGTTGATGGGGACGAAAGTGAGAGCAAACTTGCTGCCGATGATGACGCCTCGCCGAGCGATGGTTCTTCTAGAAATGCGGATGGTGTTAAGCCTCCCCCAATTCCATTGTCAACGAGATTTAACCCATGGAACTTTGGAGAAAAGCCTTGCACTATCAGGCGAGTCTATCTTAATGGCGAAAAGAAGCAAGACGACAATGAAAAGAAGGCAAGCAGCGATGATGGCAAACAAGAAGGAGAAGAGAAGGACGTCAAGAAGGACGAGGATAACGCCGAAGATGACGTGGATGCAAATGGGAATGACGATGAGAACTATGAACAAGCCGAAGCGTTAGAGATAATCAAGGCAGGCGGGTGGGAGGATTGGCGTAGAGACTCCCAAGGGGGAAACTACAACAAAGTGATTGATCCACTACCAGATTTCCGGGAGCAGCCTCCAGCGCGGAGTAGCAATGCCCAAGCAGTGCCACCTATCTACGAGGATCGCGGGATCAAGTTCAAGTCAGGGGGCCGATTCATAAACAATGCTGACGGAACTCAAATTGACCAAGAGAAGCATTTATTCCTCAAATTGGTCGATATGAGGGCCAAGAGCAAGAACGACAAAGAACCCAAGCGACAGCTAGTCACCTGGCACAATAAAAATGGCGCCCCAAATGATTGGAACGATAAGTACGCCATCAAGAAGCTCAATGCAGCTCACCAGGAAAACATCAGGAGTATATGTCGAGATTTCACATGGTCGCAAAGCGAAGCTGATTTTATCGCCCAACAGTTCAAAGACAAACCCAAAGTTTCCATCAGAGAACTGGCTTACCACTTCAACAACTACTTCATAGGTGATTTCTATCTTTCTTCACCTGAGGAGTGGGATGTGGTGCACACAGGACGCACCATTGAATCTATAAGGTAAGTTGGCCCGATCTTCTGCCACACAGGAAGAATCTAACAAGGTGCAAAGAAGCGAATATCTAGCTCACAAGGATGACTACGACAATGGCGAAGCCCCAAAAAAGCCAGAGCTGCGTGGCAAGTACTTCATGCATGCTAACGGATTGAGCGAGGAGCAAATGAAGAATATTTGGACTTCGGCGAATGGCGGAAAGGCACCTATACCGGTGACCCAGCCCAGGGCTAAGAAGGATAAGGCTCAAAACAAGACCAAGAAGAGCAGCAGCGCCAGCGCCGGTAAAACCGACAACCAGGCCAGCATACCCAGGATCAAAAAGAAGGAGGATTATAAAACATGCACTATCCCAGAACTTAAACTGTTGGCTCGACACACCAAGCCGGAAGGCTTCTTGAGGGGACTCAAAAAGAAAGGGGATATAGTCACGAAGTTCGAGGATGATCATGATGGCGATGGCAATACGGATGCGGATGCAGATGCGGATGCAGATGCGGATACAGATGCTGAGGATGGGGCCGCTGACGATGCCCTCGATGGCGGCATTAAGGGTTTCCTTTACACGACAATGCCAAAGAAAGGGCTCCCAAACTACAAGGGCAAACTCAATTTTGATCAAGTCAAGGAGCTAGCCAGAAGACGAAGTGTCAGACTCCGTGGCCTGATTGGAACACCAGGAAGCGCGTCAGCGAACGTGGATGACTACGTACGTGCATTGGAGGCAGACGACGAGGCAAAGGGCAGGTACAGGAAGGCTAGGGAGAGATACGATAGGTATTCAGAGGCCAAAAAGACCAGCAAGAAAAGACCGTCACCCAGCTCTACTGAGAAGAAGAGCAACAAGAAGCAGAAAACGCAGGAATTCGAGGATATAGGAGAAGCAACGGATCCTAATGATTCTACGACCGCCTTGCCATCTTCGCTGAAGCGCAAGTCATTCAAGGGATCTGAAGGTCCCATCTCTTCCCGAAAGACTTCCCTCAGGAGCTCAAGCAGCAAGAGTAACAGCACTGCGGTAGCTGCCGAGGAATCAATACCGGTGACTGAGGAAGAAGAGCAACAGGTGGATGGCGAAGATGAAGACGCTTACCCGTGTCCGGACTTTGAACCACCCTCGGACAAGGAAAATGAACAGAGCAAGGAGAGTGATGTGAGTGAGGAGGAATAGAGTGTATCTCGCAAGGCTCCACTTGGAGACTTAACAGTGATCTTGATGAGCAGTCTTAAGACTAATTCAGCGTAGAATCACATGAAGGTAGGCACGGGCGCTTTAATTGTACTTCATAATGTAATTAGTAACGTCTATCCCGTAGTTAGGAAAAATCCACCCTGAGGAAAATTAAGCGAGGTACCTCAGCTTTAAGCAGCCACAAATCTATGTAAAAGGTACAATAACGTCGAAGTTAGTATCTACTATATGCAGGAGCTGTCGTTGTATATAGAAAACACTTCGTGTACTATAAATTACATCCGCGTCCCTGTCTTCTCACCAGATTGAAATGTTCGCTTCTTACAGAGCATCACAACATGCACTACTCAAATTGCATCCAATAAGCCTATAGTCCTTTAATAGATTGAGATAATTCGTCTAGCTAGGCTTCAAAGTCTCAGTATGTTCGAACATATAACTTCAGCTACATAGCAGCGTTGCAGCGAGCAGGATCATGCACCATCACCATGATCAGCGGTACTTCCAATAAGGCGACTTCTAAATAGAGTTAGTGCAAGGCAGCTACGTAATCAGCTCGCTGTAATATTCATTTGTCATCTCCTTGGCGGATCTGTGGCTGACTGGCTGTGATTGTTCGAGTTGGTTAGCAATGACCACCGAGCACGTCGCATGGAAACCGCTCGTCTGATTAATTAACGTCCATCCCTGCGTAGCGGGACACCTTGTGTGGCAGGACAGTTTTCCTTCCAGACCTTCCGCGTGAGGCCAGCACGACTGCACTAAGTCAAGCTTAAAGGAAATTATTCTGTACTTGTTATTCTTCAAGTAGATTAAACTCCGATAAGGTAAAGCACGGTGTTAAGCGTGCTATTAGTTATTCTATGGAAGGCTTCTACCAACCATCTACTAGTATCCCCCTGTTTGTTCGCGAGGGCGAACTAGGAAGAATGCGCAGATGTTAAAGGTTAAGATGGCAGGCTCTAAAGGTTAAATTAATATGAGGATTGTGCCTTCCGGCAGTTTCTCCGTGCGAACAGCAAGATCGCCAAAACTCACCTGCATAGACGTGGGGCCATCGCCGCTCTTGGCACGCGGTAGCTTCCAGTACCTAGTGTGCTTAAATATTATTGTCTACCACAGCGGACACTTCTAAAGATAGCTGTGGCGCATGCTGACCGCGCCTACCATCGCACGCTGGCTAAGGCCATGCGGGTTGGCTCTGCCGCATCCGCTGAGATCATGCTGTCTTTGACGCAGCAGCCTTACAGCCTCGCCGCTTACATGCTACTCTGAATCTTCTGCGATGCCTACTGTACCCCGCTTAGGACCTGATGTGACGCTGTCACCAAAGCAGCTCCAGCTCCCACGCTGTCGCGCACTGCTGTTCGCCTTTGATCAACCTGGTACTATAATAGCTATCCACCATCCGTCTACATGCTTACCTAAAGAGAAAGCCAGCTGTCGCACTCTGCCGACCAGGTTGCCGCATCAAGCCTCCCGTCTCGTTCGTATCGCATGCGCTTGCCTTGTACCCGCACTGATCGATGCATCTCCTCAAGTACGGCGAAAATGGAGACCTCGCCATCACCAGCTTCGATGATAACGAACTGCCTCCTTACGCGATACTTTCTCACACCTGGGGTGCGGATGAAGAGGAAGTGACCTTTACGGACATTGTCAATAACGGTGGCAAGGACAAGCCTGGCTACAAGAAGATTCGCTTCTGCGGAGAACAAGCTTCAAGAGATGGACTGGAATACTTCTGGATTGATACCTGCTGCATCAACAAAGAGAACCAGGCTGAGCTCTCACTGGCCATTGACTCTATGTTTCGCTGGTACCGCAACTCGGCTCGATGTTATGTCTATCTGTCGGATGTATCGAGCCAAACTTTGAACACCAACCCCGAGCCCAACGTGCACCAATCCGACTTGCAGATAAGCCGATGGTTTACTTGGATCTGGATATTCCTAGTCGTCCAACCTATACTCCGCTGGTATCCTAGCACGATTCGACGATTCTTCACTTTATCAGATGTCTGTAGCCCGCAAGCCTGTGAATGTAAGCTTCAGCGGAGTAGATGGTTCACCCGAGGCTGGACGCTCCAGGAGCTTCTCGCGCCCAGCGTGGTCGAGTTCTTCTCGCGTGAATGGTGCAAACTTGGTGATAAGATATCGCTAAAGTCTGAGATCCACGAAGTCACAGCCATTCCATATGAAGCGCTCGAGGGGGCGCCCCTCTCTCAATTTAGCGTCGAAGAGCGGTTCCGATGGAGACAGAACCGGCACACAAAGCTCAAAGAGGATGCGGCATACTCGTTGTCAGGCATCTTCGATGTAGACATTGCGCCTATATATGGTGAAGGCGGAGAGGAAGCATTCAGACGGCTTCATGACAAGATCCGTGAGCAAGTAGAGTGTCTTCGGGACTTATTTGCTACCGACCCTCTTAAGGATAAGAAGCGTATCGAGGAGACCAAAGGCGGACTGCTAGCAAACTCGTACCGCTGGGTCCTCGACAATACTACATTCCAACAATGGCAACAGGACACGCACAGCCGACTACTATGGGTAAAAGGAGATCCTGGTAAAGGCAAGACGATGCTGCTGTGCGGCATCATCAACGAACTGCACAAGGCACCAAACCATGTCACGGTCTCACACTTCTTCTGCCAAGCGACCGACTCGCGTATCAACAGCGCTACCGCTGCGCTACGAGGGCTATTGTATATGCTCCTAGTCCAGCAGCCGTCGCTGGTATCGCACGTCCGCAAGAAGCACGACTACGCGGGCAGAAGCTTGTTCGAAGATGCGAATGCCTGGGTAGCCTTGACAGAGATATTCGTCGACGTGCTGCGAGACCCGAGCCTGCGCCCGACATACCTAGTCATCGACGCGCTAGATGAGTGCGTCACTGATCTACCCATGCTGCTTGACTTTGTCGCAAAGCAGTCATCGGTGTCTTCTTGTGTCAAATGGATTGTTTCTAGTCGCAACTGGCCAAACATCGAAGCGCAGCTAGAGCGGGCAGGGCATAAAGTAAGACTAAGCCTCGAGCTGAACGCAGAGTCAGTTGCAGCTGCAGTTGCCGTCTTTATCCAGCGAAAGGTAGATCAGCTGGCGCAAGAAAAGCAGTATAAGGCAGAGGTTCGAGACGCTGTGCTCCAGCACTTAACAACAAACGCAAACGACACCTTCCTCTGGGTGGCGTTGGTGTGCCAAGAACTTGGAAGGACGGCGAATCGGCATGTGCTAAAGAAGTTAGCCGTGTTCCCTCCTGGGCTAGACGACTTATATAAGCGGATGATGCAGCAGATGAGCGAGTCAGACGACGCCGACACCTGTCGCTGCGTACTAGCTTCGACCGCGGTCTTGTATCGACCTGTGACTATTCACGAACTGGTCGCACTCATCGAGCAGCCTGAGGATGTTAGCAATGACATGCGGGAGATCATTGACCTGTGTGGATCGTTCCTGACCGTCCGCGAAGACACAGTGTACTTTGTGCATCAGTCTGCAAAGGACTTCCTCTTAGTAAAGGCGTCAAACGAGGTCTTTCCAAACGGTATGGAAGAGATTCATCGGGCTATCTTTTCGACATCGCTAGCGCATCTGTCTAGCATATTACACAGAGACATGTACAGCTTAAAAGCGCTTGGAAGCGCTGTTAAGAACGTTAAACCACCGCATCCAGACCCACTAGCAGCGTCACACTACCCGTGTATCTACTGGATCGACCATCTGCACGAATCTAAACCTAGGTTTTCGGCAAGCAGTAATGCTGACTTCCAGATGAGAGCTGTGTACAACTTTTTAAGGGAGAAGTATCTTTACTGGCTCGAGGGGCTCAGTTTGTGCAAGAGCTTAGGAATAGGTGTAGTCTCAATGACAAAATTGTGGTTACTATTGCAGGTACAGCATCTAAAAACGGGATATCTATTCGGGGTAGATGCTAAGATGAATAGGATATGCAGGACCAAGATCGTCTTACTCAGCTTGTTCAGGACGCACGGCGATTCGTTATGTATCACAAACAGGCTATAGAGAGTTACCCTCTTCAAACATACACATCTGCGCTGCTGTTCAGCCCAACAGGAAGTCTGATCAGGCAGCTATTTCGACACGAAGAGCCGAGAGGAATCGCAATTATGCCAGCTATGAGTGACAGCTGGAGTGCGTGCCTGCAGACGCTCGAGGGCCATAGCGGTTTGGTC